ATTTATGTCCAACAAGGAGGGTTGAGGGCATCATCTATCTATCCATATTGTTGTTGCTCCTCTTCTTATTTCTCTCTGTCTATTGATTTGCTGTATTTATAATGATCACGTCGAACACAAACATAAAGAGAGAGAGAGAAGGGGAAGAATAAAACAGATGGGCATTCAGAAATGGACAATGATGATTTACTTCCTTTGCTCATGCCAATCAGTCTTAAGGTTAATCGTCTCCTATTGAATAGATTTAGCCTCTCATACACCTCGGAGTTATTCATCTAACTGCAGAACACACATGTGTGATTATCTTGTTGTTGTTGTTATTGTTGTTGTTCGACTCTCTTACTATTGCATGCAAAAGAACAAAAGAAATCAATCTATCATCAAGACTAGCAGATGAAGATGATGGATCGTCGTTAGAAAGTATTTCTCATTAAAAACCAGTCTCGTCGAATTTCGAGAATGATCCGAGCAAAAGAAAACTGAAAAATCACTGATCTCGTCGTCGGATTGCTGCGTACACAAAGAATAACTTTTGATGATTGATTGAGTAAATAGAAGTTTGTGAAAGCAAGATGCTAATATCATTGCTAATATAATCAGAAGATTATTGTCTGTTAATTGAAGATGAAATTCTTGACATCTAATTGAGGACTTTTCAAACGGAGATTCTTTCTTTTCATTACGATTTATTTGATCAACTTGCATACACGAATCTAATTGTAGATTAATTAACCGAAGAAAGGCAGATAGTTTCTATGCTAATGGATTCCGAACTGTTGACTTCATTTGTACAAGATCAAGAACTTTCCGATGGATTCGAAGACATGATCATCACAGGGACGTGATGACATCGAGCGAAGCATTCACGCCATCTTTCCAACATGAGAATTATACACACTCAGCAAATCGACTCTAGCGACATCTACATACTCGATCTTAACCACGTTGAATTCATTTGAAATGGTTTTGCGCTGTAGGTGGAAGACATTTGTTCAAATTGAGAATAAATTATCTGGTTGTGACGTTGTCTTTTGTTCAATATGTGAAGTTATTTTATCCTTGCAACTGAATTAGTTTTTTTTTAATTATCTTCCAAGAATAAAAGTCTAAGATCCAATTTCGCGAGATGTTTCAAACACAAGTCAGCACTTAGCTGTAATTAGAAGCGATGTTTTGACTGAATAAACGTATAGATCGTGTTACATGATTGAAAGAAGATTTTCTACCTTCTAATCAACTTACAATTGAATAAACATCCATTTCGTTAGAGTGTTTATCCAACTAATTCTGGTAATCGGAAAAATTAGTTGTTGGAATGAAAAAGAATGCCGTCAGTCTCGTAATTGATGATCTCGATGAGATAGATTTTGTAATTGTGCCGAAAAAGTGTTTTCCTATGATCGATTCCATCATATTTGTGAGATTTTTTTGTTCTACTAAATGCCATTATTAGTTATCTCGAATGGATACCAATCATCATAAATGTCGAGTTTTGTCTGCATCGTTTTTCTCATTTTTTTAATGGACCTCTTTTTTCTAATAGTCAATTTATCCGACAATGTCAAAAGAGGTTAATATATTCATGTTGTTTCTCGTGAAATAATATGACAGTGAGTTTACGCTGAATATCAATAAAAAACTATGGGGAGAATTAATTGTGCAATTTTATTAGTGACTTTCAATCGATTTGTGTGACATTAAGTGGAATTGCTATTTTTGATGTCGATAAATATGAAGAGTACGAAGAAGAGAACTCGTTGATGAGTTCGTCGGAGACATCGTGTCAAATGAAAACGTTTACAAATGCGTTTTCTATTGCTTTATGATAGAAAGAACCTAAATGCCAGTCAATATTCTAATGCGTCTGCTCTGTTTTCTGTCTATTCGCGCTGTTATTTTCAATCACTCCCAGATGTTTAGTAGTAACTGTTTTGCTTGCTATTATTGTTGTTGTTAGTGCACTCAGCTGGATTTAGTCGGTGTGTGTGTGAGTATAGATGACATGTTTGTTTCGATTTGATGAGATCCTTCTTTTTTTGCTACATCTTTCTCTCTTCTTGTCTTTTTCTTTGCTATTTTTCCTTTCTTCGCGCCGTTCTTTATGTTATACTGCATTTCGTCGTATTGTCTCTGGTGGTGTAGGAAAATCGTGATCATTGTTATTATAGATATATAAAAGTTCGATGATAGATCCGATAATGGCACTAACATGCAAGTAAATTATCGATTAAATATGTGAATCAAAGGAGGAAAGCACAAAAGCATTCTAGTTTCGGCTGGCTTCATTTCGTGACAAAGTGAGAGGAGATCATGACATTTGTAATAAAGAGATGGATTTTCTGTACAAAGTTATTTTCCCTTTTATATCATTAGGATTATTTTGTGATCTTTTTTCTTGTTCTATCTTTTCTCTTTCTCTAGCTACATCGGAGAACGATCTTTTTCACACCCAATGTACGAGAATGAAGCGATGACAGTGATAATGATGATAATCTCAAGAGTAAGTCTGGTTAAGAACAAATCGAACATTAAGACACGGTCGTTTGCTCGTAGTCATAATCAGTTTTTAGTTTGACGATCAAAGTGTATGTAGGATTTTCATTTCGAATGGAAATCAACAGGAAGGCGCTAATCTTGCAAATAGATCAGCAAGTAGTGAAAGCATTTCATGGATAGGAGTGTCAAACAATGCAAGAAGAAAGAGAGATGTAACGCAGGAAAAACTCGACAGAATGAAAGAAAGAGAGAACATAATAATTAATTTCCTTTTTTGAATGACTGAACGATAAGGCAACACCATAGTATACGAAGAAAGCATGAGAAATAGAAGGAGATGCCGAACAAGAGAAGATGCCGAGAGAAAATTTACGAAAAAAAAGGCGTTAGGCGAAGGTTCTGAAGTAGTTTCAATAAAAGCGGCAGTGTAGTAAGGAAAAAAAGAGGTCTATTAGGGGAATACTACCTCGTGTAGAGAACAGCAAACTATCGTTGTTGTTTTTTTTGTAGACATGACAAATGGGTAAGGTGAGCTCCTACTTTGTTTGCGTTTAGTCCAACAAAGAAAAAGAAAAGAAGAAAAAGTGAACGAGAAGGTTTGCTGTATTATTAAGGAAATTGGCTATTGTATCATTGGAGAGAATTCTACTGTTCCACGCTTTCGCTGTCGACATGTCAAAAAGCTAATTTTGTTTTAGAAATGAATACGAACTAGTAGTCTTTGTATCTTAAGCTAAAGAAAAGGAAATCCGTCATTTTAATAGGTTTATCGCATTGCAGTGTATGTTTGTACTTGGAAGATCTGTCGCTCATCGGCGTCGAGTTATTTTTTTTTGTTGATTCTTTAACAGCCTACAAAGAAAACGAGAGAAATTTGTTACTCGTGAAAGATATAGAAACGATCAATCGCGTGGGACAATCAACAATAATATTATTGTCATCGTTGTCGTCTTCATCACGCTTTTCAGCAAAATAAGATTTGCTCGTCTTCGCATCGATTCTCCCTAATGATTGCTGACAGCAAGTGAATCGGATTCGTTGATCAGATCAGACTCTACGCGTGACTTCTAATTTTATTAAGTTAGATTTTAATAGCAAGCAATAGAAACATGCCTTGCCATGATGTTATAGATTCTATCATGCAATGCTCTAACTGACAGAAAGTTAAATTCTCGCACTAGAACACAACGAAGAAGAAGAAGAATGACAAGTATTGGAATATACCGAACCAAATAGACTTTGTCTAACGAGAACAAAACTAATCATAACAGTTTTGCTCATTTTTTACATTCTCGCCTACACGGATTACGTAGATATATGCATTCCGAAATCATGCCAGTTATTTTTTACGAGGCTTGATTCATTTTCTAGCATCATCGTCATTGTCGGTTGACAACATGATGAAATTAATCATATTCAACCTCGGGCAATGTCATTTTACTTTGCCTAGTTTTTTTTCTCTCTTGAAAATCATCTGTTAACACGAAACACAATGGAAAAGTCGAGTTTACGTTTCTCTCATCAGGGTCTTCCTAGATACATCAATGTTCTAATTAGTCGTTAAAAAAGCTAACTCAATCATTATCTAGTTGTATGTTATTTTCTGTTGTTATTGTCGTCGTGTAATTAATCATAACACGAAATTTATCGTGTCGAGATCTTGTCTATCCGTTTTTCTTCTTTTGTATTGCCTCAATTCTGTGTCAATTGTTTGAAATCTCAATGAGACAACTTGTCGGCTGTTCTTCTTTCAGCGCAAAAACAACACCGAGTAAATCGAGAGTTTTAATCTCCTCTCTGGCTGTATAAGTCATTCTATGTTCGATTGACACACACATACACACATAAAGAGAATAAGAGGAACCATAACAAATGGAAATGTCTTGCATAGTAGATGCGCTAATTTTTTTTCCAAAAAAAAACAATGTTTCCATTGTATAGACCGAACTATATCATAAAAAAAACGAGAATTTCTCTTTCTTTCTTGTTGTTTCTCGCGTTTTCCATTTTTTCCTTGATCGCTAACGTTCCTATGAGAAGAAAACAGAAATTCTCGTTTTTTTTTAAATCCTTAACTTGCTTGAGAAAACAAACGGGCAAATAGAAAGAAAAAGAAAAAAAAATATATATGTGTGTTTCTATTTCTATTGTCAGTCGCCATCATTAACAACATATTGGTCTGAGAAAATTGTCAAATTTCCCAGGAGATTCGACATGGTGAATGTTATTATGTAATCAAAATAAACTAATGAGATATGTCTATTTACCAAACGAAACATTTCACACTGTCTTTGTTTTAGATCACGAACGATTGCAATATTTGATATGGATTAATGGGCAATTTCATTTTTTAACCGATTAGTTTCCATTATCGGTTTGACGTACGTCTGGATCAAAATATTTCTTCTTCCCAGAACATGGAACATCAAACTTAGGTGCGCATTCGTCGGCCGCTGTTGCCCTCAATTCTATTCAGATCATGCAGCAACAACTCGTGCACGATCATGGATAAGAATCATTTGCAAACAACAATTAATCATAATATAAATCAACCGTTGTCACCGACGATCATTACCATACCAAATAATGATACACGTCTATACGAAACTGACCGTTTTCGTCAAGAACGTGCATCAACAAATATCCTTTCCGATTTACCGCGTTCACGTAATCTTGAAGAAACTGACGAGAACGAATTACCATATCCCGGCTTTGTGGAAACTGTTTTCTATTGCCTTAAACAAACTAGTACACCACGATATCAATGCTTACGTATCATAACATGGCCATGGTTCGAACGGATCAGTATGTTCGTTATTCTACTCAATTGTATAACACTTGGAATGTATCAACCATGTGAACATCTTTTGGGTCTTCAAGGTACAAAGAAATGTGATACAGCGCGTTGTATTTGGTTACAAGCAACGGATTATTTTATATTTGCATTTTTTACTATTGAAATGTGTATCAAAATGACAGCTATGGGCATATTTGGTAAAGGAACGTATTTAGCTGATACATGGAACCGGTTAGATTGTTTTATTGTTGTTACTGGGTAAGTCAGATGTTCTGATAGAATTGCGTGTTTTATTGATAAATTTCCGACGAGAGCATGTTCTTTTTCCTTGAATAAATTATTCTTCGTACTAATAAGATCTTATTATGAAATCTTGGTGTCATCGTGACTTAAACCATTGTTTGTCGTAGTAACAATATACATATTGATTGAACTGATAGGAATCGCTTTGCGAGGAGTTATCCAGTGCGTTTGACCACGATTAGTCTAGTTTTTCATTTCATGAACGTGTTAGTATCTTGTTTTAGAATAACCTTCTGTTTCAAGGTGAAAAAGAATTAATGAACCTTTGTATTCATCCGCGCGTTCTCTTCTGAGTTATTCTCTCATGTTTCTCGTTTTAGTCTAATCGAGTCAGTTATTCCAGGTGATAATCTAAGTTTATCAGCAATTCGTACGATTCGTGTTCTTCGTCCATTACGTGCGATTAATCGTGTCCCATCCATGCGTATACTGGTCATGTTACTACTTGATACATTGCCAATGCTTGGAAATGTTTTACTTCTTTGTTTTTTCGTCTTCTTCATCTTTGGTATTGTTGGTGTACAATTGTGGAAAGGTCTATTACGCAATCGTTGTTTTCTACAACCAAACATAACGACCGAATTCGACCATCCATTGTTCAAGTATGTCGATGTGATATTTGCTTCGTTTTTATTTATTTTCTTGTAGAGATTTTCAATATCGACCGTTCTATATGCCACCGGATCAAGATTCATTCGTTTGTTCGCATCCACAGTCGAATGGAATGACGAAATGCTCCGAAATACCCAAATTACGAAAAGGAAATCTCACGTGTGAATTGGATTTCTATACAGTTAAAAAAGAAATCTCCGAAGATCCAAATAAATCAATTAATGGTTGTATTAATTGGAATCAGTATTACAAATTCTGTAATGTCTCTGATAAAAATCCCTATTCCGGTTCGATTAGTTTTGATAATATTGGATTAGCTTGGGTTGTTATTTTTCAAGTGAGCAATTCATTCTTTCCTTCATCTTTAGTTCTCCTTCTTTCGCTAGATAATCAGTCTGGAAAGTTGGGTGAATATAATGTATTATATTCAAGATGCTCATTCATTTTGGGATTGGATTTATTTTGTTTGTTTGATTGTTATTGGCTCGTTTTTTATGATTAATTTATGCCTTGTGGTTATCGCCACGCAATTCAGCGAAACGAAAAAACGTGAAACGGAAAGAATGCTGGCTGAACGACGACGTTTTTCCCGCTCATCAAGCACGTTACTAAGCGATGAGCCGGGTTCGTGTTGGGAAGAAACAATCAAATATGTCGAACGTCTGTGGAAACATGGGCAGAAACGGTTGCATATATATTGGAAGAATTATCGTGAAAAACACCCGAAAGTACGTCTGCGTTTCTCTTTTGGTCTAGCATGATGTAGAGGTCGAGAGTTCTTCTGACAATTGAGAGATGTTGTTCACATTCCAAGGTGATGCGGAGGATAAGGAAAAAAACCGGTCGCATAATGATTTTTGACATGAAATATTTAGTTAATACATCCGATGTCAATCAGAATTAGATTCTCGTCAGATAAAAGCTGTACTTCGAGAAAAATGCTCGTCGATTAGGAACTTGACTTTGAAGTAATGCGATTTTCCCACTAATAGTATTTCGTTTTCCAATAGTAGATTTCTTTTATTCGATGTATGAGTTAGACTTTCCCTCTGGCGATTTCGATGCAACTAATCAGCTAACCACCTGCTTTGGAAGCCTAGAAGGCATTGAGAACATTTCGTGTAAACAAAAGAATCACCACTTCCGTTAGAAGACTTTCGAAAAAAGATTTATTTTTGTTTAGGCCAGTAAAAAACGTTCAGTTGAAATGAAGAAACGTCGTCGAAGGGAAAAACTCAATAATCGATCAACGCCGACTGAAGGATGTGTCAATTCAAGTTTATACGAGAACTCATCTATTTTGCCAACAGTTCATATCAATCATCAGCCGAACTGTCGATATCATCAATTGACTGATTCGATGTCTTTCCCCACACCTCCTTCGCTTTGTCCGTCATTTGCTGACGCACCTGCAGCTAGTCCGGAACAATCTGATATCATCGATCCAATTCACACGCCGAATGCAATAATCGATATCGAAAGTGTTCCACAATTACCTTTGATCACAACTGAACTTGACAATACATTGACGTTGAATAATTCACCGGTCAAATTCGAAGACAGTCCATGCAATTGCGTTCATAAAAATGATATTACTATTCATTCGGATGATCAGGATGATGACGAAGAGTCTGATGAAGAATATCATCATGTTAAAACAAAATCGAAATTTTCTATATGCTGTGATCGATACATTTGGTCGCGTTTTCTCGTCGTTCGAAAACATGTTTCAAATTTCGTCGCTAGTAAATACTTTCGCCGCATCGTCCTCTCCGCAATCGTCGTCAATACCTTATCGATGGGCATCGAGTATCACGGTCAACCCATAGAATTAACCAATGCATTGGAATATAGTAACCTAGTCTTTACTTCCCTATTCGCAATCGAAATGGTTTTGAAAATCATCGCCGATGGATGTTTGAAATACATCAAAAGTGCTTATAATTTATTCGATGGCGGAATTGTTTTAATGAGCGTGATTGAATTACAAGGAAACAAGAATAGTGGTTTATCGGTGTTGCGAACATTTCGACTATTACGAGTATTGAAATTAGTGAGATTTATGCCAACATTACGAAGGCAATTGGTGAGTACCTGTCAAGGTTATCTTTGATCAGCAAGTGATTGATCGAATAAGAATGACTTCTCTGATCTTGACAAGGAATCCCATGCTGATGATTTGATTAAACGGACGAGGAATTTTGAACTTAAACAATGACATTTTGTTTTGCTGTAGGTTGTTATGCTTAAAACAATGGATAATGTCGCGACATTCTTCTCCTTGTTGTTACTATTTATCTTCATCTTTAGGTAAGTTTTTGCTGGAACATTTGCCCTTTGTTTGTTCTATGTTTAATCGAATTAAAAACTTTCTTCTCCAGTATTTTGGGAATGAATCTTTTCGGCTGCAAATTTTGCAAATATATCGAAGTAAAACATAGTGGAAAACTGGAATTTGAGTGTTCGAGAAAGAACTTCGATTCACTTCTATGGGCTATTCTAACCGTTTTTCAAGTAATCAGATAATCCTCCATGTTGTCTCTCACTATCGCTCGTTCTCGTTCGCTTTCTATATTGTTTTGTTGATGTTCGCCTGTCTATCTATAGTATTCTTGGTATGCATTTGTTTGGCGGTGAATTTTCGACAATTGAAGCATTGAATTTAACGTCCAGACAAGAAATAAAAATGAAATGTCGATGTTGTACATGTAGTGAATATGAAATCTTGAAAAAGAGTACAAATCTCAAAGATTTGACTTGTGTGGAACAGAGAAAAAACTTCGATACATTAACCGGGGCAGTTCTAACTGTCTTTCAGGTATAGATAATCTGTAAAGAAGACGAATTACCCTGTTTTTTTTTTAAAAACAAATGTTCGCTATTGTTCTGCATCGGTTTGTTCGCGCCCTGCTTTGAATGTTTCGTCGTCGGAATAGTGCGTTATTTTATCTAATGTGTTCTTTGGTCATCTTAGGTGTTGACTCAAGAAGACTGGAACGAAGTCCTTTATAATGGAATGGAAAAAACAAGTGCTTGGGCAGCTTTATATTTCATTGCATTGATGACATTTGGAAACTATGTTTTGTTTAATCTATTAGTTGCTATTCTTGTCGAAGGATTCTCCACCGAAGTAAATATTTGTTTGTCTCATCTAATGATTTCAAAAGTCTTCTTTTTCTATTCAATTCAGAAAGGAAGCGGTGCTTCGGAAGCGGGAAGCAGTACTGATAGATTAGCCAGAGCAGATCCATTCAAAGTAAGGAGAGACGAAAGGATCGTTATTCATATGCAAATGAATCTTTTGTTAACTAGACACAAGCGCTCTTTACCGGTGATATTGAAGTACCAGCAAACCCACACGAACTGATCACGGACGAAAATGCTAGTAATAAAGAAACTAAACTTCCACGAACTCGCGGTAACTCATATTTCAAATTGTGATCCTCATCGATTTGTTTTTCTCCTCGAATAGAAGTAAAAATCATGAGCATCCCACGAATTGCCATCAGTAACGAGGATGATGCTAGTTTACGTATTCTCGAAAATCGACCACGTATCCATACGTTTTCAAACTCAACTGCGTCGCCATATAAATCAATCATTAAAACACGTTCGTCCCAACCTCAATCGCCGTCATCATCGATGACTAGTCAAAGCTTTCACACATGTTTCGGATCAACACAAAACGAATCGTTTGAGCAATCGACAGACTTTTCCGTGCCGTTGAAACGAAGTTATACAATAGCTGTTGTTAAAAATCCTCTTGATAATACTATACGGAAGCGGCCAGCGAGTTTTCACAAACCTCGACCATATTCAACTGTCGAGGGCAACTCCTCTCCACACGAAAACTTTCTAAATCCTGAACGACCATTAAGAAAACGTTCCAGTACTCAGGAAGAGACATTGACCGATTCCCGACGATCAGCAATAGATGAATCGTCCAATCCTATTGTACAGATGGAAACACCGAGCTTGTACGGTACACCTGAACATCACGAACAACCGTCAGTCTCAGATAATTCAATACGACTTGTCGTTGATACGGACTCTACAATGCAAGCAATTATCAATGATCAAAGCGATATGCAAGTAGATGAAACAGGAAAAGAAAAATCTCAAAAGAGAATAGGAGTAAGTTAATCAATGAGATTTGACGAAAAATTTGGGTTCTCTACTTCTAGCTGGGTCGTTTATGCTGCATTCGCATCTGTAATGAACAATTCTTCAGATATCTCGAGAAACGAAACGATTATTCACTTTATCTGTTCTCCCCTTTAAATCGGTAATTTCAACAAAGACATCTCTATTAAAAGTTCAGCAATCGTCTTTTCTAGATTTCGACAATTCTTAAAACGTTTAATCGTGAGAAAATCATTCGACTATGCAATTCTCTTCTTCATCGCACTCAATTGTATCACACTCGCCATGGAACGTCCGTCAATTCCAGCACACAGCACCGTATGTCATCTATCGTTCTCACTAATTCAACTAGAAATCGAAGTTTTCCTAGGAACGATATTTCTTGAACATTACAAATTACATATTCACAGTGATATTTTCCATTGAAATGATGACAAAAGTGATCGCTTGCGGGTTGTTGTGGGGACCAAATGCTTATCTCCATACAGGATGGAATGTTATGGATGGTTCACTAGTGATCATATCAATCGTTGATTTATTAACAATGCATCGGGGACCAATGCCGGCAACACCAACACACATGCCGAACGTTGAGTCGGATGCAGCAACACGAATATTTAGCATGCTGAGAGTTTTTCGTCTCTTACGAACATTACGACCGCTGAGAGGTTAGAAAATGAATATTCATTGATCTTATCCGGATTCTTTTCGGTTTCTAGTCATCAGCCGTGCACCAGGTCTTAAACTCGTAGTACAAACATTGATGTCATCGCTGAGACCTATCGGTCATATTGTTGTTATTTGTTGTACATTCTTCATCATCTTTGGTATCTTGGGTGTTCAAGTAAATCTTCATTGTGGAATGAATTAAATTTTACTTGATTTTATCTAGCTTTTCAAAGGCAAATTCTACTACTGTGAAGGTCTATTTGCTCGTAATGTTACAACGCGTCAACAATGCCTTGATATGCCCGATCATCGTTGGAAAAACCAGCAATACAATTTCGATAATTTAGGTCAAGTAAGTCATTTTTCAAATGATAGAAACTTCGTTCGAAATTCATGTCACCCATAGGCATTACTTGCTCTATTCGTTTTATCCTCACGTGATGGTTGGGTACAAATCATGTATAATGGCATCGATGCTGTTGATGTTGATCGGCAACCGATAAGAAATTATAATGAAGCGAAATTGGTGTATTTCATTTCATTTCTATTACTTGTTGGTTTCTTTGTTTTGAACATGTTCGTCGGTGTCGTTGTGGAAAACTTTCATAAATGCCGTGCTGAGCAAGAACGAGAAGAAAAGGCACGACGAACAGCTAAACGTGCGAAGAAAATCGAACGGAAACGACGACGGATGAGAGAGATACCATATTACGCACATTTCTCGCCCTGGAGAAGACGTTTACATGATATATGTAGTAGTAAATATTTTGATTTAATTATCGCCGCTGTTATTGGTTTAAATGTTGTGACAATGTCATTAGAATTCTATTTAATGCCACAAGTGAGATTTCGTTGAGCTTTTATTGGATGAAATCTTTCGTTTTGTTTTCTAGGAAATCGATACGGCGTTAGATTATTGTAATTTCGTGTTTACTAGTGTTTTTATACTGGAATCCATCTCGAAAATCATCGCTTTAGGACCATTGCGTTATTTCAAAGAGAAGTAAGACGAGAAGAAGTTTTCAGAAGAAGTTTTATGAGATTTGATCGTAGATGGAATCAGTTGGACACAGTCATCGTTGTTCTGTCAATAGCGGGTATTGTGATGGAGAAAATGAAAAGTGGACAAGTACTTCCAATCAATCCAACACTGATACGTGTGATGAGAGTAATGAGAATTGCGCGAGGTATGGTGGAAGGAAGCGAAAACGTTCAATCAGATTTGCTCATTGATGTTTTAGTGCTTAAATTATTGAAAATGGCGAAAGGCATTCGAGCCTTACTCGATACAGTCATTCAAGCTCTTCCTCAAGTTGGAAATTTGGTAGGTGTAGCATTTTATTGCATTCATTCTGATTTCTATTCATTGAATGCTTAGGGTCTTTTATTTTTCCTTCTTTTCTTCATATTCGCCGCACTCGGCGTGGAATTATTTGGTAAATTAGAATGTAGTGATGAACGTCCGTGTAATGGACTTGATAAACATGCACATTTCAAAGACTTCGGTATGGCATTTTTAACATTGTTTCGTATTGCAACTGGTGATAATTGGAACGGAATTATGAAGGTAGATATTTTCTTAAAGAAAGTCATTTCCGATGTTCAGGTTTCTTCTTTGACGATATAGGATGCACTTCGTCAGGATGACTCACCACATGCTACCAAAAATCATTTTATGACTGCTATAGCTCCAGTTTATTTTGTTATTTTCGTTCTTATGGCTCAATTCGTTCTTGTCAATGTTGTCGTTGCTGTCTTAATGAAGAAGCTTGATGTAAATCACGAAAGTTAGTGATTTCATAGTAAAGACATATTCTTTTCTAGGAATCCAATCGTATGCTGGCCGATGATGCAGAAATCGACGAAGAAATCGAACGGCAGCTAGAAGCGGATGCACAAGATCGAAACTATGCCGAACATCCCTTACTCGATGACAAAGAACTTGATGTAAACGACGATTCATTCTGATCTGTTTAGCTATTCACCATTTTTCTTCTAGTTTCTCAATGAGAATAACATGCACTTTTTTCCATTGACAAAACAATTATCATTACCACCAAATTTCACATTTCATTCGATCGTCGGAGTAACGGACGAAGATGAACAGCAAGGTTTGTTTTAATTCTTGTCACACCACTTTCTATTCTTATATATCTGATCGTGTTTTTTAGGCAAATCTAGATCATTAACGAAAACTTCTTCGTTATCAACAATCACTATTTCAAAATCGAACGATTTCCTCACAAAAATTAGTCTAGCCAACGATGTTCATTCTTCATCAAGCACCCATACGAGCACACTCACATTACATCGCACAAGTCCGACAATTTCTCATCATCGTTCCAATACAGTTCCGACTCGTCTGCGAAGAACGAATGAGAATCAGCAACAGACACATCTCTTCCCAACTTACAAACGAAATCATAATCGACAATCCGCTCGTTCGTCATTACAATACTCGCAGCGTTCTATTCACAATGATACCGATGATAATCAACCTCTATCAAGTGGTATGATCATTAACAGAAAGATACATCAATAACAAGATACTGCTCCGTCCAGCGATCAAACAATGCGACTAATCTTTGACAGACGAATGGTTTCTGTCAGATAAATTCCTCTTGCGAAAGGAATTCATCGAGTTTCTTTCAATTCAGTCCCATCCGTTCGTGTTCCGAATAATGCTGCACCGGTCGATGCATCTCTCTTGTGTGTGCGTGTGTTTTTCATTGTATTTCAGTTGCATATCAAACTTTCTCTTTCTTCATGTTTAAATAGAAAAGAAACTATTTTGCTTATCTCATCATCAGTGATTAGATTCGATAAACTATAAAGCAAAATTCTCATTTCCAATGACATAGAAAATGATTAGTGATTTTCAATTTGTGCTCGAACAGATCAAAAGAAATCGAATCCGAAAGAGCCGACGAGTTTATTCTCTCTGTTTTTTCAAAACACGACAAATAATGATTAATTATTACAAATAAGATGTATTATCTATAGTGGAAGCAGAATACTTAGAACTCTATGAATTAACATGCTACAATTAATAATCTATAGGTATATACAAAAAAAGATACATTATGTACAACGAAAAGCAAAAGAGCATGTTGATTCCGAGTTGATTATGTGAATTCGACGTGACTCTCCCAGAAAGCGATTACAGCTTGCGGATATTTTCGATTGGCAACCTTCGCCGACATCCATTCTGTCTCGGGTTTTCCGGATAATTTAATACGAAAAGATATTCCATTTTGATCATTTCGGACACCTTCGATCTTCTCCACTGGTTCTTCATCGTCATTGATCATTTCGAATGCCTCAAGGTCATGACTATGGTTGTTAACTTCATTTTCTACTGTCGACTTGTTGTTCATGTTGTTATTATTATCACTATCGTTCAATGTGATCGATGGTGACGATGCAGCACTTGGTGTAATGCGAAGACGAAGATTTACTGGTGATTCATTGGCACTATTCTCTTTAACTGGTGAAGATCTATTAACTAGTTCGAAGCCATTGTTCGTTGTTTTGTCATAGTCGCTATTTGTCGATACCTTGACTTCGTGAACGACTTCCCCATTGGCACTTTCGGTCTTTGCTATAAAAAAAAATGACAGTCTATGCATGAAGAGTGTACTTGATGAGCAGAGATTTACATGCTGATCGAAGACGAGTTCTTTCCAGCGATTCACAATTACTCGTCATCAATTCTTCATGGGTCGCAGTAGTCGACGCACTGCTGACATTGTGATCACGAGTTTTTCCGGACTCGTCGTCATTGGCTTTTGATGATTCTCCATCTGAATGATCTTCTTCGTCGCTTGCTTCGACTTTAGCTTTCTTCGATTTTGTCGATCGTTTTCTCGTCTTCGATTCGTTTTTTCCATTTGATTTTCTTTCAGTATTATTCTTCTTGTAATTCTCTTCAAATTCTCGAACGAGATCAGGACAGTTCATATTTGTTTCATTTTCCCACTAAAAGACAAAAACTCAACGTGATAATCACCTTTCTCACATCATACAATTAACCTCCCAATCATCTCGTTAACACATGAATTCATCTGTGACAAATCGATTACCTCCATATACGACTCTCTCGCTGGCCAATCGAGTACTATTGACATTAGTACTTACAGTATTATCAGCATCGGAATAGCCCTTCCATTTGAGAAGATATTGCACTTTTTTTCCTTTTGTACGCTTGTCAATAATTGCCTCGACTTGATACTCATTTTCAGATTCGGACTCTTCACTACTTGAGCCATGTTCCATAGGGCGTTTTTTTGAAGATGTATTCACCATGATCGTCGCGTTCTATATCTAAAATGAACTAGTACAACTACGTATATTGGCAGAAAGAGAAGCAGTAACGGAAGTTATTGCGGGCAGACGGACGTTGAAGAAGAGAAGAACGATGTGAATGAATCGGTCAAACAATGATCGATCTGTCTACTGGGTAGAAAAGAAAAATACAGCGAATCCAATGAATGAGAGAAGGAATAAAACATTCAGTAGCATGGGCGCATATATCTATTCAGCTTTTTTCTCTCTCTCACATCTGAAAGGACGAAAAAGAATAAAAATACAACTGACAGAGGACGCCAGTAAACGTACAAAGGTCAGCCGTTGAAAGAATAGTTGACGTTGGTCGCGTCTATCCTATAGGGAGATAGCATCGACTAGAGTCGTCTTCATTCGATTCTTCATCAGTTTCACTTGGTCAACATCATTAAACGTGTGCTCTTGAAAGCCCACAATTACTTCTAAAATGTCATTGACGGTCACTGCACTGATAACAAATGTGCCACCAACGAGATTTGCAGATTGAGCGAAACCGCCGGAGAGGACTTTCCATGTTGGATCGGTTGTTTCGAATGTCCAACGGAGTAAATTTGAAATTTCCACGCTACTACGATAACCATTTAGAGAGGTCTTTCGGTGTTTAATAAGCATTTCTTTCCAATCGGAGACAAATTTCAATGTGTGAACGAAAGGAATAATTACATTTTCGATTTCTTGAGTAATTTGTTCTTTGATCTGACAAGCTAATGGCCAAAAGAGATCGAATAGATGTTCATCATAAGGAATGTAATGATAACTATGTGCGCCAGAAACAAAGATACCGAGTTGTTCGTTGGAAACCACTGGTTGACAAAAACGTCGCATATTTACTGCAGAACCACAAGAGAATTCCATATTTTTCTTGCCAAACACATCAGTTACGGCTAGAATAAAAGAAGCCAAGAGAGCGGCATGAACTGTCGTTTGTTTCGATCGGCATTTTTTATGCAACGAATCAAGTAAATCACCAGGTATTTGAAATGACACTTGCTGTGTTCGATTCCGCTCATCACCAGTTAATTGAATATTACCAGCCCAAAAAGTCTGTGGAAACAAATATTGCTTGAGAAAACCTGGCAAAATCAGATTTTCCATGATTTTCATAATCAATGAAGACAATGGAGGTAATTTGTATGGTATCAATTCATGCGTCGGTTGATCGTTATCGAGAGAAAAGGCGACAGTAGGTTTTTCTGCTAGACACCGAACAAAACTCGTGAAAAAAGCCATTCCTGATATTCCATCGGCCAGTGCATGACTGAACGTCCAAATCAAATCCACCGTATTCCCATGAGACGGGACGATCAGCACAACACGCCACAAAGGTGAAGTTGAATTAAATGGGAAACCAGTATTACATTCATCAGATACGACGTTTTCTAAGAATTCTCTATCTTCATCGTCATGCGTTCTCTCAAGAATTCTCAGTGGCAATACATCGAAAACATCCATCGGTAGAACGATATAAAAGGGCTCTTTTCGTGCAAGGTCAACTTGAAGACGTAAACGTGGATGGGAGGTGATTGTCGAACGTATAGCTTGTTCGATGCGAGTTTGCCATTGTGAAAGAGAGAAGGATGGCATATGAAATCGGAGATAACAAAGAACACTCTTATAAAATTCCAACTGATGCCGAGCAACGGAATACATTTCCATTGGTGCAACTTTGCGATGATCCATCTAGAATACGAGATGTGTTGAATGTAAACTATGCACGAGCACACGTATCTTTCTTTTTCGGTTAGTTAAAATATACAAGATCAAAATCAGACAGAAGAAAAGAAAAGGGAACGAACTGTTTATTGTTTAACGTTAGCGCTTTCGCCATCATCATCATCGTCGTCGTTGTCGCTTTTTTGCTGTTGAGCTGCGAATAATTTTTGTTGTAAACTTTCTGCAAAACTATCGACATAAGATTTGGATTCGTTTGTTAGAAGTGCTTGAAGAGATTCGTAATAAACTGCTGATGGTTGACTTTTATCATCGAATTGATTGCCAACGATACGATAACCTTTCGGTGATAGTTCAATGCAAAATTCTTTGTTCTTGTTGGACTTTATATTGATGTAAGCTGTTGTAATATCGGAAGGATCATTCAAACGCTTTGATAATTCTTTAACAGCAACGATGCCAGCGCCAACGTCGTCGATGGCTAGCTGAGCTTCGGCAATGAAATCACCTTGTTCACCTGATGGTTTTTGACTCATTGAATCGGATCTGAAGTAGAAAGATAAAAATTCTTTCATAAGAGGTTAGGTAGTCAAACACTATCTTATCTAATTTTATGAAAAAGAAACAAGAACTTTGCGGATCAATATTCAACTCGTCTCGTCGATCTTTCAAGAATTGGTCTAATCAAGTGGATGCAGTCTCACAAATGCACTGCAGATTGTTAGAGAATAAAAGAGAGAAATATATACTGATTAGAATAAGAATATTACTCATTGCTCATGTTCTAAAGCTAAAAGCCACACTGCACTACGCTCTCGAAATGACTCTTCTCTCGCTCTTTCATCACGATTTCTTCCGTGAATACATTCATAGAAATCCAATCAAAGCAATGTCACTATGATGATCTGTGATAGGGATGTCTTCCGAACAAATATCAACATTTATGACTTTTTCAAAGGAAAATCCATTTCCTGTCTTTTATTCTTAGTTTATTCGCGTACAAATTATAGATGTCACCTCTCTACCGCATTCAATTTCACAAAAACTATGTAGATATTCCAGGTGCTGTGTTATCTGTCTTCTATGATATTTTCAACTTTTGAAGAGAACAATCCTTTAGAGTCAGAAAAGATCAGCACAACCTTTAAGATTCTCCTATAAGAATATGTTCTTATGCACGACTGCTTATTCTTGAGTGATCTGTAAGTGAAAGCCACAATAATGCTGATGAACCTATATGACTATTCGAAAGTATTACTATCTCATAGAAGTTGTCAGCAAGCACCACTTTCTTGTGACTTGACATCTCTCTCCCTCTCTGTACATTCATTCTGTTACAGAACTATCAAGTGCACGAAATAAAAAACTCTTCTGGTATGCTTTCAACGGTGTGTATATCTGCCGGAGATCATACAAATTCATAAAATGCAGCAATTGACAATTTCAGCCAATCGCACTCGATGATGCTTAATGACCTCTAAGAGTAGAATTGTAATGGAAGAGGCTGTTGCTAGAAGACGAAGGGTGTCGATGAACTATATTTTTTTCTCTTCTGTAAACATAAAAATTTTATTCTGTTGTAGATCACTGTTATGGTAAGTTTGCTTTCAACTCTAATTACCAGCCGAGACAACGAGAAAGTTTCTTATTAACAATCAATGTCTTTTAGGCTCCAAAGAAGAAAGGCGGCAAGAAGAAAAAGGGAAAGAAGGCATCGAAAGGACCAACCATCATCGATGGCCGTCCCGTCTCTGAGGTAGATCAATGGTTTATTTCTATATCTTTTTCACACCGATTTTGTTTTATGTAAATCTGCAGATGACCAAGGAGGAATTAGAAGACCACTTGGGTCGTATTCGTGAAGAACTTGATCATGAACGTGAAGAGCGAAATTATTTTCAATTGGAGCGTGATCGTATCAGTACATTTTGGGAAATCACCAAGCGGCAACTCGAAGAGAAAAAGGCGGAATTGAGAAACAAAGACCGAGAATTAGAAGATGCGGAAGAACAGCATCAAGCTGAAATCAAAGTCAGATGACTTGATCAAAACTTTCCAATGCATCATTCTCATTTTCAGGTTTACAAACAAAAAGTCAAACATTTGCTCTACGAACAACAGAATAACATTGCGGAGTTGAAAGCTGAAACACTCGCTGAATTGAAAGTCGCACAAGAGACACATAATGAAACGGAAAACACCACATGGAAGGAAAAACGTGAACTCAAAGTTCAGATGAAAGATCAAGAACTGGCTCAACAGGAAGTCGTTCGCAATTTGAAAAAGGTTTGTTTAATCGATCAGATTCTTTCGCTTGACACATAATATTCTTCTCTTTACTAGACAAATGAAACGTACATATCCAAATTACGTGACGACTTTCTACGACAAGCTCGCGAAATCGAAGAAAAATACGAGAAGAAACTACGCGATCTCCGTGAGGAAATGGAATTACGTCGTAAAACCGAAATCCATGAAATCGAAGAACGAAAAAATCAACAAATCAACGATCTCTTACGTAATCATGAAAAAGCCTTCAGCGATATTAAGAATTATTACAATGATATTACAACGAACAATCTGAGTCTTATCAATACATTGAAAGTAAGATTTCCTCTCTAGTTGACTTTTGTTTGGATAAGATTTTCTTGTTTAGACTGAAATCGAAAACAAGAAGAAAGATGAAGAACGTCTACAGAAACGAATGAATGAATTGGAAAGCGAAAATCGCAAGATGCGTGAGCCATTGGAAGCCGCACAAAAAGAAATGGAAATTCTCAGACACAAAGCGGATAATTTCGAGAAAATGAGAAATCTACAAGAGGTACGGAATAGTTTCGATGACTATTTTTCTTCGTATAACGAACTTGTTGATGTAGAGCACGAAGAAATTGTTGAAAAATACCGAAGGCGAATTGAAAAACTCACAATGGGAGTATGAAGTTTTGTTGCAACGATTTGAAATCGTAAGTTCGAGTGTTGTAAACTCTACTTCCGTTGACAACAAAGGATTTTCTTTCAGATTCAAAAAGAACGCGACGATCTTTACAATAAATTTGTTAAAGCTATCAATGAAGTTCAACAGAAGAGCAGTCTGAAGAATTTGTTATTAGAAAAGAAACTAAGCACATTGGCAGATAGTTTGGAAAAGAAAGAAGCACAATTGAACGAAGTCCTCTCGGCGTCCAATCTTGATCCAGCTTCACTTTCGGTTGTGACAAGAAAACTCGAGGTCAGTTTCATTCTTTCTCCGAAATTTGCTTTCTAATCGACGTTTGTTTCTAGGAAGTACTCGACGCCAAGAATACATCGGTAAGAAACTACGGATTTAGTCACTTATCTATTTCTTTGTTTAGATTCGTGATCTACAATACGAATTAGCACGTGTTTGCAAAGCTCATAATGATATTCTTCGAACTTACGAAGCCAAACTACGTCAATTTGGTATTCCTGTTGAAGAAATTGGCTTCAAACCATTGGAAAGTGCTGTCGCTGGTCAACAACTAGGCCGTGGTGTTGCCGGTCTTGTCACCAGTCCACCTTAAACAACGGACATGCTCTCATTTCGCTGTCTTGTGTAAAGTCTATTTTTTCTTCTTGCCTGAAAGTCCATTGCTTATTCGGCTTACATGAAACTTTGTTTTTTATTTTTTATTCGAATAATAATCTATAGAACTGAAGCACATTATTTGGGTTAAAGTTCAACAAAATAAACAATACAAAATCGACGTACAACAAATGAGGAGTGTTCATAGTGAGGTTTTTTCCATCTGACTAGCCGGTTGTTGATCGTCCGTTTTATTTTCGTCGAGTAGTTCTTTAATTAACGCTTTTTCAGGTTTATCTTCTTTCGCACCATTCTCTTCGGCTTTCCGTTGAGCTTTCTTCGGTAGAAATTTTCGGCAAAAAGTAAATCGTTTCATCAACGATCGAGTCACAACCAAGACTAAGAATGGGATTGGTGTTGCCATTGAGACAAGAATCGGGTTAGCCAGAGCGACATCGGCTTCCGGTTGAGGAAATGTCAAGCGAAGGAAAAAGATTGCAACAGCCGTATTTTGAATACCTGTTTCAATACAAATTGCAATTGTTTTTTTCTTATCCCGAACTCCAATTAATGATACAATTGCCCCTCCAATAAAGCCAAGCCAGGGGAGAAAACAACAAGCAACAATGGATTTGAAATCGATGATGTAGAAGATATACATATTGATATAAACTAAAACGGAAAATGATGGAATAAAGGAACCTGTGAAGAAAATCCAATGTACCTCCAAATGTTAGAATGAAGACGAGATAACCTGAAAATAAAAGAGTCATTTGAGGATTTCCTTTTGATTGGAGAGAGAAGTTGAAACTTACCAACGGCAATCGGATTGAGGAAACGAGCGATTCGATGTGCTAATACTGGTCGATATCGACGCAGTAACAATCCAGTCATAGCTGGAAGAAACAAGGTTATCATCGACAAAAACATACTCCACCAGGGAAATTTTGCTTTAGAAAAATCGACATAAGTCTTCCCGAGAGACCAAATCCAAAGAGGAAATGTACCAAATGCTACTGTTGTAGATATAAATGTTAGACACACTGAAAGGTCAACATCTCCAGCGAGCAATGCGGTATAAATGTTAGATGAGCCACCACCAGGTGTACTCGCTGTTGATAACAAACCTAAGCTTGTCGGATCGTCTAATCGAAAAATTTTCGATATTGCCACGGATAGTAATGGTAAATATACAATTTGACAGAAGAGTCCAATAATCAATGGAATCGGCCGTTTGAAATTATTTTTCAACTGTTCGATTTCCAATCCACAACCGATGCATAATGTGCCGCCAGTAACAAGCATAACTACCACACCAGTGAATAAAGCATCAATGATGGATTGATGTCGCTTTATTGCAATATTAATTGTATGATTAAGAACATAAAATCCATCTTTATATTGAAGTTTTGGGCAATTTCGAAGAATTTCTGTCCGATCCGGAGAGGAGTGTGCGCAAAGAACCTGTTCATTGGTGACGTTTGGCGATAAAACACGACCAGATCTATTCAGATAACAGTTTGATTCATCAGACAAGAAATCTTTCTTACTTAAACTTATTAGTATTTTCAAAATACAGATGCACTGTCAATGGTGCGAAGCCAATCAGACGGGCCAGTGCAGTGATGTTGATTCGATTCAGCTCAATAAAATAAGTAACATTGAGAATACTCAATCTTTTCAATAGTGGATTTGTTATTGATACATTCTGTACGATGAGTGCCGATGGACAAAACTTCAGCTGCCCTGTAGCATTAAAAATGTCACGTTCGTGCACACGACGAATGACTTCATGGTCATCGACATCGTCAAACTGAATGTCGCACGACTGAGAGGAAGAAAATTGTAAGGCGAAGAAAATCAACGAAATAATAATGAACTTCGTCATTTATCCTAAACCATCTAGAAAGAAAAAGCCCGAATAAGTAACAAATCTTTTTTTTTATTAATTAACAGAAAGAAAGAAACTATTGTTCATTATCACTATTAGGTAATTGTTCATAATGTGCCTGATTGCGTTCTTCATTGATGGTTGTTACTAGATCATGTCGTTTTTGATAACGTCGATAAATACTTAAGCATGTATAAATAATCAGAAGTGGAATAGGGATTGCAATAGCAACCTGAAAGAAATGTCAATGAGAAGATGGATAAACGAACACGAAATGTTACGTACAAAAATTGGCACAACAATAGCGAGATCACTGTCAGGTTGAGGAAGAGATAGACGAAGAAAAAAAATGGCCACGCCTGTGTTTTGTAAACCTAACGGAAGAGAAACGTTATTTAGCTAAAGGCGAGATATAATGACGTACCACTTTCGATAAATATGGCAATGAGACGTTCTCTATTTTGTCGAGTGATGAGTGATAAGAGAAATCCAATAAGAAAACCATTGTATGGTAAAATCGCACTGACGATTACAGTTCGAAAATTGATCAATTTGAATACGTAGAGATTAGTATAAATACCGAAGGTTAAGATATATAAAATAAAGAATAATGTGATAAATCGAAGAAATCGAGTGAAGCGATCGGCAATTCCAGGCTTTTGCCAACGAAGTAACAGACCAATACCTTCCAATTCAATTCAATTAGCTATTTTTTCTCAATTCTCTCTTACCAGCTGGCACAATTAAGCAAATCAATGTTGCAAACATATTTTCCCACCTAGAACATTCTCGCAAACATCTTCTATCCAAGTCATTCCACAAAATACTTACGGAAAGTGTACATTGTGCGTATCGATAAATTCTCGACCTAATAGAAGGATCCACAAAGGAAATGTACCTTCAAAATGACAAAATGATAACATTCAAATCGTTCAAAACAAACCGATATACTAACCAAATGCAAGTATTGTACTACCGAATGTCATCGAAGCCGAAAGATCAACATCGCCACCATACATTGCTGTATACATATTCGATGCACCACCACCTGGTGCTGAACCAGTTGATAACAATCCAATCGCTGTTGATGAATCAAGTTTCGCCAACTTAGCCAAGCCATAAGCCAACTAAAACAATCGCGATTCATTGAGGAGCACAAATACATTCGAAAACTTTTTCAACTTACTAACGGTAAACATACAAATTGACTTGACAAACCAATAAGTATGGGAACAGGCCGACGTATATTTGCATATAAATTCTGTGTTTTCAGTCGGCAACCAATTAGGAACGTTCCGATACAAACCAAGATAATCACAACAACAGTAAAGATTGTATCAAGTACTGTACTTTTTCGTTTCACGGCAAAGTCAATACTGAGGTTGTTTGTGTAATTAAATGCATATTTCGATTGATTGAGATACTCAGCATGTAAATATATACGACTGTAACCGAGAAGAGTACCATGAACAGTTAAATTGAATGTCAAATTTTGAAATATTGGATCGAATGAAAGAAGATTTAATGGAAGAGTATTTTGAATTTCAATTGAACGTGTATTATCAATTGATATTGACACATTTGCATATGTTAGATTATCTGTGATGTTACAATTAATCGCAAAAAAGATGAATACATTTTCAGTGGTATCATTGATAAAGAACACTGCTGGTTTGGGTGACGTGTGTGTTTGGTTAAGACAAGTTAAAGAGCATGGTAACAATGCTGGAGACGATGTATCAGAAAAGATAGAGACGAAAAATATTGTTAAAATCGTCAGTTGAAGCCACATAATAGAATTTGAATTTTAAGATGATGAGACAAAAAAAAGTTGTTTAGTTTACCGTCGGTCATCCATCTACAATAGAAATATATCTAGTCTCGAAACTTTCTCAGATAACTCCAATCATATATCTAAGGGAACAGATGGCACTAGCTGTTTATCTTAAATCAGATGGAAACTTTTCCAACGTTATACTTCAACAGCTATGACATTTCGGTAAATATGAATACTCTCTACAAACCTACCAAGGTACCTTTGAAAGATATGGTAAGTACTTCTTACGATCGTGTGTATCTGCATTCTTTTATCAGGATTTTCCTAATTTTTTTTTATTAAATTTCATCACATACAATAAGTACAAATAGATGAAAATAAAAATTTCAATTCTTTATCTTTATATTTTGCAAAATGAGTATAATTTTCATCATTGACATCAATTACTGTTATTGTCCGATCGCATAATGAACACGTTTGAGCATTTTCCAGTGCTAATGGTAATAACGTTCGGCAACATCGTGGCCAAATGTGTTTATTCACACAGGCACATGATGTCAGATCATTATTCGCCAATGTTAATGTCGAATTACACAAAGGACATCGTAATAAATCTAATGAATCGTCTTTACAACAAAGATTGTAAATCGATGCTTCAATCGAAGAAAGTTTCGAAACTGTTTTCGAGAAATGTAAAGTGAAAATCTGTGCTAATTGATGTCGATAATTTTGTAACAATTGATTCTCGAGTATTTGTAACTGTTTGGTATTGTTGAGTAGATTATTCAAACGACATAATCGTTGAAGTGAAAGAAAATTGTCGTTTGTACTCTTTTTCTGTTGATAATGATGCGTCGTACCACGAGTAACTTCATTTAAAATCACAGCTAATTCATCTGACGATTTCCATAGTGGTGTATCGATTCTTGCTAAGAAATTTTCGATAATGTCATCGAAGGTTAACGTTGATGACCAGCGATGTAATGTACAGATTACGAAACCAAATTTGACATTCGGCGAAACAATAGGTGAGTAAAAGACTCGCGCGAGGAGTAAATTATTCGATGATAGATGAAAATGACGAAGGAGTAATGGTTTACGTGAACAGGATTTGATTTGGCCAGTAGCCATTGGCTTCAAATCTCGAATAATTGGAGGTGTTTGACGAGAGATAGTCACAGAATGTATCGAACCATCTTCGCAACCGATTAGTAGAGAAGAATGTTGATGATGAAAACCAACAATCGATGACGGAAGAACACGATGATCGATTTGAGCGCATTCATACGACTAAAAATTAATGTGAGTAATGAAAAGTAAGGATAATCTCATTACCTGATTAGTTTTGAGTGAGATTTCATAACTGATGCAATAATTCATTTTACTTTCAATTAATAATAAAGATTTATCATTTATTCCTATTAGTTCCGCAAGTTCAGCATTCATATAATCATTCTCTTTAATAGTTATATCGAATACTTTCATTTGGTCAATTCGAATCAATTTCCGTTGATTCTCTTTGCCAATAACGAGTAAAATCTGACATTGATCATTCCATGTCATCGCTAGTGGTTTGCAAATGTTTGTATCAATAATCGATAGAATTTCTTTTTCCAATCGATCAAATTTCCAAATAATCACATGACCTGAGTATTGCAATTGAAATAATAACGTACCATTCTGATTCCAAAGGATACTCGTCGTAAGATGGAAGTAAAGTAGTCGATAATCTTGTTCTTTATCAGAGTCGTGTAGATATTTGTCGAGTTGCACACGTTCACAAAGGTATTTAGTTAAGTCAAATTTCAAATTCGATGATTGGGAAAGAAAGAAGCGTCTCGACGAGGAAATGATTTCATAAATGAACACTTCATGAGCACAAGTTATGCACGCTAAGATGCTCTGACCCTGATTGAATATGATATCACATGGAGAAAACGAACATCGTCGAAAGCCTTTGTATTGCACTATATCTGAACAGAGTAATCGATCGAACGATGATAATGATGTTGGTCGACGTTTGTAAGCTTCATATAGACGAGTTAGGTGTTGAGTTTTGATTTTCTGGAAGAAAATATACGAAGAAGAATTGATCGAAATAGAATTAGTTTGATCTGTCGATTGAAATGGATATGCTATCCGAGAGATAAGCATCGAAGACGAAGAAGATGATAGATTTTGTGAAGATGATGATCGTCGTTGATACGTTTGAGGTGCACAAATGATGATTCCCTCAGATGTACAATAGGCTACTTCACAAATGGATGAAATACTTGAAGAAAGTTTATCGTAGATATGAACTTGTTCATGAGAATACGAACTGAACAGTTCTAAATCAGCTGGAAAAGTACTGGGCAATGTGTTTGATGGAATGGATGAAGATATTGATTTATTTCTATTCGGTTTTTTCATTTTCTAAAAGAAATCAAATCAAACGCGACTTTGATTAGTTGAAAATAAAGAAGATCTGTGTGATATTTATTCCATTCATGAAACATCCTACAAATAGCAATACAGCTGAAGAAAAACAAAAAGCGACAAAATAAAAAAATTCCAAAGATGATGTTTTCTGTTCGAAAGATTCAAGAGGAGGAATACAGTTCTAGTTATTCTTTAGGAATACTACTACGGCTAATACGACTGAGCAACTGTTAATCGATTCAAAAAGGAAAATTCGACAAAGAAACGATGATCAAAAGTTAAATGAATATGATCATTGGTTTTCTTTTTTGATATAACCAAAGTTTTTCTTCAATTGCTCGAGGAAGATAAACATTAAAATTGTGTGTGGACCTATAGAAAAAAACTTGATGAATTTTCTATTCAAACATAGAAACGAACAAATTCTTACCTAAACGGATAAATGCTGGAATGAACCCTTTGAATAGTCCGCTAGGGCCAACTTTCATGATATCTTTTAAGCAATCGAAAACTGAATTATAAGTTCCAGGTGGGGCATTCATCAAACGAGTTTTCATCACATCCAATGGCATTGTCAATAACGTGGCACCGGCACCTGAAAAAGCAAACAAAAACATGCTTTTTATGCTTGTGATGGTACTAAACGAATGTACCGGCAAGAAAACTTGAGCTAAAATGAGTTACGATATCGTCTTTGAAATAACCGCTAGCTAATAGAAGTTGTTTGGCTTGTTCGTAGAACGCAATTTGACCCACAGTGACAAAAGCTCCACGAACAACAGCCATTGATGCTCCTGAATAGACGAGAAGAACATAGCTTAGGAGAATATTGAAGATTAGTTTACCATTGAGCAGTTCTTTAGGACCTTCCTCGCGACAGATTCGAACGATACCATCGATAGCGTGTTTGTAATTTCGACGGTTCTCTTTCGGTAATTTGCAGTCATTTTGCATACGAACATTGACAAGATCAGCCGGTGCACCTAAATAGATTCGACAACGACAAGTGATCTTCTGTCAATTGAACGTGAAACTTTTCAACAAACCAACGAATGCACCAACCGCACCGGAACCAGCAGCAAGACTAATTTTTTCTACAAAACTCAAATTGGAATCTGTTCTCATCGATTTTACAGCACCATATATTGCAAAACGTGTCGTAGTATATGTCGCTTGACGTAAGCATGATGCCGACAAGCCATTATAAAGTGCTAAGAAGCCATCATCACGTATGACTTTAACTGCCATAGCTAAAAAAACAGAAACTTTCAAGATGCTTGAAAGTTAGAAAGCTATTCCATACAGATGAGTCCATAGTCAGCACGTTGTTGAGTTTGTAGTTGAACTTTAAGTGTATCAAGTGGATGTGTACAACATGCAGCTAGTACACCAGCTAAACCACCGAAATACCATCGTTCTTGACGAACTGGTTCTTTTTTAGTTATTTTTGAGACTTCTTTTTTCTCCATTGCCAAGGATTCAAATAGTACAAAGTAACATCGGTAGTCTCAGTACATTTTTTTCGATTAACTGGGGTCATCATCATGTTATACTTGCATCGATTGTAATGCCACTATGGATTATTGATTTAATTGGTTGGTCGATCGAATTAACCTATAGCAATCGTTTTTCAAACATTCATTTCCTTCTCTTCCTTCTTCACGTTCTTTTCTACAATAATGTTACCAACGACTAACGTGTAAATTACTCAAACGTTTATTTAAACATTCGAATGACTGAGTTTTTTTTTGCACATTACATCATCGAAAGACAAAAAACCTTTTTCTCTTGATCTTGTTCAATATAAAAATAGCGTCTATGCTGACAGCTGATGAGATCTTACGCTAAAATTCAAAATGGTTTTCTCTCTCTAAACTGCATCTTATTTTCTAGCTCACAGACAATGTGGGATGAAAAAGGAAATTCATGAAAGTTTTTTTTTATTATTTAAAGATTAATTAATATCATCGTTTGTTCACACATTTTTTTCTCATATTCCACCGGCATTGACTCCTTTTTTCTTCTTCTAGACGACGTGTCGCGTATTCTTTGTCCTCTTTGGTAATGTCTACGGAATCTGCCATGATGCCATCTCGAACAACATCTGAACCAAATGAAGATTCTGTTGAACTCGGAGACAATAACACAACAAGAACGCGTACGAACGAAACCGGATGGATCAGACTGTTCGTTCATTGTGATCAAATGTTTGGTGGAGGTTTGCTTCATATATGTTATCGAGTATTTGATGTTATTCTTCTCTTGATTGGACTCAACCAAGGTGATCAGACATGTCACATATCAAATAATCTCACATCGACAACATTAACATTATTAGTATTTTATTTAATCGATTTTGGTATTATTTTTCTAAACTTCTTTCGTTGTATTCTACCGAGTCATCATCGCTTAACTGAAGAAGAAAAATCTGAACAATCACGACGTGTCTCATCATTACGCAGCCTTTTTCTCGTTTTTAAACTAATACCTGTTCTCTTCGGTATCGGGCACATCGTTATTTCAAATATTCCGCAAGATATCGAATGTCAAACAATGAGATTTTGTGTAGGGATGGTTTGTTTCAGTACCATTCTACTTATGATTATGCCGCCGACTAAACCAGTTCTACCTCAACGGCGTTCATGTCGTCTTGAATGCTTCATTATATCCTTTGTTCTATTTGTTAATGGAATGTATTTTCTTTCCGTAAGTTTAGCAATGAGAAATGTCGAGCAAAGCACGTGTATTTATGGAAATGCATCGAGTTTATATACAGGCGCACCGTTGAAAACCTATGGATCAATTGGTTTGATTATATTCAGTTGTACAACAGCTATACACATCATCAATGGTCTCATTAGTCAATTATGTAATCGATTAACTAGTGGACGTCGAATTTATTCATATTATTATGCTTTTCAATATTTTCTAACTTATTTTGCTTCGTTCGTTATTATTTATTATCTTGCGGCTGGAGCTTTGTTTTTATTTCATCCACGCTCGGGCCAACCTTGCCGCCTTGATGCGCCGGCACTATATCGAGTTCTGCTAATATGGGAATGGATACGAGTGTTGACGCCATTGGTAGCTGTACCATTATTTTTAATTCTTTGCTGTGTCGGAGTGTTCTTCGGATTTGTTTTAAGTTATTGTTTGCCAGCGTCGGTAACTGTTCCACTTCTCGAAGTTATACGAGTAAGAAATGAATGAAGGCATCGAATTTTGAGACATTCGATTTATTTAGAATTGGTTATCGTCTGCTCCTGTGCATATTCCTCGAGATCCACCAGCGACTCAAGCAGGTATTGATGCCATCCCCGTGGTGTTATTTAGTAAAGAACCTGATCCGTACAATCAAACTGAATGGTATATACGTATTTAGTTTTGTTCAAATCGAATCTTTTGTGTTTGTGTTTAGTGCAATATGTCAAACGAGCTTTAAAATCGATGAACACGTTAAAAAACTTCAATGTGGACATTTCTTTCATTCAGAATGTGTTCGCACTTGGTTATCTATTACAGGTATTTGTCCTGTTTGCCGACATCGGACGTGATCAGTACGTTAATGCAAGATTTTTCTCAATTAAACCTATAGACAGATATTATTTTTGATCTCCAGTCGATAAGAAATGTATCGCGTTTTCCTCTTTATATATTTACACAGATATGAATATTAATCTTTAATCTCTTATACATATATATATATATTTATTTATTTCCAATTTGTATGAAAGAATTTTTTTTCATAGCATTCTTTGATGTAGAAGATGAGTGATCAGCACCGATTGTTTATGAACAGGTTTTTTGTTTGTCAAAACAGATTTTAATTCAATAAATTTGCACTATTCTTCATTGATATCAACTTGAAAATTTATTACGCGTATTTCTAATGATAACCTTATGGAAATTCTATGAGGACTTACAAATGTCACTGATCAACTTCAGGGTATGTGTCATGTCTTTTTTTGAAGACTTAAGCAGATCGAAGAGAAATAAGGTCTTCTCTTGTACTCCTTTATTCGTGGGGAAATTTATTTACGTACAACATTGATCAAAATAGAAGTGTTGTTACTAATGGAAAAAATCCACATTGATTCAATTTTCATGCCGGAATTGGTCAGAGTTGATTATAAAAGATAAAAAATGCGAGAGGCCTATCGTTAATCCAGAATTGCATATTGCTCGATTCATAAAAACTGTTCGAAAGAAAACTAGTTGAAGTATGTCAGGCTGTACACATATCTATGACGCTTGTCCACCAAGTCTTAGCCAACTGATCAGAGTAGTGCGAGATATTTCATTTCTTAATTTTTTTCGAAGAGAGAAACTTTTAGAATTGAATCAGTGTTTGAAAGCCTAACTGTTAAAGTCGTATTAGATCAGTCTATTCGAAGATTCTGAATAAGAAACATACTGTCAAACAGAGAACGATATTCACCGCTAAATGATTCCCTTATTAGAGAGCCTTCAAGGGCTATTCATAAGTTAAAATTTTCCTCTCAGTTCTACCCAAACACAAATAAAAGTTTCTTAAATCAATGGAATCTATCAGAATATCATTTCATCCTATTTCGTATATGGATGCGTTACTCAATGAAACCCTTACACCCTCACCCACGAATTTCGATTACATACATACATTTCTGTTCAAGTATGTTATTTAGAATTATTCAACTTGCTTTTTCTTGTGTCGAAATTAACAATTGTTCCTTTTATTCAAGTACTATGAAACGAATTCTGTGATTGTCAACGATATGTCAGAAGTCAAGAAAACGCTTCGAACTGACTACTAAACAAAACTATAAACGAGATATAAATCGACAAGATCCACAACAGTGTGAACGACGGTATTCATATTTTTTCATCTTGTCAATCCTACCATATCCCATAAAAGATTTGTATTGTTTGGATTTAACTCGGGTAGTTTTTCTACAATTAATCGATTGAACTTTTCGATTCGTTGATTGTTCTCTCCAAGATTTGTTAAATATAAAACAAGAACTTTTCGTTCCTCATCATCAATGCGAAATACCTGATGAGTAAAACCGCATGAATTTCCTGTATGTAAATGAATTTTACCATTAGAATCGGTCAAAAACCAACCAAGATCGTAATAATATGTTTCCAATGGTGCTTCATCGATTCGAAATGGTTTCGCTGATAAAATTGGATAGTGGTAGTACCATTGAAGATAATCCGTCAAAGACATATAAATACCACCATCTCCTCTAGTTGCACTTGTTGTACTTTGATCGCACAGGTCGTATTTTTCTTCATTTCTTTGTTCAATATAACCTAGAGCTCGATTGATGATCACAGTTCGATCGAAATCATAGAGAATGCTTGCGTTCATATGAAATGGTTGGAAGATATTCTCGTCGAAGTATTGATTCAATGATTGTTCAGAAACAGTCTCGATGATTAAACCTAATAGAATATAGCCGGTGTTGCTGTAGCGATAATGCGTACCCGGTATGAAATATGTTTCATCGGTGAGGACATTTAGAACATCGAAATCAGACCATTGTGAATGATCATTCGAATCATATGTTTCATAATCACGTATTCCTGACGAATGTTCTAATAAATGTTGAACTTTGACATCTCTACTAAGATACGGACACTTTCGTTGAAATTCCATCGAGAAAAATCGCCCGAGCGCGTCATTTCTTGATAGTCTGTTTTGTTGTTCGAGTAACATAATGCCATAGGCAGTGAACTGTTTTGTTAATGATGCCAGACGAAAGTTAGTTTCAGGTGTAATTTGTTCCTCTTTATCAAGATTTGCCAAACCCAAACAACGTTGGTAAACTATCTGATCGTTAATTACTATCAGTATCGCTACTCCTGGTCCGCTCGAATGATAATCTTCGTTGACTAAATTATCCAACAAACGAACACTTTGCTCGTCCATTGTGATGTGATTTTATTCTTTTGGAGCGATGTTAATATTATCTATTTTGCGACAAGCACATGCGCACACAATCTTTATTTTGATAAAGAAGATAAAAGCCTGCAATCGAGAAAAATGTGTTGAAATCTTTGTGTGAGACACAGCTTTTATTTATTAAAGTGATTATCGTTCGAAAACATGTCGATCTGCCGGTGGTAAAACGGCTGGATTGAAAAATCGTCGATAATTTGTTTTCTCTAACTGATCGATTTGATTCATTTCTTCATTTGTTAATTCAAAATCAAAAACTTGACTGTTCTCATGCAGACGTTCCGATGTGACAGTTTTCGGTATAACGGTCAAACCGTGTTGAAGGTGCCACCGGAGAATGATCTGTGCTGCTGTTTTTTCTTTCGTCTTAGCAATTTTTTGGATGATCGGATTGTACAACGGAGAAACTTCTTCGTCGGGTTCATTGGGTCGTTTGAGATTTGCTAACGGACTGTAACTTGTAACAATGATGTTCTGTTTAGCGCAATAATCACGCAAGACTTGCTGATTCAAATATGGATGCAGTTCAATTTGATTAACAACAGGCTTAATACGGGCAATTTGAAGAATTTCGTCGATTTCTGATGGTTTAAAATTTGACAAACCAATCGAACGAACCAATTTCGCATCAACTAATTTCTCCATAGCTCTCCATGTATCAGCAAGAGTGACGCCTTCTGCATAGTAACGAACAGTTTTATCTTCATTTTGCGACCATACGTTTTCTTCCATTCGTTTGAACGCAATAGGCCAATGAATAAGATAAAGATCGACATAGTCCAGGCGAAGTTTTTGTAAACTATCATGTATCGCCCATTCAACATCTTCCGGTACATGATGCTCAAAGAAAATAAGGCAAATTCAGTTTGAAGTGATGTAAACGATCTTTACTTGATTCCATAATTTTGTTGTTATAAATAAATCTTCGCGTTTAATTTTACCTTGACTTTGTTCAATAGCTTCATGGATACCATTTCCGACTTCCGTTTCATTCTTATACAACCATGCACCGTCGATATGTCGATAACCGTGGTCTAAGATCGCTTCCTTGACTATATTTTGAACTTTACCCGGTTCGCTTCTCCACGTACCAAGACCTTCAGTAAACGAACATGAATTCGATACCGATTTATCTAAAATCCTAATCCTACCTAATCGTGGAATGGTATGATGATCAGAAAGTGTCAAACGCGATTCAATGGTCCAGGATTCTTTTGCCATATTGGCAATGAAAATAAACTCAAAACTGACGTTTTTCTTTTCTTTTTCTCTTTGCTTACACGTCGCTGTGTTTGATTTCACCTTTAATATACGAATGAATGCTTCTCGTTTTCTTTTTAACAATGACTGGTCGATATGTCAATGAAGAATGCAATCTGTCATCCATTGCATTTTATCAAACAAAAATTTCTTCATCTAATCATTTCTTTTTCTTTGGCTATTGAAAATCTATGGCAACATATGTTGATATTCGGTTCTAGCGTCATCTGTCTAACAATGGTGCAACAGTAACTTCAATAATGCCAAAGCACTCAACATCACTTCCACTAAACATATGAAAGCTAGCCGTCTGAACGACTACAGATCATTTAATGATTGATTTTGTAAAGAAAAATTATCTAATCACAGCAAATCATCGTCCGAATCGGTATCACTCGACGAAAAGTTGGTGTTTGTCGCTTCATCATACATTCCTGAGAAAATATCCGATGCAAACGACGTTGTATCATGTTTCGGGGGTCGTACAGCAGTTGTTACAGGTGTGTATGATGATGTCGTCGGTACATTTTGTTGAACGCTTGAATCTACCACCGTTGTTGTATTGATTGTTGGATTTTGTAGATTAGTTTGCTGTTGCTGTTGTTTTTGTAGTGTTTGTTCACTGATTCGACCGAGTAAACCACGTGTCATATCGAGATTTGTTGGAAAAGGACGACGAATATCTCCTTGTTGCCAATTTTCTGGTGCCGTCGTCGAGTAACATATCGCTAGTTGATGTGCATATCGAATAATTGTTTCCGATGGAAAACTCTTCGCCCGACGAATATTATCCAATTTCTCACGCGCTTGATAAACAGCTGACGAAAGAACTTGGACGGCTTGTAATAAATATGTGTGTAAACACCGTAAGGCACGTTCACATTTAAGGATTTCTTCACGTTTTAGTTGCAATTGTCGTTCTAATTCTTCATGCTGTCGAACAACGGCAATTTGTTCAGTTAGCAGATTTTGTCGTTCGATAAACATATCAACTAAAGCTTGGATATCAACATTTGCCGTCCGATTCGTTGTTGAATTGTGCATTTGTACAATCATTTCTCGACATATCGTATCCATTTCTTGTAGAAGTAATTCTAGTTTACGACGAGTTCCTAACATACGATTTTGTACTATTTCTGTCATTGTTGAAACGAAGAATGAATGCTGTCGAATCTAATAACTTGACAGATAGAGAACGACAATACTGACCTCTATGTTTTTGGGTATTTTATGGATTAGTTTGTCATTCTACAAATGATTTATTGAATGAACACGTTTTTATATACAAGAGAAAAAGAGAAGGCGTTCGAACAAGATAAGTATGTTTCTTTCGTTAGTAAAACATTTCGGAATATTTTCGGAACGTGGTGGGTTTTATCGAAGACTTTGATTTGGGATGATCATTTGAATGTTTGGCGAATGATTGAAGAAAACGAGTGAAGGACGAGAATTTCATACGTCGATACGGTGAGATTTTCTTTGATGATTTTTGTTGTTGCTGTTGTTCATTGATTACTGGAACTGATGTTGATCGGTTAATCGAAGAGACTTCAATTGGATGACGAACTTTTTTTTGTCGATGGAAATTCAAAAATTTCTTTTTAGGTTCATGACAGTCGATGATATTCGTTGATGAATTCGATTTAATCAAACAATCGAAAGGAATCTCTGACCGAAATGGATATGGCTCAATATTGGCATCGTTTCCCTTCGTCACGTATTTGTTTGGAACCACGAGAATCGAATCCTCATTGGCTTCAGGTTCTTTTGTTGGAATGTCCATTTCATCGAAGACTAATGCAAATGTAACTGATTTGTTCGAAATTGATCTCGAGAGTGCAGATGGCGGATGAAGAAATACTTGTTGCTTTGCTAATTGTGCATTTGTATTGAGTTTTTTGGAAGAATCGATTTGTTGAGAACGAGAGATTAAGTTTAATATCGACGTATTCAATCGTTTGAGTTTCCCCTGTTGATTTGTTTGATTCAATTGATTGCTAACTGAAGAACATCGAAATGATTTCGGTGAAGTTGTTAACATGTCGCTAAAGGTCATTGTTTGTTACTTGTTTGACGTAAGCGAACTTGAAATGTTGGATTGACATATCTATAGCTGTATATATAAGAGATATACACTAATCTCTAACCTTTGCTAATCTTAATTTTCTGATCAATTAATATTCATAAGAAGAGAGGTAGTTTGTCTAGGGCGTGAGTTCGATAAGTGTGTTTCCGAGAAAGTACGAAGTAAATTAGACGGTGAAAATGTTTAGTTTGAAATAGTCGAACGAGAACTGATGGATTGAGATTAATATTTTTCGTTCTTTGCTTATTATTTATCTAGTGATTAAACACAGTAACAACAAACACGTATGCGATCGATTCGTACACCAAAAGAAAATGTACCCGAGGCTCGTACTGTAATCTCAATTACAAGACTTAACGTTGTTATCACAGTATTGATGATCTAATCGTAGAATTTGTTATTTTGAACGAGTTTTTTTTTCATGACCTTTCGATATTTTTCTTTTTGTAGATATTGAATCACATTTCATTATGTGTCGAGAACGAAAAGTACGTTCTCTATGGAGAAAAAACATCCTCTCTCAAACAAGAACACTTTTTTCATATTTAGATTGATAATAAACAAGTTGATAATACAGCCAATGAACAATATAACCAATTGCTTGCTCAACTTCGTAAGTTGATTCCAGTATTCTATTGAATCTCATGTTCTCCTTCTTCTCGTTAGATGACGAACTCAACGAATTACTATTGACCACTGCACATCTTCAAGCTGAGAGTGCTCGATTGGAGGATGAAGCTCGAAAATTAATCAATGAAAACATTCAGATTCAACTCGAAGCTCGTTTATTGAAAGATAAATATCATTTTCGCAAGCGATATTCTGTATTAATACGAAAGAATCGATTCAATTTTCGACAATTAAAACAACAATTGAAATTACAACGGAAAAATTTTTTCAAATTCGAACGACGTTTACGTGCTAAATATGAACAACCATTACATCGCATTGTATCGACTCCATCTCGAACGAAAAGCCAACGAACCTATCGACGTATACGATCAATGCCATCTGAATCGAATGACTAACTCATCTGTGTAAATATTGTGTATGAAAGCATTTAGTAAATGTTGTACTTAGTTTATGAAATCAAATAAGATAAAATATCTCATCATGAGAATGTATTGACAAATAAAGAAAATACGAACAGATATGAACATCGTTTTGTTTTCCAATAGACCGAAATGGTTGCAAATAGGTAATATGAGTATCACTTGTGGGTGAAATTCATCCAGATATTTTTTCATCAATCGGTATGTACAAAATTTCTACAGTATGCTTTCATCTGAAATTCGCGGGGAGAATAGGAAAGGATCTTGCAACAGTCTATAAGTATGTTAGTAAAATCTATTTATGAATTTTTCGTGAAAACTTATTTTACTTTAATTCATTTGTCTTACTTTGTTTTTTTACACGAGAATATTTCACATATTGATATTCTTTTTTGTTCGGTAAATCTTCATAATATTGATTTGAAAATTCACGAATTTGACAAGAAAAAACAAACGATAGAATTGGGGAAAATTTATTTCTTAGATAATATGTTCACAATTCCTCCTTTTATCTCAACATTTTCCTTTGTTTCGTTATTTCGTCGTCTTTTCACAAGAAAAAATGCAATTAAAAATAACAGAATAAGAATAATTGATAGAGGAATTGCAATTGCTAAGATTATTTTCCAATTTTCATTATCATCTTTTCGTTTTACTGTTGTTGTCATTATGTTTGTTGTTGTCGTGGTTGATAGAGATGAACAATATGAATCAATATTCGCACATTCTTTTGCTAAATCATCAATAATCGATTGATTCGATAAACAAATCGGATAATTTTGTGCAGAAATTCTATTTCTCAAGAGAAATAAAAAACAATTACACGAATGATTTGGATCAAGAAATAAAATTGTATTATTAAACATTTGAAAGATTAATTTCGATAAACAATAATCTTCATTAGTAAATTGAATATTATTTAAAAGAATTTCCAAAGAATATTCACGATTCCAATAGAAAGATGAATTATCATTTGAATTATATAACCACATTTTATCTGTTTTATTTACACCTGAAAGATCGATTTTTCTTAATTGATCTAATTTAGTAAAAACAAACCAATTGATTTCTAATAAATTTCGAGAATTTTTTAATAATAATGTGTCAAGTGTTGATGAAAGACTGAAGAGAAATGAATTTGTTTGTAAAGAAGATATTAAATTTGACGATAAATCCAATTGTTTAATGTTTGTATGATCGAAAACTGATGAATGAATTGATTGAATTTGATTGAAACTTAAATCAAGATATTGAAGATGACGTAAATTTCTAAATGAACTTTCATTTAATTCTTTTATTTCATTTCCAGATAATTGTAAGACTTCTAAATGAGAAAGATTTCCTATTTGATTTATATCATGAAGAAAATTATTTGCTAAATCCAACGCACGTAATTTTCCTTTTAACGGAAATAAAAATGATTGATTTTCATCTCCTAATGTTCGTAATTGATTATTATTTAAATTTAAAACAGTTAAAAAATCTAATTGAACAAATGCATTAGGATCAATTCGTTTGATTGCATTCGATGATAAATCAATTGCGGAAACTAAATTCTTATTTGAAAATAGACTTGAATGAATTTCATGAATTAAATTATCATGAAGATCGATTATCATTAATTGTGACAAGTTAACAAAAGAAGGAAAATGAACTATACTACTTGAAGAGAAATCTAATTTGACTAAATAATCAGATGATAAACTTTCCATAAGAAGATTAAGATTGATTATTGAACCATTATTTATTGAAATTTCTTCCCAATTCAGTATTAATGATTCACTTGAAAGAAACTGAAGTTGTTTAGTATTAAGAATACTGAATTGATTTACAGTTGTATTGTGAAATGCATTTAAATTGAATTCATACGGCGAACTTTGAATATCATCAATGATTATTTCGGAATATTTCATTGGAGTAAATGCGTTATCGGCAAGTTGAAAATTTCTCGGTGAAGTGAATCGAACATAAATTTGTGGATTAACAGTATAATCGAATAATCTGAAGATATGTTCTCGAATTTCATCAATGCCATTTAGAAAATTCAATTCAATGATGTTAAGTTGCGGAAATTTCCATGAAAAATTTGTAAATGTTGAAGACGTTAAATGTGTGAAATTTATAAAATTAAAACTATAATGATCTCGTAATTCAAATGTAAATCTTGACCAATCAATGAACATGTCATCTGTTGGTTGATTTTCAATACAGTTTATTAAATGATTTTCATTTGGACAATAACAAGTCACTGTGAATGTATCAAGACATTTTGTTTGACAATGGATTAGATTTAAAATTGAAATTATTTGTATAAAAATCCAAAAGAATTTCATCTTAAATATTAAATAAATTCAAAAAACTAAGAAATTTTTATATCAGAATCTTCTCCTTCTTGTTATCTATTCACAACGACTCTTATGTTTCTTATCAAACACAAATTTGCTTATGTACCATGACATGCATTTTAAGTACGATGAAGAATATTTGATAGAGATTCTCGAAAATAAAGTCAGTTTTTTTATATAAATATTTCATAATCAAAGATTTTAATGACTAATTTCAATTTATATCATTAAAACAATTCTTAATAAATTTTTATTATATTTTCGTTGATTTTACATTCAATACTTATCCTAATAAAAGATGAGAATGAGATAAGAAAAATATTTTAGTTTTGCTCATCGAAATACTTTCAAAATGTTTCGTAAGTACAAATGAATTCAATTTAAGATATTGAGAGAAAAAATCAATGTTGTGTATAAGTATATATGTATAAATTTGAATTTCATTTATTTTTATATTTTAGAAAATTGAATTTAAAAAAATGAACATACATGTATAACTTGAATTCAACTATCACTTCAGCTACTCGAGTATTAAAGTATTCGACTGAAGGTACTTGGGAAAGTGATGCATACTAAAATAATTGAATACAAGTTTCAAGTTTGACACTACTGTCCTTATTCATCATTTCTCGATACGACTTTCATTTTCTTTCTTTGGTTACTTTGACTCAATCGTCTGAAAAAATGAATAGTCGTCAATATAAATGTACATCGATCACTTTCATTCATATTCCTACCAATCAAAGCGTTGTTTAACAGCGAAAACAAACAATCCTGCCAATCACACGTAAGTTCGTTACTTTTGACACTGAGTAATGTTCTAAGCACAATTATATCTGCGAAGATCTTCGATACACATACACATGTTTGTAAGTATGTGTATTGCCTTTCTTGGATAAGAAGTCATTGACGAACTTAGTTGTTATTCTTTCCAACTTTTTCTTGTCGGTACTCTTCAAGCAAGACTCATTCGAGGAATTGACTAACTTTTTTTTGAAAGAACAACATTCGATTGGGAGTAGAACTCAACTGGTTTTAATTTCACATGGGATCTGATTTAAGACAGTGGTTGTAGTTTATTTAGGTTAATCATTTTAATTATCGCTTATTATCTTAATCAATAAATATGTAAAGTGCAAAAGCAGATTTAAGTCAATGCGAAAACTTCGGATTTTATCCGAAAGCTAAATGTGTTGTAAAAATGTATCACATACAAGACTAAGAAATCGCAGAGAATTATCAAGCTGTTCTATAATTCTGGAGTCAGCCGTTCAATCGATCTCATCTCCGAAATCCAGCGAGATTCTGACGTAACAGTATGCGCTTGGAAATTTCAATAGAATCAAATTGGCTTTTCAGGAGTTATCGAGTAGATCAATGGTAGAGAGCATATTGATTAGTGCTATTAGTGCCCACGCTTTCTCAGTATACTATAACATCAAAATGCTTTTAATCTGTTTCATAGTACTATATTGGTAGCATTTTGACTTTTTCAAAGTGAAGCGCAGATTTTAACAAAAATTAGTGTTCTTAGCGGATTTCTGCGCTTTACAGAATGTGACACATCTAGAATGGCCCTATTAACGTTAATGCGTACAGAGAAGATTTCGATGACTTTCACTCACGTTGTTATAGTCCATCCTCTTGCTGGTCTTCGCACACTCTGTCTACGCTTGTCTAGTCATACGGGAGTAACATGGAATGTTTTGCGCTCCTTCCTATCACGAAATCAATGTTTATCGATTATTATCGCATTGAATTAATTTCGAATTTATCTGTTTTTCTTCTTCCGGTCACAGTTATCCATCAAATATGTGCGTCATGATCAAAAGCGAAAATTGGAGAAGGCAATAGTGATGGCAAGTAATCATTCCCTGGTTTTTCCACAATATAACATTTTTCGTATTTAGTAAACGATCTTCTTTCTTTGGACAATGATTCCGGGAGCAGTATTCTAGCGACATGCGTGCAAGAACCTGTGTTTTATGTGCTGGAACTTGTTAGAAAATGCTAGGAACCCGTAATGGCATCGGAGGATCGTTTATGACGGTTTCTTGTCGGTTGTCGAAAAAGTTTGGTAAAGTTGGCAGCAGAATCTGTACACAGGGATACCACGGAAGCGGCTATTTCCGTATCAGATTGTTCGACAGGGGAAATCAACTGGCTCTGTGTTAGCGATAACAGTTAGTACATAGTTATCGCTAACCTTTTCTCTTTCATGCTCTGTCATCACACGTCTCTCATGTGGTTCAATACCACATGGAGATCCTCTTTTCTTTTCGTTCTTCTCGTTTTCTATATTTCGTTCGCTATGTTCTCTATGGCTCCTGCCGTCTGTCTGACCGCTCTGTGAGCTTGAGTGATCAGACAGGCAGTACTCTTTGATCTACGATTAAAGTCGGTCGTATTTTGTCTTGTGTTTTTCTTTCTCTCGTCGATTAAGTAAACATCTTCACGAAGATCTCATTACATCTATTCAAATCTGTCAATTACGAAGTAGGACAACCACACACACACTAACCGGAATCGGTACAGATCTCAGCTCTCTGTTGTTTCCGTCCGGCCTATTAACGTCTAGTGGGCAGGAGTCTTTGGTCACTAACAGAAAAGCTAACACTCTGAAGATTAATTTGATTCGTCATCTATGTTCGTTTATCTGATGATCTGTACGACTTTTTTGTTTAATACGGACTTCAATATGAGTTGGCGTCTACAAGAGAAAAACAACCTATTGGTTTTCTATAATAAACGAAGTATAATTTCTTTAGATGTTTCTTATCATCATCAGTAGCTACTAGACCTACTTTAATAAAAAAACCGATCTTGTTCGTACTCTCGAAAAGTGCCGGGTAACACTCAGCCATAAAGGATTTCAGTGAAAAGAGTTTCATACACTTGGCTGACAGTCTAATTTCTCAAAGACACTCTCATGATGGGAAACTTAATGAACTGAGTAACGTAATCATCTTACCCACCTTGTTTGAATGAAAGTGTAGTAATACACCAATTTGATGATATCTAATTGTGATACTATACAGGGTGAGGGATGTCGCGACGTGTAATACGATTGAGGATACAACTAAACTAGAGGTAAGATGAACAGAGTACCAATAGTTGAGCTCAACTTTTGATTTTGACGCTGCTATATATGATTGATTATTCTTCCCAAACACGTCAAATATTTCATCATTTGAATAGATGATTCGTTCTAAGTGACAGAAAGATTCTTTTGATTTCAAATCACGATTATATTTGTTTTCAATATTTGGTGAGTAATGTCATTTCCCCGTTTTACATATTGACTGTTTTCGAATCGATCTCACTACTACGAGAAGTTCAATTTGATTAGAGACGAGCTTTATTTCAAAGAAAAAAATTCATAGAAAGTTCTACGCATTACAAAAATCAGTACTGCAACATTGAATAGTTATGTATTCACTGGTGTACTGTGCACAATTGGATGACGCTCCTCGACTAATCATCTGTTGTCTTTGACCAGATTTGCTCGTCAGAATTGTTGTTTTCTAAAAAAAAAAGTTCGCTTCCATGAGAGAAGAAAAGTTTTCAGTAGAAAGACCATTCACCATGCATCGATCTGTATCTCGTGTTGTTGTAATAAAGTTGTCATTTACAGCAAGAGTTGAATTCGCACAATCCGAGCAGGAGAAACATCGAATTTGTCGACATTCAAATTCCATACCTAATCAATCTTTAGAAGCAAGAGTTTACTATCGAAGCCTCTACTTACAACTTAAAAGTAGAATCGTGCAAAGAAATACAAGACTTCCTTTCATCAACATGATTACGAATGAAATGTTTGGTGATGAATGAATACAGTGTAATAAATGAAGAAGAAACGTTATGTCAATTGACAAATGTGGAGGTATCAAGATAAATGAAATCAAATTCGATGAATCTTTTTCTTCCGCCTCCTAGCAGAACGAAGGAAGAAAATATTTATTCACCTTGAATGCATCATTTGTAGACAATCGATTAAAGCAAAAACATTGAAACTAAAACAGATCAGGATAGATGTGGCATCACATTCAACCGTTCTTACTCGGACTCTTCTTTTTACACAGTAAGTTAATGCTGACCTTTGTTTCATCAAAGTCTCGGAAAATGATGCATCATTTCGTTCAAGATCTTCAAATCATCAATGGCATCGTGTGCTATCAATGTACTGACTGTCCAGAGCCATTTACATCAAATTATCCTTATGTGACATTGACGAATAACACGAATTTTCTCGCACAATGTACCGTAAGTGTTTTCTGTCAATCAAGCTTCCATCATTTTCTTCATTTTCCTTTAGAAAACAGTCTTAAATTTAGGTGATGGCCGTCGTCTCATATCGAAAGGTTCGGTTTTTTACTGTCCAAGTTCCACCACTTCGGATGCTATACAAATGACCTGTTGCGGCACGGACTATTGCAATGCAAGTATTCGTCAATCTCCATCTTTATTTGTGTTATTTTTTATTCTGATAAGTTTATATCGATGCACTATACAAAACTAAAAACAATAAATTAAATGAAATCGAGTTTGTTTTCATTTGCTAACTGTTCACGAAGTTTCTATTAAAAGACAAAACAGAAGAAAAGCTCTGATTTTATTCAATAAATTTTTCAATCTTACAAGAATCTCTGCTTCTTGTTTGGCGATGATTGCTCGATAGTTTTGACCGTTATCGACTTGTTGACGTAAAGTACGAAGTTCTTCATCATGTAAAACTCGTTCATTGCATTTCAATCTAAATGTAAACAGGCATTTGCAAGGAAAGTCAGAAAAATGTTTACTTCAGCAATTCAATATCTTTCTTCAACTGTTCATTTTCGTATCGAAGATCATGAATTCGTTTGACGTCATCAACGAGTGATTGATTAATCACATTGGTTCGATGACGTGTCGAAACGATTAATTCCAATTCCTAAGAACGATTTCCACTCACTGAATAGATTAAAAAAACGATCAAGATCAATATTTACAATGACACGTTTTTGCAATTCTTCGATCTCTTTCGTTTTTTTATTCGATTGATTCATTGTTTCTTTGTTGATACTAAAATGAGAATGATTCATCGAAATGATAAATTAAGAAACTCGTCAAACTTCTGTAGTTTGTCTTGTTCAAGTTGATTTAATTTCAATAGACTTTCAACGTCGGTTAGTTTATGCTTCAATTCATTGATGGTTTGTTCCAATTGAGTCACTTCTTTCGAATGTAAATTTTCACTCTACGAACATGCAAATAATGAAACTCGGCCGCTGAGTTTTCTGAACTTACATTTTGCAATTGCAATTTCAGTTCAAGTTTGTCGTTTTGCAATGTATTGATTTGTTGCTCATAAATCGAGAGTGGAGTAACGGTGTCATTTGAATTGATTGTCGGTTGTTTCAATTTCTCTAGTAAATGTTCGAGATCGGATATTTTGATTTTTGCTTCATGAAGAGAGCGTTCCAATGTCTGCAAAAAAGGGAAAACAATCGATTGAATGGAAAATGTTTGTACTTACTTCGTTTTTGTCTCGCAGATCGTCGATGGTGTTTTGTGTTTCAGTTCGTAATCGCTTCATACTCGCTTCCATTACTTCATTGCACGAGATAGCTCGTTTAAGTTGAGCTTGAACGACCGATTGTTCAAGTGTTGACGACGCTGTTTTGGTAAGATCAACACTAGACAATGAATTCATTTCACCGGATTGATCCGCATACAAGAGCCGATGTACGGCTGACGTTTTCGTTTCCGAATTTGGATGATCTAATAAAGACAGACTAGGTGATGGTGAGCCAAAACTCGTTCTCGAAGGTTTGGGATGATAAAGTCCAGTAATCGAGGATCGTGTCATAGAAGTCATCTAATAATCAACAAGTACAAGTCTATTTATTTTCATTGAATAAAAACATGAAAATCGTACAGAGAAAAGTTTATTTACAGAATATAAAAATAGAAAATTCCACAGAAACATTCGAATACAATTGAACATGCACAATAACAATAAGGAAAGAAACTCGATCGAAAGGATATTTCTCATCCAGTGATAAAAAAAAGCAGATCGTTCATTCGAAAACCACCACGGATGGAAAGATTCATCATAATCTTCTTTCGTTTTTATTCCCCGTGGGATGGAAGTAAAGAACCTATGAGCAGCGAAAAGAAATCTATATGATGATTTACTATTCCGATTGAGATAGAAAAAGTGATGGTCTTTTTAAGTAAAAATTGCAAGTAAAATGACGAAGACGAATGAAATGAATGGACAATTCGCGGACGGTGCTTTGCTTGTGGTGAAACGAATACGTTTGCAACCGATATTATCACGATGGGTTATAAACTGTTGACAATCGGGCGTTTCTAAAACGAAACAATACATTTTTAAAAAAAACAAGACCTTCGGAAAAGATCGTACCATAGACAAAGACCGAATCAAGTGCTGTTCGATAAGGTTTATCATTTGTTGTTGCATTGATGACGTAAGAGCCCAAATCGCTTGCTTCAACATTAATAATTGTTAAACGAGAGAGAATACAATCAGTACAAATATTTGGTTCAGGTATTGTTGCTTCAATTTTATATTTATATGAATTCCAGATTGGTCGAAGTACGTCAACACTCATTGACGTAGAAATTTGACCACCGTAATCATTTTTGTACCTAAAAAAACATTGTAAACACAAATGATTATTCCCAATCGAGTTTTTTTTCTTCGTACCATGTAATGCGTGGTGGAGGATATCCATGAACATAGCATTCAACGTATATATCAACCATAAAGCTAACAGCCTGACCAACCATTGGATATGGACATCGAATATAAGGCGGAACTAGAACAATCAAAGATTTATATAATAATGATTGAAACGATTATGTTTACATACATTTCACATTGACTTTAAGAGTCCATACATCACCATAACCGACAAGATTAATGGCCAAGCATTTATAAATTCCACGATCTTGTTGTCGAATATCATTTATTGGCAGCTCGACAGCCTAGAAGCAATCCTTTTTACAAAAAATTCTCCATCGATAATAAAAACGAATACGTACACCAATGACACGAATATTTCCATCTGGTAATGGACTGGCATCTGCTTTCATCCACTGTATTTGTGGTGGCGGTAAACCTTGTGCAAAACATTGTAAAAGTATGTTATCACCTTCGCTAACTTCAATATCTTTTGTTGATGATTGTACAACGAACGGTTCACTGTAGACGACCAAGCGTCGTTTCAAATAGACTGAATTATTATAACCTGTATCAGCTAACATGCAAGTTAAATCACCATAATCTTCGCGATCTAATGGATCGAATATTAGATACCAATCACTTGAATCCATATCGTGTTCAGCGTAGAGACGACGGGTTGGTTGAGCAAATTGAAAAACTTGATCGTCAGTTGCCAAGAAGAATTTCTTATTATCATTCAAACGATGTAATTCCCAACTAACCTAAAATAATTTGTATTCGCCAATTTAGATTGATGAGTGTGACTTTATTTTCATGTAAGTACTCACACTTCGTTTGTCTGTATCTGTGAGGCCAACTAACGTACACTTCGCTATTAATCGTTCACCAGCTCGTGGGGCAATAGGATCAAAGATGATTCCATCTTTATCCCGCATGTCAAACCGAGGATTTGTTCTTGCATCGCTGACGATGACTAAAATACAAATGAATGAAATTAAGATTTATTTGTTTGATTGAGTCAACCTCGATCCCATCAAGGTCGATGCTTCACTTACAAAAACTACTGATTAGAATGAAAACTCCTGCAGATATTTCCATGTTATGCACGTGTGTACAACTCCAACTTGCTTTGAAATTGTGTCGAAAAAACGCGAATGATATGTCGATTCAAAGAGAACCACCACTGATTTTTTTTCTTCTTTCTTCTGCTTCTCTTTGCGTTTTTTATGTAATACTCACACATACCTTGGAACATGAAGGCCCTACTCAACCTTTTTTTTTCTTTCCTGTTCTTCTTTGATTTAATAAAGAGAAAAAAAACAACCTTGAGAGGAACAGCAAGAAGAGGTAGCATCAGGACTTTTGTCGTACTGTACGAATCGATGTTATAATAGTGGTTCTTTTTCTTCCTCTCGTATTTTAATAAAAAAAAAAGTGCAAGAGAATACTTGATAAGTTTGACGTTCTCTTTTTTCTTCTGTCCTTCTATAGGGTAAAGAATCACAACGACATTGAAAATTGTTACGAAGAAAGTTTTCTTCATTCTGTTATATGGACAGAACAAACGTTGAACATATGAAGAAAAAAAAGAAGAAGAAGAAGAAGGAGTAATTGCGGTCACTAACAGCACGTTTTTACGTAACACGTGGTTCAAGGAAGTGTCCCTTCTTTCCTATGTTACATCAGAATTCTTCGAACTGTGATGTTACAACATTTATTTTTACATCGAAATGGACGATTTGCTCTCATACACACGGTTTTATGACATATTTGAGATGAAAAATATCGTAACTAAATAAAAAAAGCAAATTATACGTACAAATGATCGATTCGATTTCGAATAAAGTTTCGTTGATGAACAAGTTCTGTACAACAGTTGACAATCCATGGATAATGCTAACGATTATCTAGTTTGTTTATCATTCGAGTTCCGCCAAGGTCAAGATAGAAACTAAAACCAATGCAATAATAAGGACGTCCTTTCGAAAGGTGGCGTACTTGTATGTTCAGCGCCGTAAACTCCGAGTTAGTTGATATCAACGTGGGAGCCAAAATTTCACGAAATACATAGCAAAACAGGCAATGTAATCGTTCATTTGAAATCATCACTATGAAAAAATGAAGACTGGCTCGAAACTTTTACACAACTGTAACTTTCTGCTAAGGTAGAACGATTCTCAATAGAAATCATTTACTTGATAACTTTTGACGATATGTAAAAAACGTCATCATCATCCTTTCTTGTAATAAAAAATGTGGAAATTTCCGTTCACCTGTCATTTTCTCACGAACATTTAACCTATATTTATAGTTCAAGATATATTTCATTTGCAAATCTAATTAAATGACTCACAATCCTTGCATAACTCAGCAGAATATCTTCTCATCTAAACGATAATTCTGCCAGTGCATTCTTATTTTCTATTTCTTGTATTCACACAGTATGAACAGACTAATTCCATAGTTAATAAATTTTCTTATTGTTATAACATATTCTCCTCACGTCAAACGTCCAAGAGAAGAGAACACGACAACGAATATGCTGTTTTTTTTTAATTAACTATTCTTAGGGTTTTAATAAAACTAAGTCATAGAAATATATTACATTTCTATTCAAGCAAAATGAAGTGTCTTATCGACGATGTGTATGTAACATTCCAGATCTTCCCATGAACATCATCATGACTCGGTGCAGGAAAGTTTCGTTTTATCGAGGGGATAAGTCTTTCAGTGCACTCCTAGGTACAACGAACGCGATCGAAAAGATATTTTAGTCTTTCCAAATGTTCGCGAATGACCTTTGAAAAGCGATTAATGAATTATTTTATTATTTACATGTATAATCTTTCGATAAATAATATATATATATATATAAGAAGCGAAACAACAAAAAACAGCAGGTGACAATGGTCATGATAGGTTTTACACTGGCTGTGCTTGTTGTTATTGCTCATCCAGATGATGAGACGCTTTTCTCTGGTTTTCTTCATGCACTAACACATAAATTAAACGCCAGTGTTGATCTCGTCTGCATTACTAATGGGGAAGGTGGCTTCCAACATTCTGCACCATCAGAATCTTTATATGGAAGTCTTCAATTATCAAATGAGACTATCGCGAGACAACATTTGCCACGAATACGTAAACAAGAGCTGTTAGGCAGTGGAAAGATTCTCGGTATACGCAAATACTTTTTCTACGATCAAATTGATTTGAAATACGACCGTGATGTGGAAAATGTTTTGTCTAAACAATGGAATAAAGAATTGATTATTCAATTACTTGAACAAACAATCACGACAGGAAATGGACAACAAGGCTATAATCTAATGTTGGTTATGTTACCTAGTGTGCAATCGCATGGTCATCATACTGCATCGGGTCTTTTAGCATTAGAAACGATTAAACGTCTTCGAGATAAACAATTGGACGAAATGAAACTTCCAATTGTTATTGGAGGATCAGAATTTGTGTTAAGCGATCGGCCGATTTATTCATTGAACTCTTTAGCGGAAACGTCAGCAGAATTTCGCTTCTATCGCAAATGGAAGTTAAGCAGTTCAAGTGAGATTTCCGATTATCAAATGATTGTTCTTTGGGTGTGTGGCGAACATAAATCCCAAGGAGGACTTATTGCTGAAACATTAACTCTATTGGCACGAGACAACGAACAATACTTTTACTTTACACTCAATAACAATACACAAAAGTTTCGAATGATTAACACTTTATTTAAGCAATTGACTGATATGCATGATTATGATAGCGGAAACATGCTTTAGTTAACATTAGGAAAAAATACAAGTGACGTCTATGATGTGAAAGTCATTTCCGTCCTTCTTTTTTCTCTCTGTCTCGCATTTTATTCTAGACTATCCTTCATTTTCTATCGTTTTCTGCTTTATCAACTGTAGGTTCTCGCCCACCATATTCAAAAAACTAGTTGCTTATTTTTCTCTCCTACTCACATATTCTCTCCGATTCCTCTTCTTTTTCTCTCTTCATATCCATTAAAATGTAAGATTTCGAAGTGAACATAAACGACTTGTCATGCACACTTTCTCCTTTCCAATACTTCCGGTAAACGTAACATATAAGACTATTAATCGAATCGTAATTTATCGATTATTATCTTTCGTATTCTGTTAAATAATAAGATCAATGTAATTAGCGGACGACGAGGTTTGTCAGGAGTTCATCTTTGTTACTTAACTTCCTCTCAACTCTTAATTAGGAGACAGCTGCAGATCGTTTTCTTTGGCTCCCCTTCTCTTCCTCCTACTTCCATCGTCTCGATAATGTTTGAAAGAGCTTTTCGGTGTTTCTTATCACATATTACTTGGATCACGTTGGCCTTGATGTCTTAACCATTAAATATAAGTAACGAACTCCTCTCAATAAGAAGAGAAAAATAGCGAAATTAGAGTATCACATTTGAACGACTTTGAAACCATTGTTGAGCGATCTGCGGACGATGGAATTTTTCATATCTATTGTATTGTTGTTCTCCTATTGAAAGCACTTTTGATTCCGTCCACGAAGAAAATGAGAGAGAAAATCAGGAGGTCTTATAGAATTTTGTGTGAAAGGAATTGATCGAGTAATCGATTAGAATTGTTTGGATATCTATAGAATGGACTCAAGAATTATTTTTGTTTTTTTCTTTTTTTTTTTATATAATCACAGCACAGATAAGTGACTAGTCAATAATGAATATTCAAATTGCAACCTTGTTTTACTTATGTCTTGCTTTGGCAATGCCGCTGTTGGTTTTCTCCACATCACAACATCACTTAAACGGAGATCGCATCGACGACAATGAAGTCGACTTCAATCGATTGGCCCAATTGCTTTATCAACGACAACATGCAATTCGTCCCCTCATCAACGAGCACTATCTTTACAAAAAAGCTGCCGATTACGAACAAATCTTAAGGCCATGCAATCAAATGCCAGCCGGTGGTCGCGGACAAGAATATTCTGATTGCGTACGTAGTCGAATGTTACTCATGGGTAAACGAAAACGACGACAAGCAAGTTAAAGAAAGAATATTCACCAAGCAGAAGTTACAAGCAAACATACGAAATGAAATTCACGTTTTTTTTCTCTCCTCTTTTTTCTCCAATATTGAATATATTTGACAAAAAAGACTCGATGTATATTCATTAATTCTTTTGTTCAGTAAATCTCTTCCCTCTTTCATCATACCAACCAACCATCAATTGAAGTTATCAATAAAAAGAGAACGAAATCATTTCATCTCGCCATCTCGTCTCCGTGCAAGACACATGAAAATCTTCTTGTCAGTGTCATTAGTAACACTAGAGAAGTAACACAATAGACACATGTTTTCCTTCGAAACAGGATCATTTACCGACCGGCTGATCACATTGAGTTTCCACATGCAACGATTCAATCATTCTACTGATTATTAGTTACGAATTAGCATCATTAATAATCCGATTCCAACGAATTTGATTGACATATTTCTCTTGTTTCCCGTATACCTTTCAGATTATGATATCGTGCTGTTTCAACAAATATTTCTCGTCACACGATACAAAATGAAATTCTCACTTTTAATTAATACTGATATTGACAGTTACATTGCTCGGACTATTTTTAGCTTTCATTTTGATAAATGATGCTTCGACGATGTTGAAATCATCAAAAATAAATATCGCATTAATTGGAAACACATAGCTAATATAAATGACTTGAGAAATATGAGTTGCACGCACAATCTTCTACCCGGTCGGATTACGAATAAAGTGCAGATGGTCGGACGGAGAGATGAATCATAGTTCAAAAATAGTCTCGTGCGACGAGTTACTTTCCTTAGATGAAAAATTTGCTGTTGCACAAGACATTTACTTATAGTACGTTGCAATTCTTTGATTATAAAAGCTAGATTGGCAGCAATGATATTTCAATATGAAAAATTGTCTGTAAGCGAGCATGTTTCTGACGTCTTTCTCGACACTGTTAATGCGATTAAAATATCGGTATGGAGGAAAGAGAAATGGAGGACGTATTCGAGTATGACGCTCTCCACTACACGTTTTATTGTGTTTTTTTTCGGAAATGGGCTTGAATAGAATTAATTAATTTGTCAGACTGAATATGACATGTGTCCTGATACGAATTATGTTCTGTTCGTTTGCCGCGAGGAATCTGAGCGTGGGTGGTTGAGCTTTTTAAACAAGACTATTACTGGTGAGACATTAGATCTGTTTATTTAGAAAATCAAAATCTAAAAATCTTTTCAGTAAGTATTCACAAGCACGCTTTTTAACGACGACCGATTCCGTTTTGCGAGAAGTTAGCTAAAACACCGGCAAGATGGATAGCAGTGTCTAAAAGAAATTAAAATCATGTTTGCTGATATTCATTGAAATGAACACATACTGCTAAGAGCATTTTCAACAATTGGTTTAACTTGAGTTTGAACGAGGTTGGTAGCATGAGCAAAAAGATCACTGAAGACACCGCGAGCTTCACGTTTGCCAAGGTTGACACCATTGGTACCTAAACCAGCGAGAACTTGAGCAGCCATGAGAGCGCTACCTACAAAAAAAGTGCTGGAGCAATGATGAAAATGAGAAAATAAATTAACTAACTTTGAAGAGCTTGTTCAAGGGGATTTTGAAGAACATTTGTCCAAACTGATTGTAAACCGTTCAAGAGACCTTGACCTAAACTGTCGAAGAAGCCACGGAGTTCATCAGCACGACCAGCGAGTTCGCTTAAATCGCGTTTGCCAAGGCTGACACCATTGGTACCCATACCAGCGAGAACTTGAGCTAACATTAAAGCACCGCCTGAAATGAACATTTCAATCATATTAAAATCCACAGATGGTATGAATATGTTACTTGAAAGAGCGTTTTCTAATGGTTTTTGGAGGACGTTGGTGAAAACATTGCTGAAAGCATCAGTGAGGGAATCGAGGAAACCGCGCATTTCAGCTTCAGTTAAATCGCGTTTGCCGAGATTGACACCATTGGTACCCATACCAGCGAGAACTTGAGCTAACATTAAGGCACCACCTAAAATAACCTCATCTTGAATTGCAACGATTGAACTTTACAATGTGTTACTTGAAAGAGCGTTTTCTAATGGTTTTTGGAGGACGTTGGTGAAAACATTGCTGAAAGCATCAGTGAGGGAATCGAGGAAACCGCGCATTTCAGCTTCAGTTAAATCGCGTTTACCGAGATTGACACCATTGGTTCCTAAACCAGCGAGAACTTGAGCAGCCATAAGTGAAACGCCTAAAGAGAAGTTATTATTTTTTTAACAAGTTCTGTTCGTTACAAGAAGATCTGTATTTACTTGAAAGGGTGCTTTCGAGTTGTGGTCGGAGAGCATTGTTCCATAAGTCATCAAAGAAACCACGAAGTTGAGCGTCAGATAGGTGTAATGTGCGACCACCAGGAGCTGGAATACCGTTTTCAGAGATACCGGCTAAAACTTGAGCACCCAAAAGAGCTAAGTCTACAAGCCGATAAAATAGTGAACATTTCAGCTCATACTCAGTACGAATAATACTTACTAGTGACGACGTGGTTGAGTGGTGGATAAACAACTGTGGCGTAGAAGTCGGTAAGAAAGCTAAAGAGACGTGGTTCATCAATAGGTGAACGTTTGTCAGCGTGGGAAAGATCAAGAGCATATGACGATGCAGCAAGACCAACGAGAAGAACAATAACCAATTGGGAATGCATATTTCTTGAAAATGAAATCATTTAGTAAAAATCGAATCACAAAATTTATATTCACACTTATCATACCTTTCGTTTAATATTTGGCGAAAAGAATGAATTGATTTCGTTTTTGTTTCTTCTCTTTTATAGATGTATAAAGGTGGACAAAACGACATATGTGGGCTACCATCTGGCTGGTTTCTCATGTGTATATATATGCATGCATATTTTTAAAAAGCAAAGTGATCAGGATAGCTCGATAAACAATCGCCTACACAATATTGAAAATTTGAAATTTTTTTAGATTATTGCCAGTTTATAGTATTGAAACAAGCACCACATATCACGTTAATAATGGAGCTTATCTCTAATCTTGTATGTACTGATAGTCAACAGAAACATCTGAGAAATGCTTTTGTGTAAAAAGATACGAAAAATTTCGAAATAAAACATTTGTTTTGCTCATTGGTATAAATAAGAGAAGAAAACAAAAAATTTCATAAATAAAGTCACAGACATCTTTTCTCTAATCAGCCTCAGTGTAGTTTAGAACTTTCGCTCGTTCTCGTTGACAATGTATACAACGACAATCAGGCAAAGGCGTCGAATAAACACTCCTAAGATAGTGCGCATCTGACCGAAGATGAGGATGGTGTGTATTGTGTGTGTTATTTGGTAGTAGAGGAAGTCGTTCTTCGAGTAAAACTCTTTGATGAACAGCTGGAAATTTGGTTTTGTCGAACGGAGTGGAATGGGAATTCATAGGTGAAATGGCACGATTTGCTGTTTGGAGTTTGTCAGTTTGAGATCCACGTGCTTCCTTTTTCAATGGAGGCAAGCGCGTCGATTCGGATGGATACGGATAGTTGTACGGCGGATAACTATAATTGGGATAGTTATGATAAGGATGAATGTATCCCGAATGATCGTATGAATACTGAGGATAAGTATACGGTTGATAATCGTAATATTGATACGGGTAATTTGTGTAATCCAGTGATTCCGGGTGTGGTTGTTGTAAGACAAATGAGTTATCATGCGGTAAAGTTGATGTTGCCACTGTGCTGTATGGATAGGTATAATATTGAGTTGCCGGTTGTACAGCATAGACTCCAACAGGTGCTGCCGGTGGTGGTGTTTTTTTCTTTGGAGTAAAATGAAATACTTCCACACGACTTAAGTTACTATCTTTTTGGTGTGAGTTGAGGACATCAGATGTTGGAAGTTTCGGTACAGGTGCACTACGATCTACTTGAGGGGCCGTATATAAATTAGGATATGATACGGCGGTCACTGGTTGAGTTGGCACTAATTGAACACGCTCTAAAGGGGGTAAGCTATTGACTGGTGGTTGAACATATGCGGTAGTGTAAGGTCCCGCCATAGTATTAGATAGTGGTTGAACATATGCGGTAGTGTAAGGTCCCACCATAGTATTAGATAGTGGTTGAACATATGTGGTAGTGTACGGCCCCACCATAGTGTTAGATGTTGGTTGAGTGTATACCGGTTGAGCAGGATTGAACGTCGAATTATTGACTGATGTCGGTGGTACGTATGGATAAAATGAACCTGTGGTACTTGTATTTGTAGCAGCAGGTACTGGCTGTAAATAAGGATCAGTGTTATCGCGATATGTATCGAAAGGTTCTGCATAGTTTGATTGAGTTAAAGGGTGACTATTTGGTCCCGCATTATCTACATAGTAGTATTCTGGTATACGAGATTTATTTGTTTGTGGTGTATTCATTCCAGTTGGTACGACTTGTGGTGGAGTACGATTAGTTGGATACGGATTACTGGGTGGCACCTCGGTAACTACCGTGGTACGGGGAGAAGGAGGCTGTGGTTTAAGCAGAGCACGATAGGGTGCAGATGGATCATAATAATATGGTTGGGTTGGATCGATAGGCACTCGACTAAGTTGTGCAGGATTCAGTTGCATGTTTCACCTTCGAAATAATTTCTTTGATATGTTTTTATTTTTCTCTGTGTTCTCTGTTCTCACGTTCGAAATCCGAAGAAGAGAGAAAAGACGATCGAATCATTGAAACTGTTTTTCATGTTTAAGTAACAGTTGCAACGGTAATAATAACAATAACATCAGTTTCGATTTATATAAAAATCGAAAACGATCATGCTTTCTTTCTCTTTCTTTTCGTTACTAACAACACGTCATATACAACTAATCCGCGAACTGCCGAACAAACACACCTCTTTGTCAGCGAAAAAGACTGGTCAATCCAAAAGTTACAAATATCGTAAACAAAGTATCCGAAACCTCGTCCATTCATACCTATTTTCGACAATTTCACGGCTAAAGATCTATTTTCAAGGACAGCGCAAAAACGCATGACTAATCGACTGACATTTAAATGATTATCATCGGTTATTTTTGTCTTCTATTTATTTACTTAATAACCGAGAGTAAATTGGCAGTTGACTATAAAGAGAAAAACATTTGTGTGTATGTTTTTGCTGCTTCACGTATTCCCGGAACAATGACCATAGCACAAACAACATCTCAAAAGCATTGCAGCAACGTCGTCATCAAAATAACCACGGATTTTTTCGTAAAAAGCCAAACATTTTTCGACGTCACGAACTGCATTCGCATCCTTTTTGCCCGGAAAGTCTAGACGAATCCGTGATGACGGGCTCGCGGATGTTTTCGGTTGAACACGGCTTTCTTCGATATTATTCTTTGAATTTGTCGAACGAATCGAATCTAATCGACATGCAAGTCGATTGATGATTTTCTAAGGAAAATATTTGTCTTACGTGATGAAAAACTTCGTTCATCATCGTGAGCGGGAGTCTTCTTGTTCAACGAAGGACTTCTTCTCTCTTTTGTTGAAAGTTTAGAATCATTGGATAGCGAATCATCATTTGGATATTGACTCTGATAGGAATGTGTTGATGAAGAACGAGCATTGTTGATTCGTTTTCTCGACTGTAGTTCTCGAGATTCATGACGAAAACCTTTCACTTGTCGATCCGTATGATTAGTCATCGGTGAATCAAAATTTGACTCGGATCCAATCGATTCTTGAGAATGTCGACCTTGATAGGAAGATAAACTATCGGGTGAGTTGTTCGAAACGCGATCTATTTTCTGCTGTTGATGCGAATGCATCGGTTCGTCGATCTGATTGTCCCCAGTGTCGATCATAGTTTCTTTCTTCAAGTAGAAACAAAGAATGAAAGTCTGAATCGATTCGACGTTTTCAAATTACTAGAATATCCGCAGTCAACCATTGAATGACATCATTCGGTGTCAACCATGGACTTTTGCACATAATCTGTCGAATCAACGATGGAAGACAGTAGCAAAGTAAACGCGCATCTTCTTCGGGTACTTTACAACGTATTTGACATAGAATAGAATTAGTCATCATTTGAATGCAATCTGCCGATGGAATTGACAAGTATTGAATATGACTGGTTTGCTTATTCAAAACTGGTTGCATTGGGGCAAGATTTCCGTTGATGCAGCTGTCATTTAAAGCTATATCACAACGATACGGCTGTTGATCAAAGCATCGGTTTTGCGATGGAACTCGAATCGGAATGTTATAACAAGACTTCGGTACGTTATATGAACGATTCCTAAATGTAGAAGAGTGTGTTTATGTTGTATCGTAATAGGAAGGACGAATTTTTGAAGCTAGAGCCCAGTGAAATCGAGAAAAATGCTTACAGAGATTCACGTACTGTTGAGAGAAGTTATAGAATCCATCGCTTTGATTCCGACAACGTTGTCTTAAAATCGACCGACAATTTTCCGCAATTGAATTAGTTCTCAGTGTTGATGTTGTATACATCAGATTCTATGAAAATAATACACATTCGTTTCAATTACATATTTTTTGACAAATAGCTTCGAAATTAACGAAATAAAAACAATATCTCTTCTTGTTTCGCGCTTTATTTTATTACTTAATATATGTAAGAAAACAGTGCATGAATCACGACGCATTGTTTATTTCTCACTGTACGCCTAATGGATTACGGACGGATAACAGTTGCTCTTCAACTTCAGATATATGAGGATGATTGTTCGGCAAATATTTCCTTCGAAGAATCAGTGCTTTTTCGAAATGTATTTGTGCTTTGGTATAGTCACCCATGTCTTTGCATATAAAACCCATATTATAATAACAACTAGCAAGATCAACTTGATCTGGACATTGAGCTTCGAGGCGAATCTTCAATGCCGCTTGATGATATTTAAATGCATTTTCATAATCACGTGTGTGAGCGTGGACAGCACCGATATTCGTGTAGCAACTCGCTAAATCAGCTGGATTTTCGTGACCAGTTAACCTTAGAATATTGAGACACCGTTCTAAATATGTCATTGCTGCATCATATTCACATAGTTGATCTTTGATCTGACCGAGTTGATTGTAGCAATTGGCTTCTTCACGTTTAGTTGGTGCTCTTCTCAAAAGAAACTTGTAAAGTTTTTCCGCTTTGTTCAACTTGTTAGTCATGATAAAAAATCGGCCGAGATTATCCCACAAGGAAAGTCCCTGATTTTCTTCGTCAGAAAATTGTATTAGTTGATTCAGTTTATGATCCCACGTATCGACTAGTTCTAAGTGAATTTCCCAATAATCATTGTTCGCATTCGGTGCTTTGACACTTTGAATACGAAAAACGGTATGCATTGAGAAGAGAACCTCTTCTTCGCCGTCACATGCACTAATATCATCAACAGCGGCAAATGGGGCTGAGTCAATTGTTGGATCAATCTGCATAATGAACAAAACACGGGGTAAGTCGGGATTTGCTGCAGATTTGGAGAAGTCTATAGCTGTCTTACGTTGTAAACTGGTCGATAGAAAATTATTGAATGAAAGATATTCATTTGGCGTCTTTTTCAATCGATCGAGTGAATCTTTTGATAACTGTTGACCACGATAGACTTCAAACAGTTTTGGAAATCGTCCTTTTTTGTACTGTTCGATTCGTAATGCATCGATTTGTAAATGAAGATCCTTCAAAAAAAAGCCAAATCGCATGAGAGTTCCAATATCCATCAGACGTAGCGCGTGATTCAGTGTTTTGTATATAAAAGTCTCATCACTGTACCATTTTATAGCTTTGTTCTTCTTATAAGTTTTCCGGAATTCAACAGTTCTCTTCAAGTCTTCTGAGATTCGTTTATATTCTTTTGAATCGTCCTTTGATTCTTGTGGATCTTGATCATATATTTCTAATTTCTTCTTATGTTCTCTCTCGTAATAGTCAGCAAATTCTTTGATAGAGGTCTTGTCAAAATCAATTTTTAATAAAATTCGTCGTAGGAGTAATGTGTTCATAAACGAAACATTTTGTTCGTCGAAACACTGAGTTGTTGTTAAGCTGTCGATTGATTTCATCTGACTGATGGGAATTGAATTGTATTCACATTGTCGAAGATTTTCTCGAACAGTTTCACTAATCGCCGAGATATCTGATGAAGTGTTTTTCACTTTGAACCACCTCTCACTTCTCCGCTTGTTGTTTTCATCGTTTCTAGAATAGAGATAGATGGAATCCACTTGTTTCCATTGATGTACGCGAGACAACGTTTCATCATCAAATCGGCCTGTAATGATTACAAAGGCTCTTTCATCGGGATATTTCATCATAATATCAAAGCATTCTTTTTCATTAGCACAAGTTTTAATTCGACTGGATACACTCCGTGATTCTTGCAATTTTTTCTGAACATCAGGACCATCATCTTCGTTCTCTAACCAAATAATGATGCCATCTTCGTCAAGACAATCATTGTCATCTTCGATGGATGATGCTTCGAAGATTTTCGACTTTGACGAGCATATTCCAGTAAACAATCGACTGAATACACTCATTTCGTCGCGGAGACTTGTTTAATTCACCACTTGTCACGATGTCAACAACAACAGCAAGAGAAAAATCATTGAAAATGAAAAAAACATATGATTTTTTTATATTTATTTCATTCGCTGGCGAACTTCACATTTTCTTCCACCACTATCGTTGAAAAAAGCAAAAATAATATTTTGCCTGTTAAAATACATAAAAGAAACACTCAGAACAATCGAATGTAAATAGAGTTGTGTTTTGAGAAAAAAATTGCGTATTATAATGCCTCACGTCTCCAAACGATCGACAATTTCAGTTCCTTGTCTTAGTAAATTCAATCTAATAACATTAATGCATTCGCTCTAACATGATTTGTTTTCTTGTATTTCGGTCTACCGGCGGCAAATTATTGCATGTCTTGATTAGCATTTCCATTTATCTATGAATCTAACTCGAGCAAAAGATTAATGTAAAAATAGAATCGAATATGTTTGGCGTTTTTTCTCTCTACGTAATAAGTCTAACGGACAAACAATGAAAAGAGGTGAATGTGCACATATACACGCCGTTTGGCTTTCCATTCTTACGGCGATTTATGCTAATGACAGGTGATTAAATTGCGAAACCAATGAACATAAGATACGGTTTCAATCTCATTGCTCGGATGAATGCATTCATCTTCACGGATTGTGAGTTCGTAGTGTGGTTGAAGACTTTTATTCGTGTTATTGTAGTGCAGATGATGTTGAGTGATTAGCTCGTGCTCGCGATCGAGAGAATAACGTGGATTGCGTCGTTGTTTTCTTAAACGACGTAAAGAGGATAATGATGCAATGGATGCCGTAGTTGTGGACACTGTGGCACTGCTACTGTGCCGAGCATTCGTCTGACGACTGTTTTGATTCAACCGGCCGATTGGCAAAGGATTGATCTGATTGTTGAGATCTTGTTCGTTGACGTCATTATCATTAGGAAGAATATCTTTTATATTTGGATCGATGGTATTTCCGTTCAGATTCTTTTCCGGGTTGGTCTTCTTGACACAACAGCAGTAGATACTCGTGAACTCTGAACGAAATTTTGTTCCGTAGATAATGAACATAATGAATGTCGTAGCAGCATTTAATGTTGCACATAAATTGGCAATGGAATGAAACTTTCGTAGGAGAAACGGAGGCTTCTCATTGATAAATATCTTCGCACTAATGAGCCACATGACAGATATAATAGCTGATGGCAAACGAAAAACAATAAGCAAAACTGTTGTTGCTAATAACATCACAGTTACACCTGAAAGAGATTCTGCAAAGAAGTTCTTCTTAGTTCGCGTCTCTTACCTTGCTTGGTAGGTAATGGCGCGTTGTACTCTTCGGAACGTCGTTCCAACAATCGAATCGATATGAATAGTTTTCGGTTGAGAATGATAATAGTAGTTAATGGGATAACATACACGCCAAGAGCATTGATGACCACGTAAGTCCAACGGAAAACTGAATTTTTGCCAAAATCACTCAATGTATACCGATAAATTCGCTTTTCACTATTCGGAAAAAGGATTTCCGTTAACGTCTGGTCCTCACGTGGTTCGTGTTCAAACATCATCGGAACAGCGTAGAGTATCCCAATCAGATAGATAATTGCAGTGACACACCGCGCATTTTTCATTGTGCAATAGAGCGGACCGACAAATGGCCGACATATCACTATAAAATAAAGCTTCGCATGACTGAGGATAAAAAGAACAATCGCCCTGCTTACTTATCCATCGATCAATGGTAAATGCCGCACAAAGCCAGACACTAAGAACACGAGCTGTCGTACTAATTGCACCTGGAATAAACTTCATTGAAAAATATGAATTATTCACGAATTTACTTTACCTGAAATGATTAATATTCGAGTGTAAATATACGTCCGTGGTAATTCATAATCTGGTACTTGGAGTGGATAGGAATTGAGTATACAACCTGGTAGAAGGAAAAGACACGTAGTAAAATCACTTAAACATAAACCGGCTAAGTAAACATAAGTCGAAAGACGCATAGTTCGACGAATAAGAACGGAAAAGTTAAGTGCATTACTGACAACACCGGCAAGACACACAATTAATCCGCAGATACCATTAACATAATAATCAAACGGATTTCGTGTGAACGATTTTCGAATCGATTCGGACAACACTTCGGGATCGATCACCAAATCATCGATTGTGATATTCAAAGATGATATAGACATTATTCGACTCTTTCACATTATCTAGAAGAAGAAAAAGAAGAAGAAAATTACGACATGAAAAGAAGGTTTCTATAGGCTAAACTATTCATTAGTGTAATATATAACATCAACTTGTCAACTTACTTTCTTTTTGTTAAACTTTCAAATGAATGTTTGTCTTGAAAAAGTTTTGTAATTACTCATCATCTTTTTTTTTCTCTCTCTCTCTAACTCTTTATTACTCTATTATGGTGAATCTGATGGCAGAGCGAGATTAACGACGGCTAAAGAAGAATTAAACATCATAATGACAGACACGAGAATGTAGAAAGAGGGAGAAAAAGAGCGAGAAAGAGACTATGTCGGAGGAAAGAAAACTAGATGTGCATTTTTTCTTTGATGATCAGTGAAATGCGATCGAAACGACATTTTATTTTAATAATGTTAATTTACATGACGAACTTTGAGGATTATTTCAGTCTGTATGATCCGCTTCTAACGACAGACGAAGCAACCTGTCAGTCATCTCTCGAAGAGAAGAAAAACATGGATAATAACTAACACGTTGGATTGATGACGATCATTTCAGACGATTTTCATAGGTGATTTATAACATCATAGAGACGGACAAAAATGAAGATCTGGCTTTGATTGACACGTCCAAAGACTGAAATGATATGAATTCATGATGAGCACATGAAAATGAAGTTTTTCAAAATAAAAAGATAGAAAATAAAGACAAAAGGTTAGTATTCATTAAGACGACCCCTCCAGACAGCATATTTCAATCGAAATCATCGGAGAGAAAGGAAGAGTCTTTTTTTTTCTTCGTCATACTAGTAAAATCTGCTACTTTTACACTTGCATGATAGTCGATGATTGTGTTATCAAGAGAAAATCTTTTCTTCCTGACAGCACAGACATCTAACACATGTCTTGACATGGATATAGTGTAAAAGACGTCAATATAGTCCTTATGGAATCACACAGCAACTACATTAATATTTTAGAGATAGAAAAGAAACTTTGTAATTGTCTATTCTGTGGATATTTATAGTTAATGATTTCAAAGTACGAACGTAGAATTAAAGAAGAGTCGAGCAGGGATATATAATTATCGAGATAAAAAAGAAATACGTAGAAGTGTGACAGTTGAAAGAAGAAGGAATGTTGTGTTCGAAAGCGAAGACATGACAAAAGTTCGACGTTCAGTTTCAAGATTTCATTCGAAATATATCTATGGGATAGCGCCATCTATCCGGTTGATCAAAACGAAAAAATTCAAATATAAAACTGTTGATTTCAATATGAATGAAAAGTTTTCCGAAATGAATTTAATTTTAGACGAAGAGCTGCTTTTTTTGTACATGCTTAAAGCTTACCTGTGTAGAATGATTAATCAAATATCCAATGAGTTGTGTCTCTTTCTGTTTCGTCGTTTTCTTTCAAAAACAAAGTCCTACGCACATACACAATACGTTCGTTCATTCGTTCATTGTGCGCAAAATTTTCGTTTATTCTAATCACAACCGTCTAGACTCTTTTCTTTTTTCTCTTCGTTTTTAACTATTCTCGAAGATGAGTATAGCAAGTCCCAAACTCGCACCTGTCGTTCTTACCACTAACAACAATGGCACGAAAAATCAATCGAACACATCTCCAACGTCGATGAAAAAAGACTTCAATCATCATCATACTAACAACAACAATTCAACACGAACGTCAAATGGCAATGGTTCAAAATCGAATCATAGCCATAAGAAAGATTCCAATCATGATTCGCCAACGAAACGAAAAAGTCGGGTTATACACAGTAGTGAAGAATCCGACGATGATGATAAACCATTAGTAAGACAGTCATTAGCCGTTTTCAAAGATTCAGTTAACCTTTTTTCTAGGCGAAAAAAGCAGCGGCGGTAATGAATGGTCAGCATTCTACGCCATCTCTGCATGCTAAGAAAGATTCCACGCCAGTTTTCACTATGATTAAACCAGAATCCACACCGGCAACGGATTCTCCGAGAACGTCTATTGTTAAGAAAGAAGCAACGACACCAATGGTGAAGAAAGAACCGAAAGTAGAGACAACACCAGTTACTGTGAAACAAGAACCAACACCGCCGAAGAGAAAGAATGCGATTGTAGATGATGATGATGATGATGATCTTCCATTGGTAAATTGAATTGTTGTTTCGATGAAGATTATGCATCTGTTGAATTCTTTTCAGGCGAAGAAAGCGAAAAATCAAGCAGCTGCTAAACGTAAATCGCATTCCACGACGCCAGTAGTTGTGAAAAAAGAGAAGAAATCAGATATTAAACCTTCTCCTTCGAACAAGAAACTTTCCAAATCAGCATCAACAACAAATGTTAAAAAAGAAAAAGTCACGCCAACATCATCACCCACTAAAGAAACAACTAGCAAACGGAAAAAGAAAGAAGAGGAAGAAGATGTATGGCGATGGTGGGAAGAAGAAAAGTACACCGATGGGCGCAAATGGACAACTCTTGAACATCGTGGACCATTATTTCCACCTCCCTACGAATCATTACCACACAATGTGAAGTTCTTCTATAACGGTTTGTTTCTTCTCAGAATTTGAAGGAGAATCTAAAAACTCTCCTTGTTCTTCAGGTGCCGAAGTGAAATTGAAAGATCCCGCTGAAGAAATCATGACGTTTTATGCTCGTATGCTCGATCATGACTATACGTCGAAGGAAGTTTTTAATACGAATTTTATGGCTGATTGGCGTAAATCAATGACTCAGGCGGAACGAGAACTGATCAAAGATGTCCGCAAATGTGATTTCACCCAAGTTGCAAGTTATTTCAAAGACCAAACCGAGCAACGGAAAGCAATGAGTAAAGAAGACAAGAAGAAATTGAAAGATGAAAATGAGAAAATACGTAAGGAATATGGTTATTGTATGTGGGACAAACATCGACAACCCGTCGGAAACTATAAAATTGAACCACCTGGCCTCTTTCGTGGTCGAGGTGAACATCCGAAAATGGGTTGTGTGAAAAAACGTATTCGACCCGAAGATATTATCATTAACATTGGCCGCGAAGCACAAATACCTAAGCCGCCTGAAGGACATCATTGGAAAGAAGTTCGACATGATAACAAAGTTTCATGGTTGGTTATGTGGACCGAAAATATCCGAGGAAATAATAAATATATCATGTTGAATGCTTCGTCACGTGTCAAAGTAAGTTAATTTTTATGAGTACGACTTTTATTAAAAGAAATTCATCGTAGGGTGAACGAGATTGGCAAAAGTACGAAAAAGCTCGAAAACTTCATCGAGTTATTGATACAATACGTGAAAATTATCAAATCGATTGGAAAAGTAAAGAAATGCGTATACGACAGCGTGCAGTTGCACTTTATTTTATTGACAAAGTAAATTTCCAAGAAATCTAGATGAATAAATCAGTCATTGGTGTTTCTTTTCAGCTTGCACTTCGTGTTGGCAACGAGAAAGATGAAGACGAAGCAGATACAGTCGGTTGTTGTTCGCTGCGAATTGAACATATAAAATTATTCGATAAAATCGACGGAATCGGAGAGAATGTTGTCGAGTTTGATTTTCTCGGCAAAGATAGTATCAGGTAAACATCAACTTTAAAGATTCTCATTAGAATGAACAAATTTGTCTTCCTTAGATACACCAACAAAGTTTGTGTTGAACCACGTGTATATAAAAATTTGAAATTGTTCATGGAGAACAAAGACGATAACGATGAATTATTTGATCGTCTTCAAGTAAGACGATAAAACCTTAAAGTGTTCATTTTTTCTTCAAATTCTCTTCAATAGACGTCAAGTCTTAATCAATATTTAAGTGAATTAATGGAAGGTTTAACAGCTAAAGTCTTTCGAACGTATAACGCTTCGAAAACCTTACAAGATGAACTGGATTCCCTTACAGAACCTAAAGCATCTGTACCGGAGAAGATTCTTGCTTACAATCGTGCTAATCGTCAAGTCGCATTACTTTGTAATCATCAACGTTCCGTTCCGAAGACGTTCGAAAAGAGCATGGAGACTCTCAAAGCGAAAGTAAGACAATCGAATTGTACACATCCAAATGTGAAGCATTTCTCGTTCAGATCGATGCGAAGAAAGCGGAAATTGAGGAACAAAATGGTGAATTTAAGAAAGCAAAGACGGAATACAAAAATACGAAAAGTCAGGCCTCGCAGAAGAAAATGGAACAAGCGGAAAAGAAAGTTCAACGATCAGAAGAAGCGCTGAAGAAGCTTGAAGTTCAAGCACTCGATCGAGAAGAAAATAAAGATATTGCTCTTGGGACATCTAAATTAAACTATCTTGATCCTCGAATTAGCATTGCATGGTAAATAATCATGTCTAAGCAAAAAACTTCTATTAATAAAATGTGTTTTCAGGTGTAAAAAATGGGATGTTCCAATCGAAAAGATCTATTCAAAAACTCAACGTGACAAGTTTCGTTGGGCAATCGATATGGCTACAGCTGAATATCATTTCTATAACTACGAAGGTGAAATTGTTTTACGTAACGTCGATGAAACTAATAACGAAGAAGACGATGAAGACCAACAGAATTCAGATGATGAATGAATGCGTTTTTGTCCTTCGAATGTGAAGATTCCAGCGAGTAAATCATGAGATTTAGTCTCTCTGTTCATGAATTTTTCTTGCTTTTCGTTACTACTTTCTCTTTGTGTCTATTATTTCACCGCTCAACAATGTTTTCTGTCTTGTTCTCATTTCAATGTTATTCCTCCAGATCAATAAAGACGAAGAGCCGGCAAAGAAAGCAAAAAGTAGAAAAATACAAGTTTCTGAAGAAGAAAATTGCTTTCGTCAGCAATTAATTCAAACAAATATATTCATATCAAGTTCTGCATTTGCATTTCATTTCACCTGTGCGCTTTTACGTTCGTTGCGTCTGCTTGCGTTCGCCACAGAATCATCTAAGTTCAGTACATCGATGCAAAGAGACACATATTACCAAGATTATGATTCCGAATATTATGATGATCGATATCGGTCGAATTCAGTGATTATTGTCTATGACCCACCGCAGATTAATGTTGTGCCAAATTATTCGCGGGCGATGGTCGCAAATGTTGATCCGAATGAATATTATAACCAATATATGGATAGCTTACTTGATACGTCCGAATTGCTCGATTGGTGCAAGCGTTTAGGCATTCCTGATCACGTGGTAAGTCGATGTTAGATTGATAAAACGAAATTGTGAAGTTTGTTTCCATTAGATTGCTTTTCCAACATCGATGGATTATGAATAGAAAACAGAACTTCGTTACGATTAAAATAGGAACATTTATTTTTCGATAAAAATAGATTTGTGAAAGCTTTTTCGAAAGATTTTAAACAGAGAAAACCGCTCTCGTTGTATTAATGATTGTTATCGTGCGAGTGTGTTTAACATGCATGATAGCAGACCGCCATGACAAAGCATGTGTGAATTTCAAAACCATGGAAAGAAAATCGATTAGATACGCGTGTCTTTTCTTGTGAGAACAGAGTATGAGTGTTGTTTTTCATCAAAAATTTTAATTAAAATTCCCGGCAAACTTATGCAAGAGAACCTGGAGAGTACGAGGCTAGATTTACTAGTTGGTCAACGAAAAAACAGAGCATGGTCTGCCTACTATGTGTTTGTTTGTTTCTTTATCATATCACGAAAATCTTCAGATTATTTATGCATCATTTCACTTGCAAATACACACACGAAAGAAAAAAGAGAAAGGTTAACATAATCTCGTACGCGTTCGCACCGAGAAAAAACAGAGCGTTTCCATGTTATTCTTTTCAACTTCACACATCGAAGCATGGAGAATATATATGTATATATATATATATAAAACAGAATGACAACGAGACTATGCCGACATAAAAAAAAGAAGCGCAAAAAAAAGTTGAAGAAACGTGTAAATCGCATACAGATTTGTATGAAAGAAGAAAAAATACGACGAAACAGAGATGTATCAAAAATACACAAGACTTCGGGTGAACAGAATACTAACACAGGTAAACACAATAATTGTGCATACAAACACAGGTAACAAGAGGAAATGAAAAAGAGATGATATATCGACAGAATGAACCCTAAACTAATATCAAGAGAAGTGTTCGTTTTTCTTCTGTATTTATCCGTCATCGTCATTGATTTCACTTGCCCATGGTGGTGGTTCGAATTCTTGAATCATTTTCCATATGACGGCTAGAAAAGAAAGAAGAAAGAATTAGTATGCGAACCATTGATATCTATTCAATACACAAGTATTAACAGAGGAATTGTGTTCACTCAAAATAATTTTTCCTTTTGAACTCAAATTAGAAAATCGATTTTCATGGTGGAAAGAAAATAATTTTCCTTTGAAAAGGAAGATTTTGCACAGATGTTTGAACCGTTGGTAACGAATTGTATAGATATACGATTCGAAGAAAAGTGTTCGAGAATATTTTATCCTTCGTTGGTTGCGCAATGCATTTCACAAGGAAATGTTGGCCTTTGAGTTGAAGGAAAATATGATAAATAACAAATATCCGCTTACATTTCCATGTCGCAATTGGATAAGCTGCGTCTTGATGTTCATCCACCAATGTTTCAGCAGATGGTTCTTCCATCGGATCATGTAAGTGTTCAAAATAACTATCGGCTAAATAGAATAAGACAGTAAACGAAGACGAGTTCGAAGAGAAAAAGTTTTACCTAATGCTTCGACTGCTGTTGGTCGAATACGATGATCGAACGATAAGAGACGATCAAGTAATTCGATACCTTGAGGTGAAATACCAGATACTGGAGTTCGACCTCCAGGTTCATATTTATAACCAAACAATTTTTTATAGTCTTGTTTAGGCTTAGTCGGTAGTTTATGAATATAATCACGTGCATCTAAACAATGCTCATACTCGGTTGAGAAGTCTGAGAAGAAGAACGGTTAAACTTACATGGTTCACATATTTCATCTAATGTGCCTAATTGAGGTGTACCGACAATGTCGAATATCTTGGATAACTGATCGATATGGTCGGTTCCAGCGAAAAGGGGCTTAAGTAGAATCAATTCAGCCATTATACAACCCACTGACCATATATCAACTTTTTCATCATAACGTTCCCAATTGACGAAAACTTCAGGAGCACGCCACCACCTTGACAAAAGAACTAGCGATAAGTAACGGACTACCAATGCCTAACTAACCTTGTTGCTACATAACCAGTTAGAAGACCACTGGTTGTGACACGAGCGAGGCCGAAGTCAAGAATCTATAAAAAGAAACAAACAAATGTAAACTCCACAATTCAATTTCACTATCTCTGATAAGAACTAAACAATTTCGGTTGCGCTTGTTATCATATTAATTTTCGAGAATATCTGCGATTATACTCACACATCGAACTATGAATGCTTAAAAAACTATTTATGACAATCATCACACAAAAAATGTGAGAAATATTTTGTATCGTAACAAACAATTTTGTAAATACTACTCCTACACTAAACAATATCAACGAATTTCTGTCATCACATGTAAATCTTCTTCCTATTACATTTCTCACCGATTAACATTGAAGATTTTCTTCGTTTGCATTTTCATCTTGTCAGTACTTACCGTAAGATCTGAGTTTTTACTAATTCCGATATTAGTAGGCTTCAAATCCTAGAAAACAAAGAAGAAATAAATCATGATAAGGCGATCGAGTGCCACTTTACTCTATGAATGACACCGGCAGAATGAATAAATTTCAAACCACGTAGTAAGGAGTAGATGATTAATTTGATATGATCTTCTGTAAACGGTTTGCCGCGTTTAATAACTTTACTCAAGTCAAAATCCACAAAGTTCAGAACAAAATATCTTGAAAAGAAAAGAAGACAGCATATTATTTTGCACAAACCTTTCCAAATCCACTTACAACGTTTGAAAATCGTTAACATTCTTCTCCGGTGTGAAAACATTATATAGTTGTACAACCTACAAAAGTAGAAAACTAAATAGAATGAAGTGAACATGTTTTGAACATACTTGTGCATCATTATGATTCAAATGTGTAAGTAATTTCAGTTCTCGGTAAGTACGTTTTGCATGAGTTTCACTTTGAAACGGTCGAAGCATCTTTTTAATTGCTACATGTTTACCGGTTACCTAATGATTAATCACAAAAGTCATTTATACACGAACAGAATCATCATCGACATACTGTATCAATAGCGCGACTAAAATGCAATAGACATATATGAATATTTCCGTCGGAAATGAGTGAAACTTACATCACAGCGCCAAAGGCCCCTTGGCCTATTGGACTTAAATCTTGATATCGTTTGGGTATTGTATACTGTGAAGCTCCACATTCAGCCGTATACCATTCACTCATTTCACCAGAATCGGCATCCATTGGTATTACTACTCGAAACAATTATAAAACTATATATACATATACAGATATACACAAGATAGTTAGAGCGTGTTTACAGAGAGAGAAAGAATCTTTTTGGATGAAAAGAAAATACAATAACAAAAATAAACAATCGTACATAGCAATGACGACGAAATGGAGGGAGAGGAGAAAGATTTCGACGGAGAAGTTTTTTCAATGGCACTTTCTACTTTTCCTTGGATTTTCTCGATTCCGATGAATTTATTTTTGCGAAAAATGAAATTGTTGATAGGTGTCGCTAACAGTCATTGCTTATGGCATAATTGAAGAAGAAGAAAAACAATTCCGAACCTTTAAAATCTGTTGTTGATTTGGAATTTTCTTTGGTTTGATGAGGTGGGGATGGTGAACGTCGTTGCTTTAAACCGCAGGAAAAACAACTTGTCCAATTCTTCATATGTTTCGTAACGCTGGGTTTGGTCGTACGAATATCCAGTGGATATTTCGCAGACGTATGACGACGTGACTGAAAAAGAAAAGTGAATATAAATATGTTTATTTGTTAATGTGAAAAGACAAGGTTATCCTTCGATCTTCTACGCTTTCAGATATTTGAAAAGAAAGAGTAGAAGAAGAAAATTTCAACTGAATCGAGTACGAAACACCAAACACATGGCAGAACACTTTCTCATGTATTTACTTTCTTCTAAACGCTAACAATCGTATATGTAAAAGAAAGACAACATTATTAAAACACATATAAGCTGATTCGTACACATTCGCTTAGTTAATAGACTTACATTTCGTGAAGTTGAATCTGAATTCATTGTTGAAAACAGTCAATTTTCTTTAAGGACTGCAATTCTGGTTAGCTATTTCGTAATAAAGTGAAAGCAACGCCCTTTTTTACGATTATTAACATACTTGACATGCACAGTCTTTTTTTTTCTTTTGTTCTGCTAAGAGTGTGAACATAACAATAAGAGGGAAATAGTATCATACCCATGCACCGATGAATCTTCCTTGGCACGAGTCAATGACTCATCTTTTACTAATATTCAAATATTTCTACGATAATAATTGCTTGCTTGACATGACAATGACTGACGTCATCGGAACAGTTCGTACTCTGTAATGACGAAATTTCGTGACGTGAAAGATTCAATGAACGTAGTCGTTATGATGCAACGCAAAGTGTTGGAATTCGATGAGATTCAAACTTGATGAGATATGTTTCCTGCTTAATTGAAAAAAGATGAAGAGAGAAAGGAAGAAAGAAACCGTTTTCTGTTATTCTCAATATCTACGTATGTCTCTTCCTATCCAACGAGTAACCAATTACCAATGATTGACGTTTTCTTCTTTGCTGAAGAGACAACAAACAGAGTTCTTAGGCTTTTACAAACGTGTCTTACTTCTCATAGCCATGGGATTAGCTTCTCCTCGAATCTCATCAATATGGAATACAACATATCATATTGATATTAATCAAAATAAAACTCCTCAATGGATCTTCGGAGTGTTAATTGGTTCAGCGCCATTCCTACTGATCGTCATCTGTTGGGTATTTGTACTATGTTCAGTAAAAATCTCCATGAAGTACTGTCGATGTGTGAAAACCCGTCAACGATCAGCGACAAACACAACGCAGACACTTTGATATCAACTTCTTTTTCTTAATTGTAAGTTTTCTCTTTAATAGATTAAAGAACACTGTGCGAACGAATGATATTATTCTAAGATCGACTATTCTTAGATCGAATTGCATTTCTCTTGGTGACCCCGAAGAAAGATACTAATCTAACATTAAACGTTAACTAAAAGTGTGTGCCAAACTGATATTGAGAAACAATAGCACTCAGAAAATTCGTCAAATCTGATAACAATTATACGTGATCTTTAGCCGGTCGAAATGTCATCAACATCTGCAGAGTAATGTCTGATAATAAGATAATCATTACTTGACGTGTTCGGTGAAATATCATACAAAATAAAATTTCGTTGATTTCAACAAGACAACAATCGTTGAAAGTTGAAAGAATGTCTACTACTGTGTGGATTGAATTCAGCTGTAATTAAGCAGAAGAGATACTTGTTGACTTCTTCGAGGATGTTTTTCCTGTAGTGTGTTTAGCTAAGATAATGACAAAGTCTCAATAGGGTTTTGTCGAAAGAAACACTTTCATCCGTGTAAAGATCTCCAATTATCTCTAAGCAAAAAACTTATGCGATTGTTTGAATATTCACTATGAATCATTTTACTGAAGCTTCTGTGTGCATCTTACCTAGAAATATCGAAGCAATGGGAAGAAATAAACGATTTCCGTGTAATTGCTTTCCTTTGTGCTGCGATTAGCACATATTCATTTCTTTCTTTTTACTATAAAATCAATCTGACTCAGTGTTCGGAGATGATAATCATGTTGGCTGTTCGAAGAATGAATATAAGCAGTCGTCGTGATCATGTTCACTGGTTTAATTTATAAAAATTTCTGTTCATTGATGTTAACGTTTAATTAATTTCTTTTTTTATTATATAACAATACAAAACACACACGCACATGTGAAATTCCATCGTAACAAGTACGATCGATTGTGATGTGTAATTTGCTTGTTCAGCGATAGATTTAATCGAATAAACCAAATCCCTGAAAAGAAAAATTCAAAGTTTCGTTGAAATGAATGTTCAAAATTGTTTCACAAACCATATCGTCTCCTTCTTCGTCCGACTCTTCTTTCTTCTTTTCTTCCTTCTTGGGTTCTTCCTTAGCAGCACCTTTCTTTGCATCAGCTGCTGCTGCAGGAGCTGCACTTCCACTTGCTGCTACAGCTGCACCACCTGTTGGTAAACTGGACAACTTCTTTGTACCTTCTTCGATGATTTGATCGATATTCTTTCCTTTGCATGCATCGATGACTTTTTGTGCTTTGGTATTGTCACAATCGACACCAACGCTGCCAAGAATCTTCGAGATGGTGGCTACATCGGGATTGGTATTACCAGCAAGTGTTGCAAGAACGTAAGCCGCTGCGTAACGCATTTCGATAGGTAAATCGGCGCGTAACTTTTTAAAGCGTCTGAAACAAACGGAAACATGGACGAAGTTGTTCGCGTCAAAATCATGCAGAAAAAGAAATAACGAAATGAAAATCTTCGGTTCGCTACGGTTGATGTTGAATAATCATTAAAATAAACATCAAACCTCGACGAAAGAGAAAACCTTATTGCATGATTGCATTAAAATGTTGATTTCGTTGCTTATCCATTGGTTCATTCTCTCTACCAATCAAATCCAACTAAACGCAAAGAACAAGAAAAGATTTTGTTTATTTTTTTTTCTTCTTACTGTTTTATCGTCTATTTCTTCTTCGTTTGGACTATATTCGATGTCATAACGTTATCTTTATTTCGGTCGAGACATTCCAATGATTATATTGATTAATATAACGCAACTAAACTGAATTTTATTTATTAACCAATCAATCTAACTTCTCTTTTCTTTCAATTCTTATTCATGAATATTCCCAAATCGGATTATCCACCCGATGTCGATATGCAGAGTACGTTGAATGTTTTCTAAAAAGGAACTTTTGATAAAAATTCATCAATTGTCGATCTAGGTACTAGCAGTGATGGTGATCTACTCGAATGGTATCCATCACAAGTCAAGGGACCAGTTGATGATGAAGTACAAGAAGGTAAAAACGGAAAGTTTTCTCGCGAGAATCATATTGACCTTGCTGGATTTGGTTTCCTTTTTTGTAGCTGATTTGATATCAACAATTGAATTCAATGAAGATGGCGAATTACTTGCCGTTGGTGATAAAGGCGGACGAATCGTTGTATTTCAACGTGAACAACAAGTATGTTGAAGATTAGTTTGGTACTGTTCGATGAGGAATGGAGTTGTGCTTTAGACTAAAACGTCACCACGTCGGAATGAATATAATGTTTATATAACATTTCATTCCCATGAGCCCGAATTCGATTATTTGAAAAGTTTGGAAATCGAAGAGAAAATTAATCAGATACGTTGGCTGAAACGAAAAAACGCTGCACATTTTCTCCTCTCAACAAATGGTAAAACCTTGAAAAAAACTTTGTTTCTCAAACTCACATCGTCTCTTCTAGACAAAACGGTGAAGTTATGGAAAATTTCTGAAAAGACAAAACGAGCCGAAGGATATAATCTTCGTGACGACAATGGAATTATTCGTTCAGCTAACTCACTAACTGATTTACGTATACCAGTGATAAAGTATGAAGCGACTTTTTCAAAAGGAAGAAAAACAATAATCTTCTTTGTAGACCGATGGAATTAATGGTCGAAGCAACACCTAAGCGTGTTTTTGGAAATGCACATACATATCATATCAATTCAATATCGTTAAATAGTGACCAGGAAACATTTTTATCAGCTGATGATCTACGAATTAATTTATGGCATACTGAAGTGACAGATCAAAGTTTCAGTATGTGAAAATTTTTTACTCCAACAAACAAAAAAGATACGAGAATAATCAGACAGAAGCTTAGATTTGTTCAAGTAATAAGTTTTTCCTCTATCGAGCTCGAAATTATTTCTAAATAACGCTGACAATACATAAAAAATATGAAACACTAATATTCGTTCATAGATATGCGCTCCTCTCTTCCACTTATGCCATCCGATGGTTATGATTTTCCTTTTGTGTTTAGATATTGTTGATATAAAACCACCCAATATGGAAGATCTGACCGAAGTTATAACTGGTGCCGAATTTCATCCACGTGAATGCAACCTCTTTGTTTACAGTAGCTCTCGCGGTATTATACGTCTTTGCGACATGCGACAATCAGCACTTTGTGATCGACATTGTAAAGGTATGTTTGTTGTTCAAAAGGATACTTGTCGGAGTCCAAATTTGTGTTTGAAATTTAGTTTTCGAAGAACCAGAAGATCCATCAACGCGTAGCTTCTTTTCGGAAATCATTTCGTCGATTAGTGATATTAAATTCAGTCATTCAGGCAGATATATGCTAACACGAGATTTTCTCAATCTGAAAGTTTGGGATTTGCAAATGGATAATAAACCTGTGGAAACATATCCAATTCATGAATATCTTCGTTCGAAATTGTGTGTTTTATATGAAAATGATTGTATCTTTGATAAATTCGAATGTGGTTGGTCGCCAAATGATGAGTAAGTTGTTCGGTTTGTCTTCGTGCATCGTTGACTTTCTTTTTCTTACAGTCATTTACTTACCGGTTCTTATCATAATTTATTCAAAATAACTTCACGTTTATCAAGAAGAGATGCAATATTTGAATCATCACGTGAACAAGCTATTCGTCCACGACAAATCTTAAAATCTAAAAAGGTGCTTCCATCAGCTCGTCGTAACCGTCGGGATGAAATCAATCCTGATAGTTTAGAATTCACCAAGAAAATCCTTCATTGTGCATATCATCCAACTGACGATATCATCGCTATTGCTACGGCACATAATCTTTTTACATATATTGCAAAAGATCCATCGTCACCGTTGTCATCTTAGACTGAATGAAGACCTATAGACATATATTTGAGCATGCATCGAAATGAGAAAAAACACATACACGTAGAGTTTATTTTGGTGAAGGAACGCCTTTAGAACTATTTTCTTGTAATATCATTCTCATCATGGAACCTCGGTGATTGTTTGCATCCCACTCTTGCACGCAAAAGCAAAACACATCATTTTTTTCTTTTCTTGTCTCTGTTCGTTCGTTCGTTCGTTTCTTCTTCATCTTAGTTTTCAAGAACTTCATCCCAAAACTGGACCAGTGAGATTTTCCAGTGCATCATCCTACTTTGTCTTCTTCTTCTTTCATTTAATACACACATACCATTCCAACGTTGGCATCCCTGTATTTTTCTTTCTTCTTTTCGTGTTGTTATTCTCAAAGAAAAGCGTATATATATATATATAGTATCTGTATGTGTCTATCTGTGTGCGTGTATTTTTTTTTATTGCTCCATTTTGTTCCCTATCATCGAATCAAAACACAAACAAAGATTGTAACTGTTTCATGTTTCTCTTCTTTTCTTTCATCTGTCACAAACTTTAAGCAAAAAAAAAGGATATAAACAAAACAATAAAATGTTTTGACAAAAAAATCTTTGCGAATAAAGATCTATGAGATATGAATATTTTCATCGTTGGAAAGAAAGATCAACAATCTTTGCTTGTTTTTTTTCGGGGAAAAAGAAACGTTGGATTTCCACTAAATATAGACTAGGTGACTTCGCTCAATTATGAAATTGATAAAAAATACATTTGTAAATTATAGTGACTCGAATATTTTCTATCGCCTATGGTGACAATAGAATAAATAAAATTCGATGCTCTGTCAAAACATGTAGAATAAGAAGGCATTTCCTCGATTGAGGTTTCTTATTTACATTGTCTCAGCCTATAATTTCTTTCTATTCGTATACCTTCTGGCAAATTAAGTCAGTTTTACGCATACATCATTCTCCGATAGTCGTGAAGGCTTAATGTAATGAAAAGAGCTCAAGTATTTATTAGTTAAGTGTATATATATATATATATCGAAAAAAATAATAAAAGCGCTAGGCGAATAGAAGTCACAACTTGCAGAAAGTGTCACAAAAAGCATGAGGATTTGTTCTTATGTATATAAATATCAGCGAAAAGACATCGATACGAATTGTTAATGTGTTTGATTAAAATAATTGACAGATTCATAAGGCGGTGGCATGTCATCATCGGTCAAATCTAAAGCAATCATATTCATCGGATTGACACAGATCGGTCGTGTCTGAGAATTGTCTGTTGACACTGTTCCAACAATCACAGGAACTTGAAGTTCAAAGTCAGTGAAAAGTCCTTTAGCTTTAACTTCAATTTTCAAATCGTAATGTAAATCGACATGAACTATTGTTCGGGTTCCGTTACTTCGATAACTGAATGTCGGAGGTATGCCAACTGGAATTGTCAATGAACATGACGCTTCGGCGTGTTGATCTTGATTGTTGGCTAATTCAGGTATGGATAGACGAATTAATTCTAATCGACGTCGACATTGTTCAATGTCATAGCGTTGAATAAAACAAACATCGATGCGTTTGATGGTTAAACGATTTGGATTTTGTATATCCAGTGACAACGTTGTTTGGTCACCAGGTAATACACCTGCTTGTTGTAAAATACCTTTCAGCGTCACATCTTTACGTTTCGTTCCGAATTTAACTGCACTTCGAGAATTACTGATATTATGAAGATTAACACGAGGAAAAATACGAATCGGATAACGATGACGATCGTTCGAATGGTACCATTTTTTTTCGAGTAAAACCTAGAAAATATCACATTCATACGAGTCACAACAAAACTGACAACATACTTGTAACTGATAACGAACATATGGATAATCTTCCGGATGTAATGTTGGCGGTAAATCTTCAGGTAGACGAATCGAAAATGGATACTTATACAATCCCGGTTCAAGTATGTTCAAATCAAGATAAGGTATGTCACGATTACTTTGATTCAGTAATGGACGGCCTAATAGAAACTTTTGTCCTAAAATTCGAACATTATGACCATCAGTTTTCCTTTCCATTTGCCCATTTTGCATTCGAACCGTGCGTACCGTTGTATAACCGATATCACCGGTTAATGACAAATAAATTTCATCGGTCTTTTTGGTTCGTTCGGTAATATTAAAATGAACTTGCCCGGATATAATATCACCCGCATGATAGATCGATGGTTGGGCTTGATCTAAGACAACATTAACTGAACTGGCGTTATTACCCATGGTGATTGTCAAAGTAGTTTGTGTTCAAATAAGAAGAAATACAATTAAAAATGTTTGTTATTCTTTGTTTTTTGAGTTTTCTTTCTTCTCGTCTTGTTAGTGTCACTACTTTATTAGAAAGAGAAATGCTGATCGTTGAGCGGAAATAAGAAGAAGAAGAAAAAAAAAAGAAGTAGAAGTGTAAAAATGCCTTGTGATTTTAATAGAAAAGAGTGCGGAGAAATAGCTGGAGTTTATTGTTTTTCAAAAATATGTCCTGCTTTTTCTACAACTTTCTTTCGAGACAATTGATGTTTAACGAAGAATATTATTTACCTGTTATTCCCATCTCGTTCACTAAAAAGAAGAAAAGAAAGGTGTGAAATAAAAGAAGAAGAAATTGTTACTGCTTAGTTCTTCAAGAGGGTCATAGGAAAAAGCAAGAGAAAATGCAAACAAGGAACACTTTCTCTTCGTTATTATTTGAGGACACTAACATCATGTAAAAAAAATGACCGAGAAAAACTTACAATCATGACGACCAAAGAATCTATCAAATGATTTGTCATGATGTTTATCCTTCCAAGCCACTGTGAACAGAATCAAAAACAAATAAAATGACTTCCTTACACAATAAAGTATAAATCTAGTCTCATCGATTATCACTTTCACTCATTCAATCGAAGGAGATGTTCATATGTAAATCACTGTGTGTCAAAGCAGAACAAAATTTGTGCCGACATGGTTCCGCGGAATATATAAACAAATAGCTTTCGTCAAAATGATGCTCTACAGTCCTATTGAGCTTTCTATCTATATGATTTCCGAGAACTGATCTCGCATTCGTCGTCCTCAGTCTGAGCTGCGCGGATAGTTGTCGGCCGTTTTGTTCGACCTGAGTGCATATATTTTGTGTCTTGTATGAATGGTTTTTGGAACCGAATGTTTTCTGACCTATTGATCGATCGTCAATGTCTTCAATATGGTTTCATCTCGTGAATAATGATGAACGGTGTCTTAAACTAAAATAAATGAATCAATGGTTCTTTCGAATTGAAAATATTTTGATTTTAATTAGGTTGTCTAACTGAAATGTAAGAAAGATTTTCTGATGAAGTAGAAGTTATTCGATATTACCAAATGTTCGATCAGTTACGTCAGAAATATCATCAGGGAACGTAAAGAGAGAACTGCTGTAAAGATCATAATTAATAGATTTTATTCCATCAGAAATAAAAGATAGTATTCAAGCTTTCATATTCATCTGAGTAGATCGTCAGGAATTTTTATACTTTTATTATTATACAAAAAAACTAACAAGGAAATTCAGAGAAACATGCGACTTGTGGTGATGATAATTGTGTTGTGAGCGTTGTTATTGGTCATGATGGTAGTATTCTTTCGATTTGAGGGTGTGGGGTGAGTGCGAAAATAGTGGTATAATTGAATAGTTGAAATACCTGGATAATTGAATATTTGAATTCAACTTTCCCCTCTATGAAACACTGTCTTCTAATACAAACTGCTATATTTTGAAGTAAAATAGTGTTGAAACCTTGAGAAATTGTAGCTGCTATCCGTTTTGAATATTGTAAAATGCACTACAAAATCTGACGTCTCAAATTTGAGAAAATCGTTACCGTGAAAGAACGCCAGGAAGAATTTTCTAGTGCGAGAACACATTCCCTTGTTTTCATCTGCATTGGAACATAGATATCGAAAAATAGGTCACGTAGATCCATGCAAAATCTTGGAAATGTTTTACAATTCTTCGAGAGCTGTCCTACATATTTGCTTCGTCAAAGAACATAATGAAAAGATTGAGTAAACACATGCAGAAGAATGTTGAACAAAATAAACCCATTCTTTTCCTCTGTGAATTTTATACACCCTTTTTCTGCACAAAAAGGAACATTTAAAAATAGTTTAGTCACAATAACATTAATACAAAAAAACGACGTAAATAGCACAGAGGTACAAAAAAGAAAATGAGGGTGTTAAATAAATAGAACACAACTGCATCCTCTTCATATCTAATCCTTAGGGAAAGTATAATTCGATACTTGTAAGTACTTCTTTGACGAAAACTGTCACACGAAGAATGGGAGTGATTGTCAAATAAATTAACATAATTTTTTGACAAAGAAGAGAAAAATTTATCGGTATTTCTTTTGTTCTTGACTATAAACGTCATTTTTTTCCATAGTTTGATCTATAAAATAATATCATTTCATTTATGTCATATTGCATTAAAACGAATCAAGTCTTTTTGTCCTATATATAAATAGAATTGCACATGCCGTTTGGTATAACCTTGACATCACAATAAACCGAACGCTACTGTTTGAATGAATAGGTATTCTTCTTTTTTTTTTGAAAAGATAACCTCTAATTCTTATTTTTGGTAGAAAAAAAAGAGAACAAACAAAATACATGTATGTATATGTTCTAAGACGGATGAGTATTGAGTAGTTGCATATCAATCTGAAAACCCATAGTGAAGTAGAAAAATGATTAATCAATATTGAAAAAAAAACAAGCTAAGTCTACATAAACAAAAGCTAACGGAAAAAGTCGATCAATTTTCACGACAGTTGTTTGGCGAATACGATGTGACAGGAGCGGATCGAACTACTTGTTGATCATTCATTCACTAGAATATTGAAGGATAGTTTCTGGAAGCGAAGAATGTGTGCTTACTCTGGCTTATGAAACAATCTTCACTTCTTCAACTTCACTTTCTTCGCTTGACGATGACGATGACGATGAGGATGACGATGTAGATCCTGATGACGAAACTTCTGTGCTACTCTCAGATTCATTGGATGACGCCGGACGAGATTGTTGCACTTGACCCTGAAGTTGAGCAGAATGATGCATAACGGTTGCTGCCGGATTATTTAAAGTTGAAGATGGACCAGGCTGCTCACGGCGAATTGTATCTTCTAGAGCAGCTGTTATAGCTGGATTATTGCTGAGTTTTACATGTTGAATGACATTGTTTGGTAATTTATCGATAACAACCGGTTCAGGATAGGAGGTTTCTCCTGCCGGTAAACTTGTGGGAATAGGATATTCTTCAGGGGCGCTTGGCGGTGCATATTCAATGTTAAATTGGCGACCTTGTAAATCTGGAATTTGACTAAAAACGAAAGGATGTTGTTATTGATTGATTAATACAAGGTATTTACTTTAACATATTGAGAAGACTTTCTTTACTCAATTCTGGAACATCTGTGATTGGCGATGGACGGTAGATTCCATTGGAGACTGAGCCGACTTGAAGTTGTCTCGATGAATTTTGTTGAGCGTTTAAACTGGATGATTGACTGTCTGACGACATGATGCTATTCGGTGATCCAAAATTGCTAGAACCTACAATGAATATCAAATGTAATGCCTATTGTTTGCTCTGGAGTTTTCTTTTTCTAAACATCTCTAGAGAAAAACACCTGTTCGATGAGGTGGAATTAATCGTAACGGACTTAAGACTGGTAGAGGTGGATTTATAGTATCTCGAGGCCGATTTAGAGGTGTCCGGAACGGAAATGTTTGCTGCCTTATAAGCGGTACAGGTTGAACTGGGCGAACGTATGTATTTTGCTGTAAATGTTGGATTGGAAGTCCAGAAGGCATGAGAGGAGGTGGTCGAGTAGGCCTTGGCAGAGGAAAGGGATTTCTTTGTAGTCGCAACTGTTGAGGAGCAATTGGTATTCGAAGAGAAGGACGTTGTTGAAAGGGTTGAACCGACCGATTAAAAATTGGCTGTGGTGGTCGCACAGGTATATTCGGTTGAATATTTTGTCTCATAAAATCGACGATAATGGGATCTTTTTTCTTATTTGGACCTGTTCTTTGCATTAATTGGTTGTTGACTGCTTCTCGCACTGCCTCTTCAGAAGGTGGAGGAGCTATGTCAGGATCATATCGAACCCTAACGATTACAGTGGCATCATCATCAGTCATATCAGCGTCTGATCTTCTCGAGCAAATCGACGTCCTGGTTGAGATTGTACCTTGCGTTGTCACAGCGCTGCTTTGTGGAACATGAACATCCATAGGTGCGGTAGCACTGGCAAATAATTTCGCTCTTGGACTACTACTAGGACCTGTTATGCGAGCGAATGGCGCCATTGTATGAGATCTCCGTTCGCTTTGCATACGATCATGCACATTACCGGCAGATAACGAGCTCGGCAACGGTATGAGATTTTGTGGAGCATTATTTTCGACGCTTGAGGTCCGACGTAATCGTCCTTGACGTCTTGAAAAGGTCCGTGGTTTAGGAGGTAGGCCAGCTAATTCAACAATACGAAGATAACTGATGATATACGAATGAATGTTTCAATACATACCATTATTGGGTAGAGCCTCCGGATTTTTTACTGGTTTCGTTGTATTTTTTATCTTGTGAGTACCTTTTAAATGTGGTGACGATGTTGGTTGCTTATCTTTGTATGTATGGTGTTTGGGAGTAGCAGGCGGAAGTCCAATATGGAGCTGATGGCCAGAGCTTTGGTTGCATAGAATTGCATGTGTAAGATTGGAATTGATTATTGGTTGATATATAAATTGACGAGTAGGCGATAGTTGCGGATACATGTTTTGCTCATTAAAGGATACTTAATCTTCGATTACTGCACTTTTTTGCTTCTTATCGTTTATTGAAAGGAAAAGTGTAGCAAGACAAGACCAATAAATCGACCGACTACATTTACAAGGTGTATAGCACGTACTTATATAGAAAAATTGCCTTGAATCATTTCTGTTATTATCTAGTTACGACTGAATTGGTTTATCTACCTGTAAAAACTTGTTCGATGTCTATTTGAGATAGATTTTCATGACCGATAGGTTAACCTACGTGAGTACTTGATTCAAACTTGAGTCTTTTGAAAAATGACCTCCTGCTTTTCTTTTCCATCATCGTAGCGCGACGATGAAATGCTCTGAGAAGGAAAATCAAATGAACGACAAAACCTAGCATACCTTGTTCAACCAACAGATACAACACACTGATATCTTTCTTCGATCGTTTGCTTCAATTTGAAAATGATTAATGTTTAATGAGAAAAAGAAAACGAAAAAGAAAGAAACGTTCTCTCCAGTTTACACCTCAATGCTCTTTACGTATTGAATATGTTTTCGAATGACAATGAATAGTTGTCATTATCATAAGTATATGAATATATATACACGCGTCTCACGCTTGACCAATCTGCTCATCAATCATGTTACATGTAAGAAAGAATCGACAGAACAACGAATTCATATGCCTGTTTAAATCAAGTCACAAGCATTTTCTCGAATACAGAGAATGATCATGAATGATATGCGAAAGCGACTTTTCTTTCGGTCAAAATCAAAGTGATATAAGAGCAGGTACAATAGCAAAACATATCACTGATGTTATAATCGAAGTCTCATTTGCACCGAGTATCCTGAAACCGTTCGTTTGCTTCGACTATCATTCAATAAAACAGTGAATGTCGAACTCAAGGTAATTTCTTCTTTCGATTAAGAACGGAATATGCTCTCTACCTAACTGTACGAGTGCAGAACCGATCGTCGGATAACACTAAACTTCAAAATAGTTTGTGAATGAAAGATTAATCAGATATTTATGTCTACTGCAGCCAAGGTTTAAATTTGATTAATAAGGAAGGAAATAAGATTCGAAGTTCGTTTATTCGATCAATTATATAAAAGCAAAACATTATTTTACTAAAAGAAACTGACTTTACGTCAGATTCGATGTCGATCACGAAACAAGTTTTTTTGATTGATGTTTTTTGAATAAATCTGTACGTAGAACTCGATAGAAAAGAATTGGATTCATAATCCAAACGCCAGGAATAAGAACGTACATCACATACATATAATTCAAATTTCCTACACGATACCGATCTTGATAAACAAAGATTGTCACGAAAATCAACATGCCAATTCGACAGAGTAGAAAAGTGAAAATATTCAAAAACATGTTCAAACGTACAATGATATGACCACGTGGAATTTGATAGAGGTGAAACAGTTTTCGAGCATGTAAAAAGATCGAATTAATTTCAGCTATTAACGCAAACATTTGGTAACCAATATTGAAGACACGAAAGATATTAAAACTGAAGAATATCAGAGTCTAAATGAGAATGAGACAGAATAAAGATCTGATGATGATTGAATCAATCATTCATTCATTCGACATTTGTCCTTGAAGCTTATCTCTCTATGCTCAATGACAGATATTCGAAAAGCTCGACTTACCAGAACATGATGAAACAGCAGTTCCATCATTTCAGATCCTCGTCGATTCGATAGAACATCACAGAAATCATACCAAAAATAGCCTAGAAATGAATCTCAATCAACCCATGCATCGACTCTCCATCCTTCATACGTACCATAAGACAATGCACATGTCAAATATGTCACTAAAGTTACATGAGTAACGAGATCATTAAACATATGTGGTGCATATGCCCAGAAACTGTATATAACTAAGACCCCAGTAATGAACGAATGTATCCAACTCACTAGCAGATTCACTCGTTCCCATTGTTGATCATCTGGACAAGTTAGAAACGTGTGAACATACGATTTGGAGGCAGTTCGTTTGGTTTTTGTTGATGCTGGACGCAGAAGACTGATTGGAAGTATTAGATAACGACAAAGTACAAAAAATGCGAAGGAGAGGAGTGTCCAACACACACCGAGTGTTGCACTAATAGCGACCATTGATCTAAATATGTGTCAGTTGAAGACAGAAGCGAATAAATCGAAGAAAAAGTCATTTGTTTTATTCTTGTTTAAGCTTCACAAAGAAAAAGCGTGTCAAACATCACTGTTGTCACAAGGAAAAAGACATATACACATCAAAGACAATCGGAGGGAATGTGTGATGATCTCCAAGGAATGAATTGAGGCACTATCTGACAACATGAGTGAAAAATATTATCGCAACAGAAAAAATTCATTCAAAAGCAAATAAATACAACTGAAAAAAAAATTTTCGCTCGTTTTCTCTTCTCGTGGACGGCGAAAGAAAAAAAAAGGCATCTTTGGCACTTGATAGACATAAAAGCATAGAAGCAGCAGCAAAGTAGATAAGAGGAAAAGAAAAGAGAACATTTTTATCATATCAAAAGGATCCTTCTCTGTTAAAGACGTTTTACTTCATGTTCATTGAAGCGTTCCAAAATTAGATGACGGTGGAGTATCGAAGTAGAAGTCGCGTTTTCTCATTGTTTCCCGAGCAAGTTTTTCATCAAATTCCTGTAAATACAAAACAAAACAACGTAGCAATTAAAGTGACAAGAACAAGATTAGTAGATTAATGTTATTCTCTGAACCAATCACCGATGCATCTAGTCTATTTACTCTTTTCTCAATAAAGAATTTGGCTTTGTCGTTGGAGTAAATCGAAAGAAGATATCTGACAAAAAGTATCGACATTTTCATTGATAATGATCAATGATGAATAAGGAGAAGAATATAAGTGAAACTGAATGAATGACAACGAAATGTATTGAAGGGGAAGAGACAGAAGAGTTTTCTTACTAAAGTTCGCGCCTGTTGTACAGTTCGAAATTCCATCCAATCACTTTCGAAGGTTGCTTGAAGTTCTTGTAATTTTCGTGTTTCAAATTCGACACATTGTTCTAATTTTTGTCGCTGAAATCAACAGAAACAAACTTTCGTTTCGAAGATGAAAGTCGAGACTTACTTGAATCGCTAACAGTTCGTTTCGTGCTGTTTGATGTTTATTATGAAGAGCTTCGATCGATTGGTAATGTTTCTCTTTCAAACGTTCTTCGTAGGTTCGGTAACGTTCGTGTTCATCATTTTCGAACTGAAACATCGGCAGGTAAACGTGGGATAAGAAATGCAAGTTTTACCTTTCGAATGAGAAGTTTTTCTTCTTCTGGTGGAGTTTTGTTGATGAGTAACTGTTGTCGGAATTGTTTGCTTCGTGTTTTTTGTGTTTTCTTCCATAGTTTCGGCCAATCTCTTCGATCGTCAGCAAGTCGAGCTTCTAGTGCGTCTCGTTCGAAACGTACTTGATCGTCTAGTTGTTGGATTTCCTTTTCTGATTGTTGGGTTAACATCGTTCGAAATAAGGTGTAGAACGCTTTGGTCTGTCGTCGTAGTAGTTCATATCGCGAGCGTAATTCCAGTTCATCAATGTCGCACAATTCCTGTTCGTGAGTTTTTATGAGATTTTGTTTTTTCAGACGATATTCATTTTCCAGTCGATCAATACGTTGTGCATAGTAGTTTTCAACGTTTTTGAGTTGATTGTTGAGAAGACGTTGTTGGTTCTCGAGATATTCTTTCTCGCGTGAGTAGGATTCGTCTTCTTTTTCAGTGATATAGCGTTTGAGTTGTTCTTTGGACAGTTGGGAGTCTAAGAGAGTTGAAATTTCGTTGTGGGAAAAAAGGACAAAAGTAGAGTTTGACTAACCATTGGATGAATCGTATTCACGTTTGATTTGTTTGATCTGTTCACGGAGTTGTTCGCGGAATTGCTTGAAATCTCTCTCTTGTTCTAATCGAAGAAAAATTAGTTTTAAGCAAGTGAAAATGTTGATCGATCGAACCTGATTTCATCTGTTTAATTTTTTTGTTATATTCATTAGTAAGAAGAACATTTTCTCGTTCGATCTCGATTTTATGCTTTTGTTCGATCGTTTGTAATTCGATCTCATATTTTCTCATTAGTTCTTCTCGTTTACGACGAAACTCGTGTCGCTGTTCGTCAATTTCATATTCATGACGAAGTAATAACTGCTGACGACGTTTTTCTTCCAAATGATACAATCGACGAAATTCTCGATGAGCTTCTTTCCTAAATTTGGAAAAATTGGATCAAGAACTGAACGATTTCGGTTCGGTTTTTACCGTTCAAGTAATCGTGACTGATAATCATTCTGTGGTTCTTCGATTTTCGTCGTAACAATCTCGGCTTGTTTACCATCAGGTCCAACAAACCGTCTTGTTGTTCGGATCGTTCGCCGACGGTTCGATCGAGCCTGAAATGCGCAAAAGCAATTACGTTGAGATTTAGTAAACTAAATATTTACTTGTAATGAATTCGCCTCCTCATTGACTGTTGGTATCAAGATGAAATTGGAATCAGGACTATTCCCATTGGTAACCGCTTGTCGAACACTATTGTAATAATAATCAATGTTCCCGTTGGTATTGGTCGTTGACGATGGAGCTACAGCTGCTTGATGTTGTTTGAAGAAATAAATTGAATTGTTATTGTTTTCATTTTCAAATTCTGGTCCGATGTCTTCGTCGTCGTAGAGTTGATGATCAATACTGAGATCATCTTCTTCTTCTTGTTCATCGATTTCATCATCAGCAGTGAGATCGGTGATAACCGAAAGAATAACTTCGGGAATAGATGGTTTTTCGAAATCCGATTGAATGACTTCTTCTAATAGTTCGTCGTAGTATGATTCACAGAGTTTATTGAGCTTTCGTTCAGCCAAATCTTCCATTTCTAGACGATTGATCGATATATTCGAAGCGATACGAACAGGAAAATCATCCTGTTCGACTGGGCGAGTAGACGCTACACTTTGAATAGATGTTGGTTTCTTTTCAGATGAATTATGTGATGGAAATTGAGTTGTAAGTACTATTGGAGCTTTCGTAGTGCTGTTACTAGCAGTAGTAGTTGTACTATTACTGTTCGATGTGAATAGAGGTAATGGCGGAGATTTTTGTCCATTAGTTATGGTCATTGATAAACTAAAATGTAGGCTGAATAAGAAACCGTATTGATGATTTACGACAGGACTCCGTGTGGATTGGGATAAAATAGATTTTGAAGATCTTTCCTCTCCTGTGAGACGAAAAAGCATTCGACGCTCTATCTCATCCTATTCAAAAGGGGAGCCCTGATTTGTAGTCTATGACTTACCCATTCGAAGTATCCAGTGTTTCTTGATTGTCTTCATTGACAACTGGTGGCGGAGGGAATGCAATATCTTCATAATGTGCTTCATTCGATTCTGTCGAATTTTTCTTTTCATTTTCCATTGGTGCTGAAAGTTCATCACTAAAAGATGATGATGATGATAGATCATTCGCCTCATCTAGCGTGCCATTATCATGTGCAGGATTGTTCTCTATCGTTTTATTCTGAGTATTAGTCTCTTGATTATCTTTGGACTGAAATGAAAAAGCAAGAAAAACATGATGAGAAAGCAAGTTTATCATTGAAACGTAATACTTGAGACTCGGGTGCAACGATTTCCTCTTCAACGACTTCAACGACCGGTGTTGCTTTATACTCTTCAAGTAGATAAAGGATGGACGAATGAAATTCTTTTGTATTTAACATGAATGGATGTTGTTTCAATTCCTGACAAGTTTTACGTTCCATTGGATCACGTTTTAAGCAACATGACAGTATATCCGAAAATTCTTTACTCCAACGATTGACATCTTTTAACGTTGGTGGTATCCCTTGACGAATCTTCGCACCAACACGTTCAGCTCGTACTTCGTGATGTGGTGGATCCATTTCAGCCATTTCAATTAAAGTTATTCCAAATGACCAAATATCAACACGATAATCATAAGACATATCCGTATTTGCCTCACAAAAGAACACTTCCGGTGCCATCCTATAAGAACAAAGACTCGAACGATGAAACACATGTGATCGACGATCTACATACCAGTATACCGTTCCGATGTAATCATTTCGTTTTTGATTTTGATGCCCATTTTTTGCCGATACACCGAAATCAGCTAATTTGATTTGCCCTGTCTGTGTGAGAAGGATGTTACTCGCTTTGACATCACGATGTATAACAAACTGTTGTGTATGTAAATAATCTAAGGCTTCGAGCACTTCATGCCCAATGAAACGTATTTGTTTTTCATCTAATCCATGTTCAAGTGTGGTAATGATGTGATCGACAGCACCATTTGTACAATACTCAAGAAAAATATATAACTTCTTTTCAAATAAATAAGTATCGAATAAATTAATGATATTCTTATGATTACACTCAGTTAAAATGTCCACTTCAACTAAATGATCAGGTAGTTCGTCATCTGTACAATCTTCGATGACTTTGGCAGCTGCGAATTGTTTCTTTTGTTCATTATATGCCTGATAAACTTTGCCGAACGCACCATCACCTAACTCTTTGATTAATTTCCATTCGTTTAAAGGCGTTTGTTCTTTGTAAAGACGAGCCTTTTTCAATAAGCTTTGTTTGGAATGTTTCGAGGAAATTGTCTCGTTACCGGTCGATACATTAAAAATATTTTTCAAACGTTTCAACATCAGAAATCATAGAATTGGCAATAGGTGAATAAATCTCATCTAGAAAAGAAAAACAACAACGAGAGAATGATACATTGTTCGTGTCAATAATCTCCGCACGGCTAACTAAAGAAAAGAGAATTTTTTTCATCGAGTTTTATTTCGTTCTCATTTCGATACAAAATTTAACGAGAGTGACCAACAACGAGTGTTCACACGTTTATAGTAGCGATTTTGATCTGCTATAGATGTCACCAGTAGCATTTCACATAGATTTTACTCGAGATAAAATCAAAGTTGATTAATGAACAATAATCATTATCGATTTTATTCTGTTTGAAAACGATCCTGGTAGAACTAATTGTTCACTAGCGACATCTCATCGAGTGCCTTTGATTGAACATTAAGAAAGATATAACAGTAAGGCCTAACCGATCGTGAATAGAGAAGTATCGTGAGATACAAATCTAACATCTTCCGACAGTAATCTTCGTGCTTATCGAAAAGTCATGTTTTCTCGAAAAGTGGTTTAGTATAAATAAAGCTCTTGCATTTCAGGAAACGAACAAAGATTAGATCGGTTCTTTTGCGCTGAGCGCTTGAACTGAGTTGATATGTCAGCGTATTTTTATGAGTACAAAGTAAATTCATGATTGATGAACTTCCATCTCACCAGTACCGGAAATCTAATTGAATAATGAATCCTTCGAGGAAAATTCTATTACACATCTCATTGAGCCATCATCTTTTGTGTGCAAATCGACTTTACATTAATCATCAATGAATCTGTCGAACTAATTATGTATACGCAAAGGATTTGTTTTCACAATCTACATGTCTAGTCAATAGCATTTCTTTCGCATATCATAAGATGATTTGAGTAGCTTATTCGATTGAAATCTGCGTTACCTTGAATTATTTACTAAAACTAATTTGTACTCTGTCATTACAACGAGTATCATGTGAAGTGTAGAACCTGTCAGCTTATTTAATTAGGAAAACTTTCATTTGAAAACTAATTTCTCAGTCTGTTTTTCGTCATGGAGAAAAGAGAATGTATTCGATGAGAATATGTCATCTTCTGTCATTCATCAACGACAACCAGTCCCATCTCGACGAAAATAATCGCCTTTATTTTTCTATTCATTCGATGCTTCTCCGACCATCGGTTACATCATCGACCTTCAAAGATAAATATGATTATTGCTGAGCTATTCGATAATGAGCTTTTAATTGAAAGTAACTTTATGTAGAAACATTTCTCTAACAGTCCAACCATTCCACAACATTGCATACTTTCATCAACGGATATCTCAAGTGTCGGTTTATTCATAACAGAAGTGGAAAATTTAAATGGTTAGAAGATTTTTTTTTCTCCAAACTTCGACCTTGCATTCGATTTAATTGAAGTATTGTATTCATTTGAAGTAATTATTTGTCGATGATGACAATTCGTTGATTAGACAAGTATACATAAGTGGACTGACGTGGATAGACGTACATGTTCAAGTATCATCTTTCCTCTTTGTCTTGTCTTCTCTAACAATTGATTTTCTCAAAATCTTCAGTCAATCACAAACATGATCGATGTTTCAAAGTCATCTGACATGTCCGTCAGATCGATTCTTCTTTGTACGACATATCATCGCTGTCAGTAGGAAAGGCGAACTCCTTTCCGTCTAAATAAACTTCAAGTGCAATAAAAGAGTAATTGATCGTGTTTGTTAATAGTATCCACGTTATTCGCCTATTGCTATTGATCTCGATACAAGAAGATAAGTACGTTTAATAATAGGCTGAGAAATCGTGTATTTTATTGTGTAATTACATAAATGTCTTCGATTTAAGCATTTTATTTGCTAATAGACATGGAGTCAATGACTTCTTTCTTTGAAAAGTGGGCGTGGAGATTGTTAATAATCAGGAAAGGCGTTGTGCTCGTTAGAATAGAACACGATTTCGTTACGCATATGCCTGATCTTGTTAGTGACTTTGTGTGAAGAAAATCGGTGTGCTTTCGGAGAAAAGTCACATCAGATCGAGTTGGATCTAATCTGCTTACTGTGTCAGTTCTTTCCTTCTTTTCTTTTTTCAACGGATGTTAAAAGTAGTCAAGAAGTGGTTGAGAAAAGTCAGAGATTGAGGAAAAAGCGACAGTGCAAAGCGGAAAGTCTTGGTAAAAGAAGAAAAAGGAGTGAAAACAGTGATAGTAATACTACACGTCATCAGTTTGCTTTTCTTTTCTCATGTGCTATATGAAAAGGAACCGTGTATTCTTCCGCCAATGAGTCTAGTTTCAATTTACACCTGAGGAATCGTGTCGTTGTATGTTCAACACCTCTCATATTGTTTAATTCTTAAGGAAGTGAAGATGTAGGAGCGCATGTAAATGGAAAGAGAACATCTACAAGAAAAGAAAAGGAGCTAAGCAGAACTCCTCCTGCACTTTATCTTCCATCCATTCATGTCTTTATCTTTTCCTCGAGTAAGTCGCAATGTTTTCTATTTTGTCAAAACAATAGAAAAACGAATGAAATCAGACCATGGTAAAAAAAGACGTCATCGATCCTCATTAGAAGTTTTTCTGGAAGTCTTCGTGTCATTTTCTGTTTATCTACTATATACTGAACACCCACATACACGCAAATAGAAAGAATAATATACGCAAAACAGGCGGCTCTCTTTGACGGCAGGTTGTTTTATGCTGTCAACATTACCCAAGCATATCTAAACACTTTTCTCATTTTTTTTCTTTCTTTCATTCTTTTAAACGTTGAGATGATAGATAAGATTTAACTATTTGTCTATATGAGAAGAGTAATTATCGTGAATTAACCGTCAAAACGAAAGAAAAATAATTGCATTGATCGTCAATTATTAAGGCAAAGAAACGATCTCGAAGAAATGCTTTTCATCATCTCGTCATCTGACAATAGCAAAGAGCGATGTTCATTCCTCGATCTATTCCACCAAGACAAGTTAGTTAACGAAGAGCAAGGAGAAAAACGTTTCTTGCCATCCAATTTGCAGCACATACCCCATAGACGAGTTCGAGTTATCTCAAGGTAAAGAACACAGTTCGAACAGGAAAATTTGCACGTCTTGCTTTTCTCTCTGTTCATTCACCTATCAGAATTGTGAGTCAATACTGATTTGTGTTCTTAGGTAGTGCATAGTATTATATTCCGTCTTAATAATTCATACAGAATAGGAGCATAGAATCAATAGAAATTCTATCAGAATGAATTATTTATTCGATAGATCATACGAGAAAATATCATTAGAATATGATTAAGGAACGAAATAATGATCGATTGAAGAAAACTCTTGTTTGATCAAATTGAAAAACGAAATTTTCGATCTATGATTTTCCCTCTTGAATTACCACCATTTTCAGCTTGCAGTTCGAATCGAACAGACAAAGACAAGAATTTGAAATCATTCTGTATTCGAACTCTCCAACCTAATGATCATTTCCCTTGGGTATGATTCGATTGATGTGCACATGAAGTTTTTGACAATAATACTGACTTTTTTATGCATATTTCTACAGCAAAATATTCATTAGAAGAGAGGTATGGGTATGGCAATTAATTAAAAACAACAGTTTTTTCTAACACATCGACACTAGCCATTAATAATTCTGTATCGGAAAGAACAAGGATGACGGTGTATTTAGTCTAGAGGAAAGAATCCTGCAGCCTAAAGGTATATGCAACGTGCCAAGAAAGAGCAAGAGGGAGAGAGAGAGAAATAGGCATCTGGTTGATAGATAAAAAATGAGAAAAGAAGTTGCCAGAAGATCAGTTGACATGGAGTTTTGTTTGACCTTGTTTCATAGGTCGTATTTGACTATATTGAATAGAGCTTTATTAACTAAAAGACTTGGAGAGATCTGTCAGGATATTGATACATTTTTTTATTGTGAGCAAACATGACAGGATTTGTCAGTCAATGACATATTTCCGACAACAGTCAAAGCCAATTGCGAGTATTGTTTTGCGAATTCTCCGAATCAAAACATGTTCTTAACGATCGTTTATTTAATTAATCTTGATTTGTAAACTATACGAAAAGATCAGTAGTTTTCATTGTTCGCTCAGTACTCTTTGTAAATGTCAGTCAGTTGTGTTCGTTGATGTCCTCGGTTATTTTTCTGTGTGCATGGAGAACGTCATCTAGATTAGATTTTTATTCAGTCTATTACTCATTACATACATATACACAACTGTCATGTTTGGATGAGTTCTTTTCTCATTTGTTTTTTCTCTCGTCGAACTAGATGATGTCTGGTAATCGACACTCGTGCCAGCGATCATACCGAGTAACGTTGAAATTCAACTTTGTCACTGTTTGATTTAACTTGAAGACAACGAACATGTCGCAAATGTTATCAGTGCCGTTGAGTCGAGTACGTTCGCCGAAATTGAAACGGCAAACCCCGGTGGAAGATGAAATCGATGGTCAACCACTTCATCCAACGCGATCGATTGTATCCGATCATGAATCGAACTCATCACGTTCATTGTCACCGTATTGGCGAATAATTACAGACCCTGATTCATCATCAAGTTATTTGGATGTACCTGACACAACGAATACCAGTCGCCGGTCGTCGAATAACAGTGTCGTGCGATTCAGTTCCCATGATACATCGGATATATGTTCAATTCTTGATATGAGCGTAATGCAATCGACTAAAATCGGTTCTCATTCATTCATTCATCCATGCATGTTTTTTCTTTCTAGTGTGAATCGGAAAATTTGGAAAAAGCGATTATTAATAATGATAAGTATACCGTTCGTCGAATTATTGACATTCATCAAACCAAATTTAATCTGATTAAAGAACGTTCGAGTATGTCACATACTCAATCAGGATTTCATATTCATCCACTACCACCCACACAAGTACATTCGCATACGAACACATCATTCGGCTCGCCATCAATCACCAGTAACACCGATTTACTCGAAGGATATAGTAAACAAGCATTATTTAGTAATGACACTGATGAGCCGCAATCACTTGCATCACCTGAACCTACAACGTCAATGTTTGATGCTGCGAGCTGTGTGTTAACGTATACAACAGGTCCGCTGGCAGCAGCATTGATTAATGCTCATCAACATGCGCATTTAACGTCAAATCCTTCATCTTTAAACATCAATTCACCGATACGTGAACGTTGTGAAACTGAGCACGATTCAATGTTTACTGCCGCAACAAGTTTCCACAAGGAAATAAGATATCCAACCAGTGATTCGCCCAATGATGCACCACCTATCTTTCGCAACGTTTTACACCTCGCAATTATGTATGGTAAGATATGCACTTGACATAATTATAGCGCCTGAGAATAACAAAAGATATAATCATAAATTTGTGTGCTGACATTGTCAGTTAATTTTATAGAAGACACTTGTAAATTGATAGTGCTAATTAAATAAATCATATGCTTTCAAATTAGATTCTCGAGATGTCATGCGCATTTGTTTGAAATATGGTATTGACCCAAATGCATCTGGTGTTCATCCGAATTCGACTCAGATTCTACCAGATACCCAATTATCTCCATCGAACGCATTATCTCAAATAGCTGCTCGTCTATCACCCGACTTACCAAGTGCATCGTCTTGTCGGAACGGTACTCTCGATTATACCGGTTACTACACAGCTGAACGTTTATACACCCTCCCACCGTTATTCTTGGCTGCTCAACGTAACAATCACTATGCGTGTATACTTTTACTTCGATATGGTGCCAATGTTAATGTTCGTGATGAGCTTCTCTGTAGTCCTTTACATCTGGCTGCCCGTTTACAACACAATGTATGTGATATTCTTATATCTCACCATGCATCGATAACAATCGCGAACAAATACGGCGACACACCGTTGTCCTTATGGCCGAGTGTCAAACATTTACAAACGAATTTCGTCGAGCGTGAATTTCGGAAATTATGCCGGAAACATTCAGCGAATTCGAAACGATATCGGTTCTTAGCTCGAGATACTGAACATTATCAGACCACTACATCTTTGCTTAACTATAATAACACATCGATCAACAGTGGTTTTATTCCCGGAAATGGTTTACGGAATTTGAGACGAGTTTTTCGCTACAGTGGAAGTGATTCGTACGATTCGAAATCGTTCAAAAAAAGTTTTTCTTCTCAAAGTTCAATGGGCAAGTCTCGACGAATCTTCGGAACCAACGCGCAAAACAGCATCCAAGGCGCTTCGGGTCTACCAAGCGAATCGCGACAAATCTCGGAAGATCGCGACGATGTGGAAAATTCACACACAGGAAGATTATCCCATACAAAACGAAAAGTAAGCTCTCTTTCGAAACCTGTTCCACATGTTATCAAAACAACTCTCCTATTTACCTTAAATCTTGGTTCTTTCTCTCTTAACTCTCTTTAATGTAATTTCCGTTCCGAAAAGGAAGTGCATGTTCTCTTATTTTCCAACATTATCTTCGTTCTTCATTGTACTTTCAAAGCTCTCTATAGACATAAAAGAAAAACATTATTTGAAGATATTCCTAAGTTTTCCATAAACATTACTCGAGAAAAAAAGACCTCATCGCTTTCAAGTAGATCGATTTTTCTTTCTTTTCTTCGAGTGATTTGTCAGACGACATACATCGAACAAAATGTCTGTGTTCAATCAAACTCACTTCTCCTTCCTTCTCTACTTCTCATCGATTTTTAGGCCGGCACTGCATCCTTAGCTGCCAGTATATTACATGCTCATAAAACCTCTCGACAACAGCAACAATCGACTGTGCCAGCAGCTCAAACATCAACCGAAAGTAAGTTCTCAAATGTCAACTGAATGTATTGATCTTTTCCATGCTTACACAACACAAATGAGTGTCGATTTTCTATGCAATATGTTAATATAGGGATGAAATGAGTACAACATCTTGCACATTCTTCGGTTAATTGAACTTTGAAGTAATAAATAGAGTGTTTATTAGGGGTCATGTTTGTTTTAAAATGTACGTGACTATTAACAACGCCTTGACAAAAATTGTCATTAATAAAGAGAAAATTTTGAGCATTTCTTTATTACCTGATACATCTTTTGAACATTATGTAGTACAACATGTGTTTAATTTCGTTGTTGTCAATTAATCGCTTCTAGAATAATCAGTCTTACTTGACGTAAGACATTCAATGAGAATCCGATACATTTTGTTGGACGTCATCGAGTATGAAGCGGAAATAATCGATGTTTTAGCCTCTTTTTTTTCTTGATGTTAACTATGAGAATCTGAAATCTTGTAATTGGATGAACGTTCTCATTTATAGACTAGGGTTTTCTCTACTTGAACACGATATGTCTCGATTTGTCTATTGAATGTAAAATAAAGATGAAAGAGCTGTTTTTCCGGACATTTTCATCTTTATTCCGTTAGTTTCTAGTACCTTTTATGAATACAAAATCGATTTTTCCCTTCTTTTCGATTTCTCATTTGTCAGCTTTTGACTGTCACTTGAAGATTTAATTAGAAAAAACATTAACCTTTCCTTTTATTTCTCCTCTCATTGTCAGTATTAATATATCAACGTTTGAATTCTTCTCTCTTTTTCAAAAACGGTTTTTTTTCCTTTTTTTGTCTGCTTTAGACAACGCACTCAATGATCGTCTCAACAAACGATTTTGTGAACTGAGTCGATTGGCGACAAATATCGAATGTATCGATCAATTGATGGATTTATTGCGAGTACAGAATTCCATGGACGAAATTTTAACATTGATCAGTCAAGTTTCCTCGTCGCAAGTCCATGCTAGAGTTGCCGAGTTGCTCCAAACGTTACTTAATGTAAGTTCCGCTTTTCTTCAATAATCCAGGGAGTTGTTTCCATGTTCGAATCGAAATTCATTGGATAAAATCGTTCAATAATTGCATTAGTTTCTCTTGTGTATAAAGAACTGAACATATGTGACAAGAAAGACAAAATCAGTCGATTTCTCACCATGGAATCTCGAACGACTTGCCATCTTTATGCCAAATAATGCATGTGGCAAAAAATTGTCTGTCATCTTCATATGTTTTAATCATTAGGGCTTTCATCTTTCAATAATAAAAGAATACTATCACTTAAGGTCAAAGAAAGGCATAAAAAAGAGGGTATAAATAGAGAGAGAGAGAGAGACAATGCTTGATATAACATGACTCTATACATGAGTAGAAACAATTATCTAGCTGTAGTGGAAGAATATCGTATGTGTCCTTGAGAAAATGAATTCGAAGGTGGGTTCGGCGAAGTTTCGAGGACGTCTGATATTCCGGTTAATTTGTTTAGACATCTTATCAAGAATTTCTGCGAAATCACGACAAACGTGAACACATAGAGAACTTTCAAACGCATACAAAGAAGCTGATTGATATTTCCTTGGAATTACTTTCGAGCGATACGGCGAATATGCAATATTTAGCATTGTTGACAATCAACCGTTTGTATGACATCTATGTTTATCATAATTTGATTAATCCGGGGAGATACAATGCTTGTTATATTCCCACATCACGTCGACAATTAAATCAACATTTAATCAATCAGTCTGATGAGCCAAACACGAAAACGGTTAATAATCGTTCGAGAAAGTCATCCACATTATCAACTATTCTACGACGAATCTCACGTGAAAACGAAGAAAAACGAACGTCTACTGTTGGCACTGGACCGACAAGTTCCAAATCGACATTTAATTCAACGCAAAGTACGACGACAGTAGGATTACACAATGCCACATCGAATGACACGCCATCTCAACCGCCGAAACGATGGATTTCATCGACAAGTCATGAGAATATCCTCGCTTCATCGTCAACATCAACATTAGTACAATCTGCAAAGGGATCAACACCAGACCTCTCGAAAACTTCCCACATGTTGAATTCCGACACGATCACGCCTCTTTCAATCGATCATTCCAATACAATCTATACATTTGAACCATTTTCACTTCTCTATCAAATCGAACCCATACATTTATTACGTCTGATGCGAACACGTTTAGACGCACATCGAATAGAATTCAATAATCGACCGAAATGCGTTCCATCAACACGTGCGCCGATTTGTACTCATCATTGCGTTGTCATTTTAGCGGCTAGATTGCTTGCCATCCTCTGTCAAGATCATACATTTCAAGGAAGATTGATTGGTACAAAAGAGAATCTCGTTATCATAATCGACATGTTGAATATCAACAACGATCCGGTAATTGTGAATTAGTCGAAATGATGTTTTATTGTCGTTATTGTTTTTAGCATCTGATTTGTCTGATTTTACAAACATTGGGTGTAATTGCATTGAATCCTGATTCTCATGAGATTCTGACACAAGCTGATATACCTGATACGGTTTTACATCTGATTTTACCTGCAGATGAGATGTTTTATACGAATCAAACTACCAAATTCGCACGTTATGTGAAACATCTCGGCGCGCGAATACTGGTTTACATGGGCTTGTTAACAAAAGTCAGCAATAAAGTTAATCTATTTGATATCCTTGGTGAGTACATTTTAAGTCGAATAGACATAAAAGTACGTAAAAACTTGAATGGTTGTGTGCCTAAGATCTAATATATTTTCGAGATTTAATGACATTGTTAAGTAGTGCGATGTTGATCTAAGTCGAGTAGAAAGGATAATTTGATAATTGAATTTAGATGTTGAACCTGAACCACTCGATTGCGATAAACCACAGTCGTTTGAAAACAACTTCGTTCATCACATGGCTATTGGTGAAACGATCGTCGGAACTTTATGGGCATCGTTTGCTGGTATCTGCATCGAAAAATTATTAGATGAGTTACTCAAAGTGAGTCGAAATCTTGTCTTTCGAATGTTTCATATTCATTTTTTTTTCTATAAAGAATGGGATTAACCAAAAACGATCGACTTCAAAAGAATCTCAAGATGTTTTACAAGTTCCGACAAGTCCAACGTCATCCGCTGGTGTTATTAACTCCAGTGATAATCTTCTCTATAATCTTTCGTATTTATCATCTGTGATACATCCTGTTATCATTCTTCGTCTACTCGAACATCGTATTTTTACTCCACTGTTCAAGAAGAAGTCCGTGATAACGAATCCTCCAGTTCTCACACAGGATCAAAAACCTCTGAGCAACAATCTCGCCTCAACTAACATTACTACATCGGTACTTGCATCAATTCCGACATTACCACGACCGGAAACACTTTTTCAACAAATTAAGTGCTCACAATCGAGTTTAGAGAAAGCTCGAAACGGTCTTCGAGTGACACCAAGTACATCAATATCCGTTGCATCAGCGTCAAGTTCTCAATCAGTACCGGCGAGTGAATTTCCATCGAGTGTAATGAACGCCTTAGAACATTCTGCGCGTTTGGCAACACCGCCCACAATTTCGAGTAATAATTCGAATTCATCATCTTCTACAATAACAACAACATCGACGCGAAAATGGTTTTGGAGAAACACAGAAAAGAATACACAGACTAATAATACAAGTGATCGAAATCCGTTATTGCAGGCAATTGTTGAAAGTGATCCAACTCTATCAGGTAGTTCGGTACCATCGCCGCCAACAACAGCTGTAGCCTGTGTCGGAGAAATCAAGTTATTTGAGAAAGAATTACTAAATTTACCAACCTTTCAATTAAGTGATTCGCAGAATCCACTCTTACCGAGTCCGACGTCTCTCAATGACTTTTCTGCACATTTCGATCCAGGAAGTTCAACGATAAATGTCATCGTCAATCACGAGTATACACATAGTTTATCGAATGGTTTAAATAAATTCAAACTTCATAATGATAACCGTACGTATCAATCGAAAAGAAAATCAATTTCAAACTATATGTTCGTCTTATTTTTTAGTCGCATCATCCGTCACAGACAACATTGGTGGTGCTCGTTGTCTTTCGACCAGTTATCAAATTCCATTCGTTGCTGTTCGCACTCCCTCTGATGAGAGTGAATATTCATCGAATGATCATCCGATTCTAGTGCAGCGTAATTCATCTCCAGATTCTTCATATCTGCCAACATCGTCCGATAATCGTTCATCTGTTCGTAAAACAGTCGAGAAGTTCTTTCGTCCATCGAAAACCGTCGATAACATGTCAGCCGTACTAACAAACAAAAACAATCTTCTCGCAAATATTACCAAATACAACCGACGCTTCTTAAAACTCAAAACTTCGTCCCATTTGTCACACTCTCAGCCATTGGTAACAGTAAATGTTCATTCCGAGTCACCACTGATCAATCATACTGGACAAACACCACTAATTCAACGTCGAAATGATTCATCACTAGTCGTTAATGAGCCTATGCAATCACCAGTATTAAATCGTCAAGATCTCAATTTACCACTCGGTTCCGATGGTTTACATCGCAGTCGGTCATGTGTTGAAGGAATCATCAATCCTACGAATGGCCAAGAAATCGGTGGAACCAATCCAGCTTTAACTCTATCAGCTGGTTGGTTACAAGCAAATCATAGTGATACGGCATCATTGCGTTCGTCGGATAGTACTGTTTCGTCACTTTCGGCATATCTCTCCACTCAACAACAATCATCGACACAGCAACTAAATGGCATGATAGACAAAGGCTTGAATAAATCTCAAGAATCCATACTTAGTTTTTCATCACCGAAACAAAAACAACGTTCGATTAAATCGTTGATTATGGCTGCAGCGACGAAAGACAAAGCAACAAAACAAGATAATGATGTGTTGGTTTTAATCGCTAGTTGGGTATTGAGGTCACCGGAAGATTTTCAAGGTAAATTTCCTGTGAAAACTAACACTTATTGCAATGATTTTTACCTGTAGATTATCTTGTGCAAAAAGAACTAAAAAGCTTTTTTACTTTACTCGAATCCTTGCGCAGTTCATTTCGAGTTTGGACAAGTCAAATCAAGGAAATTCTCGCTCTTCAAGTAAGTCGATCATCATCATACTCAATGAATGATCACACTAGCGAATTCGATTCATCATAGGACACAGACGTTTCGAATGAATCAGAAATGGACGATGTCGTTCTGGAGGATATTTGTCGCGAATATGTGAAAATCCAACGAGATATCGTTTCAGGGCGATTAATTTGTTCGAAAGAAGAAGCAGCTGCACTTGCAGCTCTACAGCTACGTCTCGAAGTATGGCCTGAGGAAAATTTCGATCTTGTCGAAGGTAAATTATATACTTCATTCGTATTCTTCCACAAACACCCGTTCGCATTCATTTAGAAGATGAATTGCACACGTTAAGTCTTGTACTAAATAATTCCACATCGCATACTGGTTCGCGGAATAATTCGCAGACGATTAAACCATCGTGGCGCCATCGGCATCGACATCGTATGGGAAAGTTTCGTTTTGTTGATGTATCTTGTTGTAAAGACGCCGATTCCAACACGCATAAATCGAAAAAACCATTTCTCCCATCAAACTACCGTCATAGTAATGAAATTGTTAAACTAATCAAAGTAATTTCGGACTTGTTCATCATATGTCAATCATTTGCGTGTTTTGTGTTAGGATAAACAACGCAAATTGTTTCATATCAATGATTATGACAACCCGACACGATTGAAAGAATGTTATGTTCGTTTATGTCGAAATTTGCCGAGTTACGGCGCTGAGATTTACATCGTCAAAGAAATCCAAGGCAAACGAGCACAACGAAAAGTTCGTCGCTTTTGGTTTTTTAATCTGTCATCTTCAAAGTTTCTCTTTCAGGGAAATCGTCTTCTTTGTATTCGTCCCGACAAAATCTGTTTGCTAAATATGAAAACACGTATTATTTACAAAGAACAACGCATGGCCGATCTTGTCCATTGGATTACAAGTGGCCATCATTTGAGTGCGGGAATCAACGAACTTGTTTTAGAGTTTCATAACAAAACAAAATGGCGTTTGCAATTGAACAACACCTCTGATTTACGTGCTATTACGGTTTACCTTTGGAAAATCGTCAATGTTGAAGGATTCGCTTTGTTTGATAAACAATTGCCGTTGAGCTCATCATTGCGACGAACATCTCATCCGCATCAGTCGGCAAGACGAATGACGCTTTTACCAACATCATTAGCGACGAACTCGAACAAAAATCCATATCAAACGATAACTGATCTGTATAAGAATTTCTCTGAAGATCAACCCACCAATCGGAAGTCGCCACCTTGTCATATACAGAATCTAACGCGTTTAATGCAGAGTACTCGAACAACTGTACCAACAAATTTAGTAATGAATCCAACATATCTTCAGCCAACAGATCATACTCAACCATTTTGTTTCTCAGCGGATCTCGAAGAACTGAAATATCTTTTCGATTTTCCGGAAGAAGTGGCCATACGTCTAACAGAAATCGAACATGAAATCTTTCTCAGTGTGCCACCATTGCAATATTTACGACATTTAACATTAGATATGCCTATAGTAACAGCAAATGACATGGCGACACACGGAAAAAGCATTCGTATACTCGTTCAACGTTTTCAAGCGGTACGTTACTCAAAATGAGCTTGAGATTGAGAAAAAGAAGTTTTGTAATTGTTTAGGTTGGCTCGTTTATTCAGCAATTGATCGTTTCACAAACGAATTTCCAAGAACGAAAAGCCATTGTCGCATCGATACTTCGCTGTGCAATCACTTGTTGGTATATGGGCAATTTTAATAGTGCGATGCAAATCTTAGCTGGATTAAAGTATGTTATAAACTCAAATTGTGTAGACGTACATGAGTTTCTTCTGAATAGAATTGAAGCATTTCGTCCATTGTGGTTAACGATAACTGACGAGATTCCTGGTTTCAAATTTCTTACTGATGCGTTTAATTCCAATGAGAAAACTCCGCAGTACTGTGACGCTGTTAGTCGAGCATTGGATATTCCAACGTGTAAAGTTGTACCATTTTTCGGCACATTTATCAAAGATCTTCGAACAATATTGAGCGGCGTACCAAGCATCGTTGTACTTTGTAATCGAAATACACAAAAGCCGCTTGAGGTAGGAAGTTTAGCGATTGATCAATGAATCTCATTTTATCATTTAGACTGTTGCCGAAGTGCAGAATCAAGAGCATTTTTTGACACGTAAGATTTTTGATAGGAAAAGAAAATGATTTATACTTCCGAATCTCAGGTATCGGTGTGGGTGGTTTGATCAATACTCGCAAAATCGAACTTGTCCATATGGTTCTAAAAGATATCGCTATGTTTCATAACCGTCATCGTCGCTTACCTCTATTCAAATGTTGTAATGACCTCAATCGAATGAAGCTACCTCGACAATCTCTTGTACCAGAAATGAAAGAAAAACATTCAGCAACCGTTTCTGTTCCATATGGAGACACTTTAACCGATCAGTAAGTATCATTTTCCTTGGAATCAATCGATTTATTTTACTGTTCATTCATTCTTTAGAATACCAAAACCACGATCGACTCGGAATCGATCGTTTCCAAATACATCCACTACCGGCGACGAGATCGACCCATGTCGCATGACAAACATAGCGATAAATATCATTGGCGATAACGATGTGAAGAATTCCAACGAGGAAACTTTATCATCCGCTAACGCAGTTCTACCTTACCGTTCATTGTTAGATTTCAATGAACCCGAGACATTCTATTGTTTAAATGTATCATTTTATCAACCAATCGCTCAATCGAAACATAATCACGAAGTCTCTCTGTTGTCAATGCATCATATCATTGATTTTAACAATTTGCAATTACTTCGGTGAGTTGTGATGAAGCATTCGTTGATTGAAATCTAATTTTAATTTAGAAATGGTACGACGATGATATTCTACGATGAAGACACCATGCATTCATGTTTGGTTACCGTTCGCCTTGAATTAGATAATTGCACACTAACTTGGTAACGAGAAGATCTCGTTCAATCAAAAATCTAATATACTCGATTCGATTTTTGTTCAGGACTAAACCTTCTTGGGACACTCATCGAAGTATTGAGAACGTCAACATGACAAGTCAAGTATCGAACGATACCGCACACTATTCTATCTTGATGAAGCGTTATATCCTACGAGATGTGGCATTTGTTGATATGGACGAAGGATTTGTTCAACTAAAATATGTTAAACACATTCGTAGTGGTATTTTACATTGTGATTTACTTCCGATTATCAAACGGTACAAGTTAAACGATATTACCAATCCGGAGAATTGCTTTACGATCATCTACGGAGCATCTGTTAGCGAAAACAAGTAAAAATAGAGTTCTAGATGATGAATTGCTTGAAGAGTAAAACGCGTGTCTTTTGTAGAAGTCTTTGTTTTATCAGTCCGAAATATTGTTCACAAATTTGGTATTCAAGTATCGATAAATTGATTGTACAATATCGCAAGCATCGCCTATGTTCGGATCGACGAATCAATTGGCTGAAAAATCAGTATCTCTCATTGTATCATGAAAATGAACGATTTGAAGGGCCGACACCAATGACTGCGATACTGATCTTCGGAGGAAGACAGTGGAATTCAAGTTCGCTGTTTCCATATGAACGTGAACATGTTTCCTCGAAGAAGTCAGGCAGCGTGATCAAATCATGGTCGAATTTAGGGCTCAGACGACGAAACAAATTCGAACAAGTTTGTCTTTGCAATAAACGTCTTCTTTCGTAACAGAATATTTCGTTTTCAGGATCGAAAGGCCAGTGTTTCGACGGAATCCGAACCTGGACATACATCAAAATGGCAACCGCTGAACTATCCAACAGTTATACCACATAAATCTCGAACGCTTGGTCATCGAGCGAAATCCATTTCGTCAACTTCATCATCTCACACATCAAACAACTCTCGTGCATTGAATCAACACCAAAACCATGCGAAACAACGTTCAGTTTTTACGACTCAGTTAACACTGAATCCTTCGATTAGTTTTTCCTCGAACAAACGTCACCGGACGCAAGTGATCAATTCCAATGCTCAAGTTCAAGATTCATCATCACCATGGATAATCAATGAAAGCCATATGGACTTTCCTGAATTCGTGGAATTGTTCAAATCGTTCTATTTTCATTGCCGACGAGATTTAAAAGACCTTTTCGATAAATTCGCATGTGAGATCAACCTTGAACAAGAATATGCAATGAAAGAACAATACAAAAATGACGTGCTGGATACACCGAGACATTTAACTGGTTTGATCACACGAAATATCATCGACGATGTCACTGACGCTAGTATTCATCGAATTTATGATATGATCGCTATATCATCCATTCCATGCTATGCGATTAGCACGCACAATCGAGGAAATGTTCTCATCACCAGAGATCAATTTAATGATTTTCTCGTTGAACATCAAAAAGAGAGCAAAACTTCGTATGAAATCGAACAAATTATCTACGTAAGTTAGAAGAATAACTGTTGATTGAGAAAATCTGCTTTTTTTTCTTGAATAGCGACATGAACCACATCGACAAAATCGTTTGAATAAAGTTCTTTCACTCGAAGGTTTCTCGCGATATTTATTAGACAAAGAAAACTATGCTTTTGTAAATGAGCACACCAAAGTCAATGAACAGGTAAGTCATACAACGACTGGCATTTAGTTATGATTGAAAGTGAATGCGGCTCATGATCTTCTTCTTCTTCTTCTTTTGTACTTATTGCTTAGACTATATGAAGAAAATCTTTTCTTTTCAGGATATGGATAATCCTTTATCACATTATTTTATTGCTTCTTCACATAATACGTATCTAACCGGTCATCAGTTACGCGGTGAATCATCTGTTGAAATGTATCGTGAAGTGAGGATTCTCATAATAAAAGTCTTTTTCTCTTAAAGACAATCTTCTCGTTATTTAAGATACTTCTATCTGGATGTCGTTGTGTAGAACTTGACTGTTGGGATGGTGATGATGGTTATCCAGTAATTTACCATGGTCGAACATTCGTTAGTAAGATTTCCTTCAAACTTGTTGTTGAAGTAATCAATGAAAGTGCATTTATCACCTCACCATATCCGGTGATACTATCGATTGAAAATCGTTGTTCGTTGATTCAACAAGCACGTATGGCTCAAACATTCGTTAAAGTTTTCGGTGACAAATTGATCACGAAATACATGTTCGATACGGACTTTTACGAAGACCCGGCATTACCCTCGCCAAATCAACTGAAATATAAAATCTTGATTAAGAACAAAAAAATCAACAAAATGCATTCGGCAACGCAATTGAGTCGACAGAAAGTTCAGTTGAGTGTGAATTATCGCAATTCGGTGTATTCGTCGCCGGATGACAACGATGAAGATGATGAATCGGATGATGATGAAATGTTAGATGATTATAATTATGATCCATATACAAGAAGAGAGTCGCAACGATCGAATTCTGTTACCGATTCACCAATCTACCAGCCGAAAAAGACGATTGTGACAACGGGGCCTGACCAAGACGATGGTGATGATTTGTAAGTCAAGTGAAAACAACAATTTCACTTCTGGAGAGGAAACGATTCCATTGTTTTAGACGATCCTATCGAAATCGTCGATATAGCATCATGAATAACGAACCCCGACAACGGTTGAAGAGTAGCAGTTCGATCGATGCGAATCATGTCGTCAAAATCAACAAATTATCAAATGTTCCAGCGAAAATACCGCCTATGCTAGTCGCGAAAGAGTTATCCGATATCGTTATCTATACTCAAGCAATTAAATTTCGAGGTTCGAAGAATGAAAACGAAATATCTTCGTTCAATCTTCACTTCTCTTTCTTAGGTTTAACGTGTTCATCAACAACAGCTAGTTTTGTCAGTGGTAAACCTGTTCGTAAAGCGCCGAAACGAACAATTCAACAACTAGTCGCTCAACCTAGTACGACAAGTGAGTTTCAAAGTATAAGAATCCATTGAAAAGAGACATTCGTTACCCTTTATGAAAATGATTCATAGGTTCGGAAAGCTCGCGATCGATCGATCAAGTTTCGCCATGTCATCAGATAGTATCATTGATTGAAAATAAAGCAAAGAAATTGTGTAAAAATCAAGGCGGTGATATGATTATGTGAGTCGTTGATGGTGCTCAAACAGACTGATGGGATTCTTCGATTTTAGACATACGGAAACTCAACTTGTCCGATGTTATCCAAGTGGATTTCGTGTCGATTCATCGAATTTCAATCCGTTGCATCTATGGATATATGGCATTCAGTATGTTGAATACATTTTTCGAAAACTAATCGTTAGCAAACTGTTTTTCAGACTTGTGGCAACGAATTATCAAACACTTGGTATATTACTGAAAGCGTTATTTGTCTCGAAAGAATGAAGTTTTGATTTATTTAGATTCTGGTCAACTCTTGAATTTATCCATGTTCGAACAAAATGGCAACTGTGGTTATGTTTTAAAGCCAAGTATCTTTTGGGATAAAGAACATCCTCAATATTGTCGATTCAATCCGTCCGTCATTGAACGTGAAGGTTCTTGTACCGAACTAACGATCACTGTAAGCTTAATAAGAAAAAGTCGAGTTTCTCGTATAGAATCTTTGTCTAGGTCGTATCTGGTCAATATTTAACTCAAAATATCAGTTCGACTTCGAGTGTTTATATCGAAGTTGAACTTCTCGGTATCCCGATTGATTGCATGTCGAGAAAAACGAAACCATCCGTTAAAAATTCTCTCAATCCGATTTGGCAAGAAACGTTTGTCTTTCAAGTAGAAAATCTTTCACAACCAAATCGTGTTCCTGACAATGCAATCTCTCTTTTTCAGGTATTCTTTATCGATCTAGCCTTCATACGATTTCACATCTACGATGCTGGAAGTAATCATTTGATGTCTCAACGTGTTATGCCTCTGAAATGTCTTCGGCCGGGTTATCGACATGTTCGTTTGAGAGATGTGATGAATGTTCCACTAGAATTAGCGACATTGTTTATTTACTCGAAAACAACGGAGAATATTCTCATTAGAAATCCTGACCAAGACTTGTCGACGTCCAACACGCCACATCTGTTTCGAAATCGAATATTCGGACGAGCCGCCGATCCATCTGATGCTCTTGGTGTACGTGATTGAGCTCTAGTTTGCTATTGTTGAAGGATTTTTCTGTATTTTAGGCTAATCGCGATTCACTACGGCCGAAGCACAAAACATTCGAAGTTAAAGTCTATGGCAAGGAAGGTCGTGATGAAGATTTCCGAATATTCGCTGTTACACAGTACACAACTGTCGAAGAATTGATCGAGATGGTAGGTGAATATGTGATTTTGAATTGTAAAACAAGAATTCTTTGAGTTTAGATTGCCAAGACAAATGACTTTCTTCAAGTTGGTGAAACTATCAACGATATAATTCTCACTGAATCATCGAAAACATGGAAAAAGAAGTCATCATCATCGAAACACACCGATATTCCCCCACGAGTTCTCGAGAAACACGAACGAGTCCTTGTTGTAATGGATCGCGTTGGTCGAGAAACAGTCATTCTTTGTAAAAGAAAAGCTCAAACGCCTGTAAGTTCAAACTTGTCTTTTTCCAAGAGATAAACCTTATCTTTTCTTTAGCAACATCTCATCATGTCCACATTAAACGACAAAACTCTCCAGCATTGGGAAAATTGTGACCGAACATTTCTTGTGACAATTTATAACATCTCATCCATACAAAAACATACAACATTTCGAACTCCTATTAATTCAACAGCGATTCATGTGATCACACAAGTACGATTTTTAATTTCGAAAATCATCACTCGAGATTTCCTCTTTAGCTAATGAAGAAAATTCGTATGAATGGTCTCCCGAATGATTATGGACTTGTAGAAGAAATCGATTTCAATGATACTAATCGTCGCGTACCGATCAAACGTCGTTTACTCGCAGACGATGAGAAAATCTATGGAATTCAACGTCTCTGGACATCGACAAATTCGAAATTCGTTTTAGTGAAAAAATCGGAATACCCGGAAACGAATAACAGCAAAGCATTCTCTGACAAATTTCTATTTCTGTCCCTAACAGGTCAAAAATCACTAGAACGAGATGCTCATGACGGTAAAATTTATTCCTAAATTCATTCATTCTGATTTTCATCTTCTAGAAAATCCACCGAAATCTCGTATAAATACAATTGTTAATCTCACCGGCTCAACTATTCGAACAACAATGACTCCACCATCATCCAAACCTCCATCATCCAAACGTTCGCTAAAAACTCTTTTTACAAGGAATAACTCATAATCATTTATGAGCTTACGTCAAATAAATACAGCCTTCCTCTATATATGTGTATTTGCCTATATTTTTTCTTTTCTCACTAGAACGCTCTTACATGAACATTCTTTCTTGTGAAATCAACCGTGTTGTTATATATATTTTTTTTTGTTTTCGCTTCGTTTTTTACTCATTTGTCTTTATTATTGCTAGTTTTGCAATACACGATCGAAGGCGATGGGAAATTAATCATTCATTCATTGAATGAGTTCTGGAAGAATGTTTTTTTATTGATTTTGCTTTTATACATGAGAAGAAAAGCCATAGGAAATGAAGTACAAGCGAACATTAAGCAGAGAAATTAATAAATAAAATGGCACTAAACATAACAAGCACCATCAATGCGTAGCTGTAGCGATTATTTTCGTCCGTTGTAAACCATGGGTATTTGTTGTTGCGGACGATTGGAACCGCCTGGTAAACCACGTGTTCGATCGAGTTTATCCGATAAATCTTCGACTCGGACGTCTTTCAAATGAAGTAAATGCTCCAGACGACGAATTTTCGCTTGTAAAATCTGAAATTTCAATCGAAACGCTCACGATACACTCTTGAGGATAACTAAGACAGAACTTACTTGAATTTGTTCCTCTTTCGCTAAACATTCTTGCTCCTTTTCATCGTATTCAATGCGACTAACCATATCTGCACTGATATTATGCATCGACGAAGATTTTTTCTGCCCACTACAAGCAATTCATCGAATGTCCCAAGAACCAGAACGGAATTTGTCTTACTTGTCATTAGGTACTCGTGATTTTGGTGCGGAATCTAAGAAGAAGAAAAAATTTCACTTTAGAATGACACGAAATCGAACGACACACAAACAAGAAGAAAATAACAACAACAAACAAGTGTACATTCTCGCTTTCATCACCTTGTTCGTAATACTGTACTCCGGAATAGTTATGATTATCTAGAAAAGGATTAGTAAGATTGCATGAACTCGACTAAACTTACTTGATGATTGCATATTTCCATACGAATTCGGTTCGCCTGATGGTGAAAATCGAGGTGTGACCGCATTCGCTTCCGTTATTTTCGCTTTTTGATGGAGTGCGCTAAAAGAAAAGAATAAAACGAGATTACCGACCGGTTCGTATAAACACGAAGTTAATTCGAAATCCCTCGTAGCAAAACTACAAGTTACGTAGTGTCTCGATTAGTGGTGAATTAGAGAGAAAAGAAAAACCTATCACTTGATATTCACGAACACACTATTATAAAACTGTTTAGAGGAGAAAACAAACAAACCGATATTGAGGATCACTGGGATTCGTTTCCATTCCGTAAAGATAGCTGAAAGAGTAACAAGAGATGATCGAATGAATCCCGATTTAGAATCGAAGAAAAACCATAAAGAATAAAATGGATCTCAACTTACTCATCGATTTTCGTTCGTAAATTGTAAAGGAAAATTTCAATTAAACGCGATCGGCCAAGGCATATACCACGCATAACAGGCTCAGGAACATTGAGACCAAATCGACAAAAAACTTTTCTGAAAATTTCCAAAGAAAAAATGTTTGAAAGAGAGAGATAGTTCACTTACCGATTTAAAAGTCCCCAATTAACTAATTTCTGTTGAGTACTATTCGCCGCGGCATAATTATGCAAATCCACCTATTGAAATCGAAATTCAATATATAAATCAACAGCATTTTGTAGGCTTCTTTACCCAACTAGGAAAATAATATTTGATCAATTCTGCGATCATAACTAAAGGTAAGGAGAACAATAGAATGGAAACCTTCGTAATCAAATAGTAACGAGAAAAGAAGAATAACTCAAGTTTCACACGTGAAATAGAAAAAAACTTTACATACCACCATCAGCGAAATCCTTCTCAATGCGTCTCTTAGGTCGACTTAATGGTATTTGATCAATCCATGCATACAAATCTTGTAATAATTGATCGTCCAATTCGATGTCCCAAGACATGTTTCTTCAAATACAGAACAAACGAAAGAGAGAAAGAAGAGCACAAAGTGGTGTATGAAGATCTGAAAGAAGTTTCATTCCATAAGAAAAGTTAAAAACATGCGAAAAGTTGTCATCGTACAACGAACGAATACCTCCGTCAGAGAAATCTCTTTCGATTTTTCTTTTTTTTCTCGTAAATGGTACACTATCAATCCATGAGCATAGAACAGCAATTTGTTCTCGATCGAATACATAAGACCAGTCGAGTATGAGCATAATTTATTCTGTTTTCTCTGTTTCTTGACTTTTCTCTCCATGGTTCATAGTCGTTACTATAGAAATTGCCCTAAAGAGTAAATAATGTCATATCATTGGTCGACCGAATCGACCAATCCGATGAAAACTACAATTATATGACGTTATGTCTATCATCATCGTTTTTTTTTGGTTCCATAAAAGAAAAAAAATCTATTCCATTCGATATCAACAGGCATTTCTTTTTAGATTTCAATCTGCCTCGTTTTTTTTGTCCGTATCTGTGTGAATGTAATTCTTTTCAATGTTCGCTGAAAAAGAATATTGATTGAACAGTATCAGTATGCCATCCTCACCACCATCAACAACAACAACAACAACAACAAATTATCAGCGGAAACGAAGTGGAGTATCGATCACAAATCGAAAACGATTACGTCGATCGGATTTAGCTCAGCATGCGAAAGATGAACGACAAAGTCGAGCAATATTTCCCTCGGATTCACTGAGAAAAATCAATCATATTGCATTACCTAATGAAAAAAGTCAAAGAACGTTAATTGATTCATTCGTTGATAACCATCGGCAAGTTAAAGGTATATTTTAATTGCTTAAATTTCATGAGATGAGAGATTTTACATCGATTAGATCAAGATTTCATCGGTGTCATTAATAAAACATCTTCCGGCGGTTCCCTAACGGCAATAACTCATTACGACGAGAGCAAGTCGACTCTTGTCTCGTCGTACGATAGTGACGAAGAACCCGACAAAATAAAAGGCAACTTTCCACAAATTTCAGTAAGACTCATGTTTTTCCTAGACTGAATGTCAATATTGATTGTTGTCTTCTAGCCAACGATTGTCACACCGTTAATAACATCATCCGATTTCATAGCAAAATCTTCACGTTCGGATAACAATATCATCATTCAACAAACAGATGTCAGGTCCAATAGTTCAACAAGATTGATGAAATTAACAGTACCACAGTCGATTAAAATGCTTTCGAATACGGACGGACTCTCATCCGCTTTGCGTATTCCAACGAAGATTCAACTGACGAAACCGTTGCCAATGATATCAACACAAAATGATCAGCAGTCAACAACAACAGCGGCGAAACAACGATCGACTGTTGATTATCCATTAACACCACCGCCACCAGTTGTTGAAACGAGAAAATTGATTTCGAACGAATTGAAAACGAAAGAAGACGTGACAAGTAACATGAAAGGTACACTAGTACGTCAAGTACTTGAAATTTTCTGTTTAATCGCCATGTCGTAGTCTTCTGTTCATCACCTATCGACTTTTGACATCTTTTCTATGAAAAGAATGCCCTAGTACTACAGAGAGGCTTAAGATTTCTTTCTGTCATAATTTGAATCCCTTGCGGTGCTTCCAAATTTAGAAAAATACAGTTCGAACAGAATGTGAATGCTATTTTTATTTTGTTAGGAAATGAAGAAGTTGATACATCAACTCCGTCCACAAAACGCTCCCTCTGGGATTGGTCTGTTCCACCTACAAGCGAATTATCTCCAACGTCATTAACATCGTCATCGCCAGATCTATCTCAAAATCATTTGACATCTGAGGATTCATTAGTTGAACTCGATCTGAAAACGAATCGATCAGTTATGAAACGTCGTTATCGTCCCTTGTCACTTTCATGTCCGGTTTTACCAAACTTTGCGGAGAAGAGTAAGCCAATCACTCCGCCATACAAATCGAAATCGTTGTCGCGTATAACAAATTCGATTCAAAAGAAAACTTCCTCACTGATTACAAATACGATTCAACGTTTGAGACGAAAACGAAAAGATAATCAATTCTATGTGAAACGATCGAAACCTCGAATGAAAACTGAACAAGAAAATCAATTCATTGTTCAAGACGTTCTAAACCAAATGATTAAGTAAATATTGAATATGTAAAACTCGTTTTTCACCTGTTCTTTTCTTAGACAAATTGATGCCGATCAAGACAAAGTATCGAAACATTTGCTAAGCACAACTGCGACCTACTCACTTCGGAATTCAACTCCAACTAATTCAGAATCTCGTTCATCATCCCACGAAGTACATCGAAACATAAATGAAGAACGTAAGTCATCTTTTCACAAGCAAATAAGCGGGAAAAGAATTTCTCTTAGATATCGAGCAAATGAAACAGACAAGTAAAACAATTTCTCATCAACCTTCAATATTAACTCGGGATGGTAAAACATCATCACCTACTCTTTCATCTTTTTCATTTTGTTCGTTCGTAGAAACGATGAACTTAAATCGTCAAACATCAACACCACTGTCATTTCATTCCATTCCATTGTCTTCAGTTGATGCGGATGAACAATCAATGACAAGTCCGCTTTCGGACCTTTCCAAACCACATATAGTCATTGACATTGTCAATGAATTGATCAAAGGTGCCAAAGGTTTAGACAAACTTTCTCATTCGTTAACAACATTTACGAATTCAATTCACGATTTCGTTCGTTTAACAAACGACAAACAAGCTGACAGAGTCGAACAACTTCAACGAGAATTAGAAAAGTAAGTTCAAAAGTTCAAGCTAGGATCCGGTGCATCTACGAAGTGAAACTCAGTCGGAAGTATCACTATTTCTAGTTGCATATATTACCTATTGTTTACCGACTACTTCACAGTTACGCCTAGTTCATAAACTGCGGAACCTATGTGAACTGTGACACAGTCACGCGTAATTGCACTGTACTCATTGCAGCTGTGACAAAAATGCATAAATTCAGTTTTCACGCGCAAAAATTTAACGGAAAGAAAACGGATCCGGTTCCATCTTTGATTTTCCCTTCGAATTTACTCAACTTCTTTTATTCTTCCTAGAAAATGTTCAACCCAACTGAACCGTGCGAATCTTTTCTGTGCACAAAAGATTCAATACTTCATCACTAAGCATGCATTGACTTCATTATCAGAATATGTTGATGGGATAAGTTTAATCGTGAAATACTTCTATCTTTATGTGTTGTGTAAGTGAAGATGAATGAGTGAGCCAGTTAATCATTGTGTTCATTTAGCGTTGAACTGTCGCAAACAAGAACTCGAAGTTGAATCGATGTTAAACGATTTGGTCAACGGCAAATCCACGTTTATTAATGAATCATTTTGTTCATCAACACTCACAACAATTATTGAAGATTATATTTTGCCATCATCATTAGCGAGTGACTATCTTCTCTCTCAACCATTGATTATCGATCAAAAAGAATGTTCCTTACCATTCGTCCGTAATCCCGAATACGAAAATGAATTGTTATATACGAATGATATCGGTTTAACCAGTGATCTTTTTCCGGATTTAGAAGATTATTTAAAACGTTGTGAAAGTAAGTCATTTCTTATTGAAAAACCGTCCTTCACGAATTCCTTCTAGATACATCATCAACCATTCCAACACATCCCACTCAACAACCGTCAACTTATTATCCAACCTATTCTCATTCTTCATCATCAGTTCAGTATTATCCATCGGCAAGTCAATCAACAAACATGACATCTTATTATTATTCGCCACCACCACCACCATCTTATGCGTATAATCATCTATCACATTATTATAATTCCTTGCCCGCATATGGAACAGCATATCATCCAAATGAACAGTATAATTATTATTATAATCAACCAACATCTTATACATATTCACATTCGAACAGTACAAACGACATTCCGCTTGTGAATAGCCATCCGGCATATCAACGAATGAATTCAAATGTTCAAAGGTAAACATCGTGTATTCAACTCATCAAAATTTATCGTTTGATTCTAGAAAATACAGTAACTATTCATCTTTGGAAGCATCAAGAGCGTCGGTTGGATTTGATAATTGCAATAGTGAAACCACCCAGGTACGTCGACTTATTCATCAAATCCATTTTTCATCTTCTATTTCTCATCTAGTAGTCAAAATCCTCAGCAGTACCGAGTAATATCTACCTGCCATAGAAAGAAAAAACAAGCAACTTTTCCATTGGAAATCGTTTCTTGTTGTATTCTGCATCAGAATACATTATCTTTCTCTTCTAATTCTAAATGTATCACCAGGTGCTTCTTTCGTTCTTGTCATTCAATGTTTTCTACACTCGCACGCTGTATATTTTGCTTTTCCATTATTTTGTTCCTTTCTTTCTCTTCTTGTGCGCGCGTTATTTATTTCAATATTATCTTCTATGCATGAAATGATTGTTATGATTACGATTACACCTTCTTCATCTTCTTTCCTGGGAGAAGGTCAGTAGCAAGTACCAGCAGTGTTTGTCGTTTTCTTCTTCGTCGTCTCCTCGTTCATAGACTAGTAAGAACAGCAATGAGATTGTTTCATGTATGGGTGTGTATATAAATCTTCTAGAAAACAAACATCGAAAGTGAGAAAACAAGTGTTCATATGAATTGTTATTTTTCGTTTTTCTTTCTCTTATATTCAATAATTGATTTGTCGAAAACTAAAGAACATTATTGATATATGTATGTGTATACTTCCAATTGGTTTTTCTTTTCATCTTGTATACTACCGGTGATAAATCCACCTTGCATCGCTTCTTTTGTTTTGTTCAATTGATTTCGTCCGTCCTTCTAATGTTTCTTTTCTGTGTGCTTATATATATATATATATATGTGTGTGTGTGTGTGTATTAATTATATGAATAAAAAAAACAACCGAAATTAGCGAAAAAATGATCACATTCACTCATGTGAAAGTCACATAGACATCCATGACAGATTTAGTCTACTGGAAATTGTTTATGTGAAGTCGAGCAGTTGGCATAGGAGTTCCATTTTCGATTGGAATCTAGTGGCATCTATCGACGTGCATTTCAATGCCTGTTGTCAATTCGACCAAACAATAAACGAAACGATTAAATAAGTAAACTCAATAAATGCAAATGATTGTTAAACGTCAATATTCGCGATATTTGTTTATTTTCAGTTTTTTTTAGAGAATAAATGACTTCGTTCGCTAGCGCATTCGGCTCATCTAGTCATGATGAAAATTTTAATCATGCCGCGAATAATCATCAAGAAGAATCAACTAATTTCTCCAATATCGACCTTGACCAACAACCTAATTCACCGCAACATTCGTCGTATGTTAGTCTAACTGATGCAGCGACATTACATTCCGAGTCATCAGCCGTGACCGCGAACACAAATCCACGTGTTCCGACATCGTCTTCGCAAGAGTTGCCTTCGAATTCGTCGCCGAAGTCAATGTTTGATACGTCTTCAATTTTGTCCGAGAAACGGATTTCTATTCCTGACATGTCGAAAATCTCAGCGTCGTCAGCCGCGGCGGTTGCCGCTGTCGGACCGACAATTGATAAACTGAAACAGTGGGGTCGTTCGACATACAAATGTACAAAACAAAGCATCTATGAAAAATTAGGTAAAACCACGCGTACAATTGATGTTGAACTTGACAATCAAATTGAGGTATGAGTAAAGAATTGAATTTCTTTATGTTTGTTTTTGTACTATTGTAGCAATTAAGAGAATCGAAACGGCGATATGAACATGTTCTTTCATTAGCACGAAGTTATGCAAACCACTTCTCAAATTTGTTAGTTACTCAACGAGCTCTAAGTCCGTACCACACTATCATTTTCTTTCCCGAATTTTCATATTACCTTTCAGGCGATACATTTCTCGAATTGAAACACAAATCTTTCCATTTATGTGATGAATACGGTTACAATGCTGAGACGCAAGGTCTATTAGTTCGACACGGCGAAGTTCTCATGAGTGCTTTAAACTATTTCATATCAACTCTGGATACCTTGTGCAATAAAACAATCGAAGACACAATAACAACCATTCGTCTCTATGAAATATCGAGGTCCGTATGACAACTTGCTAAGTACGTTGTTGAAACTATGCATGTTTAGATTGGAATACGATGCTTGTCGAACTGAAATGGAATTACTTCCACCAGGTTCACAATTGAATGAAAAACAGCGAGAATTCGAAAAGTACAAGGATCGATATGAAAAACTAAAATGCGATATCGGAGTCAAGATGCAATTCCTCGAAGAGAATCAGGTAGGACGAGTCATTCGATTTCAGATTGATTTTTCACATCTTGTCATTGTTCAGACGAAAGTTATGAAAAAGCAATTACTTCTTTTTCACAATGCCATCGCCGCATACTTCTCCGGCAATCAACAAGCTCTAGACGCGACTATGAAACAATTCAATCTCAAAGTTCTCAGTAATGGCGATATGACTCAAGAAAAACGTTCATTCTTAGAACAGTCTCATCACTAGTTTCACAGTGGGTTTTGGCTCTTTTCTTCAATTCATGTTATTTTTCTTTGGAATGTCATGTATTTTGTTTTTTTTCTCTCTCTCGCTTCTTTCGCTTTACCAGTCACTTTATAAGATATTTTTTTCGATGGTGATGTTTTGTTTGTCGTATACATATTTCTCTATTCTAGTAACCGTTTCTTTTTAAAAAATAAAAAAGGGAAGAAAATCTTTTAATCATTCTTGCGTCGCTTTATCTCGAAGTTTAATTAATGGCTTTGTCTTAGCCAAATCTCAATTTCTTTTCGATTATAAATAAGAGCTTTACTATAAGACGAGTGAAATGAACTCTTCACTGGAGAAATTCAATAGCAGAAGGTTTGCTGGGAAAAACATTCTCCGAGTGTTGAAATAGCTATTAACCGTTAAAGATTATCCTTGATGAATGCGAATTCAGGTATGAAAAGTGTCCCGCCTTCTTTCCGGCTGACCAAGATGAAATTGAATCCTAATAAAACAAACCACGTGAACTTATTGTCCTGTAAACTCGCTAGTTAATCATGCATCTGAAGCCCTGAAGTCAAGCTTATCAGTATATATATATTTATTTACAGATTAGATCGTCTGATGAATTTCTTTTACGAAATCTATAGAAGAAATTCAAAAGCAAAACATTACTAACGCTCATTCAGATATTATATCAAGACATTAAGATTGATGATATATAAAGATAATTGAAAGTTCATGTTAATCTATCATTTTGATATCGAAAAAACAGGACAACACTCGAAACAATCTTGTTCGCATTCGCCTTGTTTTCGTCGATGCTGTACATATAGCAATGGTGTGGCCGGCAAGAGAGCAGCGCCCTATTGAGTGAAAATCTTGACTCTATGTCGATCAGATCATATGTGAACGTTCAGTTTGTTTCCTAATTGACATGAAGCTGTTCATTCTCTGCTGATCCTATTATACATCACTAACGATTTCCGCTTTTTTTTCCTCCTTCTTTTTATTTGATTTCTCTCATTGGTAGATAAGTCAAAGAAATCTATTTCTCTCGCTAACATTTCCCACCAATCAAAAAGTCGACCAGTGAAAATCATTGGAAAAAAAGAAACATTTCTTTTCATCTTTGCCAGTTGCTTATTCAATTAGACGATGAAATCATTTCGAAATGCTCATCATGTCACAAGAACATAGCTCACTCACTGATAGTAATTCCTCGATGAACGCCTTTTCTCCAACGTCATCCCCGCGAACTTCTTCGCTGCCATATGATTACGAACACGATCAACATCAATTAACTGCAATGAAATTCGAAAAAACAATCTACGAATCCGCGCCCGTTGCACGCAACACCATTGAGAACAACCGGGTGAAAATCATTAACTATCGCGGGACCAAAATCACCTCGTTCAATGTCGACGGACGACAATTATTGTGTTTACCTCAAGCATTTGACTTCTTTCTCAAGAATTTGGTTGGCGGCTTGCATACGGTCTATACGAAACTGAAACGATTAGAAATCATACCAATCGTTTGTAATGTTGAACAAGTGAGAATTTTAAGGAGTCTTGGTGCTATACAACCAGGGGTAAATCGATGCAAACTTCTCGCACCGAATGAATTTGATATCTTATATGATGATTGTACGAATTCAGGGTAAGAAAAGCTGTTCTTCTACCGAGAAAATCTTGTTTTGCGTGTGTGTTTAGTTCTCGTCCTGGTCGTCCACCGAAACGTAGTTCTGCGTATCAAGCAGATGATTACTCCGATCAGAAACGTTTGAAACTCGCATCAAATCTTTTTCTTCGTTCATTTTCCGACTACAGGTATTCCCTTCCTTCCAATCCAGATTATATATCGATTCCATCATTAACAAACTTCTCGTTACTCAATTCTTCTCCATATCATTGTAATCCAACTCGTCCTCCGGTTCCAACTCCAGTTCATCAATCGACTTCTTCAAGTAAGTCAGAACAATGTGAATTGCTGTCACAATCGATTTCGATATCTTCTTTCCAATCAGACAGACCGAAAGTAATGGTTTCCTTTTTCACGTTCATTAATATCGACATGCAAAATAAATTCAATCATGTCAGAAATGAGATACCCTTTAGCTATGCCTACTCTTTTTCTTTTTAATACAATACGATCAGATAAACTTGCGTTTCTTCGTTTAGATCAATCACGATCTTTTACTATTGATGCAATGCTTAGTCAAGAGCGAAGTACTTTCTTCTTTGATTAATCATGAGATTAATGATCTTTTTTTTTCTCGTCTTATCTATTAGATCATTTACCAAAACCAATTGATCTATCAATGACGACTACAGATCAAACATCGTCAATGTTATCAGGACAACAATTGACTACCTCGGAAAGTTTTCTTCCGATTAAGAACATGATTGAATCAACAGTAGAGAATGCGCGACGACGAGAAAAGCAATTGGAAAACGAAATAAGTAGGAAAGAAAGAATTGGCTCGTTTTGATGAACTTATTTGCGATTAGATGAACTGAAGAACGAAATTACCAAAGAACAAGATTGTAAACAAAAACTTCAAGAAGATTTTCTTCAATTGCAACGCGTTCGAAGTATAAAAGTGTCGTCAAGATCGATTCGAAGAAAACCTTCTATCTTTTTCTTTAGGTATTTTGATTAAAAAACTACGCCGTCTCAATCGATCACAAACATGTTCGAACAGTAACATCAACCGATCGGATAAATCACCAACGAATTCGATAGAGATCGAATCCGTCTAATGACAAGTTTTTTCTGTTCATTGTTCGTCATTTTATCTGTGTATGCTCATTTCATTTTTTTTTGCTTATTCATCAAATATTCTTATTCAAAAAAAAAAAAGAAACCGTCAGACAACTTCATGCTTTTTCATTCATCTAATTTCGGCGACATCTATTGCATGTTGTCTACTTATGGCTTGACCGGTCATTCCAATTGAATTGAAATATCAAAAGGTGAAGAAGAGAAAAAGAATGCATCATAAAATCATTCGCACAATTCAATACAAATGTCAGCAATTCGCTTCTGTCTGTTTCTCATCTTTTGTCCGTATAGAATCCTTTCTGCACCGAATGTTGGTAGTCGTCATATAGGCAACGGTTTTCATACACGTCTTGAATACTCAATCGATCCGGATCCAGCATCACCGGCTCAATGTTTATTCGTATGGCATCGTTTACCACCTTACTTGTATATCGAACCAGATGAATTACATCACCTGAATGCGGTTATTCTAGGCTCAATTAATATCGAAGCATCAGCGTCGCAATCGCACCCATTTGCGTATTGTTTTATTTTATACAATTCAACGAAAGTACCCTTTCAACAAACGCAATCATTTTCATTGAATATTCATAGTCGATATCTCGATCCGACTGTCGATGAACATCAAGTCGATGAAACACTAACATTACCTGAACCTGTCATACATTTTACATCGAAACCGTGTCCTTATTTAGGCAGAGGATGTCCGGCACCAATAGCTGAGACAGGTATTGAATCTCCAAGAGATTTAACTGTCACTATTCCAGTTGGCCAACAGAACCATGTATGGTTCGTTCTTCCTGTAACTTCATTATTTCCTTTGATTAGTTGTTCATTGTTCTTTATATACAGTGGACGAGTACAGAAATGATTACTCTTGTATACATTGATGTGAATAAATGATGAAGAGAAAAATTGAATTTTATTTTGAAGAAAAAGAGAAGCAAAGAATGAATTAAAAGAAAAAGAGATTTCTTTTGTATTTCTAGTCTAATAGAATTGAAAAATTCGAAGGGAAATATGTCCACTTGATGTTATTTCGAGAAGCATGAAACGAGAAAACAAAAATGAAGTAAATTTTCAATATCGAGATGATTGCTTGTCATCAAAACACAATATAACAAAGAAAGACTTTTTTGGTAAATTTGTTATACAAGTCTTGTCAGATTGCTGTCATGTAATCCTCCAGATACATAAACAGGAAAGTCAGTGATACGTAGTTGCTCATTGTAGGTACCTATAGGAATGAGAAAGAAAAGAATAGATCATTTACGGAGAAACAATAAATGGATGCTTACTGGAATCAAATCCGCAACCTTCTTCCATAATTTCATTGCCATATCGAACCGTTATTTTCGTTTCTAACTGATCCATCACAGCACCGTAATCGAGATAACTTTCTTGTGCTTGTTGTTGGTGTTGTTGTTCATCTAAACAGGTAGTAGAAGAGATTTTTGACAAGAATTACAGCTGTATACAAGAAATGTTGATTTACCTTCTACTTGTCTATAGACAATCTTTTTTATTAATGAGCGACCAGGCACACAACAGCACTTAACACACCAGCGATCCTGTCGAGGTGGAGGAAGACATGGTATGGGCGTGGGTATTCTCGGTGGAACTATTGTAGATGGAGGTTCATAGTAAGGTTCTTCTGGTATTTCTGGCGTTAATATTGGTAAACATGGTATTTGTGTTTGTGTTCCAATGTCTGTGTAATGTATTTCAGTTGTGTCGTAACGTATGGGTGCAGGTTTGGCATGATCACAATTTATAGCCAAGAAAGTATTATTTTGCTGGATGATTTGCTTATTACGAGGAGGAATAGGTGGCAGGCGTTCAGGAATTGGTGTGGGAATTGGAGTTGGTAAGTAAGGAACTGGCGTAGGAATTGGAGTTGGTAAGTAAGAAACCGGTGTCGGAATTGGCGGTCCACAGGGAATAATCGGCTGTTCTCCGCATGGATATGGTGGACAAGGGGGGCATGGGGGGCAAGGCGGGCAATGTGGAGGTCGATAAGTTGATGGCGGTAGAGGTTGGTAGACAGGCGTTGGAATCGGTGAAGGCTGGTAGACAGGTGTTGGCGGAGGGCGGTAAATAGATGTTGGTTCATAAGGAGCAATCGGCTCTTCTTGGCCAGGAAAAGGTGGACAGGGAGGACAGGGTGGACAGGGCGGACAAGGTAGAGGTTGATTGATGGGGATTGGTGGTGGTCGGTAAGTAGATATTGGTGGGGGCCCACAGGGAGTAAATGGCACTTCTTGTGTAGGAACTGGCGGGTAAGGTGGTTGATAGGTAGGTATTATTGGTAGTTGAGGTTCACCCTGGTATGGTGGGCAAGGAGGACATGGTGGACAAGGCGGGCAAGGTGTTCGTCGCTGGTGTAATTGGTGATACTGTTGGTCATTTATTTGTAAGATTGGTGGTTTTATGCCGCGAAACTGCTCACGATATTTGTGTTGTTCATCTTTATTCCATGCATCTTTAAATTTGGCGTAACAGGTACAGATGCATTTACGCAAGTCGAATATTTCTTCATCTTCTTGAGCATCTTCGTTGCTTCCACTATCACTTGATGATGGAGATCGAACTGGCACTTTTGAAATATCTTGCTGTGTAACCTGCTGGTTCTGTTCGTAAGATAATGAAGTGGGCTGTTCTGGAACTGCTTGTTCATTAGTGTAATTATTTATATCATAATCTTGTGTAGCGGATGTTTGTGTTTGCTGCACATAAGCCGCATCTTCTGGCTGATTGATCGTAGTGTTTTGAGAATAAGATGATTCTCTTGTATATTCAACCGTACCAGTTGGCATAGATGTGCCGTCTAATCTTTTGTTTGATTCAACATCGTACGCCTGGCTTGTCGAAGTTTCATTTTGAGTGGTTTGTAACGATGCTTGAGAATCACTTTCGGATTCCTTATATTCTGTGGGTTTGTCGTGTTGTTCTTGATTGTCAATAAATGAAGTAGTCGCTTGCTCAGAAGCATATTGAACATCTTTCAAATGATGGTAGGGTTCTGGTGTACTAACAACATTAGTTTGGTAGGGTGCATCGATTGGTACAGTAACGGAATGATCAATATTTGTTTGTTCATACGTACTCTGCTGAGACGTTTCCATGGGTACGGATGTAGTCGACGGTTGCAGCAGCTCTTGATACTGTTGAAACAAATTCGAATAATTTGTTTGTGTTTCTGATTGACTTGATGGCACTTGTTGATATTGCGATGAATCTTGATAAACATCAGATTGATAGTTTGTGGTGTCTTCTGGTTGTGTCAATAAGTTTTGATATTGTTGTTGTGAATCTTGGAATAGATTTGAATAACTTGTGGTTTGATCCGCTGCCGTTGTTGTCGCCGTCGAATAGTTTTCATATTGTTGTTGAGTATCTTGAAATAGATTGGAATAGTTCGTCGATTGATCTGTCGTTGTTGCTGGATAGCTGTCATATTGTTGTGAAATTGCGTCATACGTCTCGGAGAAATTTTTCGCGGTCGTTTCATCTGTGAAAGCGTCTTGGTACTGTGAAGATGCTAAATTATCGGCTATTGTTTGTTCTGTTGTCAGATTCTGAGATTGACCTGATCGATGTTTAGCTCGTTTGGCTTGTCGTGCACTTCGCCGTTGGAGCACTCGTTGACGATGAGCTTCAAAACAACGGTAAAGACATTCTTCTAGATCCGCTGGCATATCCGAGTCAGGACAAAGAGGTCTCGAAAACATGTTGGAGATATTTCTCAAACGTATAGACAATTATGAATACAGTCGTCTCGTTGCCTTCCTCCTTTATTTGTCTCGAAGCAATAGTATATCTAATAGTACAAAAAATGAAGAAAGTAATTTTGAGCAAGCGTAACGAGCGTTTCATGTGGTAGATAAGCCTTGAAAATTATTCGGTTTATGATTGTTATTATCATTTATATTATCGACATTGAGCGTGTCGAAGAAAAAACTGATTATCCAATCGATTTTCTTTTTTTGTTTAGTCAACATGTTCTTGACCTGTCGATATCGTCTCTTATCTGTTACTTCGAAAACTAATACAATCAGCACAAGGATTTGTTATTTCTCTGAGCAAACGTTTCGTTTCTTAAGCGAAGGCTCTTTTTTCTATGGACATAATTAGATGTATATAGTCTACGAGTTTATTTATTTGTATTGAATAACGAGCGATAACATATGTATCTAGCAAGGAAAGAAAGAACCGTTCTTTTTTTTTTTTACAAAGAAACAAATTAAAGTAGAACGTTGTGTTCGATGTACGTGTGGTTATGTTGAACGTCTAGGTATTCACATGCGTTTTATTGTGATAATCGCCGTAACATTCTAAAACAAAGGTTAACAAAATGTAAATAAAATCATTCGTTCTGTCTGCCCGTTTAGAACATTTACCTGGAGGAATAGTTTGTTGCTGAGGCGGCGGGAAACTTGGTATTTGAAAGTTATTCTGTTGGAATTGATTGATAGTTGCAACTGGACGAACGACACCTGAGAAAGAGGGAGAGAGAGGAAGAAGAGAATTTTATGAAGAGAGTGAGTTTGATCTTTGCCGAAGAATTACCTGGTGGACGAGCAGTCAGCTGAGCACGAAGACGATGAAGATCTGATCGAAGTATAATAGTTGGATTAGGTGCTCGAATATAGATAGGATTGAGTGTTTCTACAGAATGTTGATATATTCTTGTGAGACGATAGAAAAACAAAATGGTCGATTGCTTACCGAGATAACTTCCATTGATAGGATCGGTATTGTACTGTTGTTGAGTTTCATTGATAACTTTCGATTGAAGATCGACAATCACATCGTTAACAATAGCTTGTGACACGGATAATCCTTCGATTTGGGTTGAGAAACTTGGAATACCCGGTGGAAGTTGTGGAGCGGCTGGCCCTTGAGATGATACTTGCTGTGGCACTATGACAGGTGCTCGAGCGGGTTGACGTGGAGCCGGTTGGGCAGTGGCGGGTACCGGCACAGGTGCATACGGGCCTCCATTGATAATGTTCGTTGTGATCGTTGAAGACGTGGCTGACTGTTGTAATTGTTGACCTCCATTTTGCTGATGATATCTATTAGAAGAAACAAAATCAAAACATGTTTACAAGATATAAACAGATTAATATCAAGCCTGAATGGTGATAGAGTGGGCGTTTGAGGATCGGGAAAGTATCGTGCCATTTCTGCCGATGAATCGATACTCGAAACGGAATGGAAAGAACCTGTTGCTTGTATGCCGCTAACTGCTTGTTCACTTGCACGATGAACATTAACTGGCTGAGCAACGGATTGCGAAGCATATCGTTGTTGTTCATTTATTTGACTATGTACTAAAGAAATTCTCGTATGAGATATTCGTGGCCTTTCGTCTGCTCAAAACACATCGTATTCTTACAACTTAGTTCTTGTTGACTGCCTTGTCCTTCGGTCGCACTACTCGTATCGCGGCCATGATGGTGTTGCTGATGATGATAATGATATTGACCTTGTTCCATTGTTAATGCGATAGTCTTGATTTAAACAATAAAGGTTTTGATATTTTTTGTTCTTCGATTAGGAGCAACTTTACAAAATGATCATTGAGAATGAAGTGAGAGAGAGAGAGAAAATGTTCGCTTATATTCGTTTACTTTCAAATCATATGCGGAGAAGATGGATTAGATACTTGATTTAAAACTACGCATACGTGCTCACTCGTTACACTTTAGTGATTTTGTTACTCATAGATCATACCTCTTTATTCTCGATCGTTTTTTTCTGTCTCGTATGCAACGAAGAAATTAGTTGCGTTTTTCCGAGAATATCTGGCAAATTGTTCAGCGATTCGAAGGCCGAACCTGATTGAAGTTAATCATTTTGACACTGAACATGAAAGAAAGATACGATATCATCCAATTAATCGAAAAGATTCACCAATCATTTAGTCTTCCGCAAGCTAATTTATATTTGATGACGAGATGTACTTATCAAATCTCAAACGACGAAAGAAAAAAAGAGAGAATGATTAGTATATTTGATTGAGCGTGAAATGGCCTATCGGAGTGTATATCTTTCGACCCGTCCATTTCATTTTTCTCGTATTCCGTGACAGACATATCGACATTTCCATGAAGAACAAGAAATGGGACGTGACGCCGACCATACATAATGACTAATTCGTTCAAGTCCTTAGTCTTTTATGCATATATTACAATTACGAAGTCAATCAATGTCTAACCTTATATTCAAGACAAATATTTTCCAGCGAAAAGTCCCAATCGGGCTGTTTCTCACTCAATCTGTTCATAGATATTTTTTCCATCATATGTTTTTAGGCAAATAGTATATACTGTTGATTAGTATTTCCTTCTATTTGGCTTTTGTAAAAACCGGACGATAAACAGATAAACATAAAACACGAGCTTGATCTTTTTTTAGCATTAAAAAACGAAAGTTAAGGTGTTGATGCTTTTCATAAAATCTCAACGGATAATTAATTAAGATTTTCAATTCGAAACTGATGTCATCATCAATAAGAAAATGATATCGTAGGAACATCATTTGAAACTTAGCTGCGTCAAATTCAAGGAATAATGACGTCGGCAATGGAACTATTTGCGTCAGAATTATACTGTTCTAGAAAAGAACAAGGGAAAAATCATGATAAACTTGTTTTTCTGCTTCTATTTGCATAAGGAAAGAGCCTGAGCCTTCTGTCGAAGAGAACACCTTATATTATTCATATCGCAAACGTTCATAGTTGGAATACCGGTGCAGATATGGAAGATCTTATTGAAGATACTCGTCGACGAGAATATGAAATCCAATCGCGTTGTAATGATGCGAGAACGATCGGCATGGAAACACTTTATAGTCTAAGTCATCAAGGTGAACAATTGAAAAATATTAAGATAGGTTTAACAACGGTCGATGCAACACTTATTGATACGAAACAGAACATCAATCGTTTAAAAGGTGTTACGCAACGTGTCGTTGATTCCGTTCGAACGAAGTTTCATCGTAAAGTTTTCTCGAAAATACTTTTGAGTTCAAATAAAAAACAGCACTTGATCCCAACATCATCACCACAAACGGTAAAAACTTCGATCGAGCTTGTGTTCATCAGCAAGATGTTATTCTTTTGTTTTAGAGAAGTTCATCTCCGAAACTAATCCGACATAATATTCCTTCGACAAAGTCGTTTCCTGATGGACCTATAGACGCTACTCTTGATGATTTCGACAATGCAATTCAATCCCTGAAAGGGATTGCGTTGGAAATCAACGATCAGTTGACTATACAGGCGGGAACTATCAAAGATATTCAAGGACAAATAAACCATTCGACGATGTCGATCGAACAGCAAAATACGGAAATGCAAAAGATCTTTTCTTAACTTTTTATTGTAATAAATCGCTTTGCTTAAAAGTATTGCAAACAAACTCTAGATGTCGCGCGATGAAATCTTGAAATTTTCAAAAGGAGGGTAGAAAATAAAATTTACTTCCCATTGGTCGAAGTGTATCCATTGCTGAACGAGACATTCTTGCATCTATCTGTGTTGTTTTTTGACAAAGATTCATTTTCTATTTAGTTAGACAGAATGAAACTCGTTCGGTTTCTTATGAAATTAACCCATGAAAGTGTAACTATTGCACTGAAGAATGGATCGAATGTTTTCGGTACGGTTATTGGCGTGGATATGTCAATGAATACACATTTGAAATCAGCGAAGTTAACACCGAAGAATGGAGAGCCAATTACATTGGATTTTATTACAATTCGAGGTTTGCATTTCGATTCGAATAGATCTTGACATCGTTCTCTGCGTCTTTAGGTAACAATATTCGATATTTTATACTGCCGGATAGTCTGCCGTTGGATACATTACTCGTCGATGATACACCGAAGGCTAAGCCGAAACGTGAACGAACTAGTATGTTTTGTGTAGTTGAAGTCGATTTCGATGATTCGATTTGTTTTAGCTGTGCCTGGTGGCGGCGGTCGAGGTGGACGAGGAAGAGGTCGCGGTCGCGGTCGTGGTCGAGGTGGTCCCGGTGGTGGTGGTGGTGGTGGTGGCGGTCGTGGACGTTAAACGTCGCAATCTGATTGACAATGTCCGTCTTCTAGACTCGAATAAACTTGTTGTATTTCGTTGTTGTCAGAGAAAAAAAAGAAATACTTTTTTTAAACAGAAAAAAGAAACATTTCGCAGATGAATTCTTTCATTATCGATCAAATCTATTCCAATTATAAACAATCATATTCATTGTGTCTAAGATCTACTAAACGTATCTTTATCGAATATCTGGTGATTGTCCATAGAATTCAATCCGGACATGTCTTTGTTTATTCCTTGTCGACTGTGATCATATAAATAGAAATCGAAGGAAAGAAAAGAAAGGAAAAATACACATGTGAAACGAAGTATATCTATTCAGTTCGCTCGTCATTCTTCATTACTAACAATGGATCAACCTGATGCTGATCATTATCTGTCCCTTGATTTACAACAAAATATGCTCTTGGAAATGATGAAACAACATATTAGTAATGGTTTACCATATCAATACCCAGCAAATTGTTAGAATAAACTTTCTTTTTTCTTCTAATTATCTCCTTTATTTTCTATGAAAGATTTAGATCAAAATCTCCCCCAACAAAGTGATGAAGACAAATTATCTCACGTTGAACACGAACAAGATGAAAATGAACAAATGCCAATGCCTGTTGTATACAAAAAACGGGCAAGAATTAAATTCACCCAAGAACAAGTATGTCACAACTTCATTTTCAATTTGACTTCATCATTTCATACTAAAGATCAATGTACTTGAAGCGACTTTTCAACAACATCGTTATCCAACTATTGACATGATCGATGATCTTGTTGAACAACTTAACTTACCTACCCAAAAGATTACAGTAAGTCGTTTTGCAAATGGAAAGGATCGTCGAAGAGATTTCGTTTTAGGTTTGGTTTCAGAATCGTCGCGCACGATTAAAGAAAAGTCAACAAAAACTTGAAAAGCATCAATCATTCGAACACGACGAGCCACAACATTACGACAGTGGAATTCACTTAGTACGTATTCATTTACTGTGAAATCATTTTCTAACTAAAACTTGTTTTGGTTCATCGAGGAAGAAGACGTATCTCGTGCGTCATCGACAAGTCCACCATTAAATCTATTACCTCGATCATCACCACTTCCTTATATTCCACCACCTCCTGCTCCATACTATCTGCCAAATTCTCATCCATCATTTTACAATTCCATGTGGCAAAATTTTCAGTAAAAACTGAATCTTTCTTTTCTTCACGTTTTCATCTGATTTTCGTGTCGTTTAGCTATCCAATTCAACCATCGTACGACTTCGTTAATTATAACTCTCCATTCGTTTTTCATGATATTAGCAACTATTCTCCTTCAGCAGAATATCATGGTTAATTGTCAAAGAAGAAGATTATTTATTTATTTAATTATTTATTTATTGTTCAATATCTTTCTCGTAGTTTTGTTTTTCTTCTGTTAATTATTGAATCTAATAGAAAATAAATACGTCTTTTGTTTCAACACTTTATTTTCTGCATGCCATCGGAGCCCGATCACCTGTGTACGAGTGTCGAATGTTACATTGACCTTACCGATGACAACTATTGTATGCCTGATTTTGTATGAGGAAGAAGGATTAAATTAATTTTATTTTTATGTAAAAATTTGATTAGTTCATCATTGTCATACATGATTAAATTAGAGGAAACAACGATAATTTCATTTCTCACAGACCAGCATGTCACGCGATGTGTTCTACGAGTTTGTTATATAAAATTAATCGATCCATGAGTGATATGAGTCATTTGTTATCGATGACATATGAATCAATCATTTGACTTCGTTGGAGAACTAAAGACAGAAACGATTTTTCACGAAGGAAAGTGGAAAGAGGCCAAGTGCAATTCCTCGTTATCCGATAGTTTTCTCGAGTTATGAAGCATTGGGAGCTTCGAGGAAAGCTTTCACACAATTTTATCTAGGATTTTGCTCGCTTCTTTGCGAATAACTTCATAAATATGCTTTCTGATATCCGGAGGAGTTTAAGAATGTTCATGACCTTTGATATTAATGGGTTGGAGTGCATCTTCATTCTATATTCGCATTCCTTCTAGCAATTCATTCATATTTATATCCACATTGATTCGATGATCTGTTTCTACTTGGTGAAAAATATGAGAAAGAAGAGAAAACAACAACAACAACAAATAAAATTTTCCAATTGATCTTTGTTCAAAGTTGACAATCAATCATCGCATCGCGGTGATTGTTTCCGTTTTTTACTTGACTTCTCAAAAGAGTCAATTTTGATTCTTTGTCACTTGCTAATTGATTCGCTGCACGCTTCGATGTTGTCGTTGTCTCTCGTCGGTTTCGTAAACGATCGCAACAATTCGACGGAATCGTTCGAACCATGAAACAACCTGAAATACTCGATGTAGAACATGCAGAAAAGAATCAGAAGTTTTACCATAGATCAAAGGATCTAACACGGAATTTGAAACGGCGAGCATCATGACAATTAAGAGTGAACGTTCATTAGTTGTTGGCTGAACAGGTTGAGATGAATCGATGACAATTGCTTGAGCAATTTCAGGATCAGTTCGTGCATCAGTTATGAGAAGAAAGAAGACAATACAGTAATAAGGTGTCCAACAGAGTATAAAACAAACAACTAAAAAAAGCGTGAAAATGAGTTCGGGAACTAGCAAGATGACATTGTTCTCTTACCAATTAGAGCGGTTAGCTTCAATGTTTTTAATTTCGCTCGTGTGATTGTTTTGAGATTATGTGAATTAATCTCTTCTTGAACGACTGATGGTCCATTAGTCGTACTAAAACTCTTTCTCGTCGATGTTAATGGTAGATTGATTTGATTGAGATCACAACTATTCCTACTGCTATTACTACGAACAAACCGAAAGGTTCGCCGATCCGAGCGTTTATGTAACACATATAAAATGCGAAAATAAGAATAAAAAATTGTTAATAATGGTGCAATATAAGCGAATATTGCCACGGCGATGTTATACGTGAGACGTTTCGCCAGATCTGATGAGAGTGTATCTCCACACATTTCCCGACAAAGATCTTCATTAGTCAATCGTTTGAATATAATCAACTAAATACAAGCGAACACATCACACAAGTCTGCAATTCAAATCAAACTTACTTGTGGAATACAAGCAATGAAGGATATCAGCCATGAGCCAATAACAAATAACTTATTTCGTATATTTGATTGATATACAGTCAATGGATGAACAATCGAGAGATATCGATCGAGAGAAATACCGATAATTGTACATGATGAGACATAGATTCCTAAGCCTTTCAAAGCAGCTAAGGTTTTACATATGCCATCGTTGTGCCAACGAGCGATGGTATATGTGTAGATCTCACTTGGGATGTAAACGAGTGTGACGAAGAGGTCAGCTGCACAGAGATTGAGAAGAAGTATATGATCACGAAAACGACGACGGGAGTAGTGAAATAGCTTGAAAAGTACACGTAAGTTGGCCGTTAGAGCAAGAACGAATAGGAAGGCATAGCCAAGTGCCAACCAACGATAAAATGGCGCTTCGGGTCCGCGAATTTCAAAATTCGAACAATTTGCTTTGAAGGATAATGATGAATTGGAGGTCATTGAAATGATAAATGTGAATTTCTTTTTCTTATATATATATCTAAATTTTAACATAGAACAAGAAAAAGCACGACATGAGAAAAGGAGTCGCATGTTCTGTCTCTCTCTCTCTCTTTTTTTTTCTTCTCTCTCCTAGATTTCCTACTGTCACTATTAACAAGTAGGAGGTACTTCGAAATATATTGTAGAGAGGAAAAAGACGATGATGGGCATTTTCTTTTCTCTTAACAGGAAACGAAATCAATCATCACTGACAGTGTTGCTTAATAGACTATCAATATATATGAGATTGAGAAAATACCTGTATTAGAAAAGAAAACAATTTCTAGTCGCCGAGAGGAAATAAGATGATAATTGCATGGTGAAGACGTTCGATGAAAATCAGTTTCTATACACATACACACACACTCATTTTTAAGAAACGAGCAGGAAAGAAGATATCTAGAAAAGATATTCATCAAATCGCATCAATAATAGAACAAAAGTACTAGAAATCAAAACATGCCAAGCCAAGTCATGACTTGTTTTTTCTTCTTTATTCAATTCCAATGAGTATTTCGTAAGAAGAAAGTATCATGCGATATGACAGAATCTATATTTGATCTGTCAAATATTATCTTTGAATTGTCAATTAGTCTCGATCTAGGCTATAAACTAATTATGCGACTGATTTTTACCATTAGAACATCTTTAACAGTGCGTCACATGTCAAATCAATTATGGAGAAAATTCTTCGAAAGACTTTCTGTTCGTATTCACCCATGAAAAGTAATACGAAAGAAATCGACGTGTTGGCCTTGCCTGGATGATGTATTTCGTGCAACAAGTGATTATCTCAATCTCTTCTCGAAATCTGAGAAGTTTGTTCTGAGGAAAAACACGATCGGTTCATACGAACGACTGATTTTAATTAGAGCGTTATTCTTACGCGAGAAAAGCTCGTCTTCTGAAGAATGAAAGACAAAGATTTCCTCGCGCAAGAATAAACATTCCTAATTAAACCAAATTGATGAATACTATCTAATGAAGAATGGCTTCATAACGATTTGTATTCGATCTTGTTTCTCTGACAATTAACACCCATTCAACACCTACAGATGCTTAATCTGCAAAGAAAAATAGAAGGAAAAGTTATTTTTGAGATAAAAATTTTCTCGTTGAAAATTTATTTATGACCCTCTTTTATGTTAACAAAGACTTTTTTCATGTTCATAAATTTTCAATTGCAATTCTTTTGTTCACATTCAGTACGAACTGCATAACCTGGTTGAAACTCCTTTTAAAAATAAAGAACGTGCGTATTGAAAGCATTTGTTCTTTTGATATTCTGATTTGATGATAAATTAATAAAAGAGCAAAATCCAGCACAGTGAGGAATTTTAGAGCGCGACAGAGCAAAGTTTTTCCCCCCCCGATCGAAACCTCTTTACAAATCAGTTGAATGAAGCGATTCATTTGTCATATTATGTTCGAATGGCGCAAGAGGAGGTGTGGTCATAATGGCCAACAGCGCGTAGATTGAGTTGAGGTTTAAAGTTCCATACATTACAGAAGAAGTCGATATGTTCGAATTATATCGATCACATTCGTACAGACTTGTGTGATATTATGTGAATAGGAGTTTCGTTTGTTTTATGGATGAAACTAATATGATAAATCTGTTTTTTGTCATTGAAATGCAAATTCATTTCTTATTTTCTAATCCAACAGCATTGCAAAGGCCGAACATCGAGGATTAATATTCAGATAGCGTGAAAAGACAAACGGAACTTACTTTACACTGGAAAAAACATTCATGTGTACGATGGAACGAACGAAACTGATTTTATTCGCAAACACTGATTTGATCTTGTGATAAAAATGGATTTTTTCAACAAGATGACACCATCATTACCGAACAAAAGACACTTGCATATGTCTCGTGTCAAAAATAGTCGATAAAAGAACGCGTCAAAGTCATCGTCGCAATATATTCGTCTTTTTTTGTCAATTTTCTCTATTATTGAAGTCTTTTAGAATATTCAATATAATCAGACAAAAAGAAACATTTCAGAGAAAACCAATTAGCCATTCGCAGACTAGATCATCAAGCCGAAAAGTGGCTCGGAGAAAGAAGATGAGGATTTATTAAGAAAATGAACACCTCGATGAATGCACAGTTGATTGAAGTTTGACTTATCTGATTATTTTTTTCATACAATCGGTAACATTTCATATATTGAAGAAAAAAGGGGAACAATCTGATCGAGAAAGAAAACCATGTTTCAATGTCGTTTCTTTTTGTTCGTTTTCTCAACATCTCACAGCTCTAGTAATCACTTCGAATAATTACAGTTGATGACAATAATGAGTGTGAAAAGACGTTTTAATAGCATTTCTCCATTATATTTAACGTGTCCGACGAGAATCTATTTCAGTCGAGTTGGGTTTCTCTCGTCTTCATATAATGAAATGTAATCATAGATCATTTGACAAAGAACTTCGTGCAGATAACATTGATCGACATTCAGACACGTTGTTGTCAAAAAGATCTTTTCTTTACCTTCGTTAGCGCAAAAGGTAAATTGTTCGGAAATATCCGTTCGACTTAATCTTTTATTTCTATGCTCAATTTGTTAGATGAGATGGTAGTGAAAGTGTCTTCTTCCGCTGTCTAACACAAGTCCTGTGATTTAGAGATGCACTAAGCGGAATAAATGACACCGCTAAATATAAATATAGATAACAGACAGGCGGAGTGAAAAATGAAAAGAAATAGAAGGAGAAGAATGAACAAAGCTTTCTCATTCATCAAGGAACTCATCAGGATTTGTCAGTTTCTTTTCTCTTGCTTTATTTCATGTTAAAAATGATCAAAGAGATATTAACCATAATCTGATTCGTGTGGGGGGGTTTCGTGCCTTATTTACTCGTTTTCTCTCACTCACAAATCGACATAACAGGCCATAATGTACAGAACTAACTGTCGATTTTGTTCTCTTAGTCATGTAAGATGAAATTGTTAAGTGGATCGCCGTTAACTGACAAGACGCAACCAATCATCGTGTCATTGGACTGGACTGAGCGTTTGGATAAACGGTAAGCGATGTTCTTGCTGGAAAGATGAATGTTTTCTAGTAGAATTTGTTTTAGACCGACAGATCGTACAAGTGATGACCTTGATGTTATATTTTCACGGCTGAAAGATGTGAAAGCGCTGGAAAAGTTTCATCCGTTACTTATTCAACAGCTTTGTTACTATAGTTACTTTGAAAACTTAGAAAAAGGAGTTACACGTAGGAGAAAAAGCTTCATTTTCAATTAAAAAAACTTCACGCGTCGGTTTTCTTTGTGAATAGTTTTCCGAACAGGTGATCTGGGTGCTAATTGGTTTGCTATTCTCAGTGGTAATGTTGACGTCTGTGTTCCCTCTGAAAACGGCAAAGTGCGTCGAATTTTACAACGATATATAGATATACTTTGTTAGATCATTAGGGTCATACATTGATTTGTACACTCGGAGCTGGCACAGCATTTGGAGAATCAATTCTTTACGATACACCTCGAAATGCAACGATTATTACGTCTTCATCTGTTATGCTTTTACGCGTGGAACAGAAAGATTTTAAGATTCTATGGGAGGTAAAGAAGATTTTTTTCTGGAAGTTTCAAGTAAAAATCGAGATTTTCTTTTTGATGTAGCGAAACAAACAGTATCTACATGGAGTCATTACGAGCCTTAGTCAATTAACAAATACAATAGGTATGTTGACTTGTTGACTTTTTAATATAGAGAAGTGTCATGTTGATCTAGATCCTAAGCGACGTGCATCGGAATTCGATCCATCGTTGATTCCTCAAGTGGCTAGTTCTAAGTTTTTCAAAGATGATCCAAGTACACATGTTCATTTTTTCCTTCTCGGTTCTTTTCTCATTTCGAACTCTTTTAAGCTCGCAATCCTGCGTTACCGATCGTTCCCGTAAGAAAATTGCTTTTCTTTATTTTTTTTCCAGAAATCACGATCTGTCTCTTGCTAGAACACATCCGTTCGAATTCAACATGCAGCCTATGTTTTACGCACATGTATTCTCGGCAAAGCACCACAGATGATTCGTGATCGGAAATATCATCTGAAAATGCATCGAAGTTGTTTAGTTGGCTCAGAAATGGTCGACTGGTTAATTCATCAAAGTCCAAGTTCGCTGTAGAAATCTCAGGATTATCTTAAATCTTCATTTTATCTTCTTAGTCGTTCATTCTCGAAGTCAAGCAGTAGGCATGTGGCAAGCTCTACTAGAAGAAGGAGCAATTGCACATGGTATATCATTTTCTTGCAGTTCGTTTCCGGTTTAGAAACACTGATTGTTTGAGTTTAGTGTCACAAGAACATTACTTCAAAGATAAGTATTTGTTCTATCGCTTTTCTGGAGATGAAGATGGAACGTTGATTCGACCGGGTAATGTTGAACAGAACGAATGTGGAGAACAACTGGCTGATGTAATTTTAACTTTGGCACAAGTCGGACCTGATGCCATGCTTCGAATGATCTTACGCAAACCGTTCGTTCTTCGATTCTAATCTATACACCGATTAAATTGCGTTTCTTCGTAGACCACACGAACGAACGATAGATGATCTTGAAATTATCTACGATGAACTATTGCATGTGAAAGCATTGTCTCATCTTTCATCATTGGTCAAACGTGAGTTGGCTGGGGTATTGATTTTCGAAGCACATCCATTCAAAGGAGAAGTTTGTACGTAGAACTTGAGACAATTAATCAAACTATTACGAAAAATCCTCTGCCTTTCAAAGTATTTACCCAAGGCGAAGAAGGCAAATCATGGTATGTCATACTGAAAGGGTCCGTTCAATGTGTTGTATACGGTAAAGGTGTTGTGGGAACATTCCATGAAGGTGATGACTTCGGGAAACTGAGTTTAGTCAACAATTCACCAGGGTAATTTACGCACACATCTTTTACTCCATTGGATCGTTGTACTTTGATGTGAAATTTTAGAACATCGACGATTATTTTAAATGAAGATAATACTCATTTCCTTCGTGTGGATAAAGATGATTTCAATCGAATACTTCGCGATGTCGAAGCGAATACGATTAAATTGAAAGAGTTCGGTAAAGATGTTCTCATCCTCGATAAAGTTCCAATCAACGCCAAAACAGCTGATGGAACGTATCAAGTTTGTTATAAGTATGTTCCATCGGTGGAATCTTGAAGATCTTTCACACGAGACTCCTTTAGATACTTTGTTATGTCTGGTACTGCTGAGAAAATTCTTGAACATTTCCTTGAAACGTATATTTGTGTGAATTACGAAGAAGGTGACACTAGTCTCGACGATTTTCTCTCCACTTACGTTATTTTTATGCCAATTAATCAAATTTGTACGCGATTACTAGCGATATACAAAGCTAAGCCCCAACAGCGACTAGGCGAATCAGCTGATTTAGTTTTACAGCAGAAAGTGAAGGTTATACGCTTTATTTTGGAATGGTATGACGCGTCAAGAGAAACGTTTTTCGAAGACTCTAAGATCAATGTGTTTCTCGATGTGAGTAACGGAATGAGTGTACGAAGAAGTTTCGTGATGATTTACGACTATTTCAAAGGAATTACATCAATTAATACGAGTCGATATGAAGATATTTGTTCAATTGAAAGAAGAAATCAAGTTAATCGAAGCGATTATTGAAAATAACGATACGTAAGAAGTATTCGTTTGGTTTGATGATAAACAACTGATCGTGTGTTCATTTCAGAGATCACAAAGATATTCGAAAAAGTAAATTACCATGGAAACAACGGAATAGTATCGATAAATCCAAAATGATTCGTCCGTCGGATGAAGGTAGAAAAACGAAATTCGATTGACAATGTTTTTCCTTGTTTGTTTAGTGATTTTCAAAGTTTATTGTGCAGATCATACGTATACGACAATGAAAATGAGAGTTGATACACCCGCATCGAGAATCATTCGAGTCGCAGCCGATAAATTAGGTCTACGTTCTGATCAACCCGATGACCTGAAGTTATGTGAAGTCAAATCGACCGGAGGTCTGTTCTCACTACTTTCCGAAACTAATTTGAATATTTTTTCTCTTTAGAAAGGATTATTTACAAAGAGAGTGACGTCAGTATTTCATGTGGATTATCATTAAATGGTCGATTATTTCTTGCTCCTGGTGATCATCTTGATGCTTTGGTAAGCTCCATAAAATCTCTTATGCATTAAACACACTGGAATAATCTGAGTCTGCGTTTTTTCCCGGAAATTCATTAAACTAAGAACGCATTTGAAGCCTGAAATGAAACTTCTTGTTAAATGATTGAAATTTGGATATTTATAGGTGCCCTTGCCCGAACAAGAAGGCTTAACACGTGGTACATGGCAGAAATTAGAAATGTTCGGCTCAAAAGAACTTGCCTATGCTATAACAATGTACGATTATGAGCTATTTATGGCGATTAATCAAGTACGAATCATCAAAAGTAATTTAAAATTCGATTTCGTATTGTTTTTAGCACGAACTTCTATATCAAGTCTTCGGCCGGTATAAGTACGGCAAAATAACCGCCAATTTAGATGTTTTCATGCGACGTTTTAATGAAATTCAATTTTGGATCGTGACGGAAATATGTTTAACACCGAGTCCTGGTAAACGTGTACAACTTCTGAGAAAATTCATCAAACTTGCATCATAGTAAACATTTTTCGAATTGAAAGATTTTCGTTCTCTCAATGAACATTTTGATTAGTTGTAAAGAATTTCGAAATTTGAATGCGTTCTTTGCCATTGTGATGGGTTTGAGCAATATCGCTGTCAGTCGATTATCGATAACTTGGGAAGTAAGTGGATGTAAAACGATGATTGACATCAAATTCTTCGAAATTGTACAGAGATTGCCAAGTAAAATCAAACGAATGTTCTCGGAATTCGAAACCCTCATGGATCCGTCACGAAATCACCGAGTTTACCGCTCAACATTGACCAAAATGACTCCACCCATCATCCTATTCATGCCACTTTTGCTCAAAGGTTGCTATCTCGCTCTTCTCTCTTCCCTAGACACACCAAATCATCTTCTTTAGATTTAACATTCATTCACGAAGGAAACAAAACCTATCTGATCGAAGGTTTAGTCAATTTCGAGAAAATGGTAAACAAAAAACTTCAATTTTCCCTCTCAACGATCCTTTCCTCTTCTAGCGAATGTTGTCTCATACATTGCGAACCAAGAAAATCTGTCGTAGTCAAGTCTTGCGTAAGTACAATGTTCACTCTCACCATCAAACCATTGATTCGATATAAACAAACGAATTGTGATCATTAGATGACAATCAAGTGTATCGAATAGATAGATTTCGGTCCGTTGAGAATTGACACTACGCAGCATGAGTTCTGCACAGCACGACCGACGTTTACTGATAGTGATCTATTCTCTCTTTTTTTTTCTTCTTGTGTTTACAGAACTTCAAGTTCCTCAAGGTGCAAAAAACATGTCCGAGATTCAAGAATATGTTCGGTTTGTCTGTCCAATGTTTTCATTACGTAAAAGTCAGTTTTTCACTTTTAGAGAACTACATGTCATTGATAATCAACGTATTCTCAATCAATTATCGAATAAATTAGAACCACGACAAACCTGAGAAGACATCATCAAGTCTGTTGTTTACTTAAATCTTTCGTTTGATCATCTCAGCACGTCGACAAGATGAAAGCGATACATTTTTGTTCTAAACTTCATCATTGCATTGTCATATAGTTTATTTGTATTGACTTGATCAATGATTATTGTCGTCTAGTTCCATTTTCATATCAAATAATCAAATGATCGTATAAACAAAATCGAACACTCACTTACAAGAAAACATTTGTTTATTTGTTCGAAAGAAATTCAGTAGTGAACCGCGACGATGTACGAAAATGACATCGTTTTCAATATCAAATCTATTAAATTCTTGTTTATCACATATCAAACACATTCGACGAAGTCGCCGCCTGAGAAAAATCGAACAATTCAATTCGCGCACATCTGTATATCATTGCTTTTGCTTTCTCCTCTTGCTCATGTTGTATGTTTATATTATGATTCGTTCGACACGCGTATGCCTTTACTCAAATATCGACTCGTCTTCATTTTCTCCTCTCGGCTAGATAAACAAGTGCAGTTAGCACGAATTTTCCTCTCACTTATCATCTCTTTCGATTCGATCGATCGACCGATTAACAATTCGTTCGAGATAAAGAAAAAGAATACTTTGATTGCAACAGTTCATTTTAGTCTATCTCTGCAGGATACACGACAAGCAAAATACGCAAATGTTTCAGATCTTCATAAGAACAAAAAAAGAACAACAGACCGAGAAAAAAACGCTAGAAGAATTCGTTTTAAAAGGGAATTAACATCTGTTAATTGTCTGGATAATCATCAGGAGAATAGGCCATGTCATCCATCGTGCTCGGATGGTCATTGGATGCATTTCCATTTGTTGACCACGCACCTTCCATTCGCCAAACGCTGAATGCATAACTTAATGTTCGTTCGTTTGTCGAGTCGTTTTGAAAGGTGAGGTTTTGTTCCTCTTCACTATGCAAAATTTGATAAAGGAAATCGATATAGCGAGTGGCCAGTTTCAAGGTTTGAATTTTTGATAATTTATCCGATGGTAATGTTGGAATAATCAAACGAAGATGAGCAAACGCATCGTTTAATGATTGAGTACGTTGCCGTTCGCGAACATTGGCGATCGTGCGCTGGTTTTGAACATCATCATGAGATAAGAATGCTTGCTGTTGTTGTTCATGGCGTCGACGTTTCGATGAAGAAGAATAAGGATGATTATTCAATCGACGTTGTGCACGTGTTAACCGACGTTTATGCTGCCGTTCGTCGTTTTCATCGAAAGGAACCGATGGTGAAGGTGAACTTAAACTGGATTCACTTCCTGCACTACTCATCGTTCGTAAAGAACATTCCGATTTGATCAATGTGTTTAATAATGTTTGATGAGAATGATAATCCATAGAACTGAAGAAGAAAGGTTTGACTTAATCAGATGTAAACGATTAGATTCATCTGTTTGACATCTCAATGTGTTAATCTAAGTCTGATGTGTACAAATACTCAATCGTCTTTGATATGACAAGAGAGAAAAGGAAGAAGAGCAACAGCAACAGCTTATTTATATATCTTTCTTTTCTCTACTCAGGTCAAATCGATATCTGATTGGTTAGAAGCATCTTTCTTAAAGATTCATAAGTTGAACGATTGGTGCACAACTGAATTAGACTTACTTGAAATCTGTGATATGAACTATGAACAGAAATTCATCTGTTTATATATAAACTGACGAAAAAGAATAGTGAGGTCGGTACGTAATTGAATTCGTTAATTAATGTAATACAAGAGCAATTGACATGTCTCATTAGCATTAATTGTAATACCATTCAAGTCTTTAATCGATCGGAATCGGAGTGAACACAAATTGCTAGTCGAAAAGATTTATTAGAAATGAAGTTGGTTATAAATAAAACAAAACAAAAGTGGTGAAAAAGCGCAGCGGAACAAAAAGTTTGCTATAAAACATCATTTACATGCGTCTAGGTTTCTCCAATGATCCGTTGAATTGTCTTTTTAAACGTTGATTAACAGGTTCAATTGATTCCACTAGATTGTTATTCTCCTGATTCGAATCAATCGATCGATATTTATATTTGGAATCGATAGGATTCAATGGTTTTTGAGCGAAGGACCGTCGATAGCGATTATTGTTGCTGTTTATCTGGGGCATTTTTGTTCGCGGAGGTAATGTTTCGTGTTTTGGCGATGATCGAGCAGAAGTTGCGTCGAATGGTGGGTCTGTTAATTCGATTTGTTTCGAATGAGAATTGCTCCGTTTTGATTGTTTCTGGATGGGCGTTGTCTCAGCGATAGCGGGTGGGATTACTGCACTTCGGATGACGTTCTCAGAGGAGAATTTCCGAAGTTGTTTCTCGGGTAAGGAAGCGAGAGAAGTTGCGCGTTGAATTTTTAAAGTAGAATCGAGTAAAACAACTTGATCGCATCGAGAAGTACGAGTGATGGTGAAATAAGTTTCTACATAAAAATTGATTTGCACGATTATTTTCAGATTGAATACTTTAAACTTACCTTGTTCAGGATCAGTATCATGCTCATCCGTCTAAAGCGAAAAATTGTCAATAGGAATAATTCCAAAACCATCAACTCACCGTTTGTCGATCACCATTTGGGTCCAACAAACCAGAATTTACCATTTTCTAGAACGCGAGAGATATTTGTAGAAAATCTTCGAGAATTTCGCTCAAGCACTTTTACTAAAATACAATTGCATTTGTTTTTTGACGTACCTGATGTTTCCGTTCAAATGCTCTCTCAGTCGTAAAGATTGGTAGACCATAACCATTTCGATTAGCGTATTTACTTGTAAACAACGTTCCTCGTTCGGGCAATGGTCGCGTTGCTTTTTCCATCTAAATGAAAATACATACGGCTGTCCAAAAAGAAAAGCACGATTCTAAAGCGGAAGTAGCATATAGACTTATTTAGCGAATATATATATATGTGTGTGTGTTAGCAAGGCAGATAGGGTTGTGATATGCACATGTATATAAAGATGGAAACCTGATAGATAGGAAGTATCTGTTTAAATTGTGGGTTTATGTCGATTTCCGATGCAAATGTATGTGGTACACGAATTGGTCGAGATTTATCGACGTTCTCTTTAGCCTAATGAAAGAACGATGATTTGTTATGAATGATAAGAAACGAAATCGAAGAAGAATGTGTACAACAGTAAGTATTTTTCTCACCAATCTATGTTTTGGCAAACTAAGGGATTTGCATTCATTCACCTAAGTGTGAGTGTGTGTTATTAAAGAGATTTTTTAATAAGAAAAATGTTTTCATGACTTCGAAGAAAATTGTGAATAGAGGAAAATTTACCTGACGTTTACGATTTAGTTTTTCAATACGATCTTCAATAGTTTTTTCCGATCGACGTTTCTTCTGTTTTTTCTTCGGAGTGTTTACGATTTTCGGATGGCTTATTTCTGGTATTTCTCCACCTTCAGGGTCACTATCTGAATCACTGGAACTGAAAGAACCAACGAAAACGTTGTTTATCATTTTGAAAGAAAGACCAACCTCGAATCATCGCGTGCTTTGATAGTTTTGTGACATTTGGCCAAGATCTCCAAACAGTTTGACACAGATTTGATCACAGGTTTGGGTATTACTACTTGTTTTTCTTCTAGAAAACGAGTTATTGAAACATTGATATACTCGACAAGAACAATGTACTTACCCGAATCTGATGGCACGGATAATTCTATTGGAATATTTTCTTTATCTAACGTTCCAACAATACTTTTTGTAATATCCATGAAAATCGAGTCTAATCGGCTGAAAACATCGAAAAATCATCTCCAAATTCAAAAGAAAAATATCTCAATCTTACGATGAATCGGACACAACATCCAAATATTGTCTCAATGAATGGCAGATAGCTTGACCAAATTTTTCATAATCTTTCATATTAAAATGTGATGGTCGTTCCCTTCAAAAGAAAAATACATTCTCAAGAATATCCGATCTTCTCTCATCATCTTCAACACTTACACAATTCCTGTACCGGCAAACGATGCTTCTAAGGTAAAACTGTTCTTAATTAACATTTCCTTCCACATCACAACACGACCAGTTGATTCTTTACAGCGATGTATATGAAATTTACAATGATCAAACGCGAACATATCCGGTGCCTGTAAATGTAACTAAGAAATTTCACTATGCACATAAATCTTCTTACTGTTCTTGACATAATAAATGGTAAAACACGAGCTTCTAAAAAGTCTTTCATATTCGGTTCTGGTCCATCGCATCCGTCACAACCATAAGCAAATACGTTCAATTTCCGACTGTGTCCATGAAGATCACAAAAGGCTAAAATCTGAAAATACACGTGAGAAATCTTTCTGGACGAAAACTCGACGGTGTTTTCCTTCCTACTTCGCGTTGTTCATTTTGTAATCGACGAATTAATTCTTTCATGTGATAAATTATCGGGAATGTCTGTTTTCTCGGATGTCGAAAATTTCGATTCTTATCTTTTCCTGTCAATGAACAACGATAGTTTCCAACAATCACTCCATCAGGATTCAACATCGGAATGATTTTAAATACTATCTGCGATCGTAATTTCTGCAACAGATAGAAATATTTCTCTGTCGATTCAAATGATAAGTTTTACTTGAGCAATTTTATCATTGGATGTGATATATTCAAGTACTCCACGCATCATAAAACTTGAATTTGTCTCACCAGGATGTATTCGAGCGCTTATAAACACAAATTTCTTCTTATTAATCGGTACAGCTAAAAGAAAATATTTGACTTTTGCATAAAATCTTCATTAAAATCTTCAGTTTACATTCATCGGTAACTGTAACCATAAAACATGAATTCCCTGCTTGTGATTCACATAGAACCTCCTGACGGAACACATCGCATGGACGCGTTCGAGATAAATATTCCAAATCATCTTTCAAATCTGAATATGTATAAGGAAAACAATGAGCAATGTAACACGTATCACCAGAATGTGCAAATTCCTATAAAAACAAAACAAAACGAACGTTTTATTTTACCATTGATCGTAACATACCAATTGAAAATCTAATTCAAAATAATTAATATCTCGATCAAGTAATGAATTATACGATCGTTGTTTGTATTCCGAATAATTTATATGATGACCAATACGTTGCCAACCGCGAGATTCTCTCCGAGCATCGACACCCGAATAGAGAAGAATTTGCATACCTATGCAATCAAATCATTCCTCCTCGAAATGTTCTATCTGTGACAAATTTACCTTCATTATACAAACTACTTTTCTTCATCAGATTGATAATTCGCAAACGGTAAGTGATATTTGCGATCATGTTTTGCACGCGAAAGTAATACCATTGTGTATGTCGTCGAGTGTAGAGATCAGTTCGAAGAATCAATTCATATTCAAATTGTCCCCTAGGAAAATCCAAGTTGAACTTCGAACGAGGGTTTGTGTTTACTTTTCTTACACTCGTTTCGCTTGTCGTAAATTGCCGCTTTCAAATCGAGCTTCGAATATCAATGGAGGGCACATTTGCTCATTTTCCGTAGGTTTAATATGCTGGATTTTAGCCGTTTTCTCCATGTCATAGACGGTAACCGGATGTTTAAACGGTTCGGTATATTTATGAATAGCTGGTTGATTGTCATACGTTTGTTGATTAATAAGATCTAAACAACTGAGAATTACTTGAGAAACAAGGAATGTCTTGTTTTTACTTGAAACTGACGACGAAAGATAAAAACTTTCTTGTTTTAGATCTCGACTGAGTAATTTTGGAGTAGGATGAAGTATTCGATAAGTTTCTGGCCAAAAGGGACCATCTTCGGTAATAACAACACCGTTTTTATCGACGTAGACATGAGTATTATCACCACTCAATGCATTTCGTTCGAATGTACTTAAAACATCGGCTTTATTCGATTTGATGATACTATTTCCGAATAGAAGTGTTGCATCATTATTAATAGGAGGTATTGTCAATGGTTTATTCATATATTTATTCAGATAAGCAGTCGGGGTCATAAAATCTTGATCATCAGTAGGTTGAGATGATCGCCGTTGACAATGATAACTATGATAGGAATCGAAATAGAAGGATTTATTCGAGTCTTTATCAAATTGGTGATAATATGATGCAAAACGTTTCGGTGCTGTGGAAGTGTATTTAGAATAGAGTGGATGGAGAACACGTGCATTGCGACGATCAATTTCACTCCATGTGTCGACAGAAGCTTCTTGTTTTAATGGAGGACATTGACCAGTACTAGGTGGTGATGTAGAAGATAAATAAAAATGTAATCCGTTGATACGAAAGACAACAGACATTGATAAAAATTATGAAGAAATAGTTTGGAAATGGAAGGAAAGACAGCAAATGTTTTTTCTTCTCGTTTCTCTAATTTCCGATGGAAACGTCAATACAAAAAGAACACTTTCACCTCTTTTTCTTTTTCTTTCTCGAGAGAGTTTTTCAAATTTAATTTGTTTTAGTTACTCTACAATAGACCATTGATTTTGAAATAGTTCAATGAATCGCTTTTGAAAAAGTAAAGTAATTTATGTGATAAACTAAAGAAGAAAACAACTATGATTACTTCATCATTGACGAATGGCTTGAATAAATTTTTCAAAAAAAAAACACATCTCGTGAAACATTTGCAATCAAAGCAAACATAATTAGTAAATTGTTTTCGACAAATATGACTGTAAATATGTAATTATGTTAATTAGAAAGTTCACATGAAGATTTTCTTGGATTCTTTGCAAAAAAACTGATTCAAAATTCGTTTGAGTGCGAAGTGAATATGAAGTTCCATAATCCATCGATTAGCATTTCATTCGACAAATGTGTGTTAAAGTGAAGTGAAAACATTGATAGGATTATCTTACCGACGATGATGTTTTTGTAATTTAACAAGCCGCTCTTGTCGCTCAGATTCTTCAATTAGTTCTCGTACTTGACGTTGAAGATCTTCTTCTAATTCACGATGGATACTCGTACGCCATTGTTCATACGCAGTGGGATCTAATTGAAAATGAAAATTGTCAAAAGATTCAAGGAAATGAACATGTCATGGTATTCCGAAATGATTTGCCTACCAATTTTCACACTCAATGATCTATCATTATTTGTCGAGGGAATAATTGGAGGTAATTTTAACATTGATACATCCATTTATATCATTAACTGATCATCGTTTGCTTCTCTGATGTTTTTTTTTCTCAATCAACATCAAGCAATTTTTGTAGGTGTACAAAGCTCTTTTTTTTCTGCTTTCGCACTACTCGACTATTTCCACTTGAATTTAGTAGTTTTTCTCTCTCTGATATACATAAAAGTGTGTATGTACCATTAAAAAAAAAGAAGAAGAAAATTTGATGTTTTTCTCGTTTCTTTAATGTTTGAAATATAACTTCTCGTAGTGGTTGTTATAGTATGTAAGTAAATGAGAGGATTTCACACTGTAGAGATTTCTCTCAATAGAACAAAGTAAATATTCGATGTGTTTTGTAAAAAAAGAAAACGAAGTGATTAACACTTCTCGTGTTACCTTCAATGTTCGATGTTAGTTTTGAATTAAAGGATAGAAAAAAATATTAGGTATTGACAATTCTTCTCTGTTCTTTCGTTTACCTGTAAAATGCGTGAAAAGAACTTGTTTCATTCGTTCGGATACATTCAATTCGTCGTTACCATGTTGACTTGATATGATTGCCATTTGTGACATCTTAATCGACCCAGAGATCTTGGTACGTTACCATTGACTTTGTTGCGAATGGCTTAGAGCCAGTGGAAGCAAAGAGAAGAAAGAGAAATGTTTGGATTTGTGTTCATCGATACTGAAGAGAACGATGAAGTTGAAACTAAATGAACAGTTACGTCATGAATATTATTGTTAAAATTTTCGTTACGGCTTCTATTTATACGTATTCATTAAATAGTCAAATGTTCCTGTTTGTTCTCTCTTCTTTTCATATTCTTGCAAAGTTCAGTATCGAGTACTACTGATTAGAAGACATCGAGGATTTTTTTTTAATGATTACAAGCGTGAGAAATTGTTTGTTCACTTGCTGTTTTAATCAAACAAAGAGCAGTCTTATAGAGTGTGGTAGATCAAGGGAATATTGTGTGCAATCAATACATAAGAAAACGTATCTTTTTAGACAAACCTCTTGGTATACGTGAAAATCAACCTGTCGTGAGACGAATTGAGATAGGAGAAAGTAAAATATTTTCTTGATAAATTCCATTCATCGAAGTTATACGTAAAAAGACATAATGACTTTTCTACGATTGATTAACACGTTCTCCGATTCGGGAGCAAATGTGCCAATCAATTCTATTTGTTACAAAGAAAAGAACGACTAAAAATACTTCTACACAAAAGAAAATACCAGTTCACTTTCGCATCACCCGTATGAATATAAATTACTCTATTTCCAACACCTTGTAATTAGACTTCTCACCCTCGCAACAGCTATTGACTTTCATCATGAGAATACAAATGACATTTTAATAGTAGAAAACCAATCTGTTGACACAATCCGTTCGTTAATTTTCGAGTGTCAGCTCTCAGTTATGTATCTGATGTACAGTTTGCTGGTGAATGATATGAACAGAAATGGTTTTGTTTGGAATAAAATGTGTTGATATCGCATGTATTTATTGCTTTAAAGTTAAGAATGAAAAATCATGAAAAACTAATTAGTCGGGAGGTAAGATTCGGTCTGGAAATCTAAATGCTTATTTGCTTTGTTGAAGTCGAGCACGAATGAGATCTTCAAGTTTTTGGGCATCAACGGCGAATTTTCGTATACCATCAGCTAGTTTGTCATTGGCCATTTCGTCTTCATTTAACATCCAGCGGAATGTTTTTTCATCGAGTTTCTCCTGTTTCTTGTCTCGCACGTGGCCAATTCGTTCTTTACTCAGATAAACTTGAACTTTCTCTTTACTTGATGCTAATTCATCAAGTAATTTCGGACTTATTGTCAACAAATCACATCCGGCTAAACCAAGAATCTGTTTGATATTACGAAATGATGCGCCCATAACGACCGTCTTGATGTTATTTTGTTTATAATAATTATAAATTCGCGTCACACTCATCTAAACATCGTTCATTTCATTAAGAATACAAATAAATCGCTCATTACTCACCACACCTGGATCTTCCTCGATATCATATTCACGTTTGCCTTTTTTCTCGATGTACCAATCATAGATTCGTCCAACAAATGGTGATATCAATGTAGCTTGTGCGTCAGCACATGCTAATGCTTGTGCGAACGAAAAGATTAATGTCATATTACAATGAATACCATGTTTTTCTTCTAATTCTTTTGCCGCTTGAATTCCTTCCCATGTTGACGATAGTTTAATCAAAATTCGATCTTTCGATATGCCATTCTTTTCATATAATTCTATGATATGTCGCGCTTTGTTTATTTGTCCTTCACGGTCAAATGAGAGACGTGCATCGACTTCAGTCGACACTCGACCAGGGATGATTTTCAGAATTTCCTCTCCGAATCGAACGAAAACATGATCCATAATATCGTCAACGAGTGCTTGTTCATTCGATGATGATCCGTGTTTTTCTCGGCATTTGTTAATCACGTCTTGAATAATATGATCGTACTGCTTCATATTCGCTGCAGATAAGATCAGCGAAGGATTGGTTGTTGCATCTGTTGGCTGATACTTCTTCAATGATTCAAAATCACCAGTATCAGCTACAATAACTGTCGACTGACGAAGCTCTTCGAGTGCATTAGCCATCGGAGAAAATCTTCAAATGAAAGAAAAAACGCACGATATGTGAAAACATGTATGTGTACTTGAAAAGAAGAGGTCATATTCTGTTCGTATGAAAAGTACTTATGACGCTCGAAAAATCATTCGTTAATGTTGTTATACGTTCCTCTTTCTTCGTATTCACAAATTATTTCTATGTTTTACGTCTTTATCACTGATAAGAAAGAAACAATGATGCGCGAATGAATATAACCTTTTCTCTCCATGTCTTCTTACGTATTTGAACTACGAGGATTTTCTCGAGAAGCGAATACTTGAATGTTCCACATTAATCAATAATTTCTCGATTAATCTCAATAAAGCAAAGCAAAAAAAAAAGAAGATTACGCGGACAAAACATGATTTTATGCAGAAAAAAAAACAATAACATGTGTACACTGAATTCAATGAAAAAATATTATTTTATGTTCGTTTTCATGAATAATACGAGAAGGATTTATAATATACAAAAACTAAGATTAAATAGTTGCTTGTGGTGCTGAAGAATAGTATTGAAACAGATCGTTCTGGTATGACGATGGGATATGAGTGCGTTTAACGAAAAGAAGCTTTGTATCTTCAACTTCACAATCGATTTTCATCATCGGCACGTGATTGGTCGGGACATGAATCGATTCTAAAAGAGGAAAAATCAAGTATTTTCATGTTTTATGCTAACAGAAACGTACTGTTGAGATTCGCCATCGATGCTGGTAGTATAAGTGATATTTTCGGTCGTTGAGTTTGATTTTGTATTGTAGCTGGGAGAATAAGATTATCCTGAAAGACGAGAAGATTAGATTTGAAAGTCGAAAAAATGCTGAACATACGCGTTTGAACGAAACGAAGTATAACGTATCGTTTCGTCGATTCAACGAATGAATAAAGTCGCGATAATTATGTTCATGATTTTTATACGGTTGAAGTTCAGTTTCATCGACTGTTTGGATTCTAAATAATAAGAAAACAATTTTGATATGTTTCCTTCGAGGATAAACAAAATCTACTTTGCTTGTCGAGCGACTTTTCTTGTCATATGATGCAAAGGTTCAATGACTGAACCTTTATTTTTTTCGACAGCTGAATTCGATGAAACTACGACCGATTTCGGATCTGGAATGACTGCAGATTGACCATCCTGAATCTTATCAGCTTGATCTTGCACCCATGAACGGAGATCTTGGTTAATTCTAAAGAGAAAAAGCTCTGAATAACAGTAAACAAATTCTCAACGAAAATATTTACCTTTGTGAGTGAGTTTTATTGATGTAAGCAACACATTGTATGTAAGGATAAGCTTGTCCATTGTTGTTACTAGTATCTCCATTAGGTCCGTAATCATAGATACTGTTCGTTGGATAGGAGTTTTGGTCAATACTACGACTACTTTCAAGAATTGTACGACTGGGAACAACGGCAGTTTGATCTCCATATAGAGCGACTGGTTTTGATGAATCCATTGATGTTGGGAGGAAAGAGCTGAGAAAAGAGAAAATGGTTTAGTTGAAAGATGAATGAAATATGTGAATTACTTCATTTGAAAGAGACCAACACCGACGACCATGAGGAGGACAAGGCCCCTGAGAATGAATGGATTTCGTTTTGGTGGCGATGAGGTTGAATGATTGTTAGCAGCGTATTCTTTCAAAAGTTTATTCTAAGCAAAACGAAAGGACAGATTAGATTATCTATCTCGGCATGTGAATATCCTCAGTACAAACCTCCATTTCTAATGTTTCGATTTTAATTTTTAATTTCGAATTCTCTTGTTTCAGCTGACTATTTTCTTCTTGTAACTGTTTGTTTGTAACATCAAGATTTTCCATCAATTCCTTTCGTCGTTTACGCGAAAGCGATGCCGATTCGCGATTTTTTATCATACGAATATGTTTTCTCAAAGCTTCGTCCTATTCGAGAAAATAGCAAAGACATTACAAACGCAAACTTTGCCCATTCGACCTACACTCAAATTTCCATATTGAAGTTTCAATTGATCGACTGTTGCTGTCGGTACTTCGAATAGATGTTGTGATTTTTGCTCCGAAGGACTATCGGAACGACGTCGTTTTGCGATCGGCGGTGTGATGGCATTAACTGGCGTAGGTACCGAATCATTAACTACCACTGGAACTGCAATGAGTGGTGCAGTTGGCAGAACAACCTGTTTGAGAATAGTTATATTGGGATTGATCGATTCGCATTTGATAATTTTCGGTCCACTTAATACGGGTGGAGTAAACGATTGGATTCGAATGCAATTGGTTATTGGAGGAATATTGGTTGACGGAGGTGAGAGAACCGGTGGAGAAGGTGATAGCTGAAAAAAAAGAAATTACAAAATCGATTTTGTTTTCCTTCAACCCTAGGAAATGTTATACTTGTTGAAGTGTTTCATGATTTGGTTGTCCTAATGGACTGCTAAGAAAATTATCGAACGTTGAGCTGTCAATAGATGAAGATAGATTCTGAAGTAACACAAAAGATAAGAAATGCTTGTGAAGTCATTGTTTCTTACTTCGACATCGAGTTCGTCTAAAAATCGTTCGAAATCATCATTTGTGTCGACAGTCAGTTGATTTTCTTTATCCATTGCAAACAGATCTAAATACCCGGTATTGATTGTTAGTTTCTTCCTTCACATGATGCTTATACACTTACCAAAATTGTCCAAATTGATAACGGTACTATCCATCTCGAAAGGCATTGGTGGTGTCGTGGCAATGCCACTTTCAGCGTCGTTTTCCGATGACGACGATGTTACCGGTGATGTCTACGAAAAAATGATTCTTCTTGAATAAAAGAAAATATTCATTAAATTTACCGTGTAATTCGAAAGTGTTTCAGCACTTTCTGAGCTCCCAAAAAAAGGGCTATAGGAAAATTCTTCAGTACTCATTCGGAGTTTCGTGTAGTTTTTTCGTGCAGATAATATTATACTAAAAGGATAAAAGAAGAAAACTCTCATAATCACTTATCAGTAGGTTCTTACGTATAGACAAGTAAAGTGCGTCATGGCGCAAAAAATTCAATAGCAAACCATCGTTTGTGGAGTATATACGTGTCTGTGTGTTAATCTGGAAAAAATTTCGAAATGATTTAATTGATAGAAAGGGAAGAAAGTTATGAATAATCTATTTGCAGCAGTCGAGAAAGCAAAATCAAACTGTCTAATGTAATGTAGGAAGGAACCAGAAGCTTCCACGTCATTTATCGCAAGCTCAAATTTTGTTGGTTAAAACTAGTGTGAGTCATCAATGATAAAATTATGTCGATAGGGGTCAGTAGTATACGCTGAGCAAGATTGCAGTTAGAAAAGTTTTATGACTGAATGAAGATTCGAAAAGAGAACATCAAATATTCAAAGAGTAACACGGATTAATGTAGATATTTCCCAATTTTTCTGTCGGAGCCGATGTCAAATATTAAGTGCAAATGTCTTCTTTCTGGTTAATTGAGTACTGAAGAACGAGCAATTGCAGAGTGAGTGCTCCAGTAATAAAAGAAATGGAAAAGTTGTCGGTGGAAAAAGTAAACGGAAACAAATAAAAGAGTATGTTACTTCGAACATATGAGTGATCACATATATTCTCTACTTGATCAACGCGAAGCTCCTCTTCTTCACTACTCATTTCATCTATGCAATTCACATTTTTTTAGATTGGTGTGTCAGAATGAAACTGTTTACTTCCAAGCAACCCGTATGGTTTTTTATTGTTGTCATATGCATTGTAATGATCATCATATATGTGAATGTGGTGCAACCTTCATCTAACCAGCTGAATGTTTTCTTCAATTACACAAGTAAATATCGTTATATCGCAGTTATTGTTGATGATCGTGCTAGTCAAGCTCTCGTCAATGTTGTTCAGAATGTGGTACAATATTTACCAACGGATTGGAAAGTACAAATTATAACTCGAGTTCAACATTGGTCGTTCTACAATCAATCGTCTCTTCGTTTATTAATCAAGTCAAATCGTGTTTTTCTCACTCCGCTAGAAGAATCGAATAATGGTTTGTCAAATGTGGAGTTTATGAATTATATTTTAACGTCTGCATCATTTTGGCATCAAGTTCAAGGTGACAAAGTTTTGTTTTTCCAAACTGATTCCGTTCTTTGCTCGAATTCTCTGTATAATTTAACTGATTTTCTCGAATACGATTTCATCGGTGCGCCTTGGCATCGAGGTGGTTGTTGCAATGGTGGACTTTCTCTACGCAATCGAATTAAAATCTTACAAATGCTTGAAAGTGGCCATGTTCAATACAAATTGCATAGTGCCAATGAAGACGAATGGTTTGCACAGTATTTACCGTACTTTAATGGCTATATAGCACCGGTTTCCATAGCCCAACGATTTTCTGTTGAAACGATCTTTCATACTCGACCATTTGGTGTTCATAGACCTCGTGTAAGCACGATTGGCGTTGAAAATATGATTCGTTTATGTAATGAGTGTCCGGAATTGAATCTGATCACTCCGGCATGTCACACAATGGTAAATACGAATATTTCGTACATTCAGTAACTGTTTCATTGAAATTTACAATGTGGAACAATCAAGTTTTGTATATTTTATTTTTTTGTTGAATAAATGTATGAGGGTCAGAGAAACTGATTATCGTGTGAGAAAATCACGGGTATGAATTCATTTGTTGAAATGTTAAATATCATCCCAAGAATTGATCTGACGTGGCTGATCGAGTGTTTCGCTTGATTTCGATTTGATAATAAATCCATGGTCGAGATTGACGGATGACGCATTTGTCGCAATTGGATATTCCGATAACACTGAGTCGATTTCGCGATGATAAGTCATTGGAAGTGGATCGACATTGCTTGGTTTGTGATTTGTATAGAGTAATGAATGAAGAGTTTTTAACCGATTCGATGGATTGACTAATTCATTATGAGGAAGCGTAGGTTGAGAGTAAAGATTCTGAAGTGATGAAGTGGATTTCGAGCTTTTCGATCTAAGAGAAATATGAATTTTTATTGAGAAGAATCAAATGGATCAAAGATTTACCGTGAAGTGCACATAAACCAAATCAGAACGTTCATTACGAGGAGAAAGACAACAATTACAACAATAAATATGATAATTAAAGTCATATTTATATTCGTGGATGGTGAGGAATTTGGCAAGAGATCTATGAAGAAGAAAACGAAGTTTTATCTTGAGGGTGAATAGAATGAAACGATTTGATTACAGTTTTTGTACATTGAGTGATTATAATTTGGATATTGTTGGGATTTACTCACAGTTTTGATGTCCTAAAACGATTTTTTCAAAACATATTTCGAATGGTTATATTTCACTTGCGTTCTGAAGCGCTGGTCGTAATTTTTTCGCGAAATCACTCGGAGTGGATGCAAAGAATTCGTTCCTCAACTCCGGTGCAAATGTATGTTGCATAGCTATTGAAGATTTTATGGCTGGTAACGTCGATCGGGTGAGATTTGACGATGAATAGCATTGTAATCGAACTGATGCCTGGTTTGATTCAGGAGAAACCGAGTATTTCATCAGAAATCCGCCTTGTGCCATTGATTTCAGCGAATAGAATCGCAGAGTGACATTCTGATCGGCTGTACTAATTAATATAATTGGACTATGTGTTAAACATTTCGTTTGAAACTCTTGACCAAACCAGAGGATAAGTCCGGCCTCGGCACAAGTTGGTAGATGAAAATGAATGATTTCCAAAACGACTGAATGACCTGGTGATGCAACCAACGAACATGGGCAGTTTAGATTCGATAGAAATCCATTCGGATACATTGGAGTAGAGAGAAAACCACTGGTCGATGTCACATCTCGTGACTGACAGATGTCCTGAATGGAATAGTCTACAGAGAAAACACGCTGACATCGATAAAAACGTATTGATTATCGTGTTTACCCGGTACACATTCGTATTCTGCTTGAACGTACGACGCCGCCAAATTCCAACAATCCTGTAGAATCAAAGGGTGTTCAACCACTTGAACCGTACAATTGTTTATCGATGAACAAAGAATATCTTCTCGTGGAACATCCATTGTACAATCTTTGTCGATATATGAGCAATCATTAGACCAGGAATACCCATAAATAATACGACCTAATTTAATCAATTGATTGCTTGGACATTCGAGTGAAAGTATGTAACTTTCGATTTCATCCAGGCAGAAACTTTTCCTCGAGTAACCTAAATGGAGATTTGCTATTAGCGAACGAAAGTCTTCGATTTTTCACTTACCAGTATGAGCGAGAGTGAACGCTGATAAGGAAAGGAAAAGGATTACATGTATATTTCGCATGTTGTTCAATCAAATGACAAGTGTTTTGATTGTGACAATGATTTTTTTGCTCTTTATCAACGTTTAATTCATCGATAAACATTGTCCAGACAAGAGACCTATGATTAATCCGATCAATAGCTTGTCTCTTGTCTTTGTACAATGTTATCATTACAAGTCAACACCAAGATAATTCGTGTAAACATCTTTGAAATCGAAAGTTACCAACGATCAGCTCATTCACAATGCTTTGCTAGCTGAAATAGTTGACATGTCAGTAGCCTTGAGTGTAAAGACAAATTGCATTTGAACATTAGACAGAAGAGATTCATTGTTCCGGTCCGACAGAGAAAAAAGAACCAATTTAGAAAAGAATAATATTACGATAACAAAGACAAATCTCTATTTCATTCCTAAACAATCTAATAATTGTTTCGATGTATTCATTTGTCAATCAATAAATCTCCATACTAATCAGAGAATAGATTTATTTCTTCTGTTTGTTCTTAAAATATTAATTCTATCTAGTCAGGTGAATTAGATAAGATAGTCAAATTTATAATTATCAAAACTTTTGCAAATCTCCGGCGGTTTGATCTTTTCTTCTGCGGATACGCCTTTTGGAATACAGTCCGACTGTTCAGTATGTCTCTTGTTCCGAAAAAAAAAAGAAGAGAAAATCTCTTGAGAAAGATAATCACCAATTGTTTAACTACGAATAAAGAACGAAAAGAAGAAAAAAAAAACGTAGCGATGAGAAAAAGAATACATGATGACAAGTCGCCTTTCACAGAAACATTCTATTCAATGATCAGAACATAAGAAGAAGAAGAGAAAGATAACAGATTCAACTCAATACACACAAGCAGAGAAAGTAAGCGATCAATGAGATGAATCTATCGATCGAATTCGTGTTAAACTCGCGAATTTTTCTCTTCCGACAATCAAGAATTGACTGGCCACGATCATTTGTTTTCAGTTCATTTCTCTTTCGACATTTATCTATTGATTTAAGTCGTTTTTTAACTGATGATCATTTATTCATTAAATAAATAGGCAGAGAAGAGCGAGGCAAAAGAAAACGCGAGTTTCTTCCTCCGCCGTATGCTTTTCAAGGAAAGACGATCACATCATTAGATCAGTTTTTTTGCTTTAGTAAAGAATAACAAACAGTCGGAGTTACTTCTTTTTACTTCGATACATAGATCTATCGATCTGTCACAATATATTCGTTCCTCTATGTGTCATGTTTGATTAAAACTAATATCGAGACGACTAGTCGAAGGAACGTTATGCTGTGTTAGTTTCTCAAGAGACCAAACAACTGCATGCTACTTCGAGACTACAAATGAAAAACTACACGAGAGGAGGAATGAATTGCTGTTCATTGCGTGCTTTTGTTCTTCGTATGGGTACATCTATACATTTGACTTGAAATTAGCAAGGAGAGAGAGAGAGAGAAGAAACATATGAGTTTCGAGTTATTGTTTGTTCGATGAAAATTTGAGAAAGAGTGAAGTTGTTGTCGTTTGTTAGATCGATACTTAGTTCGTATTTCTTTTTCTTGTCTATTAAGCATATTTACTAGATGGGAAATAAAACAACGAAATCGTCATTGGATCCAACACTTTTGGATAAATTAACAGAAGAAACAGGCTTAGAACGTGAAGTGATTATAGCATGGAGGTTTGTCAATTCGACGGAAAATCTTTCAAGAAAAGACACCTTTTGCTTTCTTTTTAGGAAACAATTTCTCAGTGCATGTTCATCGGGTAAAATGAATCGAAAGGATTTCTTTAAATTTTATCGTTCGTTACGCATGGAATCGGATGATAAAGTCAAAGAGATTGTTAATTTCATCTTTACTGCGTTCGATCGCGACTCAAATGGCAAGATCGACTTCGAAGAATTTCTCTGTAAGTACTAATTGTTCTTCAAATTCCAAGCGAAATTCTTCTCGGAACGTTTTAGGCGGGTACGCGATCACATCATTGGGTACGATGCGGCAAAAATTGGAATATGTTTTCGCCATTTATGACAAAGATAAAAATAATTCAATTGATCGAAAAGAAATGGTGCGAGTTATGTCGGCTATGTACGATCTATCAGGCAAATCCAAAGATGAATACCCACCGGAACGTTGTGTCAACGATGTTTTCTCATTAATCGATGTTAACAATGATCATTCATTAACTAAAGATGAATTCGTGGAAGGCGTACTCAAAAATCCCTATATATCTGATATCGTTTCACCATTTAACCAATAAACTAGTTATTTTCTGTGCAGATCTCGACGTAACCATGCATTTACTCTTGCTTTCACTCATACATTTTCGTACAAATTCATTTTCAGTAAGCGATAAGTCATCTTCGTCTCTCGAGAGATGAGCAAAAATCTCGACGTTGATTAACTATATATTTAATTCGTTATGAAAGGATGAATTCAGTTAAAATCGAATTCTTCAATTCATTCGAAAGATAATTTTCTCACAGAAACAACTTCCGACAGGTCAATAAACTACAATTTCCTCCGATCGTCTTCGTAAATGTAAAACTAGTTGATGCTGCAGATGAAAATCGTCTCTGACATGTTTTGTGTTTACCAAGCATCGCGAGGCCACCTATATAGTAAACCTGATGACTCATATCGGGTTCTTTTCATTGACTGAAAAGTAAGTATCGTGTTCGTGAAAAACAAACCCTGATGAATTGCCAAGAAAGTTCGTGTGCGAAATCTCAAGTAGCGATTTGCTTGCATTGCTTATGTCGTCTATGTTCAACGCATCTTCTTGCTCATAGAGAAGAGGTTGTCAAACATACTGTTCAAGTTTCTAAGCAAATCAATGGTGTGGCACAGGAGTTGGACGTTTTGTTACAAAAAGTACGATGTGATCGTCAAAGTGCAACGTCTCAACTTCGAACTTGGCGACAATGTCAAATAGATCAAGTTGAGCGAATATATACAGAGAGATTTCGGGATATCGCAAGGAAAAAAGATCGTATTAATACGTTAGAAACTGAATTAACAGAACGTGTGATGAAAGAAGCGAAAACAATACATGAAAATATCCAAAGAAAGCAAAGTCTTCAAGCTATTGCAGAGATTGTAAACGAAAACATTCGATCAATACCTCCTGAGCATCAACATCAATCTCCTTCGCTTGAAAATTCCTCAACACGAAAAACAATTGAACCTCCCTCAATCATACCTTTCAGAAAATTAGTTAATCGCTTCAAAATCATCTCCGGTACGAGTGACCAATATCTGAACCGTTACATTTCTAAGGTAATTTTCTTCTGAACGATTCACATTCTTCGCACTATTGATTTTCAATAGAATTTACTCAGACTTCCGCATGATCAAATGTTAATGACTCTACTCGTTTCACTTTTTCAAGCTTGGTACTCGTCGAATACCAATGATCAAATTTTATCCTATCATATGAATACAATCAAGAAATATATCCAAAAACCCGAACATCAACTCGCAATGCTCACATCAATTCTAATATTTGTCACCTCGTCGAATCGTTCAGATGATGAAATACGTACGGAAAGTGTTCTCGGATAAAAATTTCCTTTCAGTTTCATTATTTTCAGTTCATATATTCAACGCTTTGCTACAATTCTTCTGGAACAATCAATTTTTCACCAAAGAAACATTGCTGAACTGGTGTCACAACGAAAAATCAAATGTCTACCGAGGTTTCGAACGAATCCAACCATTTGCTCAATCATTTTTGGATCAACTCTAATCAAAAATCATATTTGTTCTTTCTCCGTTCTATTTACCTACATTGAAAGACAAAAACAGAACTTTTCTAAGACATGAATTACATCATCTCGAATTTGTACACTATCCAAATGATCTTCTGACTTTTGTCATCGGAAAATGGTCCCGACAAGTGTGATATATTGAACAGTTGTTAACATGAAAGAAAGCAGAAACATGAAAAATCTCTTGTCAGACAAGACAATTGTTTGTAGAAATGATAAAACTGATGCCTTTCTTCGTCTATTCTTATCTGATATAAACTGTTTATTTCAATCAATATCATCTAATTGATCATTGACTTCCTCCTCTGACGTGCACTTTCTTTTCCGTACTTATCAATCAAGTGCACGAGGAAAATGTACATGACAACGTTTTGAACGAAGCAAGGTCTATCAGTTTGACATATTTTCAACCATAGTTCATCTCGTTAATTACTCTTCCATTCAATTTCATCTGAATAAACGCTTCGAGGCGCTGTCAAAACACACTACGTTTGTATAAATTCGATGTTGATCGAGCGAGAAAGATGATTTGTGTCATCTTCGTGACGAGGTAGAAGTAAATCGATCTATTCTTTTGTATTCAGAAGCATTTGTATAGTTAAACAAAGAAAGTAATGGTGCGTTACGTATAATCGAAGTCTGTTCGTTGTTTTGTATTGAAAATGAAAATTTAATTGATTCAGACGAGAGAGAGAGAGGGAGGGAGAGCTTTACAAGCAACAATCAATAAATATTGTTTTCTTTTTCTCCCTCACTCTCTTCGCATTCAGTTGGGAGATTTGCTCTTGTCTTATTCAGACAATAGTAAGTAGGAGTATTGTTAATTCATCGCGTGAGCAAGAGGAGAGAATCAAAAAGAATATGCTTGCATAATCATTCATCATCGACTTTGAAGGATTAATATGTGTGAGAAGCGTTGTTCATATAGTTTATTGTGAGTGTATGGCATCCACTTGTCAATTCTATTCATTCGCATTAACTAATCTTGCGTTGAAAGTCAGGTACGGAACTGTTTTCAACGGATATGTTCATTTCTATGACGAACTGTGAGAAGGATGATGATAACAATGAGTTAATTATGAGACGGACCGTCTGTGTATGCCTGATTACACGCCGTGCATTTGTGACCTCTCATAAAGTTTGATGGAAGAAGAGGAAAGTGAATTTCTCTTCTCTTTCTCCTTCTTCTTCTTCTTTCTCTGAACATATTCATTTCAAATGAATGCTTCATCGATAATGTGTCAGAAGTTAACCATCAGTCATAAGTAGCTACAGGTGAAAGATTGTCGTCTTTTTTCTTTGGTGAAAAATATCTTTCAACTAATCAGCCTCTCTTATTCTAATGATGTTTGTATATGCACGTGCGAAGAGAAGGAGGAGAAGTGTAGAAAGAACTCATCCCGATATCTGGAGAAAGAGAAACACGCGTCCGAATGCTTTCTGTTCCGATCAGATGTGTTTTTAGATGAGTAATCATTATTTCCAAGTGAACAAATGAGAGACTGTCGTCTTCTGACGGCGTTCGTTTGTACCGTTTTGCACACAGTGGCCAATTGCTTAATGGAGGAGAGTTTCGTCTCGCGAGAGTTGATCAATGTCAATGTGGGCAAACGGATTCGAATTGAATGTCAATTGAATAACTCGACGATCAATGGAAATCGAAAAGTAAGAGTTTTCGTCGACTGTTTAACTTTTCAATACGATATTCTCGTTTGTTGAAGGGCTTATGGTTACGGTTAGAAGATGCGGAAGTGTTCTTCTATGCAACTAGTCGAATTAATTCTGATCAACGTTTTCAAATCGAACAGCGTTCAAGTTTTCATATGATTAATAGTACAACATCGTCGGAGATCATCACCTATTCATTAATAATCGATGATCTACGTTTAACTGATAGTGGAACTTATTCGTGTCAAGCAGATAACAAAGTCATCAAATTGTTCTTATTAAACATCGTCGGTACGTNTTCGCATTCAGCTGGGAGATTTGCTCTTGTCTTATTCAGACAATAGTAAGTAGGAGTATTGTTAATTCATCGCGTGAGCAAGAAGAGAGAATCAAAAAGAATATGCTTGCATAATCATTCATCATCGACTTTGAAGGATTAATATGTGTGAGAAGCGTTGTTCATATAGTTTATTGTGAGTGTATGGCATCCACTTGTCAATTCTATTCATTCGCATTAACAAATCTTGCGTTGAAAGTCAGGTACGGAACTGTTTTCAACGGATATGTTCATTTCTATGACGAACTGTGAGGAGAAGGATGATGATAACAATGAGTTAATTATGAGACGGACCGTCTGTGTTTGCCTGATTACACGCCGTGCATTTGTGACCTCTCATAAAGTTTGATGGAAGAAGAGGAAAGTGAATTTCTCTTCTCCTTTCTCGTTCTTCTTCTTTTTCTGAACATATTCATTTCAAATGAATGCTTCATCGATAATGTGTCAGAAGTTAACCATCAGTCATAAGCAGCTACAGGTGAAAGATTGTCTTTTTTTTCTTTCTTTGGTGAAGAATATCTTTCAACTAATCAGCTTCTCTTATTCTAATAATGTTTGTATATGCACGTGCGAAGAGTAGGAGGAGAAGTATAGAAAGAACTCATCCCTATATCTAGAGAAAGAGAAAGACGCGTCCGAATGCTTTCTGTTCCGATCAGATGTGTTTTTAGATGAGTAATCATTATTTCCAAGTTAACAAATGAGAGACTGTCGTCTTCTGACGGCGTTCGTTTGTACCGTTTTGCACACAATGACCAATTGCTTAATGGAGGAGAGTTTCGTCTCGCGAGAGTTGATCAATGTCAATGTAGGCAAACGGATTCGAATTGAATGTCAATTAAATAACTCGACGATCAATGGAAATCGAAAAGTAAGAGTTTTCGTCGACTGTTTGACATTTGAATACGATATTTTCGTTTGTTCAAGGGCTTATGGTTACGGTTAGAAGATGCAGAAGTATTTTTCTATGCAACTAGTCGAATTAATTCTGATCAACGTTTTCAAATCGAACAGCGTTCAAGTTTTCATATGATTAATAGTACAACATCATCGGAGATCATCACCTATTCATTAATAATCGATGATCTACGTTTAACTGATAGTGGAACTTATTCGTGTCAAGCAGATAACAAAGTCATCAAATTGTTCTTATTAAACATCGTCGGTACGTACCTGTTTCTCCCTTTTCGTACAATTTCCCATCTTGCTAACCGATAGAACGGCCGTATTTCATTACCAACGATTATTCCACGTTGATTCGTACGCAAGTCGGAAGGAACGTTTCGATTGATTGTGAAGCGCATGGCAAACCCGAACCGTATCTGAGTTGGATAAGAAAGACAGACGGTATTAATTTGATGAAATCGACTCATTTTCGCTAATGTCATTTTTTTTCAAAGAATATAATCAAAATCTTATGATTAATTGTTCGACAACGCCTACCACCTGTCAGTTGAATCTTGTTAATATTCATCGATGGGATAATGGCATCTATGAATGCATAGCAATGAATAGTGTGGGAACAATTGGACGTTTCTATGAAGTCGATGTTCAATGTAAGATAATGTCGTGTTTGATTTCGAGAAAGACAAGAATTTTTTATCGAATAGTCCCGCCGTATGTTCATAGTTCAAGGGAAGAAGTTCGTCATTCAGTTGGAGATGCAGTAGTGATTGAATGTATGGTCGATGCCAATCCCGAACCGGATATTCGATGGCTGCATCGATATTCAAATGAGACGAAACAAGAAATTGATTTATCTCGACAATATTCGCAAGAAAAATTAGATAAAAACCGAGAAGATAGGATTTGGTTTATTAAACACGAACAGTTAAATGCGACAAGATGGAAAACAAGTCTTTTTATTCAAGTAAGACAGTATTTTCCGACCTTGTCGTTCATTTCGAATCGTTTCTTGCATTCAGCGTATTCCAAAACGTTTATTTAACTCAAATTTTATTTGTCGTGCAATAAATCGTTATGGCCAAGGTGAACAGATAATAACCATGCTGGAAAGTCATCATTTTACCAAGAAACATCGACATACAAGCACCACATCAGTATACAGTTCATCTTTATCTACCGTTTCGACAATGACAGGTAGGACATTTGATGAAACTGAATATTTGAGATAAAGGAATGAGTTTTAGATGAATTTTTATCCGAAAAGTTCGATGAAGTGTCGAACCGATCGACGAGACATTCTTTTACCATATTTATTTTCGGATGTTCAGCATTTTTATCTTGTTTGTATAAACAATAAAAAAAAAGAAAATTTTTTATTTTCCGTCCATGATGAATTCTATTTGTTCAGGATTAATTTAGACAAAGAATAACAAAAAGAAATTATTTCGCTGAAGATTGAATTTGAGAAATCAACCGATCGTAATGTTCATTGAAAACCATCTTGTTGTAAGTTATCAATCGAAGAAAGAAGCTGACGGTTGTGATCACTTCATTCATAACGATATTCAATCCATTTGGAATAGCAACGTTGGATAGCGCTGAAGCGCTTGTCGAATGATGATCCAATAGATGATGAATAAACGAAATATAACGTTGAACTAAACATACACAATGAAATTGTTTAGAGAAGATGAAAATGACTTACAGAGTAACTTGAAAACAGCGTGTTCGATGACATGATGTTCGCCGATTGCTGTAATTGCCTCTTTGATGTTTTGTTCGTTGTCGATGATAACTTTTGCTCTGTCATGTTTTTCTAATTGTTCTTTTGCTGTTTTAACTACTTGTTCGCTTAATGATATCAGCACATCTTTCAACTTCCTACCGAGACAATGACAAACATATTCGGAAAAGGAGAAAAGCAATCGACTTACTTTTTTTGTGGAAAATCATCAAGAAGAATGATCATTTCCGATTTGAGCGTTGTTTTGATCGCTTCATGATCTCGTAGAACAGAACCAGTTAAATGCGAAAGGACGGTCATGATGGTGGAAATTAATAACAAACGCATTGTTGCAACATGAACTTGATTGTAACGAATTTCATCTAATTCCAATGTCTAATGGATCGGAGTGAAACGAACAATAGAGGAAATGAACTGTAAAAGTTTTTTACTTCAGGAAATGGATACTTAGGATTCCAGAGTAAAAGTTCACAATAAGCTTCATTCAGAATGACTAATGGACTATCAATGGAAGACGAAGTTGGCGTTTGATACCAACCAATTGTATCATTGGTTTTTAAGCGATTGAAAGCTCGTTCAAGCCATTTATATGTTGACAACAATGGATCAATACCCATTGCTAAATGATCAATAGAAAAATTTTATGTTTCGGAAAAAGAAATGCTGACGTACCTCGTTGATTTTCCATGAATTTGTCAAATGTCGATTTTTCGTACGCTACAGCTTGTTGTTGTAACAGCGGACGGTATTGGCGAATATTGAAATTGGCCATATCAAGTTTCATTAAACTCAAAACTTCCATAATACCTCTTTAAAAAAAGCGAGATAATTTTGTTTTCGGAGTGATTGAAACCAACCTGAAACATTCCGCTGGATCGGTAATTGTCCGTAGTTTCGCAATATTTTCATCTCGGCATTCAGCGCAAAGGCTAGCCATCATATCGATGAAATATTTGGTGTATTCGTTAGGATCAGCTGCATTGGCTTCGAATCGACGTTTGATGATTTCGAGATCAATCGCGTCATCGATATGACTTTTTAAAGTGGTTTGATGAGGTAAAACTAAAGTTTTAAGATCCTAGAAATCATTGCATAGAAAAGAAATGTTTTGAATTGAAAGTGCGAAACTTACTTCTTTGGCTTCGCCGATTAATTTTATAATATGTTCGTAACGAGGCGGATCTGCTTTCAAATCTTCGCTTAGAACATCCCAAAAGGCCGTATGCATTGTATCATGAACTTTCTCAGCGATACTAAATCGAAATGATTAAGAACATGAGTTCCTTCATAGCAAGGGTAACCTCAGTCACTCACCTTCCTTTTTCATATTCGGGTAATTGTAACTGAAAATCTTTATTGAATACAATCTCATGCGCAAGTTGAAGGTTTTGTGCGTTTCGATTCGCTTCCATCAATTGACTATAATCAATAAATCTGGGAGGCGAAGCTAAAATCGAAAATAGTGCGTGATGTTCAATTGTACAAAGAAAAAGTACCAACCTGCTGTCGCTCCCGCCATATTATCTTGCGTGCTTGGTAATGTTGGCGATAGATTGAGCCAACCAAGAACTGCTCCTAACGGCCGTTGCTGCTCTTCACCTTTTTGCTCCTCATTATTCGCATTCGACATAGTTCGATAATCTTAAAGTAAAGCATTGTTGAAAAGATATTAGTTTTCAGAGAATCTTTTGCTGCGATGACAAGAGTGAAGAGTAGGAAAAAAAACAGATGAAGGATTGGAGCAATGGAATGAGTATCATAGATAGACTTTCGTTTCTATTGTCTTTTCTCGTTTCTCGCTCAACCGAAATCCACGTCGATACATGATCATCATTGCACAGAGAAGAACGCATATGTGTTAAAGTTAGAGAAAAAGCGACGAGAAGAGAAGACCAAAAATAATCACTGTTTGTATGAAAACATTCGCGCACACAGACTTATTGAAATCCGAACTGTACATAAAAAGAAAAGGACTTGCTAGACAACGAACAACATGAACAGGGAAAAAAACAAACGAAGAAACGACATAAATTTTGTTTTGTAGTAAAAGTTTTTTTTTCTTTATGGGTGTCCAGAGAGATCATCACACATCTGACTTGTTGGCTTGGTCATATTGCGATTAAGTACCAACACGTCGATGATTATTATCGTTGGTGCCATCGGACTCGGTTCGACAGACTTGCCGAATCCAAGCGGCTACATCTTGATTATCACTTTCGGTTTCATATCGTTTGTAGAATGAATGATTCTAAAGAGAGTCAGGTATTATGTCGAGTGAAGGCAATCGGACAGGTTCACTTACTAAAAGTGAGTTCAAGTCAGCTCGTTCGGATGTGCTCTTTTTCAAGCTAAAATGAAAAATGATCATGGAAGCCTTGCGAAGAGAAATTCATTTACCAACGATCAATAAAATCACAAAATTCAGCTGAAAAATGTGAACGAGGTAATGTCGGAGGTGCTTCATTGACAATCCATTCCATCAGCTCGAAAATAGCCAAGCCTCTGTAGCTACCATAACCTACAAACGATCAATTGTGATTAAACTGAATATTTATGTTCAGCTTAGAGCAAACCTTCTGGTCGTGGTCGGTTTCCTTGAGGATCTTCTTTGAATAAATTAACGATATCTTCCGTTGATGGAGGTGGGATAGGATATCGGCCAACGGCCATTTCCACGAGTGAAAGACCCAATGACCAAATATCACTCATCACTCCATAATGTGTACCTTCAAGTCGTTCGGGCTACGAAAATAACTATATTTGCTACACTGTCTTCTCCAGGAAGATAAGTCTCAAACTTACAGACATGTATGAACGTGTACCGATGAATGTTAGCGCTGTCGAATCGATTAACTGGGCGCTAACACCAAAATCACATAGTTTGATTTCACCTTGATGATTGACAAGAATATTCGATGGTTTAATATCTTTGTGAAGAGGATATTCATATAGAATAGAACCGAAATGTTACAAGGAGATGTTTACCTCGATGCATTATACGATGTCGCTCTCGTAAGTAACTTAAACCGCGAAGAACCTTTTCAGATCAAAAGTAAAGTTCAGCGTTACTTAGAAATTATTGGTTCTTACAGCGACGGTTATTCTACCAAGAATATTCTCTGGTATACGCATCACTTTTTTCAAAATTAAATCTAATGAACCACCATCCTAAACGAAATCAATGCACATCGAATAAATACTATCCTCTATTTACCATATATTCCATACAAATACTAATTTGAGCTTCCACAGCAAACGCTCCGTAGAAACCGACGATGTACGGTGAATTACATTGATGCAGGACCTAAAAACATTCTCATCTAAGGCAAAACTTTTTCAAACAAAACCAGACGCATACCTTAAGTTCTCGAATGATTTGATTTTTCAAAGCTGGTTTGACTTCCAAATAGATGAGCTAAAAGAATCGAAAATTAGCGTCTAGATTCACTTCACATACNGAACCGTATCTGAGTTGGATAAGAAAGACAGACGGTATTAATTTGATGAAATCGACTCATTTTCGCTAATGTCACTTTTTTTCAAAGAATATAATCAAAATCTTATGATTAATTGTTCGACAACGCCTACCACCTGTCAGTTGAATCTTGTTAATATTCATCGATGGGATAATGGCATCTATGAATGCATAGCAATGAATAGTGTGGGAACGATCGGACGTTTCTATGAAGTCGATGTTCAATGTAAGATAATGTCATGTTTGTTTTCGAGAAAGACAGGAATTTTTATTGAATAGTCCCGCCGTATGTTCATAGTTCAAGGGAAGAAGTTCGTCATTCGGTTGGAGATGCAGTAGTGATTGAATGTATGGTCGATGCCAATCCCGAACCGGATATTCGATGGCTGCATCGATATTCAAATGAGACGAAACAAGAAATTGACTTATCTCGACAATATTCGCAGGAAAAATTAGATAAAAAACGAGAAGATAGAATCTGGTTTATTAAACACGAACAGTTAAATGCGACAAGATGGAAAACAAGTCTTTTTATTCAAGTAAGATAGTATTTTTCGACTTTGTCCTTCATTTCGAACCGTTTCTTTCATTCAGCGTATCCCAAAGCGTCTATTTAACTCAAATTTTATTTGTCGTGCAATAAATCGTTATGGTCAAGGTGAACAGATAATAACCATGCTGGAAAGTCATCATTTTACCAAGAAACATCGACATACAAGTACCACGTCAGTATACAGTTCATCGTTATCTTCTGTTTCGACAACGACAGGTAGAACATTTGATGAAATTCAATGCTTGAAATAAAGGAATGAGTTTTAGATGAATTCTTATCCGAAAAGCTCGATGAAATGGCGAACCGATCGACGAGACACTCTTTTACCATATTTATTTTCGGATGTTCAGCATTTTTATCCTGTTTGTATAAACAATAAAAAAGAAAATTTTCTATTTTCCGTCCATGATGAATTCTATTTGTTCAGGATTAATTTAGAAAAAGAATAACAAAAAGAAATTATTTCGCTGAGGATTGAATTTGAGAAATCAACCGATCGTAATGTTCATTGAAAACCATCTTGTTGTAAGTTATCAACCGAAGAAAAAAACTGACGGTTGTGATCACTTCATTCATAACGATATTCAATCCATTCGGAATGGCAACGTTCGATAGCGCTGAAGCGCTTGTCGAATGATGATCCAATAGATGATGAATAAACGATATGTAACGTTGAACTAAACGGATACAATGAAATTGTTTAGGGAAGATGAAAAAGACTTACAGAGTAACTTGAAAACAGCGTGTTCGATGACATGGTGCTCGCCGATTGCTGTGATTGCCTTTTTGATGTTTTGTTCGTTATCGATGATAACTTTTGCTCTGTCATGTTTTTCTAATTGTTCTTTTGCTGTTTTAACTACTTGTTCGCTTAGTGATATCAGCACCTCTTTCAACTTCCTACCGAAGACAATGACCAACGTATTCGGAAAGAGAGAAAAGCAATCGACTTACTTTTTTTGTGGAAAATCATCTAGAAGAATGATCATTTCCGATTTGAGCATTGTTTTGATCGCTTCATGATCTCGTAGAACAGAACCAGTTAAATGCGATAGGACGGTCATGATGGTGGAAATTAATAACAAACGCATTGTTGCAACATGAACTTGATTGTAACGAATTTCATCTAATTCTAATGTCTAATGGATCAAAATACAACGAACAATAGAGGAAACTAGCTGTGAATGTTTTTTACTTCAGGAAATGGATACTTAGGATTCCAGAGTAAAAGTTCACAATAAGCTTCATTCAGAATGACTAATGGACTATCAATGGAAGACGAAGTTGGCGTTTGATACCAACCAATGGTATCATTGGTTTTTAAGCGATTGAAAGCTCGTTCAAGCCATTTATATGTTGACAACAATGGATCAATACCCATTGCTAAACGATCAATAAGAAAAATTTCTGTTTCGGAAAAAGAAATGTCGACGTACCTCGTTGATTTTCCATGAATTTGTCAAATGTAGATTTTTCGTACGCTACAGCTTGTTGTTGTAACAGCGGACGGTATTGGCGAATATTGAAATTTGCCATATCAAGTTTCATTAAACTCAAAACTTCCATAATACCTCTTCAAAAAAAGCGAAATAATTTTGTTTTCGGAGTGATCGGAACCTACCTAAAACATTCCGCTGGATCGGTAATTGTCCGTAGTTTCGCAATGTTCTCATCTCGGCATTCAGCGCAAAGGCTAGCCATCATATCGATGAAATATTTGGTGTATTCGTTAGGATCAGCTTCATTGGCTTCGAATCGACGTTTGATGATTTCGAGATCAATCGCGTCATCGATATGACTTTTTAAAGTGGTTTGATGAGGTAAAACTAAAGTTTTAAGATCCTAGAAATCATTGAATAGAAAAGAAATGCTTTGAATTGAAAGTGCGAAACTTACTTCTTTGGCTTCGCCGATTAATTTGATAATATGTTCGTAACGAGGCGGATCTGCTTTCAAATCTTCGCCCAGAACATCCCAAAAGGCCGTATGCATTGTATCATGAACTTTCTCAGCGATACTAAATCGAAATGAATAATAACAAGAGTTCCGTCATAGCCAAGGGTAATCTCAGTCACTCACCTTCCTTTTTCATATTCGGGCAATTGTAACTGAAAATCTTTATTGAATACAATCTCATGCGCAAGTTGAAGGTTTTGTGCGTTTCGATTCGCTTCCATCAATTGACTATAATCGATGAATCTCGGAGGCGAAGCTAAAATCGAAAATATTGCATGATGTTCAATTGTACAGAAAAGAAGTACCAACCAGCTGTCGCTCCCGCCATATTGTCTTGCGTGTTTGGTAACGTTGGTGATAGATTGAGCCAACCAAGAACTGCTCCTAACGGCCGTTGCTGCTGTTCACTTTTTTGCTCCTCATTATTCGGATTCGACATAATTTGATAATCTTAAAGTAAAGCATTGTTGAAAAGATATTAGTTTTTAGAGAATCTTTTGCTGCGATGACAAGAGTGAAGAGTAGGAAAGAAAAACAGACGAAGGATTGGAGCAATGGAATGAGTATCATAGATAGACTTTCGTTTCTATTGTCTTTTCTCGTTTCTCGCTCAACCGAAATCCACGTCGATACATGATCATCATTGCACGGAGAAGAACGCATATGTGTTAAAGATAGAGAAAAAACGACGAGAAGAGAAGACAAAAAATAATCACTGTTTGTATGAAAACACTCGCGTACACAGACTTATTGAAAACCGAACTGTACATAGAAGAAAACGACTTGCTAGACAACGAACAACACGAACAGGGAGAAAAAAAACAAACAAACGAAGAAACGACAAGAATTTTGCTTTGAAGTAAAAGTTTTCTTTTTTTCTTTATAGGTGTCCAGAGAGATCATCACGCATCTGACTTGTTGGCTTGGTCATATTGCGATTAAGTACCAACACGTCGATGATTATTATCGTTGGTGCCATCGGACTCGGTTCGACAGACTTGCCGAATCCAAGCGGCTACATCTTGATTATCACTTTCGGTTTCATATCGTTTGTAGAATGAATGATTCTAAAGACAGTCAGGTATTATGTTGAATGAATGCGATCGGACAAGTTCACTTACTAAAAGTGAGTTTAAATCAGCTCGTTCGGATGTACTTTTTTTTAAGCTAAAATGGAAAATGATGGTGGAAGCCTTGCGAAAAGAGATTTATTTACCAACGATCGATAAAATCGCAAAATTCAGCTGAAAAAAGTGAACGAGGTAATGTCGGAGGAGCTTCGTTGACAATCCATTCCATTAGCTCAAAAATAGCCAAACCCCTGTAACTACCATAACCTACAAACGATCAATTGCGGTTAAGCTAAATATTTATGTTCGGCTTAGAGCAAACCTTCTGGTCGTGGCCGGTTTCCGTGGGGATCTTCTTTGAATAAATCAACGACGTCTTCAGTTGACGGAGGTGGGATAGGGTATCGGCCAACGGCCATTTCCACAAGTGAAAGACCCAATGACCAAATATCACTCATTACTCCATAATGTGTACCTTCAAGTCGTTCGGGCTACGAAAATAAATTGTATTTACTATACTGTCTTCTCCAGCAAGATGAGTCTCATACTTACAGACATGTATGAACGTGTACCGATGAATGTTAGCGCTGTCGAATCGATTAATTGGGCGCTAACGCCAAAATCACATAGTTTGATTTCACCTTGATGATTGACAAGAATATTCGATGGTTTTATATCTTCGCAAAGAGATATTCATATAGAATAGAATCGAAATATTACAAGAAGATGTTTACCTCGATGCATGATACGATGTCGTTCTCGTAAGTAGCTCAAACCGCGAAGAACCTTTTCAAATAAAGAGTACATTCCAGCGTTACTTCGAAATCATTGATTCTTACAGCGACAGTTATTCTACCAAGAATATTCTCTGGTATACGCATCACTTTCTTCAAAATTAAATCTAATGAGCCACCATCCTAAACAAAATCTATGCATATCGGATAAATACTATTCCCTATTTACCATATATTCCATACAAATACTAATTTGAGCTTCCACAGCAAACGCTCCGTAGAAACCGACGATGTACGGTGAATTACATTGATGCAGGACCTAGAAACTTTCTCCTCCTACACACAATTTTTTCAAACAAAACCAGATGCATACCTTCAGTTCTCGAATAATTTGATTTTTCAAAGCTGGTTTGACTTCCAGATAGATGAGCTAAAACAATAGGAAATTAGCGTCTAGATTCACTTCACATACAAGAAAAAAATCTCTCGAAAGATAAGACATATATATGTGTGTGTGTATTTTTTTAAGAGCCATGCAACAAATCTACCTTTCCCGGTGCAAGAGAATTCCAAAACCATTGGCACCAATTGCAACAATAGAAATCAGTATTGGGAAACGAACAATACTAAACAAGCAGCGTACGGATACAAGCAACAAAAGCATAGCGACTGATATGTTTCACTCCTTTCAGTTAGACATGCTTTGATCTGATTTACAAACCTTGCGAGCCATGATTTTATCCGTGGGTTTGTGTCGAACTTTCCAAACAACACCGCCGTTGCCTTGTCCCAATTCACAAATATTGACAAGATCATCTTGTTTCAATTCACCGACGGCGCGTTTTGAATTGAAGAATTCTTCCATTCGATTTTTCTGTGTATCAGTACAATCAAGTTGTTTGAATTCTTCTTGCAATCGTTCGATGCAGACATCCGGAATACTAAAATATCCATTCAAAAAGAAAAGCTCGAATTGATTTCTAGTCAGCATGCTGTACATACCCATTTTCACTATGGTTTTGTTCAGAAGCGTCTTTTGGAACTTCGGGTAATTTCAAACCGAGTTTATTCTTTTTCACTCCAGCTGCATCAGCTCGTGGCATGTTTGACATCAGTAGAAAAACAAATATTTTTTGTAACAAATAAATCTCATGGACAGAACAACAGATGATCAAGTCCGTATATTTTCGCTACCGATAATAAACAATCGGATAGGAGCGCCACAATCGTTGTCGACTTCGTCCGGCACAATGATAAGAAAAATTATATGAAATAATGATACAATCGAAAAAAAAACGTTCAAATTAAATCAATTTCAAATAAAAATATACTCTACTCCAATGAAAATTCATTCGCTCTTCTTGCAACCAATGAAATTTTTCGATTCTTCAACCATCTGCGACTTTTACCTTTAATTTGTCATTATAATCAAAGGAAAGAACGTCGCAATTAATTACACTGATAATGATACTACTACTACCATCATCATCACTAATGATTAGCTCGAACGAACAATATTTTCTCGAGTAATTACCTTGAGAAACGACTCTCATCGTTGAAGGTCAAAATGAACTCGCTTTGAGCTTCCGACAAGTTAAATAACGAATTTAGATCGCATATTTTTCTTCATAAATGAAATGTGACTTGAAATAGAAAAAGCAAAGAGCCCATAGATTGGTACGATAACACAGTTAAATACTGATTTGTTTCACTACCACACGAAAAGAAAAAAAAGAATTGAAATGAAAGAAGGAAACGAACTACCACCGTGAGAAAGTAAAAAGAACGAAAAGAAACTGTAAAACAAGTAACAATATATCCATATAAAAAAGAAAGCGAAAACGAAAGCTCAACTCGATGAGAGTATCAGAAGAGATTTTATTCCAGCATTAGTAACTCTTTCACTTGTTCAATACCAACAATTGGATCGGGTTGAACAAGTGTACCATTGAAATGAAGTTTCACATGTTGATTCAACGTTTGGGTGGATGTCGTATGAGCGATGAACGAACAAAATGGACATGTTTGATTGTTATGATTGGTAATCACATGCATTGTTAATTGTTCAAGATCTTGGAAGTTGTTTGCTGTAGAAGATGGTGAACATAATGGACAGTCAAAAGCATTTTTCGTTGTCGATGCCATCAGATCATCCTCATCATCGGCACCGTTATCCGATGAGTCAATATCGAATTCTTCGTCATCATGTTCGAGACGACGATGGAGATTCAAAGCTTCTAATCGATCGCATTGATACGAACATAGTGAACATTGATGTTGTTCACGGATATGTGCAGTTAAGTTCGGAGATGCGGCAGAGAAATGAGTTGGCAATTGACTAGTTGGATGATTTGATGTGAGATGACGAATCATCGACGTTTCACTTGATGTTACGTATGGACAGAGAGGACAAGTCCGTCCTTGACCTGATAGATGAAGTGAAATGTGATTTTGAACTACGGACCAATTGGAATGTTTATATGAACAGACGGAGCAGAGATAATTAACACGAGAATTGCTATCGGATTCTTCTTCGCTTTGTTCAACATGATTATCTTCGAGTTTTTTCGATGGTTTTAGTGAAAGATCTAATGGAGCGTCGTCGTCATCGTTGGGAGTTGAAAGTAAACGAGAGACGATGTTCGATGAATTTGGTAATTGATTTAACTGAAAATAAAAAAAGAGCAGTTACAAAATTAATTTTGTCAAAATTGCCTACCGTTTTCTGTTGAATCGATGGAGGAGATTTGTTGAAAAGTAAAGATTTAATCAGTTGTTGAGATTCCTGATGATAATCGGTTTTGATTGCAGATTTATTCGTTCGTTTGATACCGTCGTGTTTTTGTTCATTGGATTTCTTCGGAAGTGTTTTCGTTGGATCACTAGACGATTGACCACCTTTGATATCAGTCTAAAGCAAACGAACATTTTTAATCTCATAAGACTTCGCTTGATTTACATATTGTAATGAACCATCTTTCGGTGTGAATTCTTGTTCCGCTTTCGCCCAATCATTCCACGTGCGAAATGTGCGTCGGCGAAGTTCTTTGCCGAACGTATTTTCATACAGTTCGATGGTTGATCGAGCTTCTTGTTCTGTCATCATAATCATATCTAAATCGGAATTGACAAGTTCAGCATAGGTACACGCGGTAAGCATTACTAATCGATACACATGAGTATGTCAAGAAAATAGAACTATCTTCGAAGGTGATCATCGAAATGAACCTTCAGAAATCCTTCCTATCTCGAGTTTATCGAAAGTTAATCGATTACGAAAAGTGCGCTTACCTTTGTTGTGATCAGGCTCAGTTAAACTATGTCGAATGCGAACGTGCCGAATCATATCGGTTTTCCAATTCGATCGATAGAAGCAATGTCGACATTTTAGACGTTTAATTCCGAATTTCGGTTGAACAGCGTAAAGATTGGGATTTAATTTCGAACCTTGCAATGAGAGTATAGCTTCTTCGAACGCCGGCGGAAATTTTGCTTTAGCGATCACACTTGACGGTGACAATGAACCATGAAAACCATTTTTATGCTTGAGCTTCTTCATCGAATTTACTTTCGCTGGATTATTATCATTGGATGATAATTTCACTTGTCGACATTGTGTTATCATATATCCATTCGATTGTCCAGCATGCATTTCATTGAGATGCTTTTGAATATTCCATGAAATATTCGATTGAAAGTCGCATAACGAACATTTGTATACAGATGCCGCAGATTCAGTGGCATTGGCCGATGAAAATGATGAAGGGTTGTCGTCCTCATCAAGATCAATGCCGTTTTCATTGCACGAACTAGTCGTTGAGGACGACTCCGAATCTTGATTGTATACTTTAGTTGGAAAATCGCCTGCGAAAAAAGATATTTCTTTTCAAGAGGAGAAATTATGTTCTGTTTACCTGTTGATTCATCCTGAATGGGTTTGCCATCTGGTTGAATGTCGACAACAGTCGCCGTTTGTAATGTATGGAAATGTTTGATATGCTATAAGATACAAACTCGAATTTGATTTTGTTGGATCTGTTGTGTTACATACTCGAATAACTACCCAGTTATGTTTAGATTGCAACGGGCATAGAGAACATCGAAAGCGTTTCAATGGCGGCGAGATTTTCTGCAAGCGAACAGATAATTCAGCTGGTAATTCGATGACATGCACATTAGCTTGATCCGGATGTTTGGCACGAATGTGTCGTTCGACAACCCATTTGTATGTTCCTTGCTGGTGACATGAACTACATTGGAAGACTCGAACAGGAGCGAAATTTGGTAGGACGGAAAGTGATGATGGCTGTGGTTGAATGAAACTTTTGTCCAATTTCCTCGCGGCTTTGGTCTTTTGCTGGATATTTATCGGAGAATTGACGCTATCGCCTTCATCATCTTCATCTGAACCATTCTGATTTTGCTGTTCCGAATCTTGACGAATAATCTTAACCACTTTCGATTCCGCGTTGGGATGTTTGCGTGCTTGATGTTTCCTAAACGATGAACATCATTCGAACATTCTTCACTGAAGTTATCTCCTTACCGAACATCTCCGCCATAATTCGATGTATAATCACAATATGGACAGCCGAAGTAGCGTACAGGTTCATCTGCTTCGCGTATAGCATTTATACTATTCGATGAACCATTACCAGACGATCCATGTCCACCAACTTGAGTCGACATGGACTCGTCGCCGTCATTTGTATCAAATAGAAAACGCTGAATGTAATCATTAGAATTAACATTGTATCGATGGTGTTTACGACGAATGTGAAATGAACAATCACCTGGAAGAGTAAAGTAACATAAATACGAAACATGCGACTTATTTAGTAAGTAGATCACCCTCACCTCGGTATTTATATAATCGATTACATAATAAACAACGGTAATTTTTATCACGGATGTGAGCGATGATATGCGCTTTGAATTGTTCGATATCGGTCGTTTTAAAATCACAATATGGACAGTCGGTTGTTGTTGTTGTTGTTGTTGCGGTTGGATCGGAATTGGTTTCCGCTGTCGACGATAATGATGGTAAATTTTCCGCTAAAAGTTAAAATCATCAATGCATTCCTTCTGAAATCGAAAAACTAGTCTTTGTTCTCTACTTTGTTGTTCTTCAGAGCCACTTCTGTCAAAATCTATCGTGGGGGCGGTCTCGAATGCTTGTGCTTGGTCGTAATGTGATAAATCAATGCGATGTCTTCGTTTCGCATGCCGTACAAGATGACCTAGACGTTGATAAGTCGAGTTGCATACGGGACATGTTAGTAAAGCATTTGATGGCGTTGCCGATGAATTCAATGGCGAATCTCTTTCATCGTCATCAAATTCTGAATTATCATCACTAGTATTACCATAGACATCAGCTGGTATTGGGGAAGATGCTCGTTTAATCCGTTTAGCAGCCGATGAATGCTCTACAACGCGATTTTAAAGAGTAAGGAGAAGAAAAAGCTATGTTGTGCGCCTTACCTGTCCATTGTTCAGTTCCATCGAAGGATGATTGAGACTAAATAAGATTAGAAAGAGACAAAGAGTGAAGTAATAAGCAAAATCAAGGTTTGAATATAACCTGTTCATCATCAGGCGCTTCACGTTTATTAGTTTTGGTAATCATATTCGTTGGTGATTGGGCTTGCGCTGTATCTTGACATCCGTGTCCATGTACACCTGAATATATAAATAGTATATCAAGGTAACATTTAGTTCAGCTAATACTTGTTAAATGCTGTTCAAGTGCTTGAAGATTACTTGAATTGAACGGACAATAGATGCAAATATAAGCTGTGGATGCATCGTCAGTCATCACCGGTGCTTAAAACAAAGAGGAAGAGCGTTACAGTGAAGAGAGAAGAAAAATCGAATATGTATCGATAGTTAGTCGTCTCGAATATTTTACATATTTATATGTATATGCACATGTCACTTTTGATTGATCATCATTTTATAGATGTATATTTCTTTTGCGATCTATTCGCTAGAGATATTTTATACGATTTCTTTTCACCGTTTTTTCCTTTCGAACAAAAATAACAACAACAAATAACAACATATCATCGTCGTTCTCTCATCTTCGTTCTTCTAACTTGATTACAGGTGTAGTACATAGGTGAGAGAGCTTGCGTGAAAAAAGCTTAGAGAAATGAGAAAAACGAAGAAGGGAGATAAATCATCTTGATCGAATGCGAAGTTTTCTATGTACGATCGATCCATACACGATAGACCGTAACCGTAGTCAACATTAAGAAATATGACACGAAAAAATGTTGATGATCAGTATCTTAAGGTGATATTCGACTTTCTTCTTTTCCTACCTGATCACTGGTAATGATTGTACTACGAAATCATCAGACTTGGCAAGTCGAAACGGAAGACAATTGCAAATCACTAAAATCTGAAATTAAAACAACGATCGATCGGCAATTTCCTCAGATGGATGATAAATGGGATGAATAGATGAATGTATACTTCGAAGATAATACTAAGCACGTATAGATAAGCACGAGAGAGAGAGAGAGAGAGAGAGAGAGATAAAATGAAAAAGAAATCTTTTTACATCTTCGTTTTTTTTTCTCGTATCCCATAACAAAAAAAGGGGAGAGAACGGATGTAAGCGCAACATTCTTCTCTTCGTCTTCATTATACATATTCAACACTCAATTTCTTTGTCTTTTCGTTCTCTCCCCCTCCCTTTCCTTTTAATTTACGTATTCTTTCGATACACACATGCATTTTATATTGGTGTGATTATAGAACATGTCAGGCAGAGAACAGGGAAGAAGAAGAAGAAGAAGAAAAGATGCGCGCGACTATTGCACATATGATGCGCTTGTATGCACGCAGTTTTTTTTTCGCCAAAAAAGAAGAGAAGAGAAGATCGAAGGCCAAAGACGTATGTACATGCACATAGCATCGTTTACTTCTCTTCGTGATCTTCCAATTATCATCTTCTTTTCGCACGTCATATGTAAGCAATTTCAAGAAAGAAGAAAAAAAGGTGTGATAGAAGAAAATGCAGTCGCTTTTACCATCTATTACATAGACAGACATGATCAGTGAAGAAAAATCGATTTCTTACATTTACATACATTTTTAATGTGTTGGATTCTTACCTGTACGCACACATATATCGAAATATAGATCAATTTATATGTACAAAAATTAATGAGAGTTTTAACATGTTAAGAGTCGATTTCATATCGGGCTCGTTCTCTTTGATAATTTTGAAAACGAAAGAGAAAGGCTTATAGACTTTTCGTTTTGTTTTAAATGCAAAACTAGTAGCGATATTTGTGTCAGTCAATCTAGACAAAGAAGAATGAATAGATTTTTTTTCTACAACGAGAATATATGCAGATGTAATGCATTGAAAAATGGCGAACGCATATTATACATCGAGGAGATTTAGTGGTACTAGAAGCAAAGGGATCGAAATATAAATGGTTTGAGAATGAAGAAAAGGCGAAATACGAGACGAAATTCGTATGTTGATCTGTTTTAATCAAAGAAAATCAAAGTTCTCGGCGCGGAGAGATAAATGAAAGTCCACAATGATTTCGCATGATGATAGATTTGATTGATTCTATCTCATCTAAAGGATACGAATACTAACGTTACAATATATGCACATAAATACAAGAGCAAAACGACGAGAGAGAAAATGAATACAAAAGTCGCTGTATGGATGATTGACTGAGAAGAATTGTAATCACATTCTTCGGAATCGGCTTCAATTTCAAGATTTCAAAGTGAAGAGGTAAAGAAATGAAAGGAAAGTTTTATGCTCGATCGAATTGTATACGGATTAAATCCATATGCACATAAGTAAGTTTTTATACAATGTTGGTCCTCGTATTCTTTTTTTTTTCTTCTTTTTCTCCTCACCTCTTACTCATCGGCGATTGCAAAATGTTGTATTAAAGAAGTCGGGATGATGGGTGATATTAGCGAACAAAAAAAAAACGAAGAATTTATCCGTGTAGAACGGCGTTATAAGTATATGAAGTTATTTTCGAAATATATTTTTACTTTTTCTTTCGCGTCGGCTCTTTTTTTTTCTACTATATTAATCGACAATCCTCCGGATGAATGAGTTTCATCTAGGTTACGCATACTGAGTCAAGTAGATGTGCATATACATGCGAATATATACATTAGATCGATAAATTAACAGAAACCTGCGTCTTTCACAGGATTTTGATTGGATTTCGACACACAATCTCGCGTTTGTCGAAAGTATTCAGCAAATAAGAACTTAGTTAGATCAACATCTAAAAAGTACGCAGAATGAGCGAGTGATTGGGCTTTTCGTTTGGTATTGTCACCGAAATTGATCGGAAGTGCAATATTCAATGGTTGTTTGACATTTCTGCAGCTCACTTAGATCGAAAACATGGCTTCGATTGTAATAACATACGAAAATTTGAGTTATTACTTATACGAAATGTCTTCGATAAATATTGATTGATCTTGTGCTTGGTAGAACTATTTCTCGAAGAAAAATGATCACCGGGGAGTTTCAGGTACTTTTGTCTCCATCTGCTCTCGTTTGCATTACGATCAAATGCAACATTTTAGTCAAATTACATCGTCTAGAAATCTATTTAACAAAACATACATGTGCATTGCGCATGTTCATTCCAGAAGGACTGCCCCTGATCACTGCTCTCAAATTAAATGATATATTATGGTCGATAGGGAAACGTTAGCAACTTCGATGATGTGTTTATACATATCATTAGCGACATTTACTTGCAAAAATGCTTTTTTTGTTCTTTTATCTCTTTCTTTCAAAAGTACAGTTCATGTGAACTAATGAAGTTTAAAATTATTTCTGATAACTTTTGCGGAACGTGGTAAATTCGTGGTGAATAAAAAAATTCACACTCGAGGAACGACGATTCGAGAGAATGAATTTGAATTTTTTTTAATAATAACTGTCAAATTATAATAGAAACGAAGCACAAGTATGGCTAAAAGTCTTCTAAGTGCATGCGTGGTAATGAAGAATGAATGATAAATAATTGAGTTTGCTAGAAAACACTTCATTTCCTTTCCAGTCATATTATTACTTTTCAACTCTTGTTATTATTACAATTATTTTCGAACATACGTCAATGATGATGGACTTTAAACTGATCGAGTATTTACTTGTCATTGTAAACAACAAATACTTAACAATGCGTACTCGGAACATCTTTCGAGCTCGTATCACGAGAAAAACGTGAAAGGAACTCATTTCATTTGAGCACGTTGCGTGGAAACAAACGTGAAATATCAAGTTTAGTACATAATTAAATATATAATAATAGTATGAGCATATTTTTGTCACTTGATAAACTCTTGTGTGCATTGAGCAGAAATATCATTCATCGATCGTAACAAAGAGTAAATGATTTCAGCTAGAAAATAATGAATAAAAGAGTAATTACTTGCATTGAATCTGGCAAATGAAAGATTACATTCCGTTTTCATTGTGTACAAATTAATCGAGTTCATTGACTACCCTGCTTATACGTCAGTGTCAGGAAATTCCTAGAAAAAAAAACAGGACCTTTCCACTCGATATACATATATTTGTAATCTGATTAGTTTTCGATTCATCCGGGTTTCATAATTATAGTTGGCGTCATCGGAGCGACACGAGATTTATCTGATCAAAGGATGCTTTATAGATCAATTCGACATCCAACATTTCAGTTGATGTAAGCTGAGTAATCAAGTGTAAGATAAAGCCATAGGACGGAAAACTATCATGAAATGAAGGAAGCATATTCAAACGCCCACCGTCTAGAGCAATGGTTCCGAAGATTGATGTAGGAGATTCTTATTAAACGTAATGCGAAAAAAAGATTTTCTCGACGTGTCATTTATATATGACATCGTTTAGACTAATAAATGTTCGTTGTGAAGCCAGGAACAAAGATTTTCTGTCATCCTCACTTCTACATGCAATTAGAACTAATTATTTCTTTTTTTTTCCTCTTTCTTGTGTTATTCAATCATCTCCAAATGTTGTTCATGCGGTATCTCTCGAGCACTTTTTTCCTTCTCTAAGAATGTCGACGTTCTTTTTTCTTCCGATATTCATTTCTTACTATTATTATATATAATTCTCGTCATTTCTATTATTAACAAGAACGAAATCAAACAAAATGTTTAGTTTCCTTCTTATATTCGCGTGTTGCACATCTCTAGTTGGATCATTAGCTATCAATCCGACACACACCGATGGAATGCAATATCTGATTAAAAGTGTAAACATCACATACAACCAACGCATTTCTGATCATAGTAGGTACATTTGTAGTAGAAGAAGTCGCTCGAGATGTGTTTTGTTTGAACTAGATCAATGCAGTGTCGAACTTCAAGATCGACCAAAACATTTAGTTGAAGGACAAGTTGTTAAATTGAAGAGTAAATTTTTTAAAGTGGAAGAATGTCGATTAAATCGAGCTTATCGGGCACCCTGCGGTTCGAGATTGTTTTTTCAACTTCAAAACTTAGTTTGTGCAACCGCAAAACAAACTCTTCATCAACGACAAGTGACAAATTATGAGCCAATCAACTTTCTTCAAAGCTCGGGCTCGTCGGAATGCTGTGAAACTGCTTGTACAATCGCTGAATTCTTTCAGTACTGTTCGTCGTAATGGTCATACAAAGACATATTCAACACTCAAAAGAAGAACTATTCAATTTTTGTGCTTGATTTTGTCAAAAAAGAAAATAGAAAAAAAAACACCCCAATAAAATATTTTAGATGTTGTGCTTGTTCAACATGACGCTTTTGTTACCATTGACATAAATTGTAATTCTACTCTAATCTTCTCATCAGACATAAAACAGTATTCCACCTAAGTTGTAATCATCATGACACGTTGTCATACATTCTGCAGGAAAACAACTAGGAAGCAAATCTGCTTATCTCGTACAATTTGTGACAAAAATCGAAACTCATTGTTGCATACATTCAATGGTTGTATGTATGAGTCGAGAAGTAAGTCAAGGAGAAGTTTATTTGCATACTCCCTCTGCTCTCTATTTGATTAGAAACTTACTCAAGTTAATCATTGTAATAGTTTTCTGATGATTGTATCTATAGGCTCATGTGACTAACTCGTTAATATGAACAAAATATATCTTATTTATTAATGTAATTACTATGAAACAAGTGTCGGATTATAGCTACTTCGAAGTCTCGTGAGATTGTTTGTCGACACTTGACGATGTGTTCGTTCGAAAACAGCTAGAGAACAAATGACTCGGATAATTTGTAATAACACCAACAACTCATGTTCGGGTTCGCCACTAGCAGCTGCATCATGTGCTTGTTCACGCGCGAAGAATTTATCTGTGTACTTTAACCTTCAGTACTCCAACTTTAAACAAGGCTCAATCGTCACGAAAATGTACTATCATCTTGGAAATATTGTTTGCATATCACGAACTCGGCGTATTGAAAGACATACGCGTCAGGTCTTGGTGAAAATCATTACTTGAAGAAGCATATCGTGAGTTTGATATTTTCTCGTAAAATCATAACGTTGGTTCCTTATGTTTCATCTGCTCGTTGGTAAAAGCATAATTCAAGTTGACGTCGTGATCATTGCAAAAATAGGAGCAAAATGTTGAATAAAGAACTAGGATAAGACATTCCACATGTGTTACTTCTACCTTTTCTTTTCCTTTTCTTTTATCATTCTTCCTTCGAGCGTGAATATATAAATACGCCAACTATTTACAATCAACATATTCAAATATCCAAACTAGAAAAAGTAAGACGATAGCTTAGCTTTTGTATTATCATTCTACTCGTTTTTGTTTAGTTTCTGGAAAACAATTCAACATGTTGAAAATCTATATATTTCTGTCTATATTAGCTGTAGTTGCGACAATGCCAACGAATAGTACAGAATCCGATGAAGAACAAGTCGATGCGATGTTTCGCCGTGAAATTGATGGCACTGTGTATCACATTAAAGCAGTTGGAATCACCTATCGTCAACGTGTTCGATCGAATCAATGTTTTGTTGAATATGATAATCAACTGTTACCGGAAAATGCTGTGATCAAGATTCGAAAGAAAAACTTTCGAGTTGAAAATTGTTCGTTAGAACGAGTTTATCATGCTTGTGGTCCAAATCTTCTTTTAATGTTAAGTCTTGTTTGCCGGGTGATAGATCAAGATGTTCAATCGTATTCGCATTCATTTGCGAATTTCAAACGATCAACTTCTTTATCTCCTCGTTCAAAATTTCGATCAACAACATTTTCAAGCAATCGTGTCGTTATTACTGACTCTTGTTGTGAAAATTTCTGTAGTATCCCGGAATTAACGAGATATTGTCATCAATAATGGCATGAACTTGTTTTTGTTCTTTGTCGTCTGATATTCTAAAGTGAACTGTTGTGTAGGTCATCGTGTCAAAGATTTTAAATCAGTGGATGTGCTTATATTTTCAATAAAAGTTTACTTCGATGTATCCTCTTATTATGTTTTTGCATCAACTGTCATGCAGATTTTCTTAAGAATACGTGTTATTTTACCCTTCTGCACTTTCAAGATTGAACGATTTACGCCATGAAATAATTAGACATAAAAAACCAACGCCGATGGGTTTAGCTTGAAGATGAGCAGCTAAAAGAGTTTAATTATTTATAACAAACTTTATAGGCGTACTTCTCGAGTGCAGTTTCCTTTGCCAAGAGCGATGGAAAGACGACAAAGACTTCAGTTTGATGAGATATTTTCCTTCTATAACAGAGTATTCTGAAATTTTACTCAAAATTCTCTCAGTAGTATGAATTCGATACGCTATGTAAGGCTCGCACTCTGTAACGTAATAAACCTCTCGTGTGAATCAAATTTTCTTTTCTTCAAGTGCCTGCCAACTCGATGAACGCCCGCATCTGTTCTGTTGGAACGCAAATATATCAGTTTCGTATACGACAACAGTCACGCTATGTATGACATTCTATCTGTCAGGATCGGATAGGTCTCAGTTCTCATTTTGATACATGGCAGAATGACATTCGTCTTTGAGAAATTGGTGCATCGATACTGAATGAAATTGTTCTATCGAAGATATCGTTTGTCTGTACGAAAAAGTGATGATTTATCTTGTTTATTTTTCAAATCTTATCCTAGATACATCAGACGTATAGGAAGAAAACACGAGAAAAAAAATGTAAATAAATTCATAGGAAAAGAAGAATACAAATTCGAGAACAAAAGAAATCATAAGCAAAAAATCATCAATTCACAGTTATGCTCTTTTCATTTATCCACATTTATCTTTGATCATTCCACATCGAACAGGAAATACAACTATTTACAATCGGCTATACGCTTTCGTTTGTAATAGCGTTGTGCTAACGAATTGATGATTGAGATTATAAAGTAAACAATCATCATCGCAACAAAGAAACTAAACAATTTTGACAATATCGATACTTTTGCTAAATGTCCCGAAGTACTGTCATCATTTGTTCGATGCATTTTACCTTTCTGTTCATACAACCAATCTTTAAATGGAGTTTGTAACAATCGACCATAGTACGGGATGTGTTTCATCCAACGTATGATTCGCTCGACGTGATGTTCACTAAATAAGAATATAATAAACACCGTTTGGATGCTCATTTTAATAATTGCTTTGCCAAGAATCGTGGCAAAGAAGAATCGCCAGAATGAAATGAGAAAATAACCGCAAGTGATGCCGGCTAAATCGAATAATGGATTGGGAATACTTGCACAGAGTAGGATGCCCCAAAAACCAATACGTTGGATAAGACAGTAAACTGAATAACGTAATCGTTCGAATAAGGTCAAATCTCGGGCGTTGTGTAGTTTGGCATTTAATAATAATTGTTCGAATTCAAGTAATTCCTCATCATCTCTGTCACCTGCTTGACCTAAACGCGCTGTACGCGCCATGAAATAGGGTGGTAATTCACCTAGTGCAGTACCTAAACCCCAAAAGAATGCTTCTAGTTTGACTTTCCAGAGAATCTTCCAGAAAGAGATCGATCCAGATTCTAGGAAATCATTTGATCTGGTTAGATTGTTTAACGGACATAAGATTTCGTTCGGATATGGTGGACGAGGAAATTGCACTGAATCACATTCATATGCAGCTAGAGTAACTCGGGCAATGAATGGACCAAGATAAAGAAGAAATGTGTGTAAACCCGTGCCTAATCCAATGGACGAAGCGACACCAAGTCCAAGCCAGTAAAGAGACCAGAAAATTAATCTTTCGATCGTTTGAATACTCGATTGATGTGCACCATCGCTCTTGTAAATAAACAATGAGGACAACAATAACAAACATAGAAGAGATAAGGTTTTCCGATAAGAAATAAAAAGTTGAAAATTGTGATGAATTAAATAAATCATTTCGAGTACTGCATAGGATACTGTCGAAATCGGCTGTCGCCAGAGAACGATCTGAGAGATTTCGTGACGAAGTGCATCTTGTTGAGTCTTTTTTATTGCTAATAAGTTCTCATCTGTATTCAATGTCCTAAAATATTTTCATCTTTACGCTTGAAGGAAAATCGCTGAATCACTTACGCTGATATTTGCGATTGTCTTCGTTGCCGAATTGTTGATGTCGGTACATCCATTGATGAATGAGTCTCGATCGCAGCTGCAAAATGCATTTAGGCAGAACTTATACTAAACATAATCATAAATATAACAAATCTTTTCTAACTAGATAAACAAAACAAAAATGCTGGGTATATATATATATCCTGAAGAAGAGAAAAAGAAACAAACACGAGATATCCATGTGATAAGCAGTGTGACATTCTATGCATTTTCATTTTACGTCGTTAGAATAGAAATCAACAAAAAAAAGCGGAGTCGCCTCCAACGACATGATTGCATTTTTATGTAAAACAACAAGAGTCATAAGAGAACAGATGTTTCTAGATACCAACGATTGTATCTAGGACACATGAGTCAAGGTTTCTCTGAATCAATCATGTAGAACTATTGTTACCGAATAAAACCAATAGTGACTGTAAGACGTTGAGTTTACATTGACATCTATCGTGCAACATCAATGGATATTGAAATAAGCCAGGATTTGAGTGAGAGGATTAGTCATTGTATAGTTTGGAAGTTTACGAATGTCGGAAAGTTCGATAAAATCTGCACGGGAACGAGTTCAATGGTTGTTAGAGAATCAATGTCGAATACCAATTCGTTCGACGACACCGATCAGTTTCTATTATAAAACTTCGGATAATTTAATTGAAGAAGCGGATCATTTTTACAAAACAAATCAATTCGAGCAGAGTTTTATTCTCTATTCGAGATATATAACGTAAATGCAAACAAAATTAATCGATTGACTGTAATTTTTCTGTAGTTTATTCGTTGAAGAACTTAAACAGCATCATCCGGATTTTCTCAATGTCTCTGTCAATGATCGGGAACGTGTGAAAGAAGTGAGAGTGAGCTTTTCTTGTGAAATAAGTTAAGATTGTAAGTTTAGATCATTCGTACGAAAGCATTTCCACGTGCAGAAGAATTGAAAAGCAAATTAATCGACAAGTACGCACAAGATTATGGAGATCAACAGGTACATTCGCGAGAGAATTTCATCAAGCCAAAGTCGCCATTTCTTTTACGACAGAAGTCAACTAACGAACATGGAGAAGACAAAGTAAAGATCTCCGCACCAGGATTGGGTCATGCACCAACAAAGTAAGTCAATTATATAGAAAAGTTCAGCATATCATTGTGCATTCTTCGGTAGAAGGACTTTTGTAGACCTTAACGTTTGTAGTTAATTGAATACGCCCTCGCTAATAGGTTATTCTAGGCCATGAAAATGAGTGTTGGTTGAAATATGTTTCATTTTTAGTACTCACCATGAACAAGTCAGAGCAAATTATGTACAAATTCCAGCAGTTGAAACGATGGAGAATCATTTAGTACAAACGAATCAAGAATCGATCAAGTAAAAGAGAATTTTGTATAACCTAACAGGAATTGTTTTTATTTTTTTTTCGAAGACCTACATATGATCGTTGGCAGAAGCCAATAACAAGTACGAACGAGTGTTTTTATTCGGTCGATAGTTCTATTTCATATTTGGATAGATTCATTAAGTAATGGAATGGGATCATTTCGACGAATGACGGTTCCGAATGATATCACAACAAAATTTCTACAAGTAGCACAACGGAATACAGGTTCATATTAAAGAATCATAGAAAAATTCTCTTCTTAATGAAACCTTTTTAGATCGAAGTATTGAAACATGTGGTATTCTTGCTGGATATCGAGTTTGTTATCACTAATCCATCCTCTTTCTTTCTCTACCTCGATTTTCTTCGTCTATATTAGAAAGATAATCAACAATATGTAATTACACACATTGTAGTTCCAAAACAGAGTGGCGGACCTGGTATAATCAGTTTTCGTTGGTTTCAAAAGATCATTCATCACTAAAACTCTCTTTAGATTCGTGTAATACCGAAAAAGAAGAAGAAATGGTCGAATACATTTCCACCCACAATCTCATAACTCTCGGTTGGATTCATGTAAGTACGAATTCAGTGGTCAATCACGATAATCGTTCATTGTTTTCATAGACTCATCCGACTCAAACAGCATTTTTATCCAGCGTTGATCTCCATACACATTTACCCTATCAAATGCTAATAGAAGAAGCAATCGCCATTGTCATCAGTCCAAAATTTCACGAGTAAACAAGTCTTTCACATGAATCATCCATAGATGAGATTGAATTCGCTTAGAACTGCAATATTCTCTCTCACATCCAATACGGGTATTCCGATCATATCAACATGCAGAAAAACAGGGTTTCACGAACATGCTAATAACCCTCCGTTATATGTGGTAAGTTTGTATCCATTGGTTTCGCTCTGTATGTCAAGGTTTTTGTAGATTTCTTCACATACAACTTACGATATTGGTTTACAATGTAAAATCGTCGATCTTCGAGCGTAGCTTCCATGAAAAATCTTATTGTTTTTTTTCCTTCTCATTCAATGAGGGTTTTGTAACATACAAATATATTATTTTCTTAATCTCGATGAATCATATGTAATAAAAATTGCCGTATTTCATGAAAAAACAACAACTATGAATGGAGTTCATCGAGAGAGATATCATCAATTACATTGAAAAGATCTAACCGGATGGTTGACTTTCTTATGCAAACATTCATTTAATGATTGATCGTTTATTTGAAAGTTGTCGTATCCTTCTACGACATCGATTGTGTCTTGAAGGTTCGAATAATACAAAATTGCATATCTAAACCAATAACAAACGAAAAATTACATGAACATGTTCCAAAGAAATCTCATCGTTTCAAATGTTTCATTTTCTTCACACATGTCGATGATGTTTTTCTTTTTATCAACCGTTCGTGATGGAATAATGTATCAAGATCGCGGCGCATCTTCATGGTGATAATTGAAGGAAAATAAACGTTGACAGGAGAATTTCATGAGAAAAATTCTATCGAATCCATGTGAGCAGGTTAAAATCGAATTGAATTCGAAAGTAGATTTTCTACCGAATAGTGTTGATAATGTAAATCATAAAACGAGGAAAAATCATTTTAAGCAAAGAGTTTGTTTGAGAACGATTGGAACAGTGGACATTTCGTGTTTGGTTGTTTCCGACGCCATTTTGGACTACAAGGTACTTTCATTCATCGAATGAGCTTTGTTTTTCTTCGCTATTATTGAGATTATAGCTTGTATCGATCCGATAGATTGGGTTCGCATGGCTTATTCTAGAAATCATTTGTTGTGATAGTTTGTCGCGTTAGTTTTATTCGCGATTTCCCCTGCAACTCCTGAAGATAAACGGAAGAGAATTTTTGAGATATCCGTCATTTAAAGGCACAATGTCGGATCAATGCCTTGTTTTTGAATGACTAACAAGAAAACTATCAATCAATTGTAAAGGACAATATCGATAGTACGTCATGCGTCAAGTGGGTATAAAATATGTATTTGTTTGGAAATAAACGTATGACTATAAAGAAAAAGTTTGACCTCATGTAACGAGAATCTCACCTTTCGAATACACTAATACGAATGCGCTGTTCGTACGTACGCATTATCGCTAATTGACTTGAATTAAGTACAACGAAAATAATGACTAAAAACTGATCATTCTGTAATAAAAACATGTAAGCAAAAAATAACGAAATACAGGTAGGGAGAAAATGATCTACCTTGTGGATTACTGTAGTCATATCCGTTCTTTTCGAAAGTAATATCTATGCTATTCATTTTTGCATCATATGCGCATCCCTTTTCGTATTATTAACTTGGCATGGATAAAATATTCTTTTTTACTTGCTAGTCAATCTTACCAAAAACAAAAGTACAATTGAGTTTCGTCCAATTTTCTTTTCAGATCATGAAGATAAATGAAATAAATCTCAAATCAGATATTATCTAATATATTCATATAAATTCGATGCAGATTGTTCATATCTGATCAAGGACGTTGACAAAAATCGATGTTCAAATTGTTGTAGGAATTACTGCATAGCTCTCTATTATATCCGATGTATCCTAAGACATCGTCGAAATTATAAATGACGTTTACATCCGATCTAAATTTTCTTTATCTATTTGCCTCTCAAAAAAAAATACACCGATTGTGTCGACAATCGATTTGTACAGTATCGATGCAAGTATTATACACGGGAAGCTCTGTTAATAAGTATGTAATGCAATAATACATTTAATAGGAAAATTTCTCTAATGATTATTCAGAAAATCGAGTTCTGTGTAATGGAATTTCTCGTTCGTTGACTTTATGTACCTAAAGAAAATCTGTCCAATCAGTGAATTTGATGAATCATCGAATTATAAAATCTGATGAAACCGGTAAAATTTGGCATTCTATCTTTCTTCGCTCAAAACCTCGTCGTGTCTTCAAACTAGGTAAATTTCTTCATGGCTAAAGTACTTACGACGGCATCAAAATGTGTGCCGAATCTAATTGTAAGTCAAATCTTCTGAAAAACCCATCTACTCTCGGTATTTCCAGACATTATCAGCGAAAACAACTACCATCAATAATGTACGATCAGCATCGCCTGTTCATCGATCCTATTCAATGCAACAAGTTCATCTTCCCTCAACGAACAATGCAATTCATTCCCATCAACAGTTACTCAGTTCTTCTCTACGTCAGTCTCGCTTAGTTCAATCGAATAGTTTCATTTACCATGATCCACTGTTTATTCAGGTAATGCTCATCGTTTGGATGCGTTTTATTTTTGTTACGTTTTGTTTTGTAGAAACGAGGAAATGCTTCGCAGCCGAAAGGATTCTTCGGTTCGTTGTTAGACGATATCAAAAACGAATTAAACAAAAATAAAGATATTAAAGTAAGAGAAAGATTGATCGGGATACTACTGAATTGCTGTTTTTAGGACAATATTAAGAAATTTCGAGATCAAGCAAAGAAACTTGAAGATAGCGATGCATTGAAAGAAGCTCGAGATAAATATGTAAGAAAAATATTGATTTCTGTGAAGGATTACGATCAATTCGGTTGTAGAAAGTCTTAGAACGTGAAACGATGAAAAGTTCAACTGTTCTACGCGAGAAAATCGGTGAAATCAGTGGGAAAGTCAAAGAAGTAAGTCGAACCAAATGCACAATAAATTTTCATCATCATCCCATGTGCTTCTAGAGTGATGTTATGAAAAAAGCATCGGATTTGGGTTATGAACTAGGTAAACAAGCGCAAAAAGCGGCAGGAAAGATTTCTCAAACCACGGAACAACTCACCGACACTGCAGCTTACAAGAAAGTCTCTGAAGTAAGAAGTTTCGATGAATTTTCACAAGATTTCACCTCTTTGCGTATTCAGCGTTTGAGTACAATCAAAGAAGAAGTGAGCGATGCAACAAAACTATCAAGAAAGCTAGGTTATCAACCACCCACTGTCCTACGAAAACGAACCGATACCGATTCGGTCAAAAAGGAGAAGGTCTTTCAAGCGGATACGTATGTTAACGACAAAATTAAGTACCCCTAGACTTCGTTGGTATCTTTAGGGAGACACAAACAATAGCAGTACATAAAGATTCTCAATGGTTTCAAAGTTGGCAAAATTTCAAAGACAATAACACGTATCTGAATAGTACGTAGACATATCTCGTGTCATGTGTATTGGTTGACTATTATTTTTTTGTATAGAATTGTTTGATCTGAAATCGAAGTACGATGAAAGTGATAATCTAGTTGTTCGGGTGGCAAGAACATTTACTGATAAAATTTCCGGAGCTTTATGTATGTTTGATACTTGCCGAGATTTTTTTGGTTAAGCTATTCTTTTCAGCATCGGTATTCAGTCAATCGGAAACTAGTGAAGCTCTAACAGAAATTTGTCGCGTTGATCCAACGTTCGATGTTGCACAATTCATCCGTATTGTGCAGTATGATATTATTCCAAACATATTCGAAGTAGGAGAACAGTTTCTCTTCCAAATTCGACATTTCGTTGTTGTCTTCAGTCGCTAGCACGTGGTGAATTAGAAGTCCTAAAAGATTGGTGTACTGAAGCCGTAAGTGATGAGCATGTCCTTCTGCATATAACAATATACGTCTAATCTAGGTATACAACGTCTTAATTCATCCAATTACTACTTCGAAAGCATTAAATTATAAATACCATTTGAAAATTATCGATGTTAGTGATGTTGAAGTAAGAGGATGCGAAGTGCAATGAAATTGATTTTCATTCCCATTCGTTCGTTTAGCTTCTCGCCGCGAAAATTATGGAAATGGGTCCGGTTCTTGTAGTTAATTTTCAAGCACAACAGATTGCTTACATTGCCGATGCTAATGGCAAAGTAATAGAAGGTGATCCAGTAAGTCCATCCCTCGTTGGTTAATCAAGAAGATAGATGATGTTTTCGTAGGAGCAAATCAATCGAGTTAATTATATATTTGCACTTGGCCGTGATCCAACTATACTTGATCCATTAGCTGCTTGGCGTCTCGTTGATTTGAGTGCATCGAAACTAAATCATTTTGTTTGATAACAATGTGTGTTTTTGTCATAGAAAAAGAAATAAATTTCATGCAGTTTATCTCAATGTGTTCTTTTTTTTTGTTTTGGAGGGAGGAGATCTTTGTCCAAATTGAGACTGATGATCGATCGAACTCGTTGAACTGCCGATAAAGAACGAGGTCATTATCAATAACTATTCGAAGAAAAGACGATGATCAATGAGGCGGGAGCGACGAGTACAAATACAAATTACTTGTCGATTATTAAGGTAAAGATGAGGCTAGTTGATTATCAACACATGTCAACACTTCATTTGAACGAGGAAAAAGAATTGATATTCATTCGATTGATAACATTCAATTGCAAACAGATAACTCGACACACACACACATTTCATTCCTTTCTCATCTGTTCAGAGAGGAACTGGTTATACCAAACAATGAATTATTTTATCATTTCGTCTTTCTTCTTTTTGTTCATACAAGTTATTGAAACACTTGATTACGGTGATGATGAGACTGAACAATCAATGGCATCTGTTCAAAGTTAGTATTGTTTTAAACTAGTAAACTATCTTCGTAATCAGATTTGACCGGCGCTAAATCGTACTCGAACGATCGATGATGCATTTGATATCTACGATTTCGTTTTTTTTTCAGGGATCGATCATTTGACTTCACCAATATTCGCTCGGTTATTTCCTTCAAATTCATCTTCCATTGATCTGCATGATCTCGGTATCACCACGATTGAATCTGACACATTCGAAGGTTATCCTTATCCGATTCATACAATGATTCTCTCATCAAATTCCCTTTCTCAGCTTCCGAGTAATATTTTCAAACGTATCGGTCAATCACTAATGCATCTCAGTTTACAACATAATCGGTTCGAATCACTGAGTGAGAATTATTTCTTGCGACGTCTCAAACAATTGCGCACACTCGATCTGAGTTACAATCGTATCAGCGAACTTTTTATTCAAGATTTTCTTGGATTGAAACATCTGAATATGTTGATCTTACGTGAAAATCGAATCAACTACTTATCCTATGGAACATTTACTTACTGTCGAACGATAACCACACTGGATTTATCGAATAATCAAATATCCATGATCGATTCCAATGCATTTCTGTTCTTGAAAAATCTCAAAGCTCTTCTATTGAGTAACAATCCTTTGGGTCAACGTGTACTCTCCAGTTCTCTGTTAAAACCATTAAGAAATCTTCAATTTCTCGATCTTGAAAGCACGCAATTAGAAGATCTACCTGCGTTTCTTTTCGTTTCGAATCAACGGCTGCGGTCTGTCAAATTACGAGAAAATTCCTTTCACAAATCAGCGTCTTTGCACCAAACATTTTGTCACGCGAATTCCTTAGTCGAAATCGACTTCGTCAGTGCAAATATTCGTTCATTGAACACTTGTTCATACTATCACATACCTTCCTTACGTCGCCTTTATCTAATGAACAATCCACTTGACTGTTCGTGTGATTTGTTTTCATTAAAATACGGTGATATTTACCGACTTTTACTGAAAAATGATCATGGGCTGGATACAAGACACGGAAACATCGAAAATTATTTAAATCGTTGGATAACAAGACCCGAACTTCGTCGACATTTGGAGAAAGCATACGAACGCGGCGACTTTCATCGCTTTCCGATCGATTTGTCATCATTCGCACGATGTTCCACACCGAACAGATGGGCAGGACATGAAATTGAAGATATAACTGGAATCTACAAACAATGTCGACGTCACTGGTTGTTCATGGAAGAAAAATGTCGAGATTACTGTCAGATATCGAATTACTCGACAACTACCGTTCGTTCACCTTCATCCTCAACTCTTCAGCTCAATTCGTTCGTTTTTCTTCTCTCAATTTCGATTCTAACCACTAGCGACATCTAGTCGCTGTGATATCGAATGAAACAGTAATCGTTAGATAAAATGAATAGTATTTAACTGACGTTTCACGATGAATATGCCGTGCACAATACATGATCCATCTTTGTGTGTTTATATTGGAAATATCTCGTCAATCGATGAGCAATCTTTGTTAACTTATTGTGCAAAATTCGGAACAATACTTTCGTGTTCAATTGGAAATTGTCCAGATGAACAACGATCTTTTTGTGACTTTCGTTTTGTTGAGTTTACAACCAAACAAGATTTCGATGCATTTCTTAACTTTCCTCAACATGGAATCGATTCCATCAAACTCGATGTGAAGACTTATGCGAATCTCTTGAAGAATTTCGAACTTTTGAACATCGATCGTAAATTATTCGTTGGGCCGATTATCTACCAGAAGGATATTAAAACAGTTACACAATTTTATAAAACTATCGATCCATCTTTATGTCATTGCTTGTCTCGACAAACAGATGAAGTTTATATTTTGATCGAATTCTCAAGTCGGCAGTATCTTCGAACGATAATTCAACAACAGACGATACCAAAAACAATTGATAATCAAATCTTTACGATTCATGCAGCTGTACATCCAAAAGATCACATTCTGGTAGCGGGAAAACTTCGGGTTCATGGTTTAACAGAGAAAATCTCCGAGGAAATATTGCTGTGAGTAGACAAACACCGGACGTGAATTTTCGATGATCAAATTTGGATTTCAGTGAGTATTTCAATAAACGCGCACATGTTCTTACATGTCATATCGTTCCGGATGATCCCAAATGTGCAATAATTGAATTCGATGATGCAAATACCGTCGACAAACTTCTCGAAACACCTAAACTGCGTTTACACGGAGCAAATCTTCTGCTCAACAAAGTCCAGGATGATCTTCACTCAACATCACCGAGTAATGATGATAAATTCTCCGAACCAGCATCACCAGAGTGAGTAAACATTTTCTTATGCTTTTAAATTTACTCGTTTACGATTCATAGGATTAGCGAATGTAGTTGGACGTCGCCTCCTCGAGCTGTTGTAAACCAGTGTCCCTTGCCGAAGTCGGTGGTGACAACGATGGATGTTGCTGATGAAATCGATATGAAACCAGCGAAAGGTCTTTTTGAACGATTTGCAAATGAATTCGAACAGATTAGAAATGAATACACGAAAAAGTTCAATCAAGATCGAATTCTAATTGAACAGGAATTGAATCGAATTGTCAACGAAGAACGAATCATTGTGGAAAAGTTTGAGTACAGTCGTATGTGACATAGTTTTGTTCTTTAACCAGAAAATAAATCTTGTGAAATCTATTCATCATCATATAATGAGTAACTTTTCCAGTAAATCACTCCTCTGCTTTGTAATCTTACTATAGTTAGTACTTCTCTGTTAAATTAGTTTTTAGACTTATTAATTCAATCGAATAGGAATAGATGCGGATTGTCTCTACTCATTAGTATTGACGCACTCAAAATTGCTTTTCTCGCCCACTTTATGCTATTCTGAACGTTCATGATTGTTGTTATTTAACGTGAATAAAAAAATGTCAAACACTCTGACGAGTGTTATTAACAACGCGCTCTTTTCTTTTCATTGATATGTGTTATGTTAGATTTCTTTCGGATATGTTCTTGTCATGTATGAGTGCACAAATTCATGAATGCGCTGTTCGTTCATCAAAATAGAAAATCAGTTTTCTTGTTTTCGTTTATTTGACTTTACATTTGCTCGATATTTCAGATAGATCGAGAAAGGGAGAAAAACAACAGGAAATAGTTCACAATCGATTTGTTTTCATTTTCTCTAATATAACAGTTTGGATAAAGTATCGAGGGAATTCGTTGACGATGGACTTGGTGAACGCAATGAACGTTTATCAAGTGCCCAACTGCATACTTTCCATAAGCATTCTAGAGAAAGAGAAAAGAAAATTTGGTAGGAATAAGACGAAGAATGTTTTTACGTCGTCCTCGTTTTTGTAAACCACGTGGATGACCATCGGTTTGCTCGAAGAGACCAACAGCTGATGAACCGATTGTTGGCGTAGCTTCACTTAACAATGCTTCAGTTCGTAATAACTTCGAAAGAAGTTCATCGTTGATTTCACCATCAGATTCTGACCAGAGTGGTCTCTAAATGAACGATTCTTATAGAATGAAACGAGTTCGTGATCGGAGAATCTCACCGGAATATGATTTAATGTAAAACAGTTGATGAGGAATATTTGTGCGCAGATAAACATCAGAATAACTTGTGCTTTCAACATGGTTAAACTCTCGTGGATTTGAATCAAATACTAAAAGAAACGATCAAACTTCATTTCTATTTCCCGTCCGTATTTACAGTACGACAATGAAAAACATCTAACATCCACTTACTCGACAGGAAGATAAATGAGTCTACCAATCTGAATGTATGCTCTTTTATACGAATTGAGTCAATTAGCAGAATACTTCTCATGACTTCAAATTTGCATCGCTCGAAATTACTGGGCAACTACTAATCTCTTTCTCCGATAAGAAAAGAATAGAATTTCGCACCCACGTGCTTTTCATCCACCGTCTTAATTACTCGCTTGATACCTTTACAATTATGAAAAAATTAGTAATCTTCCATCGAGGGAAGATCCGAGAATGGAACTATGTAGAAGATATCAAATGGTGATATTCGACAATGCTGAACAACTCGCCCGACTGTCAAATGAATGTACACTGATGTTTCCTCTTTTCTTTTCTTCCTTCTTTTATCGTTGTTCGATGTCAAATCAGCTCAAGTATAACTATGATTTGAACAAAAGAAAATCGCGTCTGTTGCATCACAGATCATAAGTTGCCAATTAAGAATGATTGAAAGATCGACGATGTTCGTCAGGATTTATTAATAATTAATCATCTATTGATTGTTTGCTTTGACGTGCATTGGATGGCATATGCTAAGTACTTCTTCAATGTTCGTCAAAAGTTTCTCTTTGTATTATCTCATTGTTAGTGCAGACTATACTGGTTTTTCTTTAATGATACTAACCTAACAAGTGTACTTTTTCAAGTCGTTTGTCACGTACTTAACAATGGATGTGATCGAACAAAAGAAACTTCTGTCGGATTTTGACTTTGATGATATTGGAATTGAAGATATGCGAATGATTGAGAGTATGGGTGAGAAGTGTTAGAATCGGAAATCGTCGGGAAAAAGATAGAGCAGAAATAATTTGAGATAGTATGTCTATGATTGGAAACAAATTCACATCCAGGGAAGATTGTTCCTATTCGGGTCAAGTGTTTTAGATTTATGAAATCATGCCACGTATCCGTGATTGAGGAAATACGCGTTTGCATTCTTCAATGAAATTCTTTATTTGAAAGAACAATCGTAACAAAACAAATCTATCAATTCGCAGCCATTTCTTGTAGAGTTTTCAACAAAATTTGTCGTACTGATCTCGCTAATTTCTGAACTTCAGTATTCGTATCCTTAAGAATCATCTCATCTAACCATTGCTTTAATTCTATAAAACTCGTTTGTAAATCTTCGTCATAGCATTGATTTCCAATGGAAACTAAACAGCACGCATAACCGTAGACAACAGCATGTCGAACGCCGGCATCTAGATGTTGCTGTAGGACTTTCAAGACTTGTAGGAACTGTTTGACCATGTTTTTCAAAATCAATGTGTTTTGGGCATGGATACACAAGCGTCCTAAACAAGCCAGAAGTTCGCATAATAGCAAATGTTCGCTATCGCCGTCGATTAATGATAAATGCGGTGTCGATTGATCGATTTGTGAGATTAACGGATAGAAAAAATATCCAACGATGTTGCCGAAAGAATTTTCTTTCAAGATCGGTTGATGAATTGAACGAGTCTTGGTTTTGTATTTTGTCTTCAATTTTAATCGTTTGTTGATCGTTGAACGCCATGATTCTTCTTCTTCCTCATCAGAAGAAGAAAATAATTCTTCATAAATTTTCGTTCGAATCTGATCAATACTTGACAATCGCTTTCCAGTCTCTTGGATCGTTTTTAGAATCAAACTTCGCTGATTTAACGTATAATTTCTTTCGTAGAATTGTTTGCATAAATAATCACTGATTAACAATGGATATGTTTTACATAATGTCACCAGTCCATTCAGCTGTAGTTCATGAAAATTCTCGATATTGAATGTACTATTGTAGTTCAAGAGAATTCGTGTTAATTCTAAAGCTACTTCTTCACATTCGATTCTATAGAGTTCAATTAATGATGGTAAAACGTGTAGAGCGGCTTCTAATTGAGGAACTTTGTCGGTGGCGATTAGATCGGCAAGACATGAACGAATATAACTCGGCTTTGATACTTCAGATTTGATCGTGTCGTGGGAATAATCGTAAGTTTCAAATTCACTGTCATCGTCATCATCATCGTCGTTGGAAGCTTCGTGAAGGACAACTATGTTCGACGGTGAAACTGATTTAGGAGATTCTAAAAAGACAGAAATCGATACAGAGAAAAAATACCTTTTTTTAGAACGGTGACGTCACCGATTATGCAGAGAGAATATGTGCTTACCTTTCTTCTTAGGAATTTCTTGTTGCTCATCATCTGACAATGCTCTATCGGTTGCTGAATGATTCAATTCCGCTAGTTTTCTTAAACTTTCGATTTCCGGATGATTTTTATCATATGTATTGAATTGAAGTTGATTTGGATTCGAAAACACGTCAATTCTTTCCACAATCAATTCTCCGAGAAACTGTCCACGCCGACGGATATAGTCAAAAGTAGATTCTAAATGTATCCGAATACCATTTAATATGCACAGAATGATTTCATCTTTATCCTGTTGAATGTGAACGTGATGATGAAGTGATAAACAAAGGCATATGCATTGACAGATGTAAAAATGTTGCTCATTCGACGAAAACCGAATAAAACTTTCCTGAGACCATAATTTTAAAAATCGAACAAATGTTTTCTCAAAACATTGCTCTATTCGATTGGGCGACATAGTTAAGTAAATAAGAATAGTTCGAACGATTTGAATAGATAATTGTTTACGAAAGAGAAGTGTATCGATCAAATACGTTTGTAATAACGGAATATGAAGAATACGATCACTAAGGAATAAATCAAGCGTTTGAGCATTACCGTGTTGAATGGTGTAAAGGAGAACATCGTCGATTGTTTCCAAAAGAAAGTACTGCGCTAATCGTAACCAGAGTGAATCGGTAGGACATTTGATTAGGAATAAATTCTTATACAATCGACGCCAGATATATTCCGTATATCCTAAAAGATTTCTTTCTCTGTCAAAAAGTATGACACATTGAAAAGAAAAAATGGAGAAATGTTTCCTATTTGGATGTCGTCTTACCTAATTTCGCTGCTTTATGTATGAGTTGACATAAGAATTGAACATTTGTATCGGTTTGCGCGATCATCTTTGGATAATGATATGTGATCAATTGTTCTTCAATATATTCACTCAATCGATTGAAATAGATCTTCGCTCGAAAGTTCGACGGAATGTTCGTTAACGAAATGTTTGTAATTCGATCGGGAAGGTGAATAATATATCCAATATCGTTTTCTTTTTCTAATTCACTTAATAATTTAACATAGTTTTTCTCATAGATATCATTGAGAAGGAAAATGAAATAATCGACTGGTATGGTTTGAAATTCATTCAGAATTAAGTCAATAATTTGCTTTTGCGTTAGTAAAATCGGGGTTTGAAGGAGATGTTGATGAAAATCTATTTTAATCTCTTTCACTTGTTCGGGATGCTGAGAAAACCAGTCGGGTAGCTTTCTCAAACATAACCGAACTACTTTTTCTTGATCAACCGCTGTTAACTGGAGAGTTCTATCGAAAAAATATTGTGTAAGCAGAGATTGAACAGATGAATAAGAATCCGATGCAGAGATTTGTTTTAACACAAGATTAATTCTTTCAAATGACATGGAAATCTTTAAAAAAAATGAGAGAAGAAGCACGTAAATGATTTGATCCAACAAGAAACATTCAAAATCTCAATTTATTAACAAATGACAAATTCACATTTTTTCAGGTAAACTCGAAGTAGGGGGAACGTTCGCAGTTTTGTTATTCAAGTTGACATAGAGCGGAACCACACGTGGAGGAGGATATTCAGTTCGACCGTCGAATTCCGGAGCACGTTTTTCTTGTTGCTTTCGATTCCACATGTCACGTAATGAGTTGGCTGAAAAGAAAAAGTAATAGAAAGAGTTTTGTTGGTGATACACCGTCAAATTACCAGCGAGAACTTGTTTGAGATCAGAAAACTCAGACCAGACACGACCGGCAGGTTTTTCCATGTTTTCCTGAGACGCTTTCTCACGTTTCGCCGCCATTGTTGTCGTCGTCATGCCGTTTGACGATGTTTCATCCATTGGAAAGACAAAGTCAACTTTGTTACTGGAAGAAAAATGAATTTTTATGCAAAACGAAATGACAGAGTAGGAGTTCTACCTTTGGTACACTGATGAATCTTGTTCGTATTCAGATTTTCGCCGATCGACGATGTTTTGATATATCCGACGGTGACTATCAGACGATTCTTTGTATCCACGAACGAAATAATCGATTTCACGCCATAGAAATCGATACGCTTCATCTCTAAAGATATCGAATACGATTTAGTCAGATAATTTATGATAAATCTTCACTTTTTTGCTTTGGGAGTCATGACTTTCGTTGTATATTGAAAATTATTTGGTACCGGTAATGCTTCTCCTACCCTTTCCATTTTGTCGATATGTTTCAAAGCCATAAGACATTTTCCTTCGTCTTCATCTGACAATTTTTCACGTAAGATCAAACTGGTTAAGAGATTCATCGGCTAACGAAGAATGAACAGTCAAAAGTATTGACCAATTCTACAAAACTTACAGCTGGTAGATTGAATAAGATGGTTTCGTTGATGATCAATGGACATCGACGTGTATGGCGTTCAAGTAGTCGAAGTGCTATGAAAATATTCGTTTAAACCGTGTTTTTTGTCAAATCAAATGATGTTCTTACAATCTTCGATTGGAATCTTCCCACTTGTGATCGTATCGATTGGATAGAGTGTAGTCGTTCGAATAAGATTTATAAAACTCTATCAAATATCGATTAAAACTCGGATTGTTCGTAGAAACAAATACTCACATCAACACGTAAATCTTTTTCCAAGACATCGTCATCTACTTCATCCATAAGTTCTTCTAAATCATTGAGCGAAACATGATCCTTTTCATCAGTAACGACGTAACATGGGCCAATTTTACTCATTGGATTATTCATACCAAATGCCAACGCGTGTATCATCAATTCTTGATTGTGCGAAATAATCATATGAGAAAAAAGTCGATTATTCGCCGGTGCTAACGATAGATCAATGTCCGATGTATTCAAATTCTTCTCATCACCATATTCATTGATATTCACCGTACATTCAGCGGGCACATTGCTCAATTCAAGCAATACACATTTGCCACTCAGTAAGAAATTCGTTAAACATGCAGACTCACGGCTATTTACATCCAGTGGGGAAAAACGGAACGCCGAATACGTGTCATAGTAATCTACAAGTAAATGAATAGCTATTGAATCGAAGAAAGTCATGTTTTTACTTTCTGGATCGTAGGAGGCCGAACTCCATTTGAGGACGATGGTTTCAACATCATCTTTAATTTGACGCCAATATTTCAGTGATGCTCGTTCGCGTAGACTATCATGAACTTCAGCTGGATGAACAATATCAACATCGTAATTTAAACTTGAACGAGACGCAACATCTTCCTGAAAAAGAAATCGATTAAAAAAAAGAAAACTTAGCGATTTAGCCGAAATATACTTTCATCGGAATTCCAGTGACTGTTGTTAAAGCTAGATTATGTTGTTTTAATAACATTTGTAACATTCGGGTGAATAGCATTTGACCAGTTTGAGTATAATACAATGTTCGATGAAGAATCGAAGTGACCTATTCGAATATAAAGATGACAGAGAATGAAACAAGTGTTTTTCTCAACTAACAGAATGAAATTCTGGGTTTGTCGTGGGAATGGGTTGGTCCAATGGTCGAATATCCATTAATGTCAAATCACATTTCGCCAAAGGTACAAAACTAAACATGAATTTCAAAGGAAACTACATTATCAACATGATGATTTACTCAGTGACTTCAAGAGCCATATGGTTATGTGATTCATGAAAGACTCGAGCATCTCTTTCGATGATTTCAATACGTTTCCTAAATATTCACACAGACAGACACCACTAAATCAACTTCAATGGCTGAAATTTCATACATATTAAAAGTTGAAAATAGAACAATATGTCCACTATTTGTATAATCAGAATCGCTTGGCGAACTTTGTTTTTTCGAACGTGTACACAACGCTGTGATAGCCTCATTCAATGAATGTTTTAATAGATCATCATCATTCGCAGACGAACGTTCTTGCGGTGGTTGAATTCCCGCAAAAAAGTCCATACACTAAATCACGAACATCAGTTTCAACTCTTCATAATCCACAAACGATTCTTTACTTGCGAAAGATTTTTATATCGATTCCACCACGATGATTGGTCACGTTGATCAATACCTGTCACTATTAAAGTCACCTAACAGAAGGAAAGATGAGCCAATGAACGAAACCACTTCTTACCAATGCGTCATCTTCGAAAATATCGAAGAGAATTCGGCAATATTCCAATACACATTCCACAACACATGTCCATAAAGGTTTCATTCCAAGAGTATTATCATTATTGACTTCATCGGCTTGTTGTTGATCGGTATTTTGAACATTGACATTGAACGTCACGCCAGATGGTCGTGAAAAGAAGCTACTATGATCAAGAATAAGAACGGTCTTGTTTCTTTGATGATCCATGTTCATTTCGTAAAGAAAATCTTCTTCTCTTCAGTAATATGACTCATTTTCATCCGTGATTGGAAATTCAAGCAAACCATTGAGAGTCTCTTGCAGTTTATTGAATAGAATTGATAGTAGCGCTCTGTAGTCATTTCAGCCAGGTAGCATTTTTCGCTTTTATTCTCGATTAATTTGATTCGATAACATTAATATGATTAATTAGAAAATATTTGTGATTTTCAAGGTGATATATTTAACTCATTTCGCTTGCTTTCATGCTTTGACATATCCAATAGTCATGATAAGTTCTTTTCGTAGACGCTATTTATCTAATCTGAAGTCTTTTCCTTTTTAAAGTCGGTAACCAACATGCGCGAAGAAATGTTTACGAATGTCGGAAGAAGAAAAGAATATTTCTCGTTTAAATAACCATTTGTTCGGTGACTTTGTTTTTAGAAGAGAAAATATTTCTATACAACTGACACAACTTTGTTTTCCAAATGACGGATGTTCATGTGAAAGCGCGTATGTCACCTTACTCCGGAACGAAAGATGTTCAGGTAAGATTCGAATCGATTGAGATTAATCTACTTGTTTTTGAACAGAGAGCGCCAGTGTCAAATGAAAAAGTTCCTTGGGATGTCGAATGGGCAGATTATAAACCAGTGGAATATACAGCGGAGGTCGTTTTGAAGAATCCACCATGGGCAGATGATCCGGATGCGTAAGGGTTTCTAGAGAAACTTATTTGTTGTATGAGATGATTGTCTATTGAAGAAAGAAAATCAGTCATTATAATGAAATTGATGAGAAAATTGATCGAAGAAGTTTAACAGGCAAATATGATGTGGATAAAGACACCAATCGACCGAAAAACCCTCAAGGTCGAACAGGATGTATGTGACAAAAGGAAAGCATCATCATTTGAGGGCAATTCTATGTGTTTGTAGTATCCGGACGTGGTTTACTAGGCCGATGGGGGCCCAATCATGCCGGTGATCCAGTTGTTACACGTTGGGCAAAAAATAACGATAATAATAAAAAAGTTCTGGAAATTATTCTAATTAAAAGAAAAGATACCGGTGAATTAGCTCTACCAGGTGGCATGGTCGATGCTGGGTAACATTCTTATATTTTCTTCATTATTTTAACCTAAAACATTTTTTTCTTAGTGAACACGTTTCTGCAGCAATCAAACGAGAATTCATCGAAGAAGCAATGAACTCCAATGAGGATGGCGCTAAGCAAATCGATGAATTATTCAAAACAGCCGTTCCAGTACGTGTTCTTGATTCATTTATATCTACGAACATATTCTTCTAGATCTACCAAGGTTACGTCGATGATCCACGAAATACTGGTAAATGAGATATACGCATTGAGTCTTGTGGACAATTTTGATTTGAATAGATAATTCTTGGATGGAAACAGAAGCGATGAACATGCATGACGAGACTGGTGATTTAACTAAAGATTTGACATTAGAAGCTGGTAAAGATTTTGTTCTAGTAGACTGATTTGAATAATTCCTGTTTGTAGGTGATGATGCATGCAAAGTGAAATGGTTATCACTCGATCGGGATCGTAATCTTTATGCATCACACGAGAAAATCATTCAAGCAGTAGTGAAAAAACATGGCGCTTTTCAATACTGGCAAAACAAATCTTCTTAAACCCATGATTTCTTCTACATTTAACTCAGAACTTGCTTTTAGTCTCACACAAATTTAGTTCCTAACAAATATGGTTAAATGAGTGTTGGATACTAATAATACTTCTCTATTAGTTTAATAATATACTGTGATCATCTTAAAGTCAATCTTGCTTTGTATATTATTTCTGAACTTCCCGGAGATTTTTATTGGATAAAAGCTAGATTACACGTGTTGAAAGAAGAATGTTTATTTTTTTCTCGATATTCGTTCGATTGCGGATTGCTAGTTTCGAATTAATTCGCGGTACTTTTCTTCTTGGAGAAATTTCTCGTATTCCTTTTGAAGATCTTCATCGTAGGAATGCAATTCAATGTAAAACAATTGCTTGTTAACATGGAGTTTCACTGGTTTGCTCATCAATTGTTGTTTTGTATTGATTGTGTCACAATTGATAATATATTGATTTGAAATTCGGTTCGAATCGAGAATACAAGTCAAAGGGAGAAATTCTACCGACAGAATACGTTGTTTAATGTCGATCTTGTCGTTTGTAAAAAGTGTTTTCAAACGATCGTAGAGACATTCAAGTAATTGTTGATGATTGATACTCGTCGAGCAGTTCGTAGGAAGAATGGCTAATAGACTGCAAGGTCTTTTCTCAGGTGGACGACTGAAATATCGAACTTGACGATTGCTTAATCTTTTCTTCAGTTTTTTGTAAGTTTCAGTGGATATTTCATCACTTCTTTCGATCTCCTCTTGTGGAATTTCGTAGTTCACTCCACCAGGAAAGTAACTGAAACAAATGAATATGATCAATCCGGTTGATTCTCAAATCTTGTAAACCTGATATCCAATGAATTCGCTTTGATCTCTTCATAGAACTGATCTTGGACAAGTTCAGAGACCAAATTCGATCGTCGCAAAGGATTCGATCGTGTGATCAATGTCAATAAACAATCGTTATATTCGCGTGGTATTATTGTCAATAACTTCTCACTGTTCGTCTTCCTGATTGCAAATTGCCTGGATCTGTCAACTTGGATCAATTCCGCTTGACATGTTCGAATTAGATTCACACGTGATGCAAACAGTTTCTCTACGGTCTTTACTTGAGTCTTAGTCACGTGACTTGAATCGAAAACTATTGGAAAATCAATTCTTGATGATCTTCTCGGGAATATTACTTACAAATTTTCAGTTTGTAGTCTTTGAATTGAGTTTGATATTCTTGATTGAAAGCTTCCGACGTCATTTTTGTGTTCTTCATTCGGCGAAAATATTCCATCAATTCATCAACATCCGCCTCAGGCAAGTCACGGTAAAACGTCTTCGACGGACGAATCGTACTCAAAACAGGCAAGCGTCGAGTGTTTTCATTCAGTAAACTCGGCCTTCGTGCACGATCGAGATTCTCGGAATCAGTTATAATCGAATCATTTACATGATTATCAGAAATCGTAATGACTGACGAGAACTCATCTTTCGTTTCGTTCATCGAAGAATTCGCTTCGCCATTGATCATCGAATAGAGATTAATAACCGGCATATGAAGACATTTGCCAACTTTTCTACTTGAATTCCGTGGACATGCTGTAGAGCTGTTCTCATTCTTCCTTTTAGTCGATATCCGACGGGTTTCCCTGCTTTGCTTTCGTTTGACTCTCACCGCGGATCTCTTCCGAATAGACAATTTTTTTCCTCCATTCAAATCATTGAATTGCTGCTGCTGCAACAATCGACCATCGACAACCGAAAGGATTTGCGATTGACTCGACGTCGGCATTATCTAAAATTCATATAACTACCAGCTGTAGACAACTAATAAGCTATCTATCCAGAAGAAAACTAAACTATTCACATATCGATTGTTTTTAATCGAACTCCTAGGGGTTGAAATGCAATAAGGAAACTTTCTCTCACCATTGTGTCTTTATATGGCACGATGAAGAAAAGAAAGAGAGAAATCAGCAAAGTGCAATTGAAATAGAATAAAAATGAAATTAACTTACCTGTTGAATAGAACATTTGTTATTCATCGATTTCTTTCCTGACAAATAGAAATGAATCTCAGTGACATTGATACGACATTACACATCCGTCGAATACCTACACCAGCGTCGAGTTTTCTTTTGTTACCACACTCTCATCGAACGTCATCAACGGATCTTCGTTCTCGTCAACCGAAATCCCATGAATCGAAAACTTCTTCCTACACCTGGCGACGATACTCGGAGAAAATGGCGCAGATCAATTCCGCACCTGATGTTGCCTATCGAAACACGTACTTAAAAACCGACAAGTCAGATATACACATTTCTCAGTACCACTCTCGTTTACCATCAACTCCACCGATGAAATTCAATTCTTTTCCATCGGAAAGATCACAATCGAATACAATTTATGATTATATTCGCGATTCCATTCGACAAATCGAACACCAACGGCAATTGAAACGTGATCTTTCCCTGAACGTCAAACGTCCGCAAAATAATGATCACACGTTTCAACAACTCCTAGTTCGTCGACGCTCATCAACTCGAATGTCGCACTTGGATTTCGCCACACCGACAAATTCAAAAACAATTGTCAATTATCTCAATCATGTTCGTCTCGCTCAACTTACGAAAAACAACGCTAATCAATATACGAAGTGTGTTTGACAACTTCACTTTGCTAAGTATTTTATATTTTCCTGTTCGAAGCGATAATTGATAATAGAACAACGATAATGAGACTTTTATTTGACTTTATAAGGTTGTTTGTGGCTTACATCGCCATAATAATCGATTATTAGATGTTTCTTTTGTATCTGTTGTAAAACGTCGTAATAAATTCGGCGTATCGAGCAGAGCAACTTGAATATCAACATTACTTTTCATCATCAGGACAGTCATATGTTGCTGTTGCTGTTGTTGCTGCTGCTGCTGTTGTTGATCTCGACTTCCCTGTGACGCACTGGTAGAAGTTTTGCCGGAGTTTCTCTTCTGAAGCCGAACTAAATTATCGGTTTCTTTGGCGAGGTAGTTCCGATGTCGTTTATTTTGTCCGAATTGAAATGTTTTCGCGTGTTGGTTACGCACGTAGTTCATGCCTAATACCGGTCGGCCTAATTTTGCCGAATTTGATTGACGTGTAAAACGTGATAGTGATGTGTGCAGGATATTCCTAAAACAAATCCGTCTTTTCATCTCTATCAAACCAATAAAACTTACTTGAAGTTTTGGAACGTTCGATTGTAGATGAAAAACTTACAACATAGACTTATCTCATAGAGAATGACAGTAAATTTCCTTGAGACAAGTATGATAAAGAACTCCAAAGTCATGTAATCTTGTGTACCGTGTATTAGATGCCATGTTATTACCATGCCTGGAAATAGTTCATCAAGTAGAAGAACGTTGTTCATCAGTTTTTTTTCTCACCCGTCGGCGTGTGACAAACTATAAATAAAATCGATATTAACAAAACCGTTTTATTTGCTTGATTATATTTTGTCTGACGCGCTTTCGATTGACACGGTTGGAATAATTGCGTCGCTAATTTAATATTGTAAATGATAATCAAACTCATGATCAATGTTAAACATTCAGGTAGAATCGCCCAAATGATCAAATTCGATTTAACGATAAAGTCGAGACTTTTGTGCCATCGATCGTCACACGCTGTTATGGAAAACACGCTGACTTGATCGATGCCTTTTAAATCAACAAATCGATATAGACAAAGGATCATAATAAAAAACGCTAAAAAAATTATGGAAATTTTTGCACGACGATGCGTGTATAACGAATAACACTTCAATGGCCACATGATGCTTATCAATCGTTCACAGGTTAGCAAAACAATAATCCATGTTGGAAAGATCAGGAAAAACTCCGTAAAAAATCCATTGATTCGACACAGGACCTTCGATGAATCGAAAAACAAGTCCAGTTGTTCGGACCATCCGCGTAATAATGGAATGGTAAAATTAATATGTAGATTAATCGTATCCGATAAGGATAAGACGGAAAGATAAACATTTTGAGAATTTCGCTTATTCATCTTGAGAAAACAACATAATGAAAAGAGGTTCAGCAGAGTGCCGATAACAACTAAACTTGTGACGGTCGGGAAAAACAATCGGTCTATGTAACAATGGAATAGAAATAGACGAAGAATGAAAACTTTCTGATTGCAATCCGTTAGATTCGGAGAGCTGAGACCTTCGAAGCATTTCGGCGAACGATTAATGATATTTTCGGTAGCAGTTTGACAAACAGCAGGTTCACTGGTTGTTAAATTCATAATTGGACAAGAGGTGTCAGATAATAAACATAGTTTCGTAAGAAAATTGATCAATCTAGAAATATAATGGTTTCTATATCACGTAAAACGATGTTTTTTTGTTTTTTTCGCGATTCTATTTTGCACTCGGATAATCATCAATTGTGGTCGTGAAGATTTTGATGTAAATTAAACTGGAAGAACTTATTTCCTAAGAAATGAAGGCGAATGTTTTCTTGAATATCTCTCGCTCAAGGTCAGGATGAAAATTTGATGTTAAATTATGTTTTTTTTTCTTTCTAATCGCAACAGCATAGCTTCCCTCTTAAGCTTCATCAAATCAGCAGTAGAAGTAAGAGTTAATTAGAAAAAGAAATTTCTGACTGAAAAAGACGTCGTCCTCCCTATTGAAAATAGAAAAGTCTAACTTGATTATCTCTTACAGCACTCACCAAGGATTTCTTTTGCAAAGAAGAAAACGAGAAATATCCTACTTTGACGAGCTCTTCGTTTGTTCAATCTTGCAAGCCGATGTTAAACTGACATTGAGAAGTCGACTGGTTTCTTATTTTATGATTATATGTTCGAGTATTTTTTGCAATTGTGATCATGTTGTTAAGCCATCTGCTCTATTGAATATTTATCGATATATGCATATACTATCAGCTGTTATTTTTATGTGTGATGGCATGATATAGTTAAAGAAAGAGAAAAAAACACGGGCAAATGATAAGTGTCAAGAGGAGAGAGAGAGAGAGAAAAATCCCAATGGAACGTACTTGTTTCTCATTATTATTGCTCGGAATGTAATGATCAGCTCGACAAGTTACTTTCTACAGCTTTTCTTCGAGATTAGTTCAAATGACAGTTTCATTAAATAGATTTGCCTTGAAAGATTCTAAGACGATTTATGTAACAATAGAAACGAATCCTTCTCTTTTTCAACCGAAGAAAAACAACTAATCACTATGCTTGAGATCTGATTTATGATTGACGTATCGGAGAGAGAAAAAAAATATATAACAAGTCATTTGTTTTACTTGACAATAAATGTTCATAGACGACAGAAACAACAACAGCAATCTCAGGACATGTCTTCAACATGATTAATTTATTGACTTTCACCCTAATTTTCTTTTCTATATATATTCATTAACATTAGAGGAAATGCCAAAATAGACAAATCTCGATTGTTTTCTTCTCACCATACTATCAAACGTCTTATGCACGCGGACTGTTGTCCTAGCAGATACGCCCCATGCTAGTCCGGAGATTAAAATAACTATAATTACACGACTTACAGCGGATGTCATAAACAAGTGTTGTTTATTCATGAATGGTTTTTCAACAAATAATTAAATCGACTAAAACAAACGAGTAAAAAAGCGAGCGTGAGCTTCATATTTACGTAAACAAGTTCTTGTTCATGCTTGAAAGAAGTAGAATGATCTGTCGTAGGGAGTTAAGAAATGATGCTTAGCTTTTTTTTTCTGTCTTTTTTCTCCTCCTCTTGGAAAGAAAATTACATTGCATGTTTAATAACCATTTCAGTGAATCTAAAATTTAATTACTATGTTTATTAATTATTCTTTACATCAAAATTTGCAATGGCGAGATTTGAAAAAAGATTTTCTTCCACTAAACTGAGTCGTAGAGTAAAACGAACGAATTCAGATCGAGAACGAAGAGATTTTTATTCGCAAAAAAACTAAAACATCATGTTGGTTTCTATTAGGACGACTAAATATAAAATCTTTTTATCAGTGTTCTTATGTTTTATTCATTTTTGTGCAAAGAATATATAATTAATTTATCTAGTTCTTAATATTACATGCACTTACGAACAAATGATTCGCTTAGTTAACCGAGAACAACGAAAAAGATCAGTTGTGAAATATTTTATGACGTGATAGACATTTATTTTTAAAGGAACCTTCTTTCACTGTAATGGTATTAGGAAAATTGAGAAAGTCAAACACAGCTACAAAATTAATGTCTCTAGCATGTGTTAAGACATACAATAGAAAAGAATAGGCAACAGGATATGCAAATGAGGGTCATGATAGTTTAAGAATCACTTACGTCTCTTGATTTCAATAGTACAATGCTTTGAAATGGAAGGACACGCGACAATCACCAAAATAGCGTTGGGTTATATAACTTACTCAGGAAAAACGGATCGAGTGGATTAGTCAAACATAATGACATGTCGAGAAGAGTAGGCAGATTTTATTCCTGATTATTAATTGTGAATAAATACGGTAGACTTGAATAGGAAATTGTCAAAAGAATTGTGAATGACATTTGGATTTCATGATCAAGTGAAACTCTAATCAGAATTGAAGAACTGCATATGTTCGAAGATACTTCTTTGACATTTTTTATAGTCTAACTCACGATTCCTGGGTACGTTAATATGAGATTTTAAAAGAAGAAGATAACAATAACCAACAATTTCCTTTTTTTTTTAATTCTCTGTCGAATCCAGGGAGAAAAAAAACGTTGCATCTTTAATCAAAGGTTCGTTTAGCTTGCGGTATTAACGGAAGCAAAATGTACTAAAAACATGATATAATAGTGGTAGAACAAAATATTCAAATCACGAACATCTCATAGTCAGAGGCACCAAAGGTTTCATTTTTATTAAAAGTAGGCATTCCACTCTTGGACTTAGATATTTCAGCAAAAGACGTGCGTATTGAAGACACTTGATATTATTCAAAGTCTTACGAGAATGCTATTTGATCATGCAATAAACTCGTGATGTTTAATATTAGAGCGTTATTTTAAGATATGTTGCTTGAGCGTTTAAATACTTTGACATCTTTCGCAAATCTTGGTACGGCCTATCTTTGCTTTCGAGCAAACCGGGACTACACTTCTAGTGACTACGACGGAAGTGCATTAGTGTGTTAGAATAGAAAATATGATGCATTGTATTGAAAGAACATTAGAAAGTAATTTTTATTCTTTTTGTATTCGAATTTTCAGAAATAATCTCGGAAATGAAATCTAAATAATCGCCATTATGTTTATCGGTTGGCCTCGTCGAAGAAGATTATCGGTTGTTTTTTCCTATAGTGAACTCCGGTTTTTCTTCGTCTCAAGAATATCTAGTTTTCGCTTACTTACAACCTTCTTTCTAGATTTTTTAGTTGTACAATCATGCAAGGCATTCGGCATGCCTGTCGACGAGCTGGTACAGTAGCTCAATTGGTTCTCGGCAAACAACGTAATTCATTTGCACATCCAAGATGGTCGAGACTTAGTTATCAGCCAACAGCCAACTTTCACAGTAAGGATTTTGGTTGCATAACTATCCGATTGTTATATTGTGATGGAAATTCATTCATTTAGTTGTTGGCAAACGAAATGCTGCAGCTCAACAAGCAGCACAACAAAAATCAACTTCAAATCAACAAACCCAAACGGGTCAACAAACAGCGAAAGGTGCCAAAGGCCGCGTTGTCTCTGTCATTGGTGCTGTTGTTGATGTGCAATTCGATGAACAATTACCGCCTATTCTTAATGCCCTTCAAGTCGATGGTCGTTCACCAAAATTAATTCTTGAAGTCGCTCAACATTTAGGTAAACAAACACAACAAACGTTATTTGATCTTTCTCTCTTCTCTCTTCAGGTGATAACACCGTTCGAACAATTGCTATGGATGGTACTGAAGGTCTCGTTCGTGGGCAACCAGTCACTGATATTGGTACACCAATTAAAATTCCAGTTGGTTCAGCTACATTGGGTCGTATTATTAACGTTATTGGCGATCCAATTGATGAACGTGGACCAGTCAATGCTGAAGATTTTGCACCAATTCATGCTGATGCACCACCATTCACCGACATGAACGTCGAACAACAAATTCTTGAAACTGGTATCAAAGTCGTCGATTTATTGGCTCCATATGCTAAAGGTGGTAAGATCGGTCTTTTCGGTGGTGCCGGCGTCGGTAAAACTGTCTTGGTCATGGAGTTGATTTACAACGTCGCTACATCTCATGGTGGTTACTCCGTCTTTGCTGGTGTCGGTGAACGAACACGTGAAGGAAATGATTTGTATCATGAAATGATCACAACTAAAGTTATTGATCTCAAAGGAAAAGGCTCCAAAGTATCGCTTGTCTACGGACAAATGAATGAACCACCCGGTGCACGTGCTCGTGTCGCTTTAACCGGTTTAACAGTCGCAGAAAACTTTCGAGATAAAGAAGGCAAAGATGTACTTCTCTTTATTGATAACATCTTTCGTTTTACACAAGCTGGTTCAGAAGTAAGGCATAAAAATCATCTTCGATCATCCGGTAGATCACATCTGCTCGATCTTTAGGTATCAGCTTTATTGGGTCGTATTCCATCTGCTGTCGGTTACCAACCAACATTGGCAACTGATATGGGTACTATGCAAGAACGTATTACAACAACGAAAAAAGGTTCAATTACATCAGTACAGGTATGCTCGCAAAATCAACTAACGGCAATGCGATAATCTCGTTTTGTTCCTTCTAGGCTATCTATGTACCTGCTGATGATTTGACAGATCCAGCTCCAGCTACAACATTCGCTCACTTGGATGCAACAACTGTCTTATCCCGTGGTATTGCTGAATTAGGTATCTATCCAGCTGTCGATCCATTAGATTCAACATCACGTATTCTCGATCCAAACATTGTCGGTGAAGAACATTATTCAGTTGCGCGTAGCATTCAGAAGACACTTCAAGTAAGTTTTCTCTTCATAACTCACGTGTACAATCGCACACGCTAGAGCTTGTAGTGTCTTTTCTCATAATTCTATGAGTGTAGTCGATGTGCAAAAGAATCAGGATAAAAATTTTGCTCATTGATTCATTTGTTTTTGAATTCATTGCAAAAAGAAACCGATTTTTATCGACATTTTTTAGGATTACAAATCATTACAAGATATCATTGCTATCTTGGGTATGGATGAATTGTCCGATGACGATAAATTAACTGTCGCTCGTGCTCGTAAGATCCAACGTTTTCTTTCTCAACCTTTCCAAGTAAGTTCAGTTCAATGATGCATCCAACTTATCACACATTTCTTCCTTTTCAAGGTTGCCGAAGTCTTCACTGGTACACCAGGTAAATTAGTACCACTTAAAGAAACAATCAAAGGATTTAAAATGGTATTAAACGGTAAGAAGACACACTCTCATTTGAAAATCATCATCTGACTTCGATTTCAATAGGTGAATTGGATCACTTACCCGAAGGAGCTTTCTATATGGTCGGTGGTATCGAAGATGTTTCGGCTCGTGCTGAAAAATTGGCCTCTGAACGTTAGAAAAAGTAACTTCTAATGAACAATATTGAACCGGCCAACAGTGTTCTTAGTATATTTCTCGTTTTTCTTTTCTCTTCTTTATTTCGAGTGTTTTTCTCTTTCTAGTTGCTTTCTATGTACCTCTGTAGTTTATGATTAGAAGAATTTAACATCCACATACATTTCTTTTATGTTGATATTATATGGAATTGTGAGAAAGAGAGAGAGAGAAAGACACACCATACTCTATTATTTTCTTTTCCCCCCGTTTGTTTCTTTTCTTTTCTTTCTCAAATAAACAACAGAATTAATTGTGCTCTACGCGCACTAAATTCACATTTTTTTTCACTCTCTCTTTGCATGACTAAACTCTATCTCAATCCATTTACAAAACAAATCATCCAAATACCAGATTTCATCAATGACATGATCGATTGTATTCTCATGCGACTCATACCACACATTTCGCTCACTCAACTTTCCATGCTTCGATGTTGTCTGCCCAGTTTTCTGATTCAACTTTTTCAACAAACACAAAATCTATCTGCACAGAACGTGACAGAATGGATTATCGAAGGAATTCAATCATCTAACATTAATTATGTATGACTTCATTAGAATAGACTTCCCAGATGTGGAAGGTATCAAACATTGCACTTGTTTAGTCTATCGTCTTGTTCAGTGTCAAATGAACTGGCTAAAAGAACTACTTAGATACTGTTATGTGTGAATTCAATCTCGTATTTGTTTGTTTACCGTTCAATGCGATAATCAATCAGTGTAAATATCATCTGTAATCGGGCTCTTCGTTAAGCGTATAATTGTGTCTGATGAGCGTTGAATAGATAGGGAACAAACGTAGCTTCTCTATTGATCATTATGATTGGTTATTCAGTCTTAGTGATAGTAATTCAAATTGTATCATCGAATGCTTATTATTTAATTGATATCAATGAGGATTTGACATTGGAATCTGCAAATTATTGTACGAACCTTTCAATCCACCGAGATTTGAGTTCAATTCCTCGGCAATGTCATCGACATCTTTATTGTGGTTCGTATAATTGTGAAGAACAATCGTTTCGCTGTGTGAAGATTCGCGAAGCTCTCTGCTGCCTGTACGATTATCTTCAAAGCAATTGTTCAAAAGAAAAGTTCAAAGATCATTTTCGATCGGTGTACTTTCATACTTCACTTCAACATGGTTATTGCGAGATAAATTTGGAAAGAATCGAGCAGGACGCTGATTCGTATTGTTTGGCTAATCTGAAGGAAACAACAACATCTTTTTCTTTACCATTAAAACGATCTTATCAATCGATTAACTCGTCGTATCGAATCGAATTTAGTTTTGTTTTTTTCTTTCTTCTTCTGTACATATTGGTTGTTCGTGTGAACTTTATCATTACCTAGATAAGATTATTTGAAAACAACGCAATCATTGACCCATATCTATCTCTCGTTTCTTCGACTATATACATGTCACTTATCGTTTTTGTCTTCGTTTGTATCTACACGCGCGCGCAATGTTAAGTACGATATTCAAACAAAGTTTACTGAAGTCACAGTCATTGATACGCTATGCTTCGACTAGTAGTGAACAGCATACTGTTTTAGTTGTACTCTACGAAGGTTTGCCTAAAGTTTTGATTAACTTAGTCGTTCATTTTGTCGTTTTTCAAGGAGGAGAAGCTGGAAAGAAGAATAAAAAGATTCTGGGATGTGTGGAGAACGCACTTGGCTTACCCGAATGGATAAAAAAGAATAAACTTGAGAATCGTTTGAAATTAGTGGTCACATCGGATAAACAAGGTGAAAATTCTCTCGCTGAAAAAGTTTTACCTGAAGCAAGTGTGGTCATTTCTCAACCATTTTGGCCGTGCTATCTCGATCAAGCACGTATTGACAAGGCTAAAAAGTTAAAACTGGCAATTACAGCTGGTGTTGGTTCCGATCATGTCAATCTAGAAGCGGCCTGCAAACGAGGCATGTTGTGAATCTAATAGCAGAACTTTGAATCGATGTCTTTCTTTTTTGTCTAGGAATTACTGTTGGTATGTGTTACGTGTAATCGAATGGAGATGTATGATGATCGTTTGTTTTCAGCGGAGGTATCTGGCTCGAATGTGGTCAGTGTAGCTGAACATGTTGTCATGCAAATATTGGCTCTGGTACGAAATTTCATTCCAGCTTACAAAGTACGCACAGGTTTTGAGAGATTTTCATGATCTAAATCCACTGATGGTTGTTTTTAGCAAGTTATAAATGGCGAATGGGATATCGCAAGAATAGCTGATAAAGCGTACGATTTAGAGAACAAACATGTTGGTACAGTTGCAGCTGGTCGTATTGGTCTTCGTGTTTTACAACGTCTTAAACCATTCAATGTCCACTTGCATTATTACGATAAATTTCGTTTAGATAAATCAATCGAAAAAGATCTTAACGTCACATATCATCCGAATGTGGAATCGTTAGCTAAAGTATGTGACGTAGTTACAATCAATTGCCCATTACATCCAGAAACAGAACATCTGTTCGACAAGAAAATGATTTCTTTGATGAAAAAAGGTAGTTACATTGTCAACACAGCCCGTGGAAAGATCATGGATCGAGATGCATTGGTCGACGCGGTGAAATCGAACCATATCGAAGGTTATGCGGGTGATGTTTGGTACCCACAAGTAAAACTAATCATGCTGATTTTTGTTTCCGACTTTCAATCTTGTTTTTAGCCAGCAGCGAAAGATCATCCATGGCGTTCGATGCCACGACATGCCATGACACCGCATTATTCAGGTACGACCTTAGATGCTCAGGCACGTTATGCAGCTGGTGTTCAAGAAATTCTTGGCAATTGGTTGAACAATCAAGCACAACGTGAAGAATATTTGATTGTTGATCAAGGCAAAGTCGTTAGTCGGGCTTACACTGAAGGTGACGCCACGAAAGGACATGCATCGAACAAATAAGCTTTTATCCGTAAGGAGAACCTCTCGCAGTTTAGTGATTTAGTTGAGATTTTGATTGAAAAACGTTGTGATTTCCTTTTCTTTTCAATAAATTCCGTTGAAAACTACATGATCGATTATCTTTACTTCAGTGGTGTTTCTTTGTTGAACTCATCCAATCGGCTTATGCTTCGCTTGTTCACATTTCGTTGATTTCTTTGTGCGCAGAAACATTCAGCTCGATGTATTGTTGTTTCCGAGTGTCTCATAATGAGTCTCAGCTTAAAATCAGATCAACAATGAGCTACTTATCACAGATTACATCCGATTTTCTCTTACCGACGTCAGAAAACATGTCGACCTCCTCATGAGTCTCATATTTTCCATCTATGTGATCGTTTAATCACTGTGCGAAAATGTACATATGAGCTTTTAAAAAAATACAAGAAAAATTAACATGTTTCGATGATATACGCAGGTAAAACTGGTCCATCGCAATCAGTTTGAGGCACATGTAATAGTTCGGATGGCAGAAAGCTTGTCTTACATCCATCTTTGCTCGGAGGAGGCATGTCGATAATCGGAGGTTGGTTTTCGAAAGATAAGCATTGGTTGTCATTCGATATCGATGGATAAACTGTTGTTGTCAGCGTGGTTTTAATCGATGCCGGTGTGTCACGTCGACCGTGCATAAGCGTTGCTGCTCGCCGTCTGGATACTGGACGGTAAACATTTGTCGATCGATAACAAACGGTATTTTGTGGTCGTAGAACACAATTGTTTGGCGAGCAAGTTTTCGATTGAGGACAAGAAGCGGTTTTCACCAATACATGCTGTGGGTTTTTATTACTGATTGACCGTCGTTTTAACGATTCGTCAAATAACGATTTCGAATTGGACACGTGCGAGTTCTTATTGGACAGATCAATACTAAAACCGCAACAATTGAAAACAGCAGACGAGGTCGATGTTTGAGAAAGTTGAAGTGAATAACTTGCATTGCTTAACTTCGAGGATAACTTATTTTGATGAACATTCAATCCTGGACAGGGCACTGCACTTTGAACTTGGACAGAACGATCTGTATCATCGTCCTCGTCTGTAAAGAGAAATGTATGAGCTGGATATTTCATTGTACTTCGATCGGACTGAGTGCGCTTGAATCGCCAAAACAAACATTCCCAAAGAATTTTACGAATTTCTAAACGCGATGTGCGACCACTGAAATAAATTGTATTAAAACTCAGAAAAATGAATAGAAAATCTACCTTAAAATTGCGAAGATGATATTCAGCGAATAATTAGCCATTTCCAAGACTCGGAAGACCGTATTCAGATTAACATAAATATACAGAGGCATCAGCGGTGTTTTACTAAGATTTGTCGCAAATGCATTGACCATCGTTAAGATATATCGCGGTGAAATGGTAATAATAACAAAAAAAGATGAAAGCACAAGCTGAATGATTTTTTCTTTAAACTGCTTTTCACGTTTAAGAACATTCTTCGCATCGATCGAGCCAATTTTCGATAGAATATCTCGTTGACGTGACAAACTACATAAGATCAGCCAATTAACAATCAGTAGAATAATCGAAGGTATAATCGAGTGAAAGAGAACAGTATTGAATGTTAAGTAATGTTTTTTCCATTGATCATATCGACGCGATGATTTCTGACTGCCTCTCTGCCAGACACACATAAATGTATGGATTGAAATATTCTCGTATGTGTGAGAGAAGAACGTTGGAAGAAGATAAATAACATCAGCGAAGAAAACAAGACAAAGAACACAGACAAGTACAATTTTCGAAATTGTCATCGTGAAACACAAACGTCCTTTGATTGGAAACCATATAATAATACATTTTTCAACAGCTAAAGCGACTGTCAACCATATACTCGCCTAAAAAGACAAAAATAGGTTGGCAAAACAACAACATTTCATTATCTCCTAGTCATTGTTTTCTGTACTATTCATAGAAAGTCATTATTGCGTTTCCCATTCCACTTCATTCTTGAATACGTTGACATATCTCGGTTTGAAGGTTGGTTAGTACTATGCTAAACTTTATTCTTAGGAGTTAAGTTACTGAGACGCTCTTTGTTTTATATACAAGCAGAATGGACTTGTCGAAAAGCTTTTGGTTTGTGGTACTCGTGACGTTCTTAAGGAAATCTCTTCAATAGCTTCTAGTAAACATAAAAACGCTCTGATTGATAGATTTGTTAACGATCGATTCGATTTCGGATAACTAATGCTTGTAATACGATTAAATTGTTTATTTATATATCAATAATAAATAGTTTTATGATGATTTTCTCTCGCACCCGTCGACAAGAGCAGATGCGAACGAGTAGATTCTTGTCTTCTTTCTCCAATGCGAAGAAAATTTTCCTGCTGAGTAAGTGAGTTTGTTTTGATGATTATTCGCAATCTACGCTAGTGCATTTCAATAAACTACGTCGAGTGAAAAGAAGAAAGTAAGAACACTCAACTTGCTACTCAAAATAAATTCATCAAGATTACCTGTCCAGTAAACATTATAGTAAAAAACACAGAACGGCATAATGTTAATGTCACTTTGAGGTATCCTTTATCAAAAAGAAGAAAAACTAAGAATTCGAAGAGACGGATTGTATCGAGTATGGCGATAATTGAAAAATAAAGTCGAAATGTCGTGTTGCGAAAGCTTCTCGACACACAGAAGTAAAGTAGACTTAAGCAATTGAACGTCAAACCGAAGAGAAATAACAGACTGCCAATGCCGATTTGTATGTAAGTGTTGAACGCGTCGATAAGAACTTGTTCCCGATTGGAAATCGTACTTGCTGTGAAGTTCTTGGCGGGTGAAACTGTCGAATTAAATGAGCTATTGTCACTCATTTCAAATTCAACTGCAAATCATAAGCAAATCTGAAACGAGAAGAAAAAAATGACTTGCTTTCATATTATATTGCAAAGAAAACTAAATTGACTTCTTCATCTATTCTAATGACGTCAAATACAAATGTTCATTATATCCACCTCACATGCTCCTCACCCAAAATTAGCTAAGAAAAAATCTTTACATTGTTGTGCACTTACATTTTCAAGGGATTCATACTATTACTTTCTCTTTTAATAGTCAACAGAAGAGAAATTCAATGTGATACAGAAAACACCTAATGCACACTTACGGAAAGGCATCAACTTGCAAGCATTGATGTAAATAATAATGCTGCACAAGTCGTCTGTGATGTTCCTTAGGTAAAACAACTTTCGTGTATGAGAAATGCTGCTCGAAAAGTATGAAGACAGGACTGGTGAACGGGTTTTTTTCGCAGAAAATCTTAGAGGTCTTAGCAGAACTTTCGATATTGGAGACAACGTTGTTCTCGTCGAGAAATCCAATGAAAGATCAAATCACCGAAAGTTTCTTCTCTCGTCCTTTTACTACGTTTATAATAATCAGAAACTCATTGATATGTGATTAATGAAAATAGAAAGACACATTGCGTGTATGTACTTCAATGTTATACCAATCTTTTTTGTTTCATCAGCGCAAACTTCCGTGAAGATAAATATGTTGTCGAAGCGAATTCATTAGGAAACCAACACGAAATTCTAATATGATATGCACGAATATACTGATTAATTGATCACACGACGCTCTTCTACGGCGATGTCACATTATCGTCCGGCACACAAATACAGAACGGAAGAAATACCATCTAATCCTGAGACATACGTGTCACAAGAAATGCGAACTCGAACGAAAATGAATAGCTGATTTCCCTGAAGTATAGTTTGTCTCACTAGCTGTCCGAATTGACTACTCTATTCCAGCAAAATCTCAGCGAGTTACTTGTTTGTCGACAGAAATATCCAACAATTCACAATGAGAATTCGTCGTCAGGATGAAAGAGACAAAGAATTTCAAGCGTGATCTTCCTCTTCACCAGTCACGAGCGCATGAGACAAAGAAAACCTGGAAACGCTTGCCTTAGGTAATCGATCGGTGCGAGTGAATAACAAAGACATGTTTAGCGGAAAGAGACTTACGTAGCATATGTCATAAGAAAAGAAATCGAACAGTTTTTTGCTTTTTTTCTCTCTGTTATTAATTGAATTTTCTAAACGAATATATGATGAGAAGAAGCAACGACTCCTTCTTTTCCTTTTTTTTCCTCTCTTTCTCTTCGTTGTCATTACTCAACATCCGCCAAGAAGTTTCTCTTTCGCTCGACGTTATTTTCCTCCTGTATACAAACGCTGCTTTTCATAATCGATGAAACTACTGAAAACACACATACACATCAAGAAGAAATCGACCTATGCATGCTTGTGTTCACATCATTTTTCAAAGCCTGAACATGTTCTTTCTCCTCGGTATTCGTTAATCAATCATTAATCAATGTCGTTTAGCGATCGCAGTTGCCTTTTTGTTTTTCTAATTATGCTTTTCATACGGATCGTAAGCGTTCTATATTGTTTTCTCAACATGCATCATAATGAAGCGTATGAAATGTTTCATTCAGATCAAAGAAAAATAGAACTACTACATTAACAATGACGAAATCATTCGTCGTTATCTAATTGATATCATCTACATGTCGAACAATTGAAGAAAATCAAGCGATAGAAAGACGCTTGTTTGTGACACGATATTTGACAATATTCGACGCAATTTAATTAATAATTCAATAGAAAATGACTGATAGGAAAAGAAATTTGAGAGGATGGGATCTTGTTTGCTTTTAACTGAGGATGAGCAGCAAAGAATACGTCTATACTCGACTGAATACATACGGTTTACACTTACACATTAGCTTCAGGCGAATCTGACAACAATGATCATGTCAAATCGAATGATGTGCAGTGTTTTATTCTCATTCGTTTGGCAAGAAATGACTACATTTTGAAAGTATTGCCATTCACATACCTGATAGCCGATCGATGAAACTGTCGTCGGACAACTGACAAGACAATGACGGATTCGTCTTTACTGAAGACAATGAAAATGTTGTGTCTAGCTTGTTACTATCATTATTCTTCGTTAGATTGCTTTTTACTTTACTGACAGTTTCCACGTTGATGATATATTCAAATAGAACGAATGCCACTGATAACCTTGCATCAAGGTTGACCTGTACAATGACATTCGTCCACGAGCTCTTTTTTATTAGATCATCTCGTAGTATTCTGACACTACCTTGTCTTTCTAGTTGAGGAAGCAAACAGCAGTGACGTTTATGTTACTGTTCATTGTGATAAACTAAAAATGACAGACAAACGTGGAGAAGAAAAGGGCTCCTTTCTCATCGCGTGCATAATTATATTGTACAAGCCATTAATAACCCAAATCAGGGAGAATAAAGGAAAATATATACTATAGAAGTTCATTGTCGTTTCTCGACATCATTAGGCGATTTCAATCTGATCATAGGAAGCATATTTATAGATGAATTTTCGCTTACTTTGAATAGAATGTAGTTCGTTCAATTGTTATGAGAAGGAAGACGAGACTGGAAACTAAGATAAAAAATGTCCAGGTAAATCGAATTCGCTGAATATAGACGCGTGAGCTGGGATTTTCTAGTGATCTATTATTTAACAATCGGTTGGTATCGTCGTCGTCGTCGTCATCGTCAGAGAAGTGATATTAATCTTGATACATCGTCATCTTGAATGAAGCTAATGAATAACTCAAGGTGACTTGAGATGTTCTAGAGGACTGAACAAAAGAGAAAACTCGAATGTCAATATCAATTCTCATGAGAGGAATGTAGACAATGCCAATCAGAAGCGTTGTTTCTTGGAGGTCTTGTCTAGCATAGATTGTCTACAAGTTAATATAACCTTCGACTGAATCTCAATGCAACATACCCATAAATTGTCTTGACACCTTTCTGATATGTTATAGTCGCGGGTTTGATTGATATCTCCAATGCGTCGTAGAACAATGTCGAAGGTTAATTAAGTTTTTCATATCCGATTTAATCGATAAACTACGTAAGAATCATTATCTTAACCAGAAGCAAGAAAATAAAGAGTATGAATACGACACCATCCAAAGAAGATTATCAATCTAGTTAGTAACAGTTCGTGTTTGCATATATCTGAGAAGAGAACAGATTGATCCCACTAGAAAATATAACACTGATGGTAACGTTCTCTTCTCTCTATAGATATAAACTATCTTATTTCAATCTAATAAGCTGGTTTAGCTATTTAATAATGTGTGTAAGGTTAGATTGACATGTGTGCAAAATTTATTTTCTATGAACAATTCTCAAATGGCTTGCACTTCTTTTGAACTGGTAAAGACTGAAGTTTGGACCAATGTCAACATGTCACTCAGTATGATACGATGAAAAAGCAATGCACGAAAATGAAGTTCAGTTCGAGAAGACTGTCTCTTTTGCATATCTCGATTTACAGTTCTGATTTCAAAGATTTTTTCGAATGTGATGTGTCATGTTTTTGATAGATGTTTATATCAATCAAGTGAATCTATGGAAATGAAGAGGGAAAACAAGAAACACAGACTATACATGAAATGTTTCATGTGGGCGGATCTCACGTCTGCAATTCTCTTAGCTTATGGTCTCGAAACGCGAAAAGAAAAATCAAAAACTCTCTGGAAACCTTGTTCGTTCTTGTGAATATTAAACTATTTGATAATTAAACCGATGATCTTCAATTGGCTAATATGCATCTCTTGTCTATCTCATTGGTATTCTGTTCACACCCACGATCTCTCGTCTAGTCTGTCTGCATTTAACCACTTAGTGTCTTTAACTAATGTAATTCCCCTCTTAGATGTTTGAGGACTTCGAAGAAAGAGTTCTCGTGTTCTATCCTATCTCTCTGTTACTGTAGATAATTCTAAAAATAAATATGCTAAATACGATTAGATGTCGTGCGTGATAACCTGTAAATCAATTACAAATATTAATTACAACTGAAATTCTATTTGCGATAAAAATCATACCTGTTTACTTCACGATTATTGAACAATGAATGGCTAATATGTTCACTATTCTCGCAAACAAATGTTTTGAAAAACAAAAAACGATGTCAACAACAATCTTCATCGCCATATGTGTAAATGAATTATCATATGAAACCTGTTTTCTCTTGTCAGACGCAGAGCACTCAACATTTTTCTAGTATAAACAGATTCATTTTCTTAAATGTGTTAGATTTCATCAAAACATCTTGATATCATTCGTGAAATACAATGCTTTTGCGATCTAGAAGTGAGTTTGAAATTTCATACGGACTAAAACGATTGCACTTTGATCTGTACAAGTCGATTTTGACCTTTAAAATTCATGCAAAAGTACAAATCTTTATGGTAAGTATTGAAAATAACAAAATTTGATGATCACAAAATCTATTATACCATCTACGCGACGAGAGAATTATGACAGGAGCATTCTTCTATATGGAGACAGGTTTCACTTGTAACAACGATGAATTGGGTGAAGTTTTCCAGACGAATTGCATTCGTTGCGTTCAGCAAGACACTCATACTGAGAAAACAGAGCTCATGTATATATGCATGGTTTTGTGCGTGCTGGAATTTCAAGTTCAAAATTGTGAAAAGAAAAATTCTTTATTTTACTTCAACTCCACGGTCTGATCGTGTTGATATAAAAGATTTCAAATCAAGTACAGAATAGAATAATCATGCGTTCTCTGCTAGTACTTTGATCGAATGATTGATTTTCATGAATAAAATTTCATAGGAAAGCACTTTTCCTTAGTGTGCACGGTCATCTGGATCATCAGCGACATCTATCGATCATTGCACATTGTGTAAAGATTGGTCCAATGACAGGTTGCTCTCCTTGTCTGTCTGTGTGTAATGTAACATATTTTTCTTCTTAAATGATAGTAATATTAGATTGTTTATCATTGCCTGCGTTAAGAATTTGCAGATAACTCATTTTATTTTTCAAATTTGAAACAAATAATGGCGACAACGAATAAAACTAGTGCAATATATAGAATAATTATGGTAAAATTCGGCTTTTTCTCATTACGAAATTTCATTCTTTTGTCATAGGTAGGAAGCGGTGGTGTGGGCAAATCGGCATTAACACTTCAATATATGTACGATGAGGTAAATTCAGTGAAAAGAGTTAGAATTCTTCCTATTGATCGGACAATTCTTCTTTGTCTAGTTCGTCGTTGATTATGAACCAACGAAGGCTGATTCTTATCGAAAAACAGTCATGTTAGATGGTGAAGAAGTTCAAATTGATATATTAGATACTGCTGGTCAAGAAGACTACGCCGGTTTGTTTGAAATCATGACATGCGACGTTCTTCTTTCGAAAGAAAATTATCTTTAGGTATTCGTGATACGTACATTCGAACAGGTGAAGGTTTTCTTCTCGTTTTCGACGTCACCGACACTGAATCATTTGCTGATTTAACTGCTCTTTAGTAGGTTACTATTAATGGAATAACATAAGCATTTCGTTTGGTTTTCAGTGATCAAATCCTCCGTGTTAAAAGTGTTGGAACAGATATTCCAATGATATTAGTCGGAAATAAAATCGATCTCGCTGATAAACGTGTAGTAACAACCAATGAAGCGGAGAAGAAAGCGCAAGAATGGACAATTAAATACATTGAAACGTCCGCGAAAACCAGATTGAATGTTGATAAAGTCTTCTGTGAATTGATGAGAACGGTTCGACCAACGAAGAAAACATTGAAGGACACCGAGAATGAAGCCAATCGACATCCGATGAATCCTGCGACAACACCAAATGGCAAAGGTTGTTGTGTTCTTTTGTAAAACTCGGCGAAGGAGAAAAGTCGAGTGTTACTTCTTTCTCGTTTTTTTTTCGAACAAAACTTTTCTCAACAATCACTATGAAATGTGTTTTGTTTTGTTTTCTTCGTGCAATTCATCAAATTCTTTGTTAGTATCTATTTTTACATCAGCAGGTGTCAAGAACAATAAATATCGATTGATTTACAACGCGTATATTTGTTCATTTCAGACAAAAAAGCATGAGCAGCAACGATGAACATGCCGAGTCGGAAGAACGTAAGTCAAAATTTTTTGCCAAACGAAAATTGATTTGATCTTTTAATTAGATGACGAAGAGGAAGATGAAGACGAACAACAACATGAAGTTGATGATAACGAAGCGGGATCAGAAGTAGAACAAGAAGAAGAAGACAACAATCAAAGTCCAGCCCAACAAGAAGAGGAGGAAGAAGAAGAAACAGATATTAGAGGTACGAATAAGAGTCATTTAATCTGATATGTCATCGAGGGGAACCGACATCAATATCTTCCATTATATAATTACAAGTTATATAAAAGAGATATTTTTATCGAATAATTTATATCTAAAGACAAGAAGTTTGATGTTGATTATTATTACTTAGATGCCGTTGATCCAACGAATCCATTGGATGAAGATTCTGTTGAAGCTGGTAAGTAGGAATACTCAATAAAAATTGACTATGAGTTTCTCGTTTTTCAGCTCAAAATCTCACTCAAGAAGATGTGTTTGGTGAAGAATTGAGCGATTTAAGTGAAGATGAAGATGGTGTTCGAAGAAATAAAGTAAATGATTCAGATTTAAATGGCAGTCAAGTATGTTATCAAACAAAGATGTTCCTGTTTACATGTATGATTTTTGAATAGGATGTGAATGATGATGATCTGCTTGAAGAACAAGAAGAGGAAGAACAAATTGAAGTCGATACACCTCATGTCACTTGTGATCTCGGTCGTGATACTCATCTTGTTAAGTTACCGACATTTATGAAAATTGAGCCCAAGTAAATCATTGATTTTCATGAATTTTTCTCTAATGCTGTATTTAGACCTTATGATCCTCAACATCTCAACATAGACATTCATGACGATGATGATGAAGATAGCAAAGCTAGATTAAAACTACAAGTAATGCATTCGGTTTGTCATTTCTTTGAGAAATGCTAGTTTTAGGTAGAAAATACAATTCGCTGGCGCTATGGTACAAATGAAATTGGAGAAACCGTTCGCGAAAGTAACACGCGACTGGTCCGTTGGTCAGATGGCAGGTATGTACAGATTCGAATGATTTTTTTCTCAACAAATGTGTTTTTTTTAAAGTTTAACTCTGCATGTCGGAAAAGAAGTTTTCGATGTATCAAAAGCGAATATTCAAAGCGAGCACAATCATCTATTCGTTCGACATCAAAAGAGTATGCAAGCACAAGCTGTTTTTCGTACAAAACTCTCCTTTCGGTATGAACGATGCATTCCTCAGCTGAAAGTACACTTTTTGCTTTGTTTTAGACAACATTCGAATGATTCATTAGCGCATTTGAAACTCAAGTTTGCTAGTAAAGCAAATCCCGCACCTAAAGTCCGCGTTCTTTCGAATATTAAAGCTCCGCTTTTGAATAGTGTGGATATGATGAAGGTAAATCGAAGCACACTTGTCGGTTTATATTCGTGTGTCTTTAGAAAGAAGAACAACGTGCAAGAGCAGAGGAACGACGACGAAATCAACAGATGCGACAACGCGAACGTGCTGCATATCGAGATCGAAATATGTCGGCGAGCTACTTGGAAGATCGAGATGAAGACGACGAAGAACTAGAACAAGAATCGATCAGCGCGATAAAGAAAAACGTGAAAAAGAAGAAATCTCAAGGTAAGAAGATTGGTTCTGTTTGAATGGATCTTTTTTGACATGTGAATGTAGGTGGATACCGAGATGAAGGCACAAGTGAAGAGGAAGAGGAGGACGAAGATGCCAGTGAAAAATTCAATAGTCAGCGTTCGTCGACAACGACCAAACATCGAAAGATCACTTCTTCAGATGAAGAAGAATCAGATCGAGAACAACAAACAAAACGAAAACGAGTTCAATCTGATGCTGAAGAAGAGGAAGAGGAGGAACAGGAAGAACAAGAACAAGAACAAGAAGAGGAAGAAGAAGAAGAAGAGTCAGATTGATATTAATCATTTTTTTGTTTGAAGATCTGATTGGAATAAAATATTCAAGGACGAAGAAGATGTGTAAAATGTTGATATTATGTTTAATTGAATAAATAAAAATCTTTGAAATTTATATGTGATAGGATTCTTTCCAATGCAACACTATGCACATACAAATACAACAGAATATCGCTGTTATTGATTGGGAACATTTTCCACTTCTACTCGAAACCGCTAACAATTGCCGGACGTCATCAGCAATGAATTGATGAATACGCGTTGTGAAATGGTATTCATCAATAAATAAATAACTTTCCGGAGTTGAACATGTTCCGTTAATAACACCAGTTGATATATTCCAACAATTTTTCGTGCTATTGATTCCATAAGTTGAAGCCTTATTGAGAATACTAACTACGAGTGAATAGACATCGTACAAATGAAAAACACGATTTGAATAATTCGATCGGTAGGATTGAATGGTAGTTGAAAGGTTGTTGTTATGTGCTAATATTAAGTTACTGAAATAAGAACTTAAATTCAAATTTGTTGCAAACGAAATTTCTTGAAATGGTGGCTGATTAAGAATAAGAAAGTGTTTGGCACCTAGTTGAATCAAATCATTGATGCTTTCCATGAGACTACTGATTACCGCAGATGGAAGTAGATAGTTATTGAAATAGTAATCATTTGCACCAGCCCAGATGACATAAAGTGTTCGATTGAAATTCATTTGGGTTAAATTTGTCGCACTTTTATACATGGATACTTGTTGACGAACACCTGGTACAATGGTATTCAATGCCGTAATGCCTGTTATGAGATAATTATCAGTTGTTGCACTACCATATGCATAATCAATCAATGTTGGTATGTTTAACTTTTCGATCCAGAGTGGCCCGTTGGAAAATCGGCCTTGGTAGTAAGGCGGCACGAGAGGCCATTTGAATTTCGTTAGATTATAAACGTTGCCAGTGTCTGAATGTGAATCACCAAAACATACGACAGTATCATAGGGTATTTGGACAGATTGAATTGAAACAAAATGGAAAGTGATAAGCACTATGCAAATCGTATACATGTCGATAATGAAAGAAACAGTTGAATATGAATACGTCCAAGTAAAAACATATCATTATTATTTATCGATTTAGTGTGAGTGCCTGTGTACATGCTGCAAAGATTAAGACAAGAAAGAATAAAAGAAACATATTGGGTATGTTATAATACATTGGGAGTTCGATGAAAAATCTCGTTAAAATGTATACGATAGGTATGTTAATGGCATACAGATGAATAACTGCGTTAGTTTCTTGATGATTGTACATCTATGCTGTGAATTATCATATTTTCGGTCAATGAAATTTATGACAGGAAAGTCTATAAAAGACGTATTTGGATGCGATATTTTATAAGTAATTTACTCTTTTCATTCGATCGAACAGAATGATTAATATGAAACTATTCGCATTTTATGATTCGTAGAGAAATCTTTCTGCAGAAATTATTATGGAATCTCATAGAATACCGACTAAATCAGCTATAACTGTATAATTTTGAATCACAAACATTGATGGCAGGAAATATGAATGAACGTCTGTTAAGTTTAGAAAATAAAATCGTGAAGTTCTCGCTTTTATTTAATCAATATTCGTGTTAGTTATAATCGAATATAACATGCGTTGATCAAAATATTTAAATAGGTATTTGATTCTTATCGACTTTAATGAAAGATTAGATGTTGGTAAAGATTAATATTTAAGAAAATTCTCGAATTTCAATCTTAAATACTCCATTCTATTGTAGATTTATCATTATTTATTGATGTCAGTCTGCGTTGATAAGCAGGTTAGAAGTAAATAATATAGAATGACCATCTTGTTATCAGTTATCTCATTCTACTGTTTCTTTCTTCAATTCTCGTCAAATCTGTCAACTTTTCTCCTTCTATTTCACGAATCTGTTTTTTTCATCTACCTTAAGTCAAACCTCACCATTCTCATATTGTATTTCTATCAAACAACCAACCAGCTTCATCTATTTCTTGTGATATATTTTCCAGAAATTTATTTTTCTTTCCTTGATCCATAATAACCATCGCGTTCTCTTTATATCAGCCATGCTCACGACAATAACCGCATATTTATCTCAGTAGACTATGCAGAACTGATTGCAAACTTCAGGAGTTGATTATCGACAGTTGCAAACGAGTTGGGTTTTTTTTTCTCGAGATTTCTTTCATCGAAAAGTTAGACAAATAGAGGATTACAGATTTTTAATCATCCTTTAATCTCTTCAAATGATATAATTCAGATTTCTTGTTTAGAAGACATCATTTACAAAATGTACGCACGTATGATCTGCAGTATGTATCTGATAAGTGTGTTCGTGTTGATCGAATTTCTGATTTGTTGTAGTGATTTATCTGTTGGTATTATGGGTATCACTCAGCAAGCAAGAACCACGAAACATTCAACTTAAACCACCGAATTTGAGTGGCCAATATCGAATCAATGTCTCGCCTTTTGAGGAAATCGCTAACAATGTACAAATAGAAGCGAGAGCAAACACAGGTTATCCATGCAATGGAACATTTACGAAAACAAATGGAACAACATGTGGTCTCAAAGAAATTATGTTAGGTCGTTGTTATGAATATCAATATATTAAACGTGGTCTTTATCTCTCGAATACTACGTAAATAAACACAGATGAGGAATAGATTAACCGATAAAACATTGTATTTTGTAGAGACATCAAAAATTGTACGGAACTCTATGATCTATTCGAATCTGAAGTTCGCTATAAGCCGTATTGTAACATGAATATGAGTACATATAGTAAATACTTCGAAAAAGCACTTGCCGGTGTCCACGTCATCAATCGGGTAGGAAGTTTTCTGATGCTTCAAGTCCGGTTTTAAACTATGTCTTCAATAGGCGATCTTTTGGAGTGGTACTTATGCCATCGCACATACTTATAGCGGACATGGTTCTAATTATATCACTCTAGAAGACACATTGGCTGCGAATATGCTAGATGGTTTGATGTGGTGTGGGAAAGAGAATGACACCGAAGGTTTTGATTATGTGAGTTGTCCAAATAATTGTAAAGATAATCGATGGGCGGATTTGGCATTTTGGGGTTTGGCATCGAGAACGGTTCGTAGGAAATAAATGCTGATGTTCGAATCATTGATTTTCGTTTTTAGTTTGCTGAACGAGTATCCGGTGAAATCTATGTCGTTTTAAATGGAAGTCGAACTGATGGTCGACCAACATATCGTAATGGATCATATTTTGCTGAATTTGAACTGCCGTATTTTAAACGTAACGGATCGTTTCGTGTTACGAAAATCAATGCTTTGGTTTTGCATACACCTGATCTTCCTGTTACGTAAGTTGATTGATGATTATTGGGAAGAAAATGAAGTTCGATTCTTCTGTTTACGCTTTAGTGAGAAATGCGGAGAGAAAAGTCTAGTTTTTCTCGAAAAACTCATTCGCGATGCACAGTTTGAATACAATTGTGTGGACGATCCAGATGAACTGATCATGCTTATGTGTGCTGACTCATGGGGAGCACGGGAATGTCAAGTAGCACGAAATTCGTTACGACAGCTGTGGGATATCAAATTATACGGAACATCCAATGCAATAATTCATTCGCTATCGTTCGTCGTTTTGTTCTGCATCGGTGTTTTTCGTCAGATTGTGTAATGAATAAATATTAGAATCAGAACGAAAAAAAAATTCGATTTCTGTACAGAAGAAAAAGCGAAACGACTTTAGCTGTATTAAATAACAAACAAGCGTCCAGTAGAAACATAAATACATTCGATTAGTAAGAAGTAGAGTCAAGAATTGTTTTCCCGTAGAACATATTTGACTATTTGTATTCAAACAATCGTCGTTGGACTGTCATGATTGATAGCGAGCTAGAATAAAGAAAGAGCAGTCAGAAAAAATGTCTTCGAGCGGGAAGTTTTCTCATGCGGAAGGGTAAGATTCAGAGCAGAGCATAGCGGAAAAAACCCACTTCGTCTGCTAATGCATTAGCCATAACTGTTTCTTTTCTTCGTGAGTGCTAAATTTAAAGAATACGACAACTGTTCTCGAAAAATTTGGAAACCTACTTTCAATTTTGTTGAAATTCCATTTGGAATTCCATTTTCGTCCATCGGACAAACAAGTTCATCCGTTTCGACTGAACGTGTACGTCGGTGAGTGAATAATCCGCGTGGAAACTATACATATAGAGTAAAAACAAAAAATTACAAATCAAATTTTGGTTTATATTACTTTAATCTTCGTATGCAAAGTCAATGGTTGACAATTCGGAGATTTTTCGTATTGATTCTTACGATTTTGCAAATCATTGCCAATCAGTTCTTGAAACCGCATCGCTAAATGTCGTCGCAGCAGTGTTTTCGACAATGGGATAGAAAGAATTTCTGCTAATGTTGATACGTTGAACCGTAATTCTAGAATCTGAAGGAACCGATTTCAATGGGAAACAACAGAAGAACAAATCTTACAATCAGAGCACCACAAACGCCAGACCCACGTAAATTTGGTGCATATTCTGCTAGGTCAATCGATCGTAACCATTCCATAACACGATGATTTGACCAATAGATGATTTCGTTGATAGTATTTTTGTCATTCGGATGCGGACGTCGTTTCATACATGTTGGATTGAATTCATTCAAACGTAAAACTTGTATCGAACGTTTGATACTCAAATGATGAAGTTCATTAGTCACATTCAAATAAATAATATCTTCCTAAACGAAGAAAACACTATGCTGTTTGTTTGTCATTGATTTCCTACTAAAGTTAAACTATTCAGGATTCGACCATCGACTTTCGATTCAGCGAAATATTCTTTGTATTGTGGTAAACCAATATCATCCAGCCATTCTTTAAAAAAAAGCCCTTCAGATTTCTGCTTTACAAAACTCCGAACTTTTACTTTGAACCCAATAAGTATCGAGACTGTACGCTTCACTTTGACGTGTGCACAGACCAGTCAAACACAATTGCAGTTTCTTTCTATGTAACGGATTGCGCATACCGATTTTCTATGAATAAGAAGTACTTAGAAATGTAAGTCACATTCCTTCTTGCTTACTTTTTCTAATTCTTGTGGTGAAGTATGCAATAATTGTAACCCATTTTTAAAATGTTTTCGAAATTCAGTTGTATATTGACCGAGACCGATTCCGTATAACCAATTCACGATTTGTTCGGTTTGCCAATGAGCGAACGTAGATTCTAGTGAACTAAACAAATCAGTAGACAATTCAAGTTCAACCCGGAAATGAATTTCATCTATGTTCTATGTAATTCGATTAAGATATCATTGGTATTAGCCTTCTGTTTGACACATTCATTTATAAGCAAACTCTATTTGCAAGAATCTCCTTGATAATATCGAGATGTCAGAACTTATTAGTGTTAATTCTTTTCTAATTACCTCAATGATTTTTCACTCGTCATTGTTCCTCGACAGCCGCCTCGGTGAAATGGTTTCTCATCATCTTCTTGTATATGTCCCGAATTGGTTCGAATGATTCGACCGAAAAGATTCTTTATTCCTTTCATGCTTGAGGATTTCGTTCGATCTAAGTTCGTACTGGACGATTTCTTAGATAACGAATACTTTTGACATGGCCCATCGGAAATATAACCACTATGATCATCTAAACGATAGAAATCGCGGCCCGTTTGTCCTACAGAAGGTTCTTTGTCTTGCCTACATTTAGAAAAACTTCGCTTTGACGATGATGGAAGTGTTCCTTTTGTCATATGTCGCATAGGAGTCTAAAGTAATACAAAATAAGGAGAAGGTATCAAGTAAAAACATACTATTTCATGATTCAACATTGGTTCCGCACTCGATGCCTGTATCGATCGAAAAGGAAGAAAAATGACGTGTGTCGAATTCGAAGCGTTTGACTTACACGATGTAAGACAAGTTTCATCGGTTGATTTGGATAAGCATCATATCCATTGTAGACAAATGAAGGCTTTTTTGATAACTAGTGTAATATGAAAACAATACTTGAAGATAGTTTCATATTTATCTATCGAGATTTACTTGACAATCCTTATCACTGTTAATAGATGGTAATGAATTCGAATCGGACATATCTCCATCTGCTTCATAACCAAGTTTCGGTGTCGCATAACCATTACCTTTTCATTCATGAGAGAAAGTAGTTTGTAGATGAAACAATCTATCTACATACAACTATTGTCGGTCTTTTTGATTGTGATCAACGGTAGACTGGTTTGACATTTGGTCAGTTGTACTTGTAAATCTTCGATTTTTCTTTCCTAAAACAATGAACAAGTTCTTCCGGAATTAATATGCTTCTATTTCTTACTTTATCGTCATTTGACTTGACTAAACTTTCAATCCGGCGTTTCAATCGTTCAATATCATTTTCTAGACAAGACAAAAACAAGTCATCGCACATTTCTTACTAACAATTTTCAAAATTTCTCTTTCTTTCTCTCACGCTTGAACCTTACCGCGTCGATTTGAATATCTTGTCAAGAGAGGAGTGTTCGTTATATACGGATAAACAAAAAGACATGGTTCAATATTACTACCGGACGACATTCAATATATTCGCGCTAATCTTTGTTAGGCAATCGTTCTCACGCAAGATAATCGCTTGATGAATTGTACAACGTTGTATAAAGACATGATCAAAAGAAGAATATACAGAAGGAGAGAAGAAAAAACGAGATATCAGAAGAGTAGGCCGAGAATGTATCTTCTCTCTCTCTCTCTCACAGGGAATGTTTGACCTTGTTTAAAAGATATTGATTAAATATAAACGAACTCATTTGTACGCCCTGCATATATATACATAAGCTCATTACATCATCGAACATCTTTTACCATTAACTGGCATTGAAGTTGGATGTCCATTAAGTGCTGTTATTGATCGCCAACCATTCCAGTCATTAGCTTCATCGTGAAAATGCGTTTTGTAAGTTCGATTTTCTGCCTGAAGAGAAACGAAAATGAGAACGAAGATGAAAAACACCGAACACTTGTCTTACTTGAAGTCGATGAACTTTATCTTCAAGTTCAAAACGTTCTCTTTCCAATACTTCGAGACGGTCTTTAAAACGATTGATTTCACTAAAAAAATCTATTGAATTCGCTACAGTTGCTTGTTGATCCTAAACAAATAACAATTCGTTCGTAATCACATGATCGAAACCGTTCCAACAAGACAAGTCTGCTTCGACTTACCTCTAACGACATCGTGCTAATGTAACGGAGAATACTTCTGTCTTGTTATTCTTAGTCTAGGACGAGTCTCTACGCACTTCGAATATTCTTTGCAGGAAAAGACACGAATGTTTTTAATCAATTAAATATAGTTAATGATAGATATACATCTACTGACGACGTCAAGGCGTATTCTTTCTTGTTCTGCATGTATTTTTCGTACCTTTCGAGTTTTTTCGCTATGACTTAATTGATTTTTCTCTGCATGTAATCTTAAACATGCATCAAAATGTAAAATGAGAGCGATCGACAATCACGTTTGCCTCTCTGCCTTCAGTCTTATCACTGAAGGAATGACTGGTATACATACATGATAATTCATTGTTTGATTTGCTGTTGATAATCGTTCATAATCAGCAATTGGATTACTAGTTTGTCCAATTGATTGCGAAGTATCCTAAATAGATCGTCAGATATGAAGAACAACTCGGGAGGAATGTATATATTATCTTTCTTCTTCGATCGTAACAACGATCAGGTTATGAAATCGATGAAAATTGAACTTATTTAGAAATAATTATCAGCGGAGAGTTATGTGTATATCCTCGTTATCTATTAGTAAATAAAAACGATGGATAAGTTTCTTTCGTTCTGTCGTCGATGACATCTCAATCTATCTGGGTCGATAACCAAAATAATATTGTCTGTTTTTTCTGTCGGTTTCTATGAATATCTCAGATTAGATTCATTAGTTTTCTTTGGTAATGCTTACTATTAGCGTTTGCTTTGGAACATGACAATAAAAAATGACATTTAATGGTAATTCATCGTGTGAATGAAGGTGCCGATGGTGAGGATAGTGAAGACGATTGCTTAGCTCATTCGAACATTTATATGTTTCGATAAATTTCATTCCAACCATGATTTTGTCGTTGTATGTCTGATCAGGGTATCAAGATTTGATCTGTTGTCATATGAATAGGACGAATGAAAGCGATTAAGTCTTTTGCCCTTTTTTTTCGTAAGAGATTAAAAGTAAATTGACTTTTTCTCTATAAAATCTTCCAATCATTTTGTTTTTCAGCTTGATGAACATCGACTAAGAGTCAGTTCAAGCAGAAATTTCTTTATGTACGTATGATAATTTACTCAACATCGATACTCTGCTTATTGCTCAAGATGAAAACTTGACCGAAAGGCCATGAGAACGAGTCTGAGGTTAGTTGTGGATGTTTTCATAAGGCTTTTTTTCTCTTTGCACAATAAATAAACGAACACGCGGACATCTAGACAAAAAATAGTGGATGGTTATTGATAGTTTACGAACGAGCAGAGAATAAAAAGATGTCGAAGAACGAAAGAAAGAAAATGAGAAAAACATGACAAGGAAACATATACACGAACGAACGAACAAAATCAAGCAGCAATGTCAATTCGGCGAAGATATCGAATCCGTTGTCTCATTGGCTGTTTCAGACTTCGTTCGAGATGACGTGAAAACAGCTTTCGATTGATCAGACCAGAATTTGTCCACCTAAATTACAGCAAAATGAAGATATTTTTCAAAGAGATTCACGTTTACCATTTTAATGATATGAGTTTTTGTATCATTGTCACCTTTGGCGGAATTTTTCGATCCGGCAGCATTACTTGATTGAGGTGGAGGATCGATAGAGACATTCTCGGAACGATATGGTTCACTAATCCGAACTGTATTATTGATGAGAATATCATTATTTGACCAACGAATGACTTGATTCATACTGAATCCAGAACGATGTGAACGAGATTGATTGGAGTACAAAAGTCAACTTACGTCTTTTTGATATCGCGGAAAAGTGCTTGACCAATTCGAGATGCTTTCACATTAACGAATGATGCTTCTTTCTTCTTTTCACTTTCATTTTCTGTTTGACGCTTTTTCAACTAAATAACATAGGGCAATTCTTTATCTGAACGGTTATTTTCTCTGGATTTTACTTTGTTGATATCAACTGGATACAGGGGATCAAGTGTTTCATCCTTTGGTTCTTGTTCAACGACATATTCTCGACAATGATTAAGATTAACCACTGCCACAGATGTGGAACCAGGTTTTGATCCTTTGATATCTACGAAACAGAAGAATCATTCAGTATGTCGAGATGCCAATGGGTACAAAGCAATTCCATTTCTCCCCAAAGACGTTTTTCTTTTAGCAATATATAATCTCTTCTGTCATAAGATAGTTATCTTCCTAATAAGAAATCTTTTTTCCGGTTCGTCTAGTGCGCCTGTCGATATAACGCTCCATTATTGTTCCAAAGAAAAGACTTACGCAGTGTAACTAAATTCGATGAAGGATCGTATGCTACTACTTTTCCAGTGCGGATGTTGTCGAACATCGTCGTTACTCGTAAAATACTATTCACACGGATGTTTGTTGATGTTAATGGTGGTGATGATGACGTTGGAATTGGACTGGAATGGTTACTGTTGTCACGTCTGACAGCATTTGTTGTACTATTTTGAGAATTGTCATGCTGATCCATTGGACGCATTACATACAAATTTCAAAAGAAAACAAACTAGAAGAAAAGAAAACAAAAACAGAGCTGATTATCGATTATTGAAAGTTAGTTGAGAAAAGTTCAAGAGATCAACTTGTTGATCATTGTAAACATTTTGACAACTTTTTGTCAACCATTCCTGGGAGAAAAAAGAACTGTTGGAAATATTCGTCCTCCTTGTTGACAAAGAAGATAGTTTTCAGATTAGAAACGAGGAATTAATTATGGAATGAAATGTATGATAATATGTGAATAATAAATGAAAGGAACAAGCATGATGGAGATAGATAGTTCGACAGAAGATGATAGGAAGGAAGGACGCCGACCGATCACAATTATATAAACGACAAATGACGATTGAGTCAATAGATGTCCTCATTGAATAGATACGCTTTCTGTTATGTTCACAAAGAAGTCCTCCAACACACATTGTTCTGTGATCGATACGTGTCGCGACCATGAAAATCTAAACGACATGGAATTATTGAAGTGACGCGATCTGTCCATTTTAGAATTATCAATGTATTCTAGCTTTTATTTCTTCTCGATACAAACACAAAGACAATCAGTTAAAGATATCAATTTCCAATTGCCATTGATCTTTTCCTTCGCCAACACGTTTCCATATGACTTGGTAATTACCACGATCTAATGAGTGCTGATATGAACTCGTTTCAGTCAAACGATCAGAGCCTGCTTCGAGAACAGTTCCTGTTGTCAAACGTAAATTGTCCACTCCAGCATTGCGCGCACCTTCCCAAAACTTCTTTATTTGTTCACGTCCTTGGTAGACATTCTTATCCGGTGGACAGAGTTTTCCATCTGATGTGTACAGTGCGACTAGTTCATCGAGTTGGCCGCCGTTGAAAAGTTTCTCGAAGTGGCGATTAGCAGCATCAATGATTTCGAACGAGGTCGACATTATTCTTCTCTTAATAGAAACCGTTCTAAAGCATTGACACGCATTTTTATATCTCGAAGAGATAACATTTCGTTTTCAAGATAAAACCTGTTTACTTTGAACCAAGTAGAAATTTATTTTCAAGCCGAAAGAAAAGAAAACAGAGCAAAGTAATAATCACAAAATGTAAATGTATCGCAAAGTAAGAAAAGAAAAAGAGAAGAGAAGAGAAGAGAGAGAGTGAAAATCAACGATGATATATATATCACAAAATTGACATGGATGGTTTGTAATTACAGAAAAACCAGCGAACTAATCATTTCATTCATTGCTTAGATACCATCAGACATCGATAAAAAAAACGAGATGAATTATTGGAAAATTACAGTATTCAGAGAAGTGAAACAGTATGTATATACATATGTATCAATAATTTGAAGCAAGGTGTTTTAATCAGCTGCACTAGCTTCTTCTAGTAGACTGGCTTGTTCACTTGTCATTTGTATAGGTTCGAATCGGCCAGATTCGTGAGCGATTGGCTGAGTTAGTGTTTGTTCTTTCGGTTCATCTTCTTCACTGGACGAAGATGATGGACTGGAAAGTGAAGTGGCAGACGAAACCATTTCCGGACTGGAAGTTGGTTTGAATTCATTCGCTGCTGTATTTTGTTGAGCTGCTAATTGACGAACAAGTTCATATTGATCGTCTTCAGTGTTTGTAGTTGAACGACTTGAACGACGAGATGATTGAGAAGGTGGATAAACAAAATCGTTCTTCGAATTCACACTTTCGCCAGCTACATTTGATGCCTAAGAAATCAAACATGTTTCTTCGAAGTTTTAATAAAAAAAAATCTTCACTTACTTGATCGGCATCTGTTATTGATATACCTTCAATGGGCCGCATTTGTCTAAATCGGATTTGAAATATGACCAAATTGAGATTTTTGGAATGTGCGTTACTACTTACGCATCGTCATTGTCTTGAGTTCGATCGTTTGTTGGAGTGGTAGGTGAAGTTAGTTTTCGATGAGCGAAACTGAAGAGACCTCGCGGTGGAGTTAATGATTCAGGTTGAGGAGATTTCTTGCGTTTGAATTCAACTTCAGCGCGAGCGGTACGTCTAAAAGCAATCGAATTTTATAAAATCATCTTCGCAAAGATTCAACTGACAGTTCAAGTTGAAGTTCGAGAATAATGTTTTCCATCAACACCACTTCGTTCTCGCGTTCACTTTTTAATGTTTCAAAACGTGTTTTCAGTTGTTGTAATTCACGATCTCGATGTCGAAGCAATTCTTCGAAATATTTCTACGAGAAAAAAGACATCCAGCAGTGAATCATATGAGTATCGGATGTGTTTTGATCTTACTCGTTGCTCGACTTCGATTTTGTACTTTTCGAGAGAAACAGTTTCTCCTTCTGGTGAACTTAATGGCTTTAACTCATTGTCCTTGCCCAAGATTGGCATCGGTTGTTTATTTTCTTCATCGTTACTTTGTTCCTTGAGTAACTGTTTAATACTAAACAAAATGTTTATCTAACACGAGAGAAATTTGAAGTAATTTCATTTACTGTTTAGATTTATAGCACAAAAACGGTGTTAAATCGATAACATCGATTTCCGAACCATTGTGTAATAGTGGAGCAATGACCGAGCCATCTTGTTTGAAGCAGAAACTGAGGAAAAAAACAACGCGATATTTTGCTGCATAGAATTCGATAAAGAATTCTACCTGAAGTCAATTGCACTGAGACCAGCTAATTGATCACAAAGAATAAATGCTTGAGATGATGTCATAATCGCATCATCATGATAAAACTTTCTAAAGAAAGGTTTTTACTTCGATTCAATTCAATCTCTTTTACTCACCGAACGAGATGACAGTCAGATATAGCGAGTTTCAATAGTTCAGATAATTTCTTCTCCATCAATGCAAATTTGATCCATGTACGACCCTGAATGAACATCACACTTTCTCATTATCATCAACCTCATAGGAAATCTTTACTTTATCTTTGATGCTTCGCGTTTTTGACACTTCATCAACGCGATCAATGACTACGTAAACCAAATAACATAGAATACATTCATCTTGCCTTTAATACAACGCTTACAACTTTGTCGCGCCGAACCTACACATGCTGGTCGAATGAAATCCCAAAAATATCGTCGTTCAGAGAGCCAATTAGCTATTCAAATAAACAAACCGACTTTTCTCTAATCAAAATCACTCCCTAGTCTCATTTACCTCTCATACGAAAGCTAAGAACTCGTTCTAACGTTAAAATAAAATTCGTTACATCACTATTTCGATCATCTAAGACTGGTGCTGCTGTTGACGACGACGACTGATCAATCAATGTATTCAACGTCAATCTATAAAAGTCCGAAGCCTTCCCTTCGCCTTGACACATTCATAATTGCATTTCGACTTACTTGATCAAATGTAACAAATTCAATCGTTCTCTTTCGGTGTTTATTGTTTCATTAACATTCATAATTCTTTTTATCTAAAAAAAGTCTTTTTTCTCTTATTTTATATTAATATACATCCACACAAACAGACAATATACTGGCTGGGCTTATGATGATGATGATGATTTTATATAGGTGAGAATGATGATAATAATAAACACAAAAAAAAGAAGAAAAACAAAAGAAAAAAGAACCAAGACACACACACAGATTTTTTTTTGTTTGAACATCAAAAAAGAAACAAAACGCGTGTGTATGATAATAAAACAACAGTTGGAAAAGAAAAAAGGAAACGTTCAACGACACCGAGCACAATAAGAACAAGAAGAAGAAGAAGAAGAAGAAGAGAAGCGAGAAGAAACCACACACACTACAAACAAAAAATAATCCTAGATGTGAAATATAATATGTACAAAAACCAGAATATATATATATATATATGTATAATATATATGCAGACATAAACACACAGACACAAATTACTATTTGTATCTGCTACCCTGCAGAGGAAAAACCGAATTTTTCAGCATTTTAGTCGTTCAATAGCTGCTCGTAATGCTAATTCATAGGAATCATAAGAGAGATAATCATCTGAGAAATTCTGCGGGAAGATGCCGAGTTCGAATGCCATTTGTGTTTGAATCGCTAAATAAAAAAGAAATGCAAGAGTTCAAATATATCTGTTTCTATAGCGAGAACTGTCAGGTCACACTTCATATTACGACATATCACAGCGTCAAAGTAAATAAACACAGAACGAGAATACCTATCATATGACCTTTACTACGCGATACGTCCTCAAAATGCGTTCTGTTCTCTACTTACATTGATGTTCTCGAAGAATCGTTTGGATTTTATTGTCAACTGTCGACATTAATTGTTCATAACGACTTTGGATCGTTAAACGAGCTTGTCGTGTTTGATGATCATCGCATAAATGTGTGATTAGAATATCCATTTGATCACTTAAAGGCTTCAATGTTGGTTCACTCTTCGTTTTCAGTTCAATGAACAAACATGAGGACGACGCTGAAGAGAGAGAGAGAGAGGAAAACGTATAATTTGAATAGAAAAAACTAATCGGGATAAACGTACCGGTTGATGATGAACATGCTGAGTCAACAATCTGATCAATCGTTTGATAGATACATTCGAGTTCTTGTCGATCTTTTTGTCTCGCTTCAGTTTTTCTTCCGATTTCATCTGACTGAATATTCGCGCAATCAAACAATTCAGTTAGATCATCACATCTAAACAATAAATATTCTCGATTCCATGTTGAAATTCTGTAAATCAATCATACCTCAAAGTATGTTGTAATGATCTTAACTTAGGTGTATAACGCAATTTTAATTCAATCATTTGTTCTCGCAAATTCCACAAACGTCGTGAGTAGGATAAAAACAAAGACACTTTATCGGCATTGTTCGCAGTTGTCAAAAATGAACTTGTCGTCTCATCATCAAATATTGATGTCACTGACACCTGTGCCGGTCGTTCAGCTAGAAAGAGAAATCAACATTCACTATCTGAACACATATTTCATTGATTTGCTTTACCTTCTGCTTTTGTACATATACTACATTTGAAAAACGCTGGTATACAAGTCGCTGTTACTCCAACACATTCACAATGTGACCAACATAAACATGTTTCGCACTAGAAAGACAACATTTAAACTGACTGACTTCCTCTATCGATCAAACCTACTTGAATCATAAATCCATTATCAATTTCACATTTACATAGACAATGTATCACTTCGTAAACATCTCGTTCTTTTGGTAGAACAGCAATTTCTTCCATTACACCGGAATTAATGACATGATTATTGGGAGATAATAATTCTTCATTCGATTGTTGTTCGACAAGTTTGGATGAAACTGGTGTGAGCGGACTAGATGGTGATAACAACATTTGTTGTTCATTAGGTACTAAATTTTCGTGATTAGTCAGATTCGGTAGGGATGACCGTTTAGTTTTGATATTTCGATAAGGTTTTTGTCCGAAATTAACTAAACGTTTGCCTCGGGTGACCATTTTTTTGGTTTTAGTCGAGTTGTCTTCCGTGACGCGATTGAGACATGATTTCATGTGGGTTTTGATTTCATCGGGAAGATTGGGAAAGAAGTCTGTGAGATTTTGTTGATAACTTAGAGAAAAGATTCTCTGTAGAATGTTTGATATTAAATTTAAACGTTGATTAGTCGAGTTGGAATATGAATCACGACGACATTTCTCCAATTGTTCATAATTTTCATTATGATTATGAATGAATGTGTGAAATCGTTCGAAAAAGATTTTATCATTTTCATTAAGAAGAATATTCGTCGATTGTTCCAAGGGTATTTGTTCTAAACGTTGATAAACGATTTCTAAATCTTTATTTGACGACACGGGTTCACCATATTCATCTGATAAGTAACCTGGATCGCATAGATCCGGCGACGCTTTCGCTAAATCATCACCATCGTCTTTTTGTTTGGATAATAGACGATCAAGTACGCCGTTTAATTGTTGTCCTTGATCTTGAGATTTCAGAAGGATTTGTTTACGTTGTGGACGATCTTGTTTCCGTTTGGATTTCAATTGTTGAAGCGGTTTATCAAGTGAAGAGTCGGATTCCTGGGTGATGTGAATGTCAGGTAAGGATGGAGGTGGAGTTTCGAGGAAACACGACGGTTTTGGTTCAGTTTTGATTTGATGATCGATAGTCGGAGGAATTGTGTCGTACTGATTGACAAGATACGGATTATCGGTACTTGTCGTTGATGACGAACGGCTGTCCGTCGAAGCGTTAATGTGATAAATAAGATCAGAATTCGTGTTAGGCTCGGGATATTCATCATCTTTTGAATGTCGGTGTCTTCTCGAAGGATCATCGTCAGGTTTCGTGAAATTCTCATCATCAGTTGAACAATGACCTAGAAGAATATATAAATTTCAATATTCACATTGTTATCGTATCAATTCATCGTCAGAATGCGCAGTTTTGATTTTCCTGTAGGCAAATTTCTCTCATTCTCAAAAGTGTCATCTGATTGCATTTTGACTTGCGGTGAAAATGTCGATTGTAGAAGTCAAGTGGAACTATCTGGTTGTGTCGATGAGAATTACTCATTTTTTTACTCTTCTTATCTTCTTACGTTTTGGTGAAGTGAGATTATCAGATTGTTTTCCATTCGTATCTGAAGCCGGATAACGAATGACTAAAAAAAGAAAAGATTTCAGATTGGCATGCTTTTGCTTCGTTGATTTACCTGGACGAAAAATCAGGACTTCAGATGATGGAACTTCAGGAGAAGTCTTAGCACTGTTCGATGATGGTTTCGGTTGAGTCGAATTGGATAATGTTCGTGTTCGACAATGGTTATTCTCGAGTGAAGCATGATCATCAGGAGATACACCAGGTGAATGATGATTTCTTGATGATCGACGAGCTGAGAAAAAAAAACAAATAGTTTCATTTAGATGAATGTCTTCAACAAATGCACGAATTTACTTTGAATTGTTGAAACAGTACTTGGTTTCCAGACAAATGGGGACTTTTTTTGCTCAGCGTTTGCACCTGCCGATCGAGGTAATGATCTTCTTCTTAAATCTAAATATTTAACAACGATTTATTGACATAGTTTAATCAGTCATCACAACCTACCATTAGAAGAGTCAGTTTGAGGAGGATCCGTAGGAGATGAAGCTAGTTTTTCATCTGCAAAAGACACAATGAATCATGAACAAGAATCGAACGTGTTGAATAACATACCAGATACTATTTTATTTGTGGATTTGGTATCATTTCGATGAATTTGACCGGGTCGATATTCAAAAGGTACATTCCGTTTCTAAATGAAAGTTTTTATAGTTATTTTTCAGTTCGGGATCTGCTTTTTCTCACCTGATCAAGAATTGTATTCGGTCTGATAAGATCCGATTCAATCCAATATTGTTGTTGTCCAACTTTCACAAAATATTTTCTTGGTTGACATTGAACGACGATTCCAGCGTGCCTAAAAATGAAGCTTTCTTTGAGAAAAGTCATTGTTAATCTGCAACAAACCATTTTCCGTCATCAAGTTGAACTTCAACATTGGAACCATTTTGCAGACATATGACTTTGGTGGAAATTATTGTTGATTCGTTTCGTTTGCGTTTCATCTTGATTTGAAAGAAGCTTTCTAATCAAACTTGTTTCCAGCATAGCCCAAACAAAATAACATTAGATAACGAAAATCTAAAATAAAGATGACGTTTTTTTCTCTTGTTTTTTCTTCACTCTATTCTATACGATTTTGACTTGATGCTTATCCATTTACGACATTAGACGATCGCTACGAGATTTTTTCTATGAAGGAAAAGAAAGAAAAAAAAACACATTATATACAATGCAATGTATAAGTAAAAAAAGTTTGTTGTTGATGTTGACGATGATGAAAAGATTCATTCCGTTCTCTAACCAATCAGAAAAAAGATTACTAAGAAGATATAGAGTTTTTATATAAATCTACATATTATCGACAGAGAATGATTTTCATAGATAAAAAAAGATTTAGAATTTTTTCCCAACAGATTGACTCAACGAAGATTGTGGCGCTGCTTATCCATTCGTCAAGAATACAACATTGATGAGTCATCAATGAATCTTAGACCATTGCTTTGTTTGATAGGCAGTATTTTTAATACATGGTATCCCCCGTGTAATCAAAGGATCAATGATACGCTGCTTTTTAAATTTGTACTTCTGATTAACACCCTGCCGAAAGTATCACGAAGATACTCTAGGAAAATAATTTGTGCGTTGTCGTATGTATATTTATAATACGAATTGCGTACACATAGGATGTTTTCCATAATATCAGACAGGCGCCTTGTGATCAATCAATATTCGTTGAAACGAATATTTTTCTTCTTGATATTAGCATTCAATCGAAAATTAAATTAAAATCCGAGACTTGAGAGAAAGAAATAAAAATAAAACTTAGAAAAACACATTTCGTGTGCACAACTGTATCACCTGCTGATTTAATGAACTTTTGTTTGAGATCATAGGATCAGATGATCACGGTTATATCCTTTACTTAGGATATCTTATGAACTGCTGGCGAAAAAGTCAGAGGATCCCAGGATACTTTGCTAACGACTCCAAAAGACATTGAAGGAATATTCAACATTAACTAATGATCATGTAGAATAGCAGTAGTACGCAATATATTGATTTAACCGAATATACTATGCTTCATTATTTCATCCTCTGGTGTAGTACGTCCACTGATCGGTGAAATCTACTCACGACACATTTGGCGACTGCAGCCACTGGTTCAAATATTAGTGATTGTTCGATTTGAGAGTATTGATGTTACCGATATCAACAGTAACTTCATGAACGGTTTACCGCGAAAGTACGTCCTGAAACGTCTTTTATCGGTTTATGACAAGGAGCCATATGCGTCGTGTCGAATAAACAGCAAGCATCAATATCCATCGTTGGAACATGTTTGGTATTGAAATCGATCATCAATGATGACCCACGCGAGTACAAGAAATCTCATGAATACTTTCCGGTTGAAGAACTCCGATACATGAGCACACTCCTGTTCCAAATCGATACGGAAGAAAGAGAAGAACATGAAAAATGTTCGATATAATTACTGTCTGTACCATTGTTTAACAACAAACAATGAGGATAAAGAAGACGATAGAGCTTCTTCCAATGCGCCTTTACCAAAATTCAGAGCGATTAGCGGGAATGAAAATTATTCGAATAACAGTTATTTTATCCAAAAATGGATAAACGATGGCGAGTAAAACGAACGTAAAACAATCATTCTTTTATATTTTCAGTTTATAGTTGCATTCGATAATAACGCCATTTGAGATGAGGAAATCTTAGACAAACACATCATCGAACAATAGTGAAGTAAAGTATATTCATATAAACTCATTACCTAATGTTTATCCTAATTTAGAAATGATCTTTTGCTAAACAATGAATCATTGTTATCAAAATGGTTTATATGGCATTGATTTCGCAGATCTTTGTTTCATTGGTTACGATAGATTTTTCTCTTGAAGATTTTCATTGTTATCGTCGATACTCATCTCGAAAGTTTTGTTCTACTTTGGGTTACACACCGGTCAGATAAGAATAAATTTATTCATCAAAATTTATGCTGAAGCAGATCTCTCTGTTTCTATTTCTGATTGAACTGGAAAAACATCGAATCCCGTCAACATACTCACGAATGATCTTCGATGATCTTCTTTTACCTGTGAACCATTCCAATTCATGAGAACTAATAGTGAAGAAAATTTTCAATTTACTCAATTAATCTCTTCTTGAAACAAAATTAATGGACGAAATGATGTATCTCATTGGTATGCAGCCATAAAATGAAATCACTTTTTTCACATTGATCACTTTCTATTCTCATGAGTATTGCATGTAATGTACTCGACAAAAAGTACATATTATTGACCAATAATAGCAAAGGTATTCATCTGGAAGAAAATTTTCTCCTAATTTATTACCTTATAATGTCTTCTATCGTACTTTTGTACAAAGCGTTTGCTACAGATCATCAATTTCTATTTGACTCTCAATATGAAAGTCTATTTCTCTCGCTTTCAATAGAAAATAATAAAACGAAGGTGAAGGTTATTCTTCGATAAAAGTACAACTTGATTTCTGTAAGGCACTTATTCGTCCATCGTTTATAAATATCATTATTTGAGTATGTTTCTTTCGTTCTTTTTTCAATCCCTAGCACAAGGACAAAGTTAAGCATATGTACAAATCATATAAATATGCAAATAATAATTAAACATTGACCTTCTCATTCTTTATTGTCTGTTGTTCTTAGACAATGTGCAAAAGTACTCCGCGATAACGATAACAAAAACAAGCAGCCAAGTTACTTCATTGCCCGTACTTCACCTTCTCGTATCCATATGCCATTCCAAAACACCGTGTTCTCGATATTCAACATAGACGCACATCGTTGTGATTCATTCATTCTTAACCAACGATTGGAAATAACATTACCACCTCAATTGATTTCTAGCTTTCGTTGAACAAAAGTCTTTGTTATGATCAAATTCGTACTCAATCGCTCTCTTTACCATCTACTCCGCTTTCCATTCTTTGTTGCGAAGGAACAGGACGAATGTGAATGATTAGTTCAGACGTTGACCGTTTGATTAGCTTGAAAAGTTAATTGATTGATCATACTTATCAGAACATCTCTTTGATAGAATGCATAGTTGGGACAATTTGAGCCATTTTATCTAAATAAGATTTTCTTCATATAAAGACAACACTGAACGAGTTGAATCACATATTTCCTCGATCACGATTATCCAACACACACCTTCACACTATCAATGGCTTTTTGTAATCCAGTAAGTGATTATTTTGATCATACCGAATAACGATATCATGTATTTTCCATTTAGTGCATGCGTCCTGCTGATTCATCTATGCTTGCGTTTCATAAGCATCCATCTAAATCGCTCAAAACTCTTCTCCGTCGTCAATTGTGCAAGAAGTCAACTGCTGTCACCAAATGCCAAACGCCCATTCGTCGTCCGATACAAAAACAACAATCTAGTCGTAAATTTCAACGAATAAAAGGGTGAGTTGTGATCATATTGAACTAAATTTCAACATCCTTTTCTCTCTTTCATAGATCAAACCTTATTCGTGAAGTTATTTGTGAACAAAATCTAACAACGGAACTGATCAGTAATTATGACATGACTGTATTTCATGACGACGAACTTGATGATACAGAAGTAGCTCTATCTCACCGTGAATCGAAGAAAGTTCCTCGCTGGGCTCGAAGTAAGATCAAGAAATTTCTTCTTACTCAATATGATGATTTTTCTGTTTAGAGAGTCAGTTGCAATTGGCAATCATAAATCAAATCTACTACAACGACAAAAATCCCGAAGACATATTTGGCAGTGTTCATCTTGACCGTGTACGTGAAATGGTCGATTCAATTGAACTATGGAATAGCGAATTGCCGATGATCTGTTCATATTCAAACATGCCCGCGAACTTCGTTTAACTTTTCTGTTGTATTTTATTTTTAATAATAAATTATTTGTAAATAGAGAAAGAAACACAGTATCTTTCCATTAGAAAAGAAAATAGGAGGAATATGAGTGAATTTTGTTTGAGTTNCTGATTAGTTATAATCGATTTGAGATTTTTATTTCACCTAAATTATGAGATAATCTTTTCTATTTTCATTATTTTTAGAAAACGAATGCTTAAGAAACGAATATCTATTTCATGTTTCACTAAGATCGATTTTAGCAGAAAATTCTGTTATTCGCCGCAGAATTTGTCAGTGAAACTTTTAACTATATGAGTACTCTTCGCCCATTTGATTGTGAAATGGAATCATCTTCTTTTTTACATACATGATTACTTAAAATGATACAAATTCTACTAATTGATTTTAATATTGCAATACATAAAACATGTGATTCAACGGATATCACGTTACCTGAATCACTGTCACATAGGTAACAACAACTACATATAAAATCAGACGATGAATATTTGTATAGAATATTCCCTTTTCTGAAAGAAAGGGTTATAGCCATGTTAAAACTCGAAAAAGTTTGTTTGTCCAAGCCAATCAAATTGCAGCATTTGATAAATCAATGAAACTCACCGATATCAACCAGAAACCGAATACCTCTTAGGTAATCGAGGTCGAGGATCTCGAATCCGAGGTTAGTTTTTCGAAATCTCACTCAGCTAACTAGCTAATTGCTAATTAAGAAATGAAAATTTGTTTGGTTGTCAAGTAAGGGTCGACCGAAGGGTAATCGGGGTCGACGATCTCGAATTCGAGTTTAGTTTTTCGAGATTTCAATTCGTTAATTAGTTAATCACTAATTAAGGAGCGAAAAAATTTTCAGTCACAGTAACAGAGATGGTGATTTTGAAAGAAGGAATAGAAGGAAATGGATTGATTCGCTACGAAAGTGATTCTTGACTAGATGAAAGAGTGAAAATGTACATGTAACGCTAGCCGCGAGTGGCCGATCGGAGAGAGGCCGACGAGCGACTAGATGTCGATTGGAAGAGTAATATTTTAAAGAAAAGGTTATAGTGATTTTCATATAATCTTAAGACTTCTTGGGCAGAGCTTAATTGCTGATCCGCAAGAACGTATCCAGCAGCTTTTTAAAGTTCGCCGTTGTGAAGAAAAGAACGAAATGGTTTGCAGAGAATCGTATGCCTATGTAGAGTTGCTAAGTTTTCTGTTGTGATCTTCGGATAAGATCTTCGTCTGAATGAAGTCAAAATAATAAAATATGTACACATGGGAACGGCTAGCCGTGAGTGGCCGACCGGAGGGAGGCCGACGAACGACTAGGCGCTTACTTGAGTTGCTTAGAAGAGATAAAATAAGTGGAAGTAAATTCTTTTTTGATTTTGAATAGTCGGAAGCGAGTCGATGGATAAATGTTTCGGGACAGTGTTCGTTTTGCTGACATGTTTGGACAAATCAATTGAAAGTAGTTTGATATGAATAAATAGAACAGGATTAAAAAAGAAGAGAATTTGTATAAAAGTGGCTTCAATTTGAAGCCGACTAGAGTGAGATCTACGTGAGAGTTTTTATATAATACTTCTCATGGTGCCTATTTTTGAACGATTGCGGCGCAGTTACGTGTACCCAGGTCAACAAATCCGATGCTGGATCCGATCGGATCTTACCGGATCCGACCATCTGACAAAATCCGATCGGATTCCTGGAAACGGAATTGCATTGGAATCCGACTAGAAAAATCCCATCGGTTGTTGCAAATTTTATGAGCGATCTTTCTAGCTATGTTCTATCATGACCCTTAGAAAATCCAGGAAATCCATGTTTCGGATCCGATCGGATCCGAGACTGTCGGAATCCAATGCGATTCCGTCACCAGGATTTCATCGGATCCGTCGAATTCCTGTAGGATCCGATAAAATTCTGTATTGGATCCGATGGGGTCCGAGTATGGGATTGTTCGACCTGGGTATTTCAGGTTCGAAAATAATATGTCCAGCTATTGGAGGAATCCATCCAAGGCATATAAGTGTTGCAAAATTATTTGGTGTCAAAGACGGCTCTAGATCCTCGAAATCATCATCAGCATCGTCAAAAGCATCGAACGACAGAGCGAAACCAAGACCCTGTCTTATTTGGAAAACACACCCGCTAGTACAAGTGCTAGTGATGGCCCGATTCGGAGGCATGGACGTAACTGACGATGGAAATGATTTCATGAAGCATCTGCCACGTCAGTACATAATTAAGCGTCTTCTATCAGTGCATGACAAGAAACCATTAGGTGACAGAAGAACAATACGCGCCGCAACAAAGAAGCCACAAGCATCAAATATCTACTTTTGGAACATATTTGATATTGATACCGACATATGATGATGATTGCAGCGACTACAAAACTTCGTTTGAATACTTCCCAGTTGAAGAATTACGATATATTCATACAATCCTGCTTCAAATAGAAATCGAAGAAAGAAACGAATATACAAAAATCCTCAATCAATTACCCCCCGTGCCAGTTTCTAACAATAATGATGATCCCAGGTCGATCATTCCGGTGACTGGATCCGTTGAAATCTGAGTCAGTTCCGGTACAGCTCTTCTCGATTCCGGCACAGTTTTCGCCGATTCCAGCAAGTGCCGGCAGGTTCCTTGCCGCCGGATTCCGGCCGGAATTGCACAGGAAATATCCGATCAGCTCCTGACCGTTTCCAGCTCGAAGTTTGCAGGGAACGGCCGGGAAATGACTGGAACCTACGTTTGAACTTCCGGCCGGAATCCGGTGGCAAGGAAATGGTCGGAAAACGAACCTAACCGGCCGGAACCGACCGTGCCATAATAACCTGGGATGATGATATTGATAAAGATGATAAATCTTCTTTGGGTTCATCTTTATCATGTACGGGAGCAATTGGGTGGAACGAAAACTATTCAGATAAAAATTTTTTCATTCAAAAATGGATCAACGATGGTAAGTAAAACGCATGTATGACAATCATTCTTTTATATTCTCCATTTATAGCTGCACCGGATGCTAATTCCATTCATCGTGATATAATTTCATCGGACGACAGTGAAGTAAGTTTATATTCATATAAATCATGATGTAATTTTTCCGCTAATTTAGAATGATATTTTGCTAAACAATGAATCACTGTTATCATCAATTTTTGGAACAGAATGATTTTATTACAAGTGGCTTTTAGGACATTGACGTCGCAGATATTCTTGTCATTTGCTGTGTTGACGTTTTTCCTGAAGATTGCCATCGATGCTCATCTCAAAAAGCTTTTACTTTCGGTTTCACATTTGTCAGATATCAATAAATTTATTCATTAAAATTTGTACTAAACAGATCTCTCTAAGTGAATAAAAAGAAACACATTCATGTGAGCTTCTTTTGTTGATTAACCTAGAAAAATAAGAATGTTCAGTATCGTTTATAAGATTATCAATATTATGTACGGAAAAAAACTAGAATTCCGTCAATGTATTGCTGAATGATTTTCGACAAGAGTTTCTTTTAGCTATAAAGCGTTTCAATCGATCTCTTCTTCAAACAAAATTAATGAACACAACGATATATTTGATTGGCATGCAGCCATCAAGTGAAATCACCTTTTTTTACCTTGATCAAATCCTATTCTCATGAGTATTGCATGTGATGTACTCGGAAAAAGTACATATTATTGGCCAATAATAGCAAAGATATTCATTCGAAAGGAAAATTTCTTCGAATTTATTACCTTCTTTTGTATGAAGCATTTGCTACTGATCATAAATTTCTCTCGCTTTCAATAGAAACTAACAGAACAAAGGTGAAGGTTATTCTTTGATAAAAATACAAGCTGATTTCTCTAAGGAACTTATTCGTCCATCGTTTATAAATATCATTACTGGAGTATATATTTCTTTCGTTCTTTTCTCAATCCCTAGTACAAGGACAAAGTTAAGCATATGTACGAATCATGTGAATATGAAAATAAAAACTAAACATTGACCTTCTCGTTGTTTACTGTCTACGGCTCTCAAACAATATTCAGCGATGAAGATGACAAAACACTCATTGATCGTAATCCACCTTCTCGTCTCGATACACCATACAAAATCAGTGTTTTCTGTATCTTTCAGCATAAACGCACATCGTTGTGATTGTGATTTATTCATTATTAGTCGACCATTGAAAACTTCATAGCTATGGTTGAACGAAAGTCTTTGACATGATCGATTCCTAACCAATACTCAATAGCTATCACATATTTGTTCGTATCTTTATCATCTATTTCGTTTTCCATTCTTTGTCGCGAAGAAACAGAACGAATGTGATTGATTAGTTCAGACATTGCCCGTTTGATTAGCTTGAAAAGTTAATTGATTGATCTTACTTATCAGAACATTTCTTTGATAGCATGCACAGTCGGGACAATTTGAGCCATTTTATCTAAATAAGATTTTCTTTGTATAAAGACAACACTGAACGAGTTGAATCACATATTTCCTCGATCACAATTTTTCAATATACACCTTCACATTATCAATGGCTTTTTGTAATCCAGTAAGTGATTATTTCGATCATACCCACTCAGGATATCATGTATTTTACATTTAGTGCATCCGCCCTGCTGATTCATCTATGCTTGCGTTTCATAAGCATCCATCTAAATCTCTCAAAACTCTTCTCCGTCGTCAATTGTGCAAAAAATCATGTGCTGTCACCAAATGCCAAACACCTATTCGTCGTCCTATCCAAAAACAACAATCGTCTCGTAAATTTCAACGAATTAAAGGGTAAATTGTGATCATAATTGAACTAAATTTGAAAATTGTTTCGTTCGTTTTATAGATCAAATCTTATTCGTGAAGTTATTTGTGAAAAAAATCAAATGATGGATCTGATCAGTAATTATGACATGACTGTATTTCATGCCGACGAACTTGATGATACAGACGTGGCTCTATCTCACCGTGAATCGAAGAAAGTTCCTCGCTGGGCTCGAAGTAAGATCTCGAAAGCTATTGCTGATCGATTCGATGACTCTCTTTGTCTCTTTAGAGAGTCAATTACAATTGGCAATCATAAATCAAATCTACTACAACGATAAAAATCCCGAAGACATATTTGGTGCCATTCATCTTGACCGTGTACGTGAAATGGTCGATTCAATTGAACTATGGAATAGCGAATTGCCGATGATCTCTTCGTATTCAAATATGCCCGCGAATTTCGTTTGACTTTTCTGTTGTTATTTTATTTTTAAAAATAAATTATTTGTAAATAGAGAAAGAAACGCACTATTTTCTCATTGGAAAAGAGAATAGACTGAACTGAGTCCTGAGAATGAAAGGCCGTTGCTGTAGATAACTGCTCGCTTTTATCGGATAAAGGCTCAGATGAATGTGATAGTCGTCTTTGGAGTTTTGTACTGTGAATGGGTGTGGCGGTTTATAGGTAGGATTGAGCGTTTGTGAAAATTTATGACTTCGCTGTGGTGAGGGTAGCATTCTGTATCACCAGCTTCATAGAAAGATATTTGAATAGGAGACATTCGCGAAACAGCAAGAATCGTAGGGAAGAAAATCAGTACGAGTTTGCTTCTCTGATTGAGAGAAAGGTGTGGATAGTGATCAAACTCGATAAGGGTTGAGTAATTGGTTGGCGATCACGAGTGTAGGTCGAATATTAACGTAGTAATTTTCAAGTGGAAGATAGCGAAGAGAGAAAATAGACGAGAAGGGTAAGGTTGATTGATAATATTTCCAAATGAGAATCGGGAGTGCCTGTAAATGTGTACATCGAGCTCGAATGAAGCTTAGAACGACGTTGCGATCCTTTTTTTGCCAACAGTTTCAATCACATCGAGATATAAAACATCTCGTCGTCAGTTAATTCAATTATATTGTGAAGTATTGAGAACAGTTGCACCAGGGAGTTTATTATCAAATAACTGTATCAATTCTGTACCGTATGCAACTAAGAAGAAAGTGCGGATCGGATAGAAAAACGAACTATTGTAATTCTTTCAATAAATAGAACGGCGATGCTGCATTTTCTGAATGATATATACATACGTGCATGAACATACAATCTAACCGTCGATTCTTCCAGTTAAGTTTCAAGAGTATTTTTCTCTTAAGACTAAGTTTTACAAAAATGCCTTTCACTGCCTCTTACGTCTTATGGTAATTGTCTATCTGACTTTATCTCACAACAGCAGCTTTGGCAATGTACGAATAGATATCAACTACGCGGTGTCAGTAGTTTGAAATATTTTGTATGGTTATCGCCTCCGATAAGATGCTGACCTTGTTCATCATATCTAAGAACATTAAAAGACAAAAGTATGCGAACTTTCGGTGATGTTCTTTTCATTTTCCACAACGATATGCAAGTAAATTAACTCGTTTAATAGTTCAGTCAAGAGTCTAGGAAAAGACTGAGAAATCTTTTAATGTGCTCTATGTGTACACAGCTGACAGCCTGATATGAGATGGTTTTCCTGTATCAACATGATGCATGAAGAAATCATTTGACTGTATCTGAAGATAACCAGTCATGATCAGAGAATTGTTTCGCATGGCGCGCGTTGTACGTAGGAAAATCGATTTGAGATTTTTAATTGATCTAAATTGTGAGATAATCGTTTCTATTTACATTATTTTCAGAAAATGAATGCTCAAGGGATGAATTTATATTTCATGTTTCACTAAGATCGATTTTAACAGAAAATTCTGATATTCGTCAATGAAATTCTTAACGGTATTAGTACTCTACTCTTCGCCCATTTCATTGAGGATTGGAATCATCTTCTTTTTTACATACATGATTTCTTACAATGGTGCAAATTCTACCAATTGATTTCAATATTGCATTACACAAGACACGTGATTCAATGAATATCATGTTACCTGAATCGCTATCATATACATAACAACAAACTACATATAAATTCAGACTATTCATGGTGAACTACCATCATAAAATAAATATATACTTGATTAAGCTTTGTAATTGAAATGTAATAAAGATAAATCAACAAAACACGATGCTTCTCAAATAAATACTTTGATGAATCTATTACTTTTTTTTCATAACTCTACGTCAGAATGTGATTCTCAAGTCAAGTGGATAGACGGTTCGGAGATGGATTAAGCTATTGTAATAATCTGTAATGAACATGGTCTGTGCTACACACAAGGCACAACTGTCATTGAGAGATAGTAAGGAATGAAGGAGATACGATTTTGGCTTGTAAAATATAGGGAAGCGCTCATTCTATGCTCAGAAACCATTAAACGCATCTTGTTTTCATATCTGTGTTCATAACTGTTTGATCGAACTAAAAAAGATCGAGCGTCGATAACTACCGCTCCTTATAATCTTCAGTACATATCTAATTGTGTGGAATCTGAAGCGGTCAACCAACGATAACCAGTTCACAAGAAATAAGAAGATACCGAAAGAAGCGTATTGTCATACTTTTATCTGAATTTGATTCTTTTGTTATGTTGATGGAATCCGTCATCATTACTGTCATTTTCATTCGGCACCATGTGAAACTAAATCAAATGAGTCTAGAATGTATAACACACTCAGAACAAATTTCAGTTTATCTCATCGTCTTAAATTTTCATTTCAGTTGTGCACGCGTTTCCTTATTCATTCGTTAGTTTATGTCTTCGATGAAACGATCAGCTTCAGACGAATATGGCGAGTATTAAAAGAATAACAACAAACATTTTCGATTGCCTGACTTCCGACTACCCATGTTATTGTGACACGGTTTGTTCCGGCTGGTTAGGTTCGTTTTCCGACCATTTCCTTGCCGCAGAAAGTTCAAACGTAGGTTCCAGTCATTTCCCGGCCGTTCCCTGTAAACTTCGGGCTGGAAACGGTCAGGAACTAATCGGATATTTCCTGTGCAATTCCGACTGGAATCCGGCGGCAAGGAACCTGCTGGAATCGTCGAAAACTGTGCCGGAATCGAGAAGAGCTGTACCGGAACCGACTCAGATTTCAATGGATCCAGTCGCCGGAATGATCGACCTGGAACTGGCCATGTAAATATATGTTTTAACACTCCTGCAACCCACGCATTATCTATAGAAGCTGGTAATGCTGTTGAAAGGTACACAAAATGACATTCCGTTAAGTAGTATATATGTCATTTTCTCTTTCGTTTTAGATTACTTTTTGGATCTGTTATCGACACGTTGGGGGAAAAGGATGGAGATGCATATATTATCAAGGAAATTTTATTAATAGAGCAAAAGCCAAACGGTGTCGCCGCTTCTTCATGGATAAGTCAATTTGTCAATCTCGATTTGAGACGTTTGGATGATGCAAGCCCGATTGATTATACACCATTGACAAATAAAAAGCTGAGAGCAACGAAATCAAGCCCAAAGGCGTTTGGAGAAGACCTCAGCGATGATGATGATGATCCTATTCTGTTATCAACTGATTGACCAAAAAAGACAAATCATTCGCTTACGTCAAATTTTTCTTTGTAGTTTCATATTTAACCTATGTGTTCAACCCTTTAACCTTGTACTATTTTTCCAACACAAAAAGATGTTTGTCAATAAATTTTGATAAGATGAGCAAACTCTACAAATACTTTCAGAAGATACTATCTTACATTCTTGAAAAACGAATGAAAATAGATCAAAAACACATTCAACTAGTGAAAATCGTTTAGAATTAATACATAACGATAAAACTTCTGCACGGTACAAGCTGACTAAAAGATCAACAATCTCAGTTAAAGATGGACAAATATGGCAAATTCAATAAGAATTGAAATATCTTGTTGAGAACACTTCAATCACGTATTTAGAAATCAAAGTTTAGTTGTTGAAACAAGCGGTACTATAACTATGCACACGCATAGATTTTCTCACTGTAATCGTATGATTGATATCGACGAAAACTTTCTCATCCATCGAATGTAAAGTGCAGATGGATGATCTATGTTGGCAATAAAAAGATGTCGCTTTTATCGCCGTTGACAAAGAAATAAACTTTCATTTGCGTATATCCGCACATTAATAACTCACAATCTAATGAAATTCCAGGAAAATCGGAACGATTCACATAAATTCTCTCATCGAAGAAAACTAATCATACAGTTGGCAGGATGCAATGTACGAAGAAAGACGCTAAATGTCTTTGTTTGTGTCCTTTTCCTCTCGCTATCCTTTCAATTTCAAGTCGCCGATTTTGTTTCGTCAACTGTAGAATAATTATTATTTCATTTTTAGATCGAATCGAAATGACAGACCTTGATAGTACAGAAATTATATCAGCCGATGAAAGTCTGACGGAGAATTCATCTACAACTGTTCCTGTATGTAATTTGACGTTTGCCTCTGTTTGAAAATTCAATCACTTCGAAACATATTTAGAATGCTTCACTAAAAGTGCTAAGTGGCATCGATCCTCGGACGTTTGATATAAACAGTATGTATTATCCAAGAAAATCTCTGATATGTAGAATCATTCTGTTTTTTTTCTCGTTTTCAGAAGAGACAACTATTGGTCGCGGAAATCCATCTGATTTGATCATTTCTGCACCGGTAAGACAATTTTCTCTCTCACTTGAGTTGATCATAAACATATACTTTTAGTCACTTTCGAAACAACATGCGAAAATAACAATAAGTAATGGACAGTATTTTATTACTGATCTTGGTAGTAGTAATAAAACATTTCACAACAAAGTGAGTATTGATTTACAATTATTTCAATAAATGGCAGACAAGGAAATTTTGGTACCTATAGGTGCAGCTTCAATCGAATGTTTGCTATGCATTGCATAATGGTGATGAATTGAAATTCGGTGATATTGTATGCTGTTTTCAAGAACAAGAACAAGCGAATTTGAAAAATGAAATGGAGCCTGAAGTCAATAATAATCGTAAGAGAGATTTGAACGAAAAATGATGATAAAACAAAATACGGTATACTTTCAGCACCAACACAAACCATCACAAATTCCTACGACGATCAGGAGCCTGCTCAACCAATCAAAGTCTGGAGTGCAAATAAAGAGGATTCCCATGGTAAGTTAGGAGTATATCGATCGAATGGATCTTCGATGGTCTAAGCGACCTTCATTTTACAGGTCAGGGCAATACTGGATCGAAGCACAATGGCACTAATAATTCTCCTAGTAAATCATCGTTGTTTACGCCATTTTCATCGTCAGCAAACATGAATACTGATGACGATAATCAAATCATTGGCTCAACATCGACATCAGTGATTGAACCAAAACAACTGAATCACAATGATCAACTGGAAATCATATCATCACCACAGGCAAAGAAGAACTTCACGAATGAATCGAAATCACCTGCGAAAATGGAAGATACACCTCCTCCATCCGATGCGCCAACAGGAAACGAAAATACTTCGGAAACCGATATGGAAACACTAGCGGCTGCCACTAAGCCAATAGTCAACCTCGAAGAAAAAATGGAGAATTCACCAGCCGAAGCAGTAGAACAAGTAGTTGAACCAGACAATATTACAGATGACACACCGGTCGAAAAAGAAAAGCTATCAGAAAAACAAATGGATACCGATGAAACTAGCGGTAAAGAAGATTTTGACAGAAATTGTGATTAAACATGATGATTGTGTATAGAATCTCCAGCAATGGTTGTTGATGATAAAGCACAAGAGAATGTGAATGATATGGAAGCTGAAACTGCTGCACCGGTGACCAGTGCTGATGCTATGACTGTCGATGAAATAGATAGAGTGCAACAAGCAGAGATTCCATCAACTACAATGGTAACATTTTTCCTATGGAACACATTTACTTCTGAGCGAATTCGTAATTTGTAGGAACAAGAATCGACATCAGATGGCGATCAAACACTTCCAGCATCGTCGACAGAACCTGTAAAACCAATGGATGACTCGGCTCGTAAGTGTTGTCTGTCGCAAATTAATTATATTCTTTCGATTTACTCCATAATTTTCATTTCTTATTTTACAGCTGTAGATGAAACAGAATCCGCATCAATAATCAAGAAAGAAGACCACGAAGAAGAAGAAGCAGGAGACGAAGAGAATGAGGAGGAGACCGAAGGAGCAGCAGCTGTTTCCGGTCGCGGCTTTCCGCGAAAAACTGCTCGACGTGCGAGAGGTCGACGCGGTGCAGGCGGTCGAGCTCGTGTTATAAGTACACGTTTACACAGTGGACGTCGCAATCCAATCCCAACGCCGGCGACCAAAACGGAAGAAAATAATACCACATTAGAAGAAACAGTTAGCACAGAACCGGAAGAATCACCAAGCAAAACAGTTGAAACACCCGAAGTTAAAGAACGACGATCCAGAAAGAAAGATGAGCCAGTTACTCCTAGCGCAGAAGCTGCATCTGCTGATACGAGCTCAAATGTCCGAGTTTCAGGTAAAGAACTATTCGAATGGATGGAAAATGTCATTTTTATTATTCATTGTTACCATAGCTCGAATCAAAGAACGTGCTTCAAGTGGCCGAAACCGGCAATTTCCATACGCCAATGATTATGTTGACTTAGACGACATTGAGAAGCGATCAAAAGCAAATGCAAATGTACCACCTGCTGCTCCTGCTGCAACAACAGCACCATCACCGCTAACAACAACAAAGTCGCCTGGTCGTCCATCAAAACGTGGTCGTGCATCCGCTTCGCCACAAAAGCGAGTTAGTCTTCGTCAACAACCTATTGATGCAGTTGATAATGGCAAACAAGAAACTGAAACAGATGTTTACGAACAAATGGACACCACTGCGGAAACAAAAGAGCCTACACCAAAAGCTGCCGGTCGAAAACGGAAAAGTACAACACCAGTTGCAGCTGTTGCTTCAAAGAGAAGGTTAGAATTCAATTTACACCTTCGATTCGCTCGCTCCTCAACATCGACATGTATATATATTTCTCTTTTCTAGCCGTGCAGCAACACCTCAAACCTTGCCAACGGCAAACACCCGTCGTAAACAAACGACTTCCGTTGAAGTTTCTCCAACAGTTGCTCGATCAAATCGACGTACAACTGGTGGACAAAAGCAAGCCCCTCCTCCTGCTGCTGTCTCGCCACCACCACCTCCTCCTTCTACAACAACTACAAGTGTCACCCCGAAACGTGGTCGAAAATCTGCGAAACAAGTTACACCAATGCAAGCATCGCCTGATAAATCAAGCAAAACAGCTGATCGACCTGTTCGTATCGCCCTCAGTAGTCATTTGGTAAGTAGATCTTTACACTCAATTCATCTTTTCCAATGTATCATGTAGAATTTTGATCAAAATCATTTCGAAGCATTACGTAAACTTGACTTCGAAATTATGGATGAATCTTGTCATGTTGACGCGCTCGTTGTTGATCGCATTCGCCGCACCAAGAAATTCTTCATGTGTCTTGCCCGCGGTGCACTAATCCTATCACCTTCTTGGATCGAAGCAATGGTCAAAGAGAATCAGTATATTCCATACGAAAAATATTTCCTCGAAGATACCAACGCTGAAACACGTTACGGTTTCCAATTACGCGAAAGTGTTCGTCGCGCTAAACAAGGTCCAATCTTTCAAAATCACAAATTCTTCTGTACAAAAGACACCTCACCACCCTACGATGATCTCAAAGATATAATCGAAGCTGCCGGAGGAAAGCTACTCGAAAAGATTAATATGAATAAGCCTAGTAAAGATATCATTTGTATCGTTGCACAAGCTCATAAGAATGAATATGAAGATCTATTTCGAAAAGGAATTTCCATTGTCAGTGAAGAATTCATTCTAAGTGGAATATCGAAACAAAAACTCGATTTCGACTCGTACGTACCTCAAAAGTAATCCTTCTCAATTCATTTTCTCTTCATTTGTTTAGTTTTTCTTTATTCCAAAATGCTACAACATCTAAAACCAATCTCGGCAAATAACAAGTCCAATTTCTTTGTTGTTACATGTTTGTAAATATGACGAAAAAGTCGCGTCTATATTTTTCTTTCAATGTCCTTCTATTTCGTATCTATGATTAGATTCCTCGGGATAAAATTTTCTTGCTTGCAGTTAGATAACAAATAAATCAATTCTGATTCTATTCGTAAACACTTAGAAAAGTTTATTCACAGAGAACAGAGGGCAATGAAACAAAACGTATACATCGATAGAGTTCCTGTACAATGCATATCACAGGATTATGCTGCTTTGATGGCTTTTGCTCGTAGTTGAATAATAAGAATGAATAAACAAGAAGAAACACTTCCAAATCAATCTTCAGTCATGTTCAATATGGTGGACGGAATGATTTCGCCATGGATCTACGGAAAATCGAATGGCTTATATAACAACATACTTCAATCTAAAATCGCATAAGTCAATATAAAGTAAAAAGAAGAAAAAAAGAATGATCTGCTTGTCAGAAGCACAACTCTTATACAAATCACCTTTCGCATTCTTAGGTAATATAAGCTGAAAGGACAGGATATACGGTAATATTATTGAGAGTATCAGTTTACTTTACTACCAACAACGAATTTTCTTGCAAAAATTTAGAATTTGTTAAATAGAAACTGATTCTTTGTGATATGACAGAATTGGAGTAAGCAGAGAAAGAGAACGATAAAATGTTTGAACAAGAAGAACACTCCTAACTCCCTCTCTCTCTTTCTCTCCTTCTTTTTTTTTCCTTTCTTTCTTTGATACCCTTAGGTAACAGTGATGTTAGACATAGTAAAATTTCATAATGCAAGTGCATATGTTTGATAAAGAAAGAGAGAGGGGAGAGCGAGATTGTTGAGTAATAATGAAATTTGTTTGCCTATCGGACATCTAAAAAGATGCTTGTCAGAGAAGAGAAAAGTAAGAATGATGGGTGAAGTTGAAAAGAAATCTGAAGATATTGTCTCGAGACGAAGAAATAACACAAATACATATGTGAAGAGAATCGATGATAAGTGGTGAGAAGAAAAGTATTGGAATATGTCATTCACTAATCAATGTTAATGAAAAAGTTGGAAGAATGAGTTGAGCTCGAGAATTGAAACATATTCAGTAATTTCTGAACAGTTCAAAAATTGCCAGTTGAGATTTATTTTCAAATCCATCTCTCTAATGATTTTAATTAAATATACAAGACAATCTTATTTCCTTTCCTCCAAAACTTATGTAATACACTCATTAGTCTTATGAAGAGAGAAAATGAACTAAGCTTCTCATTATTGAACCAATAAATTTGTCAATATCGAAGGTCGTACATAGTCTGCACGAAATTCGTCAATACAATGAAGTGAACAAGAACAATGACACACTTTACATGCCGTACAAAAGCCGCTTCTTCGAAGTGAAGTACATTCATTCATTTCTTCGTGCATTTCAATGATATTTTCAATGAATAACAACAAAAGCTATCCGATGATGCAACACTCAATTTGAAAATTCATTCACTTTGAATTACTAATCTAAAGTCGAAGTTCAATTAATTGATAAGAAAAGTGTTTTTATACCGTTTGATCATCTCGCTGAATTCATTTCGTCGGTCGAAACTGACCGATTCAGCGAAGTTCTATTTATATTTGAAAGATAATGTTCTACAAAGTATCCTTGACCTTGATGTTTATATTTTATCTCTTCAAAGTCTTCTGTTCACTCATTGCCTTCCATTCATTCGTATTTCTTCTGCTTTTGTTGAAGATGTGCTCTTCTTACATTGTCAAATCTTTTTCCAGTTCATCTCTTTTCCAGCACTTGATCAAACAACAGCTGTGACTCAAATGTACGTCGATGAAACGTTTATTCCTTGCTAACAAGCTGGCTCTAGTAGAGGAGAGAAGTAAAAACTCAATAGATTCCTTTTCCTGACATGAATAAATGATGTAAATGCCATAGTAACGTCGACATCAAACAACACGATTGAAATGAGTCACCCTTATTTGTATAGGATTATTGTTGATCGTTTCAATGCTTAATTGACATTTGTTAGAAATATTATTCGCAGGAATGAGTTGGATTTTCTTCTTTTAATAATGTCAAAAAGAAACAGAAGAGAATCGCGATGGAGAGACAGAGAGAGAGAGGGAGAGAAGGAAGAGAACTTTTTATCATTTTTTCCTCACTCTACGGTTGAACTCTTATTCTAAGGTAGTTGGATATATTCTTTTTCTCCTTCTTTTTTCCTCACTTCTTTATTTTACTTAACGTGTTTGAACGGAACCGAGAAGGACAAATGCTGTTCCTCATTACGCGTCAAAGTGTGTTCATAAAAAAAAGAGGAAAAATGGCGTAGAACACTCACATTCTTCAAAGAGAAGCATTTTCATCCAAATTTCTTCTTTGTTTCCAGATAAGCAATGGCACTCTTCTTTATTGGCTATTTGATAAGTGTGACAAGTACAGTTGCATTTATTGTTGCTATTCTAACGCCCAGATGGATCTATCCGAATACGTTACCAGTAACTAATAGCAGTATCTCATCTCCAGTCTCTACGAACTATCGAGGAATATTCTACGTCGATGCAGGATATGCGAATACAACATGTCGAGATTGGATTTTCCTTTATAAAGACTCGGTTTCAACTTGTCGACCACGTATGTGTAGGAAACGAACTGCGCTCTTGTCGGAATTGAAATCTTTTTAGCTTATGCGATTGCGTGTGCTTCATTAGCTGTTGCGGGTTCGTCGTTATCGATTATTCTACTTTGGCTTGCGGGTGCTTATCTGTACATTCGTCGACGACGACTCGCACCGAATTTCGTCCTATTCATCGCTCTTTTTACTTTATTGATCTGTAAGATTGATTAATGATTTCTGTCACAGTTGAAACCATTTTCTTTTTCAGTTTGGATAAGCGCGATCATATGGATTGTGATGATCACGATGAATCGGGATGAGAACTTAAAAATTCGTCGCGAAAACATCGGTTTTTCTACTTGGATCGCAGTTGGCGCGAGTGGCGGCTATTTATTCGCATTTTTCTTCTTCGTCCTCTATCGGGTTCAAGTTAGTCGTCGAAAGTTGGTTAAAGGAACTGATCCGAACTCTCGTCGATTTTAACTTTCGTATTCTGTGTAGCACACTGTTCAGTCATGTGATACGCAACTATCTCATTCGTCTATTCAATGTCAGTCACAAGCTAAATCTTAAACTATTGAAATTGCAAGTCATTTCTTCTCTTTTATATTAGCATACTGATGTTTTTGTCCTTGTATTTTATCGAGTTGATTCAATATTCAGCTTTTTATGAAAAACAAACAAGATTGAACTTTTTCCTCTTTTGTATATAATTGCTTTATTCAAATAAATGAACATATTCCAGCGATAGATATAACGACAAGTTGGAATTACTCATCGATGAGTCATGAATCAAAAGTTGACCGAGATAACGTGAGAGCGAATAGATAATCAAGAAGAATCACTTGATATACATTTTCGAAAATAAAAGACTAATGTCGAATACGACGAAAAAAACTGTTGCCGTTATTGGTGCTGGTGTTTCAGGTCTTGTTTCGGCTGTTCAAATGCATCGAGTTGGGATTCAACCGGTGATATTCGAAAAAGCATCGAATGTTGGCGGAATGTGGAATTCGGACGAAAGACCATGTTGGAAATCAATGCGAACGAATATTTCGAAATTTACTACAGCATTATCAGATCATTCTTGGCCAAGAAATACTTCATTATTTCCCAGTCAACCAGAGGTCTATTCATATTTATTGGATTATGCTAAACAATCGTTACCCGAGGATATTTTTCGTTTTAATACCAAAGTAAATAAGATTACTCGCTCTGATAATACGTGGATAGTTCAATCTTCTACTGAAGATGGTTACATTTCATCGGAACAATTCGATTTTGTTATTATTGCTTCAGGCTTCTTCGATTTGCCATATACATTAGCGAAAATCTCGAATTTATCATCATTTCCCGGCACAATAATGCACAGTTCGGATTATCGTTCATCAGATCAAGTTCGAGACAAACGTGTATTTGTCGTGGGAGGATCAATGAGCGCCGTAGATATCGCTGCTGATATGGCAACGAATGCCAAACATATTATTCATATATCTCCACATAGTTTTTGGGTGTTACCACGTGTGATTCCAATAAAACCTTCAGATCGTGTTTCGCCTTTTCTTCCAATTGATTTGGTTTCTAACCGTCGATCAATACGAACATCCAATGAAGAAACTGTCATCCGAACAAAGGATCAAAATCGAATCGTCAATGAAAAATTACGATTAATTACTGGACATGTCCAAACATCTTCGATGTTGAGCGATGCAAACGACGAAAATCCAGCGTTTACTACGATTTCAGACATGTATACTCCATGGACTCGTACGAATCGAATCGTTCTACAAGAAGGACGGTTGGTTGAAGTAGATGGCGATGGAACATAGGGAACAGTCGTAAAGAATATTCGAATGAATTTCTTAAGTTGCTCCCATTCACACAGCGCCGCCGATCAGCGAACATCCTGATTGGATATCTTCATTAAAATTAAACAATGGAAAAATATTCCCAACAACGTGCGATGACGTTCTTGTTTTATGCACAGGTTATCGACCGTGCTTGGATTATTTCTCTGAAGATATTCTTGAAAATTTATCGTACAGACCAGACGATCCGTTTTGTCCGTTAATTCTCCATCGTAGTGTGTTTCATCCGACACTACCGAATCTTGCTTTTATTGGTATGTATCGTGGTGTCTATTGGGCTGTCGCTGAATTACAAGCTCGGTGGGTTGCGTCGATATTTGCTGGTCTTTTACCGTCTCCTTCGATAGCTGCACAACAAATCGGACTTGAAGTAGAACGAACCGTGCGTGCTCAACATCCTCGACCACAGTTTCCACATAGTGATTACGTCGGTTTGATTAACGATCTAGCCAAAGAAATTCTTCTTACGAATTCCGGTGATATTGTCATTCCAGCACAATACTGTCCGACTCGCCCTGATCAATCTGTCATTGATGAAATGAATAACTTATGTGAAGAAGCTAATTCTGGTCGGTTTATTGCTGGCACTGTGTTTCGAGCTCTCCACAATACCAAATGGGCCTTCGAACGAACTCTAGTGGGAAAACCATCTGACGGAACAGTTCGTGGCCAAGCTGAATTTCTGTTTTCCTCACCAAACGAATTGCTTTATAAAGAACAAGGAAAGCTAACATTATCATCGCAGATCCCTTTAGACATAACCCAAAAGTATATTTATTCTTATGATGAAGAAAAAGATTTGCTAACCGTATATTTCGTCAATGAAAACAACCAACTCGGTTCCCTTTTTCACACAATTCACTTTCAACCCAAAGAAAACTCATCAAACGGCTGGGTAGCGAACGGTGAACATCTATGCAGTCAGGATCATTATTCTACTTCATACTTATTTGCACTCAACGGAGTTAATCTCTCCGAATTCGAAATAACATATACAGTCAAAGGTCCAGCTAAAGATTATGTGTCAAAAACTGTTTTTCAACCAATAAAAGATCATGTTTGAGTCATGTGTTTCACTCAACGGATGATTCATAGCATAATTAGTCCCATTTACGTGTCGTTTCCAACGGAAACGCACCGTAGACGAACTCACATTACTCATTTAGTCGGAAGAGTTTTTTTAGACTTAGAAGATCTTTGAGCACGGACGCGAACATTTCTTTCATTTTGAAATTCCGCGAGAAAAATTACTCTCATCACTGAACACGGGTATTGTAAATCCGTCAAAGAAAAAAGAAACTCGAGAAGAAGAAAAGAATGCTCCCGTAGACAAGCTTCGGCTTAGATTCTTCTTCTCTCGCTGACTTTACCTAGACCAATCTCATCGTTGGAAAGTGACACAAAGAGAAGAGATAAAATGTCGTAACTAGATTATAGAAGAGAAAGTTTTACTCGCTTGATGACATTCAAATAACATTTGTGACAAAAAAACATTGAAGAACATAGCTTTCTGCCAGCTGCAAAGCAACAAACGAATATGTCGTTGGCCTTACATGCACATCAGATTTTGTTGGTCGCAACGCTCGCCTTTATTATAGGTGTTCTCGTACCATGTTGGTATACATCACCGAATTTACAAACAACACGAACTGTTTTTCAAGTTTGCAACACAACTGCATCGACATGCGAATGGACACTCCTCCCGAGATCGCAGCTCAATTCTGTTACTAAAAGTAAGATAAACTATGTCGATTAAAAGAGAATCCCATATGTTTTTCTGTTTAGTTTTACCATTAGTCGCTGCTGTAGCATCAATCGCATGTGCCGGATTAAGTCTGATAAGTTTACTTCTTGGTTCATGGTACATTCAACGGTTTTCTGGCGACATTGGCTCGAAATGGTTACTTGTTCTCACGATCGTAGCAGTTCTATTCAGTTGTAAGTTATATCTCGGTCTTGTTTTTCGCGAAATAACCTCCGTATTATTTTGTACTTTAGTCATTCTTTCATGTCTTGTTTGGGTACTTATGTTAACAACAAATCTGTATCAGAACGATACCAACACGAAAGAGATTCGATTACAAGATTTCGGCTTTTCAATTTGGATTAGTATAGGTGCGTCAAGCACATATTTTTATGTATTTTTCATTTATCTCATCGCCATTTGTAAAAGTTGTTGAAAGTAAAATTTTTTTTGTATCGATATAATCAAATCCGTCCGTGTATTTCTATTTGATTGTAATGAAATAAAAATATGAATGAAGAAAAAAAAGCAGCAAAAGAACAGCGGCGATGAATCATTAAAACTGATTTCTCGTGAATTCTGATTGTTTATAGAGAACTTCTCGATCACGTCGACGACACATTATCGAACATAAGTGAATTAATGTCGTTACGAACGCCATTAAGTAACCACCTGTCGAGCCCACAGCTAACCACAATGGCCAGTTGATAACCGATCGATCAACTTTATATCCGATGACGAGCGTCTCTGAAATCTCCAAAATCCAAACAACAAACGATGCACAAACTAAAAACATGAATTTCATTTGTGAAAAGTTCTTTACAAATCATCGTCTTACAAGTAATGAATAATAGAATTGAAATGAAAACGAGAAGACATAATCTACATTTTCTTTTTCGGTGAATGTTGAAGTAAATACCACATAACCAAAAAATAATCACACTAAGCCCTGCACACGCGATAGCAACGGATGCCGATGCAGTTCCGATATCTATACAAAAAAAATGCTTTTCGCCCAACAGCGCAACGAAATCTTCGTCTACTTACTATAGTCCCATCGACCTGTCGAATTGATCGCCGGATCGATGCCGATGATCGACGCACATTGCGTGTTCGTATATGTACTATTCTTTCCCGTTAAGGTACAAACATAGAAAACACCTTGTTGCAGGAAAAGGTTCGCCGAGACGGGTAAAATTTGAACGGTGATCCAATTGTATGTTAAGATTGCAAGTACAAATGCGAAACTAGCTGCGACATGCCAAGCGAATGCAATAAGAAAAAACATGACTGATTTCAACCTATGCCGAAAAAAAAATAGTAAGTATTCAACCTTTTTTTTTCTTTTGCTCTCTCTAATATTAGAAGAAAAATGTCACTCGTTTTTGTTTGACTAAAGAAGACGCAGGAGGAAAGAAAGAAAAGAGATGAAGCAGTGAATTCGATGTTAATGAGAGAAAAAGAGACATTCAATAATGGATTGGCACCAGCCTTCGAATGTATTTCTTGAGCAACGATGAGGATCATGTTCAATTAATCAAAACGTTTTACTTTCTAACTGAATGGACAAATAAATGTATACAATTAATGATTTCTTTAGGCTAACGAACACGTACGTATACGCGAAAGAAAAGCAAAGCTGTTATAAGGCTTCGATAGGTTATTTCAAGAGCAAGAAAAAGAAAAGAGCAATCGATTGGATAACGAAGGGAGGAAAAAAAGAACTTTTTCAACTCGTCACTTGAAGTTTGACTAGCAGAGTGTTCAAATATCGTTGATTGCATGCAGTTCTATCAAACAACAAACATTCATTGTTGCCAGATGGCACAAAATGCATCGATTAATCATTATTGCTCTTCAAGTACAAACGGCGGAGTGTGCTGAAGTGACCAAGCGTAGTTGTGAAAAGAAAACTTATTCAAGTATTTCAAATGAGTCGAGAGACATTTCTTTCATTCGTTGAAACATATGGAATTCTGTTTACAAACGAAAATGAGAGATGCCTACCAATAAATTACAATGAAATGCACATGAGCTCGTTTGATTTGCATAAGAAACTAATAAAGTGCTGTGCTGATTCGAATTCACATTGAATGAATCATTTCGTATCAGTCAAATTTCATGTATAAGAAACGATTAGTTTGATAATTTATCACATGTCGATTAAAGTCTTATACCTTTTCAAGTAAATATTCATATAAAGAAAGATTCCATCGTGTTTGACGATTATTTCACACGCAAAAGATTTTTTTTATTGAGAGATGCCATGTATATATAGAAAACGAACGAACCCTGGATTTCGGAGATCGAATGATATGCATCTAGTCCGCATCGATATATCTTCTTTGTTCAGGATAGATATGAAAGTATATCTAATCGGTCTTTGTTCGCTTCACGTAATTTTCTTTTCGTTCGTTTTCACTTCTCTCTAGTCGAACGTACAGCTTAGACGAAAAATTAAAAAATGTTCGGAACTTACAACCAACATTTTAACCTTTGCTCTCTCGTTTTTCTAATCACAGTAAGATTTCGCGTTTTTTTGCGAGATAGAATATCAACGAAAAAAGCGTCTATTTCTAGTTTTTATCATCAGCTGCTTTATTTTGTAATGACTTAACATCAACTGATGACTTGAATACACCATGTTTTCTTGCACCATCAAACACAAATCCAATTACTTTACGTACATCAACCAATAGTCTAGTTTTGCCTTGCCATGTCGCTCGTTCAAAACGTAAGATCTCCGTTTATGAAACTCAGACCGGATTTTCTCGAATGTTTCTAGACTCGCTCGTCGAATGGTGGTACACCGATAACCGAAGAGGAGTTGACACAAAAATCTATCCAGTCTATCCACCAGCTCGTCCAACAGTTCTTCGTTTCGTCACAAGTTTAACACCATATTCGAAGAATTTGAACGAAACAGACATCATCGATGCCTCAATTTTATTACCCTATATCAATGTTGATGATAGTGGTACTTACTATTGTATTGTCCGTTCATTACCAGTCGATCCAGTCGAACAAATGGAACTTTTAGTTATTAACGATAATCTGAAAAAATCAGCACTTACGTACAATGTTGAATTGACCGGTTTGTGTGTTCCTTAGTTGTGAAAATTTTCAAACCTTTCCTCGTGTTGTAGGTGCACGCCTTTGCCAATCAAATCCTGGCACATTACCTTGTTTCACAGCTATGCGAACTAGTTCACCGACAATCCTTGATGCCTACCAAACAGCATTTCTTCAATGTGTTATCAAAACATACAATCGTACGGACATCTTATTCTCACCATAATCAAAGTGTACTAAAAAACATCTTTTAGGTCCAACAAATGTCTTCTGGGTTATCGGTGATGCCATCGAAAATCAACTTGTCATCAATCATCATTTAACTATGAACCACTACAAAGGCGACCATCTTCGACGAGTTTTTCCTCGTTCAATTTTTGACTTTTCAGTTGAATTAACAGTCAATCGTAGTATTCCGGAACGTGTATACTCATGTGTCATCGATGGTGCCTCGGATACCGAAACAACCATCTTCACCTACATCGTTCGTACTATCAGTATGTGAACATTTGCTTTGTGAACATTCAATGACAAAAATATTTTTTTTGGAAATAGATTTGGATCTTCCATCAGCTATGTCTCAAAACGTCACTGAAACGATGAAACGCGAACATACTCATGGAGAGCATCATACAGTAGTTGACGCAACTGAAGAACCATCAAGTAAGAAAAAGTTCTGTTGTTGAAATGCTTCCGAACGTGTGATGTGAATTGTAGATTCTAAGGAAGAAGGAAAGTTCGATGAAGAAGGTCTATTTGAACCTGAAGTAAGTATTTGTCGGTGTTCTGATGAATATTTGCTAAATTTCCTTTGATGATTATTTTAGTTACATGAAACATCAACAAAAATTTAAAGTTTTGCTTTAAATTGTTTACACTTTCTTGTGCAACGAACTAGGAGATCGATATTTTCATTTGTTTTCTTTTTTTGTTAAAAAATTGTCATTTTTTATCATGGTTTTATTCAAACAAAACAAACGTTAACAGAAAATACCCGACAAAGTCGGCTTGTTTGTCTATGATTGATGATGAAACGCATTCGTACTGATAGTTAATTTCTGAATTCGATCAATTCAATGAAAAGAACTCATCTATTCATCGATTCATTGAATATGTTTATTGATTGTCACACGCAGTTGAATTTTGTTATTCAATATCGTGATTCTTTTGTTTCGTTATTCAAACATGTAGAAAAATCATGTGTCGTATCGTTGAACTTCTCTAAAAAAGAAAAAAGGCGAGCCTTGATATAAAAACTGCACTTCTGATCAAGGCACTGATGGTTTCTCGTCAGAAAAAAATCTACTTTTTCAGGTAACATGTTGACATCCGTATATCCATGGTTTTATCAAGATTAACTTCAACCGATCACTAAAGGAAAAACAAGATTCGCCGAGATAAGGTTTTCTGTTGATTATAAAAAGAATAGATAAGATAGTTTTCTTTTCTTCCGAAGAATAGCATGAATAGATAATCTCTTTTTCTTTAACATTTGAATACTTATGGCGTCGTTGGAATATTTCATTTACAGGTCAAATCTTTAAATAGAAATTTCCATTTTCAGTCGTCTATAAACTTCAAATTACGAATAGACATGTCGACGTATTGATGATATACACTCTCCGTAAGAAAATTCATCTGAGAACAAGTTGTTTTCTATTCATTTCTCCTTCTTTGTATCAGTTTATTAACTTATTCAAGTATGTTCGCGAGTAACTGAAAAAACGTGTTCAATCTCCGACTTATAATCGTCGAATACTTATTCATATAGATGAGTTTATTACCTTCGACTAACATGTTTTTCATCAGGGATCAGGCAAACCGAATAGGTACACGCGATTTTACTCAGCACGATTAGTTTAGAAGAAAAGACGACTCGGCTTCGAAGAGCACAGCCCAGCTCATTCTCTATGTGCTTATTGCTTAATCTATCTGGTGTGTGTCATTGAGATCAGTTCGAGTTTTCTACCGAAAAGACACGTCGAGTAGACAGTGTCAACAATATGATGTACGAGTACGAGCAGGAAAAAAATGAAGACAACAACTCTCCGGAGATTCTTCTTCCTTTCTGATTTCTGTGGTAAATACATGAACGTTTAGAACTTTCACGTATGTTCCCAAAATCGACACTGAATGAACTTTTTGTTCTCAGAGATAGTTGTAGGCGAATCTTTCAACTGAAACTGTTCTGTCAACAGCAGATTATCTCTCTTTTTCCTGTTGGTGACTGCTTGTCATTGTCTGATAAGCTTCTACCATTTAGATATGTGTGAATAAAGATTATATTTACATGAATAGAAACGTCTTCGAGATGGAAAAAAAAGAGAATAATTGAATTTCCGAATAAGGTTTTCTCTCTTTCTCTCTTCTCTTTCACACATCTCACATGGATGCTAAAAGACTTTTGTTCAATGATATATTCAAGATCGAGACTTGCTCGTCATTCGAACAACTTAGTTCTCCTCGTTTCCCAAGCGGCAGAGTACGTGCATATGAATATGTACACAGAGAAAAATTAATCTATACAAAGAAGACATGCGTGAACGTCGACAGTACTTTTTCTTTCTTTCCTTTATTAAACTATTATCTTAATTGACTTTGTTCTACGACAAAGAAAACCAAGAAAGTGCATCGTATGACTTTTATTACATTTTTCTTTTTGTTTCTTATCTATAATGGAGGGCTGACTTCTGGAAAACAACTGGTTTTAGTGTTATAGCTTTAATTAAATGAACCGTTAGAGATAACAAGCCTCTCATACGTGCTTACCTTTATGTGTTAGTTTAGTTACATTTGGTAGTCAATAGTGAAAGAGAGAAAACTATATATATTGTGTAGGAAATACAAGGACAGATGGAAGAAATAAAACATGTATATAATAAATAGATCTTTTTTTTATATTCATACTGAAGTAAAACAGATATAGACTTCATAGTTTTGCACAGCTTCTCTCATAATTTATCTCTAGATTTCGAGTTTCAGAAAACCATTTTCTCCATTTCAAAAATGGGTACAATGCTTTATTATCCCTCGTCATTCCTTCAATTAACGAATCAAACCTCCATGGATGAACAGGATTACTCTATTAACAATTCCTCTTTAAATCTGTTTATCTTTGCCATCGTTTGGTTTATTTTAATCGGTACAATCGTATGCGGCTCGATTGGAAATCTCCTTGTACTTTATGTATATATCAACCGAAATGATAATAAAACCTGTTCATTTTTTATCAAAATGTTAGCCGTTGTGGATTTTATCATCTGTTCAGTGCTCGTGCCGTTGGAATTATATCAAACGACGACAGGTATGGAATGTGAAGTGTCACTTTTCGTGTCTTCAAAGATTAGAGAGAAAAACATCAAGTTAATTAGAGAAACCTCGACTCACGAGGGCACTTAAGGTTATTTCATAATTGCTTTATTTTCAGGTATCCGCAATGAGTTTCTATGCAAATTTTATGGATTTCTTCATACACATGTTCTCTATTCAACATTTCTCATTACTACGATTGCATTCGATCGATATTTCTGCATTTGTTGGCCATTGTACAAAATCATCACGATTCGTCGTGCGCGTATCATCGTTCTGTTATGTGGCTTTCTCTCATCTTTATTAGGTAGGCGTTCGCAATTGAAGTAAACGTCGAGTTTTCTTCGTTGACGTTTTAGCATTGATACCCATGAGTGAATATTCAACGACTGAACATATCTTACATTTACATAGTAACCATTCGAATGAATTGTTTGTTGGCAACTCTCATGAAGATCTCTCGACTGTTTACGCTCATGTTGAACATATTAATACCAATGTTGATAAGTTGCCATTTACAATTGGAAATTTGACCCATGTCAAATGTAGTCCAAAATTTAGTTTGCGTATGTTTTGTTTCAATATTTTGATAAGCATTTTGTTGTTATTTTGTGAAATAGATCTGAATCTATCGAAGTTTTTTACCATTTACCGAATATTTCATAGTACGCTGTTTGCTATATGTATTATTATTGTTGTTATTCTTTATTTGTTCATTTACAATGCCATTTATCAGCGTCGTCGAACACGTACGAAGAAGATCTCGACTTACCAGAAAATCCTGCAGTCGTATTTTATAAATAACAGGCAAAATCGGTCGCACACCCATCGACATTCGTTTCTGGCTTGTCTCTGTTGTTGTTGTCAAGACGTTCATTTACAGACTGTAAATCGATCGTTCGACGAGGACGATGAGGAACATAGAACGAACCACTCGTTACGTACACAGTCTCTAATGAGAAAAAATCCCGAACACATCATTTTAGAAATTCATGGTGCACGGGGAAAACGTTATTCCGCCGTTTCCATGACGTCGATGACCTATTTGACTAGTGGAATCTGGGATGACGCGTCATCGGCCAATCTTGTCCGTTCAAGAGTCAATTCCATAGCTGCGAACACATACTGCGGAACTGAACACTCATTGACTGATCGATCGTTAGCTGTCACAGAAGATTCACTCGATCACACAGCAAAACCTTCGCAATTACGACTTGCACATTCGACATATTTAACTGTACCCGGAAAACCGATGATACCACTGGTATATGCTAATGAAACGAGCAATAAAGACGACCACATGAATGAAAACAAATCTAGTGGAAACATTTCACCGTCAGTGAGTTTACTTCATCCAACAGTAACGAGAAAATCAAGTCATTCTCCGTCAATTCGTTCTCAACATGAACACCCATCGGATTCTTCAGTGATTCCACGAAAGGTTTCATTTCGTACGTATTTGATTTGTGTGTTTACTAAACTGTGATTTCTCGAACTCCCCCACTTAGTTCCTCGACACTCAGATACGACTGAGTTCATTTTCTTCGCTCTCTTCTTTTCATTACGAATACCACTAAACAAACCGGATATTAATAAATTTTGCTTTTCAGTAACTTCAAGCGGCACAACGGATCGTTCTATTATTGAAGATCTTCCGAGTGTGAATCAATCATTAGGTTCACCATCACACCACCAATTAAGCGTACACTTCAATAACCACCATTCCGTATCACCTGACCTACGACGGCAGTCGAACACGTCGATTCGTCACGGTTCGACGTTTGATTTGAATTGCAAAGAAATTTTCGAACGACAGCAAAAACAAGAACGTTCGGCAAACATTCGAACGACATTAACATTGTTTATCGTCACAGCGACGTTTATTCTGATCTATTTACCATCGATAATCATCACTCTATTCAATATTAAACCGAATTTATTTCGAGAACCTCTGTTTTTACTTTACTACATCAACAGTGCGGTAAGTTCGACGCGGATTTGTCCCGAAGCCAGAACCGATGACATGTTTTGACATTCTAGTGCAATCCATTGATCTACTCTTTCTTTAATATCAACTTTCGGAATGATATTCGGCGTATCTACGAGTGCCAAAAACGTGTCTATCTCGCTCGGCAATGTTAGACAAAAATTTGTCGAATGTTAATTTTTATTTGTTTCAATGTAATAAACATCGATTAAGGGTGTCAGTTTCATTCAAGTATAGACTGTTGCTCATGAGTTAATAGATCCATTTGATTTTAAGAAAAAAGGAAGATGACAGGTAATAGAAAAGGAAAAGAAGAAATTCACCGGCTGACTAGATGCAACGTTTCGGGTATGTTTGCGAAGTCTTCATCTCATCGCCACGGTCGCGTGAGTCGAATAGAGTGACGATGGAGCGAAACTATCAAAGCCTTGCTGAACACCTTTGTATTCGGGTAATGCTTCGATAAATGAATGCACTTGTTTATCGACTTTTGTTGTTTCTGACGCACTGTACTTCGCTAATTGATTCGTTATCGTGAGGAGTAGATCATGAAGATCTTCGTTTTCTTTGTCGATGGTTTCATTGTCCAAGCGGCGAACTCGTTCGTTTGTTATGCGTTGTTCCGTCGACGGAATACATGATTTTGTGATCGGAGGTAAACGATGAGCTTTCGTACATAGACGACGAAACTTCGGGACGAACGGGGATGCCTTTTCGTTTGATCCTTGCGTTCGAATATTCTGCGATCTTTCCAAAGCGTGAGCATTTCGGTTTTGTTGATTTTTGGCGCTATGACGCTCCTCTAACGGAACGAGATCTTTTCTTCGACTACAAATTGGAATTTTCTTACTCTCATGGCGAATGGTTTGCTCGAGTTTTTTGAGCGTCGTTAAGTTTTGTTCGCGCTGCCGTTCAAGGAGGACAACTTCGCGCGATAATAAGATTTCGTAATGTTTCACACGACTTTGGACATGAGGATTTGTTACCATAATTGAGCGAACTGAAAATTGGAAGGAAAGTGTTTGTATTTAACAGAATTGTCAAGTGCCTTTATAGATGCTTTTTGCAAAAATAAACAAATACGTCTTTTCAAAAGGCAACGAGTGAACGAAAAGCGATCGAGAAAAAAAAGAAAATCTCTCTTGTCGTGTCAATTCGTACATCATGGTTTCGAATACTCAACTGAACACTAGTCAATCGAAATCAAGTAGCTCAAGAAATACCGTTTCGAACGAATTTCCGCAGTATAATGACATTTCTCTTTTACGCCGTTGAAAAAAGCAAAAGAGAAATTTTGTTTTGACGATGACACGCCTTGAGGATGATGGTGTTTTTTAACAACTGTACACAATAGAAAATCATTGTGTTACTTAGTAAGATTTGTTTCAAGTCAGTTTAGTTATTGAAAAACAAGCGACAACATGTGGAATAGATTTCAGAAGAAAACAGTCGAATTATTTACTTAGAAAATTCACTTCAAACATCAAGAAATCGTTCATTAAATTCCCGTTATCTCTTGTAAACATCTGTTTCGAATACAATTATGATCGGGTTTGAATTCTGCGTCTTGATAGATTTCACACGTTTCGAGACAATGACGAAAGTTATACGATTCTGAAAATGAAACATCTGAACACAGCGAGTCGAATAGCAAAAAACAACTACCTTGATCCAATGTAGGACGACCTTGGTTCAAATCGCTTTTCAGTGTAGCTGGTTTAGTTAGATTAAGCGACGTGTGAGCGAGTTTAGGAAAGGGTCCGACGATGATCACGACGTTAACTGGATTGGTTTCAACTCGTTTGTAAGGAATTTGCTTCTGCCGTAGCTGTTTTTCGATAAAATTCAGTTGTTTGTCATTTACAATAGTTTCGATCGATGTGTTACGCACGCGGATGTGTAGCAAATGCGTCGAGCTTGGATGGATTGAGAATGGAATCACTAAAGAGATAGTTTTATTGAGGAAATGGTCATTTGAAATTCTCACCCATTGGCAATATGACATCAATGATAATCAGAAGAATCGTCGCTGATGATGAAATCATTTGGTTTTAATAATCTTGTGGTTAACATTGACGTTTTCTAGACATGTTGAAAGTTGGATATAGTTAATAACAGATGTAAAGAATACGAGATGTTTAGTTATCTACACATGTTGATTGATGTGTGTTTCCATCTTTGAAAGTAATTTGTCTACGAAAAGAAAATCCTTTTTTTTTCATATGTTCTATTTTCTCGATGCGAACGAGATGATTTTATATCACAAGACTTCATTTTTATTTGTTAATATTCCTGTTTATAGTCATGGAAGACGAGATATAAAACAAAGTACAACGTATCTTCAGCCTGACGAAAATGTGTGAGAACAGAAAAAGACACAACTGTAATATTAACCTAAACGCACACACACTGTTACACTGACTTTTGGTTTACTACAAAGCTTTTGCACCTAACAGTTTGCTGACATATTCAAAAGTTAGAAATGATATTCCACTTGATGGTGCTAAACGTAACATATGTAAAGAAAATCCATTATAAAGACCTCGGATTCCATGATGTGTCCATAGACGTTTAAGGATTTGTGTCATCGTATCGCTTCGGTCAACATTAGATTGAAGTCGCGTGCGAACGTTTAGCAGTGGATAAATAAAAAATTGACTAATGCCATTTGATACATTACCAATGATGAGTTTTTCGATCGGATTTGTCGGATGTTCATGATAAGCTTCTAAACGTCGCTTTAACGTTTCGTATAACGCAAGATCAATGCCACTCGCCGGAAGAATAGCTAATGCGCTTGGCAGTAAGCCTAGAAAAACGCAAACAACAATCGAGTTTTACTGTTTTGAGAACTTCTGCGATATTCTAAACATTCCTGTTCGATGATGATGAATGATGTAATTCGATCTCTGTTATGATATGAATAACTAACCTTTATAAAACGCTCGTAGACCTTCTCCTCGATAGATTTTTAAAATACAATCGGCAATTGATCTATATTCATTTGTTTTACGTATAGTCAAACGCGTCTAAATAGACGGCAGAAGCTATTCTTCGACAATGCAAACAAGAAAAGTTTACTTTGATTGTCTTCATCGGATATATCAATGCACTAGCAGTGAAACCAGCTGCTGATCCACAGAGAAATTTTTGAAAAACATCGATTTCGTGTGTTGTCGTTTGTCCGAGTAATCGTTTGAATGTTTCGTATGACATTAATCTTAGTCCAGTTTCGGGTGAAACTTTAATCACATTCATTAAGTTTCCGCGCCACAATGACCGAACACCACCTTCCCTAATCATCAAAATAAACGTATCTTTGATTGTCATTCGCCCGTGTGAATCCAGTCCATAAACTACGAAAGAAAAAGAGTTTGACAAGAGATATGAAGCATTCCGTTACCTTGGAAGAAAGTTCGTAGGCGATCGATCGGCGCTGTGCATGTTCGACCAACACCACCGGCGCAGACACCAGCGAAAAAGTGCCTTAGCCAAAGTAATTGTGGTTGTTCTGGTGAACTGCTGACATGTCTTTTCATTTCTGAAGAAAAAGTCAGATATTGACTAGATATTCACACAATTGCTACACATGTTTTATTTCAACCGAACATTCAGTTCACCATTCGTATACAAAAGAAAAGAAAACAATTATTGAGCTGAATTTTGAAGACACAAAGAAGCGAGAACGTAGATCATTCGAATAGAAAAATAGGCAATCGTGAGAAGAGATGTAAGTAGGAAAGAGAACTCTTGAGATGTTATTGAACGTGACTTGGTGTAGAAGAGACATTTGCAGCTTGATCAACTGATAATGATATGGAGCGAATTGGGATTGGTGATGAAGATAATTGACTAGATTCTTGATCAGAAGGTTTGGCTTTGATTGCTTCCTCATAGGGAGGTGGGATTTCTGAAAACAAAGACATACATTTTTTGTCAACGTGGAAATGCGTTTACCGGCGTGAGGTGAGACACTTTGTTCATAACTTGGTAAACCAGTACGCGTTGTTTGTGCAAGATTTCTGAAGAGAAAAGCTTTGTGAAAAGCGATGAGTCATTCTTCAGGAATGGTCTACCTATTATCTGCATTTTGGAACAGAAAAACACTGGGATTTTGAGCTTGTAATTGTATTTCCTAGCATAGGCGTGCGTTTAACAGATAGTGTGTTTTAAAACGATTCTTACTCTCATTCTATCTGTATTATATTTTCTTGCTGCAATGAGAATTTTCTCTGCTGATATCCAATACATAAAAGCGAATACGATTCCAATGATACTAGCAAAGCAAAGGAGAAAAAGATTGATTTGATATCGTTTGATGAAAGTCATACCCGAAAACAATAAACGACACTGAAAATCGTTGACTTTCGAATGAGGCTAATAGCGATCCGGCGACGATCAGGAGAATTCCGAAAACTAGAAGCGCAAAATCATATGCAATGAAGAATCCATTCAATATTTGTTTGAGAACCAACTTAGAAATGTAATTGCCGATATTTTTCTCTTTCTCACAATATTTTCAATCCGTTCATTTGGAATATTATGAGGATTGGCCGATGCTGATGTTGCCATTATGATGTGAATTGCATCCATCGTTTTTTCTGTTGTATTTCACATTTGAAAAAATACTTATAGAAAAAAAAACAGCAGATCGTTTACGTATTCGTGTGTATATATGAAATAGGCATCTCGCGGTGATTGGCTGATTGTTTTCAGCCAATAGGAAATAATGTGTTTACTCGTTATTTGTCTATCTGTCATTCATCATTTAGTCAATGTCGAACAGCAATACTGAACGTTCAAATTTTCGTGGAAATCGACCACTTTCTGCCAATCCACCGCATTCAATCTGTTTAACCGATCGCAAAGTCGTTTCGTTTACACATCTATGGACGATTGATCATTTTCAATCATATTTAGGTTTATCATCAATGTTTATTATTTATTTTCTAATAATTCGTTCTGTATAATTTAGATGACCCTCAATCACCTCGCGTTCTATTCAGTTCATATTTTTCACCTACATTTGGTCCTCACACTGACACAAGGTAAATTGGAAGCTTTCCTTCGTATCCAACTCGAATGTTTGTTTTTAGTTGGTGTCTGAAGCTATATCCGAAAGGTGTAAATGAAAAATCAGTTGAATACATCAGTCTATTTGTTAAATACGTTCGCGGTCGTTCCGATCTACTAGCTAAAGCTGAGTTCTCATTGATTAACAGTCGTGGCGAATTTCATATTGTGCGAAAAACGCCTTACCATGTATTTCCGACAGGTGGCGATTGGGGTTATTCCGAATATTTAATGCGTATGGTTCTAACAACACAACGCAAATCTGAACTGTTGAATTCCGACCAAAGCTTGAAAATATTCGCTCGAGTTATAATCGTTGGAGAATCTTCATCGTCGATCATTCATGAAGAAAAAAAGAATACTTACGAAAGTTTAATGTCATTATCCACACACTTTGGTTCACTGTTAACATCGAGAAAAGACAATTGCTATGATGTGACGATCATCGTCCGACCAGAACAGTTCAACAACTTGATCTACGAATCAAAATCATCTGACGTACCATCATCATCATCATCAACATCAGTACCGAAAAGAAACAACAATCGAATAAAAAGAAAAAGATACAGCACAAATTCAGGTGGAAGTAATGGAGCAGGCGAATCATCAGACGAAACTACATCATCAGCAATAGCTCTCCCATCAACTTCTACAGCAATCACCTTCTACGTTCATCGAAGTATATTAAGTGTAAGTTCACATTCACGATCGTAAAACGCGATTCGTTTTCAAATGACCAATATCAATTCCTTTGTCTTACTCTGATCATTTCGATTTATAAACTACTGTTCTCTCTTTTAGGCTCGTAGTCCAGTATTCGCTGCAATGTTTTCTCATTCAATGTTGGAAGATCAAAATTCCACGATTGAAATAACCGATCTACAACCGGAAACAGTGCAATGTTTACTCGAATATATGTACACTTCCAATGTTGAAGATATTAACGAACACAACGCTATAGAGATCTTCAAAGCAGCCGATAAATATCAATTAGAATTTCTCAAACAAAAAGCCGAAATAATCATGACCAATTCGCTCTCCATATCGAATTGCACAATGCTTTTCATTGTCGCCGACCTGCACAACGCTCACGAATTGAAGAAACGTATTCTAAACTTCATCATGCGAAATATTCTCCAAGTGGTCGAAACAGACGATTGGCGATTATTAGTCGAACAGCATCCAGTTTTAGCTACGGAAGCATTTGTATATTCAGCAGAACACGCAGCATCATGTGCGTGTTCATCATAATAATTAATTTGTTTTATTTATATGTACAAACAATAAAGAACAAAACTTTCTCGTCCTCGCTTAACAAATCAGCCACTTTTGAGAGTGTCGGAGCGCTATTTTGTCTTAAGAGTATGCGTGGGCGTCATCTACCCACATTCTTACCTTGTTGGCGATGCAAAACTGAATAGACAATGCGACATGAATTTGAAATTAACTCAATAAATGTGACATGAAAGATGATATTCTGTTGAAGATTTTCCTGAGTGAATAGTGTGCTAGTTGTTCAAATCACTTTCGAGCACTTCGATGAATGTTAATCTTCGCACGACGAAAATAATTATTATTTTATCGACGATTCTTTTCACAGAAGACAAAGACAAAGGAATAGCAAACGAAGCTTTTCACCATCATTTTTTCAAAAGATTCATCAATCCGTTTCGTTGAATTATTCAACAGCGCAGATCTCTAGTCTGCTAATCGTGATGAATTCTCAATAAGTTTTTTTCTTATGAAATTACTATCTGAGCTTATTAAATTGTCATCTTGAAAATAATTTATTTCATCAGTAGAAAAATAGAAAAAAAAAGACCGTCGTTTTCAAGTGTAGACAACGAGAGAAAGATTTGTTCGGTCCTAATCGTTGCACTTGAAGACATTTTGATTAGGTGGGAGATGAAAATAACGTCTTCAATCATTTGTTGTAGTATTCTCAGAAGAACCATCAGAATTGATTGGTTTCCGTAAAGAAGCAGAAAACATAAAAAGACGACTGTCTCATTTACGATTGACGGATCGAACGAAATGTGCCTAGATTAGGTAATTTACTTTTCGCAGGATGACAATACAGAATATTCTTAAATGCACGACGAAAATGTAAATTACATAATGGATAAATCAACGGATTGACAGTTGAATTCAAATAACCAAGCCAGATCGCTGTAGTGTAAACTGTATCTGATACACAATGTTGACACCAGGCAACAACTAAGAAGAGAATGAAGTACGGTAAGAGTGAGAAAGTAAAAACGCCGACGAGTAATGTTAATTGTCTCGCAGCTTTGATTTCTTTTTGCAATGAACTCGAAAGACTGGGATTAAGAATGTATTCGAAGAAGGTGAGAATATTCATTTTGAGAGGTGGATTGATCGGTCCGGATGGTGTTGGGATCGGGAGATATTGATTATTCGAGGTATCTGTTGGATTATCAACATGAGTTGGCGATGATGATGATGATGTTGAAGTAATTTGTCTGAAGAAAAAAGAAAGGTAGAAGAAAATCGAATGAATTGAATCTGATAGAGAGTTTACATAGTGATTTTCTCGTTTGATCTTCCTTGTTGTTGTTTGTCCGAATAGGTAAACATTGGTTGAGGAGAGTCGTCTGAAAGACTTGATATTGACGCGGCGCGAGGGATGTTATTTAAACTAATTGAGATTTGATTTGCTTTTTGTTCAGGATATTTCATGTCGTGATGAACACTTAACGAATTTTTAATCGATTTAAAACTGGACGAGTTAATTGACGACTGAACACTTTTTCGTTGTTGTTCTCGGATGGATGATAAAGATGGAAAGAGATTTTTTATTGGATTTATCGAAGGAAAACAAAAAGGAGAATCATGATTTAAAGATGATCTGTTCAACTCAAGTTGACTAAGACTTTCTGTGTCGTCATCCGGATTATTATTTGCATTGGTTAAATCGACATTATCATCGATCCGAACCGAATCCGACGTAGGAGGATTCTCGTTTTCATCTAAGGATAAACAGGCTGCGATTTTCATTTGATTTTGATAAGCTCGTTCTTGTTTCATCTGCCGTTGCGTTGCCGAAGATATCCGTCGGCCAAATTCCATTGTCGAACGTGAACGCACAGCACGCATGATACGATACGAAATAACGATCATTGACAATAACGGTAAATAGAAATTGAACAGCGCGGCGACTGTCTTGAACAGTTTATTCGAACGAAACGATGTATCACATTCAGTTGGTTTATTCACATGACTATGTTGAGGAATAAGATATGACCAAAAGATAACGACTGGCGCCCATAAGAACGAGATAAACCAGATAATAATAATAAAATTAGTTGCTCGTTTACGTGATCGATTCTGAAAATGCCGTATAGGATAAACAACCGCCCAGTAACGATCCAGACTGAGAAGAACGAGATTAAAGATACTAGCCGTACTAAAAGTGAATCTTTTAGACTCGTATATCTGTCTCAAGAAGTTTTCCTTACGTACCTGGCAACGTAATCTACCGACAACCACATCTGACATAGAACTGATGAAAATGGCCACCGACCAACGATAATATTTGCGGCACTCAGCGGCATAACGGAAACTCCGACAATTAGGTCAGCGAATGCCAGACTGAGAATAAATAAATTCGATACGGTTCGCAGGCGCTTTTCTGTTCGTATTGCATATAATACTAATAAATTTCCCATGATAGTAAAGATCGATAGACTAAATAATAAACATCCTAGGAGAACTTTGCGTACTAAGACATCGATCGAGGAGGCCGAAAATGAATTTCTTATTAGAGTTTCGTTCATAATTTGGTGAAAATCTAAAAAGTGAGTTAATGTTTTCATTCGCGACTGAAACGAGAATTTGCGAAATCAACTGATCATCATCAGTCAACGTTTCTCACCTTTAATTTCATCTGACATGAGCTAAATTAAGATTAAGTATGCATCGGGGAACAAAGGAAAAGTCTCACTTCTTACACATATTCATGTCTTTCCGTACTAAGCTTCGACAAATTATGAAGATAGATGCGATACAGACGAGGAGAACGGAGGAAAACGGCGGCATTCTCGCACAGATGTATCTCGATTCGATAGACATAAGGGATCCTGGATGGTGTGTGCCGGACGATTAATCTGTTAGTTGAGTTGTGTTAAATAATTTGACTTAACGAAAAGATTTAAATAGAGAAAAGGACAAAGTTGCGGTCCTTTGTAAGTGAAACTGTCGTTTAGAAAAGAAGATGATCAACTATTAAAGAGATGGACGTCGGTTTAAGTTTATTCGAGAGAAAAAACTCGAAAATTCGTGATGTTGCTTTGCTTAAACGTGCAACCGATTCCTAGACGTTGTTTTAGTGCTTTTTCCTTTTTACCTGCGTGAATTTATTGCGTGTGATGAAATCGGATTTCCTTTTTTTGTAGTTCTATTGTCAAATAATTGAAGAAAATGCATTTTGTCTGCAAGCAAGGGACTCAGCATATAAGGTGAAAGACGAATGACTTTCTTTGAATGTGACTTGTCAGAAAGGCAACTCTTTATTCATGAAAATAGTCGAATAGAGAAGAAAAGTCTCTCTTTTGTTCGTGACAAACTTCGTCAAAGAAAAAACATTACCGGTTACTTCTGTTAAGTGACACTAAAAGTATAGAGGAAATTACTTTTTCTTTTCGAGGATTGAGAAGATCAACATTCCTTGGACTCGTCAGTCGAGTTGGGAAACAATAACATTCTCATCCGATGTTCAGTCATTAGAAAGAGACATTTATTGACTGATCACTGAAGAGGAAAGACGAGTGTTGATCAAGCGATTGTCTCCATGTGAAACAACAGCGTGGAATGGTTAGATAATATAATTGCGAACGAAAGGAACGCTCTTGAGAACAGTGTTGTCAAATTTGACGGTGTTCGGCTCGTCGTCCGAGGTGAAAACGTCTGGCTGATCAATAAAAATAAACATTTCATCTGTCGACAACATTTACAAATTAATGAAGGGAAAAGAAAAACGAACGCGTAATGCGCTGAATCTATCTAGTCGATTCTACGCAGCAGGTTTCTACACACACAAAGAAAATAGTCGATTAATGGAAAGTTTTCCAGCTGATGGCGAAATAAAACTTGATCATGTTGTCTCTTTACTTGTTTGTCTATCTTTCAAGATACTAATTGACCTCTGCTAGGTCTTTATCGTTAGTACGCGCATTAATCATTGTCAATCTTCATTATTGTCCGATGTTCTTCTCCTATCAATTATCGAAGAAAATCATATAATTCTTGTCAATTAACCGACTCAAAAGATACTCGCAGTTGAAAATTTTCGCCAACGAAATCCCTTCGAAACGTGGTTTTCGTAGAATATGCAACGAAAATTTTCCTGAGGAAAGTTATTCAACTCCTCCGATTATCGGAAGTACTTATGTAAATATCAACGGATGCTTGAAGGTTGTCATCGAATTAACAATCAACTTCTACCACTTCCTTACATTGATAAATGACATTCGATACTTAGGGCTCAGAGCATATCATCGAATTTTTCGTCGAAGTGTGTGTCAATACAATGGAAGCAGCTTTGATCATTTTCAAATTCGACTTACCAACAATTTCAGTGAATATCAATGATGTTTTCATTGTTATTATCGAGCCACATGCTCTACAATACTTCTTTTCATACAAATCAAATCATTCGACTAGGCACAATTGTAGAATAACGGCTGGTGCCGAACATCGACTATCTAAATGGTTCCATTAGTTTATTTTATGTACATTTAGACAAAAAATAGATGTAATATAATTATCTCACAATAACAGAACAGAATACAGCGGGTGTTATCGTGAAATTATTGTGTAACACAGACTGACTGGATTTCCTATCGAAATTTCAAGCATTACTTCCAAAAAAGTCAGTTTTTTCACCGATTGAATGAGAACACAATCACTGATATAATCGAATTATCTCGAATCTATTCAATTCGATTCTGAGTTGACGTGCAAACGAAGTACAACAATGATCTGAAATTTGTTTGTTGACATTCTCCATGCATGTACGAAGAGTTATTTAATCAATAAATAAAAGAAAAGAGCCTTGAGAGGCGTTGTGTTTTGGGAATGAAAGAAAGAGAACATCGAAAATGATATCGATCTCGTATTTTCCATCCTCATGTTCAGACGAGCATAGTGAGCTGCTTATTTGCGTTAACTCTAATATGATTTTCTACATTTATGACAGAAACTAGAAAGAGGACTCTTCTGTAGTTCTTCTCATTTCAGCATGGAAAACAAGGACTTTCATACGCGAAATCATGTTTATTTTGCGATGATCTGTCTTCTTCTGTGGTTATCATACTGTTGGTGGCTTTCGGAGCAATATCGGTTTGATTTTGGTCGATTTACAGCTGTTCTACGTCTAGTATTTTGTGTGATACATGTTCTCATTATGTGGAAATGCTCGCGATATTTTATGAACCTTTTGCTTCGGTTTTATCGTTTTAGTCAACGTTTACAAGTTGCTGTGACTGATCAGTTAATTCTGATTGTGTTATCTGTGGTCTTATTCTTATTATTGACATTCGTATTGGATTTTAAAGATTTTGTACGCGATGCTTTTGCAGTAGTTGATTAGTTTTGTTGTTTTGTCAAATAATCAGTAAGGAGAGTGGAAATCGTATCTTATTTTTCTCATTATCTTCACGGTCGAAGAGATTCTCTGATTGAATTTACCATGTGTTGACTCATAGACTTGTTGCACAACAAATGTATATATACTGTTGTTAGGCAAACATTCCGATGAGTCATCGATAAAAGTAGTTCATGTTTTTCTTTCTTTGTGTCAAAACGACAGAAAAACATTATTTTCGTCACGAATCACCCAACGATGGCAACGTATCTTTATCAATGGGGAATTATACATGATTGTCAAACAAGTAAGCGAATTAAATGTAACGTACCAGTGAAAATGACCATGGGTCAACGAATTGAAAGTCAGTTCGTTCAGGTTACATGCGGAACGAATCTTACACTTGTTCTCGATTCGAACCATCGAGTATATGTCATAGGCGACGAGCCAAAATATGGTCGACTCGGTCAAGGCGATGATAAAACGATCGTCCCTACGTTAACTCCAATCAAAGGAAAAGTTCCGCCGATTGAGTTTATCGCATCTGGACCATCGACAAGTATTCTATTAACCACCGATCGAAGAGAATTGTGGGGCTTTGGAAAAGGTATAGGACATGTTGCACAACCGATTCTCGTATCCGAAGAACTGATTACTCATTGTACTTGTGGTGAAAATTCTGTGATTGTTGTTCTGAACAATCGTCAGATAAGAGAAAGACGTTTTAACCGCGATGGATTTACTACCGAATGGATTTGTATTTATGAATTGAATGATATGAATGATACCATTCGACATATTGACATGGGTGCATCCGTAAATGGATTCATTACTGAACAAGGTCATGTTTACCTTTGGGGATCGACAGTTCCCGTCGGAAAAGTTTCCAAAGATGAAAATTATCGAAATGTCTCAATCAATGAGCCATTACAGCATGATTTGCCGAACGACAACAATGGTCGTCCCGTTCAGATCTCATGCAGTCGTGGACAATTTCATGCGCATGTTTTACTACTTACAGATCAAGGCTGTATCTATGCAATGGGTTCGAATTATAAAGTCAAATTAGGAGTTGATGCTGACGTGCCCTTTACCGGCCAATGGACGTTAATCGAACTGACTCGTACATGTCCGTTCAAAATGATCGCTACTGGTGGAATACACTCAAGTGCTCTAGCCGTCGACGGACGTGTTTTTACATGGGGTTGTGGTTCCGACGGTCGATTAGGACATTCCGAAGCACAGGGTCATCGATATTTATACAAAGAAAGCGAACCCCGACCGATCGAATCATTAAGTAAACAAGTCCTGTACGTTGCTACTTCTTATTATCACATGGCAGCAATTACCGGCTCGTAAATAAGGTCACGAACAGAAACTGTTGTACTAGAAAGCGCACAGCTGAACTCCGAAGTCAGAGTCAATAAAATTCTCATATAGTACATACTAATATGTTTTTTTTTTCTGTGGGAAGAAACAGTGCAAGTGCTAATATAACTTTCGTTAATTATACTGAAGAAAATTACATTAGTCTAACCTATACAAATGAAATGCTTCGTTTATTTACTTCTCAAGCTGTTCGTTGTTGATTGCAATTCACGTGTTTTTTCGCTCGAAGAAAATAGAAAATTATAATGAGTAATTTGTTATCGACACTGATCAGGATTTTTCTGTTTAATGAATACCTTGTACGAACCATATAAATATTTCTCATTACATTCGAACGTTGCTTTCGAATGTAATATGAATCAGCATACGTTATGGTTCGCTTGATGACGAAAAAACAAATTATGCACTTACAGAAACGAGCCTAGAAATCGAAAAATGCTTCTATCTACTCGTGATGCTCAGCTTGAAAGACGTTTGTCTCAGGCCTTAGCAGCAGATGCTGTCGCGGATCGGTTAAGTTTTGCTGGGACTGACAATACCAGTTTTCAAGGAGATGGGACCTCGGAAAATCGTGTGCCGAGTATTTTATTCCCAGCTCAATCTGGAACACAACCGGCATCGGCCATCGTAAGTATCGATGAAGAAACAGCAGTAGCAAACGATACGACACAAAAAAAATCTTCTCCGAAGAAGGGATATCGATGGAAGATGAGTCACTACTTTTATGTTCATATTACTTTCTTCATTCTCAATGGATTCTTTTGTGGATTAGTCATTTGGTTAATTGAGAATCATTCTTCAGTTCGCAATCAATTAATGGAAGTCGCATATGTCGACGCTTGGTTCGTTGCTAGTTCATGTGTGTACAATTGTGGACTGACAACCATGGATTTCGCTAAACTTTCTAAAGCTTCTCAAACTGTTCTAATGGTTTTTACGTTTCTTTCCGGCATCACGATTAGTACATTGCCAGCTTTGGTTGTTAAAGCTCGTTCACATAAAAATGTTCAAGGTATAAATGTTGATGACGATGTAGAAGATGAGAATGACGATGAGCTGCCAACGATTAATACTCGTCGACGAAGACATCTGCCGCAGGAAATTCGTGATCAATTGGCTTCATTACCAACGGCCGCGCAGCTTCGTTATCGCGCTTATATATTATGTATCGTTCTGATTCTCATCACTTGTTTTACTATTTATTCATTAACATTCATTGCGATCGGTACTTGGTTATACTCACAATATACATCCGAACAATTAATCCAAGGAAACTCGAGTATTAACCCATTTTATATTTCTTTCATCGTAACAGTAACAGGTTTCAATCAAAATGGTTTGACACCATTCTCCGATGGATTTTCACGTTTCGTTTACGATGTTTTTCTCAATATAGCTGTCATGCTTGTAAGTGATTTCATTGGCATTTCTATTTGGAACTAAACACGTTCTTCTAGATCGTAGTTAGCGGCACATCGCTTTTCCCATTCTTATTTCGTAATTGTGTCATCTTAATCCGTCGTCTAGCTCCATGGCGGCACAAAGTTATTTTCGATTACATTCTTATGAACAACCATCGTCTGTCCACTTTACTCTTTCCAGCTGTGCAAACTCGTATTTATCTTTTGATCACCGCACTATTATACATCTTAGGTGTCGGTATCTCGTTAATACTTGATTTGAATCGCAGTACATTTGCTATGTATCCGCCGGGCACACGTGTGCTGATATTCTGTTTTCACACAGTCAACACACGTTTCGCGGGTTTTAACACAGTTGACATGAATTCGTTTGCAACAGCGACGTTGGTTGTTTACTTGATGTTAATGGCAACGAAGCCGCAAATGTTGTGTGCGTTAGATGAAACGCCTTTTGAATTATCATGGTTAGCTTTACAAGCAAGGGAAGAGGTTGATGCACAAACTAATCCAACTGCACTTGCTCCGGAAAGATTGAGTATAGCTGGACGAAGTCGAGTCGGATCGATTTCTTCGTCAGCCTCCGGAGCTTTACCTATCCGACATATGAAACAGTTCTTACGTCGGCAGAGTTTTGTAACCAAAGATCGTGCTCGACAACATTTTGCCAACACAGTAGGATCTGATGAAAATCAAGAAAATTCTCGAAGTTTAAGAATAATACGTATTCGATTGTTTTTAATCTATTTTATTCGTGCTCTGATGAAACATACATTTAGTTTTGTTGTTCTCACACGAACATGGTTATTTTTCTTCATATTTCTTATCTGTGCGATCGAATATCGTCGAATTGCACCTGTTGATCCCGAAATAACACTATTCAAAATCATCTTCGAGATCATATCGGCTTTCGGTGCTGTTGGTTTAACACTGGGATATCCAAATGTTTCATCCAGTTTCGCGACTGTTCTTTCGCCTGCGAGCAAGACAATTTTAGTTATGACAATGCTCATGGGCCGACATCGTGGTCTCCTGGCGTCAATGAAAGATCAAGAAGCGATTGAGCACAGTGCATCTGATCTACTGCACCGTACACGAGAAGAACTCATCTACAAATACGAAAAAAAGAAGCCAAAAATCAATCCTAGTTTTGAACAAGAACCTGAAATGATCACAATCCGATTGTAAATACTATTTTTCTAATAAACGATCGTAGCGTTTAGGAACGCCAAACTTTCCAAGCGATAAGAGAATTACTTGAGCAAAACACACATCTTACACTGAATCGTTTGAGTTAACGTGAGATTCCATTGGGATTTATTTGGCAAATAACTCATATCCTTCGGGGACAAGTTCAATCGATCTCCGTCAGATCTGTTCTGATGATTAAGTACGTACCTATCGATGAAAGTTTTTCGGAGAACAAAAAACACGAACTCGAGACTGATTGACATGGTAAACAATCGGACAATAGATCCGACAAGCATGAACTCTAACTTCCCGTCGATCTTGATTCGAATAAGAAGAGTCCTTAAGCTGTTCATATTCTAAACAAGAGATCGCGAACTCAATTAGTATTCCTATTTGTTTACCATGAAGCATTATTAAACTATTCGATGGTTGAAATAACTCCACATCAGTACAACTCTCTACACGTTAACAAACGTCGGGCAACGAGTATTTCTTTTTCTGCAAAAGAACTACATCAAAGATGCTTTTGTCATCTCCCTGAAGTATAACGTAAATATTTACCGAAGAAATTACTTTACTTCGATGTCTGCAAGATGTCATAAGTGACGGCACAGCTTGAGAGTTAAGTTTTCAGAATCTTTTCAAAGTATTTGTTGGGAGTTTTTCAGACGACGAACGAGAATCATTTACATCTTATTAATATCAAACTAAAAGCAAGTGAGAAAGAAAAGATTTGCCTATTGTTGATTAATTCTTCTTTGGCGAGTACAGCCGTTCGCATGTTAAGAGATGTGATTAAAATTTTCCATTCATTTCACGTCTTAAGAGAGCAATGTCATTTTCATATTATAATACAACTTCAAAAATTCACTTGATTGTCATGTTCAATTATTATAAATCATCATAGTTTTCTGTTTTCGACTACGAATTTCATCGATCGATCACCATCAATATTCATCAATCACATCTCTTTTTCCAACTAATTCATCACAAAAAATATCGCAGACGTAGAAAAGTAATTCACTTTGAACTTATTTCAGTCTAATTCAATTCTTCTTCATTTAGTTCTATTCACAAAGAACTGCAAGCCATTTTCTGCCTTCTTGAAAAATCATTGAGTAACAAACAATGGTGCATATAATAATGAAATCTAATCAGTGTATTTAATAAGCGAGAACGACTTATTTCATATATAGATACAAGATACATTCACATATAGATGAATAGCACTAATATACAAAAGAAAAAAAAGGAAAATAATAGTGTAGTGACGATGGCGAGAACAACATTTCCCATCTTCTTTTTAATGATGTTAGAAATATCTTCCTATTTCTCTAAGATACTCGACGTTTTCCAGTAGACTATGAAGAAAACGTAGGAAAGAAAGGAAGACAGAGAGGAGGGAGGGAGGGGGGCCGAAAGTTTTGTTCGCCTGTCATATAATTACATAGGCTTTAGTCAATTCTTATTCTGCTGAAATGAGTATATGCTTCTTTAAATTTGCTGATCTGATTATTATTATCACAATCAGACGAATCTATGTGGCACGTACAACTGAGAACATTTGAAATACCAAGCACAGCACCATTCTTCAGAAAACAACGAACTATCGGATTATCATCCCTTCTCTGAGAAGATCTGCTTTTCTTCTTTGCTCCACATACTCTATCGAACGTGAAACTTCAGATTTCTTTTCTTTTCGTCAAAATCATGTCCCCTATCAGGGTTTAACCTAGAGGAAACAGAATGAATTGAGGTAGAATTCTCATTAATTAGTCCATTAATACTCCAAGTTCACATGACGGTTCATGAAAAAAAAGTCATTTCAAGTAGAAACTTATTTAATTACGACAATTACAGTCTTAGTACGATTCCAGTATGTAATTATATATTGATTTCTAGTTCATTAAAAATTATTTTCCACGAATAAGAATTCAGAGCAAAGTCTGTCAGCGAGGAAAGGAAAAGAACTATTGTGTTCTTTCTTCTGCGCTCGACATGAAGATGATAGAAAACGGATGCACATGCTACTTCTCTCTTCAGGGAAAGACACGGAGAAAGTCAGGCGCAACAACATTTATAGACAAGAACCTCTGAGAAAATGAAACATTCACAGATCTGCTTATTATCGGTTAATATGATTCAACAAGTAAGATGTGCAGAACTAGAAAAATCGTTACTTCATCAAAATTCTTATTTATTTCTCTTTCGAGAATGGATAATGTAATTTCTATCTATGTCATATGTTTCCATTTTATTGATAATTATCTCATAGTTTTCTCTTCAAGTGGAATATTAATATTTAATTGTTTGGCTGTCATGTGGAAACCGACTTGCTTTCTTTTTTTTACAGATAACACATTGACCTACAGATGGAAGTGATGGATCTGAACTTCACCACAGTAGAACCCCCGGTTGAGAATGCTAATTCTCTAAATCATTACATTCGTTTGATAAACTTGTGTGTTTCCTGCATCGGTGTGTTGACCAATTCTATTTTATTAATTGTTCTTTTACTACTTCGACGTCATCAATGTACCACATATTTCCTCTTGATCATCATGACGTTATGTGATTGTCTCTACTGCGTCGTCTACGCGAGTATTTTATTAACAATCGAATCCTACGTAAATATAATTAACCATCAGATTCTTTGCCCATTATCATTTTTTCTTACGCCATTTACTTTCACCGGTTCGACACTCTTGTTATTCGTTTGTCTATTACATTTAATTACAAACTACGCTCGGCATTATGATAGTGTCTTAGGACAAATCGGTGGACGTTTATCTGTGGTGTTTATCTTTGCTTTTATTATCATTCGTAGTGTTTTGGGCTCGACCTCAATCAATTTAGTAGCTGATGCACAAAGCCCCAACGTTCACAACTGCATCATCGACATCAACACAAACGAATTGGTGACAAGAATCCAAAATATAAATCACATCTTCGCTGAGGTTACAGACATTCTCGTTTATCTCGGTTGGATCGTCCTATTGGTAATTTATTTGTTTTCTTCGAAAAGTTCATCGCAACGGAAAACGATCCAATCAGTGAAGTTTTTAATCACGAAATCCACGCGGCAGGAGACTTTACTTGTTAACACTGATGAACGATTGACCAGCAAAGAACGTCATCGTGATATTTCAGTAATTATTCTTGTTATTGGGTTCATGTCAATTACTCTATATCTGCCGATTATTATTAGTAAATTCGTGACTTTGGAATTGACTTATCGGTATAAAACAATCTTATCCGATCGACAAATATTTGTTTTACAAATCGTTCAACAAGTAGCGCATTTGTTTTGTTTAACCATTCGATTTGTTCCATACGTTTTCTTTGATAAACGAATTTATTCGTACATTCATCAGTCAATTGGCATGAAAATTCAAAGAAAACGATCGTCGAAGAAACGTTTGCAAAAGTATATTTGTCATTGTCAATGTTCGCGTCGACAAGAACCATTAGAGTCATTATAAACCTTTGCAAAAATAAAAAAGCACTCATATTCTAGTGAAATAAAGAGTCTTTCTTCAAGAATTCATATGTTAGTGAATTTCTAGCGGTATCGGATAGAAATAATTCCAAGCTTAGAAGTTTCTTTGTATGACAGCCTTATCTATACTTTTTACTCTTAAAGGAACGACGTATGCGACAGGAAAAGGGTTATAAAAACGTCGGCCCTAATTTACTATTAAACGTAGCTCATTAGTTATTAATTATCGGTTGCATATTGCTGAGCCGTAGGAATCTTCAAAATGTCAACCTGCTGAGTAGTGTGACTTGATGCTGAGCGGTATGAATGATGAGAACTTCCGTCTTGTAGAGCAGTGTGACATGGTGCATATCTGCGACAATGCAGCGAGAGAAACTAAAAGCTACAGAAATCATTAAGACTTAGAGAACAATCGATTGAGTACAAAACAGATTTTCTTCTTCTACCTCATTTTTCTTCACGAGTCAACTTGTCTGAACTTAATTCAGTCATTTGTTTATTTACTCAAAGATATTCGTGAAAATTAAAATAAAGCAATGAACGTAAATTAACTTTAATCACTGCATAAATCACAATAGATTGCAAGATATTAGTCACCTTTGCATTGTTTTTAAACAGCTAGATATTGAAGTGAAGTATATCTTTTCATTAATAATTACGAACACTGCATTAGCATTTCAAACAGCCGTTTGAAGTATAGCAAAGAAGAAAAATGTTCCCAATACTACATCCATTTTTGTAAATGCGACCTTTCGATATTCATATCGTTCGACGCCGTGTCACACTACTCGGGAGATTGACGTTTTGAAAATTCATACTGCTCAAAACTATGCAGTTGATAATTAATAACTAATTAGTTACGTTTAATAAAAAAAGCTAGGGCTGAAATTCCGACACCCGATAAAAAATATATACAGTAATCAGTTCTAAACGATCATCTGATTAGAAAGTGAATAAAAGCAACTAATTATCTCAGATTCCGATTCGATCTGCCGGTATGCAAGGTGAATGATAACAGGGAGCGACTGTCTAGTCAATAGTTTACTGAAATTCGGTTATAATACACCTGAAGACATGAAAATATGTCGCCGTTCGAGTTTGTTGTCTAATGAGAGACACACGCTGTCATATCTAAGCATTCATTTGTTTATTTTCTATGTCATTAGTTTTACTGCGAGTAAAGAGAAGTTGTAGTTGTTGATGCATTTGACATGACTATAATTAACAAATCGACAGAATGAAATGTTTCTCGAATGATTATAGTTTTGTGCATGGTCGGTTTCGTCGAAGAGAATGGTAACTATGAATAATTCATCTGACTTGAAATTGTAGATTGATATGCAAGGCATTCGAAAGAACGGATATGCACGTTTCCGCTGATTTCGAAAGCTCGGAACTGAGAATGAAAGATGTGTGAGGAGAAAAACATGTATTTTTCGACAAAGAAGATTGAATTTGGTGATTGATGGTTTTTGTTTATTCTTATTTTATTTTTCAAAACGTTGTTAAATTTGTTTTTAACAATAAACGGTGATGAGGATGATGATGATGATGTTTATTTGGATTTCTTTTGTTTGATTTTTTTCATGTAAAAATCGAGTTCTTTGCCTTCGAGAACATAACCATCGCAACGGCCGCATTGACCAGGTCGAGAAGCAACGCAAGCGAGAACACGACCAGCTTGAAATTGTTCTTCGAGTCCTTGTTCAACTTTAGCACGGCGTTGTTTAACTGCAAGTTTCTTTTGCGATTTAGCTGAACGTTTACGGTTGAGAACAGCTTCTTCGGCTTCAGTCAATTTCACACCTTTCTTACGACCAAGTGGTAGACCATAATGTGATTCATACCATTGTCGAAAGGGAACAGCATCGATTTGTACGATAGTTGATTTCGTTAATGTTTTTGTACGTACTAATTCCTGAAAGAAAACAAGACGACAGGCTGGATTTAAGAGAAGTATTCGATGGAAATACGAACGTTATTAGATGGATGATACATAACATCGATGACACGTGTCTTTTTGGCAATTCCTTCTGAACCCCAGGAGAAGTTACCGATATCCAGACGTAAAGCACGATATTTTTTATTTCCACCTCGTGTACGTACAGTGTGGATACGTTTGGCACCTAGTTTGGTTAGAGCAGCTGGTCGGCCTAATTCGAATTTTCGCTTCTTGTGTGGTTGTGGTCGTTTACCGCCGGTCTTTCGTCGTTTATGCCAATGATCACGACTAATACCCATCTTTTTCTACGAGGATGGTTCAATAAAAGATGATCTAAAAGCAAATTCCAACAAGTTTGATCAAATCGCAATTTTTACATGTAAAATTACGAAAATAATCATTTTTCGAGAATCCATCTTTAGTAAAGACAACTGACCAGTGAGAAATCGGTGTGAGGAGGACAGATAAAATAAATAAAAATATTTTCGACGAGGAAAACTCCCTGGCAATTTTTATACACATTCATGGAAATGAATTTTAGAGAAAAAATCACATTTTTTAGAGTCGGAGTTTTCAAGCGACATCTATCGAATGGTACTTATATACACTCAGCAGTCAAAACATTCTGAGTTCGAAAGTTAGAGAGTCCGATTCTTGTCTAAAAACTCCCGACAGAAAAACCATACGCTTGTCCACATCACTTCCCACTCTTTATCAAACGAAGAATACTCTCTTTCGTGTAGGATAACACATGATCTGTTCTAACTTCCTAAAGGACGTGTACGGGTTTCTTCTCTGTCCATATATGAAGATATTTGGTCTAGTCTCGTGCATTGGATTATGACTGAGAAGCGTTGCGGAATTTCGGGAGAATGTGAAAGTGAAATTTCGTTACCGAGCGCCCCCTTTTCGTAGATCCTCTACATGAAAGCCAGATCACATGCTTATAGTAATGGCGAGCCAATGAGTACAGCATTGATCGAAAGTGTCTTATCTCGAACTAAACGTTTTCTATTTAAAATAGATCAGCAAATTCATTTCTTCAACATTCATTGAAGTTCAGTCTGGTCATGGCTAAAAGCAAACGAAGTAAACATATGCGTGCAATGCGCAAGATTCTTCGAGAAAAATTAGCCAAAAAAGATGAAGTGAAACGACTCGCATCTTTAAAACAAGACAATCTAATTCGTAAGTTCACTTCTATCACTAATGTGCCACTAATTCACTTTTTTTTTCAAGCATCAACTGTGCCAATTCCAGAGCGTACAGCAAACGACGAAGGTAAATGGAATTTCTTTTTTCACCTGCCGACAACTTTTCCATCAATATGAGTAGAGATGCAAGTCGGCGGTAGTGGCACATCGGAGTTCAACAGTCGAACGTTGAAGAACAAAGATGGTCAATATCCTTCATGGTTAAGCGGTCGTCAACGAAAACACCTTCAAGCTAAGCAAGCAGTACAAAAACGAAACGAAAAACAAAAGAAGATGAAGAAAAACGCAGGCAAGGTCACAAAACGCAAGAAAACTCAAACAAAGAACAAAGCCGAAGCTATGTTAACCTAATTGTTATTGTTTTGTTGATAAAAGAAAATGATTTCAGACTTTGACTTAGTACTTTCTAAGCAGATTTTACTAAATGAAAAGTCATTTTTCGATTATCTCAGAGAGATTTGTGTTTTGTTATATTAATACATTGAATTTCTTTTCAGATATTTGTCTTCAACCATATTCCGACAAATCTTTCGTCGTTTAACATCAGCCGGTGGTTCCGGTGACACTGGCATAGCTGACAAAGTCCAGCAATTAATCACCGGTCACAAAGTGATTGTTTTCTCTAAAACTACTTGTCCGTTTTTCATCAAATTTGCAATCGTGTTCGAAGGTTTCTTCTTCATTTAGGTCCTTACTGCATCAAAGCTAAACAAATTCTTAGTAAATATAAATTAAAGGATTACAAAGTGATCGAACTCGATGAAATCGATCATGGAAATGAGTATCAGAACGTGTTAGGTAAACTGACTAACGCTCGATCGGTTCCGCGGGTATTCATCGCTGGGGAGTGCATTGGCGGCGGTGATGATACGGAACGATTAGACCAGAATGGTGATTTGGAGAAACGATTGAAAAAAGTCAATGCGATTGAAAAGTGAAAAACAAATTATTTCAATTCAGATAGATTTATTCAAGCTGCTCGTTTTTACCTGCATAAATTAATAGAAAATTTTCTTTCAGATTCAAAGAGAAATGACTGCGACAAGTAATGAACGAGAAAAAGATCTTGAGAAGCTCTTTAAGATTATCCACAATGTGAAATATGCCATGCTAACAACAGTTAATGAAGATGGAACACTTCATAGTCGGTAAGGTGATATCCGTTGAGTGACGTTTGTTTGACGGTTTTATTGAAGGCCAATGGTGAATAAACAAGCCGATTCGTTTCATGGTGAACTTTGGTTTTTTACTCAACGAAGTGGTAAGACTTCCTTGAATAATTTACTTTTCTCATTAATCTTGGAATAGCACACAAAGTAACCGAAGTGAAAAAAGGCTCCGAAGAAGTCAATATTTCCTATGCTGATCCGGAAAATCAATCATGTACGGAATTATTCACTGTGGATTCTATAGAACGAATTTGATTCTTGTTTGCAGATGTTTCGATCAGCGGTCGAGCAGATCTAGTGGATGATAATACCAAAAAACGAGATTTATGGAGCGAATCTCTCAAAGCCTGGTAAGACGTTCCGTAAACCCATAATCAGTTTCGAAATGTGTGTGTATAGGTTTCCAAAAGGTCTCGATGATCCTGATCTAACACTACTTCGGTAAGGCGAAAAATCTTTGATATTTTCATTCGACAGACCGTTTTGTTTAGTATTACCATTGGCGAAGCTGAGTATTGGGATTCGTCATCAACAGTAATGCAGAAATTATACGGATTAGCCAAAGCAACGATCCTAGGTGATCACACCGCTTTGGCTGGTGAAAATAAAAAACTTATTTTAAATTAAAATTTCTTCTACAGCAATAATCAAGCAAATATTTTCAATTTATTTTGTCAGTTTATATATTGATACTATTCAAGCATTTCATGTCTTTTTTTTCTAATCGAATAAATTTTGTTTACAGTGCTTTTTGTAAATTGACTTGTTAGAGCAGATGTTAAGTTGACCTAAATGAAATGTACCAACGTAGTTACTCACTAATCGATTCTATTCCTTCGTAATTGAATATCTAGGAGATCGAAATATGAATTAACTTGTGCTATTTCGAGCAAGAGACACTAATTAACGTTGTAATTGCGATATGGATACACGAAAACTGGGAAATAGAATTAAATTTAATAGGAAAAAGGTCGATCGACAATTTCTCGGAGTTTCTTTGATATGACAAAAGGAGAGAGAGAGATTCAATTTGTTCTCAGCGTCTTCCATCCCACGCGTATTGATCGATTTTCTCTCTTCGATCTCATACTGATATATATGTGTTTTTTTATGAATACGACGCTCGACTTCAAAAAGATACTCATTCGATCATTTCCAACATCAACATGCAACCCACATTCATTGTCCGACTCTCAATGGCCGTGTGCCTACTTTCGCTCTTCATCACTGCTGTTCTCTCCACACCTAGTGTAAGTTATTCTCTACACCTGAACATGATTTTCACACGTTTTGCTCCTTTTTAGTCATCCAAGTCAAACTCAGAGTATGTCAAAAGACTTTCTCATCTGGAGGAACCATCCATTAATCATTTTAGATCTAATGCTCGAGTAGCTCGATCAACATTTAGCGACTCCGATGAAGAACTCGTGAAGTACTGTGCCGATTTCTGTTCCAATCATCAAGCATTTACAAAACGGTAAAACTCTAAGCTTTTCGATGTACACGATGAACTTTCTTCTTGTTCCTTTCAGTGCTTATTTGAAAGGCTTCGTTCATGGGCGCTCGACTGATGAAGACAGTGAAGTCGAAGATACCAGTGATGATCTCGAAAAACGTTTCGTTCATGGTAAAAGATTTGTTCACGGCAAACGTTTTGTTCATGGCAAACGCTTTGTTCACGGTTAAATACGATATGCTTACCAATTTTTTCTAAATAAAAACATTTGATTCCTATATGAAATGAATATTTTAATAAAAATCTCTTGTGAACGACTAACGACATCTATCGGCTGATTTCAAACCGTTTTCTCTTCGTTTCCTCTGGCAACGACAGGAAGAAGAAAAGAGAATTGAATAGACGGATCGATTGATTCTTCATGAATATTGCTAAAACATGTTGAAAACACATACTCAATATAAAATCAATAATCAAACAATTTTAGAAGACCATATCGATGACAACTACGAACCAACTGATGAAGAACTTCATGAGTATGCCACATACATCGGAATTGATATCGAAAAAGTAACGACAAACGGACGGAAGTTTTTCTTGAGATATTCTTTGCATGATTAGGAATCGGATCTTCTCTGGCTGGCGAAAGAAGGTTTTATGAAACCGTTGCCCTCGGGTTGGAAAGCTTGTCAAGAGGAGAATGGTGAATTGTATTATTTCAATTTTGATACTGGAAAATCTTCTTGGGATCATCCGTACGATGAGATTTACAAAGCGCGCGTTATTCAAGCACGGTAACAAGAGAGAGTTCGGATGAAATTGCACACGATTTATTTTGTCACTGATTAGGGAAAAGAAATCTCTAGCAACCGTTATGATCGACTCTCATTCGAGAGGTAATCGTTCTTGACTTAATCAAATGTTTATGAACTGTTTCGTTGTTCAATAGGGAAGAATACGTTGAGTATCAGCGAATTATCAAGTGAAAAACATGTATATAACGTCAAAAATGAAACAAGTGATCATCATGATGGTGAATCATTCGAAGAGACAATATTGCATTCAATCTTTACACTTTAGATTCGGAAAATATTCATAATAGTGAATCGGAAATGGAATTGAACCATAGCGACAATGGTCCAGAACATAATAGTAACGATTTCGGTAAATATATGAAATTCATGTCGACAAACTGTCAGTTTTATTTACATAGACAATGAAGGTTATTGTAAAATCGTTTATAACTCATAGCAAAAGACGTTGTATGAGAAGCACTTGAAAGGCAATAGAAACAGTTTTTTTGTATAAGTGGGCTGAATTTCAAGATGTTTAGATGAATAACAGATTTTTTTGTTCGAATCAACTCATGTTCTAATTTTTATAGGGATCGACCGACAAATATCAGCGTGTATCGATCATGAACAAAACGAAGCATCCGAATTACCTACGATCTCCGATGTTATTGGTGTCCATGGTAAAATACTCTCAACTCACTTTTCAATGACAAAGTTCACATTTTGTAGAAAACAACAAAGATAGTACTGAACGTGCAAGAGTTGCTAATTTAGCTGCTGAAGCTGCTGAACGCCGTCGGGAAACGAATAAAGCTCCAGTTGAAGTAATGTGAAATTAGTTTCGATGAAAATCTGAGTTTTGATTCTCGTAGGAAAGTACTTTCATCACACCGCGTGAAGATTTAGAAATAACAAAACTACGAACTCGACTTGAACAGTATGAAGAATATTTTGCTAATGTGAAAAGTTCATTCGATTGTGTTAATTTCAGATCGATAAATGAAGAGAAATTAGAATTACTCGAAGAAAATCGCATACAGATGGAAAAGGTCAAAGCTGAATTGGAATCAACCAAACAACAACAAGAACGAGCATTGCGCGATCAAATGAAATCAGAATTAACGTAAGAAAACCATACAAAACGATGGAATATCTCTAGGCGAACTGTTTCGTTAGATTAACAGAGAAGACTCTTCGGGAAAAGCTCGAACAAGAGAAGAAACTGCTCATTAGTCGCCACCAAAACGATCTGATTGTACTGAAACAAAGTATTGAAAAAGAAAAACAAGATCTACAGAAGAAATTAAGGTTTGTGCTTTAATTTTCTTCGATTTAAATCGATAAATGCATCTGGATATTTAGAGCTGATATGCTATCAGATCTGAATCTTGAACAACAAGATAATGTTAATATGCAAATACGTTTATTACAAGTCAAACATGAATTTGAAGAGGTTTGTTGGATTCTCCATTGCATAATTGACGTTTTGATTCGATTGACTTTTAGAAATTGCGTAATGCAGAAAATCGATACAAGAATGAAATCGAAGATTTAACTCGACGATTTGAAAAAGTGAAAAGCGAAAAAGATACTGTTGAAAAACGTCTGAAAGAAGTAAATTTCTGGATTTTATATTCGGTCATCTAAGGACGAATATTTTCATCTTCCTTCAGAAAAATCAATTTTGTTTGACTATCCAACGAACTCTGGATCAATTACGTGGCGAAAAATTTTCTCTAGAACGACAACTTCACGACGCCGAGTTCGAACTCAAAACCATCGACAGTATTCATCGTCAAAAGCAAAAATCAACCTCCAGCCGCGTAGACAACGACGAGAATTCTAAAACCGAACAAACTTTCAGTCATATTCCCAGCGCTTCTCTCCACAACGAAGAAGAGCACGATGATGATGACGACGAAGGACTAAGCGACACTGATAGTGATATTATCGAAATGAAACAAACATTGAACGCTCTGAAGCATATGTCATTTCTTCCAACTCCCACTGACCCAAACCACGATAAACCACGCCCGAAATCCTCAACAATCAACTTTACGACAATAACCAAACAAGACACCAGTCCGATTACTCGAAATATTCCATTCGAACGAACACCTAATTCCTCTTTTATCGACTCCGGTCGATGGTCGAGCACAATGCCGACAAAAACCAACAACAATACATATCCGATTGGAGTACAAGCGTTACCAAACTCTCCGTCAATGTCAAAGACAACCTATTGGCAATCGCAACCAAGTCTTATAACAAGAGAAGCTGTTTTGAAAGCTGCACGTGATGTTCTTCCTCCTGGTGTTATTGATCATTTAACATCAACACATTAATTAGTGCAAAGCAAAATAATAAGATTATTTTTATCTTCGTTCTGTTCTTTTTCGTCTAAATTTCGTAGTTTGATTTAGGTAACCCGGTCGTAGCAGAGATAGTGAGTCTTGAGATTCAACCATATGTTAATATATTTATGCGTCAGTATTTCTCTTCATACTTCTTCAGTGTTTTCTATTTTTTGTAGTGATTGTGTCTGAGATAATTACGAGAATTTTCTTTTCCTCTTTATGAAATGAAATAAATTATTCTTTGCTTGAATTTCATTGTCGACAAGGTGCGACATCTATTTGACGTCTTGCACGTTTATGCAGTGCGACGTTGTCAGTAGCCATAACTGTTTCCTGTGCGATTGCAACGTTGCGTTAATCTTTGAATGGTATTTATTGGAAGACGACTGGCCGTTGTGTCTGCGTAGAATAAAATCAGCGAACAATCGATCTCGTTAGTTGCTTTTTCTTAGTTTTTCTTTTCAACAATCCTTAGAATCGAGTAGAAATCTTATCACTATCAAAATGGGTATCAAATTTCTTGAATTCGTCAAGCCATTCTGTCAAATTATACCAGAAATTCAAAAACCTGATCGCAAAATTCAATTCCGTGAAAAAGTCTTATGGACAGCCATCACATTATTCATATTTTTGGTCTGTTGTCAAATACCTTTATTTGGAATCATGTCATCCGATTCTGCTGATCCATTCTACTGGTAAATAACTGAAAAGCACAGCCATCGAAATATCTTCTCTCTTTAGGATTCGTGTTATTCTTGCATCAAATCGAGGTACATTGATGGAATTAGGTATTTCACCTATCGTCACGTCTGGTCTCATCATGCAATTGTTAGCCGGTGCCAAAATCATTGAAGTCGGTGACACACCCAAAGATCGTGCTCTATTCAATGGAGCACAAAAACTCTTCGGTATGGTCATTACCATTGGACAAGCGATTGTCTATGTGATGACTGGCATGTATGGTATTCCATCGGAAATCGGCGCTGGTGTTTGCCTTTTGATCATCATTCAATTATTCGTTGCTGGTTTAATCGTTTTACTGCTCGATGAATTACTTCAAAAAGGCTATGGTCTCGGCTCTGGTATTTCGCTATTTATTGCAACGAACATTTGCGAAACCATCGTTTGGAAAGCATTCAGTCCAGCTACAATCAATACCGGACGTGGCACTGAATTCGAAGGTGGTATCATTGCTTTGTTCCATCTTTTGGCAACACGACATGATAAAGTTCGAGCTTTACGTGAAGCTTTCTACCGTCAAAACTTACCCAACTTGATGAATTTACTTGCCACAGTTCTCGTTTTTGCAATTGTTATCTACTTTCAAGTGAGTGCACTCGACATTTCTCAGTCCGAAAACAATTTTCTCTTGGAAAATCTCATTTAGGGCTTTCGCGTTGATCTTCCCATCAAATCAGCTCGCTACCGTGGACAAACATCATCTTATCCAATCAAATTGTTTTATACATCCAACATCCCTATCATTCTTCAATCGGCTCTTGTTTCGAATTTATACGTCATCTCACAAATGTTATCGACAAAATTCGCCGGCAACTTTCTCATCAATTTATTAGGTGTTTGGGCTGATAACGGTCCACAACGATCATATCCGATCGGTGGTTTGTGTTACTACCTATCACCACCGGAATCGTTTCAAGCTATGCTGACGGATCCCGTTCATGCTATTCTTTACATTGTATTCATGCTCGGTTCGTGCGCATTCTTTTCGAAAACATGGATTGAAATCTCCGGTTCAAGTGCCAAAGACGTTGCCAAACAATTAAAAGAACAACAGATGTAAGTGTTCATTGAATATAAGCTGGAGAGGAATTTAACGGGCTTGTTTGTGTAGGGTCATGCATGGTCACCGTGAAAAGTCAATGATTCATGAGTTGAACCGATATATTCCAACAGCTGCTGCCTTTGGTGGTTTGTGTATCGGTGCATTGTCCGTCTTAGCCGATCTTCTTGGTGCAATTGGTTCGGGTACTGGTATTTTATTGGCTGTCACAATTATTTATCAATACTTCGAAATCTTTGTCAAAGAGCAGAATGAACTCGGTGGCATGGGTACACTTCTGTTTTAAGATAGAGAAAAGAAAATTTCTTTTTAATACTTATTTGTCGCTACATTCGTTTTTCTTTTGTTTTCTTCTCTTAGTCTTATTTATGTTGTGTATTTGTGTATGTTATCTCAACAACAGAGATGATGGAGATTATAAAACTTCTTTTGTTTTGTTTTGTTTGTTTGTTTTCTTCGCCTTGAAACGATTGAATGAGAAAGATAAAAGAACATTCGGATTGGTCTTCAAACAGATTGATAATGTTGTTTCGTAGTTTCTAGTTACCATTTGTATGCCTATGGATATTCAATGTTCTGTCATTTTCTTCTTTGTTCGTCTTCTTCTTCTTCTTCTTGTTATATCGTTATTGTTTTTACTTGGAAGTGAACTGTTTTGCGAGAAAATGATACTTTGTAAGAGAAACGATATAGAGGAGAGAAAAAAACAAAACGGCATAATATATGATTGATCATAGAAATTCTATTCTTTTTATTTTTATTTTCAACGAACGAACTATGCATCGGAGATTTTCAAGACAAAACTGTCTCTCTCGTTGGAAGTACAAACGTTTGTATTGACCACGCACGTTTCCAAACGAGATGTATCGTTTTTATCGCGGGAGAAACACACGCGTTCATTGTGGTTAACAGTTTCCCAACACTTTCGATAATTCGAAGTCATATGTAAGAATTTCATGAGAATATTCGATACTGGCCGACAAAAGAAGATAATCGCAACCATAATCAGTGTTTGAGATAAAACGAGCAGACAAGTAGCGATGCGCAAATGATATTTTGGCGGAGTTGTAAAAAACGAAATGATAATAAAGATTGTGTAAGGCACGCCAAGGACTAGCAGAATAAGGATTTTCGTGATTATACGACGTACGACGAATAGATTACGACGAACTCTGTACATTCTTGCAATAGATGTTGGGCGACTGTCTATGAAATGAACATATAGAACCAGTTTTAAGTATATTGATATGATGATGGAAATCGGAATTAAATAGGTAATCAACATGTTGTATATAACAGGAAAAGACAATCGAAGGAATACTAAGCAGATTTGATCATCAAAACTGTATTGAATCACATTCATAAGCAAAGATGGTAAAGTTGATATGAAAGAAAACATCCAGATGAAACATATTAAAAACAGTTGAGTCCATGTTGATTGCCAGGAAAGATAAGTTGGATAAACGATAACAATGTATCGATAAATAGCTTCCAAAACTAAGGAATACAGAAGTAAACCAGTTCCGACATAGCCGAGATAGCCACGAAGTGTGCAAAACGAATCTTGATAGACTTTCTGTTGTCGATCGTTTTCCAATGAAAATGTCGCCAAGCTTAGTATCACTGAACCGTAGAGAATTTGCGTGAAACACGAATTAGTAGTTAACATGATCGGTACTGTGTGACATGTTTTGTTGAATAAAACAATGAGTAGAAAGATAAGAGCAAGTAGAATTGATAAAATTGATGATAAGATCATTAATACATCGATAGCAATGAACCACCATTTGAATTCGACGGTTGCCGTTGCATTGTTCGTCAAACCCATAGATGTTTGACAGTGTCGAATATTAAATTAATCAACTTCGGAGAATATATTCATTATTCTAATATTTTCACAGGAGAAAAATCCTTGTAGATTTTCATAGAACATGCATTTTTCTTTTCATTACATTGACATGACAAAGAGCTTGTTCTCTAGATAATTCGAGTTCATCTCTAAAGATTAAATTATTCCATTTCAAGAACTGAATAGATTTCGATTGATATGTACCTGTGACATACACATTGCATCGCGATAAAGAAAGAAAATGAAACACGAAAGTATCTTACAAAAGCAAGAGAAGTCTTCTATAGAAAATGAAAACTAACAGAGAAGGATGGAGGACGCGCTGAAGTGACAAAATCGAGTAGCATATGGTTAACTCATCTCTTCGGTTTATTGTTAACACAAGCAGATGATCATTGTTATCATTAATATGTAATATACTCAAGAAATGTTTCTGTAAGTCTTTTTCGAGTACAAAAATTTTTCAGAAAAATCTCATTTTTTGACATTAACCGGTATGCGTTGTCAATCTGGATGGAATTATCTAAATGATTCAAGTTAACAAGATTCACTACTGACGAGGGAGCATATTTAGGTGTTCAAACAGTTTAAATCCCATCTATTAGTAGTAAGTAGACGTCAATGAGATATGAAAAACCTCAAAAGGATTCGTGCCTTTGTTCCTGAGTTATGATTGTTTTACTCGTTTTTTTTTGGCTATTGCAAGGCGCTTTGATGAAATACCAATGACTTATTTTCGACTTAAAATTTTGCCTATAGATAGGTGTTATCTGTATTAGATTGTTCTGTAGATATCAGCCCGAGCGAACGTCTTCTTCTTCAGATAATCGAATTTAGAAAAATCCTGTGTTTCATCAATCATTTGAAAAAGACTGATCTGTCTTGGAAATTTGTTATCAGCTGAAGGAAATATTCGTTCGAGCGGATATTTATAGACCAATCTAGCACAGATAACACCTATCTATAGGCAAAATTTCAGGTCGAAAATAAGTCATTGGTATTTCATCGAAGCACCTTGCAATAACCAAAAAAAACGAGTAAAACGATCATAACTTAGGAACAAAGGCACGAATCCTTTTGAGGTTTTTCATATCTCATGACGTCTACCTACTACCAACCGATGGGATCTAAACTGTTTGAGCACCTTAATATGTTCCCTCGTTAGTACAGGATTGTTCCAAGTACAATTTGTCTACCAGCCGTACAGATTCTCACGTTGTCACAAATTCTAACACAGAAAAAGAAATGCTTCATTTTATAACCATTGACGGGAAATTTGATCACGAATATCAAATATTAGCGAGGGTACCTGGTAGTAATTAAGAAATGTCTGTATCGAACGCCATCCACCCTCGTACAACATAAGTAGTAGATAAAAGATTAATATGCTTTAAACTTCTCCGTTTACAATCTCTAAATCACCCGCTGTGCATAGCAGGAAATGATATTCTTGAAATGACGTTGTTTCTTTCGTTGCGATTCATTTGCAAGTTGACACGTTCACTCTCGATACTCGACTGTCGAAAACTATTTGTGTGATCTGAATTTTTAGCTGTGAAAAGCAACGGGCAGTGTCACGTCTGAGATTTTATTTTGAGAAAATATGAGTGCGATGAAAATACTAAAAAAAATAAATGATATAAACATGCCAATGGATTCACATTTAAAGATCAAAGTTTTTCATTGTCGAAAGATGAGATTAGGTTTGTTTGTTTCAATGTAAATTATCCAGTGCGTGTTGGACTTCTTTGAAAACTTCATCAGGCAGTAATTCCGAATTAACCTAAACGAAATCGAATTCCATCGAATGCAAAGCAAAATGTTATCGATGACTTACTTCAACTAATTTATTTCTGCGTTCGTAAAGATCCAAAACCGGAATTGTTTGATTATGAAATGTCTTCAAACGCTTCTTTATTGTTTCTTCATTGTCGTCGACTCGACCCGATGTTTGACCACGGTGTAACAACCGTTTCGTCATTGTTTCGTCACTTGCTTGGACATACAAAACAAGATCACATGGAGCAATCTTCTCAAGCGAGACCGAAAGGGTTGAATATCAAGAATGAAAAGAATAACAAACCAGTTCTTCGAATTTTTTTGCTTGGGGTACTTCGCGTGGATAACCATCAATGAGAAATCCTTTAGATTTATCTGCCTTTTCAAGCATGTTTTCTTTGAGCAAATCTAACACCACTTCCTACAAAAACCAAAACGAAATGTTCAATGAAACAGCTGAGATTATTGATTGATATACCATAGGAACCAGCTTTCCTTCTTTCATTAAAGCATTCAGTTGCTCGCCACGTTCACTTTTCGATTGAACAGCATCACGAAGAAGATCACTGAAACGAAACAATTTCCATCATCTACTTTAGCACATGTTCTGTTCATACCCAGTGCTTAAATGCGTAAAACCATATTTCTGAACAATGCGTTCGCATTGTGTACCTTTTCCTGAGCCTATTATCAACAAAAAAGTTAACCTGATAATAACGATCATTCAAATAAACTAACCTGGTCCACCGACCACAAAAATAATTTTCTTGTTCTTCAATTTTTCCATAGAGGATCGATCCGGAAGAACTGAAACGCACACACATATCAAATCAATTCTATCCAAACAAACATCGAATCACAAGAATTATTTACCTACTTGCTGTTGGCTCATCAATCCAGTGAATGCGTCGATTAAATCGTCTGATACTTCGTCAATTGGTCGATTCGCATCAATGGTAATTAACTTTCCTTGTTTACCATAATGACCAAGAATGGGTTTGGTTTCATCATGAAAAGTTTGTATACGTTTCTTGATAATTTGTTCGGTGTCATCACTTCGACCACTACTTTCACCACGTTTGATTAAGCGTGTAGCCATCACATCTTCGGGAACATCCAGATAAATAAGAACATTACACTCAGCAACATTCTGTTCAAATTCAATGCCTGAAAGTGAAGGAATGATGGCATTTTTAATTTCGATGGAATTCATTTACCCTGGTCAATGCGACGAGGAAATCCATCAATTAAAAATCCTAACGCATTTTTAGCTTTTTCATAAACCGCATCTTTGATTAAGCCAAGAATATCTTCCTAAGAACAAAATGAACGTCATTTACGTGTAATTTTGATAATGTGATAAAGGAAATTACTGTTGCAATGAGTTTGCCTTTTAGCATTGTATCATTGAAATAGCGGCCTCTTTCCGTCGATGTGTCTTGCGCAGCACTGCGAATGAGATCACCCGCTGATAAATGACAAAAACCATATTTCTCAACCATTTTTCGACATTGAGTTCGTTTACCACTGCCTATTAGAGAGATATAGTGAACCTCTCCTTTCAAATATCACATTCATATCTTTACCTGGACCACCACCAACGAAAATAATTGGTTTTCCTTGAAGTAGACTTTTGTTTTTAGTATCATCTGGCTTCGTGTGAGACGAAGACTCCGACTTCGATGCTGGTGGTTGAGTGGCAGTCTTTACTGACTGCGCTTCAGTCTTCGCAGGCATAGCCTCAGATTTCGAAGTTTGCTGTTGAGCGAGTTTGGGTGAAGGCGGTCGAATGTCGTTTTTCGGCGTTTCGTCTGGTTTATTACCAGAAATCGGAGCGAGTTTTGATTGATTGTTTAATGTTGGCTGAGTCGCACCGGATTTTGCTGTCGGTGAATCAATAGGAGGTAATGCATTATGACTACCACTATTATGGCTAACAAATGTGTCCCATTTCAATGACTGTTTGCTGCCTTTACACTAAAAAATCAAGCGAAAATCTGATGTTCTATGCACATGGAAAAGAACTGACCCGCGAAAGAGAATCCATAAGAAATCCAATATGATCATCGGGTTTATTCACCATTAGCCCAGTCATTAAAGCCTAGAGAACAGAGATAATACACTCAGATTTCAACTTTCAATCGTCCTCACTTCGAATAACTCGGGAATTTTTCGTTTGGATAAATAATCCTTTGCAAGAGTTGGTGTTGCTGTTGTTTCTTGCTTGGCCATGGCTAACAATGATATAATCTGAAAATATCAGACAATAAGCAGAGTAAAGATATTTTGGAAAAGACATTTGAAATTCACAACGATTTACAACAAAGTAGAGAAGAGAAAGGCACAACATAGAATTGCACATGTAGAATAGATTCAAATATGTTTCAAAATTTCACTTTTAAGATCTTCATAAATTTCATCGACTTCTTTACGACAATCGACCTAAAACAATGATTTGAATAAGAAACTTTCTCATATAATTCTCATTTCCTTACATAAAGAGCTTTTCGTTTCTCCTGAAATCGCTTTATTACTGTATTCACTCCGTCTTCTTCCGTTATTGCACGATGGTCACCAATATAAACCAACACTGAGCATGGTCCAATCTACATACAAACTAAACTTCCAATTCACTCATCTCTTTGCCCTACCTCCAATTGAAATCTGTCCAAGTCCGCGCACGAATCAGGAAAATGATCGATTATAAATCCTGAACACGTACTGATTGATTCGACGACTTCTGCTTTTAATTCTTCAAAAGTCAATAATGTTTTCTGGAAATCTCCGTAGTGTATATGCTTGAAATTCAATTGTTCGCTTAAACATTGACATAAAGTATAAATAAACGAATTATTATTTTCTTCTGTATTATCGTTGACCAAATCGAATTCTTCGTCTAATCCCGAATTTTCATTGTCATTTTCTTGTTTTTGCATACGGTGATTATCAATGCAGAACAAAATCGGCAGATTCGTTTGAGTTGAGTCGAACAACATCGTTTCAGACCGTCGACTGAAGAAAGCGTCCTGAGGAAATAGTCGATCAAGCGAATGAATTGCAGATGAAAATATATTGCTCATATTGCTCCTTGAATCGATCTGGAAACAGATGGAATTCATCACTTGTCAGATGAAAGTGAAAACTAACTTACATAAGTGATGTTGAATTGCTCATCAGACATTTGTCGAGATGGATTCTCTGATAAAATCATGATTGAATCGATTCGACCCAGCTGGAAAGTTCAAAGATTTCGAGATATTTTGTTGAGCTACTGTCAGTTACCTTGTCCTGCCATTGCTCCAGATAGTTTTGTTCATCTAATTCACCGAGAATGAGAAAACCATTTGCCTGAGCACGACGCCGATTAATGGTGCGCAAAATGCAATCAAACCGATAATCATGTTGTGCGAGATCTACACAACTCTGTAAGTTACATTTCGAATGTAACTAAGGCTTTTACCTGTGGATTCTCCTTTGTCGACGTTTGCCATGTCATTAATGGGGAGATATTCGAGTCCATGATAACGCTCGAGTAATTTCGAGCATAATGTGAGTGAATTCGACAGACCTTCAAGCATATGTTTGTGTTTGGATTAAATGAACGAAAGAAGACTTACTAAGGATGAAAATAATCGGTACCTGCACAGAATTTGTTTTCGTTGATTCAATTGGAGGTAGGACTGAAACTTTGCTGGACATTTGCAGGTCTGATAGCGGCATATTACTGGATGAAGAATGAATCGGAGGTAATGATTTCTGTATTTCATAATTAAACGCTGATTGATTCACAAAAAAATCCCAAGAGATCGTCATGCGCTTGTTTTCAACCTACAAACCTTTCTCTCTCTGAACATCTTCACACAAGCAAAACTCTTCAACTAACCTTATCTAAACATTTCCGTAAGAATGATATATGATCATCCGGTTTATAAACCATCAAAGCAGTCATCATGGCCTGAAGAAAGAGAAAGACAAATCGAATCGACTTTCTCCGGCGAAAATCTTACTTCGAATAACTCATTAATATGCTTCTTTTGTAGATAGTCAGTTGTATGTTGCTTACTATGATCTTCAAGCACGTTCGTGGCCATTTTATTCATCTAAAAGCGCACGTTAGAACGTCGATTGAAAGAAAATATGAAAGTTTTAAACAAGTAAGTCTCGTGATTCCCATGTTTCTTGTTGATAACGCAAGAAAACACTGACTTATTAGTCGAACTGTTATAATCTAGTCAAGCGGATGATTGCGTTTTGAAAACAATCTTCCATCTCGCTATAATTATCCGTTCAAGTGAGAACGAACGTTGTTCTCTCTAAGAAAAACGACTGACAAACTTGATGCATATCTTTCATCAATGAAAATCACTCTCCTATCGAATATTGTTGTTGTTTTTCTCACAAACATGAGAAAAGATTTCCTTAAGAAGGTTTAAAGCAAATTTATGCATAAAGAATCAGTTTCTCTTTTGCATGTCAATAGAAACGGAACTGTCTCTCATGTTCGCAACATCGCGTCAAGCAACGTTCTCTATGTTTCCTCGCGTTCTCTTCCGACGCATCAGTTTAACACATCAATGCACTTGCATAAATGCGTTACATTCCATGTTTATACATGTGTCAATGTTACTCACACGTGATGTCTGCTTATTATTGAACGCATTACTTTTATTCGATTTTAGATTGATATTCAACGAGAAAATGTCCCAATTGAAACAATCGACTACTGGTAAAGACTTACGAATGGGAGAGCTGAGATGAGAATTTGGAACTTTTTTTTTCTTCAGATTCATGGATTAACGTCGAAGCATCGACTTCGATGACAAACGAAGCTTTCAATGATATTTCGAATATGCATATCAACGAAAATTTGCTATTAGAAGCACAAAAAGAATCGCCACGAACAAGTTCGAAAAGTTCACAAAGTGATAGGTAAGTAAAGGCAAAAATTATCTGAATATCTGAGTAAAATCGAAATTTAGCTCATCGCCGAAGACACCGAAGAGTCCAATACAAACATCCGCTGATTGGGTTTCCTTCTGGTCATCACGTATCGAAGCTGAACCACCAAAGTAAAAGAATTTTTCTTCGAAATGTTTTTCGAATTCATTGAACTTTGTTAGGGAATGGAAATTTCTTCATCCAGTCCGTCGGCATGATGACGAAAATGAAGAAGAAAAACAATTAATCGAGAAAAAACATGTGCGTTATGTTATTTTAAGTAATTGTGCTAGTTTTCTACTTGGCATGGGAATGTAAGTTGATATTCCACGAAAAAATTCGCTGTTTCTCATTTGTTTATCTCTAGAATGTACTTATGTTTACGTCGTTATCTTCGTATGAAAACACCGTATTTTTATTCAATGGATTGAGCTTCGTACATTCCTCATTTTATTCACTTTTCATCGCACGAGTTCATTCTGTTATGTATTTATTGTTTCTTTTTTCCACCAATAAGTTTTGTATTCGATGTGAACTTTTGGAATATCCATCAGATTAGTATTAGATAAGCGATGTATTTCAACTTGTATATACATGTACGTATGTTTTGTGTTTGATCGTTTTGTGAATTCTTTGTTTCTTTACGTATGAGGATAAAAACCTATATCTATCTCGGTCGCCATCAGTTGGCCGACAAGTACACTTTAGTGAAATTTTTCTTCTTATTTAATTTAAATATATCTAAGGTCGCTAAATGAGATAAGTGATTGAGAGTAGATGTGGATGAGGGTGTGCATACCTGAAGTCGTATCCATCTTTAAAAAAAACTTATTAGATTTAGTGACCTTAGATAGGATTTGGTTAAATGATAAAAAAAAGATTTTAATAAAATGTAACTGTCGGCAAAGTGTGGCAGACCCATCTATCTTTATGATCAATAAGCAATTCTTTCGTTTTTCTCGCCATGTTTTCATGACTTTTTTGTTGGAAACTTCTAGGATCGTCAATGAAAATAAATTTTTAACATGTATGCAAAGAATTTGTATGTTTATAGGCGATGTTTGTCGAACTCTTCACTCTAATTTCCTTTCCGCTAAATATTTCCTTTTATTTTCGAACCAAAGTGCAAACACAAAATTAATCAGACAAATTGCTAGAGAGAATTCTGTCGCGAAACTTATTGCTCATAATTATATAACAGTCACCAAGGAATTCTCAGTTAAATGACCTATTGTCCTATCATAGACGACGTCTGTGCATAAGCGACTAATTCCCAAGAAACGATCCTTGAGCAGAATTCTTTTTATATATGAAGCTGAACGGTAGTTCTTGAGAGTTCTGCATAACATGAGGCTGGAAGATGAAGTTAGATTCTATATTTAGTGCGTAATAGAAGAAGTAGACTGGCAGTTAGAATTGTGGAAAACCCGATGAAATTACAGTTTTGTGTATTAAAATAGATCAACTAATTGTTGATCACATGTCACTGTATTGAAATTCATTCGTGTCGATGAATAGATGATTGTCGTCTTGAAAGTAGAACAAATCAAGTTACATTCACTTCTCTGAAGTTTCCATTACTTTATGTAAACACCTCTGAACTTTAGTATCAGCAGATATATTCGATTCAATCATAACTCAAAAACATTCCATACAGTCGGAGTTGATTTGCAAAGAACAGTAAAGTCAAAAGTGAGATATTTGTCATGCTTAGTGTTGTACATAGAGACTTGTATTTTTCATTTTCGAGAAAGTTCAACAAAAATGAAAATCCATGCAATCGCAATGAAACTATCCAAAATAACACTAAATGTAACATGATGACATGTTTACTTGGATACGATCCGCAGAATTTAACCGTCTATGTCAATGAAGTGATCGGACAAAAGGAGATTATGGTGTTTTTTATTTCTAACTCAACGGGATATCCAGAAATAGTACGTCTCAGGTTAACTTGACCTGTATATATGAATAGTTTAATAATCACTCATCGTGCGGAATGTAATTTTCATTGACAAAAAACATAATGTTCTTGTCAAGTATATTCCGTGACCTGACAATGCATAAAATCAACAATTTATTATCAATGATCACAGTCTGAAAGCGTTATCACAGCAGAAAGATGAGTCCGATTATACAAGTGTTTCTAATGCATGACAATGATAAACACCGTCTTCCGACGATAATGAACCTAGACACGAATCCGTGGTGCTTTTGTCGGAAAGATTATCATCATCTAGTGTGCACAAACTGTTCTCTCCGGGTTTCAATGATATCAGTTGATCGATATCTCGATCGAGACTTGAACTTCGTTGAATCGATGGTTTCTTCAGGATACTTTTCACTTCCGTTAACGACGACGGCGACGATATCCGAGGTTCCTGATGAGTTTGAGTCAGACGAAATCGAACCTGTGAAAGTGATCGAGTCGGTTCTTCACGATTCTGAATTGCGTGATGATATTCATCTCGTCGCGAATGTCTTGTCGATGTTTTGGTTAACTGATTGATAAGTTCTTGTTGTTTTTGGATTAAGATTTCTTGCATTCGCAAACGTTCGTAGGGATTTATCAATGCTGGCTGTTCGATTGGTGTACGAAGGAGTTTTTTTCGTTGAGCTAAACGTGACGGTGACGAAGTTCGCTTGAATGATAATTTGAAACGCACATTTGGTGAGTTTTGTGAAAGAATTTCGACGATGTAGTCTGTCATTTTCAATGGAATCAAGTGTGGCTGTTGTTCAATGTACAAACAACAATCATTTATAGAAAAATATTCATTTTCGCATAGATCATCAAGCAACGCATGGATTACATCGGCAACTGTAGTTAAATTAGTGAAGTTTCTTATGAATTTCATCGTTCCTCGGCATGAAACTTGAATTGATTGTTGTGAATGAACTAGAATGCAAATTCTCGGTAAACGACTGTGTTCACAAGGAAATGTGCACTTACTTGACATGTTGAGTGTTAAGTGTGTTTATCTTGCAATTGACTCATTCTATTTATATACATTCGTAACCAATCGTTCTCTCTTCTCTCTCTCTCTCTAATTGATTACCGAATCGAATTGCAACACGTTAATCAATTTTGAGGTATAGAAATTCTTTCTGCACTATTTCACACGTTTTGAGAATATCCGATCCATTTTTGTTAAATGGATTAAGCGAAGATCGGATGTGTATTCTAGAATGCTCAAGTTTCGATAATCCCGGATCATGGAAATAACAACGACAACAACAACCATATCAACACCTTGCCGGCGACAAAAGAAGATGAGCTGAACTAATGAGTGAATGTCGAACATTTATTTGAATAGATGAAAAGAAAAAGATAAAACAAAGAATCTAATCTATTAGAAGTGCTCATTATCATTGAGAACTTCACAAATTGATGAACATTCAATCGCAGGTAAGCAACGTTGTTGAAATATTGATCTACATCAAAGAAAATGAGTTTCTCACAAGAAAAATCTTAAGACTTACTCGTAGAAATGAACTTGCGCTTCCAGTTGATTCAATAGAAACTGTTGTTGTTTGGAATACGCTTTCATTAACTACACAAGTCAATGAGAAAAACAGGATTTTTCTCAATCACAAGTCTTACCTTATACTTCTTGTGACTATTCAAATGATCATTCAAACCGAATGTTAGATCGTGAACTAATGGTAGCAAAGTTTTCTCATTTCCTTCGTTACTTGGATCACTGCCATTCACATGATTGAAACTAGAGAAAGGAACGGAGTTCGTTTATGAGAATCGAATCTTATATTCGCACACGAGAATAAATATACAGAATCATATTCTATAACATGCAGGAAGCGAAGCAAGAAGATGAAGAATGAGCGACTTCTAATGAAGAATTTTACCAAACATCCGAAATTCCATTAGAAAGAAAAGATCCGGAATGAGATGGATGAAGATTTTCTTGTATAAGACGTAATTGTTCAGTTAATGACGCATTTTCCATACGAAGAAAGTCGATTTCTGTATCATGTTTTGCACACTAAGATAATGAATTAAGTATTTGATGCAAAAATAAGGTAGAAATAGGAAAATACCACGGTGTTATTCGCTGATGAATTTATCGCTGTTTCTTCGAGTTCGTTTTCGAGCTTTCGTATTACAAGTTTTTGTTCTTTAATTGATTGTTCCAAAGCAACTATATGTCGTTGAAATTCTTGACTAGTTTCTTCGAATTGTTCGATCTGAAGGAGGAAATTCTTTGCAAAACGTTATCAAAAACTTCCCTCATTGTACCTTTGATGAATGTTCATGTTTTAAAGATTGCATTTCTGACCGAGCGGTATCCAATTCCTGAGTTTTTTCTTCTAATAAAAGCAACGAATTCTTATTTGATCCGCTTAGCGAGATTAACAAAGATTCGCATTCGTGGATCTAAACAACGATGAGCTCTGTAATTTCATCATTCCATGTGAAATTGATCATTTACTTGATCTTGATAAGATCGCTGACTTTGCTCTAATGATTGACTTTGCAAAGAGCATTGTTCTTCTAGTTTGTCGATTGTTTGTTGAAGTACGCGTTTTTCATCCGCGTAGCTCGAAACGTCTTTTTGAAGTTTATCGATCTGTATGAAGAGAAACTAAATGACCAGACGATCGGAGACAAAATTTTGAACATTTACCTTTTTCTGCACAGAAGAGTTGTTCTTTAGCAACTGGTTTCGTTCCATCGTCAATTGTTCAGCGAGCCGTTGAGCTTCGGATCGAGCTTGAAGTTCATGGCTGAAATCAGAAAGTGATCCAAAGAAAAAAAAAGCTGATTTCTGTTCTACTTTAATTCTTTTCGCAGTTGTTGTAAACCGATTTCTTGTTCATTGGATTTTATACGCATGAGATTTTCTATTCGGTGGTAATTTTCGATTTTCTCGTGTAAACGTTTGACTTCGACGTGTAAATGCAGATTTTCATTGTGCATTTGCGATGATTTTTGTTTGTATTCTCTTAAGTGTAGATGAATTTTGGCGACGTTTGATTTCAATGCGAAAAATTGGCCAAGAGAATCTTCATGTTGAAGTTGTAATTGATTCGATAGTTTAATCGATTTTTCAAAACATTCTCCAAGCAAGTGAAATCTCTCCGTTTCGTTACTCAGGTCTGTTATTAATTCATCAAGATGCGTTGTCAAATCTGCCCATTGTTCACTGGTTTCCGATGCCTAAGTGAAAATGGAGTTTTGAACAAGCATATTGCATAGATTGAAATCAATTACCTTGCGAATGATCATTTTGAAACATTCGCCAAGCAAAGCCAGCTTTTGTTTATAAATCTTTGCGCAATCCATTGATTGCATCAACTAGTTCAGCGACTGTGAAGAATAAACTGAGATTTTTTTGTTATTTTCACTTACTTGTTCTTTGTGAACGATATCTGATTTTTCGTTCTGTTGTAAATCGTGTTGACATTTATTGAAATTCTCGTTCAATTTTTGATGTTCTTTTTGAAGTTTGTCGTAATTATGAGTGATCGTAATTAATTCATTCTCGATGCTCTTCTTTTTCTGCTCGTGGAGAAGGTATTCTTCATTGGAATATCGATGATCTTTTTCATAAACATGAAAATCGTATTGACTTTGCTGAAAATGCTCGGTTAAACTCGTTATTTCGTTCGTCTTATCGAGTAAATGTCGTCGCAATGTTTCATTTTCCACTTCCATATGAACAAGTTTGTCTTGTGAAACAGATAGATCACTTTTCGATTTCTCATAATCAGTTTGTAAGTGAGACATCAATTGATTGAGTGTCTCGATCTCACGTTGACGTTCGTCTAACGATCTGCTTCGTTCATTGAGGGAAGTTTTCATACGAGCGAGATTTTGTTTGAATTCATTTTCCTAAAAGAAAAGTTTGGTATTTTTGTTCTTCCAGAGAATTCGCTTTACTTTATCAAGATTTTCTTGAATGACACATCGCGATTGACTAAGTTCAGCTTTGACCGTATCGATTGTTAACAATGCGGTTGTTAACTGCATTTGAAGTTCGTTTAGCTGGTATTTCGAGTCGTTAGCACGTTTTTGTTCATCCTCGAGTTGTCGAGTCAATTGAATAACTTTCGCAGCTGATTTCGAACTGGATTCGGATTCGTCGTAAAGAATTTGTTGGATATTCTCCAAATTCGCTTGGTAATTGTTATACTGTGCGCGAATTTGATCACGCTCGTTCGTTACAATCGAAAGATTCTCCTTCAGTTCATCAATTGTTTTCAAAAGTGTCACTTCAGCAATTCTCAATGCGGTCAATTCGTTATTAATTTTGTCAAATTCTTGACTATAAGTTCGATTTTCATCCTCTCGGTGATGTTTCATGTTATGTAGATCAACTTTGCATCGCTCGTATTCCAAACTCAACACATCTTTCTGTACAGAACAAAAGACAAAGAATGTGCAATTAAGTTAAGTACGGAAACTACTCAAAGTCAATTTCTGACGTTAAGAATTTCTCATACACTTTGTCAATCGAAGTGTGAAGAAATGAGAACAACCTTGGAGGAAATATTTGACATGGAAGAGTGATCTACTGTTACCTGTTGTTGAATTTGTAAGAAATCTTTTTGTAACAGTTTCATTTTGGTTTCTTGTTCTTCTTGAACGAGATTTAATCGTGCGATTTCCTTTTCTTGGATTAAACATTCTTCCTGAGCGTATTTACACTTGATTTCAGCTTCATGAAGATTCTGATCGTATCGAACGAGTTGATCTTGTTTGATACTTAGCTAAAAATTTCATAATTTTCTTTGATGTTTCGATTAGAGAACAAAACAAAACGATTTTACTTGTTTGTTCAACGATTTTTCGATCTGATGAAATTCTTCCTGCTTTAATCGAAATTCATTGTTGCACTGTTGACGTTGCTCATTCTGTTTTGTTATCGTTCGCTCGCATTCAAACAACGACGTGGATAGACGTTCAATCTAGGCATTTATCATAATACTCGGGGGTCAAAAAACGTCTGGAAGGGATGAAAACCTCTCGTTGTAAATGTTGGATATCATTTGCTGCTTTTGAAGCACTTTCATTTGATAATTTGTCTTTTTCTTGATGTTTATTGAGCTCTGTTTGATATTTTTCATTCAATTGAACGTATTCATTTATTTTGCTCGTAAGACTTCGTTCTAATTCATCGATACGCGTTTGTTTGTCAAGCAGTTGTTTTTGTTTGACGGATAAATCGGTTTGAATCTGATCGACTTGTTCTTCGTAGTTCTGCAACGTTTTATTTTGATCATCGATGATTTTTACGGTTTCAATTAGTTTATTTTCGAGAAGATTCATTCGTGATTTCAATTCATTGATTCCTTGTTCATATAATTCAATTTTCATTGAACTTTGCTTCAAATCATTCGCTGATTTCTCTACTTTGTCATTGGATGTTTCAATTAGTTTATTTAATCGTTGCTTTTCTTGTTCATTGATTTGATTTTTCGCCTTTTCACTCGCCAGATGTTCTTGACATGTACGAAACTCCAAGGTTTGTTTGTGAAACTAGAAGAAAGTTGACAATCATTGAGCAGAATTCATAAAATATCATATCAAACACTTGATGTTTATCTTTCAAGGTTATTTGACTTACTTGATTTGCTTGCTCTGCACAAGTTTGTTTTAACGTTCGGATTTCTGTTTGCAGTTGGTCAACATTGGCGGCGTTCGTTTTGATTTGTTGTTCGAACTGTTCATCATGAAATTTTTTAAACAATCGAAGGTCTTGTTCGAGTTTCGAGTTCAATTCTTCGCCTGTTTGAATCTTTTCAAAAGAAATTCGAGATTTGCTAAGGAGAATTCATTCCGTACCCGATTCATCAACGATTCTGAGTTTTTCTGTGATATTTGTAACTCGTTATTCAGTTTGTCGTAATCAGCTTTCGGCACGGTTACTTCGACTGGATGAACACGTCGTTCTAAAGTTTGAATCTGCACTTGAAGATCACTAATTGTCGCGTCTTTTACACAACACTGATGCGAAAAACGAATAGAACAGAGTGCTTTATGATTACGCAGACATACCTGCCGGTGTAAATCCCGTCGCTCATTGCCGATTTGTTCGACTTGTTGTGTCAATTGTTCAATGTGTTGCTTTTTCATTTTGTTATCATTGTTGATGGCGGTAGTTGATTCTCGATGGCGATCCGAGATTGTCTTTAATTTTGTTGATAAATCATGAATACGTTCTTCGTATTGTTGTTTCTTTTCGTTCAATTCCTCTTGAAGATTTCTTATTTGAACAGTTTTTGAATTGACCTTTGAAGGATATTTTCGGATGGTTTAAGAATCGAACAACGAAACATCGACTTACGTCGATCTTGAGAGTTTCACTCTTTCGACATTCTTCTCCTAATTGCGAGCGAAGATCATCGACTTTGTTCGAAAGAATTTCGTACTTAAAACCAATCGTCATCTTTTTTCTTTGAATTCATTTTCAATCGTACTTACTTTTTCTTTGTAACCATCATCGACTAACAACGAAGGTAGTTTCGCTGCCTATAAACAATACGAAAATCAGTATGAAAAGAGAAACAGAATCGTTTTCGGAATACTTGTTTCGATATGTCCATTTGAATTTTTTTCAAATATTCATTCTCTGCTTGCAGAATCTGAATCCGTTCATCGCGCGATTGAATTTCTTTATGTAACGGTATCGATGTCGAGAATTTCTCATTATTTATTCGATCGAGTGAAAGGCTTTTTAATTGAAGTTGCTTCATATTCCACTTTCCTGTACGCTTCGCCGTATTGATGAACGCTATTAACGCATTCAAATCGTGTTTCAAATCGAGATTTTCATGGCCTAGTTTCCATTTTTCGCTTTCAAAAGTCTCGACAAATAGAAAGTAATCAGTGGGATTATGATTGGACGTTCTACTTACATCGACTGGTTTTGGTGCATCATGTTGCTGCGGGAAGAGAAGAGCGAAAATGAGTTGGAAAAGTTCGTTTTCACCTACCTGTGTCGATCTTTTTAGTTTATTTTCAAGTGCGGAAACACGTTGGTTCGCTTCTTTTGCGAGCTCATCAATGCTTTGCAACAGTAATCGTGTTTGCAGCGAAAGATCGTTGACATAACTTTCATAGATCGCGAGTTTTTGCTACGAAAAGAAAAGCAAAGAAGCCCTTGATTATATCGAATCAATACTATAGGATTAATCTTCGAAAAGTAACCAATAAATATTTAGATTTACGTCAATCAAATGAAAGAAACCTTTCAAACTGACAATGAAAGTTCAATTTGCATATCAACGATGTGATCGAAACGAAAATCATGTTCGACTCGGTCAAGCTCGTTGATTAATTAAAACTAATTGATTTACTTTATATCGTTCTTCACTTGTGATATGTTTATCGTTGATACTTAATAATTTGTTAACATAACGATTTTGTACTTCTTCAAATAAAGTAACAATTTGTTTTACTTTGACATTCTCATGAGAGCATATCGAGTTACTCATCGAGAAAGAATAACAAAGAATGAAAAGAGAAGCGGAGAGACGGTGAAGGTATTCATTCTTCGCGTTTACATCTCCTTGGTTATGCCTCGAATACAATGCACTGACGTAAGTGCATAGATGTGCTAATGAACATGTCGGATGAATTAAATCAGTTGAGAAACGATTTTCAATAAAAAGATAAGAATTTTTTCAAGACAAATAAAATAAATTCATTTATATTAATTTGCTCTTCGTAATCATACGCAAATAAGCTGAGCGAACCAATTCATGTCGATGACATTTACGCTAGGAGACGTAGTACACATTATATTGTCATTTTCTTTTGAATGATAACTCACCTTTAATTAACTAGATTACGAAACTATGTCGAAAAAACCGAAGAAAGGGAAAACAATTGCATTGACGGACTTTCTCGCATCGGAACCCAAACTCGTCACTGTTCGAGACAGTACTTGGGCAGCAATCGTTGACGAAGATGAAGCACAAAAGAAACCAATCGGTAATCATTCAATACAGTCGCACGAACTTGTTCAGCTTGTTTTTCTTTCCGATTTCAGTTGTCGATATGAGTGTGTTGCCAACAGCACCTCGATCCGCGGTCGATATTGATTATTCAACTGTGCCTGAGAATCCTCCATTCATTGCACATGTGGCGAATCTATCGTTCGAAATCGACGATGAAGAACTTCGCCGAATATTTGGTGATTTAAATGTAAGAAGGAAGATCCGTTTTCTATCTATCTTGACTTGCATTTCGATTTTAGCCGAAATCTGCTCGAATTATTCGAGAGAACAATCGCAGTCGCGGTGCTGGTTTAGTTGAATTTAGTAGTCGAGAAACTTTGATTGAAGCATTGAAACGCTCAGATAAAGAAGTTTACGGCAGAAAGATTCGAATCAATGTTTCTGATAAACCAGATTTTCATCAAGTCGATGGGCATCGGAATCAGTTTCATAATCGATTCAATCGGTCGGGAGAAGATCGACCAGAAATGGGTGATAGATGGAAACGAGGCGAAAGAAGATCAGATGAATTTTCGAATAACGATCGACCACACACCGGATACAATCGAGGCAGAGACGACCAAGAACGATGTAAGCCATTTCCTTCAAAGATCTTTCGACGAAATTTATGAACGATTTTCAGCAAAGTTTTCGGGTAATTCGCGTGATAATCAACGTAGCGGAGATTATGGATTTGGCTATCGGAGAAACAAAGATGATCGTGGTTATGACCGACCAGGACCACGACATCGTTACAATGATGATCACAATTGGCAGAATGATCGAATGGATCGACCAAAATATTCTGGACGGCATGACGAAATGAAGTAAATAAATATATGTTCGACAGAAGTTCCATCAACGAATACCTTTTTTTATCGTTTTAGCGAGCCGCGTGATCAAGATGCGTCCAATGGTAAATGGCCTGTTTGTGCGAAAGTATTGTTCTATTTTCTTGTTTGGTTTTTTAAGATGATAATCGTCAGGCTCCAAAAGAACGTCCACGTCTTCAACTTCAACCGCGAACAAAACCACTCGAAGATCATCATTCAATATCGAATTCTTCGTCTTCAACGACTAATGTTGGAATGAATAGATCTATATCGCATACTGAAGACACTCCGTCATTGAATGAAAGTTCAACTACGCATCCTGATGATTATCAACGTCAAGATTCACATAATGTATCTGAGACTGGCTCATCTATTGATCAAGCAGCAGTTAAATCTCCAGTTGCATCGCGTGGTGTAGGTGCATCGATATTCGGTGGTGCAAAACCAGTTGATACCACCGCGCGAGAACTGGAAATTGAACGCAAATTAAATGAATTAAAAATGGTAGAGAATGAAACAGGTGAAGAAGAACACGAAAAAATCTCATCATCTAGGTAATCGATACGCAATTTAACTCTATTTGATTCATTGTCAAATCTTTCAGACCATCGTACAATCGTGGTCAAGAACGAGATAACTATCGCAATAAACGTCCGTCGTACAATGATTCACATCAGGATCGTGATCGACGTGATGACGGTATGAAAACAATTCATTGATTTGCGTACTCATTTCTTAATTTAGGTCGAACTAATTATCATCATAAAAGAGAACATAGTGGTAAGAATGAAAAGACGAATGAATCTTCATTCTACATTGCTGATTTCAGGTGGCCGTCGCTATGAAGATGATGGTCGAAGACCAAACAATGGTGTTGGTCAACATCGTCATGATCGAGATCGTTACAATCCACCATCTCGGCGTGATCATGATAATGGTCGCAGTGGCAAGTACAATCATCATGGTTAGTTCGACTATTCTCAATGACTTTTGTTTGCAAAATCCTACCTAAACTCTTAGATAACTATGGGCATCGCGACCGCGATAGTCATGATTCGAATCATCAACGACGGTCATCTGATGATCAATTTCATACCGAATCGCAGTCGAAGTACCAACCACGGTAAACACTTCTTTCAAAGAAAGAACTTCTGTTTGATGTTTCGATGGTTTGTTAGTGCGATACTACGACGCCCAGCTCCAACAGAAGACGAAACAAATAAGGTAGGAAACTTCTCGTAATTCATTTCATCTTCTATTAAGCCTTTTGTTTAGCTTCACTTGTCAAATAAGTTCGATATGCTTAATAATGATGATGAAGATCCTCAAAGTCCTTCGATCGATGATTAACAATCCTGATGTCTGTCTAGATTCATTATTTTTTTTCTATTTCTTGTTTGTGTATTACCCTACAGGAAATCAATCAAAATCAAAAACCTTTTTCAACAGACCGCAAAGAATGTTTCTCTTCTTCTTAATTTCTCTCGAATTTTTCTTCTTTTGCCTATGCGAAGTTCATTTGTTATCGTTATGACCGATCGTTTTTTTTACTTGTACTCGAATAAACAAACAAACATACAGAAAAATTCCGACCGACTCATATATCTGCTCCACAAGTTTTCGAGTCAATTTCAGGAATATTCCTTATATATTTCAGACTGTTTTTTTCCACGGAATAAATCGATTCACCTGTAAATAAATATACTGCGAATGTCGCCGGTAACGAAAGTTAATGACTCATTGACGGAAGAGAGAAAAAACATAGGTGAAGACAAGACGGACGCACTGGGTATTTCTATCGATTCAGTAAGCATTCGAAATATTGCAGTTGACTGAAAAAAGCTTAGCGATGGACGCTACGAATAAAGAAGGCCAAATTACTGCAGCTAAACCAATCAAATCTAACACATATACATACGGTTACGACGATTATTCAGCTATGACGGGAACTGCTTGGGATCCACTTCGTTCTGCTGATTGGGATATGCAAGCACCAACTTTGACATGCATAGGACGAATAAAAAAGTAAAAGATCCGTTTACAAGAAAATAACGACTCTATACATCTTCTTTTCTTAGCGATATTTCATCGATGATTCGAGATCCTGCGCCAGGAATCTTTATTTCTCCCGATCCTATGAATCTTACCATAGTAAGGATATTTCTCATCATTTCCTAGAAAATAATACTTGTTTTTAGATTCATGCACTAATTACTGGTCCAAGTGACACACCATACGAAGGTAGTAAATATTTTCGATGTTGTTCATCAGAGAGATTCGTTTGTTTTAGGCGGATTTTTCTATTTTACTGTCCGTTGTCCACCCGATTAGTAAGTATTCAATAGCATTAAACTGATACATCAATATCTTATCTTTCAGTCCGATCCGATCACCGCGTTGTCGTCTGATGACAACTGGAAACAACACTGTTCGTTTCAATCCCAATCTTTACGCCAATGGTAAAGTTTGTCTTTCAATTCTTGGGTAAGTTTTGTTAAAAACGAAATTTGAGAAAGATTCAAAAATATTTTTGCTATTCAGTACCTGGACTGGTCCTGCATGGTCTCCTGCCCAATGTCTTTTATCTGTTCTGATCTCCATCCAATCACTAATGTCAGAAAATCCATATCATAATGAACCGGGCTATGAAAAGGTACATCAAAATGCTCAAATCGGATCCTTGAAGTCCAATTTAGAATTTAAGGAGCGACAAGATGGACATTCGAAAGCTTATAATGAAATAATTCAGCATGAAACAATACGCGTAGCTGTATGTGAAATGTTGGAAAATCCCAACTCGTGTCCAGAACAATTACGGTAGATATTATTCGAGACGAACACTCTTCCCTTAGTTTTTCACTTTTAGTCAACATATGATCGAACGATTTCTAAAGTCTTATTGTCATTACGTGAGAATTTGTTCGACAAATTTGGATAAAGATGGTCGGCCAATGCAGGTATGAGAAAAGACATGAGAAATGTATGTAGGTAATTTTGTGTTATTTAAGGATCCATTTAATGATCAACGCGGACGATTTCAATACGCATCAATATTGAAACGATTGGAGCAATTAAAAAGCAAAATAGAAATTGAAAGTTCGAATCAACGATCAGATGATTCACCGGCTAATGCTCGAATACGAGAAATCATGAACAGCACTTCGGCATTGTATTCCAATATTCCATCAACTCAGAATGAAAGTTTGGATGATATATTTAATGAAGATGAAGATACAAATATGGAATATTCATAAAATATTTCATGAACCTGAATATCAGTAATTTTGTTTGTATATAACATTTTGTTTGAAAAACCTCTGTTTTATTGAATTTAAATTTATTCAAGAAATGATATTTACAAAGGAAAAGGTACGCTTCTATTGGATTAAATTGTTGAGTATTATTCTCTAAATCTGCACGCTTCGAGTTACCTAATGGTCTTATCCGCTTAATGTAACGTCGGATACATTGACTAAAATAGCAAGTGACGATATTGAAAACGTAGTTCATTTGTTACACGAGGACTGAATAGGCGTTTTCTAATATTCTCTCACCAACATCTATGTCTATACTCAGACGCACTTTCAATTGATGCTCGAACAGAAGATATCCTTAAATGGTACTTCAGCCTTTTATTTCCACCGACAGAAGGTGTTGATTGATGGCTCAACTAAATGCGAAGATCTATATAGACGTCAAACTATGTCTGTTTATCGAACTATTTCTTTAATGTGATATCAGCGTCATCTATTTTCACGTTTTCTGAAATTCGAAATAAAGACATTCATGATACGAAATAATTGGTACAAAAGACAATTGATTGATTTGTCTATACTATATCTTGTCTTTTCTTTCTTCGTTTCAAACAAAAACAAAAGAATCCACTTGCAATGGGAGCTTATCTATCATCTCCAAAATGTGATAAAGATACGGTTGAAGATTCAAATGATCGTTTAGCATATGTTGCAAGTTCAATGCAAGGATGGCGAATGTCGCAAGAAGTAAAATCGTATCTTTCTTTTTTCAAAAATATTCAGCGGGCTCATTTCTTTAGGATGCACATAATGCCATTTTGAATTTCGATGATAATACATCGTTATTCGCTGTTTATGATGGTCATGGTGGAGCAGAAATAGCTGTTTATTGTTCAAAATATTTACCAGAATTTCTGAAAAAACTTGAGTCTTATCAAGATGGACGATTGAAAGATGCGTTAATCGAAGGTTTTCTTAAATTTGATTCAGTTTTACTCGATCCAGAAGTGAAAAAAGTTTTACAAAAAATTGCCTACGATGAAAATGAAGATGTTGACCGGCAAGAAGCAGAGCCACATGAATTTGTTGCAGCGTTAAATCCTAATGAAGAAAATCATCACAACGATGAACTAAATGTTGAAGAGGCACAATTACTGCGCAAAGAAGCCGAAGTACCAATTGAAGAACTTCTTAAACGATACAATAGTGATGAAAAACATTTTCATTCACCACATGTTGCTAAGCGAGTTATTGAGAGTAAAAGTGGCAAAGAATCGGAAGTCAATGGTATTTCTACAGAGAAATCCGATGCGCCTGAAGAAAACAACTCAAATGATCATGTGGTTGAACAGAAGGTAACAACGGTTTGTGTTCATACTTTTAGAGTAGTGTTTCGAGTTCGATTCTTCTAGGAAGCAGAACCTTCGTCGTCTGAGCCAAAAGCCACATCACGCCGTGTGCGAAAACCTGTTTCGACGGATTCATCAGTACCTACAACAATCCCTATTCAATCAAATTCGTTAACTCGACATTTACTCAGTGATAATGGAGATGAGCTAGATGATGATGATGATGATGACGACGATGAAGATGAAGATGATTCTGAATTTGATGGGTAGATTGTGCATCGGTTAAAGTGCAACTAATGTTAGATTGTTATCTGTCGATTTCAGATCAGATGAAGATACAAGCGGTGATGAAGCTGAAGATCACGAAGTAGAAGAAGAAAATGCAGATGATGAAGAGAAATCAGTTGATGCCAACAAAGCGAAGCAAATCCAGCAATTGTCAGTATATACTAAACATGAGGATTGATCAGGAAAATGTTGTTTGTTTTTATAGAATGCGAAAATCGATCATGGCAATATTGAATAAACGTACAAAGAAAAGAAAATCAGATGGAGATGACGTGAAAGAAAATCAAGTACAGTATTTCCAAATTGGATGTACTTCCATTGTTTTAATTTATTGAAATAGAATGAAAACGATGATAACGACGATGGCGATGAAGATGCTGAAGAAGACGATGAAGAGGATGATGAAGAAGATCTTGGTAAATAAACGCATTCTTTCATTTTAGAAGGTAGTTATGATTAAATTCCAGACGATGAAGATGAGACAGATCTCGGTATGCTCGATATGGAGAACAATCCAGGTTCTTCAAGTGGTTGCACGGCCGTTGTTACACTTTTACGTGATAAGCAACTCTTTGTTGCCAATGCTGGTGATTCCCGATGTGTCGTTTGTCGCAATGGTCGGGCAATCGAAATGAGTTTTGGTTCGTATCTTTTCCACTCTCTCCAATCTTTTCACTATTCTCTTCATTTTAGATCATAAACCAGAAGATCCACCGGAACGTAGTCGCATCGAAAAAGCTGGTTACAAAGTGACATCGGATGGTCGTGTTTCCGGTATGAATAATCATCTTTGAATATTCATTTTCACTGTCGAATAAATAGGTGGATTGAACCTATCTCGAGCAATTGGTGACCATGCTTACAAAAAGACATCTTCGTTGCCAGCTGAAGAACAAGCAATAACAGCATTACCTGATATTCGCACCTTAACTCTAGAAGATCAAGATGAATTCATGATTATTGCCTGTGATGGTATTTGGAATTTCATGTCAAGTCAAGAAGCTGTCGATTTCGTACGTTTACGCCTTGAGAAGAAAACATTAACACAAATATGTGATGAAGTAAATGTCGGAGTTACAGATTTACGACGTGCATTCTTCTTTGTCTTTAGTTATTTACGCATTGCCTTGCTCCAAACACATGTGGTGATGGAACGGGTTGTGATAACATGACAGCAATCATTGTCAAATTTAACTTCAATCGACCGCCATCGCCAACTCCATCTCCCAAATCTCTTTCAAATAAACGTCCATTATCACCTGAACGTTCATCTGCAACAGATACGTTCGACCATTGTGCAAATAAAAAATTGAAAGTTCTCACTGAAAATGGTACCAATGAAACAGAACCTTCAGAGAACTGTCCCATTGAACAAGCATCTTCGTAAATCAGAAAGTATTTGTTAGGCAATCTTGTGTTTGTATATGTGATAAAAAGTATCTCCTATGTATTTTTGTTCAACTGTCTCACTAATAAAATATTCAAATTCAATATAGTAAGACGTCCTACGTCTCAAGAAAAGAGTTTTATGTAAAATCAGAATAAATACAAGGTGCTGAAGTATACATTACGTTGTCTAGAGCATCATTTGAATATTTTAAATCAACACAATGACGATGTGTTTCTTAGGTAATTGTTTAGCAGTTAATTTTCTGTCTTGATTTTTCAATATTTGATGCACTGGAAGGTTTTTTCTTATGAACAAAAACCTGGCTGGACATATCTAACTGAAAATACGTCGATATTCAACAATATAACAAGAAACTAATAAAATAATGTCATTGACGGTGTTGCTGTGCATTTGTTTTTCTCACTGTTCATCATCAAATTCTGTAGGAATAGACTACAAGAGAAGAAAAAGAAAGCAAGATGATTCTGATATAGCTGATCAAATAACTAAACATGATGATGGAAATATTGCAGAAGCGTAAAAACTTGAAATTTGATTTCAAATATTCGAGTATTGATCACTCTCCAAACCACCCTCAGTCGAACAATTGAACACACAAATAATGAAGTTCAAATTATACTCGTATAGATTTTTCCAAGAGAAAAATGTATTGGTGGTTAAAGTGTTCGACAGACAAAGAATCTCAATGAGTATTTGATGATTAAAGAAAAAAACAATAATTTTTTTTCATTCCCTTTTCTGAAAGAAAGGGTTATACATTGTTGGAATAAAGCTTTTCCACTATTTCATTTCATTATGATCATGCATAACTATTATCGGAGTTGAATTATTGGATAGAAAATTTATTATTCAACTAGCTGTTTCATCAGATATAAATTTAATCGAGTTGGATGAAGTTAAGACGTTGTCTGCTACATAAATCGTCCTCCCCATGTGAAACTCGTTTTTAGTATAGACATGCTTGAAACGCAGGCATAAACGCACCCAGACGCGTCTTTCAGATGCTAACAGTTTCGACACAGAAAAAGATAATATTTAGTACAATAAATGAAGTAAGTTTTGAAAAGAAATCAATACTAAAAACGGATTTTCCAAGGGAGAAAAAGCGAGACTTCAGACTTCAACTACTTCGCTCTACTTCAAATACTATCTGAAATAGATCAAGTTTTGGCTTTCTCCTCTTGATCAACACACTCGTAAGATTCTCTCACCTATATTCATCCAATAGCATGTGAACGTATTCTGAACAGTTAACAACAACTACTCCAATCTCACTTGCTTCGACAAAGGAATCAACTGTTGCTGTTTTGTATCCAACAGACTTTGTAAGTGGCATGCATCATATACCTGTATATATAACATGATTAATGAAATAATACGAAGATATTTGTCTTCAATCCATCGAAAATCTATACACAATTAAGACATACAGACCGAATGCAGCAAGTGACGAAAAACTAAACTTGTGCGCGTATTCGACATTTATTTTTATTTGTATTTTTACTTTGAATAAAATGAAGGTAGAGTGATCAATCATATCATATAGAATAGATATCTTTCGCTTTTTTTTGTCAATAAGATAGATTAGGTTACTGTTGAACAAAAGGATTGGATAAAAATTGTCTCGAGTCGAGTGGATTAGTTTATTGACAATATTTCAAAATAAAACTGAAACAAGAGAGTGGCATCCTATGAATTGTTACACAGTGAGCATGTGCCAGTAAAACAATTCTTTGTGTATCAGCAAATTCATTCATACTTAGTCGATGTCTATGGCGATTGTATGCTTCCTTTTTGTCCATTTCTGCTAAAACTCGATTGAAAGATCTTATATGCAGCGGCCAAAATCAACTTCGGACTTATATCTCTTCGAAGTAGACCTCTTTCAACATTAATATTACTTTCCGATCAGATTTAACAACAAACGATGCATTTACGAAAGCGAAAGCTCATTTTGTTACATTTGATTTAAGGTGAAAGGAAAGGTGAGCAAACGTTCATGTTTCCCGATTACAACAACATCTCATCATTCGTTTTTTGAACGGTTATGAACACATTTAGATCTACTAGGAAGAATAGACTTTAGCATCTCGAGTAGGTAAGGTTTAATCTCTCTGGGATACTTTTTTCAGACAGAAGCGCATTATGCAAATAGAAACTGTTTCGATTATTTCAGTTAAATTACGTCTTTTACTACACACTTTCTTTTCACATTTTTAATATTTGCATAGCAACAATTTCATTCTCTACAGACATGTTTTTCTCGTTCTTCAGTTGTTATACATAAAAAAAGATAACTCTGCGAATGCAGTAGAAAGAAGAAAGAACACAAAAATTTATCAACGAAGTTACTCTTTTTATTGTGAGTTAACACACACAGCACCAAATCAGAGTGAGTGAAGGCAACAACAACTAGGAGAAAATTAATCAGAACTTTCAGCACAGTAGATAATCGCCGATCGGTCGATATTAAAAAGATGCAAGATGTCGTTGTGATCTGGCTCGACAATCAGATTGATCATAACAATGCTGATTGCCAGTTAACAATTGCACAACTTGAACACATTACTGACAATGTCACTACATTCACGGATAATGATGAATGTGTCGAATATATACTCAATTGTAATGACCATCAAGTCTATCTAATCGTTTCTGGTGCACTTGGACAATATCTTGTGCGTTGTATCCACGATATTCCTCCATTACACTCGATTTTCATCTTTTGTCAAAACAAATCATATCATGAACAATGGGCTAGACATTGGAACAAGATCAAAGACGTTTTCACTGATATAACATCACTCTGCCAAGCCATTCAGAACACATTTCACAAAGATGAGCCCAATGTCACACCAATCAGTTTTGTACCATCTGGGAAAAGATTGGATCTGCTCAATCCATCTTTCATGTACACACAACTCTTCAAAGAGATCTTGTTAACGATCGAATTCGAAGACAAACACATCGAAGAGTTTGTCAGGCATCATCCTGGACTAATCACTCTCGATGGTACACATTCTAATGATGTTAAGCAATCAGTACGTGATTACCGTGCAAAGAAGCCCATCTGGTGGTATACAAGAGGTAATTCCTTGCATTCCATGCTCAACGATGCACTACGAATCATGGATGGTGATGTTCTTGTCCGAATGGGATTCTTCGTCACTGATCTTCATCACAACATAGAACAGTTGCATAAAGAACAGTTTGTTAACACATCTTGGAGTTCTCTTGTGTTTACAGTATATCGCGGGCAAGGTTTATCTCACACAGATTTTGAAGAACTAAGAAACACAATAGGCGGGTTGATGTCATTCAACAGCTTCTTCTCTACCAGTAGGAAACGTGACATCTCGTCTCTCTACGCGGAAAGTAACGCAAACAATCCCAAGTTAGTTGGAATTCTCTTCACAATACAGGTCGATCCTTCTCAGTCAACAGCACCGTTTGCCTTAGTTGGGAATCATGGTCTTTTCTTACAAGAAAACGAAGTGCTGTTCTCAATGCACACAGCGTTTCGCATTCATCACATCAAAATCATTAGCACTGATCGACCACTGTATGAAGTGAATATCTCGCTGACTCTGGATTCTGACGAAGAGTTACGCACACTGACTGATCATATTCGTCGCGAGAGTCATCTCGATGGTAAAGGCTGGACACGGCTAGGCCAGCTGCTGATTCAGTTGGGTCAACATAACAAAGCTAAGGCGATTTATGATACTTTACTCAACCAAACATCAGATGACAGTGATGAAGGATTGATATATCATCAACTTGGTCGTGTCCGATACGAACAAGGCTTGTTTCAGGAAGCCATAACATTCTATGCCAAATCACTTGTGCTTCTCGAAAAATCATTTCCCGCAAACCATCCTGATTTAGCCGCATCCTACAACAGCATCGGCTCGGTGTATAAGAATATGGGTGATTATCGAAAAGCACTCGAATACTATGAGAAAGCTCTTTCGATTGATCAACATTCACTTCCTGCAAACCATCCTAGTATAGCCACATGCTACAACAACATCGGCTTGGCGTATGACAGTATGGGTGATTATCCAAAAGCACTCGAATACTATGAGAAAACTCTTTCGATTCGACGACAATCACTTCCTGCAAACCATCCTAGTATAGCCGCATCCTACAACAACATCGGCTCGGTGTATGACAGTATGGGCGAATATCGAAAAGCAGTCGAATACTATGAGAAAACTCTTTCAATTGATCAACATTCACTTCCTGCAAACCATCCTAGTATAGCCACATCGTACAACAACATCGGCTCGGTGTATGACAGTGTGGGTGATTATCGAAAAGCACTCGAATACTATGAGAAAGCTCTTTCAATTCAACAACAATCACTTCCTGCAAACCATCCTCATTTAGCCACATGCTACAACAACATCGGCTTGGTGTATTACAGCATGGGTAATTATCCAAAAGCACTCGAATACTATGAGAAAGCTCTTTCAATTCAACAACATTCACTTCCTGCAAACCATCCTGATTTAGCCACATGCTACAACAACATCGGCTCGGTGTATGACAGTGTGGGTGATTATCGAAAAGCACTCGAATACTATGAGAAAACTCTTTCAATTCAACAACAATCACTTCCTGCAAACCATCCTCATTTAGCCAGATCCTACAACAACATCGGCTTGGTGTATGACAGTATGGGTGATTATCCAAAAGCTCACTTCTATTGTGAACGCGCTGTTCAAATTGCTAAGTATTCGATGTCACCAAATCATCCACACCTTTTAACATTCGAAAGAAATCTGGAATGTGTTAGAAATGGACTGCAGCACTCTTCTTTTCGTGCTACAAAATAAAATCATCCATTATCTTAAAATCATATGTCATCAAATAACTTTTTAGAGAAGCATCCTATGGATGTCTTTCCATTAGAATGCGAGGAGAACGTTTCCATGAGAGAAGTAACGATAAGTTGACACATTGAATGTCTTTAGATAATGGATATTGCTAGTATGAATTATGTTACGAAGAGTAAATCTTACAATTGAAGTCGGCGACGTTTGACAAGTCGTATCCGAAGTTAATGTCAAAGCCATAGAGACCGTTCTATAGAGATGAATTTGTTTAAGTTTTTATGAGTATTCTTGAGAATGAAAGAAATGAGCTCTTGGAAAGGCGAAAGTGCAGACTTCAAATACTAATTGAAGTAGATGAAGTCTTGGTTTGCCTCTTATGATTATCAATAGCTCGATCCTGAATGGAAAAGGGTTTGTTATTTCAGACGCATTTTAATGCATCAACTATTGGAAACACGCCTTAACGTGCTAGGACGCGTTTATTTTGTGTTTCAGAGTTACATAGCTTGTATTGCTCTACTTTTTAAAAAAAGTTTCAATGTTATCGGAAACAACGATCATATTGCTCAATCGTTTTACGTACGGCTTTATCGAAAAAGACAAAAACCATTTTCTTCTTGCTTCTTGTCATACATACATTAATATATTCGATGTTAAAATTGAAGTTTTTCTATTCTAGATAGCAAGATTCAAACTCATTCTTCTTCTGATTTTCGAGTCGCTAGTCAGCTATACTCAATATGCAAAAGAAGCTCACTTTTTGTGAGGGTGTATGAACTTCAAAGTGAATTAAGTCATGTGATTGGTGCATTACGATTTAAATCATCTTTTTGAGTAGATGAATTAATTCTAAATTAATCAATCGCGTGGCTAGATTCACTTCTTAAGTGCGTGTCACTCCTTGAATTGGTCTGTATGTTTGACCCCTAATATTAAAAAGGATAACGGTCACGGTGATCATCCCGGACGGATGGAAGACAGAATATACAATGAATTTTATTATAGATACCACTTTTATATATATACATGAGTTCAATTGTTTGGAAAATTATAAGTCACGAGGAGCGAGCATGAAGAATTCAGTTGTTAGTCTTATTGACCTACCGAATGAGATTTTGTTCCTTATTTTCAAGAAGCTTGACAACATCGATTTGTTATATTCACTTGTTGGCACCAATCAACGACTTGATAATGTTTTATGCACTATCGATTTTACTCGTACTATTGATTTCGTGAAGATATCATCCAAAAAAAGGATAAATCGAAAACAGAGACAATACTTAATCAATTTTGTCGTCATATATTACCGAAAATTCATGAACACGTCGAATGTTTTACCATTTAACCATGCATATTTCAACGTATTTTCCATACTTGTAATTATACTAACTTATACAAAGTCACCCTCGTCAATTTTGAACTGAATATGGCTTCTCATATCTTTCGTGGTACGTTTTCTAATTCGTCAGAATTTTCGGGATGTACAACAAGCTTTTCCACGTATGGTATTCTTTAGAGAAGTCTTCGTTGATACAAACATTTCAACACCAAATTACACATCTGGAAGTAATGTTCATCGATTATATTCCGGAAGCAATAATTTATCAATTGATAATTATGTCGATATTTTTGCTTTGTTTACAAATCTGAAATACTTGGAGTTGAATGTGAACAATTTTTACTCATTTATACCAATGTTGTTCAGTCCTGCGTCTTCACTTCAGTGTTTTTCATCGAGTATCACTCATTTACGTATGAAACTAAACAATTTTGACGATTGCCTTTATCTGCTTGATGGGCGTTTAAGTCAATTGCATACATTTATTGTCGATCTTGATTACATTCATGAGCCGACAAAGCTGAGAAGGCGTAACTCATCGGTGCTTATCCTTCACACAGTGAAACTTATCAATCATGCGGTAAGATATTAAATAAAAGGAAAAATGANTTTTTCATCGAGTATCACTCATTTACGTATGAAACTAAACAATTTTGACGATTGCCTTTATCTGCTTGATGGGCGTTTAAGTCAATTGCATACATTTATTGTCGATCTTGATTACATTCATGAGCCGACAAAGCTGAGAAGGCGTAACTCATCGGTGCTTATCCTTCACACAGTGAAACTTATCAATCATGCGGTAAGATATTAAATAAAAGGAAAAATGAGTTTTTTTCGTTTCGTTCATATCATCATCTTTCCAATGCAAAATTGAGATTTGACCGGACATGTAAGAATGTTAAGAAAAACGAATAGAAGACTATTTTGGAATGCATATAAAGAAATCAAGTAGGAGATTACTTGAGATAAAAGTCATTAAGTCATGATTATCATTTTAGAATTGTTACATAGAATTTAGTGAAACAATACGTAGTACTTTATAATTCTCATGTGTTTTGTTTCGTTTTTGTAGAAAAGTGCACTGAAACTCAAATGTTTTTCCTTATTTGTGAAGTTTGCAACAGCTTTATTTAATGATCTAATTGCACCGTTACTTCGACAAATGTTCAAGTTAGAAAAACTTACTTTATCTTTGCGTGTTCTTAATCAAAATTCATTCATGGATGGTATTTACCTGGATGATTTGATACTCAGTCGAATGTCATATTTACATACATTTCATTTTGACATTGTAACCGAGTCTAGTCATTTTCCTGGACAACTGACACTAACTTGTGACGATATTCGACGAAGGTTCATTGTAAGAGGACTTCATGTGGATTGTTCCATCGAGTATCGTTATGACAGAGCATATCGGATTCATGTTTATTCAATTCCATCCAATATGGAACATATACAATGCATTACAAATTGTTTTTTTGGTGGGATTTTTCCAAATGTCAGAAGTCTATGTGTTCGGGATCTAAACTATCCGTTCGAACACGATTTCTTTATTAAAATTTCACATTCATTTCCATTACTTAGTCGTCTAATACTTACCAATACAGATGAACAAAAGGAGAAATCATCGCGACAGTTAATGAAGACTGAAGAGAACTCCTCGACGATTATCGAATATCCTCATCTTGTCGAACTTGTCTTTTCAACTGTGCATATCGATTATGTTGAAGAATTTCTTTCTGACTTGAATACACGTCTAATCTCTCGTATTNTTATTAAAATTTCACATTCATTTCCATTACTTAGTCGTCTAATACTCACCAATACAGATGAACAAAAGGAGAAGTCATCGCGACAGTTAATGAAGACTGAAGAGAACTCCTCGACGATTATCGAATATCCTCATCTTGTCGAACTTGTCTTTTCAACTGTGCATATCGATTATGTTGAAGAATTTCTTTCTGACTTGAATACACGTCTAATCTCTCGTATTATGCTTTGTGTTAAATATCAACATTTAAAAACTGTCACGAGAAACTTCACAAGAGATGCAACACGTGCCAATTGTGCAAAAATAAAGCAAATTATTTTTAGCGATAAATTGTCATTGGTACATTCGAGAGACTATTATAGATATTTTCCTTTATTGTAAATTTCATTTACTTTGTTGTAATTATTCGACTTGTTCCATACCAATAAAAGATCAGATGGAACTATCTAGTTGATGTGAAGAAATTGAATGGTTGCTACTGCATTCAGCGTGAGGGTGTGAAATGATTAATCCAGTTTTATTGATGGATTTATTTACATTTAGTTATGTTTCAGTCGTAATAATAGCAAGATCTGTCGGCGATGGAAATAGTACATATATTTTAGGAAACGATTTGACTGAAAAGAATACCGATAGTTTGATAACAAACATTTGCTCTAAGGAGTTTTCTGCTTCTCAGAGACGACTTGGCACTAGCTTAAAATATTTCGTAGGAACACTTAACATATTTATAAAATCAAGAAACTTGTTTGTACATCAAATTATTCTATTTAAATAGATTTTTAAACAATAAAGAATTTTTTATTGAGCTAATTGTCATTGCATAGTTTTTATGAGAATTTGATGTATAATCGTGAGTTGCCTAATTCGACTAATATTATAAGTCGACCCCTGACACGTTAATAATCAATTCGAATATAATCAGATGCCTATATCAGTCTTACAATAAACGATTAGATAGTATTAAGAATAGATTTAGTTTCACTCATACCTATACCCTCACACCCATACGCTCACACGCATATATCTCGAGTGAGGGTATATAGGTATAAGTGAAACTAAATATATTCCTATTCTTAGGTAGATAGGGATTGTAGTGTGTTAGGAACTGGCCACTTATATTATAAGTCGAATTAGACAGCTATTCATTCGTCGAGCGACTAGATGTTAAACAAAAGATACTCTGAAACAATGTTGTTTAAAAGTCTAAATGTTAACGATAGACTCTTACGTTGTTTAGAAAGCAGTCCGTAAATTCACAGAGTGACTGTGACTTGTATGTTACTGCGACTGTAGACATGGTTACATTACATGAAAAAAGAGCTTTTGTTTTACAGTGCTAGAAGCCGAAAAACATCAAAATTGAAGAGTACCTATCAATGCCATTTATGTATACCCATGTCCTTTAATTATATGCTGACCGTGTTAGAGAATTCAAATTTTGTAATTAGACTACAGAAATCTTTAAATCAAGTTTCTCGATCCAGAGAAAGATATTTATCGTAATTAATTTACATATCGTATACTGTTTTATGGATGCTGTCATGTGTGTATAAAAGCGATGAAAGTATGTCAATGCAGCTAGAAGTCAAGAGTGACGGGCTGAAGGGACGTCGACGACCGACGAGGAGTTGTCCATGCTAATGTTGCTGAAGTACAGTCGTTTTCATGCGGTTTTAGTTGTAATAGTGGTGGATATGACTTTTGATTGTGATGATATGATAAATGAGTTTCACGTCAGCATTAACAACTATAATTCGTTCGCGCAAAATGTTGATATATTCCTATTAGAATGTTTAGTAATGATTGTTTCCTCGACCGGATGGAGAACCTTATGAAAAAATATATGTGCTCTGAACGGTTCTATCGTGAGTGACTATTTGTGATTTTTCGGTCGAGGACCAAGTGAGTCGGAACGACGAATGTTCCTTGTTCATTTGATTCATTTCATTTCATTTTGTGAACTGCCATCTGAAGAACGATGTGCCGCGAAAGAAAGGCTAGAACAATCCTCGTAAAATACGATGTCTTCTGTTTCAGCTCATGTCGAGAAGTACGAGTAGGATTCGGCACGCAGAATCATCCGATTCTTTCCGGAACGGAAAGAAACTTGGTAAAATCGGCCACCAGTGGCGTCAAACTTGAAACTTGAATCCAATTATTGAATTATCTGTTTAACTGTTCAAACATTCATCACCCTCTGAAGTACCCTCAGTCGAATAAGTGAATAGTTGAACAAGTTATGCATGTATGGAATGGAGTTCAAAATATAGAATCTTCACAAACTCGATCCGATTAGTTTCCGTACGATATCCAGTGGAAGTTTTCGGGAAACGTTTCGAATACGTAACAACATTTTCCTTCTTTGTTTCTTCAATTTATCCCATGTTCATTCAGTGTCGGATGTTGTTCTTCAAAAGAAGATTATTTTATTTAAAGTTTATGTATAAAATAGATTCAGAAGTACTCATTCCATTTTCTTGATCGTCATTTCGATAAAGAAAATGAACTCGGCCGCGATATTTTTCGTTTAACTCTTCAACGGCTAGTTTTGCTGAATGACTTTTGGGCGTCTGATCAATTGAGAGATTTTTCGGTGAACCGACGACTGATTGACCAATGCGTTGATTAATATGTTCAATAGCTTGTCGGTATTCGTTATTACTAAGTTTTCCTTGTAGCCATTGTGAATTGAGTAGTGAACTGGCATTGAAAAATCCATTTTTACTTGTTAATTTGATCGTTCCATCTTCGGCAAGTTCTGCTGAGGGTAATCGCGTTTGACATTTGTTGATATGAGTTTCAATATCTTTTTTGGTATAAGATCGACCAGCTCCGCATCCCATAATTGTTGTAGATATGAAAAGAAAACGTGTGTGTATGTTTTTTTTGCAATGTAATGCACTTAAAATATGCTTGTCAAGGCGACTTTTTTATTCTGTTGTCATCTCAGATCGTGTGCGAAGAAGAAAAAGACGGAAGAGAACGTACTTTCTCACGGTTCTTTTTCTCTTTCGAAAATATGTTAATAAATAAAAGAACATCTCGAGCACAAATGAGTCATATTTGTTATCCGATTAAAAGGAAAAACTAAGAAAATAGCTGAGTATTTTCTCGTACGGAACTCCGCTCATCTCTGGCGCCTCCATATGTCGTTGATTGATTTCAATTGAATAATTCTATTCATTGCATCATGACAAACGATCGAAGGCTTTGTTTATTGTTCATCGTACGATTCTCGAATCAATTAATACAATCGAAACCGAGAGAAGATTATCAAGCTTTACGAATCATTCCTCTATGAGAGAAGAAATCATTTTCATTTTTGATTGATCATCTATGTTCACATTTTCTTCATTGAGTTTCATTCTTACCATTTGTTTTCCTCAATTAATCCAAGGAGAACCGACACATCAGATCTCTAAGCTAAACTCTTTTACAAAAATCCACATTGCAGGCGGCCGATTTGATTTAAAGCTTTCACAGGACTCCAGTTCCACATCAATAGATATCTTTGCTGATGACACCGCTCGACATTTAGTCTTAGTCGATGTTATTCAATCAGATATTCTTCTCATTCGTATGATGGAAAATCCAAATTTAGTTAATCAAAGCAAGATTATCATAACAATAACTTATTCGAATTTAACTGAACTTTTCATTGACGGAATGATTAATATTCAATGTCTGAATCCTATCAGAGTTGATCAACTTTTAGTACATAATCGTGCAACTGGTTTTGTTAAATTAAAAGTACAGATTAACATTCTCGATGTATATTTACATTCCATTGGTCGAATGAAATTTTGTGGACAAGTTAACGAAGAAGCAACAATACATTCTCTCGGTGTTGGTGATATTCAATGCAAAGGCTTGTTTACTAAAAAGGTCAATGTTATATCAAGTGGAATTGGAAATATTTATGTCCAAGCAACAGATGAAGTCAATATTATTCTCAGTGGAATCGGCACTGTTTTTTACACGGGACCATTAAGAAAACAAATACGTACAGGTTTAGGGAATATTATTCAAAGAATTGATTAAATAAACATTGTGTGTATGTTCATAATCGTTCAATGTGAGAGAACCATAAAGAATAGCGAACGATCTAGTTGAATGAAACATGTCATGCTAACACATGCAATACGAGGCGCACATCTGGTTGTCAATCTTCTCAATATAATCATCACAACGAATGAAAGAAGAAAAGAGAAAGAGAAAAAAAAGGAAACACAACATTTTCTTCTTCGTGTCAGTTCGATGGAATCATTCATTGTGTGTGTTTCACTTCAGGATAGACACACGCAGATCTATTCTCATATAAAAGACCCGCTGGCGAATACTTCGTCGAACTCATTATAGTCTATTCATACTTACAAAATGGCATTAGATACTAATAAAAATTAGTTTTACTCAGTGGATAGATGTTATGAAAAAAAGCGAACATTTTTCTTCATTGTATCGACCGGACTATGAAGTTCATTTTCTATTTAACTTGACAGAATTATTAATGTACATGAATTATTTTCCACCACCACCGATATTTCCTGCTCCGCCACCTTATTCTTCGCGAATATGTTCATCAAAATCGTTCGTCATCTCCCCATGTTCTCTATTCAATGATCATAATCATTTATCATTATATAATTTCATCTCATCGATTCACACAGATCAATTAACCTCATCTCCGAATGGATCATCGTTCCCACCACCAACAATAACAAGAACAGCAATCACAACAAAAGTAACCAGATCTTTACCTTCTTCTAATAAAAGAATGTTCACTATTGATAATGTCACCAATTTAATACAAAATCATTTTCATCTCCTCTTCCTTCTACTAAGTATTTTAGTATTTCTAATACTTCTTCTTATCTTATTGATTCATTATCAACGTTTTCGACAAAGACATTTAACTTCAACGAATAAAACTCATCAAATTTATTATCATTTGATCCCAATTCGTCGAAAAGCTCGAACGTCAATGAATATGATTCAACAAACTCAGACACGTCCAATGAGAGAATCACCCATGACACACATTGTACGCCTATCAAAGACAAGCGGAACTCATACAAAAGCTGAAGAAGTTCTCTAACTGTTTTTTTTTCTACTTATGTTAAATAAATTTAGTCTCATTGATCTATTTCCATCCACCAATCGCATAAACTTGCGAAGTTTCAAAATTCAAATCCTTTTGGCACAATCATATAGACGAAGAATATACTTTATAGCATATGTGTTGATAGAGTATCGTGTCGAATGATAAGCAAAACGAACGAAAGGTCAGTTGATTCGTATTTATTGTCAAGCGATAAGAATTAGAACGAAACAGGTGTACAAGTAGACATTCGTAAGCTTCTTTTGCGTTCGTGAAAAAAGAAAAACATGTTTAACAATCTTCGACAAGTAAGAAATAAACTTGCCGTTCATCCTCAACGATAAAATGTGTTTTGTAATAGATCATCGTTCGAACAATTCATCCACGAATTACTTTTCCAATTCATCGTCTAAGTTCAATCGAAGCAGATAAATCACCGGTAAAATACATACGATGATAGATAATTGTTCGATTAATTGATAATAGATCACAGCGAATGTGCCTAGTGAAGTATGGAAACTCGGTAAACTTAATCATATTGCCGTTGCTGTACCTTCTCTAGGTTAGGAAAACAAACTTGAATGATCCCTTGACTGTTACAGAGGAATATTTTAGATGAAGCAAGTAGCTTTTTCAAGAATATTCTCCATGCGAAAGCTGTAAGTGGTGCAGTGCCGTTGAAAGAACATGGTGTTCATACTGTCTTTGTCGATTTTGGTAATACAAAAATCGAAGTAAATCACAGTTGAATAGTTGAATCTCTTGATGAGATACTGCTTCAATTTAGTTATTATTTCCACTTGGTGAAAAAAGTCCGATAAAAAAATTTCTCGAAAAGAATAAATTGGGTGGTATTCATCATATTTGTATCGAGGTAAACTTCTTATTTCATTGCAGCTTTTTTGATTTCTTCATTCTGAAATAATAGGTCGATAATATCGAAGAAGCAGTGAAAGATATTCAACAACAAAATATCCGTACATTGAGTGAAAGCACACAAATAGGTGCCCATGGAAAACCTGTCATATTTCTTCATCCAAAAGATTGTGGAGGAATTCTAATTGAACTCGAACAGGCATAAATTTTCAGTTTGTAAAGGTCACAAATTAATCGCGCTTGTTGTTTCTTTTTTTTTGTATTCGAAAAAGTAGTATAGAATGAAATTGATCGAAGATTTTGATGTGAGTAGTTGTAAATTTCAAAGAAGCGAAAATGTCATCCATGACAACGTTTGATAATCATTTTCTTTCTTGAATTCGATTTATAAATCTTACAGTTTTCTATGAACACCATTAAAGATACAAAATCTCAACCGAAAATGATCAAACAAAATGCAATGGTTCGTCGTTCATGTTTAAAACATCAAACCAATCGACGAACAGAGAATTGCGAAACAGGTCGATCATCTATCGGGACCGGCCGTGTTTCTTTTGCTAATGGAACGACAGCTGATTCGAAAATGCCTCTAACATCTCAATCGCCTAAAGATCTACTCGAGAAGAAATCTCGTTCGGATATGTTTGCAAAGAAAGCTAAAGAACTTCGATTAGCTGAATTAAATTATTTTAAAGATCACGCTCAAGATAAAGAATCGAATGATGAATAAATAGAAAGAATAGCATATCTTATGAAATTTTTATTCTTTTCTTATGAAATTATTTACATTTAAATAGGATTGTTATCATGCCCGGTTGAGAGTGTTGGTGACTCATCGTTTGAACTTGAACCGCAAAGATCACGTGCTTCGCATTTCTTCGGAGTGAGAAATTGTTGTGCACCGGACACCGAAGATAATGGAGCTGTTTTGGAACGTGCATATGGTCTTATCTCACGTAATAATGGAGCAGGTTGTTGAGATGGAGAAGGCGTCGGCGTTATCGGTGATTCTTGAACTTCGAGCGAAGTTGGACGACGAACTGTTGCTCCTTCCTCAAATGAACTAACGTTGATAATCGGCTCACTCGGTCGTGGGGTTACAGAAAATAGTGGATCAATGACTCGAAAAATGATTTGATCCATACTAGCTTCCCGAATGTCACGTACGCGAGGTAATTTTGAAAGTGAAGGAGGATTTGAGTTGACTAAACGTTGTTGAGATGAGGACATTGGTACTTGTAGGTATTCCGATGATCGTGATGTATGATTTGATGTGCATGGGAAATCGGAATTTCGTCGAAGATTGTAACGACGAGGAGGCGCATCGTGTAATTGCTGTTGATTCATTCGAGGAATCAAAGCATTGAATAAACTATTGTTTGAACTTGAGATTTCACATGTGATTGGTGTCACATCTATTGACATCAATAATTGTTCGTTTTCATCGTCTAATTGAATCGAGCTTATTCTAAGAAGAAATAGAAATTCTCGTTTTTTTGACAGATGATGACTATTGTTTGTTACTTACCCGCAACCTTGCTGAATTTTAAATCCCAATGCTCGCATCAATTTATTCGGATCATCTTCATACAAGCCAAGACAAATTTCGTCATGTAATTCCTTCGGAATCTGAACAAAACAAAGACAAATTGTCTTCTCCTCAAATCGTATTCTTTTATTTACTATGAAGAGTTCTTTGTATTGTTCGATCATCATTTTTAAGATACTTTTTCCTTGTTCCATTTGATCAGCTGTCATTGCCATGCTCGTTTCTTTATTTGACATAGCTGGCGCTTTACCATCCATAAGCACCGTTGGTGCAAAAACGATCGCCAGATTTGCTGCGTCCATTTTATTTCCCGGTACGAGAACTTTACCGTCAATCGAGCATCGATCTTGCGAGTTTAATGAAATATGATACAGAAATTTTAATAGCGTGTACAGGGTATCACGATTCGATGAAGGTAATAGACAAATAAGATAGGCAAGTGCACGTAATTGATCTTTTGGATGAAGTTCTACAATGAAAGGAATATTTCACGGAATGCCGAGATTGGAATGAGACGAACTTGTTCGAATATTGAGAAATGGAGCGCATAGGTCGCGAGTTAATAACGGTTCAGGTAATTCACGTAGAAATTCTTTGATTAAGCCGGCAATGTCGTGTGCATTCGTCGTCGCATCGAATGTTAAACTTCGATTGGAGTTTATTTGATCTTTTAACTATGAAAAAAAGGACGAGGAATGAGTTGGTTTTCAGAGAAAATGAGCATTTTACTTCTTTTAAACGCTTTTTCGACACGCCTACGCGGAATAATCCGACAGTTTGTAAACCTAAGAATGGATCGAATGAATCTTTTCCTTGTTCATCAAGTAGAATCTAACCCTTACCGTTTTTTTCTAAATAATCACAACAATTTTTGATTAAGTCCGGTACTTTCGCAGGATAACATCTCAACGTTTTGATTCGACTCATTCCCGAGCATGGTTCATTTGACCCTAAGACTTCCAACGATACAGACCGAAATTTACTTTGTTCATAATCCGAATCTGAAATCTAAAATCAAATCCAACTCTTCATAAACGAGAAAAACACATGATCGAATTCGTTTACATGTAAACTACTTGGACTAGCTGGTGATATTAAGCATCCACTGTCATTTGCGGACGACACACTACCCGTCGGACTTGTTTTCGTTGCGTGCGGTGAGATATCGATCGCATCAGCACTGAATTTTCGATTTGTGCCACAAGCATCGGTTGTAGGCGTGGGGAGAATTTCATCCTGTAGATGAGAATCATCATCATTTATACACTGCGATAATGCAACACCAAAGACATTCCCATTGGATTTCGTATCTAGAAGAAATATCGAAGATTCAGATGACAGTGCCCTACATATCCAATTTAGCTATTCTTCGAGTTAATCAATCCTTTTTTGTTATTCATAGGTTTATGAGATTTGGGAAAACAAATGAAAACTAATTCGTTCAATCATCTTTCCTTTCATACTGTTCTATTTTTCGCTGTGAATAATAATAGCGTCAGCATTGGACATGAGAATCTGCTGTTTTTTTTGTCTCATCCCATATCCTTTTCCTGTTAGAAGATTCCAACCCTTTTTTTCCTTTAGTAAAACATGATGAAAACGGGAAAAAATAAAGAGGCGTTCTTTGTCAACAAACTACGCTTTATTGTAATCGAATCCGCAAGTTTCTCTATCTGTACAAATAATCTTCGGATCGATTTGCAAGATATCAGCAAGTTGAAATAAGAAAAAGAATAACAAACCTTTGGCATCTTTGGATTTTTCATTGGATTTACTCCGAAAGATAAAATGATGTCGACGTTTTCTCACGATTTCTTCTAAAAAAAACCGAAAAACAAGTTGCATTTCCTTCAATCGGTCTACATTGTTTTCTTCCGGATAAGAGAAGAGTAGATTGGCAACAGACACTTTCCTTTCCTTTTTCTCCCGCAGGGTTAGACGATCATAAATCAAGGCTAAGCACGTACAAGAGAATTTCATCAATAAGAACATAATTCAATTAGAATTAAGATCTTGCTTTCTCTTCTAATTAATCAAATTTCATTCTTTAGACGATGTGAATAGCATACAAGTAAATGTCAACTATCATCATACCTTTAGGCACATGGATTGTTACCCCAAGGTCGTATTGTGTCGATTGCAAGCGTTGCAAAACAATCCGTTTCAGTTGTTTATATTCCGCGTGTGTTAAATTATGCAATTCAATTGCACCCAGACTTATTTTACTTATACTGTCCGCTGAACACCATTGCGTTTTATCCGTCTAAAGAAAAAAACAAGAATCTGTTGGTTTTCTTCCGAATCGCTGAACGAAGATTATCCTCGAAGAAAACGAGAAGCTTAGCTAATGTGCAAAAGATTAAGTTGTTTATGATGTTTTGTATTATCTGTCAATGATTCATTGATTGTAAATAGAATCGTCAACTAGTGACAGTTGTTTCGGTAATTAGCGAGACAGTGTTTTTCTTCGTCAAGATATGTACGTACCTCAAAATGCCACAGCATCGTTGATGGAATCGATAGGATTGGCTGATTAAGTGTTGTTGATGAACTACCCGTTGCATTGGTTAATGTTGTTAAACTTGAATGATGAGATGTTGTCGAATTCGTATTCGATTTACTTGAAGGTATTTTCACTAGAGAGAGAAAATTACGGAATGTTGAGATAGGTGAAGATGAAGAAGAAGAAGACGCATTCGCGTTCGATAATGACATAGATAAGGAATGTGATGAGTTCGATGGTAAACCATGACCAAAACAACTCGATTTTAATGTTTTATTACGTTTAAGAATATTTCGTAGGGCTAGTGTTGCGGGCGATGCGTCGGGTAACGAATATCGATACTTAGTTCTTGGCGGTGGTCGATAAATGATTTCATCATCTTCCTCCTCCTCCCCCTCTTCTTGTTCTCCTTCATCACCATCGTTGGTTTTACGGTGGTTAGCAGTCAGTTTAAGCGAAGCGAACGATGATATTTGTGTCGCATCTAATGATTTATAATGTGATTGACAACGTTGTCGACATAATTTGATACTGTCACCTTTTGATAATCGTTGATGATCTAAGCCTGTCTTGGAATTCTCGACATTCTTCGAACAAGATTGATCGGTTAGTACACTTGATTGATGATCACCATTATAGATATGTTCTTCGGGAATAGTCGTGCTTTGTAGATCTGAACAAGGCGACTGACGTGTGCGAATTTGAGATCGTGGATTGACATGTGAGATGGAGCGTTGATTCGATGGGTTTTGTTCGTTAGAAGAGTCCGAATCCAAGCGAAAACGAGGTAGGGGTACTTGACGATCCATTAGTATTCCGAGCTTATCGGCATTATAGTAATCAAAGTCAATGTTTGTATACGAACTTGAAAAATCTCTTCTCTCTCTCCCTCTCCCTTCTCTCGTTTAGATGTAGGCACAAATGCGCATGTGCGCAAAAACTTCTCTAATTACTAAAAGTCGTGATGCTAGTGATGATGGTACTTTCTCTTTCTCTTCTTCTCTCTTTGTTCTTTTCTTCCTTTTTCCTTCGTCTCTAATAATAGTCCAACCGATCATTTGTCATTAAATGGTCTCAATATAGGCGCTGATGAAAGTAGATAAAATACGAATTGACGTTTCACATCCAAAAAGATAGTGATGATCGAGAGTGGAAAGGAATTTTTTGCGTAGCGCTGATGTCGATTTTCAAGAGGCGTCGCTTCTAATTATATGTGTAAGATCGAATAGAAAACTCCGACGATGTCAAGAGAATGACAACAAGCCTAGTAGTGTCGTTTTCTTTCTCTTCATATTGTCTGTCGCTTTTCGTTGCTGTTATTCTATGTAATCAGCGATTGGAGCAACATGCTGATAGACAGAAAAGGCGAAGAAAAAGAATCATCTAAAACGAGTTATCCATTCTTTTCAAAACAGAACATCAAGTACTTTACTCATGTGAAAAACAGGCGAAAGACTCTTGTTCATTGTTCTTTTGAACAGTTATGCTAATCGAATTGACAACGGAGATGATTCGAATAAAAGACAAACGGAACTAAAGATGCATTTAGGTCTTGATTGTGTTACGGAACCGATTTGTTCAGCTAAGTTTATAGCGTCGATATATCAAACTACGATCGGACGTTAAGGAAAAAAACGTATTTTATTATGTTAATGCTGTTCGCCGGTCGATATTCACGACATTAAGGATTCATTCTACATGATAAAGTAAAACCTTTGGGGAATCATACTCGCATTATATACAAAAGAATGATTTACTCTTGACATGATCTTGTTGTTAGAATTCATATGTGAAATAGGGTGTGAATAATGTGAAAAGGAAAAGAGCGATGATATTCGACATTTGCGCGCATATTTACCTGTGAAATCTGATGTTGGACTAAGTGAAGCCATTGATTCGACAGGAAAAGTAATATTTTTCAAGAATAATATCTTTTGTGCTCGTCGATGTCAAGAGAACAATTAACAATTGAAGGATGAGAATTCGACTTGATAGGCAAAGAACAGACACTCAATAGAATGGAACCAGTAGACAAACAATAAGAGCTAAGAAAAGAGAAAAAGAAGAAGACGGTTGTATTTGTATTTCTCTGAACTGATAGAATGTAACAAGACAAACTCGGGCGTTTTTCCTCGCCATGTCAAAATTCTTTTCTCTCGTTTGGCCTAATGTTTTCCTTACCAATCTTTCTATATGGGCTCTTACGTGTCAATTTTGTCTCTTTCAGAAATATATTGGCATCTGTGCAGAGACGGAGAAGAAAGAAAATAGATGTCCTTGGAAAAAAACAAAACACATCTGACGAAAGAAGATAGTTACTGTCTCTATTGATGTCATTCGCAAGATATACCAAACACAATAACGAGTTTAATTGTTCCCATCGAAATCCAATCGAGATCGATTAGTTCGGCGATACATCGATTTCTTCGCAAGACGTTTTCTCCCCGAACTGAATTCAGTCTACTTGACTTCATGGTGCTAAATAGATAAATATTGACCTTTCCTATGTGCAACTATCAGATTAAATATCCATTATTGCAATAACAATTTGTAATCATATCCGCATAAGGTACTGATGAGACTTTTCTTTTGCGATCGATCTGTTTGTTAATTGCTCATCTTTGAAATGTTGTTTTTTCCGTGTTGATCGTTAATCAATTGAAAAGACCAAAACACGAGCATGGCGGAAAAAGGTATTCGGAAGGACAGTTTCGGTTTTTTTAAAGGTTAATTACTTGATGACGTATATCGAGAGTAGACGTTCTGTTCATTAAACAAAAGATTCGTCTTATTCTATGCACTTGAAAACGCACATTCAGGTCTGGCGAAAACAGTTGACTTTATCGAGGATTCTGCTCAATTTATTGATTAATTTCTTGCATGACATTGTCTGCTTTTAATAAATATTCTCGTGACATTTGTTCTCAGATAATAACGAAGATAATTGTCGATAGAAGCACACTCTGTTCGAGTTCGCATCTAATCGTATGGGTTGATGGGCGTCGATACTCGTCCATCCTTCATTGTTTCGAATAAATGAAATCGCTCACAAATGACTGAATCGAAGACAACTTCGTTGAATGTAAATCGCGCTCATCGAATGTTGTGACAAAGAATAGGAAGAAAAGATTTGTATCTCGGACGAATAAATTACATTTTCCAAGCTGAGAATAATAATAACTTGTCAGTGTCATTTCAACAATAATGAAAAGGAAATGGCTTTGTCAGTTTCAACTGTGAACATTTCCCTGGTCTATTTCTTTCAATCGAATTCCGATCGACAAGGTAATCTATGTCAGCGTGTTCAGAAGATAATTTCAAGTTATTTATTCATCGCTGTCTGACATGTCGAACAGAATGCATCAGACATGGGCTTTTTGTTTGCAAATTAATCGATCGAAAATCTTTCTCGTGGAAATTTCATTTCACGAAGACCTTGAAAAGAACGTGTGTTCTTGGAAAGAGAATTGACCTGCGATTATTTTCATAATTGATTATCAAATGAAACTGAAGGAACGCAGTTTTAGCTTCCTTTCAATGCCGGATTTCAAGTTGGCTAAGAAGAATATCTCGAACAAAAGTCTTTTCATAGAAAAAACATCAAACTATGGTCTTTGTAAGGCGTCATATGGCTTTTCTCCTCATGAATATTGGATATACCAGCTATTTACTATCTTATAAATATCCAAATGTTGCACTCCCTAGATGAACTTTTCTCGTTTTTCTCAAATGACTGAATCTTTAATAATTAACCCTTAATTGCTAAAAGATATATGAGTCTTTTCATAGATATGAGATCAGTCGGAATTATATTATGTGAATATACTGAATTAAAACCGGTATGAATTATATATACATATATGAGGAAAAAGTACGTTCATGTCTTGACGTTTCGGTGTAATATCAATGGCGAGGATAATCGTGCTTGGTGATTTGAGAGATACGTTGGTGGAAAGGAAAACAATGAACATAGTCGTGTGGGTTTTGTTTTCATTGATGAGTTTTTAGGTATTTGATTTGGAGAACTAAATAATTTTGATTTAAAGTTGAAGAGGATTTATTGTATACTTACAGTGGTTTATTCGTGTTTGCTTTGGATGATAATGATCGTTTGAAAGATTTTCCTTCTGACGATGGTTGGTCACGAATCCACACTTGTTTCGATACACAATATGCAGGTGAAGAATTTTTTGATGTTGAATAAATCCAAGAGTTTCCTTCATTGTACTTACGTCTTGGTATTGGTTGAAGAACATAGACAGAAGTGAGGAGACAACGTTCATCAAAGTGCTTCTGTAAATCTTTCGTATAAATCCATGAATTCAACGATGAGGCTCGTTTATGCATCGAAGTCGAAGGTTCCGACGCCAAGCGCTTTCTTGCTAAACTTGCACGTTCATTCGTTACACTGACTGTATTTTGAGCTCTTTCGAGCGCGAGCAACCCATAGAACAAAACCATATTGCTAACAGAAGGCTCTAAATAATCCAGTTGTTTAAATATCTAGAATTCAATATTAATTTAGCCCTTTTTCGCGGCTAAAAACTATCTCGTTGACATCACACGTTTATTAAGGGCAAGATAAACTTCTCTCTAGTAACTATCATCATAGAATACTAATGACAAAGTGTTTGAGAAGAAAAAAAGGAAAAAAATAAGTTAGATTGCTTCACGAAGAGCATAATGTGCAAAAGAAGAAATTCAACTGAGCAAAATTAAATGGATAGGCAGTCGTATTCTAGTTGATCGAACGCTAATCATGCATGAGTACGCTCTGATATTCATGGATGATGAATAAATGCAAATGAAAACTAACTACTACCCAAGATCTAATCTTTCTCTATGTGTTTTTTTTGTCAGTGCAAATTGCTTCCATTCTACAGTAAGATGATATTTACGTGAAAATATAGAGTATCTTACCTATAGAGAGTAATGGAAGACTTCTTCCGTGTTCGTTTGTTCCATATTGATGGGAAAGCGCGTCTGTGTTGAAGAACATTCGGGATAGAAGTGATGTGATAGAAACTTTTCAGTTGATCAACAAAAGTAAACGCGATTCAATAATCGGGAGCTACTTTTAGGAGAAAACTAAAGCAAAGTCAATTTGATAATATTGACTAATTGAAGCAAAAATCTAAAAATACCTCTCAGCTTATTTATTCTTTGAATATCAAATGTGGAAAGGTCTCATTCGTTTAGGTGTTCTTTTTTTAAACCTTTGCCATTCATTTTCCTTTCTATTTTAACACACAAATGAACTTAGGCGAGTAAAACCCTCGTAGAAATATCCCCTTTATACCTTGATCTTCCACATCAGTAGATAATGTGATCATAAGAATGGCAGAATATATTCAATATGCTTTGCTGGTGAATGATATTTGCTTTTAAAAGTTATCGAGAACGTTGTCAAGTAGAAAATACTCTTTTTTTGTATCATCATGCATGCAAACATGTGTGTCCGTCCAGAAATACAAAATCACGATTATTTAATTTCATTTCGTGCTGGAATTCAAGCGAATAAAAAGATCTGGAATGGTAAATTTAGTCTTTTTTGTAAAAACCTTTGTTCGAACACGAATTCATCATTCTGTACTCGATACACCTGCTTATTTGTCACTGATTACAATGTGTGACAAGATTGCGCATATGCAAGTATAAATATTTTCTCTTTTTTCCTCACCTATCCTTTGTCCTCCCTATATTATGTATATATATATACAAAGGTATTAGTCAAAATAGCTTGATTATATTCGAAAAGCGCCGTTTTTTTCGTACGTCATTGACTTCGTGTTTTTTTATTCTGTAAGTTAGTAGCATAATGAGTAAGGAATCACGAAATTCACGCTCCGGCAGTACGTTGGCCGATTCATTGGCGGAAAAGCCGCGAGAACGTCGATCAGCAGACATCAGTGAATCGGTGAATCGAACAAATTCCAATGGATTTGATGTTCATCGTGTCTATGAGACATTTACGATCGCGTTACGTCAACCAGAAAATCCAAAGTCACCAATTGGCACACAAGATTACATAAATGGTTATCGGGAATTATTAAAGTAACATGATATAGACTATATCTTGAAATCAAATCCGTTCTTTTCTTTTCCGCAATAGATTTTTCGATCAACTTGGTCGAGTCTTTCGATTTGTTAAAGACGACGTTGTTGACAAATTGAATATTCTCCAAACATTTGCTGATAAAGATCAAAAGAATGCAATCAAACATTTCGAAACAATACAAAGCGCGATCGATTATGAAACTGAACAGAACCTAATCAAAACAAATCCAGAAAGAAATTTCGCTCGAACTCTACTCCGACTTCATCGTGCATTACTTTTCATTATTCAATTTCTTCAAGCACTCAGCGAACGACCAACATCAGAAAATACAACAACGATCGCAACAAGTTGCTATGATGCAACCCTCTATCATCATCGTACGTATCGAATTTCAAAGAAAATCGTTAAGACCAAAGCTAGGCTTCGATTTCAATAATTACATTGAGATTCAAATTGGCCGTGACATCATTCCGAGTACTAGATGATAATAAAATTCAATCACAATATTTTCTTCTCGTATACGTTGAATAACAAAAACAATGTTTCCTTGCGACATGATATAACCACAGACAGCCTTGAAACGACAATTTCCGTCTCGAACTAATTTCATTCGTTCGAGAAAAAAAAACGTCGTCTTGTATTACGAATTTTGATGATGCATAGAATTTATTATGCTGACATGCGTATATTCCATGAGAGTTTGTTTTTATGAAAACATGTCCTTGCCGAATATTAAAATATTTGCTTTTGTTTCTTATCGTACCTTTTCACACTTCCATCTGACGTAAACTGAATTGGACTTTGTCGTGTCCTGATTGACTTATCTACGTAAAACAAAAGTCTAACTGAAATGAATGCGTTTTTCTTTCTCATTTAGATGGATTTCTCGTTCGCAGTTCTGTTCGAGTCGGATTTCGAATTCTACCATCACGGAAACAACTCGACGATGTGATATTTCATGGTCAGAAGTCAGATCTGCTAAGCCAATACGATCATTTCATCCAGACAATCAAACAAATCTATGATGTTGTCGAGGGCTACTATGCCGAGAAGAAATATTTACAGCTGCCATAAAAATTCTGGCATTACAATTTCTCACGTTTTCATTCTGTGTCGTGTCTTCAACTGTGATTTCTTTTTTTTTTCTCTCCGATAAGAAAATATGTCTAATTATTACCATTCTCTCTCCATTTTCGTGCGTGTTTACATGTATATGGTAAATAACAATCGCAAAGTATCTCTACATATGCTTATCTCATCACGAATCAAGGACAATATTTGAAAAAAAGGGAGAAGTGGCTAATAGAATAGATTCATAGGCAACAGAGCTATTTAGTAATTATCACGGGAATTTGATTAATATGAAAATGAGAGCCATTTCCGTTATTTTATTTAGCTTTTGCGATAACCAATGAATAAGATCTGTTAATTCGTATTTGTGTCAAAATTTATCAGAGAAACTGAAGTAAAGATCATCCCGAGAGAATAGTTTCATTTCCTTCAAGACTTCTCTTCTAATGGCTAGTTAAAAGATCTTTTCGATAGACGATGAGTCTTGTCGAAAGCGACGGGTTAATATCTTCTGCTTCATTTCCGCAGCCGAAATAAAAATTTTTGATAAATTCTTTTTCTTTGCTCTTGCCGTTATAACAAATTTTTAAATTATAGAGAAAAAAAAGAAGAGGAAGTAGAGGAACTGTTAGTATGTTATGCTGTGTGCGTGTGAACTGAAGAGAAAGAGAAAAGCGACAGAGCGACAAAATTGAAACTTACTAAAAAAATACCAAACCAAACTTAGAATTGAGAAACATCAAGAATGAACAGAAAAGAGAAGCAAATTACAAGAGATACAGACACATTTGCACACTGAATAGAGAAATAGTCGTTCTTGAATGAAAACGTCTTCTTTTGTACGAAAAGGAGGGAAGAAGTAGAAGGCTTGTACAACAACAAAACACCTGATGAATGTGTGCGTGTCGACGAAAGATAAAACGATATTCTTCTATTTTAACAAAACGAAAAGCCAGAATGAAATATAGACACGAAAAAGCACAAGAATTCATCACGTGAATATGAATAGAAAGATAGATAGAGCGAGAGAAAGAGAGAAATCTTTCGATAAGAATGATCGAAATCAACACACACATAATATTTCGCCTAGTTAGGTTGTTCTAGTTAATAAACTAAGCTAAGGGACCACGTTCGTTCATTAATATTAGTAATAAGAATAGTAATACTTGCTCTTGCTTAAAGTGCGGAGGAACACCGACAAGAAAGAAGGAGAAATGAAACAAAACACAAGACGAAACGACAAAGATTTGTAAACAATTTTTGAAAAATGAATATGTTTATGCCCGGGCTCCTGTGTCCTGTTTTTGCTCGCTGGTCGCTGCTCGATTATAACTTGGATTTGAACGTCGTCGATGGAGAAGTAAGAAGAGTAGACCGATAAGAAGAAGGGCAACAATCGCTGCAATAATAATGATGATTGGTAACCAATTCATCTTTCGTTTGCCTGGTGCACTGGCATCGGTTCCATTTTGTGAGCCTCCTTCGATACCTGAGGTATCACCGCCATCTCCTTGACCTTCGTCGCCATTTGAAGCGGTTGATGAATCAGATTCGCCACGTTGATCTAAACAGACAAATGATTACACTTCTGCGCTATGGAACAAAAAGTTTTTCAGGAGTTCAGAGCGAATCATCAATAAAAACATAGCAGTCGTATAATCGATATTCAGGTCATTTTCATGAACAAGTGGTGAAAGCTTAAAGTATTGCATATGTCATCATTCGAGAGCTTTTATACCATTGACAAATGAATCATATATCTCGGTTGTAGTTGTTGTCTCGTCCGGAGCATTCCCATAATCAAACTCAGAGTTTTTCGGTGGCGATTCATCGTTATTATCATGTGATTCATACCAGGGATACGCTTGGTGTGAATTATAATCTGTCGTTGTTTCTTTATATCCAACAATGCCTACATCTGGTGGATATTGATCATAAGGGTCTAAATTTCGGATTCCTATGTTTATTCACATAATCAAGAAGATTTGAAGACGAACTAGACCATGAAGGATAAGTGTCATGAATCGTTAGAGGAAAAAAGACAAACATCTATGTTTATTTGCTTTGTCATTCTAATTACTTTCGATTTCTACAGCTGAGATAGCTTTAATCTACTAGAAGAATAACAGCGGCTTACCTTGTGGTTCATTCGGATCGCGTTGGCCAGTACCATCTCGGTCTGGTTGTTGTTGATCGTCTTCGTCCGGTTTTGGTGCAGGTGTTGTAGGAATACCGGAACGTAATTTTTCTTGATCCTGTGAAGAAATTTGAAATGGTGCTGTATACACTCGTGTTGCACGTGGACGTAACGCATCGGAACCATCAGCTCGTTGAATGGGTGGTGGAGGTGTGAATTGACCTGTTGCTGCATCGTAATTATTCTTAATAGCAGCACATGAAGAATGTTCACAATCTTGTGCACTACATGGCATACGACCGGCAGCTGCATCCAAATACGCAGATGTACATGTACATTCATTTCCATTTGGAATAGCTGCAATAACAAAGTCAAATGTAATCAGCATCAAAACAATAACAAGAGAAAATGTTACCTTGAACAGCAACTTGTCCATTAGCTAATTTTTCGAGTAATTTACATTGTACATTACTATCTAATTTTCCAATGTCGCCTTCGAATTCTTTGACATTGGGTAAATTGTCAACAACATCCGTGCCGACTTTGTCTTTGATGACCAACTTTTCCAAACGATCCAAACCGTCGAAAGCATGTGGATTGATACCTTTTTCACTTGTGACTGACAATGTATGAATGTTCGGGTATTGTCGGAAAGCATGCGCCGGAATTTCTTCTCGTGTATGAACACGTAATTCGCCTAGATTATCGTAGTTGGGTGGATGTTCGTTGTTGAATTCGCTAATATAATAGGCATTGATTATCATTTCATGTGCGGGGTAGGCAGGAAAGTTTTGTACGCTTAATTTATCTGCTTGTTTCGCTAATTCCAAACGCTGAATATTACCGGTGAAGCTCTGGCTGGGATCCGAACGGATATCACCGCCGCTCAAATGTAAGAATTTGATATTTGCACCATCGAACATTTGTTGAAAGGTACCATGAAATGGATATAATGCGTACAATTCTAAAGAATCAGCTTGTAAGTTTTGGAAGAGATGCGGATCATCATGGGGTGGAACTTCCGAGTTATAAATTTGTAGAGCCTAAACGACCAACAAGGTACTTGTAAGGTTTCAATGAAAAAACATGATTCAACTTACGACATGTTTTCTCGCATTCGATGGTAAACTATCGGGAAAAACGCGATTCAAAAATCCTGGTGAACTAATACGAAGGTCAGTGTATCCTTCGAATTTCAAACGGAATTCGACGTTATCGGCGTCTTCTTTGTATAATTCTTTAACTGGTGCAAATGACTGATCATCAACTTGAATGTTTTGTGCGGCAGATATAACTAATTCCACAGTTTGATATTTGTGTTTCTCCGCGTCGGATATTGTCAGTGGGAGATTGAATGCACGATCAATAGTACATGTTACACGATAAAACGAACATTTACAATCAAAACCATCAATCGCATGACAATAGGGCGAGTCGGCTTGTCGGCGAGAAAGTTTTCGTCGAATAATCGACGTTGACGATGTTAAGGATATCAATAAGACTAAGGACAGTAACACTGTGCGCAACATTTGTTTGTTGTTCTTTGAATCCAAGGGTTGCGGAATATCAAAAATAGATAAAATAACTATGGGGAGACTGTTTCGTACCTAGTGTGAAGAAATGTTGACTATAGGTGACAGCTATCTGCACAAATATGTGAATTGAACTAATAGAATAGACTATAAATATCGATCTTTGGACCGAGTGATAAACAAAATCTAGAGAAAATAATCATCGAAAGATGAATAACAAAAAAAACAATTGCTAATCGGACGAAAACATCCGTTTATTGGTTAAATGAATAATAATCATTACTTGATATAAAGAAAAGAAAGAAAAACCAACGGCGACAGACGAGCTATTGAAAAAAAACCAATAAAGCTTGTTTTTCAGTAGCTACATATGCGTATGAATCGAGATATCTTATGAGGATGATGATGATGCAATGATCTTCAGATTTATGTGTCTGGAAAATATAAGAATAAATTTCTGTATGCGTGTATATATGTGTGTGCGAGTATTCTGAGCAATATTTCTCTCTCTGTTTCACTTCGTATCTCCTTTTCCTTCTTCTTCTGCTTCTTCTCTCTAACACTTCAAGAAGCATCGATCAATAATCAGTCGTTGCATCTTCTATTGCTCATTTCTCGCCTCGTCGAGATTAGTCATATTTCGGCGTATTGATTACGACTCGATTATTGTTCTTAGTCAACACGACATCGACACAGTTAGAAGAAACATACGCTCAAAGCAGACTGCAAGAATGGGCAACATTTGAAAGACAAAACATACATTTACTGGAGTAAAACGTTTGAAGAGATTGTCGATCACGGTGATTAAATGATGAGAGACAGAGAGAAAGAACAAGAGAGAAAAAGTAAGCAGCTAAAATAGTGAAAGTATAAGTGGTATACTTGTCCTTCTAATATATGTTGAAACAATCAGCGCACCTTTACGTATCAATGGTAGTGGTGATGAAGATGAGCGATGACGTAGGTAAATGGGACAGGTAAAGAAAAGAAAATTGAAAATTGAAAGGCAAAGAGCAGCAAAAAGAAGAAAAAACTTGTTTCCCTTCCCGACTCGTCGCTGTCGTCGGGTATTGTAAACAAAAACTTTGCCGTCAGTAGCAATGGGGAAAGTTGGTAGATACTCTCTTCGCGTTTCTTCCATTCTCTTTTCTTTTTTTTTTCTTCGACTGCTAACACGAATATGTGAATGTGAGGAGAGACGTATTTTACATAATGGATGCATAGAAAGGAAGAAGAAAAAAATGCGCTAGGTGCTGCCGTCGTCGCTGCTGCCGCCGTTCTCTCGCTGATGGTGGTTACGATCGTACTTAGAGTAGTGATGATGGTGGTGGTGGTGGCGGTGGTAGTTTATTGCGGTTACAAACCAACAAATATAAGCGAAGAGAGGAAAAAGAGACTAATAGAAAGAGAACCATTTTTTCTTCTTTTTTTTCTCTACTCTCTCTCTCTCTCTTGTTCTTTCTTCTCAACTTTTTACCCCTTACCACCCGTTATATACGTCAAAAAAAAACTAATACTAATGCTACATTTTTGTCTCGAAGTGTTGCTTCTTTTCTTTCTCCTAATGCTTACGTTATTCTTGTCTGGACATCAGACAACCTTCTCATCTCGACAAGTGAGGAAAGGGAAAGGAAGACGCTTTGAAACATCTGAATAAAAACAAGAGAAAATATACAAACCGCAATCTAGACTCAAAGCAGATATCTATCTTTAATAGTCAAAATAAGACAGCCGCGATGAAAACATAGATCATTTTCCCTTCTACAACAACTATCAAGTTGTCGAATGATAGTTGATCTAAGTTCCTTGATGATCTCTTTGCCACTGTCTAATTTTCGCATTTGTCTGCCTTATTGTTAACTGCGAAGAAAAGAAAGAAACCTTGCGATGACGTTGTCTCGAGGTTAAATCATCTGCACAATGACTTATCAATGCCGTTTATCTTTCCTTTTTTTTTAACCACCACATAGGTTTTCCATTTTCGCGTGCCTGTCATCATTCTCGTTTTGATCAAAACAAGTCTCCTGTTTCTGCTTTTTTACGATGATTATGTATGACACCTGTCGTCAATAAATACCTGCATACATTTAATATCACTGATGGCGATCGTTACCTTTGTTCGCCCCATCTTAATTGGAGCAAAAACGGCTGGCGAGAAAGAAAAGAAAAACCTTCAAAAATATGTGCTTGTCGTCTGCGTATAAAATTATAAGTGTTCTCATAGCTCTAATCATAAAAAAAGAACGCGAAGAGAGCAATATAAAAAGGGATGACAAAGAGAAAAGAAGAAGAACGTCCGTCAGCTGTATCTTCATACTTCAGAACTTTACCCTCTGCGTATATCTTGAAGAAGAGAAAAAAATGAGACGTGTCAATATTTCATATACATAAACATATTAACAATGTCTTGGCTTATCAGTTGTGTCTAAAAAAATGAGAAAGAATCGAATCTATCTTTCATCTTGTTTTATCATCAATAAAACCGTCAGAAGTCAAATAACGATGAAAAACAAAAGGCATCCAAAGTAGAAAGTAAATGACCTTTCCTAGACATGTATTACCAGATGCGATCGTATTATCAAATCGATTGCTGATGATAGAGAGCGATGATCCATTCACCTTCAATGAATACTCGATGTCTTTGAGCAAATACTGACTGTTGTCAGTCTCTATTTTTTAACGGAGTCTGTCATCTCTTATCTCGATGCTTCAAAGCAAATATGTAGACTGGATAGTGTGCGAAAGAGAAGTCGATTGCGTACATTGACTATTAGTCTACTAGACAGGCACCGAACTCGAAGTTAAAACTTTCGCTGACTTGCTCAAACGCATATTACACAATAACTAAAAGATCTTCAGATCAGAGATAACGTAAGAAGATCTCGTTATCGCAACGTTTGTGTCGTTTTCTTCTTCTCATCGTCAATTTTACGACACATTCAACATATAGACTCATCTCAAGGGTATTGTGATGAGAGTATTGCAAGTTCAATTACGAGGAAATACTTCGCTGATCTATACGTACACACATCGACCGATATAATGAAAGAATTGTCTATTCTTCTTCCTTTTTTTTTTATTCTGATCTCATGTAGATGGCTATCGAGGGATTTACTGAACAAAATGTATATATAATAAATGATGAGACTCGTTGAAACATGATGATTATGTAGAAGAATAATTCTTCACCTCATCATATGCTTATCTAATAGGAACAATAGCATTTTCGTGTTCCGTCGATTCCCGGTACATTCATCATATCGATGTACATATCACGATGAGAACATGCGAGATAAAAACTCATTGAGGGGAATGGAATGGCGCGTTATCGAGCGTGCGGTTTTCCCTTTTCGCGATGATGCAAACGGAAATCAAATTTTGCTCCTTCTTTTTTTTTCAACGACAATTAACGAGGCGCGAAAAACTTCATCATGATGCAATTAGAACTAAGATGTGTCTTTCTCTCATTTATTTCGAGTATCTATTGATAAATAAGTTTAGTTCAAACGCATCTTTCTTTATCTGATCAATTTGCTTCCTATGAGCATAAATAAACTTCTCTGTGAACATTTATCTTTCTAACTGCAATTTAGAACATACGCATCATTTGTTTCATATTTATTATCATACAAAAGAAGGTAGAAAAGACCTTCACCTTCTATAATGATCGAAGGGCAACGATGACAATTACTGACAGCATGTGAACATCAAGTCAAAAGAGAAAGGGGATGCAAGGATCTTGTGACAACACATATAATCTTCGGGATTAATACAATTAGTTTCTCTTCGCTTGGTTATTTTTTCTATTCTTCACTTTGTTTCTTTTACTCATCTGACATAAACAGTGAAACACTACGCATGGATGTTAAAACAACATTGCACTAGTATTCTCTGAACACATCAACAATTGTGAAATGACTTACTCTTCACGATATTCGAGTATAAATATACAGAGACAGAGGAAGGACAAGTACAACGAGTGAGTATGCGCAGAATGAGCTTTAAGCGCGCCTCGACGAACAGCGACCTTGGAGAGCAGAGAGGGAGAAAGCAAGCAAGGAAATCATTATACGAATGTAAGACGGTGGCAGCAGTTAGCCTCTTTCCTTCCCCCCTCTCTCTCTCTCGATGTCTCTTCGTTATAAACGCGTACGTGTCATAATTTTTTTAGAGACTATCAATGGCAGTACAGACAGACTCTGGGGAGACATGGAGACGACGAGATGGAAGGCAACAAAGTCTAAAGACCTGTTATATTCAACAACAGCATTTGACATGTCATTAGATATAAATAAATAAGAAAAAAGGTCTCTCAAGGTTTCGCTCGAATTGAAACGAACGACACAAGCTGTGTTCTGACAAAATATGATGCCAGAACGATGGTTCAGTTTCTCTTACCGAAATTCGACGCGATCAATCGCTGTTCGAAGAAAACTAAACTAAACTCCTTGAACAACACGAGTAATTTTATCCATCCGTTTTTTTTTTCTATTTCGAAAAAAGCCCTTTTCCTCTTCCCCTCTTTTTTAACAGAAGTATTTTTCTTTTCTTAACATTTTATTCATCACACACATCTGTCAAGTGCATTCTTGGCATAAAAGCATTCGAAAATTTGTTCGAAAAAAATGTATAAAAAAAGAACAAAGATAACAATTCATGTCATCGACTGTAAATATTTCCTCATGTTAACCTCAAATGTCGAAACAGAAGCGAGGCACTTGTTAGGAAAAAAGAACAAAATGCGCGTACTATCCGAAGAAAGTCGAAGAGGCCAGTTCCGGCAAATGACTTCAATGACATTGACTCTAGACGCTTGTTTAGATCAAACTCAATGATGATAAAATAGTCATTTTCTCTTTTCTTTTTTGTTATTTTCTATCAAAAGGGAGAGAGACAGGAGAAAACGAGTCTCTCTTTCCGGATAGATCGACTGCTATGTCTGGATTGAATTTCCAAGATAGTGCAAAAGAGTTCATTCTTGATCGAAGCACGCCTGAGTATAATCTAGACGGAAAAGAGCTGTTACGATTTGCAAATCGATCTTTCTCTCATTGATCGACAGAAAACGGCAAGAAGAACAAGAAGCAAATCAGTTCTTCATCGTTCATTGCACGTTCAAATCGTTCTCAATGCAAACAGTTCCTAATTAATCTTTGATAGAGATTATTGACAGCAAATGAGAAGAGAAATGCGGTCAAAGAAGCAAGTAACTCGATAATCGCGGGGTACAAATTACCTAATAGCTTTCGAATACAAAATATAGATGAGAGATGAGATGTTGCTAACGTTTTATTTGCCGACAGAGAAATAAAGAGAAGGAAGACATCGATCTCCATCAAAAAACATCGAATCGATGTCGCGGTCAAGGACAACATTCAGCAAACTTACCTGCAAAGCATTTCTTCAGTTTCCAAATGTCTCATCAACATTTTTCAGAGACAATGAAGCAATAAGAAACTATCTTTAACCAACTCGACATGTACTTGTTAATAGACATTCACTCGGGTGACATTAACAAACTTATTCTCTATTAAAACATCGAACGATTCCATTAAACAACGAACTCATGTGCAAAGCATCTGCCGACGTTCACCGAGTAGTCGATCAAATATCATAATCTCTTGCTCATCTGTACATGCTATTTACTTTCACAAAGACAATGTCATTTTTCTTCTTTCTCTATAAAACGGACTGTTCATTATTCTGTGCGTTGCGACGTTGGTGAGAAAAAAAGAAACGAACTCCTAAATGGGTATAAAGACACAGCATAAACTGATTTGTTTTCTTCGATATTGTCAATGTGTAAGATATCAATTACATACTCGATTCTTTCAATAAAAAAAAAAGCTGCGGACGTGTTCAACAAAAAAGAAACGATTATATGGAGTGAAAGAAAAGAATTCTTCTCGACTATTAGTATCATCAGAAGAGGTTTCGATAGTAAAATCGGTTGAAAACGAATATCCAATCTACTCTCTTATTGCATCACTTCATGTCTGAATCGATTTCGTTTGCTCGGTCGATAAACACCTACGTCTTTATATATCTGATACTTGTCGGTTCTAACAGACTTTGTGTAGGCGATGTGTTAGAAAAAAAAGAGAGAACGCTAGTGAGAAGAACAAGGATCAATTAATCTTCTCTTTGTACGGTGATGAGAAAAAAAAACATCGAACTTTCTTTTACCCGAACAATATCAAATATGATCAACTTTCGAGCAGCAAGGGAAAAAAAGGGAAGAAAGAACGAGAAGATCAAGATGTTTTTCTTCGTTTACTTCGAGTTTTTCTCTCTTGTGATTAATGCAGTTTGGTGAAGTGAATATTTGAACAGTAGGGTGGAGACTATTATTCGATATTAGTAAAGAAAATATTGTGAAGCTAATCAAGCAAACGGGACTATTCTCAACACGCTGTTGACAACGTGTCAATGTTTGACTGTCTCATATTCATTCAGTGAGAAACAAAAGGGTTCCTAGGCTCTGAACGCCAAAGCAACGTAGAATGAAGAAATCAGAAAACATTGAGTCGAAGCTTTTCGCTGTTCTTGTTGATGTTGTTTCAAGGACAAGGCCTTGACAAGAGCATGATTAACTGACAAGTTGACAGCGAAGAAGAATGAAGACGATTGAGACTAGCAAGATCTAATGTGAAGAAAAAATTAAGAAACGAACAATTCTATTTTTTCAATTAACCAATGTCTCGCAACTTCACTATATCTTGAACTTCACACAGTCATTATATGGCTATAATCATTCGTCGAACACTGTTCTTTCCCTCTCTTTTCTCTTTTATAACAAACCGTTTTTTTTTATTGCGGTAATTTATGATAAAATTGGATTCATACGATAGCATGAAGAGAAAGAACAGAAACCTATGCAGAATATGCTCGTCAAGGACGCGAAGGTTGGTTTGTATCGGAAAAGATAATAATATTTGTGATGAATGATCGACATGGATCATTTTCTTTTGTCGAACAATTATCAGCATGATTCTCTTATGTAACTCGCATCAACATAACCTCCACCTGCTTCTCTATTTGCCGAAGGTGGTAGTAGTTCCTGACCTTGTTTCCTTCCGTATCTTTACGTCTCTGACTAGAAAAGTCGTATTGTGTTAACCTTCATGCTGGAGTTCTTTTGTTGAGTCCAGAAATAATTTGGCAATGACATTCTTTTGCCTTTGCCTTATTCTCGTTACGCTAATGTTTTTCTAAAGAGATGAGCAGGATTGAGATTAGAAAGATGAGTACCACGTGCATCCAATGTATATCTTCTAATTAGATGTAATGTCGGCAAAAGAATCGACATTCATTATTTAGAAACAAGAAACATGGCCGCTGTGCTGTTGAAAGTTCAACGTGTATTACTCGTGGCCATCCAATCGATTGGTCATGGGGCGGCAACTGCTGCTATTTATGACCTACGGAGAAACATAGAAAGAATGATGTAATGGTTATCGAGATGCCATACGTGCACCATTACACGACTCATAGAGGGTCAAATATGCGTTCGCCTACATATTCGAATCATTCTTCGATTAGACTTCTCTATACATTAAGTCGCCTCATCTTTTTTTAATCGTTTTTCACTTTCAAGCACAACGAATCCTCTTCGTTTGCCTTCTCCCTTACAACTTACCGACCTCATCGATCATTTGCTCTTCTTATGCAAGAAAAACCAAATTCGAAATCCCCGATGACAAGATAGACATGAAAAATCAAACCAAAAAAAGCCAACTCCTTTTCATTCCCTGTAGAAATCATATATAAATACAATGATATTAATCACAAAAAAAAGCCACATCAGACATCGAATACACATCTATATATTCATTGCAAGAACAACAACAAAAACATCCGAAGGAGAAGGAAAAAAAATGAGATTTAGATTCGATTTGCATCAGAGACAATATGCATACGATTAAACTTCTTACAGGCGAAGACAATCGTACTTCTACAAGAAAAATAAAGGTCATTTGTCATCATTGCAATCATCGAATACACGCGCATATACAGATGTGCTTATATAACATAACAAAGTCCAAGATACTGTAGCATCACAACAACAAAAAAACAAGATTCACTGTTAAAAAGCACAGTTATGTAAGAATCGAAAGAAAGAAAGGCTACTAAGAATTAAGATCACGTTCATCAATCAATAATATTGGTTGACGTTGTTCGTTGAGACAATTCGACATTGATGATAAATGTTCATCATCAATTAACAGATCCGCATAAGATCGATTCGCAATATAACTCTGTTGCTGTTGTTTTTCCGTGGATGGAGAATACGAATAATGAGAATCACCTAGATCAAAAATGAACTGATTCATCTCTTGAACTTCGAAACACTCTTACCTATATGAGAATTGTTTTTTAAATAATTAATCAATATCAATCCACATGTTGTTATACAAAATCCCACTAAACATGCGAATATATCGACGAGTGTTAGTTGCTTCCATTCACGAAAAAGTATTCCTGATGTTATTAACACACAAGTTGTAAACAGAACATAATACACAGTAGTTACAATGGGTGTTGGAAATAAATCCAACGCTCGATTCAAATAGATCATTTGAACGAGTATACAAAAAATAATCACTATTGCACAGGAAAATGTTAATCCTTTCGAATAGGTCTCTTCATGGTGAATGAATTCTCTTAAACCAATTCCTAATCCTTTACAAGCTGTTACAGTAAACGCACCCAGAAGAGAGCAGATTAAAATATAGATATGAACATGTTTTGAGCCTAACCGAGGAACGTAGTGAATGATCAGAAAAACAATCGAAAGACAAGTGAACAATGAAAATAGAACGAACTCTAGAAAGAAAGAAAAACGAGTTTTCGAACGGAATTTGTCGGAGATTCGTACCTTGTGTGTTGATTTTGTATGCGAACTCGCGTAGAGAATTCACGTCACTATCTTTAGGTGCATGAATGATTATAATAATCGATCCGGATACAGTTAGAAGGCAACCAATTTTACCAAATATATTCAATTTTTCACCCAAGAATCGTACTGCTAAGAGAGCACTAGAGAAATCAGAAACTTTCGAATAAAATTTCAACGAAAAATGAGTATCGTACCTGACTAGAACAGAAAGTGCTCCGAGAGGCGTCACAACAGATGCAGGAGCAAATCCATAGGCAGTAAAATTACAAATTTCACCAAGACCCATCGTTACCAAACCGGTCCACCATTGAATTTCACGTAAATATCCAAAACCACCTGAGCCTTTATCGAAAACAACCAAAATCGTTAAATTTCCATGTAAAAGTCAATCAACGGATAGAAACCTGCACGAATTGCACCATTGTAACCGGTTAACTTGAGCAAGCCTTTCTTTTTCAGTATAAAACTCGTTCCAATGAACAAACTTGATGCCAAGGCTAAACAAACTCCTGTAACAAATTGATTCATATTTCTCGGCTCGTTTGTATTCTGTTGCGGATGGATCGCTGTCGACACTGCAAGTTTTTGATTTAGCGAATGTTCAAGAAAAGACATTCTTTTACGTGTTTCGTTGTTCATTATTCGTTACACGAATATTTGTATTGTAAACTAAATAAAATCGATTATAGAGCAAAAAGATTTGATTAAATTCAGCTTCCGGTTCGAGTTCTAGCGATACAATCAGTTCCTTTCCATCTCATGTCGGTGAAATATTAAAAACGATTTTCTATTCAATCACTTGAAATCGAAGTGCTAAAAGTGGTGTTCTAATCACTGACTGTACGTTTTCTCTTCTCAATTGTTGATATTTATCAAGGTTGCTCATTGACACACTATTCCTTTATCGTTTTTCTAAGTAGTTTGTAAAAACACTTGAGAGAGAAAGTTTTTTTCTTTTAATCGTAAACCATTAATACATATGTCAAGCAAGATACTTACTAATTGTTGAATATTCCTGTAGAGAACAGAGTGTTTTGCATCGTATATTTGCATAAAGTGCCGAGAAGCTGAAAACGACAAACGAAGAAAAGCATACAGTTACAAAGTGAGTTTGATTTCATCAATAAAAACGTAAGTGATATATGATTGTTTATTATCGAAAAAGAAAGTCGATGCCAAAGGCTTTTTCTCCCAGATAAAAATCGAAAGTATGAAAGTAGGATGATGATGTTTATGGATTACTAAACAACTCATTTTATCATTTGAGAAAAATGTGAAGAATGAGAAACAGGAAACAACTCTGTCAACAAAATATTTGTAAAATATAAATACAAGCATGTGATAGGACAGATGTCACTGGAGGATAGAGTTGAAATCACATTTGGGGAAGTGTTCGTTGTGTTCATATAACAACCCATTCACATTTATTGTGTTTTGTCGGTCCGGAATGAAGCAGGAAGACAGAGACGTATGATTCTCTTCAAATTTACTACGAAGTATTGTAAATGATTTTCTCCTTCTGTATCACTGAAGAGATTTTTAATAGATTTGAATGAACTGTATTGTCATCAAAAGAAAGGTATGTTTTCCATTACAATAAAAAAAAGCTTATAACAACATTTCTGGATTTCTGTTTAGAACATAACGTTGTATTAAAATGAGAAAAAAAAGATGTTTATTCTTTTTCAGCAATTCGTGTCAAATGTTGTTCAACTTCACTTTCAGTTAATACTCTAGAAAGAAGAGAAGATTTCCATAGGTGATTTGATTACTACGAAATTACTGACCGAAATTTCACGTTGTCTTTGGTTACAACGCCGATTTCGATTTCATTTGGTTTTAAATCTGTTGAAAGAACACTTGCTAGTGTTGAAATCGCCAATTCTACCGCTTCGTCGAAGTTTAGATCGGCTTTCTTCTTAATGCGTTTTTCTAGGAAATTGTTCGCTTCAGTTTGTTTTACACCGGCACTTGTTGCACGAAAACCACAGAAATAACCAGCTGGATCAGTTTTATACAACATTGGACCTTTTTCTTCATCCATACCGAATAAAATCATACCTAAATCGATTGATTCGAAACAAAATCGAACGAAAAAAACGGAGAAAGTTAACCTACAACATCCGAGTGGTCTCATTTCAGCTTCTTGAGTGTAGACTTGTGAAATATCAGCCACACGACGACAGATAGCATCCACGGGAATATCATACCCATATTTATACTTCCAAGATGCAGCTTCGTAACGAGCGCGTTGCACTTGCCATCGAGAATCAGCTAGAAAATAAGATCTATTTTCTTCAAGAACTATGTATGTTTCAAAAAGTGCATAAGAAAACAAAGACAAACTTCAGTATTTTTCAATGATTCCTAAATATCTAATCCCATCGAGATATTGATGAAACCAAACGGTGTAGAGACTTTATTAACAATGCAAAAAGGTCGATCACACTGATCGATTCTACGCGTAGGTTATAGAAAATCACGTAACTCATACGTACCAACCATGCCGGTCATTAAACATCCAATAGTTGGTGTAATCGCATGTAAATGAGTCACTGATGATGCATCAAGTAACTTGTCCTAGAACGAAATATGTTTTGAATAATACGATGAAAGATTTTGCTGATGACGCACTGGAATCTTCTTTTGGGCAATGGCAACAACACAATCTGTACCACGTACAGCAACGGTTGTTAGACCACCTTGGTTGATTGCTTTGAAAGCATATTCTAAATCGGTCCGAACTGAATTAGTGAATAATTTGATAGATTCGTAACTCACCAACTTGATAAAGTCTTCCTTCTGGTGAAAAGATCGTAATATCACGATCGAAACCGGCTGAAGCTGTTCGACTCATTTATTAATTTTTCTCTAAAAGCACAATGATTCGGATTGTTTAACAATAATACTAGACGAGACTGTTTCTTTCAAACAACCAATTAGAATATCGTCGCTATTTTCTTTTCAACTGCTAAAGATGTCAGTTGAAAAATCTCAATAACTAGAGTTTCAGCATAAAATTCTTCTCGAAAAGAAAATTTTACTAATTATTAACGCTTTTAATCGATAAGTAAAGTAAGCCACGAATCGACCGTTTTCCAATTGGTTCATCGAAACTGGTATGCGTGTTGGTTAAATTGCTTCGTTCGTTTGCATCTGTTGTCTGTCACATACATTATCCATCGTCTTTCGCCTTTTCGCGATGAACATCATTCGTTTATTTTCATTTTTAACCATCTTTGGTTTACTCTACTTAGCCACAACAGGTAAACCCATTCGGAGATATTCCTGCTTAAAAAGATCCTTGTTCTTCAGGCGTTTATGGTAAAGAAGATGCTGACGTAGAAATTGGCGAAGAAGAAGAAACTATTTTACGTCCCGATGAAACAGTAGGATCTACAAGTGACACTCTTGTAAGAATCAAATCAGAGAAATCGACTTCTTGAGTATAGCTGGTCTCTTTAGGAAACCAAAGAAGATGAAGATTTAGACCGTATACCATCATCACCAGAATTCCGTACGAACTATGTGTTTATTCAACCACCAAGAGCTAACGGTATGTCATAGGAATGAAGTTTTGATGTGAAAAACAAATCGATTTTTGTCATTTGTAGAATTATTTGCTGGGAAATTAACTCGTTTACTCGTCGGTGCACGCAATAATGGTACACAAAGTTTCGTTGTGGAATCAATTGATGGTTCATTACGTTATCCGCAAGATTTTACTTATTACATTCAGAATTTTACCGCTTTACGAGCAGAAAAAACTGTGGAACCTGGCTTGGAATCAACATTCGAATATTTATTCATGCCAAGTGAAACTTTCAATGGTCGACCAATGGGTTTAGTTGTTTTAGTTAATTACCGCAATAACGTAAGGCTTGCTTTCCTTTCAATTTCACTTTTGTTTGGAAAACCCCCTTTGTGTTTAGGAAGGAAAACGTTTTCAAAATGTTGTCTTCAACCAAACAATCAATTTCATCGATGCCGATGAAGGATTTGACGGCGAAACGTAAGAAAACAAATCTCCTTGCAGCCCAAATCACGTTGTTTTGTTTAGATTCTTTCTTTATATCTTTCTCGGTGCCATCTTAGTTCTTTTGGGCTTCGTCGCTTATCAATACTTACTCGCCAATCGTGTCAAACGAGTCAGCGGTAAATTAGGCTCACAAAACCTTGCATCTCAACAAGGCAAAGGCAACTATGATGTCGATTGGATTCCAAAACACCATCTTCCTCAAAGTAACTGGAAAGTTGTCTGATTGTTTTCGAATATAACGATTGAAATTTGTGTTTAGACCGATCGCCAAAGAAAAGTCCACGTGAACGTAAATCTCGATCGGCCAATGGTGTGAATGGTACCAGTGGTGCTGCCTCGAGCGAAAACGATGAATAGAAAAGAATAGCGCGTTGTTGTTTTTTTATTTCTGCTTGTTTTTATTGAAGTAAAAAGAAAAACTGTGCCGTTATCATATCTAGTTTTGGAGAATTTCGACCGATTTATTCGACGGTGGATTTGTTTTCTGTTTTTCTTCTTGTTATTGTTGTTTGTTTTGAGCTTTTTCGTCTTCTAACACATTGTAGTCGTTGATTTTTCTTCTTGTCTTCCGTACATCTAATAAACAAAGAAAAGAGAAAAAAAAACAAGGTTATTTCTGCTATCGGATCAGTTTCGATTAAATTCGAAATGGAAATCAAACAAGATTTGTTTAACATACAAATGAGTTGTTCGATTGATCAACTTCTCAGGCGTTTTGATGAATTGTCAAGACATCATGCTTATTTTCTATCAGATTTCAGTCGATACCTTCCGGATATTAAAAATCCTTTACGAAATGTCGAACGATCGGAAGAAGAGCAACAGAAAACAGCAGGGAAAATTCTACTTGAACGAAGTGAAAGCTTGATTCGAAAATCGTCGAGCAATACTATCGAAGATTTTCACACTCGGATTATTGTCAGTCGTTTCCGTCATCGTCCGCCAAGCTATTCTTCAAGTGATCAATCAACAATCAGTCGAATTCCCTCGCGAACAACATCTGTGTCTTCACACAAGGAAATTCCACGATGGAGCTCGTCAACAAAGGCTCCCTCACAATGTCCAACAATAACACGACGAACTGGACGTCCTCCGATCACTGTATTTAGCAAGGAAACGATGAATCGTCTCGCACAACCGAAAATACGCTCTCAAACATCGATAAAACGAACGAAAACGATCATTGTAAAGTCATTTACGAAAAAATCAAAAACTCGTCGTTCTTCACCCTCGCATATTAAACAACGCATTTGAATTTCGACATGTTGTTTTTTTTTCTGTAAATTTATTTTAAAAAAATTAACACTTTGTTATCTAATCATTTCTTCAGTTGATATTTCTCTCGAACTTCATTTCGCGCTTGTTCATGCGCAGATAGTGTCCCACGTAATTCAGCTCGACTTGCTTCACGTTCCCGCTCGATTGCTTCTTCATCACGCGCTATTTGTCGACGAATTAAACTTCGACGTGCATCAGCACACGCTGGTTTACATGCACAACAATAAACACAACAGATAAATACAATAACACCGACGATTAGAAACACAATTAACAGTATGAGATTTTGTGTATCAAGAAACATGATTATTCAGAAGAAATGATCTGCAGACTGTAAACGACACTGTTGTTTTTTTTGTGTTTCTATCAGAGATGACTCACCGACGATGTTCGTCAAATATTTACTTATGTGACTTGTAAGATCAGCCATTCGACAAATGCTGATTTCGATAGTCGATCGAAGACGTAAAAGTCCGGCACTGGAAGAAAAACGTGTTTATGTGATGTAGAAAATAGTTGAAATGATGTTGGCTCTGTGAAGAAAACTATGAAGGCTTTAAATTCTAATCGACAAAAAAATCTGTTGCACTGTTTCCATATGTTATAAACGACTTTTTTTGTTAATGTCAGATCAAATCAATACGAACGTTCGTTCAGAGTAAACCGTTTACCTTTCTATTCACCGCAGTAGTTGGTTTATTCATATTTTCGTTAGCGACGAAGAATACGAATGTCGCAGAACCTCGGACCAGTTTTATATGTCAACAATGGAAGAATTTACTTTCTAGAAAGGCTGAAAATAACAACCCGATGAGAATTTTTGGACGGTACAAGGACTGCGGCATACCATTCATCAACATTTACTGAACTCGGTGGAAATGTTGGAACAGATTTATCTAAATTTGTCAGACTGTACCACTCATTGGTTCTTAATTTTGACTCAATCGTAGACATGGCTGTAAAACTAAAAGAGGAGCTTAAAATCCAAAAATGGAAATTTGCCCTTATAGTCTTGGCAATCGAGCGTGGAATCTCATTATCAAATTAGTCGATGCTAACAATGCAGGGACAGATATGTTTCGGAGATCATCTGGAAACAATTCCGCGCTTGTTCCAATACTTAATGCTCCGAAAATTTTGGATAACATTCGAAAAACACGAACTCAGAATGGAATTATCGATATGCTAACTATCAATTGCGAAAGATGCGAATTCGAAGTTCTACCGAAACTGATTATGCATGATATGCTTCGACACTTTCGTACTATACAATTTGCATCACACACAACACTATTCAAACAATCGTTCTGCATCTATCGTCAGATTGAACAAGCTTTGCACAGAGTGCATTACGTCAAATATCATTATAAAATGATATGGGAAGGTTGGTTGTTAAAGAACTGAATTTTGTCCGATAAAAGTCGATTTTTCTCGCTTTGTCGTACAGAATAAAGGCACGTCGAAGTGTCCTGATCATCATCTGCCAGATTGAATGATTTGAGGAGAGATGTTCGATGAACGGTTATATGTTAAAAGAAAAAGAAGATTTATTTATTCTACTAAAACAAGCAATTAGATCATTTCTTCTTCGAATGATCGACTCATTTTAATGTAAGTTGACGAAGTCGAACTTGATAACGATGACGATGGGTTCGTTTGTTGGTGCGTTGATGATGAATTCGAAGAAACTATTGTCATGGCAGTAAATTGTGGTGATGAAGATGAGAAAAATAATGTATCATTCAACGAGGAAGAAAACGACGAGGGTGTTAAATTGATTTTCTTCTCCAAGAGTCTTCTTCGTTGTAAACATCGATAAGTCGTCACTGTAATTACAATAATTATTATACAAAGGATTAGAATGACTAAGTGAACTCGATTTCGTTCATTCGTTTGGCATTCTGGTTGAATTTGAAGAAGAAAATTCTTGACTATTGTCGACGAATTCGTCGTTCGAAGATGGATATCCATCGAATAGTTTCGTATCCAAGGTTTTACAAGTAAAATTCCATTAGGAAGAAGAATGACGTCCGAAGATGATGAATTTTGGATGGAAAATGAAACATTGGTTGACGCTTCCAGCTGAATTCGGATGGGATTGCTTTTTTGCCAAGGGAAACAGTATGGTGATGGAGTTTTTAGCACTGGTCGATCGTCGATTAACATTTCAATACGAATTGCATCGGAGTACAACGAATCGTTTGCGAGAATGTCGAATTGATAGGATTCGTATCGATTAAACTTTCGTTTTGTATAAAAACTACCATTTGGTCTCAATTCGATTACATTTGCCATCGATTTCGGGCGCAGATTGTACGCTATTTGAGAATTTTGATCTTTGTCTATCGCTTGAACATGACCGAGAAACGTCCCCGGAGGTTCGTGATAAGAAATCGCAATTTGAGTGAAATTCGTTGGGAATCTTACCGGATTATCATTCACATCATTGAGATAAATATCGATCGGAATGGTTGTTCGATGTCCAACGAGATCTTCAGCTGTAAGGTTGAAATGATATGATGACTGAACTTCATAATCGAGAATTTTGATGATGACAAGTTGGTTTTGATCATTGAGACGAAAGAGATTCTCTTCGTTTTCCGATGAAAATCCAAGTTTGAACGAAATTCGATCGTTTTCGTCCAGATCAAACGCTTGGATTGTCTTCAAAACAAAATTCTCTTGATTATTCTCATCGATCACAAATGTATAATTCGTCAATGGATCAAAATACGGAGAACAATCATTGATATCCATAAGATCTAATCGAAAAGTGTTCACAAATGAATGACTTGGTTGCCCATGGTCATACGTAATCACAGAGAACGAATACGACGACTTTTCTTCTCGATCGAAGAGCGTATTTGTCGAAAACATGTACGTATTATTATTGATCTGTTGTAATCGAATAAATGCGTACGACGAAATCAATTCCACAGTGACACGGCCATTCTCGCCTGAATCGCAATCAGAAACGGTTAAGTAAAGTATCGAAGTGTTCACGGGAATATTTTCCATGATATTAATCGATGAATTGCCAAGTACTTCAATCTCCGGTGGTGAGAAAATGAATATTTCAGGAGTACAATCATTTTCATCGATAATCTACAAACAATAAATCGAGCGATTTTATGTAAAATCGTTGATTTACCTGTATAAACAATGTTGTATATGATGATAAAGCATTCGATCCCATGTCTTTCGCTTGTATTTGTAGTTGATAGTTCGTTCGTTTCTCATAATCCAATTCTTTCAAGAGTAAAATCGAACCTGTTTCAGGATTCAATTGGAATATTTCACTGATTGTTCGGTCGGCCAATGTCCATTTCGAAAAACTGTATCTGATTTCTCCATTCGGACCTTCATCGGGATCAACTGCTTTGATTTGCACGATCTGAGTATTGATCGGTGTGGATTCGGAAACGTTAATTCTCCATGGAGATTGTTCTTCATGCTCGAACTTCGGTGTATTATCGTTCACATCCGTAATTTTCGCGATAATTTTCGTACAACATGGTCGTGTCTGTTCATTAGCACAAAGAATAAACTGATATTCATCATGTAATTCTCGATCCAACTGTTTCGTGACGATCATCGTTGGTGGTAAATGATTTTCCAACTGGAATTCTGAATGATTGTTGTTCAAAAACTCATACGAGTGAATGTTATTTGGTGGTAAATCTGGATCGTAAGCGACAGGTAGAATAATTCTGGTGTTAATCCGAATGTTCTCATTGAGATTTATGTAAAAAATCTCATTGGAGAAATAACAATGATTATCATTTTCATCGATGATACTCAATGGTAATGATAAAATGTGTGTCGAGGTGTTGCTGATCGCGTTGATTTCAAGTTTTATCAGACATTCCGCTAAGCAGGAACAGAGATTTAATTGACACAAACTCTCTCGATCGAGACGACGTTTGATTGTTATTGTACCTTTGAGATTATCTAATAGAAAATAGGATTTAATCAGCGTTTGAGTCAGGAATGTAAACTCCCAGTTTGATGCCGGTAAAACATCTAAAAATTGAGTAATCGGTGTACCGATCGGTGCGAATTCACTGGAATTGACTGTCGGTAAACGAATATATCGAGCGTAAATAATCGTCGACTTGATTAAGAAGTAAAATAAGCAAAAACGAGACATAGTAGCATGATTATGACATCAAATGATCGTTTCGTCTAAAAATCAGATCAAATCAATCGTGATTAAATTAACTCGTTCGTTCTTCTCTTCTTCTCACCAGCTTGAACACAATGTCTGTTTACTTTGAAACTGTCTTCTGCTCGTGTTTGATCTTCTACCGCTAATCGAACAAAGAAATGATCTCTGACTGATTTTCTACGCTATCGATCTGCCAGCTGATACATCGCAACAGATTTGACACGAAACTTTCACTTAACTCAAAGAAAGTCACCGATTGGAACGAGCAATCGGAGAATTAGTTCCTTAAGATGAAAACTCATTGCACATTGCGTTGAATAGAAGATTTCTTTTCTATTCATCACAACAAGGACACTCTCGATACCTTCTCATCGAAACATTGTTCTTTGTTTGAGATAGCGACAATCGATCGATGAAACAAGTCACACCCGATGGAATATTCGACCTCGTCGCGATTCTTTGGAGATTTGTGAGAAGAGAAGAAACGTTCCGATCTGTTGTTTCCCGAATACGAACATAATTATCGAATCAATTTGCCTTCTTGCGTCTGAGAATCGAGCAATCTGACATAACGAATCGAAATTAATCAAGCATCGAGCTATTTAAAATGATCTATGGAAGGTCACACGCTAATCGATCTATTAACTTACGAGATTCTGCATGGAAGAGAAGAATTCGTCGAGCTAGTTGTGCTTGAACATCGCTGATATTATTATATTCTTCATCAGATAAAATCCAACCGACAACGAACGATCGCATATCTATTAAATCGGCTAGGTTTCTCTGTCTATTGCCCTCCCTTCATTTTTTTTTCCTAATGAGAAGAACACAGACGATATTTATCTACATTCTTTTTCTCTCTTCTGAACGGAAAGAGAGAGAGACAGAGGAGAAAGAGAAGAAGAATAAAAGAATTGTTACTATGTATTTTGAAACTATATCTGTAAAATTGAACATAAGTTAATCATAATTGTCGTTGTGAAAGGGAAAACTTTGAAGAGGAGAGAAGAGGACGGATTGAACATTGATTTAATCAATCAATCAAACATATTCAATATTTACTTTTTTTTCTTCTCCTACATATATGTTAATATATCTGCTCATATCGTACCTTACATAATCAACATGTCCAAGTGATGGATTTGTCAGTAGAATTCCGGTGTTAATATGATAAAGATAAGACCTCTAATGTCCATTTCCGTTGACATCGGTCATTGATGTAAACTTCATATGGAACATGGTGACAATGGCGTAAATTCATTTCGTTGAATGAATTCTTTCTCACAGTTTTTATCAAGGGACAAGGAAGGAGGAAAGAACGTGCATCTTTTCGGTTGTGCAATATCTTCTATTTCTAATTAGATGAGTCTGCTGATAAGTAGATCTGTTAGACCACTTGCGTTAAATTTATTCCAGATAATTTGGGTGGAGTAGTTAATCAAGCACAGTTATTGAGAAGAGAAAATGATCTCGATTGAATTAAATCGAGTTTCCTTTCGTTAAATGTTGATTGATACTTGAAAAGAGACTATTCCGTATGAATGTACCTTGTTTTACTTATGACAAGTTCGTATCAACATTGACATTTTCTCGATAGTTCCATCCTTGAACTTCATCATGATGTAAGAGAGAAAGAATTTACATGTATTTAAGTGAATGTAAGAAGATGCGCGTATTGTTCGAATGATTTCACCAAATATTCATTCCGTGTCATCGATTAAGAGAGGAGAATGAACAAAAACGAGATACGAACAACATGAATACAGAAATAGATTTGTTATGCATATTTGTAAAGAGAAAGACACGTGTTTTCAAAGAGGAGAAGATGAAGAACTGCAGCTACTCTTTTTTTTGTTGCTGAAAATTTGCACATCGCACACGATGATGGTCTCGATTGTTTTACTCATTGGAAAGCAAATAACGTTGACCTTTATGTGACGAATGTCGATTTCCTAGACGTAAGGAACGTCTAAGAGTGTCAAATCTTTGGCCGAGCGTTAGTTTAGGATTGCTCTGTTCGTCATGAGCGTCATCAGGTGGACAAGTTTCCTGGGGCTTCTTACGTAGGAATGAAAAACGTTTGCGGAAAGGTGTTTTGTCGGAGGTGTGAGACGTTTGTTGACGGTCGGGATGGATTTCTGTTGGACAAGAAATTCTAAAAGAAGCAAAAGGATTCATTGTGTAAGTTTTCGTTAGACAAATTACGATTGGTTCATGTGAGTTGGTGCTAAAGGTGCTTTGCGACGCTTTGGTTTTTCGTTCTCCTCAGGTTTGATCAATGGCGACGTTAAACCAGTTGATAACATTGGATAGAGTTGTGTGTGTTGTTCTGCGTCATATTTGTTTAGTATTAAGCGATTATTTGAATTGTTACTTTCTAACCTTGGACGGGGTCGCGACAGAGTATTTCGAAACGATTTGCGTATTTGATTTGTTAGGCGATCCAATGGACGCGGTCGGGTTTTGGTAGTTACCGATGGAAATGGATCATCGTCGTTTTCATGTTCATCATTCGAATAAATATCATAACGTGGCTCGAAAACTTTCGATTTTATCTGATTGGATGGGATCGGCGATGATGATCGACGCTGACGTTGTAAGAATTTTCTCGATTTAGCTGGTTTTACTAAGTTCGAATTGGAATTGGAATATCCATTGGCATCGAGTCGAGGATAAACATGATCATCATCATGAGTTTCCTTCCGACGACGATAACTAAAGGATTTCCTTAGGCTATATTTCATATTCTAAATAAAGAAGAATTAAAAGATAATCTGTTCGATTCTTAAATAAAGCTGAATAACCTTGAATACTTTTATCAGCGAGAATGACAATAAATATGACAATAATTGTATAAAAAAACGAAAGAAATGAGAGTTAGAACAAGGTCGTTCGTATTTTTCTTCTTCTACTTCTTTCTTTTTTTTTTCAAAATGCAAAAGACGCGCGTGCGTGTACGTTGAATTCCAAGTGTAAAAAAGAAACGAGGAAAGACGACGAGTGAAACAGAGAAGGAGAGAGAGTGTGTGGAGTAAGCGATGACATCAGTAGCAAAGAAATGCGTGCCGTGCAGTGTGCAAGCGAGGTATTAATTTAGATAACAATAAAAAAAACATGTAAGAAGAGAACACATCGCGTAGGAAGGCAAAAAAATGGGTGAAAAACAGAACATAAACAAAGAATCTGAAAATCGTACAAAGGAACTCAGTTTTCCTCATTCAACAAACTGATTAGTTTAATAGTTGTCATCTTGACGGATGAACATTCTCACTGTTCGTCACCAGGGTCAGTGAAGCAGGAGCGGAGAAGATCGATAAAACAAGTAAACGAGCGCTGTTGAAGAAAGAAAAAAATAACAAAGACGCCATTTGAAATAGTATGGCGTGATCAGTAAGCTGTGAGGAGAAAAAAATTCAATACTTCGATTATTTATATTTCATAACATCAACCGAATGAAAAGAACATGAGTACGGATTATTTTTCTGGTATTCTGACTTCATCATGATAGAAAACACGAATTTGCTTGGAAAAGCTCTTTGTTTTCGCTCGACTTGATGATCATCATTGATTTGAAAAGCTCAGAGAAAATAGTGAAGTGTAGAAGATTTACCGAATGTCAAAATGATTTCATAATGCAACGTTTATTTTTCTACACACGAGTTCTTCCCAATGCAAGAACTCGTGAAATAAACAACATCCGATATGTAATTGTCTTTATCAGTAATAGAACGAAGGAGGAAATAAACGACAGATTCTCTAACGTGTCTTTGGCATATGAAGCTAATTCAATGTTTTTGTAGATAAATACATGAGTTTCATTAGAAAATATGTAATTAGATACGGATGCGCGGTGTTTTTTCCTACGACAGAGAAATCAGAAATAATCTCGTAGATGGATATGGGATATTTTTAGAAATTTAAATATTGAGTAACATCTGTATGGGAAGATAAGTTTGTGACTTTTCATTCGTACCAATAATACTTTGTATAACACAGGAACGTCACCTGAAGCGTTTAAAGATAAACAAGAATAATTATGCTTATTACTAGACGGATTATTTTGAAGAAATGATATCAAATGACTAAACAAAAGCCGTATAAAATCTTCACAAGCGTTTTCTGCTATGCAATTGAGATCCATCCCCTCAAGATTTATCATTTTTTGCGATAACGGAAAGAGTCTGTTGAAAAACCCTATATGACGCTTTCCGATGAACATCAACTGAAAAGCTTTTTATTAGTAATTGTTGTGAATCGCAATTCATTAAGAAGGAAACCTTCTATTTATAGATGTTTGAATCCTAAAAGAAATCCAATGGTATCTTTTCTTCAGAAGAAGCAAAAACATTCACGTTATCTTATGTTTTCACAAACAAAAAACTTCGTTGAGAAGTTTAACGCTGTATGATAAACATAAAAACAAAATTTAATACAAGATCCAACATAGTAAACCAAGTACTCATATGCTATTGCATATCGATTATCATAATATTGGTATACCTTTTCAAAAAATAAGTCGAAATTCATGAGCCGCATTACGAATAAATAAAACCTCTTTCAAGATGAATGAAACAGAGTACATTACAATCAGAAGTCATTTGACAATCATATCAGTATTATCCGTTGCAAATGAACACAGTTGAAGAGGTATATTCATTACTTCTTTTCATCCAGATTGCTTGGATGTCTATAGACGTATATAGCAGATAAAAGGTTGATATTCACACGAGCAGAATCCCGTCGTAGCAATACTCAGGTGCAAATTCTTTCGTTAGTTTCCATAAATAGAATTGTATTAAAAGCATACGACTCTCATGTATGTTTAATAATCACTGTTCTTTATCAATGTACCTGATTGTTTCCATGTAATTCATATGTCAAAAAGCGGATGAATTATTCAATCTGTCAAATGAAATCTTTCTTAACTTGTCTTATCCTTGAGCGCATTGCCGACGAATGAAAAATGAACGAGACGTGAAATTCTCCGGCAAATTCATTTTTCAACAAGTACAAATGAAAAGAAATTGATTGAAGACTTTATTATGCATATAGATATTTATTACTATCATGCTTTTATTTGATTAGTCTAGAATAAACTCATTCTGGCATATGAACAAAATGTGAAGAGGCAAGCGAAGGTCCGGCATAATGATTGAAAGTTTTCTTTCTGTTCTGTCGGAGTATTTTTCTTTCTATTGAACCTCAATCTCAGAAATCAACGAAACTTGTTCGATTGCTTCGAGATCCGATAATGACACGCAAGTGATTCAATTTCCTGCTCACATCTCTGACTTGCTTAACGTCTATTCTTTTTCAGGGTCACCTTCGCTCTTTTTTTCTTCTTTTTCTCCTTTTTCTTCTTCATTTAGTATTACGCAATCTCGTGCACACGCACTCTGTCGTAAAACACGACTCAACCAGATTGTATGTATTCACACCAACGATACATAAAGAGGAATTATATATATGTGTGTATGGGTATTCGTTGTTCTCTCATTCTCTTTCTTTCGATCCGTCATTCACATCTACCTGCATGTATTCGGTCATCTATTTTAAGTAGAAAAAATTTTGATTCAGATCTATACTTGAGTTACTCAGAAAAAGAAAGTCTTGAACATCATTAGAAGAGTAAGTGTATGAAGTATTTAATAGATCCTAAATTCAACATCGTTCTTTTCGGTTTCCTTGTCCTTTTCAAAATCTGTAATTATGTGAGTAATAATACTAATAAAAAAGAGAAGAGAATTGTAAACCTAAGGTATCGTTTTGAATTACATATTTATTCTCATACTACGACGATGAAATCTGACTTATGTAGATAACCATCATGCTGCTCTTCTATTCACTGGGTTTTTCTCGCCTTTTCTCTCTCTCCCTCTCCCTCCTATTGTTCAAGCGTAAATCATTCGACCTTTTTTTTTTTTATCAAGAGAAGGTATGATCGATTTTGTGGAAGGAAATCAATGCCTTTTTTTGCTCATTCTCATTCGTCCATGAGACTGGAGGGTCTTTTTTCTGACCGTAAAAGATAGAACACGTATGCTCAACCTTGTTGCATTCGAAGTACAAAAGTTATCTTGAATTGAGTTTGATGAAGAGAATAAAAATGAGTTCTACGAAAAGGATAAAAACGAACGTGTATGAGTAAAAGAGGGAAGGATTTCGTTTCATTTGCAGAGATTGAATGTTCGATAAGCGAGATAAAAGAAGAGTAGAAGAAGAAGAAGCCCGGCGAGTAGTTTTGTTTGCATTTATAACGAACTTCGTTGTTTTGAACTCGACGTTATAAGTTCAAGGTTAAAGATCTTTTTTTAGAATGAAACTTATCTTTTTAACCATTGTCCTTTGTGTGACAATTTCTGTCGCTCATGGAACAAAACTGTTGGCATCGTCAACACGGCAGATGAATCGTCGAGAAACCAAACTAGTCAGACGATTAGTCAAACGACAAGCATTGAATGGTAAGAATAAAGTTGAAGATAGAATCACATTTTCTCGTTCTTTGTTCAGATGCAAATTGTGATCGACGTGCTTGTAATGTTCCCAATTGTGGTAAAGATTTTGTCGCTGCTGCCTTACCTGGAGAATGCTGCGAAAAATGTGTACCATGGGAATATGCAGCAAGCTTAGGTATTCGATATCCACAAGCGCCACCACCACCACAGCCGTCTTATGACGCACGATCACAACAAGGTTACGCGTATAATCAATATGCGTATAATCAGGCACAACGTGTAGATGTCTATATATTCGGACCGCAGGACGGTGCACGTGTGTCAAGCGGACAAAGCATTTATTTTGATTGCGAAGTTGTTTCACCTTATAATCAATATGCTCAGCCACGTTGGACACGATCTGGCAACCAGGTAGATGGAATTTTCTCTATTAATATCATCGATGTCCTGTTCTTGTTTTTCCTCATCGTCGATATTCTAGCCATTACAATATAAAGCTCAAAGCACAACATTACCAGGCGATCGCAAACTTGTTCGATTAACAATTCCAGATGCAACTCAAAGCGATGCTGGTCGATACGAATGTAATGGCGGCACGGGAAATCCAAATGATCAAGCGTCAATAGATTTACAAGTACATTTTGATTTTCTTATCATCAAATGATAAAATATGTTTCTATTAAGGTCACCGATGGTGGTTATTACCCACGGCCACCATCTCCACCACAACCACAACCACAATATCCTCAATATGATCCATATAATCAGTATCCATATAATCAACCGAACTATTACCCACAACGGCCTCAAACACCGCCGCCGCCACCCCAGCCCCGGCCACAGCCACAGCCACAACCACAACCTCAGCCTCAACCAAACGCAGGCGATGAGGGCGAAGATGATGGAGTTGATGATGAAGATGCGGGTGGTGAATACGAACAAGGACCAGCAGCAAGCGATACAACATCAACCACAGCTAAACCAGCGCCTCAAGAAAATCGAGATTCTAATAATCCAGAAGACGATGGAGAATATCCCGAAGATTATACAGATAACGAAAAGTAATCAAGAAAATCGTGTAGCAATAGTAGTAAGATTCATCAACAGCCAAGCGAACTCTATTTTCTATCTAGCGTTTTCTAACAACACTAGACTAGATTTGTGTTTCATTCATTCATTTCAAAACCTTTCTCGTTTTGTTTTCTACATTTACGTTGTGTTTTCTCTTTTCTATAACTCAAACGTTTTCTTTTTTTTTGTCGTTTTTTCTTTCTACTCAAGTATCATTTCTTACCCTAAACGATATCACATCATTGTCAATAAACGAAAGTCAAAATATGCGAAATTATTTCTCGAATATCGATTTGTTTGTCTGTTTTATAAATAACACTTTCCAATGAACTGATGATCGAGGGAACTCTAATCAATCTACTTGTAAATCAAATTTATCGTTAAATAATCAACTATTGTTGAATCTGTTGTGTACCATATGAATAATTTATGCGTCCTTTTATGTGAAAATTGACATTGATTACAAAAAAACTACTTTCATCTTTTCATTATTGAATAACTTAAAAAATTTCTTTTCAAATTTTCAAAAGTGACTTGACCAAACGCAAAATATTTTTGAAAATGGAGAATTTCGATATGATTCTAGTCAATATTGATCTTGTATCAAATCATTGGCAAAGAGTTTGATATTCTGTGTATCGATCAATATTAGATTTAGTAAATCTCGACTTACGCGAATTAAACTTCGATTCACGAAAATTTGAGTTGATTATTATAAAATCAACGAAGAATTTTATAAAGGTCAAACACAATGGAATGGAATGTAATCGTGACCTGATTCTGTCTGAGGATATTCAGGTTTCGTCGAAAAGATGATCTATGACTTCAACTCAGACTCATTGAATTCGAGTGTGTTTTCGCTAGACATCGCTCAATTTGATCTTTCAATGCAGAAGATCATACTGAATCAATGATTATTTATACAGAGATTTCATCGATCGACCTAAATTTTATCCTGTTGATCCGATTTTCGTCTTCGAAATGTGAAGCATATCAACGAAATCGAAGACACATGAGTAAAAGGTTGATTTATTATATTTATATATGTTAATCGTTCTTCAACGCCCCGATTTGACAAGACCGAAAATGTTCTTTCGGAGAAATCCGTTTGTTCGTCTCCTACTTCCTTTCTCTGTTATGACCGACAGTTTGAGCTTACATAACTTTCCAAGAATATGAATCAAATTATATATCTTTTTCTTTCATTTTCGCATCAATGTACCCTATTGTACAGGTGGGTATGTATGTGTATACATATATACTTGTCGAAAGTGAACGACGATGTCGGTAGTCTTTCTTTTTTTTTCATTATTCGAATATATATATATATATATATGTGTGTGTATGGCTTGAAAATGAATTTATTTTGTCCTTCGATAGCTAGAGCATTGAGAAGAGTAATGGTTTGCGTTGGTATGTTGTACGTTGATGATATGTGTGCATTTCATGTGCTGTACATACGGAGAAAGGAGGAGAGGGGAAGGAAAAAGAACAGAGTTGACGAAAAGAGAAGTACACCATGGTAGTGACAAGAGAAGTAAAGAAAAAATTCCATTAACATAACATATATATCGAAATAGAATAAATGTAACATCGTCATATATTTACATTTATATAGGTGCAAAGAGAGAGAGAAGGAAGGGGAGAGATCGTGAGAATATGATAAGACGTTAGAGTTTGTTCGTTGACCGTGACTCGCATGACAAGTCCAAACGATCTAAGACCCAACGAGTAAGAGGTTTAATTGAATGACGAGAGAAAAAACGGGTGACCAAGTTTATATCACTCTGATGACTAAACGAAAGGTATGGTAAGTTTATATTAGAAGAAAGAAGAAAAAGAATAATAAAAGAACTGTAACCGCTCCAGAGAGTAAAGGATGAAGAAAAAAAAGTTTACATCAGCTAAAACGCACATACGCAAGAGCTCCTACTTACGCCATTCGTCATTTCTCGTGCTTCTTCTTCTTCTTCTTCTTCTTCTTTTCATCGTTACCGGTTTTATGACTGCTGTTGCAGTTAAACTAGAGAATGAAAAAAAGAAGAAAAAAATTGTAGAAGAAAAAAGAGCCTCAATCAGAACACTCGTCAACTCAAACATTTTTCTTTTTTTAACACTTTTGCATAATTCGTCTCAGCATCGATATACTATTTCTAACTTGTCATTCGTTCTTTGAAATTAGTTCTGATATCCTGACCGAATCCACGCAACCAGAATGGTCTTCTCCTGGAAAGTAATCATAACCGTCTTCGTGCTCTACACTATCGGTAAGTGTGATAGTTTATTATCGTCCTTATGTGTAGAGAGGGTGTGAGACAAGTGGATAACCTTGAATATATGACAAAACGATATAAATCAAATGAATAACAATGAAATATGAGATAGTTTCTAGTGGAAAGACTTCACAATTGAGAATTTCAAAAAAGGTACATCGATATACGTCCGTTGGTAATAAATTTACGTTCGTTGAAAGAAGATGAGAAGAAAAGGTTAGATGAGGATCAACAAAAACTATGTATATCATACCTTCTTCTATGTATGCATGACAACATATTGACAATGACCTTTTTCACGAGAGAATATAACTATAAAAAATATTATTTCAAGTTTTATTGACATAAATGAATCAATACATCATTGATGTGTATAATAAATGAAAATTTTTTTCCTGTCTTTGTTTTATCTTCAAAGCAATCGATGGAAATCGTGCTCGTCGACATCGACGTCAAACAATATTAAATGCCAATCCGAATAATCCGAATCAACAGCCTTTACCGCCCAATCCTCAAATTCTCAATGCACAAGGAGCACCACCTTCGCAACAAATTGGTCAGAACGAAATGGTTGCTGGTAAACAAGGCTCTCGACAATTTTATTATCCTTATCAGGGACAAACCGGGTACGGCACAGTTCAAGGTTTGAATTATCCATACGCTGGTGCCGGCGTTGGTTCTTATCAATATGGATATGGGCAATGTAAGAGAATTGAAATCGAATGATTACGATGAACTTTTTCTCTTCATTTAGATGGACAGTATGGACAAGGATTGGGAAACTATGGTGCTTATTATAATCAAAATCCAGGTTCGAGTAGTTTCTATGGTGGTTATAATAGTGGAGGTTATTATAATCGTCCTGGTTATTCAAATTATTATCCATCATCAGGTGGAAACTATTATGGTGGTTACTACTGGGCTGGTGGTCAAAAGCAAAATATCAACAAATTCACTGTATTTCTCTCTACGATACTCATGTTAGTTATGTGTTTGGTTGCTGTTTGAGCTTTGTAGAAGGCTAAATCGACAAAAAAGTTAACCCTCCACTAGAATGCTCTTGTGCTTTTTTCTGTCTATGTAAATATTTCCATTACTATCTATATGTGTGCATGTGTGTTTTTCTTAAACTTTTTCACGTATAATAAGACATGTTTTTTTCTCTCGTTGAACACTTTATACGTACGCATATGTACTAAGTTTTCTTTTTCTTGTTTTGCTCTTGCTCATTTTATAAACAGCTACATTTAGTCCAGGTATTTCTTCTTTTTTTTGTGCTCTTTGTGTCCGACTGACCGTATGGCTAATAATTTCTACATTTTCTTTAAGAATAATAATGACGATGATGATGGAAAGTCATAAACTGATAAGGCACTTGAAATGGTCACGAATGCTAAAAACAGACGATCACGTATATTTGTCATCAGATCGAATAACTGTGTGAGAACATTTTCAAAGTATGACAATGCGTATTTTTGATTAAAAGTAATCGTATAATTGATCATGGCATCTGTAGATAACGTATAAAACAAGAAAGATTCTCTCATACGTATGCCTAAGCTGCAAAGCAAACGATGATTCGAAGTGTTATCTTCTGCTTTGCCCTTGTTATTCTGTTCAGGTAAAAAGAAATTGATTTTTATCGTTCATTCTTTGCGTCACAATGTTTTAGCGTGATAGGTTTGATTTCCGCTCTTTTAACTATGCGTAGAAAGTAATGTATTTTATGAGTAGTTCACGTCAAACCTCAAGTATGTTACGGAATGAATCAGTACGATCGATGCTCTAAAAATACAGCATGCGGTTGTCTTCCTATAATCAATACTAATCAAACTGCTATTTGCGGTATATTGGAAGTGAATTGTTCTCAATTCATACCATGTAAATCTTTGACTAACGAGTGTGATCTACTCGGTGCTGTTTGCGTTCAGCATCCTGGATGTAACGATCTTCCTGTCTGTTATCCGTTGTCAATGGGTGATGAACGATCGTGTCCAATAACAAGAAGTACGTCATCTATTGAGGATCATTGAAATATTGGACAAGGTTTTTGTTCAGATTGGATTAACACTGGTAGTATGAAATATAGTCGATATATGCATCAAGCTATTGCTCTAGTAGATGGAAAAGTCTTAGTCATGGGTGGTATTGGTGATAAAGCCATCGCTCATAAAACTGCTGAGTTATATGACGGATCCGTTGGAATTTGGACAGCTACGGGTAATATGACTTATGCGCGTTTCGGTCATACAGCATCTGCATTAAAAAATGGCAAAATATTAGTTACGGGCGGTAATGGAAATGGTAAGTATTTAAATACTGCTGAATTGTACGATCCATCAACAAGAACTTGGACAACAACTGGTAATATGAGTTGTACACGGTTTGGTCATAGAGCATCTGTATTGGCAAATGGAAAAGTACTCGTTACTGGTGGAGACGGTCGTACTCAGTATCTAAACACTGCTGAACTATATGATCCATCAACAGAAACTTGGACACTCACTGATAGCATGAAATCAGCACGTTATCGTCATACAGCAACTGTCTTAACAAATGGAAAAGTGCTCGTCACTGGCGGATATGCTGATGTCTATATGAATACTACTGAACTATATGATCCAACGACGGAAACATGGACTACGGTTGCAGCAATGAATAAAGCAATTTCACTTCATACAGCATCTTTATTATCTAATGGCAAAGTATTGATTACTGGTGGAGTCACTCCTGTAGCTGATACTCTCAAAAATGCACTTTTGTTTGATCCAACAACAGAAAGTTGGACATCGACTAGCAACATGAATCATGAACGGCATACCCATACAGCATCTGTATTACCAACTGGAGAAGTCTTAGTAACTGGTGGCTTTTATACTACTAATACGATTGGTTATAGTAGTACTGTTTTGAATAGCGCTGAATTGTATAATCCGACGACAGAAACTTGGACAAGTGTAAGTAATATGACCACTGCACGAGGAATGCACACAGCGTTTGTATTAGTCAATAGAAAAGTATTAATTGCTGGTGGAAGTAACAACGAATCAATAAACAGCGCAGAAATATATTAAGTGCAATATTAAAAACAGTTTTTACGAAATCCAGTATGGCTCATCTTTTTCAATGTTGTTCCGAAAGCATATTCGTCTTTTTTTGCGCATGAAAATAATAAAGTACCATGTGTTTAAAGGCAAAAAGGCACAATAATTTCGTGTTAGTTCACTTCTGGATTCTTCTTTCCATTGCGAGAATCAGTCGATGGAATATAGTCAATGATTTTTCAGTATTTATTCATAAGAAAAACGCAAGAAAAGAAACAATCGAATATATAAAATAATTATAGAATAGCTCAGAAGAAAATATAGAAGAAGCTTGCCTGTTAACACGTAGAATATTCGCCTGATCCGTCGATCAAAGAACACAAAGGCAACAGAAAGCGATGAGTGCTAAAAATAAGATTCAACGAACGGTTAATGTCGTTTTTTTTTGGCAATCATCATGAGTTATGTAACATTTTCTCCAATAGTCTGCTTTTCTCTTATGTTATTGATAGTAAATGTCATATTATTTTGATAACGAAGAATATTTTACTGAAATCGGCGACTCTCTTTATCTGCGCGCTTTATTTTATTAAGAAAAGCAAAAACAACGTGTCTATTTAGTTCTACTACGGCCTTTATTTTCTGATGTAAATGATCAATTGTTGGATACGATCATTGAGTCTTGCTAAGTACTTGTTATCTCAGTTGATTGGTTAGATACATTGAAAACATTTGATGAATTAACTAGAAGGAAGACAAAAGAGTTAATTGTAGGCTTTATCGAAATTAATTTTTCTTTCATACCTTTGTGTCATTGACGTTGTTACCACGTTCTTCATACGTATGTATCCCACTTGCATGTTCTCTGTTGAAGGTGCGAGAATTTAGTTGTTTGCCGTATGCGACGAAAGATCTTCACGACCAGTATCCAACCGACAGTGTTATTGTCCTTCTTTACTAAGGTAAACTGTTGAAAAAAAGAAGAATATAAGCACGTTCAACGACGCACGAGAATACAAATACTACTTACACTCGTCATAAGTAATCGTGAAAGACTTCACAATCACATCGGTGTAATTACACAAAGTAGATGAATTTGATAATAAAATGGGTACATATGTTGAAACAGTTTGATTCTATATGCTATGGTTTGTGTATGTGTTTACAAAAAAGAGTCGCTTAATAGTATGTACCATGCACGGCTTGATATTAATCGAAAGACGGAAAGGTTAAAGGAATCAAAAGAACATTTTGAGATCAAATAGAATCGTCGACAATGGAGGGATTGGTTATTAGAACATATTTTAACTCGCATGATATTGTAACTGGAAATTAAATGAGCTAAGACAGGCATTCGAAAATGTATCAGCTTAGCTAAGAAAACATGTTAATCAATAAAAAAAGTCAGCTCGAAATCAGATCGACTCGATGAATCAGCGATGTAACAGACTTTTTGTTGAAACTCTTCAGTGATTTATTATTCTCCTTTACAGAAAAGATGTCTTCAATATGGTCTTTGCCAATTTTTGACTGAAAATTGTGCGGAGAGAAGGCCTCAATTTTCTTTTTTTCCCCTCTATCTTCATTGTTAAATCGTCGACGGACTATGAAGCACAAAGAAATAAGGAAATATTAATTTACTACAATCAATACATTTGTGAGAACTTTTTTTTCTCTATGATGGAACGAAACTAATTATTATAGAAATTAGTTCACAAAATAGATATTCCAGTAGAATATGTCCCTGCGGTAAAGTTTCACTACAGAATACAATCATTCTATCCAATTACGCTGCAAAGTAATCTATATTTGTCAACAGCAGATTAAGTTATGTGCAGCACAAAAGTTCAAATGAAGTACACTGTACCTCACAGATACAACTTTACTCGGAACAAAATATCCAAAGAATTCAGCGAGAATAATTTGTATTTTGATACTAATTTGTGGAGATATGAAGTTCTTATTCAGCTTTTAGGAAAAGTGTGTTATTAATATTCAATAATTTTAACGTTAGATGTCGCAAATGCTTCGTCCTACTTATTGGCAATTGATTAGGTTTCTTTCCCAATCCTTTTCTCCTATTCGTTCCTTTACATTTATGTCACATCATGCTTTCGATGCAAAAAAATACTCCTCTCTTTCTATTTATATCATTCTTGTCATAAAAAAAAACGAACTCATTCAGACATATCGCATTTATATACCTGTTTTATTTTTTTTGTATTACTTTTACCCTTTTCTAACGATCACACGTATAATTTAACCATGAGTTCAAATACGTTTGAATCAATTGGCGCAGCCATTCATGAAAAAGCTGATTGTATTTATGAACGTTTACGGACACAAATCAACCGTATAGGATCCGCATCAGGACCTAATTCACATATATTTTTCGTTCTTGGTGCATCAGTATGCTTTGTAGGATATTTTTTATCGAGCTTATATCGACTGTTTTTTTAGGGTGATTTGGCTAAGAAGAAAATATATCCAACACTCTGGTATGTCGAAAATTTTTCGCATGCTGGAATGATGAATGATTCTTGTTTAGGTGGTTATATCGTGATGGATTTCTGCCCGAAGGTACTCGTTTCATTGGCTATGCTCGAAGTCAAATCACCGTCGACAAAATCTTTGAAAATGCTGCAAAATATATGAAAGTAAAATTCTCGACGATTTCCCTCAAATTCTCATATAAATATCTGGCGACTAGGTGCAAGAAGACGAAAAGGAAACATTTGCCAAATTCAAAACACTGAATTCATACGTTGCCGGTTCGTACGATAAAGGGGAAGACTTCGAACGTTTAACCAATGAGGCAAATCATTTGTCGAAACAAGAAAGTGCACATCGATTATTCTATTTGGCATTGCCACCCAGTGTTTATGGCAGTGTATCAGAATTGATCAGTAAACATTGTCGACCAAAATCGTAGGAAAAACACGTTCTGTGAAGTTAATTTTTGATTTTCTTTTCGATTGTTATAGACCGGGCTGGTTACGTTTGATTGTCGAAAAACCATTCGGCAAGGATCTTCAAAGTTCGAACAAATTATCTGAACATCTGAGTAAATTTTTCAGCGAAGAAGAAATTTATCGTATTGATCATTATCTTGGCAAAGAGATGGTACAAAATATAATTGTACTTCGCTTTTCTAATCAAATTTTATCCCGCGTTTGGAATCGAGATTCCATCGCAGCAGTAATTATTATTTTTAAAGAAGATATCGGCACTCAAGGAAGAGGCGGCTATTTTGATGAGTTCGGAATTCTCCGGTAAGAAAATTGAGCTTTATCCTTATGTTCAATTTATGAATGAATGTTTAGAGATGTGATTCAAAATCATCTCATGCAAATCCTATCTATTCTTGCTATGGAAAAACCGCGATCGACTAAAGGCGAGGATATTCGTAACGAAAAAGTGAAAGTATTACGTTGTGTAGCACCGATTAAACCAGAAGACGTCGTAATTGGACAGTATTACGGTGACAAAGATTCCAAAGATCCTGAACATCAAAAAGGCTACCTCGATGACGATGGTGTACCGAAAGATTCGACAACACCAACTTATGCACAAGTTGTTGTTTCGATTAATAACGAACGTTGGGCCGGTGTACCGTTCATACTTCGAGCAGGTATTGTTTCTACAAAATCTATGATTTGGTTGTGTCATATTTGTTAGAATAGGTAAAGCATTAAATGAAAAGAAAGCAGAAATTCGTATTCAATTCCGTGATGTACCTGGTGACATGTTTGACGACGATAATCGTGCGAGCGGTGAAAGTAAGAAATTATCTCGGGATGAACTTGTCATGCGTGTTCAACCGAACGAAGCTGTTTATTTGAAACTGAATACTAAACGTCCTGGTGAGATGGGCTTTAGTATAGATGAAACTGAGTTAGATTTAACCTATGGTGAACGTTACAAAGGCGTGAAATTACCTGATGCGTATGAACGTTTAATACTCGATGTGTTTATGGGCTCGAAAATTAATTTCGTTCGTTCGGATGAATTGGAAGAAGCCTGGCGTATCGTCGATCCGGTACTCGCCGACATTGAAAAGAAAAAAATACCGGTTATTCCATATAAATTCGGAAGCATAGGTATACGTGAAGCATTTGACGTTGCTGCCAAACATGGCTACGTTTTTCGCGGCACCTACGTTTGGAAAGATGAACGAACAACGAAATCAGAAGAGAAAAACTAATCGTCGACGTTACTGAAATCTTCTTTGATTTATCGTAGATCTGCTCTTTTCTCAATTCGCATTTATTATTGCTCTTTCAGTATTTTTCTATTTCTAACGTAATTGATATCCTTGTAAGTCGATATTTTCCTAAAACAGTCTTGAACAAATAGTTTAAAAAGAGAAATACATGATATTGTGCCATCTCTGTATGAGATGTCCTTGATTTTTGAAAGAAAATTTCAGCAATGAACATGTCAAGGTAATCAAAAGATTGTCCAGACGAATCGTCTGTGCTCTTGTTTGAAGAAAAGAAAAACTTTGCTCGGAATGAAAATGATGATTTTATTTTGTTTTAACCGACACTTATGACTTGATCATGGTCGAATAATAGAAGAAAAAAAATCTTTTTCACAATCGAGAGCCGGCAAATGATGTATGTACGTTTGGTATAAGTGAAATAAGATTGACATGGGGGGAAAAGAAAAAGAAAAATGCTGAAGAAAGACGTGAAGGATTCTTCTGGCATTCGAGACGTGCACATTTTCAAAACCACATCATTAATAACAGCGAGTGGTATGTTACCAATTTAAGATTTCGATTTGTCTTCGAAATACTTCTTATCATTTCAGAACTTCTCGTACTGATTTTTAATATTCATGGCGAAGGTAAAAACTTTCGATGAATTCCAATCGAGATTCTTGTGTGTTCTATTCAGATATTCATACATATTGTCTTTCTGATCGTGTTTCTTGTGGAATTCAACGCAAGCATTCCATCGTTTGCGAATGTTAATCGAGGTTTGATTTCACATTGGACTGAATGAGTTTGACTTGATTCTCAATTAGATATTTCGATGAAATCTAATCGACTTGCACGTTATGCTAGCCCATTATACAATGCGATGAGATATCCATCGAATTATCAGTACCAGGGAAATCATTACCCGACTTTGTCTGAGCAAGACGAAGCTGAACCCGAAACATTTTATGTTAAAATGGATATTGATTCAAACGAAGATACAGATGCAGATCTGGATACAGAAACGAAATATGTGAACATTATGATCGATACAAAACCACGTGTAAGTCAGTTGCGTTTTTAGTATCAAAAAAGATTTCTGTTTTTTTTTGTGACATTAGGTTTAATATCGATTTGAACATAAATGAATTCATATTGAACAATTTGATCTACTCGTTTTTCTTTCTTTTTAAATAAAACAATTGAACAACAGTTTGAAAAATGATGGCTCGACTTTCTTGTCATTCTAATTCACCCTCTTTTTCTTATCAAATCTCGCACTGAATGATAAAGAGTACAATCTCACTGTCTATTTCTCAATGACGACTAGACAAACAATCGAAAGTTCATTTCCGTTCGTTTTTAAACAAAGTATCGACTTCCGTTTCTGTCATTAACTTCTAAGCACTAGGCGGCGAAACAACTAGTGAAGTACCTGTGTAACTTATAGGCATACAAGAATGGACTCAATTTAATCAAGCATACCTAGTTCAAGTATCTCTGGTGTTCAAGAACGTATTAAGAGGAATTTACACGAGATAAAAAACAAAGCAGGTAGCGAGAGAGAAGTTTTCTTTTTTTCTTCTATTGTACATTATGAAAACAAACTCTTGTCGATAATGACAAGAAAAATAGATTGAATTCATTTGAAAGATGGCAACGACGACGAATCTAATTACTCATTATTATCGGACAGAAATTTCATTTTATTTCGAAAGAGTCTATTTGCCTTTTAGCAAATTTTCTCTTTTTATGTCAATCACTTCAACTATCAAAAGTATTTCAATTGATCAAAAGACAGACACAGAAAGCAAAAAAGAAATCTACTTCGGTCTAAATGATTATACGAGACGAAAATCGATCAATTTTTTTATGAAAAAACCTTTTTCGATTTAGAAAATCGTCATAAACAACCATTAAAAAGTCAGCTTTTTCTTCTTTGCTTTCTCTTGAAACGAATCAGTCCATTTATACAATGTGTTCGCTCTCTTAAACAAATCAATTGACAAATGAAAGAAGAGAGAACAGTTCGTTTTCTACCTTCGAGCATTATGAGTGGTAGATGTTTGTCGTCATTTAGATTTTTCTCTCTCTCTCTCTCGACAATGATTGGATACTAATGGAAAATGATCCGATCATGAAAATTTCATTGTTTGTCTAAACATTGAGGCCATTTATATAAAACGATGATGAATAATAATCGTTGTGAACAACCGTCGCATTTATTACCGTTATTGACCAAAATGAAGAGAAATGGATTAACAACGAATCACGAGTCGCAATTACCGGCTGCGTCTTTGAAAAATTCGAGAAGAAAAGTGTTGAAATTCGGTGTGGATGCAATTCTTGGAAATGTTAATGCAAATTCAGATAACGACTCATTCGAATTTGGAAATGAGTCCGATGAAGAATTAAAACATAAAGGTAACTGTTCTGATAGAAATCAAATGAAGAGAAACATGTTTGATTCATTTAGTTGATCAGAATGTTACATCACCGAATTCAACGAATTCATCTGTTTCTTCGAACGAACCGTGTGTAACTACGAGTAATTTTACCTTTGGATCATCTTTGGCAACGACTAATGAACACATTTTTCATCGAATGATGACAACAAATCGATTGCATTCTCATCCATTCAATCCATCATGGCGTCCGAATCATCGGCCATTGCTCGGTAAATTCTCCCTTTGATTTTCAGACCGATTTGTGAATCAGCTGGAGTGAAAGCTGATTTTCATATTGAATGTTCTATCCGAATGATTTTCATTCAGTTGTTGTTTTCATTTCGTTCACTTTAGGCTTATTTCTATTGTATAGATTTTATTATTTTTTCTTTTTATTCAATTAATGTCTTCGATCTGTTATCAAAACAAGCGAAACCTATTCATTAGTTTTCTTTCTTTTCTTAAAAGGTCATTATCCGTCATCAGCAGTGTTCAATGGGATTCTTCCAGGACATGAAATTTATTTGCCATCGGCGAATCCGTTTTGGTCGACGGACCTCCGAAATAGAACTCAACCGAGGATGTTGAGACGAGCGGTTTTTACCGATCATCAGCGGAAAGGTTTGGAAGTGGCGTTTTCAAAACAGAAGTACATAAGTAAACCAGAACGAAAGAAATTAGCTCAAGGATTGAATTTGAAGGACTCACAGGTAAGAACTGAATTCAATGATAAAGTTCATCGACTTAATTTAATGTTTTTTAGGTGAAGATTTGGTAAGAGAAGAAATATTGGATTGGAAAAAGAGTTTTTTCGGGATGTTTTAGGTTTCAAAATCGTCGAATGAAATGGCGGAATACCAAAGAACGTGAGATGCTGATGTCTACAAAATCTATGCATAGCAATTCGCAATTGTCTGATGATTGTCAAGGAAAGGATGAACTCATTCGGCCGTTCTCTCCATCGTTCATTGATAATCTCAATGAGATCGACGTTGAGAAAGATGACGATCATTCGATCGAAGAATAATCTCTGCCATTGAAATATTTGTTTTGTTCTCGGTTTTCTTTTAAAACTAATTCTGAATATAAATATATCTATGTGTACAAACACTTTCATCGTTCTACTCAAATCAATTGATTAAACAAACAACTTGAAATCTTGTTATTCTTTTTTCAATATCTCACTTTAGCTAAACAACAAAAACATATTAGAAGTTCAATCGACTTAGTGAATTGTTTAAACGTACAAATCCTTCGTTGTTTTTTCGATTAAGTTCACGTGAACCTACTGAGAATCCTTTCAAGTAACTTGATCGATACTGCCATCTGTATGAGAATCGGATCTTTGCATCGAAAACATGGATAAATTGATCTTTGAGACGAGAATCTAAGTTGATCAGACATTATTCCATGGGAACATCGGAATTCTTTAGTTGATTGCCTAGCAACTTTGATTGAAGGAAAAGTCCTTAGAAAAGCAGAAGCCTGAAGAATTTCAATAATATTATTTTCATTTTCTTTTGAATAGCATTTGATTAAACAAACCAGATTTGAGACTTTGCTTCCAGACGAAGTTTGTTTCGTTCGATTTATGATGATTTCCACGGAAAATGCTCAACTCGATGATGTCATTCATCTCATTAATATTACGAACGGATCATTTGCTGAACACACTATCGACAGTGGTGATACAATTGAATTTGACAATCACTCTCCGAATCCTTATGATATAGTTCAAGTTTATCAAGATGGGGATGAATATTGTCAAGTAAAAAACGGAATTGAATTGTTTAATATCGATAACCAAACACCAAAGGATAGACGACGTGTTGTTCTTTCAATTAATTTTCATTGTTCAGCAATGAAGTTCTTTTTTTGTGTCATTTCATCTTCACAACGAGTGAGTTTTTTCAAGTCTCGTCAATATCCGCGAGAGTTCTGTGAAAAAAACTGTGTAATCCTTCGGAAAACACCAATGAAATTCGTTTTCGACGATCAAAAGCAAAGTCAAAAGGTGATTATACGTCGAGGTGATACAATTGAATTCGAATGGCATTCAAAACAAGCGAATAATTATCGAATTGAAGAAAATCAGTATTGTCCAATATCTGGCGGTCTCTACAAATCCAACCCGACTGTTTTCCGTCCGGTATCGGACGGAACTTTCCGAAAGACGTTTCACGAATACGGAACAACGTTTTTCTTTCGATTGACTGAGACAAATCAAATTCACGATATAATCACGTGTATTATTAAAGACAAATATCAAATGCAACATGTTGAAATAACTGAAAATCAAATTCAACCGGAGAAAATCTTTATCGAACAAGACGATTCGATTCTGTTCGAATGGAATACAAAAGAAAAACAAACATTTGTACAAATTCATCCAAATTTAGTTGATCACGATAATCAATCGATCGAAGTTTGTTATTCGTTGGAATAAAATCAATAAAACTTTCATTTGATGTTCTATAGTGGAAAACAGACGGCGAACATTTCTTTTGGCCATATGAACCAAGTTGTCATGGTTGTATGGTCCATAGATTTACTCAAACTGGAGTCTTTTGCTTTAAAACATCGACAAATCGAATTGGAATGGTTGTTGTTGAACCGAAGAAAATTATCCATTCATTTCCAGTCTTTGATGATCAGTTGAGTAAGTGATGAGAGTTGACGAGGGAGATTACAAAACAGAATCGTTTGTCGTCTTTAGTTTTAAAAATGAATACAAACGATTTAGTTGAATTTCAATGGAAAACCAATGATTCTCAAGAAGAACCTATTTTGATTACTGTCGATGCCAATTCATCTGTTGTACCAGATACTGCCGGTGGTTTGGTTGGAATATTCGACTGCTGTAGGATAACCTGTGAAATCATAACTGAAATTCTTTTTCTTTTCTTCCAGCTATGCACAAATGCGTGAAAGTTGAACCATTCTTCCGTTATTATTTTCATACATGTGAAGCGTTTCTTCTTCAAATTCCGCAACATGGATTATACAGCTTTGCTTACAATGACAATCGTCACGATGTGCTCTTGAATGTCATCGTTGAACGGACTATCCATGTAAGACAAAGGCAGCTCTTCACTCCAATATAGATATCATTATTCTTCATAGAATCATCATGTTTCTCTTAATGAAGAAAACACTTTCGAACCAAACACGTTGATTATTCATCAATATGATCAAGTTTGGTTCGATTCAATTTCATCATCCATCCATCAAACAGATGAATACGGAAGTTCTTATCAACCGGTATTTCAGGTACAATTAAATAGCGTCAATCATTTCATGCAACAATTTCGTCGGACAGGAATTTATTACTATTCAATCAACATAGATCGAAAGAAATGCTCACCGTTGGCGATCGTTGTTCTACCAGAGATCCGTTTCCATTATGTATACATTCATTTACGTGATTTTGACTCTGCAGCGATTCTAACGAATGTCAATGATTTCGTTATTTGGCAATTCGAACAAATTATTCGTTTTAGTTTGGTACAATTACGTTCGAATGAAACGGTAGAAGATTTAGCTTCGTGTCATGATCGAGCAATTCCGGGACGAAACCGGCAGTGTCTAGGAGTTGAATGTATTATGCCCGGTGTGTTCTATTTTGCCAATCCGGGTAAAGATTAGCATGAAAAAAAGATTTCTATGTGAACTTTATGTTTTAGAGTTTGAACGAGTTACCGGTTCGCAAGAAGTAAATGTTAAATAAGAGAAATTGCGATTGTGATTGATATTTTGTTGTTGTTGTTGTTGAAAGGATCGTTTGATATCAACGATTGTTATTGATCCACCGTTTAGTATAAATTCCTTTCTTGTCACTCATCGACAATTCGTTCCGAGTGTTTTGTGCATCGCTCAAGTAGGATTTTTGGTAATGATTCGTGTTTTCGGCAAAGATATGTGTTTTAGAATGAAACAGTTTCGTGGGTACTATTGGATCAAAATGAATATCATCGAATTCAAGTTGAATCGACGGAGAATACGAAATCCGACTTGAATGAAGTGAGTGATACTGATCAATCGATAGAAACGATCGTTTTATCTATCAGAAGGACTGTATCGATCGATTTATTGAACAATATGCCCCTGATGTTCATTATTTGCATACATTTCATCATTGCGGACAATTTAAAATTCGATCAGATCGTTTCAACAATACAGCAACAGTGATTGTCTATCCGGAGAATCTTATTCGAAGCGAAAGTAAACAGGTTTTCCTTATCCAAATATAATCTTATCTATTGTCTGCTTAGAAAAACGTACAGAAACGCCGGAGATCATCGAAGAAATTGATACGTTGACTCAATATCGAGCACAAGTGCATTTGAAGTGTCGAAATTCAGATGCAAAGATACTTTATACACTCGATGGAACACTCCCAACTCGCCACTACGACACTGTTCATGTAAAACTTCTTGAAATCTGAAACCAGATTCGAATTTTTATCTTAGATTTACAATCCTGACGAAGGGATTTATTTCCTCGAATCCGGTTTTCAGATTCTGCGTGCTTATGCGATCGAAAACGAAAAAGTCTCCAGTTCGATTATAACGTCCAGTCCAACATTCGTCATGGAAAACGATGATTTAGAATCCATAAGTGTAAGTGTTGTCGAGAGAGTGAATCGATTAGATTCTAAATGATGTTTTTCAGAAACTTTTGTCTGCATGGACAAAGACGAAGATCAATCTGTCAGCTTCGATACAACATCCGAATAAGTTATTTGGAAAAATTGATGTTGAACCGTCCAGTTCAACCGATCTGATTGATCATTTTGAATTCTATGTTGATGATGTTGCACAAAGTGTTCGTTTATCGCCAAAAGACACTCGATTTTCTGCGGAAGGGTTTGCTGGTGGCGAACAGTATGAAATTCATATTCTCGCCTATCCAAAATCACATCTTACCGATGCGCTGCCAAAGTTGTCCAATAAACGCGTGAGTTTAATACAAAGATACAATTAAATCACTTTTCTATTCGATAGGCGTTCGAAATCAAACGTGATATTCACGGTGCACCATTGATTAGTTTAGCTGTGTCAAATGAGCATAGCACAATCTTTCTCATGTGGGCACATATTGGTGATCATGTTAGTGAATATATTGTTTATGTCGATGGAATTGAAAGAACCACAGTGAGTGATGTCGACGGATTTTGTCTTGTAAATATTCATGTGAATTTCATAGATTTTTGAAAACAATTTTAATGAGTTTTTTGGAATTCAGTTCCATGGCGCACAACAACGTCGACGGTATTTGTTACATGTTGAAGCCAAAATCAAAGGTACACGCTGTTGTTTGACTTAGATAAGGTCTGATCGTGTTGAGATTTTAGACACAAATGAAATTCGAAAGTCAAATATTATTTCGGTTAATCCACCACTAGAAATGCCATTGAAAGAACAATTAGTTGATCGATATTTTGCGTACATTACGGTCAATTCTGAAACTCCACCACCGGATATCCATCTTGAGAGTAAATATTGAATTTCATGAGACAAATTTTCGACAGATTCTTTAAGTTATTCATCTCGATCAATTTGCACATCGTCGTCCGGAACCTCAACGTAAATTCGAGAGTCTTTCTATTGTAAGCAATCAACCTGTTGAATCCACACTGAAGCATTCTTATGTTTTGTTTAGACCAATGATATTCAAAGTGTCATACCGAATATATTCATTCAACAAAATGCCAATGAAATTACATTGTCTTGGAATCGAACAACGCATAAAATCTCAGATGTCATAGACAGTTACCGAGTATGTACACGACTTTGTAACTAAAATCTTCATACCATTTCTTGTCAGGTCATCGTTGACGGTGAACAATACGGTGAACCAATCTCACCTAGTGATGAGCCAAACTTTCGATTGAAATTACCAACAGGTCACCATGAATGTTATTTAGCTATTGTACCCAAAGATCCCAATGAAGAGGTTTATAAGTCAAATGTTCTGGTATGTATTTGAGTTGATCTCACATACTCACTAAAGGTCGTTATTAGAAATTCGATGTTCCATTTACTGGGAAAACAACAGGAGATTTGTCCAGTGACAGTGACAATGAATCGGTGTCCGATGAAAAGGGTGGATCGTCTATCGTTTCGATGTTTGATGTTACACGAATCGGATCACAAATGGTGTGTAATTCATTGATAGAAATACAGTCTATGATCGATTTTTAGGTTATTTTATCGTGGAAAATTGCCGATTCAGTGGATCATTCGTTGATTAAGGGTTATGAACTAGTTATGAATAAAAAGATAATTCAGACATTTACTTCTAATCAGTATGAATATGAAATACGAAATTTTCAACCAGGCACAACAAACAATCTACGATTAGCAGTTTTATATCGAGCGAGTTCTATGAAGAAAAAGATGTCAAAGTCCATAAGCATTGTTTGTCCAGAACGACCAAAAGCATTGGTCATTGAACCATGGGAAACGACTACATCATTGTCTATCGGAATTCAGTGGAAAATACCCAAAACCAATAATGATGAAATCGATTTGTTTAAAATTTATCTCAATGGAAAACTTTATGGTCAAATCGATGATGATGGTCGTCAAGCATTTCAATACGAATGTATGAAATTACATCATAATCAAGTTTACTCTGTGTATGTAAAAGCATGCATTGGACAAAAGATCCTTGGTGATTCGATTTATCAATGTGAAATCGAATCAGATCCATCGAATGCATTGGAATTGAAATGTACGAAAGGTTCGCCAGTTCGAATCGAACGTATGCATTCGAATGGTATTGATATTGTATGGGATACATTGAATGAAAATGAGAACGATAAAATAATCGTAGGTTGAAACAATGTTTCGGCATAAAATATCATTGAGATGACTTTTTTTTCTCGTCAGGGGTATCAGATATTGAGAAATGGTCGACCAATTGGTCAGCCAATACCAATAAATAATCGACGTGCATCGATTCATGATTTGCAAGTGGGCAATCGATATACTTTACAAGTTGTGCCGATCATGGCTGGATCGCATGGTTCGATGAGTACATTTAGTTTTGTTATCTAAACTAGTTTGTATTTGTTAGGATGGGATCATCAAGATTCAAATGATTGTTTATCAGGAGCAAAATTAGATGTGGAATTCACTGATCTGCTTCAAATTCCAGAGAAACTTTGGGTGGAAAATGTCGCGGGTCATTCAGCATTGGCTTGCTGGTCAACAGGTAACTCGGTATATTAATTTTAGAAGAGTAAAATTCATTCTGTTTCAGTTGACGATGCATCTGGTGAAAAAACACTACCGGATAGTTATAGATTGCATGTCTGGAAGCCCAAAGAACAAACGCGAGATGAAGCACGTGTGATATCCATATCAAGTGAGATCTTTCAAATAATGATTCGTTTCGAACTATTTAAAAACTAATTTAGATGAAGAAACCAGTTTTAAATTAACAGATCTTCGATCTGCAACAATTTATGAAATCCAATTGGAAGGAATCAAAGAGCGACAACATCAGACAACCAATGGTATTTTCCGCTGTACCTTTGAGCTTCACACATCCGTCTATTTCTGTTTAGAAACTTTTATTGTCTCGAGTGTCACCGATAGTTTAACGTTTACAACAGGTGCTCCACCTAAAGCACCTTCAAAATTCGGCATTACTTCGTGTACTAATACGGCTGTTCGATTAGGATTCGATCCATTTATCGAACAGAGCGCAGAAATCATTGCACTTCGTGTTCACTGCCAACCTGTTTCTACAGGAAAACATTTGAAAGATATGGTTTTCGACATCACACCCGATAGTACTGATTTTCTCTTAGCAAATCTTGACGAACGTACCGAATATCAAGTAACAATTTATGCAATAACTGAGGAGTATTTAAACGAAATGAATTGCTCGGATATTTCCCAGTTACCATCACAATTACAACCATCGCAGTGGTTAACATACCAAACATTGACATTTACAACTAGTGGATGTGAACCCGCTAGTCAGTTACGAATTCGTAACGCTACAATTGAGTCTATCGAACTTGAATGGGTGTTACCGAAAGCGTACGGATCTACAGAATATATCGGTCAAATACTTCGATGGAAAGTAGAAGATAGTAGTCGTGAACATAGTTTAGAACTGGATTGTCATACTACGAATGCAGTGATTCCAGGCATATTACAAATCGGCTTATATCGAATTTCACTGGATTCGATATTTCATAGTAGAACGAATGTTGACGATGCATCCAGTCAAAAGGAAATTCGTTTGACAATTAGCGAAACTACTTGTGTACGTTACCAAATTCCAGGTCTGAGTGAACGGCCAGAAGTTTGTTTGACGGGTTATACAACAACAACGATTGACTTAACATGGAATAAACCAAATATGTTCAATCAGATGAATCATCCGGAAAGATTGGATGAGAAAGTTTCCATGCACAGGAAATTACTTGGATATCGAGTAGAAATCAATGGACAGAAATACAATACATTAGATGAAGATCAATATCAATGTACGTTGACTGAATGTCGACCAGGTGAAGATTACACGGTACGATTAGTGGCACGAACGAGTATTCAGAATGAATATTTAGATGAATCAGTAAGAAAAAATGAATACGCGTTGATGCTCAGTGTACTTTACGTTATTTTTGTTTGAACAGTTTGTCAGCGGTAATGAAGTAGATGAAACACCTTCAAAAAAAGTACGTGTTCATATGTTAACAGATGGCGGTAAGGTGGATGTTGATTGATTTCGCAATCGTATTCTGTTTCTTGTTTAGATTTACTTCGTTCTTTCCAAGCGAATTTCGAATTTTATCATTTTCTTGCTAAAGAGAACATCATCGAACAAACAAATGAAGTGAAATCATTGGGTAAAATCAACGTCAATTGGACTGTATGCAAGACAAAAGCCATTTCACATTATATTCTTCAATGGCAATCATCGAAAGACCAACGTGTTCAGAAAAAGACTTTGAAACCTACGGAAACATCATTTACGATAGGTCAGTTGTCTCGTACAGTCGTTCTTTATCTGAGATAGTTCATTTAGATGTTTGCGATGAAAAAGAATTTTACGTAATTGAAATAATTCTTGTGAAAATCGATGGTACGAAATATTTTTACGAACAATTGAAAATGCCGATACCGGGTGAGCCAGACGCACCGAAATTATGGCTTGTTAAAACATCCGATTCGAGCTTCGCTGTCGAATGGTCAGAACCGAAATCCTACGGCATCCCGGTAATTGGTTTTCAATTGTATATCGAAGGAAAAAAAGCAGACAATATTGCTGAAGTTCATCTACGTCGAGCGGAAATTCCTTCGAATTCTAATCGAACATATGATATAAATATATGTGCTTTAACGAATAATCCTCAACGGACACGGTCAATTATGTCACAAACATTATCAGTTGTCACTACACCGACAGTACGATTCGTTGAGAGCGAAGATGGGATGATTCCTGTGCGAATGGAAACATTAAATGAAGAAAAAATTTCGCTTGATTGGAGAACATTCTCGCCGAGGAAAGAAATACGAGCGTACTATGTTCATTATACGTGTTTAAATAATAAAAAGGTGAAAACAATGAAAATCTTCAAACATAATCAACATACGGTAAGATAAAGAAACTACTCAAGACGACCCTTTAAACTTCGTTTTTTCAAGATATTGAAAAATCTAAAACCTGGATTCACTTATACAATTATGGTCTTAGCTACAGATAAAAATGGTGAAATAGTTTACACTTCCGACAAGCATACTATTCAAATGAGTGTCCCACCAAATGCTCCAATTGTGGCAATTCGGTAACTTGTTCCTTCTGAAACTTCTTTCATTTCGATTTTTCCTATTAGCGAACGTACACGTGATCATGTCACAATTGAATGGCGACCATCGCCAACATCTGGCGAGCTTACTATCATCGGGTATAAACTATTCATGAACAATCGTCTTTTGGCGATTCTTTCACATGATCAGTTAACTTACACAATCATCACTGGCTCGGCATGTGAAGAATACATCGTTCATGTTCAAGCATTGAGTCATGATAAAAATATCTCGAGTCCATTGTCACGAGGTGTAAAATTCACGTGGCCTGGAATTAAACCAGGAGTATTTCAACGGTTAGATGATGGACAAACAGGTACTGTCATAGTTGCTTGGGAACGACCCCATTTAGAAGATGATACTGATCGATTAATTGCATTTCGAGTAGGATCTAGAAAATCAAAACTTCCTTCGATTCGTTCTCATTCATTTTTAGCTTCTGTCAGAAAACATGTCCACGCATACAACTCATTTGCATGGTGAATACGATGTGAACACCTATCAAGCAGTAATTTATGGTCTTATCAATGGAAAATACTTGCTGTGGTTAGAAATTCAAAGTGAACGGTATTGTATTCGCACTCGACCGATTACGATCACTTCCGGTCGTTTTCGCAATCGTCAATCACTGACACCAGCGAAGTGTTTCATGAGAAAACAAAAACGGTAGTTGATATTGGAAATTCTTCTTATTTACATTCTTTTCTTTGAAAAGGTTTCGAACATCAACAGCAAATTCCGCTGATTCATCATTTCGACATATTCAATATTCTTGAAGAAATTCTCGCGAGACATGTTTCAAATTGATTTATTTGATTTTCTTTTTATGGAAAAAGAATAAGAAAGAAAAAAATAAAATGTGTGCAAGCATGAATGTCTTAATTTCAGGCACAAAATTCCTTGTTGGTAGTTGATTTTTATGGTATTCCGGCTTCGAAACCAGCGAGAGTATTCAGTTCATGACAGAATGTTATATAATCCATATCATCACGTCCACCAACTCGAACACGAAATTTTTCCAATAAATTATCCTTTTCGAATCCGGTCAGTAATGTTAACAGGCCAAGATCGTTCAAAACACGCAAAAATTGACTTTGGGTGACATGACCATTACGAACACGATCGAAATCTTCGAATAATGGGAATAGTTGAAAACGACGGGCATGAACCTATTTGTTTAAAAACGAAATAGAAACTTCGTTAAACGTGAAAATCATCTCGTTACTCGTTTCGCCATTTTGTTCATGAGAACTTGAATTCGATCTTCTTTATCCGGATCCATTCGGATGTTTTCGGCGTCTTTTATCGGTACATATTGTTCTGATTCCACCAATGGATTCTTTTCCAGAAAATCCGTTGTAAATATCGATTCGATTTCTTCGCAAAACTTCTTATATTCAATCGCATTCACATCTACACGCGATCGGTAGCTAAAAGAAGCGAATCAAACTGCTTTTATCGTTGTCACGACAAAGTATAACGCGTTTTGTTTTCTTTCCTCTTCTTCACATTCGTTGTTTTTCTCCTTGAATTTCACGTGGCTACGAGAACGAAGAAGTTATACGTGATCGACATTTACAATATTTGAAGTAAGTACGAACAATACTCTCAAGTTTTTCATGGCACAAAACAAAGTTCTCTTTTTCGACTCGAAAATTTATGATGAGAAAACATTTAAACAAGCTTTGAAAGCATTAAACGGGCAAAATAGACTTCGATTTACATTCCTGGAAAGTAAACTAACCGATGAAACAGTCGATGAAGCCCAAGACTATGACGCTATCTGCGTTTTCGTCAATGATATTCTCGATGTCAATGTTCTCGAACAATTACACAAGCAGTGCAGTTCATTGAAAATCATCGCTCTACGAAGTGCTGGATTTAATAATGTTGATCTCGAAGCAGCCGATAAATATGGATTCAAAATCTGTCGTGTACCTCGTTATTCGCCGTATGCCGTTGCCGAACATTCAGTCGCTCTTCTGCTTTCACTTAACCGAAATTTACATCATGCGTTCTTTCGAACGAAACAACACAATTTCACTTTGGATGGTCTTGTCGGAATCGATCTTTTCGGGAAAACAGTTGGTATTATCGGTACGGGCGGTATTGGAATGTGCGCGATCAACATATTTTTGGGTTTCGGGTGCAAAGTTCTGGCTCATGATATCTATCCCGATGAGAAAGCAGCGAAAGAGAAAGGTTTTACTTATGTTACTAAGGATGAACTACTTCGGCAAAGTGATGTTGGTAGGTCAAGAGAAACTTTTTCAATTGCCAAAGAATCTATTTTTTCCTAGTTTCGATTTATGCTCCGTTACTCGAATCGACTTATCATATGATCAATAAAGAGTCCTTGGAAAAAATGAAACCAACGGCCCTATTGGTTAATACAAGTCGAGGTGGACTAGTCGATACACAAGCGTTGGTCGATTGTCTGAAAGCAGGAAAACTTCGCGGTGCTGCTCTGGATGTATACGAACACGAAAAGAAATACTTCTTCAACGATTTCAGTCAACAAGTAACATCGAATATCCTTTTAGTGCAAAATAGTCTCTTTTTCTCTCCAAGGTTATGGAAGATGACACATTAGCTCGGTTAATCTCGATGCCGAACACCATCGTTACATCTCATCAAGCGTTTCTCACAGAAGAAGCTTTGAAAAATATCGCTGAGACAACCGTGCAAAGTTTACTCGACTTTTTCGATGGTAAATCTCTTCCAGAGCAGAACGAAGTGAAACTTCTTTCGAAAAAATAAGATACTTACTAATCTTCCAATAAAGACAATTCACTTTCTGCTAATTCTAATTGACATGGATTTATCGCACGACGGAATGTATCAAATGTCAATCGACCACAATTTAGTTTATCATGATCTTTTAACCATTCGTAAAGACGAATACGACGACGAAATACCTACGTGTTCGAAAACGATGATTTTCCTTAGTTTAATAATAAAATTAGTCGATTTACCTGTCCTTTGATCTTTTGTAAAACATCTTGAATACTTGCCAATGGTTTCGTTTCGGGTAAGACCTTCTGTTTATTCAAATCTCGAAGTTCTTGTTGTAAAATATTGTACCGCAAAGGATCAATACGACGTGGTTGAATCCATTCGATAAAACGACGATAAGCGAAACCATCATCATCCATGAATGCAGCTTCAACTGCTTCCAATTGTCTTTGAGTATAAGGTAAACCTGCGATGGCTAAACATTGACGAAATTGTCCTCGAGTAACATGACCACGATTGTGTCTAAACAGAAATGTCGTCGAAGAGATTCGAATCATTATCATCATAGGAGCAACGCTCACCTATCGAATTGTTTGAATGGTTGATAAACTTCGAGACGTCGTTGATCACAACTTGCCTTCCATGCGGACATTGCTTCATGTAGTTCGGTTTGGTTGTATGGGCCAATATTTGCCCAGTCAGGTGTACCACTCGGCGGCATTTCGTAGATCGTTTGTGGTGAAACTTGAACTGTTGGCGCCTTTTCCAAGTCGGATAATGTAAAAACTATGAATGTGAATCAATGAAAACAATGAATTCTTTGAGCGAACAGTCGTCTTTACCTGATTCAACATCACTTTCGAATTGTTTCCATTGGATAAGATCACGTTGTTCAGGGTGACGATACTGGTTGCAAAGTGCAAACATTTGCGCTTCGGTTAACGGAATACCATCGAGACCAGTAAGACCCAAACTGGCCAAAACACGGATAAATCGTGTTTGACTGACAGTTCCCAAACGAAGAGGATCGAAATCTTCGAAAAACTCTTTTACCTATGCGGAAAAAATAGTGATCAATGGAATTTCTAGGCCTTTCACCATTCTACGACATACTCGAATTCGATTGATCAAAACATGGTGTCGAATTCGACCCATCAAATCATTCATATTCACATTCGATGTATCGATTTGAACAATTAATTTTTCCCGTTTTTGTTCTTCGTCAGCACGAGCACGATCACATGGATATTCTTCTTCTGACTCAATTTTAATCGCCACAAAATCTATCAACGAAAGCCCGAAGTAATATCACCCTCTTCTATTCAATTCCCTTCCTACCTTGTTCGGTCATTTGACAGAATAGTGTGTAATTAATATCTCCCGTTTCTCGATCTTCGAATTTCTTACATAAAATGTTGAAATCATGTGGTGACGGAATGAGATCTAACGTTCGAAGAACACGTCCGAATTGATGTTTCGTACACGCACGTGTAAATGCTTTGCTCTAAAAGAAATCGAATTGAAATTTTCAGATTGATTTACGACAAGATAGTTTACTCGGTCATATGGTTTAAAGAATGGAAAGAGAACTAAACGACGTTTTTTCACTTTTTCGATAATAACCGCCAAGATCTCCGAAACACGATCTTCTTCATCCGGTGATAGATTTGTGTTCAATGGCTAAAACGAATATTGAAAGTTTAGTCTTTTCAATGTGATGATCCATACTCTTGAGAGAAGTCCTTGTCCCGGTCGATGAACTTGCGTCAATGGCTTTTTTTCTAATTCCGGAATGTTGAACGCACTTTCCATGGAATCAACGAATTCTTTGTAATAAACTCGCCCATCGGGTCTTCGATAGTATTCAGTTAACTTTTTGATATCATTCATGTTTAAAAACGCTTGTTTTTGTACACTTAATGACAGGGCACTCTCGAATTGTGTTTCAGTAATGACACCGCTACGTAATTTATCGTAATCTTTGAAGAAATCTGATATGCGAATGCCGTATTTGAACGTTGCTATGCGAATTTTGTCTAAAATTTCCTGAACTGAGCGTTGTTCAGCCTATAAAAACCATCACAGTTCGCTCAGAAATCAAACATAGTTCTTTTTTTCTTACTTGTTCTTCAATACCGATGAACGGAGTTTGGTCCGCATTATTTGTTGCAGGAAATGACGCTGTTGTCTCATTGGCACGCGCAAGTCTGTTGAGATCTTGAACGAAATTCAGATAATTCATCAAGCCCGGCTTGCTCGGATCGGAATATTTATCACGAAGAAGCGTCATTTCCGCTTCGTTTAGTTGTGGTCCCACGTAGGCACGATAGAATTGACTATCAGTGATTTCGCCCATTTGATGTTTATCGTAGTGTTCCATGGCAGTTAGAACATCAATACGACGTTGTTTACAATAAGTTGCGATACGTTGAAGAACGTCTTTCAAACGTTCGCTTTCATCCTGTGTTCCGATGTGACGAGTTGAACGCCAAGAATTGAGATATGGTGGAGCAGCGTTGGTGAAATTCTCCGGATGATCAGTGATGGTCGTTTCAGGATACTCTAAAGTAACAATGAATATTCGAGAGGCGAAATTTCAATAGGAGATTTGTACTTCGATTAATCACATCGCAGAATTCACGATAACAAACGCTTCCATCGCGTTTATGACCATATTTTTGTAAGAGTAATTGTTCTTCTTCAGGTGATAGTTGAAGACGCAGATTCGTATCCAAACATCTGAACAGGGTAAAGTTCAGTCTGATAGACTGAAGGTGTAACAACGACTTACCGTTTGAATTGTGATGCTGTTACATAACCTGAACGTAGACGATCGAAATCATGAAAAAACTCGGTTACACGAAGACCTAATGCAATAGTTTTAACACGAATTTTCTCTTCGGCTAATCGAATTATCGTTTGAGGATCTAGGGAAGTTTCTGTTGGCATGGTGCTGTATCCATTTGTAGTACTAAATCATACAAAACATGTCTCATTCCAAATTTTCTGAAAAGTTTTCTTAGAAACTTCGGCACAAGGATTCTACGATTTCTGAAAGACATGAAAAATATATTTCATGCCGTTTCAGATAAATGGCCATGAAGTTAATTATACAATTCACTTCATGCGATTTGCATTGAAAGATACAAAAGTACTCAAATACATATCTCTAGAAGATTTTCATCCTCAACAGTACTTATTCACATTTCATTGGTGAGTTCATTCATTATTCCTACCTGCTCGGCATAGATTCAACGCTGACCACCATTTTTTGTTCGTTATATCTAAACCAATGTTATTCTCTAGAGAAACTGTGTACAACAGCCATTCATGTTTTCTGTTGCGTTGACAACACCTTCTACACTATGTTTCTTCGTACATATTCATCACACAAATGCACATAGAGGTCGCTACTGTCTCCACTGACTCATTGCTTCTTGAATATTTGTTATTTTTCAAAATCTTCCTTTTCATGTAGCATTTTGTACATAGAATTGTCAAAAGAACTCCTCATGGATTTTGAATTGAATAATAATGATCAATTGAATGTAAAAACAACTGATCTGAGTCTTATGGCCCATGGTATTCGGAATATTGACGAGATTCCTCTACATAAAAATTTACTCTCAATTAATTTACATTCGAATGAAATCGAACGCATCAATGGGTTAACTAGATTAAATTTTCTAACTCATTTGGATTTATCATCGAACAATATCACAAGAATTCAAGGTTTAGAAGGTTTAGTTTCATTAGATACACTGAATTTAGCGTCGAATAAGATCGTTGTTGTTGAAGGATTGTTTTCATTAAAGTAATTTTCTCATCTTATTCTGTTTTCTCTTGTTTCAAAAAGAAATTCTGTTTAGAAAATTATCTTGGTTGAATTTATCGTATAACAAAATCGAATATTTACGAGGTTTTCAAGATCTCTGGGGAGCTGAATATAATTTAGCAATTGTTCAATTACATGGAAATCAAATCGAGTAAGACAAATGTATTTGTAAGAAGACATTTGAATAATTTCTTTCGGAATTAGTTCATTAGATGAGATTGTGACAAATATGAACGGTATTACTCGTTTGCAGCACTTGACATTTCGAGAAAATCCAGTCGCCAAGAAAGATGGTGAGCAATTTTTGTGATTTATTTTGCAAATTTCAGTTTTGATATCCATGTAGCATATCGAGTAACATTATTCAACCGTCTTCGGACATTAATTAGTCTGGATGGGATGGATAAGCATGGAAAAAAAGATATGAAGAGTCAAGGTCTGACAGGTACAGAGTTTGTGAATAGAAAAATGAGTTTTTCAAGGTAGTTTCTTGTGCAGGAATTGAACAGTATGTGGATTTGACAAATGAAACACGTGAACAGCTGGTATGTGTGTTTATTTGAGAGATTTTCATCTGATGGAATTGTTTAGCATGATGTAACGAACTCGATTTCTCAACAGTACCCGAAAATAGCTGCGGCGTTGAATGCACTTCGACATAATCCAAAAATAATGGAATCGAGCACCACGACAAGTGCTGATATACAAAATGGATCTCTTTCTGTATGGATTTTTTGTGATTTTCTGGAAATAATCGTTTTTGTTCATCAGGGAATGGAAAGCGAATATGTACCAAGGAATCCAAAAGCTTCAGCTCGACGCCCTTTGACTCACGACAAACGTTCCGGTTAGTTGTCTAGAAGCTTTTTCTTTTTATTTATTTCTTTTCCTTTTTCAGCTCGATCTCCATCAACAGATAATGAGTCAGATTCAATACCAACAAAAACGACACGATTAAAACCACGCGCAACAACAGCAAATGCCATTATTCAGTCTACACCTCGACAGCAACCAATTACAACGTAGGAAGATACGAATTACTCTCGTCATTCCTCTCTTTTTCGCTTATTTTAGTAAAAAGATTCCCAACAAAACTCAGGTCTCTTTGAATAACTTCTCACCTCCTGCACCATCAGCTCAACCGAAGTCTCACAGTATGATCGATGAGAATACGCATCCGTTCACGCTGGATCCGCGTCAACCGTTGTACAACACTGGTCGCGAACGTGATTGTGATGAGTATCATTATCGAACAAGTCGAGACAATGAAAACGATGATCTCAACGAGGCTTACACGACAACATTACGAGATTTGGATCACGAACGCGATAAACGTTGGCGCGCAGAACAAGAAATCAAACGTTTGAATGACATTATCAACGGATTGGAAAAACGAAGTTTGTTAATTTAACTTCTTCTTTTTTTGTTCGTTGAAAACTTCAGTTTTTACCTTTAGCAAACGATGGTCGATCGAATGAAACGATCATACACGAAATAACCGAAAAACATAAACAAAGATTAGAAGATGAGAAATCAAAATTTCAAGATTTAACTGCCATTCTTGACGACTATAAAGTAAATTCAGATTTCAGAGTAAATGGATGTTCCACTGTGTGGTTTAGGTCCGTCTTCGAAGCACTGAAGATCAATTGTCATCGTACAAGAAGGCGCATGACACGAATTTACAATTAATTAAGACTCTGGAGAGTAATTTGAGTAAACTGGAAAGCGAAAAAAGTGAATTACGAATAAATGAGGTATAAAGATTGTTGTTTCACTAAGAAAATTCAAGAAAGTAATCTCTAGAATGAAAAATGTCGAAATTGGGAACGTCGAGTGAATACTTTACAACAGGAGAATGATTTATTACAACAAGAATCGAAGACCATCAAACAGCAATTACGAGAATGTCAAGAGCTTTATACAACAAAGGAAATCCAACATAAGTAAAAAGAACTCTCGAAGAAAATTCATATTTTCTTTTCGAATGGGATTTTTAGGCAAGAACTCGAGAAATGTCGCATTGATGTACAAGCTCCTGAAGTGCAGCAGTATCTCAAACAAGAAATTCAACGCAAAGAAGAGATTCATCGAGCTGAACTCACACATCAACAAGAAAAGTAAGACACATGACTGAGATTTTTTTCATATGTCAATCCTCAAACAGCGAAGAACCATTTTCATCATATTTCCCCAGAGATTTAGAAGAAACATAATAACATTTGTGTATTTAGACTTCAATCCATAGCTATTGAATACAAAAAACTGGAAGATGAATTTCGTGATGCATTGAAAATTGAGGAACGTCGTTATCAAGAGGTAATTTTGAAACCGGAGATACTTTTTGCTCGAGAATTTCATTCTAGCTATACAAAACGAATGACATTCTTCAAAAAGAAAATGAACTTCTCCAATCATCTTCAACAAATATCAAACAACGTGAAGAATCCGATCGGAAAATGGTCAACGACTTAACGATGGTAAATCTTTGCACGAGAAACTTCACTCACGCTTTCCCTTCGTATTTTCAGTTAGTCCGCGAACAAAAGCAACGTCTCCAAGAAAAGTCGAAAACCAATGAGAACCTGACTCATCAAAACAAACATTTAACGACGAAATTAGAACGTGCTATTGACGAATTGAAGAAAATTCGCGAGCAAATTTTAGTTTTACAAAAAGAACGTCGCGAAGTCGATGCACGTCTTGTTGCCCAAGAGTCCATTTTGTCAGGTTTACGAGAAGAGAAGAAACTTTGGAGTCATGAATTAGCACATCAAGGTACGTTGAACTTTTCGAAACGAACGAACTTCATCTTTTTCTTTCATTAGGTGCGTCATTAGCGCAAGATCGCGGCCGACTGGAGTCAACGATTCAAACATTAACAAGTGAAGTTAACACATTGAAAAAACAATTAGACAAAGAAGTTGACACATGTCGAATCAAACAAACCATCATTGAAAGTCAATTGGATACAATTCAAAAACTGAAAGATGTGAGAACGCATTTTCGTCGATAGGAACGACAATTGAGTTTCGATTGACTGTTGTTTCAGGGTGTTGTCGAACGTGATGATACGATCAAGAAAGCACGTGAAGATTTGTTAGTTCGTCAGAAAGAATTAGAACAGCAACTTCAAGATGAACAGTTACTTTATCAAGAATTACAAGAGAAATATGAAAAAGTTTGTGAAAAACGCGATTCGATCAAAGACGATATGCATCAACTTCAACAACAACTGGAAAAGAGCAAAAATGATTACAAGTATCTGATCGTATTTTGTGTATCTGATTGAATTGAAGACCGATTTTTGTTTTCTAGTGCGCTGAGCCGTAAATGGAAGGAGAAATCGGACTTGATCACTGAACTTGATAATAAAATTCGTCGAGCATCGGAAACTTATCAAATTAATGAAAAGAAACTGATCGATGAAAACACTCGTCTTGTCGAAACACACAAGTAAGAGCGAAATTAGGTGTTGCTTGGTGATCACATCAATCGCATTGATTTTAGACAATTAGAAGACAAACTTCGTCAACGTGACGATGATTTTCGTCGTCAATTCGACACAATCGAGCACGGACATCGTCAAGCATTGAATCAAATGCAAAAGAATTACGAAGACAAACTTCAACAAGCTCAAATTCGTATAAATGAAGTGGAAGATGAAATGCGTATCTTATTACACGATACGAATCAACGAAAGAAGAAATGGGAAGAACGCATAAAACATTTGAGTACTTTTATGAGTGATTTACAAGATCCAATGTAATTTTTCTTGTCTGATATTTCAATTTCTCGAATCTTTTTTTCCGTCCGTTCATTTTTTTACACTAGGTGTATCGATTTTTTGTAGAATTATGTTTATCTCCATTTTTTTTCTTTTCTAGATGATTCTACTAGGCATCTTTCGCCAACAACAAAACCAGCTTTGGCGATTATGTTCACCATCACTCAATCTTATGCGAACAATCACTACACATCAGCCAATACCAACTGATCGAGCATTACTTTCACCTCGTTTACCTGTTATCGTACAGCAACCATATCGAACGAGAAAGTTAAAATTCAGTTTTGGATATACAAACTATGGACATCGAAGACATGTGAGACCACCGGGACATCATGTCGTTCAATATATGCAATTCTTTTTTATTATTATCGGTGCCTATGCACTTTTCTACCTAACGTAAGTAATGTACGAAAGTGGAGATTTGAAATGAATGTTTTACGTGTGACAGAAATGTGACGGACTTCGAGGATCGTTGGTCTGCCCCGATGGCCCCGATGGATGTGAATCAAAACATTCAAGAAAATACTTATATCGATCCGAAGGATACTCAACGACGTTTGGATATATTTTCTCAAGTGAAAGCGGCAACCGTTGTTCCAGCTGTGGAAGCCAATGCGAATGATTCAAGTGAAACAGAAAATGATGAAGTCTTATCGAAGGTTTCTGCTTTCTCTTATTGTCATAGAAAATAGTTCATTAATAAAGAAAACTATTAGTTTCCTTCGCATCCTCTTCAAAATCACTCTATTCAATTAAGTTATTAGCTACGTTCTATTAGTTTTCTTTTTCACCGCTCTTATGTAATCAGATAATTTTCTTCAGCGGAAAACACGATTACGTAATTCGGAAAAGATTGTTTGACAGGAGAGTTTCTATTTCACCTTCGTTGTTACCTAGGCAACACATTTGACCTACAGACTGACATGATATTTGAAATTTCACTAGAACAAAAACGATTATAAATAGTTTATTTCCATGACAATGAGAAACAACTTTCTCATTTCCTTTCCTCTTTCTCTCGTCTTCTTTTTTTTAGGTTGAACGCAAAGCTGAAAAATCTAAAGTAGAAAGAAAGGAGGCGAAAACGAAAAAAATCTCCTTTCGTGACAAGAAAAAAATCGCCTATGAAAATCGTCTTCGAGCATACTCAACACCCGACAAAATCTTTCGATATTTTGCTACGTTAAAAGTCTACAGCGATGATAATCCAGATGGTAAACTGAACCTCCCTTTCGAAAATCACGACTTCGATTGTTTCACTTTCAGGAATCATTTGCATGACGCCAGATGACTTTCTTCGATCGATAACACCAGGTAAATTGCTTTTGCATAACGGATAAAACGATTGATTCGCATTTTCATCCAGGCCTGAAACAACCTGATGGTTTAGAACTCGATAAATTCTGCCGTTATGATCTACGCGTTGATTCTTGGGATAAACTCGAACATTTAAACACACATCTATACTATGCAGATTTGAAGTCCAATGAAATCTCGATATTCGAACATATTGGTGGGAAACAATGTTTAATTACATTCAGTGATTATATTTTTCTCGTGACAATCTTATCCACTCCTCGACGATACTTTCAAATCGCTTTTCAAATGTTCGACTTCGACGGTAATGGTACATTCGATTTCGATGAATTCACCAAGTTAAAAGGCTTAATACGCGAACAAACAAGTATTGGACAAAGACATCGTGATCATTCTACGACAGGAAACATCCTTCGAGAAACATCTATCCTCAATCACTACTTCTTCGGTGAAAATCTCGATCAGTTGTTAAGTGTTGACAAATTTCTTCAGTTTTATGAACAACTACAAAATGAAATTTTACAATTAGAATTTCATCGTTCCGCGAAATGTCCTCATGATAAAAGTCGAATAACTGAATTGGATTTTGCCACATCTCTATTGGCTTATTCGGGTTTACCAGATAAACGTGTCAAGAAAATGTTAAAACGCATCAAAAAGGCTTATTCCAATGATGAAAAAACGCCAGCCACTGGTATTTCCTTCACCGATTATCAAAATTTCTATAACTTTCTTCGTAATATCCACGATATTGATGTGGCGTTAACATTTTATCACATTGCCGGCGGTGCGATTGACAAAAAAATCTTTCACCACGTTGCTAAAACTGTAAATCACACTGACCTTGACGCGCATTTAGTCGACGTTGTCTTCACTCTGTTTGACGACAATCGCGATGAATTGTTATCTTATGTCGAGTTTATTCATATTATGAAAAATCGATTGGAACGTGGCCTCCAACGCCCGAAAGATACAGCATTTATGAAGTTGTTTTCTACAATGCTCACCTGTGCAAAAGAAACTTATCTCTAGTTATCAGTTAGCATTTTTTACATTCTAGATGAAACATTTTCACGTGCGGATTTTATCTTGTTCTTTCATATGAACTGGAAATTGGTCAGTGAGCAGTTTTTTTTTCTTGCTATGTATTACATACGTGTATAGTTTTTCTTCTGCTTCTCCTCTCGTCGTCTTCTTCTCCTCCTCTTCTTCTTTTAATATAGAAAGTGAAGAAGTAAGGTAGTCTCCTGCATTCATAGCGACACTCAAGCAATTGTGTGCGCGTGAAAAAAATTGAGTGAAGAGAGAGAGAGAGAGAGAGAGAGAGAGAAAAAGAAAAAAGTTTCGTATTTCAACTTTGTTGTTTTCTCTCGTTCTACTCGCATGCCAACCGCGACAACATGCACACACGCTCTCTAGCCCCCATCTCATCGGTCTAACGATTAACTTTGAAAGTTCAACGCGATTGTTCATATAAATGTCGATATCTCTCTTCTTCTGTATACATATATTTTTCATTGTATAGACTTGACTAGAATGAGTGTTGCTTTATTGAACATCTCTTGTGCAATGAAATTTATCATAATAAAACTTTGAGCGTTCATGCACATTCGTTTCATTTCGCTTTTCTTTTGTTCTCTTTGTCTTAAACTCTTTTTTTTTCTACTTATGATATTTTTTATATGGTAATCATCAATATGATTATTTGCTTACGTTGCTATTTGTTCCTTGATCGAAAGGTATCTCTGTTTGTATTACAGATGTGGGTGTTATAGATGATGAAAATTTCTATTTTGTGCATGCAGATCTACCATGGCTATTAAAAGAAAAGATTTTCAGAAGACTTCATCAACTATACTTGAATTTTTGCTTAAATTACCCGATGAAGAAACCAGTTCACGCTTACGTGATACCTTATTACATGGTCTTCATTTCTTACAACAATATTATTTAATATTACAAAAACGTGACAAAGAACAAAAACCATTACAATGGACTATTGAACGTGGTCTAAGTCCGCTGACACCATTTCGCGAAGCTCCTGATAAATTTGAATGGCCATGGATTGACGTCGAATCAAATAAAGTCAAACAAATTCTTCCGAGACATTCTCTCAGTAGTTTTCTGAACTTATCACCAATAATCGTTGCTGTTCGCGAAGGCGATTTACGATATGTCAAAGAATTATTGAATTCCGACTCAGAACTTATCGATTGTGTGGATTCATTCGGAAGGGATTTATTGACTTACGCTGTTCAATATCAACAAATTCATATTCTACGTTATTTATTAAATGAATGTAAAGCATCAGTAAAAGTGAATTTACAAGCGAATGATGGTTCAACTTGTTTACATCGTGCCTGTTATCCTGACGATGGACAACATTGTAATATTGAAATAGTAAAAATTTTATTGGAGAATAGTGCTGATGTGACCAAACAAGATGTTCACTTACGTTCACCGTTACATTGGGCTGTTTTAGCTGAGAATACCGATTGTTTGCGACTCTTAATTGACTATAATATCGATATTCATATCAAAGATATCGATGGAATGACAGCAGCTATGTGGGCATGTCATCTCGATCGTCACGAACATTTCCAAGTAAGTTATCTCCATGTAATCTCTATGCATGAGAAAAATTTCATTCTTACAAGGTACTATCTCGATATATGGATGATGTTATTGAAACCGATAATGATGGTCGAACGTGGATTCATCATAGTGTTAGGAAAACGGAACCATTAGAATGTTTAAAATCGTTGTTGTCACCAGATTCGATATTCTATCGTGACAACGATGGACGAACATGTTTGCACGTCGCTGCTGAACAAGGTTCTGTTCTTGCTTGTCGTCTGATTTTCGAGACGAGTGACAAAACATCGCAACGTACAAGTTATGTTCACGATGGAGATAAATCTCGGCAAACTCCACTTCACTTAGGCACAAAGAATGGTCATGCGCGTATGTTGAAAGAACTTTTGGATCATGGAGCCGATCCACATTTGCCTGGTAGGAAATGAAACTCTTTGATTGTGATTACTGGTGACTTTTGTTTCCAGATATTCAAGGCATTTCCTCATTTGATTATGCCCAAAACCGCGGTCTTTACTTTTGTCGGAGTGTCTTTGAAGTTTATTTACGTGAGAAAAACTCACAAAGTCGATCGTCAACTATGCAAAGTTTTGTTGTGAATAACACAATGAAATCTAATGGTCATGATATAGCTCCAACGCCACCAGTAAATGGCCATGCCACGTTTATCCGTCGTAATGGCCCTCGTTCATTAAATGAATCCACGTTAATACATAAATCTGGATCGCAAAGTCTCTCTAATGAACAATTTGTTCAGTCAATGAATTTCTCAACATTTCGCATGAATGACGATGACGATAATAATCATCACGACGAGACTAATCAACAACGCCTTCGCTCACTATCGTCAGCAACTAATGCATCATCACTTGCACCACCCATCAAACCTCGAAAAAGCACAACAACGCCGAACAGCTCGGTAGTTAATATGTCAAAACCACAAATCAATCACGTCTATTCTGAAGACGATGACGATGACGAAGACGAAGGTAACAGTCTCGAAGGTCACAATAGCGAGGATGAGCATTCATTTCGACAATATGAACGACCGAACTCCCGTTTGTCTCTACGTCACAATGATGATCGATCGAATGGGACGACGCGTCGTCCAGTTTACAAGCCCGGCAAGCAATCGAATAAAGACTTTGCACACGACGATTATCGAGCCCTTGATGATCAAATCCAGTCGGCTTTTACCAACGTTTCGAAGCAATCGGCTCGTTCACCGAACAATAAAGATTTTCTTCAACCATCAATCAATCGAATTGGTTCAAGCAATGGAAACCAATCACTTACCAATCGACTTAAATCAGGTTCAAAATCGAGTTCGGTTGAATCCATTCCAACACTCGATCTCACTGTTGCTGGCCAGAAAGTCTTTCGAAAAAAACAACCACCACCAGGTGAAGCTTATTTTTCCACTTCACTATCGTCCACAAATTCTACGCGACCACCAAGTGGCCGATTAAAACCGATTCACAGTGCCAAATCTTCATCGTCGTACACCGACGAGTATTCCACAAGCTTGTCAACTAAAACTTTAGAGGATGTAACAAATAATACGAAACAATCACCAACCAAATCTCATCTTTACAAAAAGAAATTAGCACCATTAACCAACGGAGTCGATGGAATGAATAAAAAATACTCTTACCGTCCTGTACCCGAACAATTTCAATATGTCGATGATATTTCGTCGGATAAATCCGAAGAAACAAGTGCTGGAGGTGATCATGATATGAAATCACTATTGAATAATAATGATAAACGCTCAAAATTACAATGATCAAATCGTCTTTGAAATAATTCCTTCTCCGTCCATTTTTCTTTTCACGCTTTGTCATGCTTCTCGTGTTCTTTTCTCTTTGTATATAATCAAATTGTACGTATTTTCAAAACTTGCAACGCAGACATCATGTCATATTCTGTTCGTGTTTGGATTTCGAAGTGAATTTTCATTTGAATGATTTCTTCTTTATATGAAATAGAAAAAGCAATTTGCTTTGTTTTGTTGTGTTTTGTTTTCTAAAATTCGAATGTTTCTAATCATGTCTCTTCTCTCGTTTCATAGGTTATCATGAATGGTTTAATCTACGGGCATGACCTATCAGCAGGATTTTATACTGGTAATGGTCCAATACATCCATCCTATCATAATTATTATCCATCCACATTCACGCCCAGTGCACACCTCCACCAGTACACGAGGCAAGATTTCAGCAACACCCAGCAGACTAATGACTTCCAGCAACAATTCTACACGAATAGTTATCAACAGCCATTGCAACAGCCATTAACCAATCCAAATGTATATAATTTCGAAACCTCCGGAGCAGCGACACTCGCGTACTACGATAATATTCATGCAAGAGTTCGATCGAATCAACATAAAAGTTCCATATCGACAAATTCGAGTATACAATATCCATACACCCAATCTCCAGTATCCAACGCATCGGAACGGCCAACGTCAGCTAATGCCAATGGCCAAACTGATCCAACGTTTTTAGTTGTGCCCGGAACAGAAACGACTGGACCTCCAACTTCCTATGAGGTACTTGATCACACTCATCGTGATTTTTCGCTCGAGTGAATGCATATGACTTCGCGATACTTCCCACAGGTATTTTTACCAGCTTTTCTCTTTAGCCTTCAAGCAATACACCTTTACCATACACAGAGCCTTCTTCGGAGGCAATGGACGGTGATATTTCATTAGATTCTCCACATCATACCATGGATTCTCTCATCGAACGGCTAGTTCCAACCGATACTTACATTCCTAAGGTTTGAAAATTTCATTTTTTTAATCGATTTTAATCTCTTCATGTTTTCCAGCAATCATTCATTTATCCAATGCTACTCTGCTCACGAGCGAATATTCGACCGAGCTTATTATTTAATCAATTAGCACGTTTAACCATAAAATCAATTGCAAATATGACACGCGTATGTAAAGAGATGCATAAAACGAAAATAGCTAATTTTTCATCGATAGGACCGAAGTATTCGCACAATGAATAACTTCCTTTATGTTCTATCGCAATGGACACGAACATTTCCATATGATTTTCGCAATAGTGAAATGATATCTCAACTCGAAGATCTTTTCAAGAAGATAACTTCATTTGAACCAACTCTCCAGTCGGATGTTCAACATATCTATAAAAAACTTCGTTCAAAAGTAACGTTTCCTCGTCGAATACAATCACATTCGATGTTCCTCTTCATTTCAGTTAAAAGCCCTAGATTATTACGAAGAATACATTCGACAACTGAACAAAAAAGCTATGTACAACCTAACGCAACTAGCCCTCGTTGTAAGTCGTACCTTCATCGAACGAAAAAAAGCTCTGAAATTCACGTTTCTAGACAGACATCATGAATGAATGTCCAACAGCAATTCTATTCGCTCAACAACTGACTCACATTGAACTGGTTCTCTTCTTAACCTGTTTTCAAACAACATTTGTTCATTGATTCGCTTTTTTTCGTAGGATAGATTAAAGCCAGTTGGTGCTGAAGAATTAATCCAATATTTTATCATGAAATTAGCCTCGGAAGAAGCACATGCACATCCTTCGCGAAATTCCGACTCGGAACAATTGACATCGAATGACGAACCCTCGAATGTCAAATCACCGAAATTAGTTCATGATAAGAAATTAACCTTTTGTCTCGAAGCGTACATTCAATGGTTCAATCGTTTGACATTCTTCATCACAACAGAGATTGTCAAGCATACACAAAGACGGTCACGTGTACGACTAATCAATTACTTCATCGACGCTGCTTACGAATGTTTTCGATTACATAATTTCAATTCAATGATTGGAATACTTGGTGAGTCAATAGTCGTTCTTTTTTTCATTGTTTCGACTTGACATTTGTTCAATGAGTTAATTACACATCGAAAAGATAAGAACTACAAAGAATAATATCAGATTGTTCGATAGATTTCATCAAACAAATGCTAAGTTGAAGTGTAATTAAACACAAAGGGCAATTTATGATAAAGATCAACATTAACTCGAATTGACTAACCGCCTCCCTTTTCTAATTTTCGATGAACTTCAACATTCTTGCGCAGACTGAGACAATTTGACGTTCTCTTTTAGGTGGTTTGAACATGCAACCTGTTCGGCGGCTACGAAAAACGGTAACTTTTGAACTTTATCCTCGGTTCGTCATCAACTTTCGCTCTGATGAATTTCAGTGGGAAAAAATCCAATTAGATAAATTTCAACAACTCGAACAGTATATGAATGTTTCGAAAAACTTCGCGACATATCGTCTAATTCTCAAACTAGCGATGGAAGAAGCCAATAAACACGGATGGATAACCGATAAGATTGTTATTCCATTCACTAGTATTATCCTACAAGATGTTTATTTTATCAAAACTCATAGTAAAGATTACACACCAGCTGGTGGAATCAATCTAAAAGTTGAATTTCGATAAATTTCCATTCTCAAAACTAAAACTCTTTCGTTTAGAAATATTATTCTATGGCCAATTTCATTTCCGAGGAATTTGTGCAATGTAAACAAAGTAAAGTACGTGAATGAGATTCTTTGAACCTCCTAATCATCCCACTCTGGAGATTGACACTTTTTCTATCATTTACTTTACAGTGTTCATTCGAACGCAATGATGAAATTATTAATTACATCATCACATCTCCAACATTCAACGAAGATTGTAAGATTAATATTGAATTCCTTCGTTCGTTCACACGATTATTCTTGTAGCTCTGATGCTCGCGTCATTCGAATGCGAACCGCCATCAACAATTCTGGAAAAAGAAAAACAACGAGCCTTACAGTAGGTCGAACGCACAAATCTTCGCATAGATAATGCATTTCGTTTTTAGAAAATCAGTAAATACATCAGCATAAACCCTTTCCAATCTTAGTCGTTCCTCAAATGTTATTCCAAATGCATCTTTCGTTCATTTGCAATATTATTCTCTCAATAATCACAATAGATAAAATCCAAATCATATAATTATTGTTGAGAAACAAAAATCAACAAATTTCTTCTTTTCTTTTTTGTATTTCTTCTGTATATCATTCATTTGCTCAATCGACAGTATATACAATAAATTCGACGCTGTTAGACAACATATTCATGTGTACGAACCATTCTCTTTGTATTTCTTGTTAGTATACTCGACATATTATGTCATGCTTCTTTTTTTCTTCTCTATGTGAACTAGTATTATGTATATCAAAAGTGAATTTGCCATTTCAGTCTTTTTTTTTCTACATGCTCTGTTCGATGTTTCTCTATTCAATAAAAGCATTTCTTTTTTTGAATCAAGAAATAATAAGCCGAACTATTATTCTGTCCTATTCGTTTGCTTTTCTTTTCTTTTCGAGTACATATTCAATGTATGTATTATACATTTGTCACATTGAATTAAATATTTAAGAACAATCATATGTTACTTCTCGAATGTCTAATGTGCTGTTGATAACAACAATAGAAACCTATTATAATCAAAGAATGAAATCAAATTCTTTCTTTTTCTCTCACCAGGCGAATATATACTCGTATCAAACTAATCGTTTTCAACGAGAGAGAGAGAGAGAGAAAAGAGAGAGAACGAATTCAACATATATAAATACATAAACATTCAAGTATCGAATAGTTAAAGACACCCGACGTGATTGACAAAGAATTGAATTGAATGTATATTCACTAATGGCATTGATGACGAGCAAGTAAAGAAAGTAGAAAAAGGTGTATTTCAACATTCATGTCTGTCATTTGATTTATATATGCAGTATTCTCTCATTTCTTGCATAGTCTTTCATTTTCTTTCTAGTACTCTCGTTTCGATGAAGGATGAACAAGCATCAGAACGAATAAGTCATTCTTGGACGAGTTGCCTCTTTGGTATTTAATCTCTATGACTGTTATTCCAATCTCATAAAGCTTGAATACCGGAGGATGACTCGAACAAAAGTTCGATGAGATTTCGTATAAAGAAAGCAAATGTCGATTTTTTTTTCTTTCGGCAAATGTTTTGCTGTACTTGGACTTCTTTATTATATTCTCTTATTTTATATGATGATAACGCCTGTGAAGATTTAGGAGAATGATTAGAACAAAAGATTCTTTTACACATCGAAATATTTGTTTTTTTTTCGTGCTGATTATAATAATGATAATTTATTTGTGTTTTTATTCATCCTTTGTTGATCAACATTCGAGTCGACGTCAGACATTTTCAAGGAGTCGAATTTAACGGACGTAAGATGGCTATCAGGTGCATATGGAGAAGGTAACGATGATAAAGACGATGACAATTCTTTTGATGATGGCAGAAAATTCTGTAAGGCAGATGAGAGAACAACGCGGCAGTAGCTGGAACCAGGATGAGATTTGCACAGTTGTTTTATTTCAGGATATTGCTAAATAATAATTAGACAGAGACATGTTAATTAGAAGTCAGATTTCAATCGAAATTTCGCATTTCTCCTACTCCTTGTTCAATTGCGTCTAATGTATGGTTGCAAATACGATGTATTATAACTGGACTTTCGTCTGTTTTTTCCATACAGACTCGTAAGAGATTCTGATCGAACTAAAAAACGTCTCTTGCATAATGAAAGTGTCATATCGAAGTTTTTACATACATCGGTGCCGGTATGACTCGTTGGTTTTTTTCGATATGATCGTTTGTTTTCAGGAATTGCTCGTACAAATCGACGAGATGCAAATCTCTAGAAACGAAGAAGAATTCCTTTAAACAAATTCATCTCATGTGACCAACCTTTGTCGCAACATTTTCTAATGCAAGTTGATAACGATTGAGATTGTCACAATAGCGACTTCCAGAGCCCATAACCTTGCAATAATACATTAAAACTGGGAATTGCTATACAAAAAAGAAAGAAAACCATCAGTGACGAATATTCGAAATGATAAACCTACACCCATAAGTGCCGATTGTAATGTTTGATCACAAAGAGTTTGGGTAAACATGTCAATCTTATCAGCAGAACAACTACTGACAATGAAACTGGTTAGCTAAACAAATCCAGGAAAAGCTCGAACAATTGACAATAGTTTCGTGTGAATTACATACATGATATTCAGTTAATTCACGTTTTCGAAGGCGATACTAAACAGGAGAGTGAAACAGATTTGAAAATGACATGAGAAAACTTACTTGATGCGTCGATTGGAATAGATGGGCGCCGATAGTCAATAGGAGTAAAGTGAGCACTTGAGATTTCATTGCGATAAGCTAATAATGATAATGAAGAGGAAACAAAAATCAAAAAAGGATGAGAACAACCTAAAAGTAAGCCGAAAAGATCTCCTGTACAATATTAATGTCAATTACTTTTTCCAAAAACAAAGAAAAGCATCATCTAGGACGACTATTCTTTCTCTTTCTCTCTTATTTTTCTCTTCCTCTCCTCTCATTAACTCTTGTTTAGCATGTTCATCTCGTCAAGCATATGATGATTATTTGTCATCGAAATCTTTTTCTTCTCCTCCTCCCCCATTGACAATTACAAGTCAAAATTGATTAGCTGCTTGATGACTTCAAAGAAAGAATTATCATCATCATTTACATTCCAGATATACAAACAAAAAGAAGAAAAGGACAAAAAAAAATGTGAACTATTTTCTCTTTAAGTTCATAACATCGTCCGTTATTTGCTTCTAATGATGTGAAAACTAAGAAAAAAGAATGTAACATCGACCTATGAAATTCAAAGACGACAACAAGCTTGGAATATCTTCTCTCCTAATCAATAAAGCATGTATCGTTTTTCTCTCGAGAAAGAAAGCTAACAAAATTCAGGAAATTCATTAACAGAAAAGTGATCTTAACATCGGAGTGTGTTGCTCGTCGATAGAAACAAGACAACAACACGTCTGTCACGTTCAATTCTTTCCTACATGTACTTCCTTGTTATTTCTTGCTTATATCTATTGATAAGATTACATCGTCGAAGTCCGTTTCTTTCATGTATATATATATACATGGAAAAACAGATCAAACAAATCTCTGCTTCAGAAAAATTGCAGTGAATTTGAAGGAGAAAAAAAATCATTTCTCGCACCTACACAGACGCCTACACGAAGATTCAAAAATAGATAAATCAAATGTCTGAACATCGACTATTCAATGAAGTAATTTTAGATACGAAATTATTTATAGGTGGTAAAATGGAGAACAATGCTGTCCGGAAGAATATCTTCGATCTTTTGTCTTTGTTCATTTTAGGGTGAAATAATCAGATCGCAAGGCGATCGTAGGAAAAAATAGTAACGTTTTTTTCCACATAGTTTGACTCGAGTATAATAGTTACCTGAACAAAAGCTCACTAGTAAACGTGAGAAAGAACAAATCTTTGATGTCGAAGAGGAAGAAATTCCGTTGTAATTGAAATGATGATGCTATCTCGTCTACTTTCTAATCTTCTTTTAAATCAATATCCAGAAAGAGGAGGAAAATGTAAAAAAACAATGTTCGTTTTCTTCTTCTCACTATGAGTTAAATACGAACTGATGTGTAGGTCGAGTAGTAAAGTAATACATGGAATTCTCGTGAGAATAACAGACGTAGAGAGTTTCAAGGCATTTCTCAAAAAAAAAACGCATCTGACTATGAGATAATTATTACACAGAATGTCGTGTAATTGAAAAATCTCTGTTACTAGACATTATCGACTTCCGCTTATTTGACGAGAGTATCTAATGGCTTTTTATTGTAAGTTTACCATTAGTCGTTGTCGGCATATTAGGACGCTGTTTTCTTTTCAATGCTGTCTTGTAATTAAGGAAAAGAACTAACAGTCGTTTAATTTGCTTCATTAATTTCAAGTAGAAATGAAAAAGATGAAAGCTGAAAGAAGCGTTTGAGCAGTTTCTTCAAGCAAATCTGATGATGAAAGCGTTGTTTTCATCTAATTAGACGGTTTATTGGGTGTATGATTAAGGTGAATCCATCATGTGCGCGTTTCAATCAAAATTTAATCAGGGATTTGAGCAGTCTAAGCGTATTTACCAGGTTTAAACAAAACAACGCAATAGATAGACAAATGAGACGAGAAAACCAATCTTTTTGATTATGATTTTTGGCGAATGTCAAAGCAGATGTTTTAACTTATATTGACGAACTTATTCAAGAATATAATCATGCATCTGATACTGAAAGATAATACAAATCGAGACTAATTAATCTTGAAATTCAAAACAGCAAGACATTTTATCGTACAGGTTTAATTAAATAAGATTTGCAAAAAATTCTTTTCATTATGTATGAGGTTGCCCTCGACTTGTGGAGGAATCAATTTGCTCACCTTACCTCGCTCGAACAATAATTCAAATATCTCCGTGCTTTGCAAGTAACAATAGAGCAGAGTTGTTGAGGGCTAAAGTTCCTCGAAAGTATATGCGATGTTCATATTTAGGCGTTTCGCCGTCTGAAAATCTTTTCTTCTCAACATTTTGAGACTATTAATGACATGTGCATTGGAGCCTTCGTCTTTCAAAGTTTTCTGAATGACCTTTACGCACTTGTAATTCGAGATGAGTAGCGAATGAAACAACATGTTCAATATGATTAACATTCTCATCAATTATTCTACTGTGACTTCATCGAGAAGCAAAATCGTACGAGAGATAATTTAGAAATCATTCGATATGACTTCTTTCGAATAATTATGTCTATGAGGATTAATTGAACAGAATACGTTCTCTATTTTACACCTGATCGACGTCAATGGATTATAATGCGATGGAGCTGACTGACTATGGGTTGAAAAATGTTTTCTATTTACTTCTATCGACGGCAATGACGATAAAGTCGGGTTAACGAAGTGCAGACAATACGTTGTTTGTCCTTTTCTGTTATCCAGGGCTATGCGATACATCATTAGGGATATATTTCTTTTGTTCTATCTCTTACATACCACGCGATTGCTTTGTCGAACAGAAAGAAACAGTACAGACTATAGAATTATCTGCCTTGACTGATCTTGCTAGTCAGCTGTGTTCAGCTGTATATAAGCCGATGTCGATAATCTGTTCAAATTACAAATCTCTTCTCATCAACCACGATGAATGTAAGTATTGCTTTATTTCAATTGATTTCGATAATTTGTTTTTATTTTCTCTTCTTCTTCTAGTGGTCATTGATCATTTTTGGCTTGGTTGCCTTATCAAGCGTATCTTTTGCCAAAGAGTATGTGATACTTAAATGTATTTCACGAAGAAAATCATTGATTTCACTTTTAGTTCTTATCTCATTATCGCACCAAAACTTTTCAAAGTTGACTACGATAACCAATTTTCAGTTTTTATTGCTGCCGCATCCCAACCAGTCGATGTTAAATTCGAATTAGCTCTCGGAGCACAACATCTCGAAGGAAAAGTTGTCTGCAAACCCGGTGAGACACGTAATGCCACAATCACTCTTCCAAAGGAATTTCCAATTGGTGCTGGTGAATTAATCATCACTGGTACTGGTGGTCTTCAATTCGAAGAAAAACGCGATGTCATCGTCTACGATAGCCGTCATGTTTTACTTGTTCAAACATCAGCATCAACCTACCGTCCACATGACATCATGGAAGTTCGCGTCGTTGCCACAACTGAAGAACTTATGCCAATGGAAAGTGGTGAACTCACCATTGAAATTTATGTAAGCTCTATTCAACATTTTGTTTAGTTCACTCGAATGAAACATTTTCTCATAGGATGCCTCTCTTAAACTCGTTGGTGAATTCCCACGTGTTCCAGTTCGCTCAGGTGAGTGTGAATTTAAAAACTCGGCATCATTGGTTTTCATTTGATTCATACAATTTAGGTCTTACTGAAACCTTCCGATTCCCACTTGGCGAAGATGTCAACCTTGGCCCATGGCTCGTATCCGCTACCATGGAAAACACAACATCATCGGTCGAAGTCCTCGTATCTCGCCCAGTTACATCATCATTTGATCTTAAAGCTATCTTCCAACGATATCTCCTCCGCACAGACAAATTCCTTCGTGGTGTTATCGAAATTAGTGACGACAACAGCCAACCTATTTTCGGCCGTGCTATCGTTGCTATTGGTCAAGTCACCGAAGACGAATTCGAAATGACAATGAGAGCAAACGCCCGCCCAGAAGAACCAAAACGTCCAGAGGAACCAAAACGCCCAGAAGAACCAAAACGCCCAGAGGAGCCAAAACGTCCAGAAGAACCAAAGAAAGGTGAAGAATGGCGTAAATGGAAATCACAAACCTTCGAAATTGCTGGCCGTATCGAATTAAACTACGATCTCTTATCATTATTCGAAATTGACATCAGCAAATCACTCGCTATTCAAGTTTACATTGAAGTTACTGATCTTATTACTGGCCAAGAACGTGTCATCCGCCATTTGATCCCAGTTTTCACACGTGATGTCATCTATGATATTCATCCACTTGAATTCGAAGCTGGTATCAAGAACGAATATGCCGTTACATCCAAACGCCCAGATGGCAAGCCAATCAAAATGGAAGACTTGACTGTTACTGTTCGCATGCTTCTCCGCAACGAACCAGGCAAAGAGCAAGAAAAGATTGTCGAAATCAAAGATTTCTATACACGGTATGAGAATCTGGCGAAAAAATAGCCATCTGTACTGACGTTGTTGTTGTTTTAGCGGTCGTAACGATATGGGCTTCTTCAACATTGAATTTCCAGAAAACTGTATTGGTGTCCTTATGACAGTATGTAATTCAGTATTTTACTTTCTTACAAGACTTGTTTCTGTTATTGATTTAGATTACACCAGTTGGTATTGACGGTAAAGTTCATGGTTATCGTACCATTAGCATGCCACTCATCCCAACACCTCGTCGCACAAACGCTAAATTAAGCATTGAACTTTTACCATCAACAGTTGCTCCAGTCAACACCGATGTTAATGTTCCAGTCGTCAGCTCACAAATCTCAACTGTTGGCCGTGTTTCAAACTTCTACGTTCAATTAGTTCCATCGAAACCAGTTGAAAAATTCGAACGATTACCGATGTCGTACGTTGTTATGACCAATGGTCGTATTACTCTCACCGGTGAATTTTATATTGAACCAACTAAAGCATGTCAAAGCAAGAGCAAACGTGCTATCCGACCAGAAGAACAAGTAGCACCAGTATGTGTCTTCAACGGTACTTTACCAATCCAAATTACACGTGAAATGGTACCATACTCAACATTACTTGTCTATACCTTCCAACCAACATTCGGTTTCAATGTTGCTGAAACATACCGATTCTCAGTTGCTGGTCTCTTCCAAAGCTCATTGACCTTGAATGCTACAATTGTTCCATTCACATCAACAGAAACAGTTGTTGACGACTTCAAACTTATTCCAGAATTGGACACTAAACCAATCGTTCTCTCTGATAAAATTCAAGACAAAACACGTGTCGAACTCTCGTTCACTGGCGCCCCAGAATCAACTGTAGGCCTCAATGTTTTCGAATTCGATGGTGTCTTACAAGGTTTATCAAATGAAGTTAGCAAAGAACGATTACTTCGATATTTAACTACATATGAACATGTACCCCTTATCACCATGCCAACCTTACCAGTAGCTGAATCAGTTGTTCGTAGCTCACGTCAAGTTCTACCACAAATGGGAGGTGCGTCACCACAAATGGGAGGTATGCCACCACAACTGGGAGGCGCAACACCACAAATGGGAGGTATGCCACCACAAATGGGAGGTGCATCACCACAAATGGGAGGTGCGTCACCACAAATGGGAGGTGCATCACCACAAATGGGAGGTATGCCACCACAAATGGGAGGTGCGTCACCACAGATGGCACGCCGAGTAATGAGCGAAGCTGATGAAAAAGAACAAGCTGACCGTGAACGAAAGGTTTGAAATCATAAGATTTTATTGTTCGAACTAATCGAAATGTATTTTGATTTTAGGGTGATGAAGCTCGTTTCCCAATTGAAAAAATGATCTTTGGTATGCATGGCGAATATCCATTACCATCAGTTGAAGGTGATGATATCTATGTTCCATCAAACATGGGTCGTCTCTACGATGGTGTTTCAATGGACGAAAAATCATTCTCATCAGAATACAACCGTCATCTTGATCGAAAAATGAATCAATTCGACGTTACAGTTGATAACAATGATTATGTTGTTGCCACAAGCATGCCATTCGTCTTCGCTCATGGACCACAAGGAAAACCAATGCCACCAAAAGATAAACCAATGCCACCAAAAGATAAACCAATGCCACCAAAAGATAAACCCATGCCACCAAAGGATAAACCAATGCCACCACATTCTGAAGATGAACTTCACATCGAAAATGAAGTTACGATGGGCCGATCAAAAGATTACGGTACTCGCAAATGGTATGAACAAATGAGCTCACGATTGAATACATTCTCACAAGAAGCATTCACATTTATGCAAACTGGTTTATCAATTGTCTCTGACTTCGATTCATTACGCGTTCCATTTGAAATGAAACATGAAGATTTAACAAAACTATTCTCACGATTCCGTCAACCAGTAACACCCGTCATGGAACGTCAAGCCTTCTCCATCCGTGATGAAGCCCGTGATTTACTCGAAGAATTCGTCAACGAAAATGATTTCTCTTTAATGATTCCTCCAGCTGTGCTCGATGAACAATCTCGCATTGGATATTACCGATCAGTTTTCTTCAACACAAGCCGCATCGAATCACAAGGAACAGGCAAAGTTGTTCTTCCACGAACTAAACCATACTCGACATGGCTCGCCAGTGGATTTGCTCTCAATGCCAAATCAGGTTTATCAATTGCTCAACCAATTCGTTTACCAACAAATCAAGGTCTCTTTGTCCTCGGTAACTGTCCAAAATACGGTCGCATCGGTGAACACATTCTCTTCACCTATGGTATTAACAACTACCTTGGAAAAGACGTAAGCAATGTCATCGTTCGCATTCGTGCATCAGCTGACTTTGAACTTATTGACCAATCTAAACCAGATGTTATTGTTTCAAGCAAAGATAAAGATTACACATTTACAATTCCATCACTCAAATCATTCGGTGTTGAAATACGCAATCTTGTCCTTATTCCAAAACGTCACGGTCTTATTCAAATCGTTCTCGAAGTCGAATCTGAATTCGGTGGTGATTATGAAATCTTAAACATGTTCGTTCATGAGCCAGCCATTGAACGTGAAGAAATCCGCGCTCGCTTCTTCGACTTAGTCGGTGAAAAGAAGGCCTATGAATCAATTGTTGAAAAAGTCGCCGATGCATCAAACCTTCGTCGTTTTCATGTGTCAGTCTCAGGTAAATTCATAGTCTTTATCCGGAATACTTTTCACGATCGATCTTTGAAATCTAGGTACTTTCCTCGACCGATTTTTCCGTAAATTCAACATGCGAACCAACACCTTAGTCGGTATTGATCAAGCACTCATCCGTCTCTATCGTTCACTTGGTCTTCGTTGTTACCTCAACGAAACTCTCCAAACTGAATCGTCATGGTTCAACATCACTGCTGAAAACATCACCGCAGCTTACCAAGAACTCCAATCCTACGCTGATTATGATGGTTCATACTCATTCGTTTCGGATGACAATACACGTTACTCATCACTCTACTTAACATCATTAGCTTTCGGTGCTATAGTTTCACCAATGATGCCATTCCGTGACAATGTTACACTCAACCGTACATTAACATGGATCTTAGCTCGTCAACAACCTGACGGTTCATTCGAACATGATGGCCCATGCTTCCACTACAGATTCTGTGATGGTGAATTCCGTCGTGAATCATTAACTGCTCTTGTTCTCTATTCATTGACCCGTGACAATTCATCCGATTATATGCCTGAATTTATGCGTCGTCGTTTATTCGATGGAGAAAACAGTCCAGTTATGCGTGCTCATCGTTATTTGGTATCACGCGTTGCAGACATCAAACCACATTTCTTACCAATCACATTATTCGAAATCGCTTTCGTCCAAAACCGTTATATTCCATCAGAATTACGTCAAAAGATCTATGATGCTCTTGTTGCACGTAAATTAACTGTTGTACCAGAAGACAACTCAAAATATTTGAAATACGCTGACGACAAAATTACACGCGATGATCAATTATTACTCAACTCAATGACTGCTTTACTCTATACCTACTACAACGACTACCGTACAGCATTCGATATGACCCGATGGATCGCCAATCAACTCACACTTCACCCACACTATGATACAGTCTTAGATGGCATTTTCTGGAGTGACGCTTTAGTTCGTCTTGGCAAACTTTTCCATAAACAATTCGACATGAGCAAAGTTGACATCACAATCGATGTTGCTGCTGACAACGGTGAAAAGAAACAATTCAAGATCGATTCCAAGAACTTCGATGTCACTCAAATGTTCCACTTTACTGTTCCAGTTCGCGAAGTTACCTACTCAGTCAAAGGTTACGGTATGGCTGGTGTCGCTCTCTTCGAATCATATGCTGATAAGGAACAATTCAAACCAATTGAACCAATGCCATTCAAATTATCTCAAGAATTCTTACCAAAAACATGGCTCACAGAAATCGCCGCCAAAACCTGTTTGACGTTCACGCCAACACCTGAAATGCAACGTTTCGTCAAAGATACATTCAACCGCACAATTGTTATTGACATCGAACTTCCATCAGGTAACTATTATTATCATCATTGTTTTTTCGTATTTAATTTCTTTGTATTCTAGGAATGCGTATCGAAGAAAATCAAATCGGATTTTTCTTAAGCAAAGTCGAATATGTTCATCATTTCGATTACAACCGATGTTTCAACAAACTCAGCCTCTTCGTCGTTGTTCCATCAACAATGTACGGCAAAGATATCTGTATGGATTGGTGTCTCGAACGTTTATCAACAGTCGTCAACTGGTCACCAATTAGCATCCGTGTCTACGACTATCTCCAACCAGAAACAACATTGGTTCGACTTTTTCCAATTCAATTTCAACCAGCTCTCCTCGGTTACTCATTTGTTGAAAAAGCTCATGAATTACGACCAAAACTCGATTCATTACCACTTTTAAACAAACCAAAACGAGTCTAAAGAGAATGAGATTTTTTAATCTTTAATATCATTTCTCCTTTTTCTTTTCTTTCACTACTATTTTTTGCATATATATTTCTAAATAAAAATTTCAAAAGTTAATCGTTCGTATCTTCTCTGATTGGAAAGTCTTTGTACACGAGTTAATGAACCACTGTTTTTTATTGAATCAACCAGAAGGAACTTTTCTATTTACATTCGGCGATCTTAGTCGAGATAAAGATCGAAATCAATACGTTTGATCGAATGGAATTGCTCTGTGCCGACACGACGACAACGAACTTTGTCTTTATCTAGTTTTCCATCTGTATTAGTCAAACGGATCATATGTTCGGTTGTAAATGGCCCTTGAATAGCTGCTGCCGAATTTTCATCTGTCGTATACTCCCAAAGAACCTCCGATGATACTAAAAATAACAGTACGGCTAAGTCATTCATCTTCTGTCAAACAAATTCATCTTACTTTTGGTGTCTGTCGTCGTCTTATTGACAGAGGCCGATACATCAGTATCACCATACATGTCGAAAGCGGCATCGGTCGTTGTCGATGTAGCCGACGTTTGAGCAAGATCAAGTTTGAATTTTAGACGTTCGTAAGTTTCTTGATAAATATCCGCTTCCCCATTGGATACAAATTGATCAGCTAAACCAGACATCTTTTCGAAAAGAGCTCGATTGTTTTTCAATTCTTCAGGTGTTAATCCCGTTGCTGTTGGTTTTGGCACTTCACCTGGAAGCAATTTACGTTGCTTGTTTTGCTGTTTTGGTTTATTACTACGCAAAGCTAAATTTCAGCAAAACAAGAAACTTTGAAGTTGCTTTTACTTTGACAACATAGCGCCTAGTCGTTTAATTGTGCGAGTAACGGATTCACCGGGTTGCATGATTGCTAGCATTGCTTTGATTACATTAGCTTGATTAAATTTCGTTTCGACGGTATCTTCATCTCTGGAATTAGTTTGTTCAGGTGGATTTTCAGGATCGTCGTCCGTCGCTTGAGGATTCTTCAATTTATAGTTTTTCACGTTGGTCCAATCGATATCATCGAGCCAAGCATCATGAATGTCCTCTTTCTGGTAAAAAAAAAAGAAAAGAAACTGTAGACGAACAATTGAATATATTTCCATAGACTTACATCTTTCTTATTCCACCGAAAGCATCCTGTTTCATCATAATGTCCATCTTCTAATTCTTCATCGATATTAAATGGTGTAATTTTGACATCATCATCGAATCCGATTGTTGCTTTTTCTTGTGCTAGAGAAAAGAAGACAAAGATACCAGTGAGAATAGCCATTATCAGAAATGTCATAGACCGTACCTTCATAATCATCTTTATTTAATTCTTTTTCATTTCCTTCTTGTTCGTCGTCATCCTCTTCATCGCTATCCAATGTGTATTTTCCACTGTGTAACCGTGTGTTTTTAGCGGTTGTCCTCTGTTTTTTAATTTCGTCATCGAATTCTTTAAAAAGCACTTTACGTTTCTTTTTCTCCTCTCGATCCATCTAGAACAAAGACAAAATGTAGAATATTACATGGACATTTATTAGTTTTTCAAAAGAGTTAACGTTTCTTGAAACCGAATTTCTTTCTTTCATAAAACAAATCTGTTTTAGCGCTTCCTAAATTGACAATCTTGGGACAACCATCACGATCCTTTTCAGTTATTGTACATTCTCGACAATAATATGCGTCCGATACACCAGGACCACCGCAGATAACACACCGACCCTGATATGAACCATAGTTGCATTCATCACAGATTCGTACAAGTGTGGTTGGACGAACATAGGAATCGCAAATCACGCAACGTCCATCGCATTTTTCACAAAGACGACCAATTGCAACACCAGCTTGTTTACGACAGAAGATTAAATCAGGATGATGTTTAGCCATTGTCTTTCACAATTTCTTCGAGTGATTGTATAGGTCTGTCGATGCACTGTTTTAACTGAATGAATGAAATTTCTCGGACGATTCTACTGGCTGACTCATGAACCAATCAGATTGCATTTTGTAATAAAGCTTTTTTTGAAGAAAACAAAACGCAAAAATTGTTTTTTTTAGTTTTATTTTTTCAATAAAAATTTTTATTTTATAGAAAATCTTTTCGTCCAATCATCGTCCTTGATTTGCCAAATATAGCATAGATAGATTTCTTCGATGTGATATTATTATTTATTTTCCTTTACCATGACGGATTTCACCAATGCCACATCTCAAACTTTGGAAAAATTACGTACCGCCGAAGACAAACTAACCCAAATGTTATGGAATGCGGGAAATATTGTTCAACAATTAAGTGCCGAACAAATCAACAAAGAACAAACGGACTCGTTAGTTCGAATTTTTTCTGAGAATGCACAAAATGTACAAAGTTTATTACATGAAAGCGTGGCCAGTTTAGAACGCATTTCATCAGGTCTCCCACATGAAGATTCATGTTATGCAGCTTGGTTAGATTACAATTTAGCATCAATGAGAACCGAAAGTATACGAAATAAGTTATATGAATTGAAAAATAATCCCGAACTCCAACGAAGCCGCCAACGTGTCAAACAACTTGAAGCACAATTAGCTCAACTTTGAATAAAATCTGTATTTTTTTCTAATGTTCAACATCACATCCATTCCTTCGTATATTTTTTAACTAAATGTATATAATCGATTCTAGATCTCGTCTTTTTCTTCGAAAACAAGAATTTTCAGCGGTGAATCATGCTTGAACATTTAATCTACGTTAACAGTTGGTATCCAAAATACGAAGTTGACCTTGCTGAACAAACGCACTATACAGTTTTTGTAAGTTTTCCTATTAAGTTTGCCTTTGTCATCTATTGCTCTCATTAGAACCAAAAGGCACAAGGTACGACAACAGCTTCATGTGTACGCGAAGTGAAACATGAAAAAGTTGAAGCACCTAAACCAACAGAACAGGTTTGTTTGCATTCGCGTATGAATTTTCATTTAGCCTGTTGATTTTCTTTCCGAATGAAGTTTTCTCCCACACATTCCGAACTTGTATGTATCCCATCGCTTGCCTCTTTGTCATCTTTATTCGTCTCTATGTATTGCACATATGGAATGCATCATTTGTCTATATGCAATGAAAAAAATATATATACGCCGTCTATTTCTCCTAAATCTTGCAGGCAAGTTTAAGCGAACAGATTCGTGATGTTCGTAAGATTCTACATAATACGGATTCAACAACGAAACTAACGACAACGATGGAGATGCCTGCTGACCAACGTTTGAAGAACATTGAAAAAACTCATCAAAATATTTTGCAAATGCTCGATGATCTGAAACGACGGGTGGAGCAACTCGAAATAAGCAAACAAACGATCAGTCCGGTCAGATATCTGTGTGAATATAGTTAGAAAGAACAAAACCCCCTTCCCCTCGATAGACTGATAATTCAACATGGGTTTTTCCTGTTCCATGCTCTCCAAACGACTAAAATTTGTTGTTGTTTTTTTATAGAAACTAGCAGCTGAACCAAAACCAGCTGCCGCTAATGATGATGATATCGATCTATTCGGTTCTGACGATGAAGAACAAAGCGAAGAAGTCAAAAAACGTCTAGCTGAATATGCAGCCAAGAAATCGAAGAGTAAGTTCTTCTTTGTTTACTTGCCTGTCTATTCTTCATGCGCGTTCTATTCTTATAGAAGAACAGATCATTGCTAAGAGTACAATTGTACTTGATATTAAACCTTGGGATGATGAAACTGACCTTGAAGCTATGGAAAAATCTGTAAGATCAATCGAAGCTGATGGTCTTGTTTGGGGACAATGTAAGCATGAAAAGAACGATCATTTCCGCATATAAATGTTTTGTCTTTTAGCGAAATTTCTCCCAGTTGCTTTCGGTGTTAAAAAACTCCAAATCGGTTGCGTTGTCGAAGACGATAAAGTAAACGAATTGATTGAATGAATGTTCCCTATGGATATATTGTATATCTGTTTATTTAGATTGGAACTGATTTTCTTGAAGAAAAAATTTGCGAATTTGAAGATTATGTTCAATCCGTCGATATCGTTTCCTTTAACAAAATCTAATCGAACGATTTTATGAGACTTCTCTTTGCCATCAGAGAAGATTTTTAGTAAACGAAATAAAGAATAAACACAACAAGATCATACCTATCAGTCTCATTCCTGACTCAACACTAATCTCGTACTGTATTGAATAATGATAAAACAATTAGTAATAGTCATTCACGTTCACCGTGAAAACTAAACGTTTTATCGAAGATTCGATACATTCTTACATTAATGTCTATCGCAACAGAAAATCGGATTAATCCTCGCCGGGAACATAAAGAGTCTCAACTGTACCTCCTGCTGTTGTTGTTTGTCTAATTGAGCAATGCTATCGAGTTACGTGTGAAGTATAATAACAAAGTTTACGCAAAAAAATATTTCTTTTCGATAAGTTAGCCGACGACAACGCCTCCTTCACATATAATTCGATCACCGAATTCCAGCTTGACTAATCGTCTTCTGATAATTTTATACCAATCATTTATGCTCATTTTGTTTAATGAGTATCAAACATATCGAATTTATTTGTCCGAGAGAAAGAAAGATGTACACAAAAATAAAAATTAAACCTTTCAAGACAGTTACTAAGCATCGAAATGAATTTGTTCCGTTGAGGGTGGATATGACATTGGCATTGGATAATAAGATGTCGAGTACGGATCATAATATGCATAGGAGGAGGATGCTGGAGTTGACATATAAAAATTTGACATGGTCGATGACGGTTCCACTGGACTCATCGGATGATTTTCTGATGAGCTGTTCGAAGGTGGATAAATTGCCTGATACGGTGGTGGCGGGGCGCACATATAGTAGGAATTTGAAGGATAGTAGGATGGAACAACTGGTGTTTCGTATGATGACTGCATTTCTAACTGTTGCATCTGTTGACGATATCGTCGACGACGAAAACGTCCTTGTTCGAATTCTCGTTCTGCTAACTCATGGATTCGCCAATCTAAAAGAGAAAATAATGAAAAAGCTTGTTTCACGAATGCACATGTATACTTACAATGTCCTTTACCATTGTGTCCTCTACCTGCTTTAACAAAACAATCATTTAAAGATAAATTATGTCTTACACTATTTTTCCACGATTTGTTCACATCTTCAGCAAAATATCGATATCTATTTAAAGTAAAGATCAATGTTACGCACTTTAATTCAACTGACATTTGTTTCCGGAACTTACTTTCGTTGGAAATATTCGTAGATTTCGTACAATTGCATTGTACGTTTCGGTGCTTTCAAAATTGCTTCAGCAATTATTTCAAGGTAGGACTGACTTGGTTTTTTCGGAATATCACAATCGTCTGTAGCTGAAAATGTACTATTTATCATGAAAATATGTAAATCATAAACCGCTTACCAGAACGATCATTTGAACCATCTTCAACTGAACCAGTTTCGTCGGAAAGACCTTCATCAACAATACCTGAGTCGTGAAATTGTTGTTTGTGCATATTTAATTGCTGTTGATAATAGACTAAATATATCCATAGGACATGTGTGTATTTAAATATAACATAAAAGATATTTTTTGGAAAGAGAGAGAGAGAGCGACAGAAACAGAAAGCTGTGAGTTGTTGTCAAACAAATTATGCGAAATGAATTGACTCACTGTTTTGTGGATTCATAGTTTGCTTGTTGACACTATACACGCCGAAGTGAAAGATCAAAATGAGCAATGACTGTTTGTGTACTCTGTATTTGAATAGATGAGCAATAATTAATATTGCCCACAAAAGAGAGAGAGAGGAATGAGCATTCGTCATTTGTGACAAATGATTCTTACCAATCAAAATGAAAGAAAATGAAAATTCGCTTCTCTTCCTCTTCTCTTTTTCTCCAGTTAAACTAGATTAATTAATGACGAGAATATGAGCTTATTCTATTTTATGAGCTCCTTTGCTAATAGAAATCGATAGTAATTATAATCGCTGAGAATTGTTATGGTTTATTGTCCAATTGAAAACGTGTGACCAAAAGTAAAATTCGCCGGAAACACATCGAATTGTGAACTTGAGAAAACTTATCGGAATATTTTATATAATTGTCAATTGAATAGTGATGACACAGTTCAAAGAGTCATAAAAAGTATGTGAATATTATTGATAGTTTTTCTCAGAAAGCACAGAAAGGTGAAGCTTTCTTCTTAGAGTGAAAAAACTATAGCACTCGACAGAATTGCCTTGGAATCGAGTTACATTGACTGACGAAGATCAATATTAAAGAATCCATGATAAGATATAAGAAAATGATGCTCAGTTCAAAAGATCAAAGGTGTGGAATAAGATTAGAAATAATGAGATGAACATAAAAATTGTCACTCGATCAACGATTGATCAAAGATGAGCACTCGTACAGATGATATCTTCGAAGCCAATGGTGTTGTTAAAATCGGAACATTGAACGAATAGCAAATGGCTTGCAGAACCTTTGTAAGTGTATAGGGCATATAGCATTTATTTTAATCGATAGAGAAATCAAGATAGATTTTGATTAAATTTTATTGAATATTGTTAGTTCACAAATAAATATCACATTTATCAATAATAAGCTAAAACTTGATGTTGGAATAGGCACCTTAACCAAACAACAACGATATCACGCTCACAAAGAATAGGGGGAACGAATTGAGATTAATATCAGAGAACAGAAAAAACCGCAAAAAAAAAGTTAAAAGCACAAGAAAACTGCTCGTGTACTCATTCTCGTATAAATGGACGGAATCGGTACAAGCCAGAATGTTTGAAAGTAGTGACGATATCAGTTTAGAGACGGCAAAGACAAAAAATAGTTGGCAAAATAATCGCCACTGCTATTAATAAAGGCATAAATGAGCTAGATTGATCTTCGGCATATGGATCAACAATTTTTGGTCCACTTGTTTTGAGATTACGTTTCAGATTGGTGGGTTTTGCTGCTGATTCTTCATATTCTTCTTCTTCTTCATCTAGCGGCTCATCGGGAGAGTCCATTTGTGGAATGGGTGGTAGCTGAGGAATTTCTATGAATCAAAAACATCAAGAAAATAACTTACACACTTAAACAAAGAAACAAAAACGACGTACGATCGATTGAACCGCGCCAAATAATAAGGGCATTGATTTTGGGATTATCTCGATGATCAAGTCGTTGAAAAGTAACTCGTAATTTTCCTGAATAAGAAGAGCTACGACCTTTCACAACTAAACGACCATTTTTTATTTGAAATGGTATATATTCATCATGTGCTGTTAAACGACCAACTTTTGAGAAAATATCTAATTCATCAATGATGGAATGTTCATCGTCAAGAAGAACTTGGAATACCTATTGAACACAAATCAATCGTCTATAAATAAGAATAAATCTTATATGAAAGTTCAGACCTTCATATTCGGTCCATTGAACCAAACTTCTGCAAATTTCATCCAGACGACATAGTCTCCGTCATCCGAAATATCAATATCATATGAGAACTTTTGCAGATCATAACGTTCAGTTTGATAAAGTATCATATCTTCTCTCGGCACACGATATATATCAGAGTTACGTCCATAGTCAGATGCTATACCAGCTTTTAAATAATCTTTACGATATCGTATACCTGAAGAAAACTATCAAATCTGGGTAGATGATCACTTTTTCTTCTTACCATTAGAATCAGTATGTGCTTCACCACCACAATTCACTGCAAATACAATGTTATCCATAATTCCTGCACCAAGGCATCCCTGAGTAATATATGTTAGACAAAAAACTGCCAGTGCAAATTTCATTCTGTGGCTGGTGCGCAGCATCTGTAACAAATAAGTGAAATGACGACTTGTTCATCAGAAACAGAACAGAACAAACAGAAATGTTGCATTATATCAATGGCTCGATATGGAACCAATAATAAATGCAAAGAAAATGTAATCTGATGTCGCTTTGTTCGACGCGCACAGTTAGGAGAGTTTCGTTCTGATGTATCGTCAATAGTAACGTGCGATTCATGGTGGAAAAAAAAGATGAATGACTATTTTCTTTAAGGAAATTCAAGTATGAAAAGACTTGACAATGAACAAAAAAGGAAATAAGATGACGTTTAATGTGATTTTCGACTGTTGTACATTAAATATTCAATTGAAATTCTGTCATACTTCCTCCGAAAGAATAACCATTCTTTGATTCGATTAACAACTTTTGTTGTTCTGTTTTTTTTTAGAATAAAATAAAGAATTTTAATCAGCAATATGTCGGACGGATACTCGTCTTCCAAACGAGCTGAAGATATATTAAATGGTTTCAAATTACACTGGATGAATTTACGAGACGCAGATTCGGGTCGAATTCTATGGCAATCATCAGAAAATTTGTATTGCTTTAACCTTTTTTCCTTTTCGAACAGCCCTGAAACCGCTTTTTTCGTATGATGTAGGTCAACACCTGGTGTTGAACACGAAGCACGTGTTCCAAAACGCATTTTGAAATGTCGGGCAGTTTCACGTGAAATCAATTTTTCTTCTCAAGAAGAAATGCAACATTTTCGTTTAGAACAACGAGTTTTTTTTCGAGGCACAGTTATTGAAGGTAAATTTACTTCACTTAGATGTTCATTTGAACCTTTTATTTGAGCAACTACATGTCTGTCTTCGTTATTTGCCAGATTTCGATCTTTTATTTTCCTTCTTCGACTTAACTCTAGTTTATCTTCATCGCTTGCTGATAGGCAAAGATAACGATGTTTTGATTATTTAGAATGGGCATTTACATTCGGTTTTGTTATTCCTGGTTCTACTAATACTTGGCAGTCATTGATTGAAGCCGCACCAGAAAGTCAAATGATCCCGGCGAATTTGCTAAAGTAAGACAAAAAGAAAAGATTTGTTTTTCGATATTAGTGAAACTCAATGATATTCTCTTTAGTGGAAACGTTGTTATTGAAACGAAATTTTTCGATGGTGACCTTGAAGTATCAACATCTCGTGTTCGATTACTCTATGTGTAACAAGTACCCATATTATTGAACACTCAAACCTAGATTCATGTCTCCAAGTTTATTTCCCTTTCTTTCATTTGTTAGTAGAAATGTGTTTTGTCTTCGTTGTTCCTTTTTTTAATATACATATACCATGTTATACAAATGTTACGTAGAGAATAACTGTCCCCTGTCAATGAATTACATTTTGTTTTGTATTTTGTTGTAATTATATACATATACATACTTGTTTGTGTGCAAAACATGCTTTTTTAATCCAGAGTATAAAACACAGAGAGAAATCTAAGAGAGCTTGTTTTTACTGTTGTCTTGTTGCTGATCATCCTTTCTTTTTGTGAGAACATCGGCTTTTATTGTTGTGGATATATCTGTATCTATATGTATCGATTTGAACTGCCATGGAAAACGTTACGTTGATGGATTTAATAGAAAAGCAGGAACTGTCGAATATTTCTTTTCGCGCAAATCTCTGGCCTTAGTGTCCAATTTCACATTCGAAATCACGGTTTCCATCCGCACATTTTCTCAATTTCCGTTTCAGCAATGCGTGTCAAATTTCTACGAATGATTGATTTTATTCTTTACTATTCAATCAGATTCATAAAACAATACAAAGAAAAAATCTCACACTCTATAATACATGTCTACTTCTCATTATGCTTCACTTGGAGTTTTCGTACCCACAAAGGTTGACGGTGATGTCAGCGATGTTTCTTCACATTTCTGATTTCTTCTCACACTTCGCTGGTGACCTCGATTCCGTCGACGTTTCCAGATTTCCGGAAACGCATAGATACTCAAAAACGACGAGAAACAACAAGGAACATATGTGAACGTGTTTGCGATTTGTATGTAAGAAAAGTCGTTGATCCGCGGCCAGAAGTTGTACAGAGAGTTCAAGTTCGTTAACACGTACGGCATTAGACCAACTAGATAAATAAAAGAAAACAAAATCATCTGACGTGTGAGACGTTTGCATCGGCGCCACTTCTTCACGTTCGAACGAAACAAACGAAAGCGAAGACGAATGATACGTATGAGTAGAAGAAATGTTGCCACGGTCGTAATCGATAATGGTAACAATAAACTGAACAAGATATCAATCAGAAACACTGTCTTCTCATCTTCGAAACACGGTCGACATCGAAAGTTGTCCACATCGACAGCCTCATAGGTGCATGTTGATATCAACACCGAATACCAGATCAATGGAAAAGCGAAGGCAAAGATGATGGGCATGAGTTTGAACTTCAATGTCGATTGCAGTTTCTTGATGTGCATGGGACCGAATATGAGTATGTGCCGTTGTATAGATGCCCAGCAGACGAGAAGAGCAAGACACACGACAGATGAATAGTCGACAATGAGCCAGATCTTGCACAATTGTAGTGATGAGGGAAAGTGGGAGTTGAAGTACAACTCCATGGCGAAACATGGTACACAAATGCATGTGGTTAGTAAGCTGACATGTAGAATGCAACGAAATGCAAACACACTCAGTTTGGTATTGCTATGCAATCGATATGTTGCAAAGAGATTAATGAAGACACTTGGAATGCTGACAGAGATGACGATGACGAAGAGAACCTTGTTGGTGACTAAATTCGGGTGTCTGTGACGAACGATCTCTGACGAATTATACATTGGACTGAATGACACTGTTTTGAGTTCTTCGCTTCTGTTTTGTTCGTCGGTCTTTTTCTGGTTGAACTCTTTTTTTTTGTTTCCTATACTTGAAGACACATTTCATAATCATTATAAATTCTATAAGATAGACGGAGAAAATGAAAGAAGAAGAGAGTGTGTTAGTTTCCATGAAGGTTGATGGGATCCAAGGTTATTTTTAGTTGAGAAGAGGTAAAAGAACAAAGTTAAGAACAAGAAACCTATAGGAGAATGTGAACTTAGCGATACTTTACAGCGTATAGTCTAGTATCTTTTGATAGAAGCAACATTCTCCTGTGCTTTCACAATAGAAATCAGTAGAAGTATTTTACAAGCAAATACTTTCATAAAGATCATCTGGTCGGAGTTTGTCTACATATTGAGGCACATCTTTTCCTTCGATTTTCTCTATCTTTCTTATTGTTACACATACACGGACGGTTCATCACAACTAAATATTGTATGAATTCTAACTATATATTTTAATACGGAAAATAGCATTTAGTTATAAATTCACTTTGATTTTTCTCTCTCATTCACGTGAATACAACTTTGACATTAATTATTTATGTACAGGCGGGTCGAACCAAGTAGGGGCAGAGTGAGGTGACTGTCTGCTCTCCCTTCTGAGAACGATAGTCCAGCTCACCGATATACTTATGAAATAGTTTCAGAAAAGATTTTTTGCTCACTGAAGTGATCATCATGTCTGTAACACCGCTTTCTATATGTAATAGAATGGTATACTCTACGCAAAAGAGTCACATGAGCTTATCAACAATGCTTTTTTCGAGCTAAGACGTGGAGTTCTTGAGAATTTTTCTCTAAGCAAAAAGAGTTCGCGAAAAGTGGCAAGCGTGTTCGTAACAAAGGTAGGTATAGCGAAAACCTGGAGATTATAATTTTCACTGAACAATTTCTTTTCAAATAACCATATGTGAATTCCGCACATAGAATGGAATGTTTTTCCCTTGATAAACTATGAGTAGTAAGCGAAACAATCTAAAATAGGAATGCACCACTACAGTCAGACCGAGAAATCAGTATCCCTGGAACTGGTGCGTTCATACCCTAAACACAGATCAAATTCAGCGCTCTCTTTCTATTTCTGTCGATGATACTGCACATCCAACAGCGGCATAATGAGCGCATTTCGATGATGTCAAACAAAGAACAAAACCGAATTGATGTTGTGTACAGCCAAGAATCACTCTTATCTGCATTAACGAATTCGTGAATCATTATGAATTATGACAAATATTCTATCTGTCATTCAAAATCAGAGAGTAAGTTTTGAAGCTCAATCGCGTGTTATTTTCTTATACTCCGCACATCTTTCAAATCTTCTAGATAGGAATCGTCTAATTCAATCGAGCATTTTCAAATCTGAACACTCGCTTTCAAAACATTCTTAATTCTTCTTATTTCTTAAATATTCTATGTTGTTCTGAATCAACAATGACATTCCAAAACTGTTATACATATGTCAACGATTGTAACGTGTGCCGAATCAACCACTTGTTTGTCATTTTAATACATGCAACATTGATTCATCATTCATCCGTCTTCAATCAGCTATTTTCCATGAAATTTCAACATTCAAATTAATCGCGATGATGTTTTACCTAAAATCTTTGCCAAACCTCTCGTCTCTTACTGCTTCTCTTCTTGATAGTCAGAACGATGATTTTGCTTATGTTTATCGAATTATCTTCGATTTAAAGCCATTAAGATACTTGAAGCTAGATGCATCAACATATCAAAGACTCAATCTTGATTTACCAATTGCTGTTCATGGACAGTTTTCATCTCTCGAGTATTTGGTTATTTTTCATCCGATTTTTCTCGATGAACTTGCTCATTTGTTGTCTTATGCTTCTCAACTTTCACATTTCTCATGCTCGAATCTAATCGAATCACACTATGATATGAAATTCAAAGAATCAATCAAATCGAAGAATTTAGAACATTTGACAATAATAACACATAGCTTGATATTCGATAGATTTCAAGAGTTCTTTACGAAATTGTTTCTTGAATTGACAGTTTTAATTATGACAATTAATGACACAGTGAACAGCTATTTGAATGATTCTCGATGGGAATATCTCATTACAAAGCATATGCCTGATTTGAAGAAATTTGTTTTTCGCTACAATAGTGTTGTTAATGAAGGCTTTCAAATAAGGTCTTATCATGAATTTATCAATGGATCTTTCGAATTTTTGTTCCCTCTACTGAAAGAAGGATTATGCGCCGAGCTGATATCACTGGAAAAACGAGTTGATGTCCGTCCTTTCGTTCGTTCATTTTGTCTTCAAATATTATCGATCGATGGTCGCTGGTAGCAGTAAGGGTTGACTATAGGGTAATCGAGGTTCACGAATTTGAGGTTACTTTTTTCATAAACACTTTCTGACTCGTTTTTTTGCGACAAAGGATCAATTTTTTTAGACGATAGTGTTTTAAGCGGCGATATTGTAGAACAAAATGCAATAGTTGACTGGCGTTCGATTGCTAGATCTCCATAGTCATCAGCATATTAATGAGATCACACACTTTCATAAACAGCTATACTATACGAATATCATCTGATGCCGGTCACTCAAAATAATGTTTCGTGTGTCAAGTATTGTCTTCGAGAGTTACAGTAGCACAAAGAGGGTGACTTTTAAAGAAGGAATAGAAGCAAATGAATGGATTAGTTTCAAAAGTAGTTCTAGACTACATGGAAGAGTGAAAATGTACGCGTAACGGCTAGCCGCCGGAGGCCGACGAGCGACTGGTCGTCGATTTGTAGAATAATATTTTAAAGAGCAAATTTTGTGATTTTTATAGAGCTTTAAGATTTCTTGGACAGAACTTAATCGTTGCTCTGCACGAACGTAGCTGGTAGCTATTTAAGGTTCCTCGTGGTGGAGAGAAGATTGAAACCTTTTCCGGAGAATTATATACCGATGTAAAGTTTCTAACTTTTTGATTATGAATTAATTTTCCGAAATGAGCTCATTTTTGGAGCTCGTCTTCGTCCGAATGAAGTTGAGATAGTAAGATGATTACGCATGGGAACGACTATACGTTTCTTTTGAAAATTAGTTAAAAGCGAGATTTATAAGAGTATCGCATACTGTCCATAATTTTGCTAATGTATATATGTATATATGACGTCTTTTCGAGCTTCGAGAAAAAACTATGTAGATCGTCAACTTTGCTAGAGACGGATTCAACGAGAGCGAGGTACTTTTTTATATGAAAATCTCAGGAAACACTTATTAGGTACCAATGGCTAGCCGTGAGTGGTCAACAAACGACTAAGTGGTAATTTCAGAAGATTTCAAGAAGCGAAATTAGCCTACGTAAAACATTTTGACAAGTTACCAAATGATTAGATCGTTCAACTGAAATATCCTTTTTCTCTCTTTGGACGAATATTAGCGCTCTAATACTATCCTTTCAGTAGAGGGTTTAGCAGCTACTAGGCCGCGTTACTTGTTGATAATGATCAAATAATCTGTTCACTTCGTCCACAACAGTAAGTTTGAAAGATGAACTTTTTTTTGGCTTCGAAAATCATCTCCAACTTTTTCTTAGAGAATCACAGTATAATTTTCGAGAATTAGAAGCTCAAACTAATTCTAAAGAATTTTCTTTTCAGCGAAACCGTTTTCATATGGGAAAAACTGCAGATTCACCTGGAAATGAAGTATTTACTCGCAAGGTTTTTCCTTTATTGGCAATAATGGATGTTTCGATCTACTCCGATGACGATAACTAGTCAAGCCGATTTCCAGATCACGTTATTTCCTCGAATTGAAGCTATTGCAATAGTGTTGACCGATACCGATCATATTGTGCAATGGGTTAAAATTCTCGATGAAAAGATGAAACATGAATTCCAACATGTCAAGATGTGTTGCATTACCCAGGACGATGGTTCCTGAAGCAGGATTCGAAGAATTTCCGACAAAATCTCTGAGGAAGCTCGCCATTTCTCAGCCGAACCCGCCCGAAAAAAGCAAGGAATTCAATGAAGAAATGTGGTAACCGTGTCCGGCTACCAGTTTTGACATGTTTCTGTCTGTTCTGGTCCAAACCAAATAAATCCGGACACCGGCTCCGCTCATCGGAAATACTACGGAGCCGACCGTTTCCGTGCCGGATTGTTCGACTTGGGATGTGGTTAATGGCGACGAACATGACAAACTTCAGGAACTGAAACAGACAGAGAATGTGAAAAATTATTTTTATTATGAAAATAAAAATATTTATGTGGAACGACGATGATTGTCGTTCAACTTCTAAAGTAGTTTTTGTTGATTCGTGTTTCAGATAAACTTTCTTATGACAATAAAATATGTCTCAGCTTTGTACAGTTGATAAAATGACAACTCGATGCGACCGTAAAATAATCAACTGAAGAAAATTTCAAAGATTTCAGAAAGTATTATGCGAGATTTTTCATTACAGAGAGCCGATATGCCGAATTTCTTAAAACTAGTTGAATGATAAATCTATCAAATGGTTTCGCTTTTTCTGAGAACTAACATACAGTGTTCGAACATTTAGTCATGCATATTAATGTTTGGAGTACACTTCTCATTTTCATTAACCTTGATTGTAATAACGAAAATCAACTGTAGCTAAAAATCGAATGCAATTTATACTTATGTTCTTTCCCTATATGAATGCAATATTTACTGTTTTTGACAATATCACTCGAGAATATGATAACAACTAAGACTATTTTCTCTTCTTTCTTTTTAACTGTGATGTTAAATCATAAATATAATATACTGAATGATGGTTTAGATGGTTCCACGCCGAGATACTGATCCATTGGGGATCTCAAAAATCCGTTTCTATCAGAACGAAAAATGATCAGTGAATTTCTGTTCTTCTTCATGATCTTTGTTCTTGCCTTCTACCAAAATAAATTTTCATTTCGATGTAAACAATAAGACGCAGACGACGTCTTTCGAACTTCGGTGTTGGTTTTCTTTCAATATACATAATTCCTGTTAACTAATACTATTTAGAGGCTAACTGTCCTTTGTCAATGATCTTTTACGAACCACTAATTTTATTATTTACCATTGAATCAGATTCATAAACAATACAAAGAAAAAATCTCACACTCTATAATACATGTCTACTTCTCATTATGCTTCACTTGGAGTTTTCGTACCCACAAAGGTTGACGGTGATGTCAGCGATGTTTCTTCACATTTCTGATTTCTTCTCACACTTCGCTGGTGACCTCGATTCCGTCGACGTTTCCAGATTTCCGGAAACGCATAGATACTCAAAAACGACGAGAAACAACAAGGAACATATGTGAACGTGTTTGCGATTTGTATGTAAGAAAAGTCGTTGATCCGCGGCCAGAAGTTGTACAGAGAGTTCAAGTTCGTTAACACGTACGGCATTAGACCAACTAGATAAATAAAAGAAAACAAAATCATCTGACGTGTGAGACGTTTGCATCGGCGCCACTTCTTCACGTTCGAACGAAACAAACGAAAGCGAAGACGAATGATACGTATGAGTAGAAGAAATGTTGCCACGGTCGTAATCGATAATGGTAACAATAAACTGAACAAGATATCAATCAGAAACACTGTCTTCTCATCTTCGAAACACGGTCGACATCGAAAGTTGTCCACATCGACAGCCTCATAGGTGCATGTTGATATCAACACCGAATACCAGATCAATGGAAAAGCGAAGGCAAAGATGATGGGCATGAGTTTGAACTTCAATGTCGATTGCAGTTTCTTGATGTGCATGGGACCGAATATGAGTATGTGCCGTTGTATAGATGCCCAGCAGACGAGAAGAGCAAGACACACGACAGATGAATAGTCGACAATGAGCCAGATCTTGCACAATTGTAGTGATGAGGGAAAGTGGGAGTTGAAGTACAACTCCATGGCGAAACATGGTACACAAATGCATGTGGTTAGTAAGCTGACATGTAGAATGCAACGAAATGCAAACACACTCAGTTTGGTATTGCCATGCAATCGATATGTTGCAAAGAGATTGATGAAGACACTTGGAATGCTGACAGAGATGACGATGACGAAGAGAACCTTGTTGGTGACTAAATTCGGGTGTCTGTGACGAACGATCTCTGACGAGTTATACATTGGACTGAATGACACTATTTTGAGTTCTCCACGAGACTTTCTTCTTCTTTGTGAATCCTTCGCTCTTGTTCTGTTCGTCGATACTCTTCGAGGCATTCTCTTTTTCTGTGCTTTCTATACTTATCCACACATGCCATGCCATTTTGATTGTAAATCCTATAGGATAGAGAGGAATAATAGATGAGCAAGGCAATGTGTTAGCATTTGTGAAAGCTCGTAGAATACAATTGGTCATGTATTGTTCATTGAGGATGAGCAAGAGAACGAAAATAAAAAGAAGAAATCGATGTGAGAATTTGGATTGGTTATGGCTGGATTCTGAATGATTCGGTGCAGAGCTTGATAGAAATAACTTCCAGCTGTGTTGTGGCAATACAAATCATTGATTTCTCTTTCTTAAATAAACACTATTCATCTCAATAATAATTATCTTAGTGATGTTTTGTTAGATTTAATTAAGAACAAGTTTTTAGCAAATATGAAGTAGGAATCAACAGGATGTAGATTATATTACAGATTTCTGTCATAGAGAAATAACTTTTTCTTCCTGGAATGATTGACGCAGACAAATTTACTTCCAAATGTATTGTTCCGTGTAATCATAATGGTGATGATTGGAACAATCATTTTCTGCTAGACAGAATCAATCTCACGTGTTAGATTGACGTCTTCTCGATCAATATAAAAGATAAAACTAATTATCCATTTATGATTGTTTTATGAGGTTTTACAACCTATAGATTGATAAGAGCAGGATCTGAGAACCGTGTGAAAATGTAAATCAAATACTTACGATTTGTCAATAATCATTGACTGTTGCATTTTCGTTTCGTACACGTTTGACGCATCTGTACTGAACGATTTATTGATTTCTTCTATGAAGAGAATTCATAAAAGGACAACGTTCGATCTTCGATATCTATAGTCGATTGAGAATGAACAATGAGAGGAGCACGTTCTCGATGCACTATAGCTGAATCTATTAGAGTTGTGCTAAGTGAGCTATTGAGAATGATTTCTCCCATTCAATTCTACGTGTTAATTCACGAATCCGATTTCGGCTCGAATATAACTTTCTCAAAGCGTACTCTGACGAGTTCGTTTAAGACCGTTCTCAATCAAAAAATCTCGAACTGAGGAAGAAAGTTTTGATGAGAATCTTGATTATTTCTTCATATACTGCTGAGTCAATCCGGTTGAAAACAAAACAGATTGTAACAATGAATCAAGATCTTGAATAGCTGGATTCCTAGCAAAGACATGAACAGCATAGAGATGAGTTTTCGGGCTGGAGAAAATTTATTCTAATGGAATTATCATTAATTATGTATGTCATCGGACTAATTTGTCGTTTATTGACAAGTACAACTGCCCGAATCATATTGATTCACATGCTATGTTACTGATAATGTTTTATGATTGTTAATGGAAATCTTAATTCTTCGTAAAGCACATCATTTTCCCTATAGATACCACGTCTACCTTGATAACCTATGCGAATACTTTGCAAAACCAGATTTCCATTTGAATTTCGTCAAGTATATCAATACAAAATGTATTCGCATGGACTTGGTCATCAAGAAAGAAACAAACAAAAGTTTTTTTTTGGGTGTATTACTATTTGTCAGATTGTAGAGAATTCAATGGCAACTTAGCTGTCCTTCGCATCTTTCAATCATTTCTACTTTTGTATAGTGCATAACTTAATACGTACGAAGACTTCACTATTAGTAATGATGATGAAAATTATTGATAAGATTGATTTGTGTCGCGTGTAATACTTTTTTATTTAGTAGGAAAATCATTTTCTTCTAATGATAAATAGCGTGAATAAGAAAATTAATGCCTTTTACAAATCTTCAATGAAAAAATACGATACGGTGAAATTACCTTCTATTTGTATACCCTTTAGAATGTGGTCAAGGAACAAAATATTTGTTAGCCTTGTCAAAGTGATTTAGTATCGTCGCTGTCGTTTTCTTTCATTGATCGATAATAAATGATACTCTTTCTTTCTGTACATTTGATACTCTCTTGCCAATCTTTATTTGTGAATCGAACCGTGACTGAGTAGTACGCTAAACGATATTTGTGGTTAATGATTAACTACTAATTTTTTCCGTTTCGTATCAGATTCAAATCGAAATTTAACTTTCAATGGCTTCTCGTTATATGGATCTTGAACGTCGAACATTAATAGTTCAATTCATCGCCGTTGAACCATTAGCATTCTACGCAACATCGGACGGAACAGATTTAGTTCAAGATATTCTTCGATCGAAATTAGCAAGGCCTGATAAGGATATTATCGGACAAGAAGGGTCATTATCAGTTAGTGATACTGGTGAATTTCTCGCATTCGAACCAACAGACACGAAAAATCGAACTCTACATTTACCTGTCGAACATTTAGCTTATTGTGGAGCTTTGAGACGTATGCGTCGTGATCCGTCGGATGATCGTAATCCCGATCAAATTATTCAACGTGATTTCGAAAATGTTGATTTAGCTAATCGTTATGCTCACCGTATTATTGGTCCACCGATATTTGTCGCTGTTTTTCATGGCTTCGACAACGCATTATGCTATACATTTATTACACAAAGTACGGACGATGCCTGTCTACTAGTATTGAAACTTATGCGCGCATTTAATCATTGTGAACAACAACACATGGAAAAGCAAGGACAAGTAGATGACAACCTTGCAAAAGTGTCTATTTGTAATAGTGGATTACCTTCATCTACAGTTATTACACAAAGTGCGGCTTTACCTCAACGCCAACAAACAATAGTCGTTAAGGATAATCGAGCGATATCGTCTCCAACGTGTGTTCAATTGCCAAATGCGGGAACAACTGTATGCGTGCAGAAGTCATGTGAAGATGATCTAGTTCAAAGACTTTTATCACATCCAAATTTACAAGTTGTAAATCGACCGTATACACCACCACGAATTATTACTCGTCATATTAATACTTTACCACCGCCGCCTAAGGTAAATTATCACATTCAATACGCAGAGAAAGGTTAATTTCATTGTGTCTTTTGTTAAAGATATACTATTCTGATCCACCAGCAACTACCATTGTACATACAGCTGATAATGGTTGTTGTCCTTGTTCATCTTATGGCTCATTTCTGCCACGAGATTCTGTAGTATGTAATACATCATGTTGTACCCAATGCTCTTTACAATTTCCTTCACAAACAGTTTGTGTCATAGATGATCCGTTATCATCACCATTTTGTTATTCTGTCTGAAACAAATAAGCTGTATTCTTTTCAAACTAACAAATATGTCTCCTAGAATTTACTTATTAATAAAAGACAATATCCTCTACCTTTTTTCTCATTAAGAATACAACAACGATAGCTCATTTTTACTTTTTTGTAGATATAGTAAATTCTATTTGTTCTCCAATTCCTTCTTACAATGTCGTGCTCAAGCACTGGCGGTTATCTAATGGGCGGTTCAGTACCATTCATACAACGACCTCATTCACCCCCAATTCTTACAATTCCTAATACAGGGCATATTCCGAACTACTCACTCAATAATAGTCTTCCCCCACAAGTCATCTATAAACCAAACAATCAAGAAATTAATTACAAACAAAATGTCTATGTTCGCTGGTTGAAACCTCCAACACCACCACCGCTCGGACCTGTCATTATTCGAGGTAAATTTAAACTTCTTCATCGACTTATTCCTATTTGCGTATAGAAATTCAACCACCGCCTGTAATCCCACCACCCATCATCTATCGGCATATTCCGCCGCCTCAACCAACACCCCCTCCGATTATTGTTCGGTAAAGCTCTATCTTTTTCTAGATTGTTCTTCGTTCAGCAATATTTCTAGAGAACCACCGCCGCCCTGTCCACCTCCTTGTCCTCCGCTAGTAATTGAAAAACGTCTTCCTGCTCCTTGCCTACCTCCACAAGGTATGTAGAAACCGTTCAAGCAAAACAAGTGTACATCAACGATTTTTCAAAATGGTTTTTTAGTTATTGTCGAACAATGTCCACCGCCTCCACAGCCACGTCAAGTAATAATAAAACAAGAAACATGTCAGCCGGCTCCTTGCCGACGGTTAGTGCGCGAAATCATCCGACAAGTTCCACAACAATGTGCACCTGCTCAACCAGCGGTTGTGTGTACTCAGCAGAAACAACACCAGATCATCCAAAATCCGCCTCAAATAACTCAAGAGCTAACGCCTGTCTATGCAACAAGACGAGTTCGTTAAAACACCTTTAGATGAAATCTCTGTATAAAAGATGCCGTATTTCATAAAAAAATTCAAGATTTTTTTGTCTTTTCTATTTATTCTCAATCTCGAACAAAAGATCATGAAAAATATTTTGAGTTCAGACTTGATACTCGGAAATGCATACGTCAGAAGGCAATGAATAGTAATCAAAATATATTATTTATTGTCAATATGATAAGAGATCATTTTCAGCATATACATTAGACGAAGGATCAAATCTAGGTTATATTTTGGCATATGCATCGTATCTTTCTTATAGAGAATGTTTTCCTTAGACAAGAAGAGCAAAACTGGCGAGTTTCTAATGAACTTTCCTTGTTTCATCTGAAGAGGCTAAGAAGGAAGATTATAAAATGATTGCTTTTATTCCGTCATCGGATTTGACAAGAGCGTAATTGAGTTACGTGGGAGAAAAATTAGAAGTGAAATTGCACTAAACACAACGACATCAGGATCATTTTATTCGCTTCACTAACCAGTTCGTCGAACAGACGAATATTTTCCAATAATTTTCTGATATAAGGGTTTCTTTTTGAGCAAGAAATAATTCTCATCAATCTGATCTTTTTCTACTTTTAGCATATTATACAACCTCGAGGTATTCGTGTCATTCGACAAGTTGTTGGTCCAGCACAATCATCATACGTCGGCATTCAACAACAACAATGTGTACAGAATCCTTCTGCTATCGGAGCATCTATACTTCAAGGACTACCAGCAGGTCTTCTGCAATAAATTCAAAGAGCATCTCTTTACAAATCTCTGGAATGCGTTATCTTATTTATTTTTTGTTTTAGTTTTCATTCTCTTATATATTTTAATTGATTGATACGATGATAGAAGAGAAAGAATAATTAGTTTTTCTTCTTTTACAATTGCCAGGAAACGTAGGCGGTTCGCTGAATAGAACTGAATATATAATAAATCTCGAAGTATTCACCACAAGGCGAAAGAGAAAACGGAAAACAATTGTAACGAACGTACGTTCAATTATAAGGTGAATCTTTCATTCGATTAACGGAATAAATTAACATAGAAATTTCCTTTAGCGTATTGTCAGATGAGATAGTTTAGTCGAAAGTCTACTAAAGACTATCAGGAAGAAAAACAAAAGATTAACCTTTGCATAGGAAGTGCTTTTTTTGACTTTTTCTTTAACAACAACCGTAACGAGTTTATCTAGTTCACTTCTTTTTCCTTCGTTATTGTCGAATGACGATTTCTTATGCGTACTGAAGGACTGAGGGAAATTGCAAATAAACGAGTTGTAATTAAAATTAATGTTAAAACAACATTACAATAGTTTTTGATTATCACATGCCGCGTTTGCTGAGAGAGTCAAAATTAACTCAGACTGACATCAAAATCAGACGCGATAATCGTTAGGAATAAGAAAAAGGAACATCTACGCATCAGATATTTATTTTGTATACTGTTGACATAGCTTATCTATTACAGAAAAATCGTGTATCAATATGAAAAGAATAATAACGACTGAAAATATGCTTTTTGCTATAGTATTAAACATGAATGACAAGTTGACTCTTACTTTTCTCTCACTGGCGATAATCGCACTGCATATTAATACTTCAGGCAGATTTTTCTGACGTTGATTCGAAAGATAGAATGAATAATTCTTGTTTCTATTTTAAAATCTATAATATTACTCTTCAACATACGTTCTTAGTCGTTAAATAATAGAATATAATCGTTGCGACTTGCACTGAGATTCTTCTTACAATCTCTGCAAAGCCGATCTTGTTCGAATTAGGGAATAGTTAGTTTCCTTTAGTCTCCAGACAAGTCAATTCTTCTTTTCTAGAATAGAGAGGAAATTGTCTGGAATTCAATATCGAATAGATAAAAAGAAGAATCATCGGATCTTATTTTCGTCTGAAATACTTTAAGTACATATGGTTTCATCGAAGAATTATCCGAGTAAGTATGATTTACTTATTGCATTATACGGATGCGTTAAGCGCAAAATGATTAGACTTAAGGATGTATTATGATACAGATAAGCGAAACAAAGATATAGAGTATCATGCTATCTCGGTCAACAGGTAGTGTTTGACATGAGCAAAGTTCGTAGGAGATCAATATTTGAATATTCATTAAACATCCTTTTGATCTTTTCCTGTCTCTTCTTTTAACATTCCCTTCTCACTTGTTCATTCGTATCGATGACAAAGATCATTATCGATCGTACGCTGACATGTCGCATAGTGTAAATCAATATATACTGTATGCGTTGTGCCACAAGAAAAGCACCAGCGGAGTTAGCCGAAGAGAGATTTTTCATTATTCTACTGTTTTCCGAACAATATTAAGTATTCCTTTTACTTGTAAACTTATTTATGATACAAATCCTTTCGTGTTTTCTTTGCGTCAATTTAGTATTGCATTGGTAGATGTTTCAGCAATTAGCAGGGTCATTTGCATTAGAAAGATCCAATTAAACCAAGAGAAATAATTGAGACAAAGATGAACTTGAGATGACATATTATTCCGATAGAAATGCAAAGTCTAGCGTGACATGAATTCCGGCACTGCTCATCTGCTTTGATATTACTCTCATACCTCAAGTATTATAGTTTCTCTTTTGATCTGGTAAAAACGTACGTATGTTGCGTGATTTTATTACAATACATCTTTTGCGCCTCATTAGAAATAAAAGCGAGCATTGGAAATGACTGTCATTTATAATCAAATTCACTCCGATTACTGCACACTATGGAAATGAATATTGTTGTATGTTTATTTTTTTGCATTAAACGAAGAGAACCATGGTGCGCGTTTTTCTTTTCATTCTTTTCCAAACGCGACATTATCGAATGATATATTTGCATGTCGATGAGTCTCAGACATTTTGTTCTTTTGTAAGATGAAAAACAATGATTTAAATATTTATATTTTACAAGTAAGAAGAGCGTCATACTACTTCTTGTCTTACAGAGTTCCTTGAAATAAAAATATCATCAAAAATTTATTTATTTATCTTTGTTCTTTACCATTTTCTGTATTTTCTCTTTTTTTTTCTCTCAACGGATGAGCATGACAAAGAGGGTAACGACTGACGACAGAAGGTTTCCTTTAACAGACATATTAAAGTGTACACTTATGCAGGTAATGTCAGAATTGAGCAAAGACAGATGTACTTAATCAAATGTAAAATCAGAGAAAGAAGAAGAAGTACTATTGAAATATCTGTTATTGTCATTAAAAGAAGTTTTTCCTTCTTCTAGATTGCCGATTACCCTTCATTCATCTTTTATTACCATCATCTCTTTTGTTTGTCTTCTACACTTAATGAATTATTTTTAAATGGAAGAAAAAAGACGCGTATCAACAACATTTACAAACCATTCGGCGGCTTATTCGCTATATATCTCATCAATCATGGAACACTGTGAAAAACTTTTCCCACACAATGGTAACAAGGCGATCTTCGATGATCTGAGTCGTGTACCAGAATCTGTAAGACCCATCTTGGAAACTGTTTCTGTCTCATCTCGCCCGAAAAATGTCAATGACTGCGTGTCTTTCTTTTCGAATCTCCTCGTGTCAGCCAATGTCAACTTAACACACGGAACTTTATCACCATTACTTGATATTCCCAAGTATCCTAATGCGTTAATCGTATTTGTCACTCTTATTGGTATTGTATCTGTTATATCCATCACCGGAAATCTATGTCTCGCGAAAGTGCTTTACTCGAAACGTTTTCGCCTTGTACAAACAGATCGTATTGTTTTATGCCTCGCGTTGAGTAAGCATTTTGCTTCCTGTTGATTATTGTTTGTTTTTCCAATCGATATTTTCAGGTGAACTATGCCTCGTTTTGATTGATTCTCCGACAAAAATCTATCGATTTCTCGCTGATTCATACACGTACAACTGGTTGTGTCAAACGCATTCATTTTGCGAATCATTTTTTTCTTCCTGTATTGTTTTTTACCATTTATTAGGTATGTAACCAACACATAGGAAACTCAATTCAGAAATCTCGAAAAATGATGCAAGCAGAAATGCAAAGTTTATGAAAAGATTAAAGGATATATGTGTTAGGTGTTTATCGGTATTAGAAAGATTCCAGGAAATTGCGTGTTAAATAGGTTCTCTTATAAAAAGAAAGTATTATCGAGAAACGATGTTTTCCCTTCGATTTGTACTCGAACAAAAGATATACTATGCTACCGAAAATTGCGGACATTGTTAACAGAAGTTTTTCAACAACCAAGAATTTACACGCATTTGTTATTTATCTATGCATTTTTCACATGATTGATTCGATTGAAGAGAAACTCGAATGAAAGGCGGAGGTTGACAGAGAGTTTACAGAATATAGATAACTATATAATTAGATAAGTGTTGCGCACTTTTTTTTCTTCGATAAGTTTCGTCTGAGTAAAGTTAATGTGAAGTTTGTTAAACTCAATGCTCATTAAACTTCAATTTAAGAAAAACATTTGTGTTCGATTAAATAGCAATTATTTTCTTTGACTAAAGGAGGTACTTTAAGCCTGAATAAGAAATGCTGATCTTAAAAACACTCATCGTCTATTGCGTAGATGACATAATGTTTCAATCGATGATTAGTACCCTAATTTGCTTAATTGCCCAACTAAAGTGAACTATAATCTATTAATCTTAGTAATTTGTTATTTCGTCTGACATTTTTTTCAGAGTTTTTTTACGAGCTCATATTACTTAATTGATATTGAAGTGTTCAAGAAATGTTGAGTTTTGCATTAGATTTATGAACTAGTGATTAGTGACGGGCTATGTCCAGCCTAGTGGACTATTAAAGATGCTTGTAGAAAGCTAATGCGTCTCTTGAGTAGTAACTTTGATTGGATCAAAATTGCTTTTATCGCTAATTTTGACTGATGAGTTTGAGCTTGATGTTAAAGTTTGTTCAAAGCGCACCGTGACTGAACTATGAACTAATCTTTCGTCTAGTTCTTTTTTAATTAGTCTAACGCAGTGCTCCAAAATGATGTCCGACGGTTAATTTCCTCCTCCACATAAGGGCTCTCGTATAGTCAGGAACAATTAAAACAAGAGAACCGTGATCTCATTAAGATGTCTTCAGCGGAAATGCGTCATTTATAAACAGGTATAATCCACCCGATAATCTTCTTCTCATATAGGTGCGTTCGATCGATTTGTTTATATCCATGGACATACATCATCAAATAACTCTTCGTGGTCGAAATGGTGTCGTTATGTTTCAACGAAATCTGGTTCTATGTTTCTTTTAATTCTGCCAATCCTATGTAGTTTTCCATTAGCAATAAGCAATTGTCTTCACGCACACATTTCCACCGCATCATCAACAGTAAAAAAATGCATTCTACATTATACGAATGAAATCATCATCAGTCTATTAATATCATTTTATATTTTACCAATCTTGTTTTCGTTTTTCCTACATGCAAAATTAATATATTTTATACGTTCGAGACATAGTCAAGAATATTTAACTCGAAGAGCATATACTCTACCAATGAAACGTCAAAATCCAGCAAAGTGCCGACGTTTGAATAGAGGCCTCATTGAAAAAGGAGATCCCATACTTTTATCGGCGCAAAATGCCACTTCTCAACGCTTCATTCTACTTAATCACGAACTCACTCCAACATCGACAACAGCAATGACAACATCAACAATGGCGATGATTCAATCTACAGGAGGAATTTCGAATGCGAATAATTCATCGAATTCTTCTCGATCAAGTCGATCTTCGGAACGAACGAGTATGTCATCCATGGCTCCTCCACCCACTGTTTTATACAAAATCAATTGTCAAGCAAATGCTAATGCGAATCGAACTGTTGTTTTACTTGTTCTACTATTATCATTCTATGTTTTATGCTGGGGACCATATAATCTCTATTCATGGTATCAAATTTACGGACAAAATCAAAAATCCTCATACACTCCGTCCAATGAGACACTTCTAACTTCGAATTTATCAGATAGTCTACGTCGATTTCTATATATCAATTATTCGTTAAGTTTATTGTCAATGGTCTCAATGTGTTTCAGTTTTATATTTTATTTCTCATTGAACAAACAAGCTCGACAAGAGTTCTCACGGTTATTCGGCTGTATTTGCCCATGGACAGTTTTTCGACAACATCACCAACGAAAAAAAAATGACTCACGACGTCCACAATACCGAACACGCTTTCCCAATCAATATGAGTATCAAAATGAACGAATAAAACGCTCCCAGCCGTTGTTAATTCAGAGTCGATGTGATCACTTCAAGCATAATAGACAATTGCCAAACAATCCGGTCAAACGAACAGTTATTAACTACGGTTGTCAAATTCAATGTTGCCCATAACTTTGTTTTGTTTTCCGATACCTGTCGTGAAAATCGAATCGATTCGTTTATTTTATGTTTTGTTGTTACAAAAAAAAAGAGAAAAAATACACGTTGTTCATCATATCACCATAAATGTTTTCCAAAGTAAAGCAAATTAATACCAATCAGGATGAATGAAGAAATATTCGGGATACGTTTTCTTGGTATACTTGAAAAACGATGATGTATTCGTATCAGGACGAACATTCTGTTCTACATCATCCCGAGGATTAATCACACGCCATGTTTGAGAGAGATACCGTCGAGATGCTTTATCATCCGTATTCGCTGCTGTTACCGGACGAGTGGTATTCTCATCTTTCGGACCATTGATTTGAGGCAATGGAGCGGTGGTAGATGTTTCTTGATTACTTTTCTCCTTCGCTGATGGTGATAGACGAAAACTATAAAAGAGAAAATCTACGAAGTGATATGCTGCGGATCAGACTAACCTTTCGAATGATTCTAGAACTTCACCTAGCTCACGTTTTGATGATGGTCGACTACTTTGTGATAAACGTCGTTGTTGTAGCCTTCGTTCTACATTTGAAGGATATCGACGAGTTGGCGATCGTTGCCGTTGTTGATCTTTTTCATTCGTAGTATCCGCTTGATAGAGTGTATCAAGAAAGTCATACACCGCTCGACGATCTAAACAACAAGTAATCTTCGTCAGAGCTCAATAGGAATTTTTTACCAGTTTGAGAATGATTGGCAAACCAAGATTCTATGGTTTTCTTTGGCCATATACGCTGTTTTAATTCGTACTTATGACGATTGGCTGTTATAGGAGATATTATACGAGACGACTTTGGTATAACACCTGGTTTATGTAGTGAGGTATCACGATTATAATATTCGGCAACTAAATCACGAGACTAGAAACGAACGAAATCGATTGATTAACTTTTTGAATGATAACGATGCTTACACGACTCATTTTCGATCTTGTCGACGTCTGTTTTGGATTGTCTTATGAAAGTAGGATCGTAAATGGAAATGTATGTCGCTGTTTTTTTTGCGTATTCTTTCTTTTTTTGAAAATGAAAAAAATGCCTGATACCTTATATCCTTTCACCGGATGTGTGTGTGTTTATAACTTGTTGGTATCTTGGTGACTATCTTTCGTTTTGCTATCGTTCTTTATCCTCAGAGGTAGACGGTTAAATACAGAAAAGATTTCAATGGCAAATAGAGAAAGAAAGAGAATTCATGTGTTCGTTGCTTGGCGAGAAGGAACATAGATCAATGAGAAAGTATTTATTCATTTTATTTGGATATCAAATTATGAAAAGTAGATAAGTATTGCGAGAGAAATAATCTTTCTTTCAAACATCTTTTAACTCAGCTGGTAATTCGTTTTTCGGATGTTTATTTTCAAAATGTAGCTTATACGTTTTGGGATCTCCCATTTGAGCCTAGAAGAAAGTTACATAGAAAAGATGAACGTTTGTTTCTCTTATCATACTTTACAAACGGAACATTGATATGTTAAGCTAGCAGCTAAAGTGGAGCAAAAGTAATTGTGATTAAAAACTTAAGAAATATGCGAAATTCTTACCCGCAGTGCCTTTTTGAGTGGTAGGCTTATTTGAATTTCCATTTTTGTCATTACGTTGACGAGCTAGTTCCTTTTGATGCCCCCGGGCCATCTGATATACTTGAGGAAGTTTCTAATCTAAAATTACATCAATAATGACGTCTAATCTTTTGTATATTTAGTCGACGCACATGTCATCTTATTCATCGATTTATATACACTGAACGTGTTTGATAGGTGTATTGAATACGTAGAAGCGACCATGCATATCGAAATATTCGGATAGATTTCGATTCAGAGGGCGGAACTTGGTTTTTCATCATTGGCGCGAATGAACCAATCAGATGTGAAGGCATGACTCATCGGACTTTGCGACGTAACACTGACTGATCAACTCTTTAAAGTGATATATTACGGAAGAGAAAAAAGAACTTACATGTTTTTACAACGTCTCATTCACCTATTTATGTTCGTACAAAAACACTGCTTTTGTATTGAATATCAAGCAATAAATACTGGAAGTTTGCTGAATGATGGCTTTGTCTACGCTCAATGAACTAAACTCGCCTTCGAAGTACTGATGTGCATTGCGGCAGACGTTAGATTTTCTTTCTTTTGCTTGAATAGGAATCATTTGTACAAAGATATTGGTCTTGATCAATGGCCTATTATTTATTGTGCAAATTATAATATAGGTTTTCTTGGAATGGAAAAGCTACATCCATTCGATTCATCCAAATGGAGATCTGTTGTTCGTTTTCTGCGAGGTATCTTTTGTTCACCGTGCGAAAATATCTAGTAAAAAATATTTTCCCGTTTCTAGATGCGCAAATGATCACAAATGCAACCATTGTGCAACCGAACGAAGCTACTAAAGAAGATTTGCTTACTGTTCATACAAGACGCTATTTATCAAGTTTAAAATGGAGTATAAACGTAGCACGTGTTCTCGAAGTCGCACCAATTGCGGTCTTACCTAGTTTTCTTGTTCAGCGAAAAGTTCTTAGGCCGTTACGATATCAAACGGGTGGAACAATTCTTGTAAACAACAATATTTTTCGAAGATATCTCATCCTATTCATTTGATTTCAGGCAGGAAAACTAGCATTAGAACGTGGATGGGCAATCAATATTGGCGGAGGATTTCATCATTGTTCCTCTGATCGAGGTGGTGGTTTTTGTGCATATGCTGATCTAACTCTGCTCATCAAGAATCTCTTTACTTATTATTCTGATCGAGTGAAAAAAGTTCTGATTGTTGATTTAGACGCTCATCAAGTAAGAAGAACGAACTAGATAATTTCCACTAGGTGATTTCTTCGTAGGGTAATGGTTACGAACATGATTTTCTCAATGATGATAGAGTATTTATTATGGATATGTATAACCGTCAGATTTATCCTCATGACCATGAAGCAAAAAGTGCGATTAAATGTAAAGTCGAATTAACAAACCACACAAATGATAAAACATATCTTCGTTTGTTGCATATCAATTTGGAAAAATCTCTTAATGAATTTCGACCAGATTTCGTTGTTTACAACGCCGGAACAGATATACTCGAAGGTGATCCACTTGGAAATCTGAATATAACACCAGAAGTAACAAGAAACTTTCGAATTGGTTTCTTCGAATGAACAGATTGGTTTTGTTTAGGGTGTGGTGGTTCGTGATGAAATTGTTTTCTCGAAATGCATTCGAGACAAACAACTGCCTATTGTTATGTGCACATCTGGTAGATACCAACGAACGAATGCTCGAGTGATTGCTGATTCGATTTTAAATTTAAGCACGAAAAATTTAATATCATGTTAATCTCATGTTATTTTTTCTGATTTTTTAAAGAGTTTTATAATTTTTTATACAAAAATATTCCAGATCTTCTTTCTCTTTTGTAGATGGCATCGAACGTATCAATAGAAGGGTTTGATCAATTGAAAAGTACACTGGAAAAGTATGATAAAGATAAAAGAATATTCGTGTTATTCAGCGGTTCAAAAGGCAAGGACGGGCATAGCTGGTAAGAGAGCTCTTTGCGAGAGTAGGTGGAACGTAATATTTCTCTTTCACAGGTGTCCCGATTGTGTTGCGGCGGAAAAGCCAATTGAAGAAGCAGTGAAATCGTCACTACCTTCCAATGGAGTTTTTATCGAATGTTTTGTTGGTGATCGAGCGAGGTAAGGGGAAAAACATAGGCAAAGACAAATAATTTAGCTTTTGTAACCAATAATCATATTTTCAAATTGATTTTTAGTTGGAAAGATACGAATTGTCCATTTCGAACGGATAGTCAAACTCGCTTAACGGATATTCCAACTTTGGTCGAATGGGGAACGGTAAAATCAACAGTAGCGGCATTGATAGAAACGATTTCATGTGTCTTTCTTTTTTTTAGCCCAAACGTCTTGTTGAACGTGAATTACTTGATACCGAGACGATAAAAATCCTCTTTGAAGAAGATTAAATCAAAGATGTTGATCATACCAATGATTTTTTTCCGATTGTTACACATACCTTGATTCTTTTTACAAGTGATTCGTTTCTATTCGATAGTTATCTGATTTACATAAAAGTTTTTCTGTTTGGATATCATCGATAAACATAGCGAAAGATATTTTACAGTCGCATACAATACCAAGTATATTTTCTTGGGCTAAAAGGCATATTGTGGAAATCTATGAAGCAAATTCATGTTAATTCTTTTGCTATAATAAGTACATTAAAATAGTAGAAAATTGCGAAACGAATGCATTCTTTAATGGTAAAATAGAGATTCTACTCTCAATTTCACAATCAAGCAATGCGAAGGATCATAAAGTGTACTAAGATAATTATTCTATCAATAATCTCACCCACTACCCTACGATGCTGTCATGCTACCAATGATTGAGTTATCAAAATTAACAAAGTTTCGTAATTTATACATATGATTGTAATATTTTCCTATCTTTTCGTACTCCCGATTCTGATAAACATGGATCGTCAAATGCACACCACATCAAAACTCATCTATGTCTCTCTTATGCATTGTTTTGTGGACGAATGTTAAAGAGTATCATCAAACAAAATGTATACCACTGAGTAATTTGGTTATAATAACACCAACGCGCTGATTCTATTTAGAACCGTTATTGGATTATTACTGAGACGATGAATAAATGTACATATATATAAAATTGAGTGGTACAAGAGACAAACCAAATATTATCAGTGATATATTGTTGATTGACAAGCTTTTTCTTCTATAACTTAAATAGAAATCCTACGCCTTCTAGAACGAAGTTGATTGAGTTTTCTTTTGGCTTATCTTTGGATGTTACTTTTAGACACTCGACATTATTCAGATAGAAGAAAAATAGATGTCTAATATAGTATGCAAACTAAAAAAACGAGAAGTAATGAGTAATACCACACAAGTAGCTTTCTCTTCTCGTTGATCTTGACGTGTCCACTTGGTTATTTTCTGTCTAATTTAAGCTAATTCATATGTATGCGTATATATAGCGAGTGTTTCTTGTTCTTTCTTGTACTAGAACATACTTGCATACATCAGCAGTTCGATTAATAATGTTACTTTATTGCATCAGAGACAACTGCATATTGAATGCTTCGTATTTTCTAGATCGCTTCGTAGTTATTGGAACAAAAGTCCAAATATAATGTGAGTAGAATATATTGTTGATGGTTGAACATAGACAACCTTTGCTTATGTTGCTATTTGTAGCATGCCATTCGGAAATCAAGAAATTAACCGTTGTCCACGTTGCAATCAAGCTGTTTTCCATGCAGAATCCATCCCAGCTGCTGGCAAAATGTGGCATAAAACGTGTTACCGGTGTGGTATGTTCATAAATTCGTGTCTATTCGTGCTAGCATTCATATTTGATATACTTAAGGTCTTTGCAAGAAAATGTTAGAGGCAATGACTATGGCTGAACACGAAGGTAATGTGTTTTGCAAACAATGCTATGCTCGTAAATTTGGTATTCGTGGTGTTGGATTTGGTGTTGGCGCTGGTGCACTTGCCATGGATACTGGTGATCGATTCGGAAACACTGAATCACTTCCGTATGTAGATATTATTCTAACTATAGTACATTCAGTGACTTCTTCTCTTTATTAGAAACAAACCAAATTATCCAACACCACCTGGTGTTGCTGCAGCAAATCGAGCTGCTGCTGGTGATGACGAATAAATCATCAGAGAATTGGTTATCTCGGACGTACTTTTATTTTTCAATGGCTTTTAGCTAATTTTAGACCTTTTTTTGTCTTCTTGAGTCTTTGGCTTTGTATTTGTTTAATTTTATTTTTCGCTCAATCAATAAAGAAACTTTGGAGTATGAGAATAATATAATGTCATAAAAATAGTATGGCGGCATTTTGAGTTCCAACAATTGCTTTATACATCAATATTGTAATGAAGTTTATTATTGTTTATCTTTCTGCTTTTGCTTAAGAATCAGTTTTATCCCATTAGGTAAAGATCAAACATAACAGATTTTTTCCTAGTTCATAATATAGAAATTTTTATATGTTTCGCCATGAAAGCAATTGAATTTTTTTTTCTTGATTTAAGAATAGTCATACAAAGAGGAGCTAAAAGACGACCTATTCACAGATTTTGCGAGAACGATGTGTTCTTATCGGATATATATCAATGGTGAAGAGATACAACAAACACTTGACGAGTGGTCTATTTGTGATCACTGGTCTTACAACGTACTAGCCTCATTCGAGAATAACTACTGGACGACGTCATAAAACTACTTATGATCACGAAAACACAATGCATTTTTTCCTACCATCTTTAAAAACAAAATTAGTATGATCTCACGATTTAGCCAGATGTTGTCCACATATGACGGAAGAATCTGTGTTTCCGACTTTTTCATACTGTCACTCAGTCTTTGGAACAGGAAGTCATCCAGTAACTAGACCTTCCTCGTAGAAAATCTTCCAAATATTGAAAAGCAGAAATTTTTCGTGTCGGATTGTTCCACTCAGGATATCCCCATTGGTTGTGATAAATTGTTTTTTACTTATTTATTTCAGGAGTAGTAATAGATATTGTTAATTTCCCGTCACAATTTGAATAATTATTGGGCAGAATATGTGCAATGCAAATTATGATTTCATGTATTTACAAAGACACCTCCCGAAATTAAGTAATACTATTAGCAAAACTCGATTGTTTTGTGCGAAGTCTGCTTATACAAAAATGTGAAATATGGCATTGAACATGTACTGTATCTTTTTTACTATTATATTTGCTGGATACTTTATTTAAGACAACGTGCACGATGCTGACTGCAAGAGATGCCTAGATACCATTTTATTTTAAATTCTCACGTCACCCATTGCTATATTCGATTAATTGTCTCTTCTGAACAGCATGTGAGCGTTCAACATAGGCCTATAGCAAACAATTTCATCTAATTTATCTGCTATTTCAAAGCCTCGCACAAGAACTCCATGAACAATTCGAATTATGGACTCTGGAACTAAGATACAAAAGCGCCTTCGTAAACACATAAACAATATGCAACAACATGAATCAGATCTTGATGAATGTTTCCGTTGTCCTCGACTATGCGTTTAGTTTTGTAGATAGTTGAAAGTTTTTCATGTCTTTCTTTCCTATTGCTTTCAAGTCGATTCTGGATTGATTTTGAGAATAGACAAAGCAGATGTTGTGAAACTATGATTAAAATAAACGAGCTTATCACATTTTATCCTTAGAACCTCTTAAGTGAGAGTTGTAAGGTGTACGTATACAAAGTCAGTAAAAAAAGACTAAATTTGCGTCTGATGTATGATGTAATAAAAATAAAAATCTATATTGTTAATGAATGATATAATACAGCACAACAAAAACACTTTGGAGTGAACGAACTTGAAGCGGTCTTGACCTACGGTTTACACTAAAGTAAAGTTTAATGCAATTATGAAGAAACATGTGATTTATACATACTATACATGAGATATCTTTCATAAATATTAGTTATTTTATTCGTTTTCATCTCATTTAAGTCGTACGAATTTTAATAAATTGTGCACAGTTCATCATCCCTGCTCTTGCTGCTAGTGATATCATCAAACAGACGTTCAAGAATTTTGTCTCTATTTTTGCTGTTTCTGCTGGTTAAGAAATATTTTATGAAAGTTTTTTCGACATCGTTCTTGACAAAATTAACGCTAAATTGTAAGCAAAAGAATGGACGGTAAGCTGTAAGAGTATATGATCAATGGTGTGTCTTTGTACAGTCTAAATAGTGTTGGTTAGAAGTTATCTAATGTTTTAACCATGAGAGATCGGACGACGTGTCTTTCCTATAATTTAAATCAATATCCAAATTCTCTTTGCATTTCGGGTGTTGACTATTTTCATTTTTCTACTGCCACAAAAGAGAGAGGGCGCTGAACCGTCTTTTATCGAAAAATCGATCTACTGTTGCTACCGCCTGCTGAACCATGTTCATAGATACATTATTCGTTCTCAATTGGCAGTTGCTATCACTAAAATGAGCAAATATTTAAAAAAGTAGTGTGAATTATTGTACTATTTTTGATTACATACCTATGTTAACTATATGAGACCCGTTTATTATCTGTCTCGAAGAGCCCGAAAAAACGACACTGTAAAACGTAGATGCACTCCGATTCTAGATGACCATTTCATCGTCGTTTACCATAGTAGAAAGGAATTCTCAACTGTTCCATTAATTATTCATGATTTCTTTTGTGCTGTGGGTATTGTTGTTGAATTACTACGACTTTTTTAAAGACTCAATAGAAGAATGAGAACAGCCGTAAATTTCAGTAGATACTAACATTTTATTGGTAGATAAATGGTATGACGGAATCACTTCAACATGGCTCACTGAAGTGAGCGACATGTATTACCCCAGATCAAACAATCCGGCCCAGAACCGGCGTCTTCCGATGACTAAATTATAACATGAACTATTGAGTCGATGAATTGAAATTTTCTTCCTGAGAGCAGTTTAAACTCTTCTCTAATAATGACTTCTGGATTACCTAACGGTACTTCTATGTCAAAACTACATTTGATCTTTGCATTTTGTCTTACGAAATAAATAGGTTTCAAAGTTGATGATATGACTTTCTGTGTAATGAGGGTAACGAATACTGCACCGTCTAATTCTCTTTTCTGAAAGAAAGGATTATAAAGCGGTTAAATACTGGGCTCAAAATGCTTAAAGATTGTCTGTCTATCCAAGCCAATCAGATTGCAGCATTCAACAACTTATAGAAAACTTCATGATGATCATACGCAAATGATTGACCTTACGTAATCGGCGTCGGGGATCACGAATCCGACGTTAGTGTTGCTTAATTAATTATTAGTTTTCCATTAACTAGCCACGACTTATTAACATCCATTTTCAGAGTAGACCGAAGGCTTTCTGACGTCAGGAAATTCGAATTTGAGGGTGAATTTCGTCTTATTCGCTGAGCCCGGGCTTGTTCTTTCCTCTTTACAAAGGAAATTTTTTTCTTTATCTGTTCTGAAATCTTTTGTAGAAGATGGTGAGCTGAACGTTATTCACGGGCGTCATGCGTACAAAGATAGTAGCTCAAGAACTTACACGAAAAGATCTAATGTATTGTACATGATGATGTTTCTAATTCAAGAAATTCGAAAAAGTGATATGAGCTTAGTATCATGTTTGCTTTGTAGGCTACATACATCATGTCTTTTTATGGGAATTTAGTAGAAGTAGTTCGCAAAGTGATATACCCATCGGTGGGATTCCATCTTAGTAACTACAAGCGCGTGGACTGTAGAAACAGTATTCTGAACACGTGCAGCACTATGAAAGATGTTCGTTTCGAAGCAAATCAAAGGCGAAAGGAATAACAGAGACAGCATGGCAACGGCTAGCCGTGAGTGGTTGACCGAAGGGAGGTCGACGAACGACTAGGCATTTAAATGCTAGATTAATCCTAAAGTGTACGCTTAGAATAACCTTGCCAAGCTTCTGATAATTTTGAAAAGGATTTGACGAATGGACATTCCTCAATGAAAATATTCGACAAGGTATCATTTCGTTGACAGGAGAGAAAAGAATCGGTTTATCGCTGGAAGACAAAGGCGAATGTTCAAACTTTTCAAGCAGTCTACTGTATATCGTCCGTCTATGAGTGATTTAGTAAAGCATTTATGAAAATTTCCATGCGCGTGATGTGAAAATAGAAAAACAGATGACAACGGTCAATGGTTGGCCGTGAGTGGCTGTCTGGTTAGCCGTGGAGCGATGAATTTTTCAGTCAACATAGTTAGTGCTGGAGAACTATTCACTGACAAATGGCTAATCTGTCTGATTCCTAAAAAGACTTTTGCATCCTATTCATTCGAGTGTGTGACATAGTGCCATGATTCAGTTCAGCACTAGTAGCAATCGCAGTGTGTTTTTTCTCTTTCGAAGTCTCTTAATATGTTCAGCATTCGGAAAAGTCTTTCAGAAAAGGGTCAGGAAATCCAAAGGATGAGCGTTACTTGTATAAATAGGAATAACTTGTCCTGAGCTCTAATCTTTTATAAAAACATTTGATAAGTGCAATCAGATTTTAAAAAAGGCGATTACTTCATGTTTTGCATGTACGTCCAAACGTTTTTGGTCATATACAGTGAAGTAATGCTTGTTTCTTTTAAAAAGAATTGATAATTTTACTGTCCTTGCGTCAGTATCACGACCCTTATCTTCTTCCGAGCTACTGTGGAAACGATAACGGTAGTAAAAAAAAAGAAAAGACAAGATGTGCATGCGCACGAGCAGCTTTCATTCGCTAAGAGGTATTTTGCGATAAAAAATTCAAACAGTAGACAAACAAACTGGTCTTGTTTTTAACCATTAACTATCTGTTATAAGACACATTTTATCCGACGAAATATACCGGTGCGAATGAATCGATTTTTGGAAGGCGAAATCGGCAGCAAAAAGCTACCACCCATCGGTGCATATTGGCAGCATTCTCTACTTCCAATTGAACAAGCTTTGGAACCAGTCAAGGCTAATATTGATGGATTGGACCGCTCTATCAAAGAAGCCAAAAGACATTGCTGTTACCCATCACCACATCAACTTACCAAAGACGAATCTGCTGCTATATATCTCTATACTATGGAAGGCGGAGACAACAGCTTCTATCGCATTTTAAACGAAGCTCTTCGCTCCGAAAACCGACGNTCAACATAGTTAGTGCTGGACAACTATTCACTGACAAATGGCTAATCTGTGTGATTCCTAAAAAGACTTTTGCATCCTATTCATTCTAGTGTGTGACATAGTGCCATGATTCAGTTGAGCACTAGTAGCAATCGCAGTGTGTTTTTTCTCTTTCGAAGTCTCTGAATGTGTTCAGCATTCGGAAAAGTCTTTCAGAAAAGGGTCAGCGAATCCAAAGGATGAGCGTTACTTGTTATTATAGTTTTTTTTACTTCCTTCGCTATATGCGAAATATTACATACTGAAGTTTCGATCGACTAAATAAATTACACGAGTAAAGCAATTTTAGATTTCCAATATATTTCAGAAACCGAACAAATCGATCTAACAGTGTGCTCATTCAACGATGAATAGTTCATTGAAATATATTCATTATTGAAAAAGATTTTTGGTTTGTCTGTTAAAGAGTCGATCTCAGAGAAGACTAGCGATTTTCTCTAAGAGATAGAGACATAAAACTAACAAAAGTGGTCACACTCTCATCCTCAAAATGATTCTGTTCCATCATGCACACAATAACATGATTTATTTATGGAGAAACAATTGATTTTTCTTAAACATGATAGAAAAATCATAATTAGGAAGATGACCTAATCTCATTACACAAAAAAAAAACAAACGATCTAATCTGTAGTTAAACCTTTCATTTTCTTTGCTGAATTTGATTCACTGGATGGGCCATCATCATCATCTGACTCATTGCTTTGATCTAGAAAAATACAATCGGAGGTTTCCTAGTATTTCCGTACGTGTGATTGATAAAATAATATACTTTGATTGTTTTTTCGTTTCTGTCCACCACGCCGTTTCTTTTTACTGAATCCACCTCGCTTCCCTCCAGAATATCGTTCGTTTTTTTGAGTTCGTTGAGCAGCTCGTTTTTCATTTGCTTCTTTCCAAAATCGTGCTTCTTCTTCACCTTCAACAACTCGACTGGTCACTTGCTTATCTCCGATAACTAATTTTCCATTTCCAGCTGCTAGCACTTTTTCTAGAACATCTTTCGCTGTATTTGCTTCGTTCAATCGTACCCAAGCCTTGAAAGAAGATCATAATTAATTTCCACGTTTCGAACAGCAGCGTCGATACTACCTGGGGATCGCCTCGATTAAAATCAATCCATGGCATCTTTGCAAACGGAAGAAATTTCTCTTTGATCAATTCACGTGATGCATTAGCAGCCATGCCTAGAATAGCGATAAGCAAGCAACTCTTACAATGAAATTACTTTCGATGTTTTACCGGCAAGATGAATGACAGCACCAAGAAAGTTTTCATTGTTTAATTTTTCTAAATGTTCGTTTGTTTTTTTGTCTAACTCCTCTTGTTTCTTTTCTTTCTTTGCTTGTTTTTCTTTTCCTCGATTTGTTATCTGATCCTGCAAGGAGCATTCTAGAATCGATCCATCATCATATTTGACTGGCGTTTTCTTGGAATTCTCCACAAATTCATGCGCTTTTCCTTCACTGGGAAAAACGACAAATACCGAGCCAGCAAAATCTTTTGTTTTGGGTTGTTTTTTCATTTGAATATTATCGGTCGAACCATACTTATCGAAAAAGTGAAGTAATTTGTCTAATGTCACATCAGCTGTCTTAGGAATGCCTTCAACGTAAACAGTACGATTTTTTAATGCTAATTCTAATTCAGCATGACTATTCGGTAGTGGACGATCTGGATGGCGACGAATTTTGTCTTCAGTTTCATGTAATTGTAGAATACCTGATACAGATTTCTTTAAGGCATCCATTATTGTTTTAAAATCTGTCGTTAATGATTGAAGACGTTTAAATGTTGTCAATACGGACAAGGGAATCCAACCATCATCTTTAATCACTTCATTTTTGAGAAACTTATCACGAAGCATATTGACGTCACTGAAGTAATACTCAATTTGTCTAATTATCTGTTTGTCTAAATCCGGCGATGGCGTTGATGTTGTTTGATTGATTGTTGTGACATGATTATCTTCATCGGCACTGAAGTAGAATAAAGCAATGCTTTCGTTTACTGATGTGTCGAAAAGCGCTTACTGGTCCGTTTTATCGATAGTTGTTGTCGTCGTGACTGTATGATCTGGGTTCAACTGTAAACAAAAGAAATATTTATCGGGCAAAAATTCAAATCCATCATACTGTTTTTATTTCCGTGACTGTGGTGACGATATCACCATTAACAACTGTTTCTTGGACAGAGGAAATACTTTCTGTCATAGTGAATTTCGAATCTAGAGGATAAATGAAAATAATCAATGGATCATAACATATTTACTGTTATTCAAGAACGGAACAAAAACAAAAGTAGGCGACGAATGTTACTTAGAATTGATATTATGTTACATGAAACATACAAGCGAATTAATACGATTTAGCACTGATCATGGACACATTCAAACAAAACTACAATTGAAAAATAAGAATGGATTGTTGAACATAACAGATTTGTAAGCAAATGAATTGAATGAAACGACGTTTCGTCAACGGTGGACAGATAAAATTTTGATTGCAAAGAATTCTGATGAAAAGCCCTTCATCATTCTTCTTCTATGTATTCACTGTTCAACATTGATTCACGTGATTCAGGACGATTATCAGAAACATGGCCACCTTCATCTGAAAACAAACCTAAAAAATCCCACATAATGAAACATTCAACAATCTAAGCAGGCTTACCCTCATCTCTCGAAAACGATTCATTTGGTTTATCTCCATAATTTTCACCTTCGGATGAAAAATGTCCATTGGCTTGTTGATGTTTAGCGCGATGTTTTTCATCATCGAGAATAAAATTGTCGCTGTGTATTTCTTCAACTTCGCCTTCTTCAGAAGATGTGTACGTAAGATGCTTTGTTAATTTACGTTGAGTAGTTGGTGATAATTGTAATGTGGCGTGTGTGACAGGCTGTGATGTTTCATTTGCTTCCGATGGAAGATGATCAGTCGATTTAACTGAAGAAGAACGCGTTTTATTTGCTGAATTCATGCGACGCCGTGGACGTTGCCGAGATAATGTCCGATGATGATATTCATCGAAATCTTCCGGACCACTGCTTGATGATTTTCGGGGTGGAGTGGAAAAATCAGGCATATATCGCTGACGATTTAATGAAGATAGTGATGCTGTTTTCGAATCCTGTAAATCAAGTGTGAGATTTCTCGGATTTAATTCGCGAGTATGCCCTTTTGATTTCGATTCGATTTCGGCTGATATTGTTGGTAAAGAAGTAGTCACCGGTATCGTTTCTGCTGTTTGATCTGCAATATATACAACTGTATTCGCACCATTGGTGATTGTTACGGATGGTCGTCTTGGGTCTGGATTATCGATTTTCGTATTAGTTCGACGACTGTTGGAAAGTTTTCGACGTCGTGAAGGACTTTTCGAATGGCTAGAATTTCGATTCGTTGTTGTTAAACTCGGTTGACGTGACATTGCAGTTGATTGACTATGGGAAACTATTCAAGAAGCAAAGTGAGATAGGACATCAAAAGTGGTTCAACTTACGTTCAGAAGTCAATTTTTTCGTATTTCGTTTTTTGTTTAGCAATAAATGCATTGGATCATTTAAATTTGACGTAGCAATTTTAATAAGTTCTAACGATTTCTTTCTCGCTTCGGATATCGAATTTACTGTAGTTTTTTTGCTATTAATTTTTAGAAGACGTTCTTTCTCTTTAATTACACGTTCTCGTTGTTCCAATTGCATCATGAACGATTTTAATTCGTCGTACAATGTATCAACTTGTTGGACACGTTTTTGATAATGCGTACGGATGTCAGCAATATGTTGTAATTCTTCTTGACGTTTTTTCAACAATTCATCATGATTCATACGAAGTGTAGATGATATGTCAATTGTAGGAAATTTCGATAATTGCTCATTGATTTCGATTGACCATATACGTGTTAATTCCGCGTATTCTTGTTCCTGTTCGAACAAGATTATCTCTGATTTACGGGCGTCGAGATGTTTGGTGATTTCAGGAAATGATGGACGTCCCGATGGTTGTTGATCCCAACACATGTTCATAAGTAATTTAAAGCCCTCGGGCACAGAAGCGGGAATGGGTAGTGTCAAGCTACCTTTACCTACACCTAAACGAAATAGCCAAGTAATTTATAAGAGATTATATTTGATAAACTTACCCCATACAATTGCACTTGGATCGATATTATCATATGGTACATTACATGTTAAAATTTCCCAGAGAACAATGCCAAAAGACCTAAAACCAATATGAACTAATTGATTCTATTTGTATCTGCGATCGATTAAAGATCAAATTTCCTAATCTAATACGAAATAATTGTATTACTATATACATCGAACGTTGCCTCGATTTTACTATTCTATCTGATAGTAAAAAATTTCTGCTGATGATTTTAATGAGCGACCTAGAATTGGAATGAATGTCTAAGAATGAACTTTCTTACCAGACATCGATTTTTTCCGAGCAAAGTTCCTTTCGGATAACTTCTGGCGCCATCCATGCACTAGTTCCACTGAATGACATGATCTGACTTCGCCGATTGCCCAGTTCTTTGCTAATACCAAAATCGGATATTTTCAACGTATGTTGGTCGGAGAAGAGTATGTTCGGCGATTTTAAATCTCGATGAACTATTTTATTTGAATGCAAATAATCGACACCATTAGAAATTTGTCTTGACCAATCGAGAACTTGAGTAGGCTTTGTATATGACCGAATGTCGCGACGTCGTTTCAATACATCATACAATGAACCATAAGCACAATATTCCATCACGATATAAAATAGAGGTGGTGCAACTGAAATGCCTGAAGACAAACGACGATTGAAACTGAATGGAATACAAAAATAAACGAAGCAAACCTCGAAATTTCACCACATTGTTATGATCGAGTTTTTTCAAATGTTTGATATTAGTTTCTTCTTTATTCTTTACTCGTTTACATGCTACGTCTTGACCATTAAGTTTGCCATGGAAGACCGATCCTTCCATTCCAGTGCCAATAAAGTGTAAATCGTTCATAATCGAATCGATGGGAATTTCCCAATCATCTGATGTTTTGACTAACGAATTGATTGTCATATTTTTGGTCGATTTGATATTCTCACCGAATTTATTCATTGCGTAAAATATCGGTTTAAAACATCCGAAAAATGTTCGAATTAAACCGCTGTTATCATCGCTATGTGAATTATCAGTCGATCGAGGAACTGGAGAGCGAACTTCAACTTGTGCCGGTGGAATTCGACGATCATCGCTTGTAGTCACAGGTATTGAAGAACTTATAAGCGGAGACACGGACTGTTCAGCTACCAAGGAAGGTTCTTCGTCGTCAGATGCGTTATTATCGTCGATGGTTAACGATCTGAATCCAAATGAAAGAAGAAAGTGACTCGTGGAAGCGAGTAGAATCAAACTCACCCAATATCGACTTCATCGAGTGACGAAATACCATTGAATACAGTTGTTGTTGAAGCTTCACTCAATATCATTGTTTCATTTGTCACGTTTGGTACCGGTGACATTTCGTATGGAGATAAGATGCGTTTTGAATATGATAAACTACATGTAATGTCTAAAAAGTAAGAAAAAACTTTCGTAAGAGCTGCTCTTCGTTGTACAAATAATTTTTCTTTCAATGTTTCCTCTCGTATCTATGATAGTAGTGACGTTATGACAGCAAGTAAAGATATAGCCGACCGACTTTCTTTCTATTTCTATTTATTTATTTCCTTTCTTCCGCCAATAAAAATCAATGGTAAGCTCCCATCTATCGACAGAAAAAACAAATTTCAAAACTAATCGTTATCGCCGATGGGTCTAATGAAAATTCTTTCCTCTTCAATACTCATCTTATCATCATCAACCGACGCAAGGAAAACAAGTTCTTGAGGGTGAATAATCGCATCAGTCATCTTCATTAATGATAAACTAGCCAAGTTAAAGTCAGGTGAAATTTGGTGTAGAGAAAGATAAACTGATTACAAAAAAAAACATTTGTGAAGTTTAACTGAATCAATCCGAACGTCAGAAAGAGAACGACAATGAAGCAGCTGCAGATGATGAGTGCGCTCTGACGTCACTATCGTAGTGACTGATGCTAATGTTATTTTAGCACGTCAGATAGAACATATTTCGTCTAAATTCGAATAACTATAAATTACCTCAATCAAATCATATTTGTCTTTTATCTTTCACAGCAGCAGTACATTTATGCAAAGAATGGTATTTGTGAAACACAATGTAAGTGCTGCATTTCATAAAGGAGCAGGATTGTCTACAAAACTGTCGAAATCAAGTCGGAATGTTCAGTAGATTACAGTACAGATGAAAAGTATGAATTGAATTATTGAAGCTAACACAATTCCTGGAATAGTATATTTGTTTTTGTTTTGAAAAACACATTAAATATCATACATGAAAAGAAAAATAAAATTCTATGACCGTGGCGTATGGGTTATATTAGATGTTTGAAAAAAACAACGATGCCTTTGCCTATTAAATAACTAATGTTTGTTGATAAATTTGGGTTTTTCAAAACGATTCTGTAAATTTCCCATAAATGTCGAATAAGGACAATAGTAGCTATCACAATTTGGTAAGATCTGCGGCTATAAATAGAACGTGAAATACATTAGTTGAAATGTATGATACTTTCTGAATGACTTACTTCACCAGCATAGTTAACGGCAACGTATGTTTCTTTGGGATTAGTTTTCGAAATGAAATATTTCATGAGAATATGAGATGCATACTTTGGCCAACGCATATCGAAGATCTATGAAATTTAGACGAACCCGTTTTGTTAAACCAAATTCAAATGGAAATTCCTTACCTCAAGTGCCATTGCTAATGGAACTAGAGTTGTATCGTGACCGGAATAGAGAAACAGTTTTTGATAAGATCTATAAATGTCTGTTGATCAGATTTCAAATTGAACAAAGTTTTGATTTTACTTGTTTTCATTATTTTCTAGGTAATTCTTCGCTATGGAGTCAAAATTTTCTCTCATTAAGTATAATAAAGGTCCACAGGTTGCACGTATGAAGACATCAAAGCCAATGGATGTTCTAAATCGAATTCTACATCAGAAATATGTGATAAAGGAAAGAATATATTTACGCCATTGAAACAAATTCACGTGCCGACATCACTTCGAAATCTTTCGTTAGTTCGCTAAAGTCTTTTGGAATTGAGAAGTTATGTGCCTAAATCAAATGAGATAATAACAAGAATAAAAAACCCATAGTAAAACAAACTTGTCTTGAAACGATATCATCGTACAATTCGAGAATACCGTCACTATAATCGGTGACACCTAAATGGATTTGAATCGGTGAGAATAAACTTGAAGTTAAAAGTCGATCTTTTTACCAATTCGATCAATTAAAGCTTGTCGAGCTTTTTTAAGATCGTGATCGTCGTGTAATGAAGAATAGAGTTGCACGGCTGTCAGACATTTCTTTAGAATTGGATAAGCATGAGAATTTGGAAACTAAAGACGCAAAATAAAGTCTATTTTGCTATGTAATTCGAACTTGAATTCTTTACCATATCTTCATCCGGAAAATTATGCACTTCGATCTCAAACGCACCTAATATATTTTTCTCAAAGTTAAGTTATTTCTCCATGGATTGAATTTACCTTTCGCTTGGATTTTATCACCTTTCTCAGGCGATGAAAATAATCCGGCAAGAAACGATCGAGCACTCGCCACAGTTCGATCCATAAATGTCGATCGACAACTGCAATAATCAACTGTGTCAAATAACTAGTCGCACGCATTCATACATACTAGACAATCTTTGGATCATAAACCATCGGTATTAATCCACTACCATCTTCTTTGATAATTTCCTTTCGGATTGTTTTTCCAAGTTCGTACAATTGCTTTTCACCAAGAGCGGTCAACTGTCCCGTCACGACTCTGTCACCTGACGAAGACTGAAAATGAACAGTTTTCTTTTCATTATTCGGTTTGATTTCTACCTTGAGATGCCGAACTCGATCGCCGATGATGTCATTCGCTGAAGAAATCTTATCTCTGGAAACGACGTTATTGCCTAGTTTCGTAATTAATTTGATATCCCATTTTGAGAAGGGATAAGACCCAATATGTTCTTTACTATAGGATATTTCTTCTAGTCCAGGTAATAGATGAAGAGGTGTGCGAGCGCCATGTCGAAAATAGACCTGTGCACCAATAAGTTGTAGGTCATCGCGAAGTTTTGTATCGATTAGTCGCGTAGGACTTGCTATGGAACGCTTTCCCGTTGATGCCCAAGAGGTCAGAGCGTTTTCATAGGTTGACGACGATCTATTTGTTGTTGTTATTGCACTTCTTAGAAAATTTTCATAACATAATTTCAATAAAATTGTTGATGTTCCTGTTAAGAAAGACCATTTCAAGATTGAATGGCAATTCTGTCGCATAGTTTTCTCCGAGCAAAAAGACTTTTATTATTTTTAGCAAGTATCTATAAGAAAGACGAGAGATTATTATGAAAAGGTCAGTGTCACAGAGACAAATACTAAGCAGACGAAAAAGTGTTCTTTTAGTTGTTGTCGAAATATATCAAACATAAAAAGCATAACATATTGACAAATTAGAAAAATAAATGTTTAAGCCAAAATGGAAATTGAATAAAAAATATTGTGTCAGGAAATTAAACAAAAGCATCGTCATTGATCGGACCGGTTAGTGCAGCATCAATGGCTGAAATAAATAAAAAGATTTCGAAGAATTTAGTCGCTGAAATCCACGTACTGGTTAATGTCTGATTGACTGTTTGTAATTTTTCAACAAGTTTCTGTAGTTCTCTGACAGTTGTATCATTATCGACGATAGAATCATTTAATCTAAGTAGTTCAAAAGCAATATAAATCGTTTTCAATAGAGACAGATTTTACTTGAGTTTCTCTAAAATTCCAGATGAAAGTTGAATTAATCTTATTGCTAATCTTTGACCATTTTCTCGTAATGTGTCACAATGTTCCTAGAAAAACGAATTTCGTCTATTCAAACAAAGAAAAATATCGGCTTACCGTTCCAAGACTAAGAGCACTTGTTGTCATTCGTTGAGATTGTTGTGCGTTGGATTGATTGATTCGGACAGGTTTCCGATACTCAGATAATGTTAGCTTTTGTTCAGGTCGATTGGGACTTGCCGAAGCGGGTCGATGTGGAGGAGCTGCAGATGAAATCGTACGCGTTGCTGACAGATTCTCTCGCTCAGAAAGGATAGTTGGCTTCGTAGTTGTTCGCGCACTGATTCGGCCATTTACTGAATTATTTTTCCCCAAACTATTTGCATTGCTGTGCCATGAAGTACTCATAATGTTATTTTTCGAACTACTCTCTTGTTTCTGTAACTGTTTTTTGGTACGTTGAGCTAATTCTTCGATTTTTGCTTGTGCTCGTGCACGACGTAGTTCCACAGCTCGATTTGTTTGTGAACTTGAACTAGGTAAGGAAGGCGCAACTGATGTTGCCTGTTTCAACGGTGGATGCAAAGATGTTTTTGTTGATTGAACGGGTTTCGATGTCGGTGTAGTAACAGTTGAACGTTGTTGACGTAGAAAGAATGACTTAGTCATCGGTACTTTCGATAATGAGTCATCGACATCATTAGGTAGGATATTCGATGTTGAAGATGTCAATCGTGAACTCGATGGTTCTGAATAGGAAACAGAGGAATTGGTTTGAAATAATGTATGTGGCCGAGTAGGTGCGTTCGTCGACGATTGCTTTTCGGTCACGTCAGGATTGGGTCGTATTGCGGAAGATGCAAAATTGTCTGGCGATGAATTTGCATTATTTGTAGACGCTGATTTAGCAGCGAATTTTGCTCTAGGATAAGCAGGTTTTATCTTGAAATTCAAAACATATGAACATCGTACCTCCATGGTATATCTAATTTGCGTTCTGAAGCACTTGTAGCGGGATGTTTCTTGGTTTCAAAGGTTGGCGATATGACTGAAAAACATAATTGATAAAACCTAAACGTTTCTGCAAAACACACTACGTACCAAAACATTCTGCTGGTTTGATTTGATATTTTGGTGGTGCTGTTGTATGTGACAACTGATCGGAAGATTTGTTTGAAATTGCTATTTCAGATGGACTATGAATCCAATCCCCATCATCAGAAAACGAATGTAATGATGATGCCGGTGAAGAATTCGATGATTGAGATAACTCTCGTCTTGGAATGTTGGCATCTACAACAGGACGATTAACTGTATGGATTGTTTGCGCAATTGCTCCACGAAGTTCAAACGTTCCATGTCGAGTTTTCGTTTGATTGACATATCGTTTGAGTATTGACGATGATGGAACCAGTTGTGCTTTGGATTTCGGATCTTGTACGGCATCGACATCGTCATCGATGATATAAGTGCCAGCATCACTCAACTCATCAGTTTCCGGATGATCTGATGACGGAGTACGAATGTTCGGTTTTGTCGTATCATGAAATGGTACATTTGACGACGTTGTTATCTTCGCTTCGCTTTTTGTCGTCATATCAAATTTATAGAAACGCTAAAAGAAAAGAAAATCTTTCTATTGAGCTTTTCTTTCTTGTCTTACTGGTTTCAAACTTCGATCGGGTTCGTTTCTCGAAGATGGTAAATCTAAACTCTCAAATTCAAATTCGATTATCGTAAATTGTTTTCTTACTTAATGTAAACGAATATTTGTGATTCTGAAAGAGAAACTCAACGACCTATTCTAGAGATTTGTATATACTAAACGATACTTACATCATTTACTGCTTTGTTTTCTTTTATTTTCAACGACGATGATACATTTCGAACGTCATATTGTCTACCCACACTACCCTCACTTGCGAAAGGTGGCTAGAGAGAAACAACAAAAGGAAAAAACAACTTCAATAGAATATTTAATGACACCACATTTTCGCATTAAACGCTGATCACTTCGCTTTTTCGTTCTTTAATCATTGTAACTTACCGAATGAATTGCCGGTGAGAATGATTCATTCGATGGAAGATTGAATTCCGGTGAGGTTGGTACAGAATATTGACGTGACGGATTTCGTCTAGGGTATTTCTGAGGGATCGGCGGAGAAGTGATCGCAGTTGCCAATTGACAGTATTCGAGATTCTGTGACATTAAAAAGTAAGTTCATAATGAGCAAAATAGTCGAAAATAAAAGAATGAGATTAGTAGAAAAGTTATATCTAAAACACGGATCGAATGTGATTAGAATCGTTGTCTTTGATTTTCAATAACACCAATGTCAGACATCATCACAAGACGAAACAAGTAAAAAATCTTACCTGGAAGAGATTTCTCGGCGACTGTCGTAAAGAACTTGCCCATTTTTGAACGTTCAAGTGATCCATCGTTCTACTTGTCAGTCTCCGTTTAATGAATGTACGTATAATATACGTATACAATTTCAACACTCTCTTTCTCAAGCGTGTTCGTACAAAGAAAATTGAAAATAAAAAAGTCCTTCACCTCATCATCATCATTTAGACTCAATTGTTCACTCAAGCAAATCGTTTCAATGTTCAAAAACATTAACACATGTACATGAAGCATATGTAATCGAAAGGCATTTAATCATGAAATAGTTTTTCTGATTGATTTTTATTTTGGACAAAAAAGATCTAGACAAACGAGAAAAAGAGAAGTAATAGTTGATCATCTCATCATTACACATAGAATTTCATTACCGAAGGAGAAAAGAGAAAGAGAGAAAGTCAATGACAGTAACAACAACAAAAATTCTTTTTTTTTCTGTGATTCTTTCTGTTTCGTTCCGATCCGAAAAGAGAGACAAATTGATTATGTATTATATACACAGCGAAAAGAAAAAAGCCGCACAGATGCACGTTGATTTAATCAAGCACAACTATATCATCATCAACATACGAGACAAAATTGGTGTTGAGTTTCTTCCAAGGTGCGCGTGCAATACGACGAATTTCCTTCTGAGGAATTTCTTTACGTAAACGCCTAAACATTCACAAGAGAAATATCAGTCAAATTCATTGTGTAAGCCTTTCAACATTTCTATGACCTTGGCAAAGAATACTATTCAAAGTAAGTTGAGATCTTATCTCGTTTAGACACTCAAATGTAATACAAAACAAATCTTACTTGATATCTTTTGTTACACGGAGGTAGATTCCATCGGGTGCTAAAGAAGAAATCGTTGTTATATGTATATCGAATTGAAACAGTGAACTTACGATCAACAAATGGAACGGTATAAGCACGTGAACGTGACAGTTTCGGAGCGCCCTAGAAATGAAAGGACATGATGAGAATGATAAGGTTGACTGAACGGGTACACATACGGGTGACTTAGTTTTGATTAAATTTTGTCGAGTAATCAATGTTCGTTTGGGTGATGGACCTTGAAAAGTCAATGATTTTATTGTGAGAAGAAAATTTGAAATTTACCTTCATTTGAACTTTCATTTGATTCATAAGGTCGTTTTTTCATAATGCTCAAATTTAAATGGGTAAATTGAGCATAGAAATCCCCTGGATCGTTTCGCATCTTTGGATAACGTTCGGGTAAATCCGTTTCATTATCATTCTTAGGTTTTTCTTCAAATTCAGGCATAATTTCATCTAATGTTTTCTTCGAATCAATCTCATTCTCTCGAGGAAAGATGTCACTCAAATGTTTCGATTTCTTGCTTTCATTTCTCTCACGATAAATCTCATGGAGACGCGTGCAAATATTTCGAATATCGATCGACGGTTTATCTTTAGCATAAGTTTCCCATTGCTGAAGTGCTTCGCTTAAATTAATACTAGACAATGGAGTACGCGCAAGATGACGAACTGAACACAATGGACGGACAGCACGTGATAACGGTGTTGTATACAAAGAAAATGTATTGCGTGGTTTAGACAACGGCCGAGGACTGCCTGATCGAAATGCCGTGCCATGTGTAAGAGCGTAATGACGATGAAGGGCAGATTTATTTTTGCAATCCTGAAAGTCACAAGAAGATGTTTAACAATTTGAGTACAAATCAATATTTACCTTTTCACAACCATTGATATTACATTTATAGGTAACCAATTTGTTGATATTCGCAGCACGCTCTAAAATAATTCGAATCGAATGTTTGCAGATGAATTTGACATAGATCTTTACAAACCTTGTCGTCGATCAGGGCCTGAAAAAAGCGAATCATGTGTTACATAGAGTATATATCGGTTTCAATTGTCTTACCACTCTTTTTCGGATACTTCAAGCCACCTAGTTTTTTGTAGTAAATCCAACATTCAGCACAAAGTCTTGTGTGTGGTTGAGCAGAACTCCATTGATACCATTGAGCTGATGAAGTCGCTACACTCACATACGTTTAGAATAAATATTTCGAGAAAAAGAAGTCGATTTGACGTACTTCCACATGATTCGCATGGTTTGCTTTCATTTTGTGGGCGTTGAGGAAGGAGACACTGATGTGCTTTGTTACTAAACAAATGTGTTTTTTTTCTTCAAAAACGTCCCCGTTGAAAACTCTTGATTACGTACTAATTTGGTATGAAGACTTGTTTGAGCTTATTTTCTTGTTCAGCTAACTTCAGTCGTCGTTGAACAACATATCGATCCGTTGTTTTCCACATGTAGTAATATTCTATAATGCCTTTCAAACTCTTCCATGGTAACTAAACAAAAACGAACAAGAATGAAGCTACTTTTTCTCGTGGAACCGTCGTTTTTACGTATTCTTTTTGAATTTCGCGAAAATCTTTTCCGCATTTTTCAATCGCGTCTTCGAAAGAGTTTGCTTCTGCTGCTGACCAATCTTCCATTTGATCTTTAACAAGAATCGGACCGGTGTTTGGTACTAAGCTGCACGTAGCCAAAGCTAAGTCGTAGTGATGTTTATGTAAGGTATCCATGGCAAAAAACTAATAAAAACAAATGTAGAATGAATGATTAGAGTAGACTTCTGCTCACCAATGTCGCATCACGCGAAGCGGACGCAGCACTCATATGAAGACTGGGATGTTTCAATGCAGTCGGACAATCAAGTGCACGAGCAAATGTGCCAATGGATCTAAAAACCAAAATAATACTTTGTTTTCTTCGACTAGTTGGTTACCTTGCGACAATCAAGTATTGTTCGATTTGTTTTTCTGTTAGACCACCATTTGCATCCCAAATTAGATCTTCTCTCGAGGGTGAATTATCTTTAATAATGAAAGAATGCATTGACGATGAGGATCGTTAGATTTCTCTTACCCTGTGTTCCATCGGTTGAAATCGGTTGAGCTGGAACATCAGCTTGATATTTTCCACCAACGCGAATTTCGCCTCGATCAGCATTTAGACTTTTTTGATTTGGATCATAAACCAATTGATAAAAGAAGAGGTCCTGTGAAGATTGGAATGAACATTCTAGAGTTCTTTCGATAGAGAAAGACTAACCTCAGAATTAACATAAGACAGAAATGTTTCCGTCTCATTATGTAACGTCACTAAACATTTCCCACGGATATTGGTCGCTAACAATGTTTCATTTTGTCGTGTTAAAAACAATTCTCGATGGCGCAATTGATGTTTTTGAGTATCCGATAATTCCGTTTGTTGTCCACTCGTACTCGACGAGTCATTTGGGATTTCATCATCGTCTTCCCACGGACCTTTACGAAAAAAGCGAGGTCATTTTCAGGACAATTGATAAAGAACTTTTCTGTACCATCACTTTTTAAGCGATCAACTTGATTGACTAGATACGAGGATATATCGCGACGACGATAAAAGCAAGCCACACGTGCTTCAACATTACCATTCGGAGTCTAAAATTCAAAGAAGAAAATCTCGCGAAGTGCCTCTCGTCCTCTCAACGTACTTTATTCAACTCTTCAATTCGTCGAATTAGATATGGTTCCGTTGGATTTCCCTCAAAGTAGACGTAATCTAAACAAACACTTCATCGCTCGAGATCTAAATCAGCTCCGAACGGTTTCCTTACCGCCTACACGATACATGCACGAAGCCATCAGTCAGTATTCAATGGTAAAAGAAATTCACTGGAAAAATTCTTGCATTCTTCTAAAAGGAAAAGTGATTGTTGATTGGTAAATTGAATTTGTTCAAGAAGGCAAATTTGTAATGCGATTTGTTTTCCTGACACAACGGACAAAAAATAAACAAGAAGATATAAAGATGAAGAAAAAGAATTGAACAACTATAAATAGAATAGCCAATCCGAACTTAAGTCTCTTTCGTCCTTATGCTACATGTTTGACCAATAATTAATTTTTGCTGTCGATCATGTCGAACAGCGACGCCTATCGACACGATAGCATCCATTATTTCGGTCCAATAAGTACCCATTAATATCAAACTTTTGAGTTAACACTACGATCAGTTGTCAAGTCAAATTTTGTGTCTTCGATTGTCTGTTGAATAGAAAAAAACATGGTGGACGAAGAAAAACAGGAAAATTTAGCGAATGCTCGACGAAAGTTGAAAAAATTTCGAGATCAACAACAACCAAATCTACCCGAACCGAACGGAAATGATGTTCATCCATCTAATACAGTAAATTTCTTTTTGCTCAGTCTACTTTTCATAACGAGATTTTTCTTCAGTCACCCGTTGATTCAATGGTGCATCAGAACATGATGTAAGTGAATTCAATCTTTCGAATTAAATAGAAACTTCTGTGTAGACCACAGAATATCCCGAACTTAATGAATGAACAACAATTTCCTCTCAATGGAGTTCATCAAGGCATACCACAACCTCCTAACACGAATTTCGAAAGACAATTAGTAAGTCTATTCACACATCGGTACTAACTTCATGTGCGTAGTTCAGGATCAACAACATCAATATGGTGTAGTGATTGAAAATCCGAAACAAGACAAAAATCAACGTTTGTCCAGTAACGGAAGTAACATGGTAACCATTGCATACGAGAAAAAAGATTTTCAATGAACAAATTCCGTTTTAGTCTCGTCGGTCCAGTCAAACTTCAGTTGATACCGAACAGAAACTACGTCGTGATAACGAACATTTACAAGAGCAACTTGAAGTAAACATTTTTCGAAAGTTTTACGACCTGTGTGTGCCAATCAGTTCACATAGATGCATATGCAAACCATAGGAATCTTAGTTGCAGACAAAAGTGATATGTCAGCGAAGTTAACTCAATCGTTTAAACAGTTGGAACGAAAACAGAGTGAAATGGATGAATTGTACGGGCGTTTGAAAGCATCGCGTGAACGCGTTCAAGAATTGGAAAAAGAAATTCAAAATTCGACATCAAATGTACAAAAACGAGAAATGGTTCGAAGCATTTTGATGACCAAATTGAGTTTTATTCAAGTTTTTCAGGCCGCGAAAGAATCCGATAAAGAAAATGATCGATTGAAAATCGAAAATATCCGACAAAGGTGAGCAGATTCTTCGAACAATCTCAAAATATCATTTCTCATTTCAGTCAATTAATCGAAGATTTGAAACAAAACATCAATGAACTCAATGGAAAACTTCACGATCGACAAATCAGTTTCGATCAACTAAATACCGAATTGCAACAATTGAAAATCCAACCTCAAGTTTGTTACACAATTTTCCATCAAAGAATAAATCTTTCATTTGTTTTCAACTAGTTGAACACCGAAACATCAGAGATGGAACAGCGCATCAAAGATTTACAGCAATCTATCACATTGAAAGATACTCAGATCGAAGAGGTAAAGAGTTTGATTGCAACGAATAATTCTTTATTGGTTGTTTTTCTTCCAGCTTCATTCATCACTCAATCGAATTCGTTCCGATAATGAACAATATCAGAAGCATAACGCTGACATGCAATACCATATTCAAGATTTGACCAATCAAGTTGGTTTGCTTCTTCTTCTTTATGATTTCGGAAATCTGCATGTTTGTTTTTGCTGAATGTAGATTAATCAATTAACACAAGCGAATAAAATACTTCAAGATGAACAAAATGAAATGAAATTAAATGATCGAAGTTCTGTAGTTGAATATGATACTCTTCAACAACAGAATCAGTTATTTCGGAATGCGATTGATCAATGGTCTAATCGATATGAAGATCTTCGAGTTAAATTAGAACAAATGACCAAGTAATTCGCTCGAATAGATCTTGAAATGGATACATTTCATTTATTTAGATTAATGAATGAAAAAGACGAACTGATCGTTGAATTAAAACAATCGAAAGATTCGCCAAGCGAAAACAACAACGAGGAATATACAAATCTAAAAAATCAACTTCAAATTATCGAAGAATCGAACAAACAGTTGAATGAACGTCTCGAACAGATCCAATCGAGATCGATTAATCAACAAGAAACTCAGACTAACAATGAAGTAAGAGTTTCACCACCACCACCATCCGCAGACTCGATTCTCAATTCCGAAACTTCAACTCAACTTCTTGTAAGTTAACATAGTACTTTGGAAAAACTCCGACACGGAAATGTCTTTTGTTTCAGGAAACTTACCAACAAGTTATGCATGAAAACATTGGATTGAAAGATCAGATTCAGCATCTCGAACATGTGATTCTCCAATTACAAAACGAAACGGACACCATCGGTGATTATATTCGTTTGTATCAACAACAACGTGAACAACTTCACAAGCGTTATCAAGAAAAGGATGATTGTATTTCACAATTGACACAAGACAAATGTCATTTACAGGTTCAGTTTTTGTACAAATTCGGCAGTTTATCATCGGTTTCTTTGATATTTTAGGAGAAAATTTCACAGTTGGAAACGTTAATGATTCAAACTTTAAATATTCCAGTCAATCAGTCGAACTCAAATGGTAAATAAACGAGAATTCCGAGTCCGGACAGAGTATCTTGAGCTCATCATCTTTTTAGGTCAATTAGAGACAAGCCATCATTTATTATATCAACTTAGTGATGAGACGAAAGCACGGATATTAACGATAATCAAAGAATTAGGACAGAATAACATTTCCATCGTGCAAAATAAGGATTCATCTGTCAAGTTAGCATTTGTTGATCAAAATTTCTACATATGTTCGACGTGCTCAGGTGTTGTGCAACAGGTCTAAAGCTTTCTCTTTATCTTTCTTCAATCAACATATTTCTAGACTTTTTCGATGGCTCTTTCCTTCCTTTCTTCTTTCTTTTATTATTTATTTCAATATAG